TGGATGTGGTTGCTCAATGCATGCTCAGAGGCACTCTTTGTCCTCATAATTCTCCATCTTCTTCCAGGACCTGGCCTTGGCATTGCAAAGTGTGTCAATGGCTCCTCTGGACAGTTGGGCCCCTGTGGTTTAGATTGGCTTCCTGTCAGGCAGAAATTCAACAAGTGCAGCCTTCTTTTGTTTCCATAGCAACTCCTGCAGGATCAGTCCAGGTGGTGTGTTTGGGCATCTAGCGAGGCATCCAGTACAGATGCCTCTGGGAAGGAAGCCAGAAGATGGTGCCTTTTCCTCCTATTAGTCCTCGGCAGCCTTTCAGGAGTCCACAAAGTTGGAGGCTGTACAGTTGTACCTTGGATCCCGAACACCTTGGTACTCAGACGTTTTGGCTCCCTAACACCGCAAACCTAGAAGTTAGTGTTCCGGTTTGCAAATGTTCTTTGGAACCCAAATGTCCGATGGGAATTCCACGGCTTCCAATCAGAAGCCGCCTTTTGGTTTCCGAACATTTTGGAAGTCGAATGGACTTCTGGAACGGATTCTGTTCAACTTCCAAGGTACGACTGTATTCTCATAGCAAACGAGAGCTCAAGAGGAAAGGACTGCTAGATGAAACCCTGGGAGAGCCCATATATTCCAGTACCAGATCTGGTCTGCAGTCAACTCTGTCCTGCTCACAGCAGACCTACTGAAAGTAATAAGGCCTAAGCTAATGTTGTCTGTTAACTTCAATGGGTGTACTCTGAGCAGGAGTAACATTGGCTACAACCCACTGTCTCCCTCCCAATCCTACATGTTGTAGCCAGCCAATGTCAATACTACTCAGAGTAGACTCAATGAAATCCATAGACATGACTAACATAGGTCCATTAATTTAAATTGGTCTGCTGTGACTTGGTTGGCTACAACCCTAACCATCTTGCCTCTGGAAGGCCAAGGAGCCTTTTTGACCCATCTACCCCAGAGCTAAACAGTCCTGCAAAATTTTCTTGACGCTTTGGAGAGGGGCGTCTAAAGTTCTAAACACACCATATTCTGTGTGGGTGAGCTGCACCTGTTGGAATTCAGCCTGCCTCAGCTCTGCTAAAGGAACAAGTGTGTGTGTTTGGGGAAAGCAGCCACCCTCTTTGGTCTGGCATAAAGCACTCCCTGCCCCCAGGAAGAAGCAAAAGGAAACCCCACCCACTATTCACCCTGGCCTCAAGCAAGCCCTGAGCAGAACCAGGAAGCCAGGCTGATGGGTGGCGGCAGCTGCTGCTGCTTTGAGGAAGACGCTGGCCAGGCCACACCTTGCACTACTTCCCTGTGAGTAGGGTATGAATCAGGGCCAGCTCCTAGGGGAGGTAAACAAACAGGGGCTGTTCCTCTCCACTCTCTCGCCAGCTCATGGTGCCCAGTGGGCAAGGAGGTGGCTTGCCATAGAGTGCAACTCCAGCACCCACCAGCAGGACAAGCAAGTTTCCAGGGGGCAACCAGCAATCTTGCGCAAAGGGTAGAGGTTGCGCAAAAGAGAAAGAGGGATCGGCACTGTTTGTTTGTTTTAGGAATTCATCAATGCCTCGCCCTTTAACCAAAAAGGCTTGCAAAAGTCAGCATTAAGGTTGTCCCTGCCACCTTTTTAGACTGCCCTGACAGTCTAAAAAAGGCATGACACACAAGATCTATATTTAATTCTTACTAAGCAATTATACGGCCTGCATAGATTCTGGCTATCTCAAAGAGCAGCAGCTCAGCCGTTGTTTAGGCTGCCTTGCCCCTGATGAAGAGCACACACAGAGAGCGGATCCAGGAGCAGAGGCGATGGCAGGATCCTGGGCGAGAGAGCCTTCTTCAGCCAGAGGGCCACCTTCCTTTCTGGGAAACCTTCCAGGGGGGCACATACCAGAAGTGGGCAAAAGTGGCAGAGCAATAAATCTTATCTTTGGACAGGAGGCTACTTTCTACAGCCTGGCAAAAGGTCAGAGTGTTCAAGGGGACATTCCAGACTTGCAAGAGCTGGTGAGGGGTGTGGCTTGAGGACAGTCTCAAGGGTCACATTGGAACCCTGAAGTGAGGTCGTCCATCCCTGCTGAAACTGAAGGCCAGGGCTGCATCCTGGAAGATTACCATGAAGAAGAGGGATGCCTTGAGAAAAGCGTGTGTTAAGCTCCAGCATTCCTGAGAGTCAGGCTGGGATGATTTGCTGGTGCAAGATCTCCCTCTGCTGGCAAGTCACTAGAACTCGTGGAAATCCAACAAAACTGAGTGTTGGAAGATTCAGAACGGATAAAAGAAAGTACTTCTTCAGGCACAGCAGTCAGACTACGGAACTCACTGCCACAGGAGGGCAGAGGTGGCCACTTGGATGGCATTTTAAGAGGATTAGATAAATTCAGGGAGGAGAGGGCTATCAAAGGCCACTAGCCACGATGCCTATTCTCTGCTACCACAGCCAGCAATGCTTCTGAGAACCACAAAAGCAGGTTACTGCAAACCACAGGAGGGGAGAGGGCTGTTGTTCTCGAATTTTGGTTGAGAGTTTCCCATCATGGGCATCTTGTTGACCACTGTGAGAATAGGGTGATGGACCGGATGGGAAAGTTTTTCTCCCTCTCTCGAAACACTGGAACTCATTGATATCCACCCAAGGTTTTTTAAACAGAGCCTGATATTCCTGTGTTGCATTGTCTTGTTTGCAGGCACACGCGGTAAACCTGGTCTTACGACCGCAGCAGCGCCCGCTGACCTGGAACGCAAAGTATTAGCCTGTAAGGAAACGTATCATTAACTTGAAGACTGCTGACCTAGGATGAAATTATAAGGAGGCAAGAAATTATTAATTTGAGGGAGGGTGGGTGGGTGGGTGATCCTGGAAGGAAGAAAACCAGAAGAGGCCTGGACAACGGGGTCAGCCTCTTTTCTTTGGCCTTAGCCCCAGCCCTGGCCAGCCGTCCATTGTCCTCCTGGGCAAGGGTGGGTCAAAGGCTGGCTCAAGCACGGCAAGAGTGTTGTTAGCCCAGAAATGGAAACAAGAAGAAATTCTGACGAAAGAAGTATTTGTTGTTGTTGTTTAGTCGTGTCCGACTCTTCGTGACCCCATGGACCAGAGCACGCCAGGCACTTCTGTCTTCCACTGCCTCCCACAGTTTGGTCAAACTCATGCTGGTAGCTTCGAGAACACTATCCAGACGAAATTAATGGACTATGCAAAATTGGACAAAATGACAGGAAGGATTTGAAACCTGTGGGACCAGAAATTTACAGAAGATTGGAAGAAGTATATGAATTATTTGAAGAGCAACTGCAATCAACAAATTACGCTAGTAGGATTACAAGAGGTTTTGTAAGGAGAAATATACGAAGTGTTACAAAGTAGAAAAAGATAGTGATATTGGTTATGAGATTGAAATGTACTAGGGAAGATAAGAAATGCATACTGAGAGATTAGAATGGAAAATTTTCAGGGGCCACTGGGGCGCATCGGAAGATGGCTGACAATAACATCTCTCCGACCCACACGAGGTAATTAGGAGGCTGTGATGGGAGTAAATAGCCTCCCTACCCCCAAGGTTGTGGGGGGGGGGCTGCCCTTGCCTGCTGTGCCCTACACCCCCGAATTTGTGAGGATGGGGGCACTAGGCAGAAAGCCCTCCTGTGGATCTCGGCGCTCCTGGACGCTGTCTCTGATCCGCGCCTCTAGCTGCAATAACTTGAAAAGAAGCAATTAGGAGGAAGCGAATGCACATATTTCAAGGAAGGAGGGGGAGTAAAGACTGCTAACTGAAGAGATCTCTGATAAACAAGACGGGTCGGAAGAACAAGAATAAATCATGAGAAGATCACCAAGGCTCGGTATGGCAAAAGGACTGGATGGGGGAGGGGGGAAAAACTTTCCTTTCTTTCCTCTATGTGATTAACCAAGAATCCCCCCCCCCAAGTCAGAAATGCCGTTTTAATGACTTAAGGTGTGGATTTATGACTGTGTGGAGATTATTTTCTAACCAAAGCATGTTTCAAGAAGATAGTGGAAAGTATAAGAGCTTTGGAATGACGCAGTTAAAAATACCGTCGCCATGTTGGCAAGTTCTGTCGGAGGACTTAAGTCTGGGAGGAGGAACAGAGCTGTTTTTATATTGTGGGTGAGACTCCTCAGAGGGACATAAGAGCGACAGATTTGAGAGATTAATGATGGAAAGAGCGATGTTATTTATGAAAGTGATGATATATGGAAACCGTCTTGATATGAGGATTGGACGAACGGAAAAATTCACACAGGATTATAATTGGTGTTTATCTGCTTAAGGAGATTATCAGAAGAGATAATAAAGAAAAAAAGAAAAAATATACGAACAAGATGAGATGTGGAAACAGCAAGATAAGACTGGATAGAATTATGAACATTATTTGGACTGATTTGGATATTAACGCAGTAGCAAGAAGATGATCGGAATCCCCCTTCGGAACTTGAAATATGGGTCCCCTCAACAAAAATTTAAAATTCGGCTTTGTAATTCGGAATTTATGTGATGTGATTTGATTTGATTGGTCGGCTAATAAAAGTTATTTTAAAAAAAAATAGATTGGAAAATTTTCAGACAGGATTGATGGAAGTCAAAAATTTGAATAAGATGTAAAAGTATGTTTAATTATTGTTGAAAATTATATGTTAAAAAACTAATAAAAAATTATATACAAAAAAAAAGGGCTGGCTCAAGCAGGTGTGAGGCACCTGCCCAGGTGAGCCCAGGTGCAGCAAACCCCGCCCACCTGTGGGGAAGGGAGGGCGGAAATTCTGGGGAAAGGGTTGGGGGGAAAACAAATTATCTTAAACCAAACAGGCTAATTGCCCCTTGGATTCGTCCTCTAAAAGGGGCCCCATAGCGCCCTCCTAAGGAGCAGCTGGCTAGCTTTGACCCCTCTAAAGAGGGTAATAATAAGACGTCACACAAGAAACAGGAAGCGCAGCTCTGTACTCTATCAGCCGGCCATCTTGCCGCTCTAGCCGAAGCTTCTCGCTTGTCCTCCTCCCATTTGAACAAGCCGCTTCCCGGCATCCCCCGCGCTCCACCTGCCACCAATTCAGGGCGCGCGGGGGATGCCGGGAAACGGGAGGGATGATTCAAATAGAGAGGACGGGAGAGGCGGAGCGAAAGGCCGAGGACAGCAGGAGTCGGATGGCGGACGGGTAAGCGGCTTGGCCGCCATAGAGCTTGGCAGTGCTAGAAGGGCGTTTCCTGTCTCGGGGGCGGGACGCCTGGGATCTCTAGCTTCCCTTAGAATCAGAGACAAAGTCACTGGCTGTGAGGGCAGTTGACGCCGACGCCGCCCTGGCAGGAGAACATCCGGGGCTTTGGGGGTCGAGCTCTGATTGGCTAGCTGCGTTCTGCGGGCGTGGGAAAAACCCTCAAAACTTTCCGAAGTCTTATGTGTGGTTTTTTTTTGCTTTGCTTTTCTCCGCTCTGGTGTTTTATGCGCGCGGGGGGGGGGGTGCATAAATACTTTAATAAGTACTTCTATAAATAAACTGATAATTAAAATGAACTTGTCCTGCAACCGCAGCCCATGCGGTTCAGCCTGTAGGTTTATGCAAAAAATAATACTAATTGATACCCAGGGGCAGCGTTTCAACGGGCAAGTTCCCAGAATGGCTTCTGGCATACATAACTGTGCGTGTTTATTGCACCCATGGACGGTGTTGTAAATAAAAATATGCCCTTTTCCCTTATGGGGTATCCAAGAGCCCATATAGAGTCCTTACATAGGTTCCCTATTGGTAGGAGAAAATAACAGAGGCCAACCAGAGAATATTGAGAAGCAAAGCAGCTAGCAAGCATGATCTTTATTAATCTGTTGCAACAGGGTGCTCCCTTCACACACAGGAGAGGAAGAGGACCCCCAAAAATGCTGTGCAAGGGCTTATAAAGACTTTTGAAATTCCCATCCTCTAGATCAAGACCACCCCCAGAAACATTATGCATTCATCACAGAAGGGGTGTAACCTAAGACCACCCCTCAGATAAGGCGGTCTAAAACAGAACATTTGCATGTTGTTTTCTCCTGTCGCTTTGTTTATTTCCTGTCTGGCAGGTTACTTGATTGGATTTCTTGGGGAGCCTTGGCAGTCTTTTGTAATGATAAGGCTCACACCCTTATTCAAACACAGATTAAGACAGGATTTGTGAAGGAAGAGACAGTGGGGAGGCTTTTCCATTTTTACCATGCAGAGAAACATTTGCTCAGTTTAGGAATCAAAATGGTTCCAGGTTGGCTTTCCTGTGCTGATCTATGTACGTGTGGTTATGAACGTTGCCATATATCTAAAACCATAAAATTCCTATCACAACGGTATAAATTAAAGCGGCAACTGTAAAAACACAAAACCCCAGCGGTTTAGCCATATAAAAATTCTGGCTTTGGAAACAGCATGATTTTTTTCAACTCCTGGGGAAACTTCAAGTAAAGACTGCAGCAACCCTGCCCTGGGTAAACCTCTCTGGGGAGGGAGGATGGGGAGTTACAGGCAAGTGAAGAGATTGGAGTGGGTGGGAAAGGGAGGTTTGCAGTTTGTTCCAGTGGAGTTGCCGCTGGGTGTGACCAGAGGCGGGAATCAGTTTTGTAGAGCTTTATATTAAACAAGGTGGTTAGAAGCATTTGTTTGTGAACGATGGAAGCATAATCCAGAAAGAATATGTAATAAACAAAAATCTGCCCTTATTCCCTTATGGGGGACACAAGAGCCCTTATAAAGTCCTTTGTAGGTTTTCCATTGGTCAGAGAAAATAATAGAGGCCAACCAGAGAAGCAAAACAGCTAGTAAGCCTGATCTTTATTGAAACTGTTGCAACAGGTTACCTGTTAATGGCTACTTGATTAGATACTCTGGGGAGCCTGGCCAGTCTTTTGTAATGACAAATACTTAGTTCCTGAGCCAGGTCACAGGCTCACCCTATTCATACACAGACATACCCTTAAGACAGGGTTTGTGAAGGAAAAGACAATTGGGAAGCTTTTCCATTTTCCTTTGACCTTGCAGAGAAATATTTGAGGTCAATTTGGGAGGGGCAAAATGGTTTCAGGACTTTTTCTATGGGGTTTCAGACATGTGGTTTATATATGCAGTTATGAACATTTATCATATATAATATCTTTATATCTTATATATATATAAACATTAGGAAGAACTTCCTGACAGTAAGAGCTGTTCGACAGTGGAATTTGCTGCCAAGGAGTGTGGTGGAGTCTCCTTCTTTGGAGGTCTTTAAACAGAGGCTTGACAACCATATGTCAGGAGTGCTCTGATGGTGTTTCCTGCTTGGCAGGGGGTTGGACTTGATGGCCCTTGTGGTCTCTTCCAACTCTATGATTCTATGATATCAATATATATATATATATGACTTTAATTTTTTTTGTTTCGATATTAAAAGTAATTAAAAGCAGAGTATAGGCACAAACAAATCTTAGAGAAGGAAAATGTAAATGTACTTCTGTAAAATGCAGAAGGGAAATGTGATGGAAATGTAAGAAAATAAGAATGAAAGACTGTTAAGTGGTCATTATATTGGTACACGCCACCCCAATCTCTGAGCTGCGTGAGATTCCAATCTTGGCGTTTACCCAGGGTCTGTGTTTCCTTTGGAAGTTAGGCACAGCAGAAACTGTAGTGTCTTTATGATAATATGGTTTATTCACACACACACACACAACCTGAGTCTACAGGGGAGAGAGGGTTCAGAGCATTCATATCTGCAGAAGATTATTTGGTCTTCTGAATCAATTACCTCAGTCGAGCATGAGACTCTTAAGATTGTAGGTTCACACCCAACGTTGAACAAAAGATTCCTGCATTGCAGGTTGGACTAGATGGTCCCTTCCAAAATCCACAATTCTATGATTCTATTATTGTTAGGAGCAGCAGGCTTAGGTCTGCAAGCAGAGGAACCAGGCATGCTGCCTGTCCCTTTGTTACAGCCTGCTCCAGCCAGCCCACCAAGAGGTCTACTGGCCCTCCTTCTTCCTTGCTTTTCAAACCTCTTGCAAAATGCCACAATTTCCCTTGCCATCCAAGCCTGAAATCCTAAACCTAGCCTTTGCCTGTTCACCATACCGCATCTGCTATTAGGCAGTACCACCTTCTTTTGTACTACATGATGGTTCTTCCCAGGTGATTCCTGGTCAGGAAGCTGATTCAGCACTGCTATATCTACATCTGGCATCCAGGCTGACTCCAAGCATTTATTTATTTTTTTCTTATTTTTTTTTTAAATAATATTTATTAAAGTTTCAAAAGAAGAAAAATCACATTAATAAAAAGATTAACGATAAAAAGGAAAAATACAAAGTAGAAAAAAGAAACAACAGTTAAAAACAATTCCATCTTTTCATCACTTCTTTTACGTTTACTTGTTTCCCGGACCTCCTCATACCTCCCTCTTTTGTATTCCAGTTCAATTTGTTAATCCAGCAATTCCTTTCCCTCCTTTTTAATCCTAATCTTTAATCTTGATATATTATAAAATTAAATTTTTACATATTAAAAACCAATTTTCCCATATTCTTTTGTACCTGTACAGCTAGAAACCACTTAACTTCAATCCAACATCATTCTAACATTCATTAATTTTGCAATATTTCTGTAAATAGTCTTTAAATTTCTTCCAATCTTCTTCCACCGACTCTTCCCCCTGGTCACGGATTCTGCCAGACTCCAAGCATTTATTAATACCCCATATTTACTCTATAAATTATGGGTGCCTTGAACCCACAAACGCTGGCACCCAGAACTTGTAACAATATGTAAGGATTACAATATGCAAGATTAAAATTAACTACAATTTAAACTACATTAGCCCACCTAAATTCTACCAACTCTCTGGCTAACATTTATAACATTTCCTTTTTAAAAAATAATTATTAATAATTTCAAAATTACAGAAAAGAAAGGAAAAAATTAAAAACAACACTACAATACATAAAAAAGAATAAAAAAAGCAAAACATAAAAACCAATGCAACAATACAGCAAAAAGATAAAAAAAAGAAAAAAAGACACAAATCCCATATTACATATCTTTAACTTCCATTTGCTTGTTTCATTGACCTCCTCACACCTCTCTTTTTGTATTCTAGTTTGATTAGTTATTTCAGCAAATTCTTTCCATCTTTCTCAATTTTTATTAAATAATTTATCTTAACAATTTAACCTATTAATTAGCTCAACAAATCCTTTCCATCTTTTCCCCATATTCTGTTATTCAAATTACCTTAATTTATTTAACCTTATCTTACCAAAAGATACTTTAGAGCTTAAAGCTTAATACTCAATTATACATAACTCCTAATATCATTTCTACTAGAGTCATATAGTTTCATTCCAACATTTTCCCTGATATTCATTAATTTTAGGCTAATTCCCTAGAAAAAAAATTTCTTTATAAATTTTCTTCCAATCTTCATCCAACGTCTCTTCTTCCTGGTCTCGGGTCGTGTCAGTCCTTACTGTCCATTCCATCTAGTCCATCAACCTGGTAATCTTATGTCCGAGGCCCTTAAGTCTCTTCCATGTCCCTTTAAAAAAAAAAAAACATTTATAACATTTCCAAGTGTCCTGACTGTATAGCATTTTAGTTTAAGAAAGGGACAGAGCTCCAAATTCAGAGTGGAATTCTAGGAAATAGAATCAATTTCAGATGGAAAGTAGTGGAGAGCAATATGGCATGCAGGATAGAGAATACTGGAAAATCTGAATAAAATACAAGTCTAGCCTAAAATAATGATTTAAATGTAATATATAATAGTGAAGGCTGACTCTCACTGTTTTCTTTTTGGGCCAAAAGTATAGAATGAGAAATGGAAAATAACCCATATTTGAAGTTGTCCACAAGCCAAAACAAAAGAAAAAATTAGTGCCGTAAAAATGATTGAGTACCATGTGATAAGAGAGAAGGAATGTCTGTGGAAAACGCAGCACAGAAACACCTAATGCAGCACAAATTATTCCAGCAGCAAGAATGAAATCTGTAAGCGAAGGTATATTTGTGGGTTGAAGAGAAGAGATAAATTGCAGAATAAAAAGGTATGGGGAGGGAGGCTGCTTATGTGAAAAAGAGATGAATTTGGAATCTCAGACTTCTTCACAACACATCCCTCCCCAAGTTTTACTGCTTGTGTGGCTGGTTCGTTTCATTCCCCCTTTTGCTTGCAACTAAAACTTCTTTTTGCCTTGGTAAAAGTGCCGTTTCCTCTGTGAGCGGAGCCCTGCCTCATCTTCTCAGCCCCTGCTTCAAGGTTGAAAATTTGTTGTTTCTCTTCAGGACACTGACTGGATTTCCCTTTCTAGGTGTGCAGACAGCATGCAGACAGTTGACCTCCTTCAGAAGAATTTGGTGAGTTTCCCTCCCACCTTCTTGCTGTGGATGGATGGCTCTTTGGATGGGGGTGGGGTGCAACACCTCCCTCCTCCCTCCCTCCTTCCTTCCTTCTTTCTTTGAAGCCTTTATATCCTCTTGTGTTCATTCTTTCTCTACAATGTCTTTCCTGGGAGAAAAGGTGAATGGGAAGCAACTTAGGGAAGTCGCAGTGGGGTTTTCCTCTGGGATTGCAAAATGGTGGCTTCCAGCTCTGTCGTGGAGGCCCCTTATTTTCCCCAGATATATAAGCTGGGATTCCCCACTTTGTGGCCCGGCATAGGCAGACATGGGTCCCAGAAAGGCAGCATGCTTCTGTTGCTGCTGCTGCTGCGTTTATTTCTTCTTCAACTGCCCCAGGAGCACACCTTGTCTAACTGCTGAAATGAAGGAGTGTCTCACCTGGAGATAGGACTACCAGCCTTGGTACATGGGGAGTGGCGGGGGGGAGAGATTCTGAGCTTGGACTCCACTGATTTCTTCTGTCACCCTGGTGTTCCTGTAGCTCTTAGAGCTGGATACTTAAAGGGGCACTTGGAACTGCTGGGTAGGAGGCCTGATTTGAACAAGGTTGTTGACTAAGAGAATCTGGCAGGAGCAGTGGCTTTTCAGGCTGCTTCATACGTCCAGGATTCATCCGCTGAAAAGAGCATCCGGGCGGAATTCCCGACAATCGACAAAAAATGTCCGGGAAAACCTGGGCATATGGCAACCCTTGTTTGCAAATTTCCCAAAAATAGTTTAAAAAAAACTTCTTTGAAAGATGGCAGGCATAGGGTTGGACCCTGCCAATGGCATAGACCGGGGGGGGGGGCGCAGAAATCACACCTCTCCACTCTGGCTAGGTGCCTGCTTGCACACTCCCCGGACTGCTCCTCGGCTGCTCTGGGAGGCCAGGCACAACTCCTTGCCAAGGGCACAAGGGAGCCTAGATGCACCTCCCTCAGCACCTAGTGTGGCCAATGGTCAGGGATGGTAGTGATGGAAAACAACATCCTTACCCCTGACAAAAGTTCTCTTGCCACTACCTAAGCCACCCAGGCAGCCTTTCCTGATCTCTCTCTGTGAGGATGGGGGTCCTGAGTGTCTGTCCCTTCACTGCGAGGGGGGCTGCTGGCTATATCGGGGAGATGGCCTTTGTGGGCACTGATTCCAATCCTCACGCCTATATCTGTCTCGTTCCCCAGAAAAAAATCCAGGACCACTTATCCCTTCTGGACATGCTTCAGATGAAGGTGAGAGCAGGCTTCGCTCCTTGGGGGTGGGGGGCAACAACAGGCAAGATATGGGACCTAGTCTTTCATGAGCTGGTGGGGAAATGGGCATCTAATGGGGGACCCTTTTGAGCCTTGTGGTGCAAGTTCAGCTTTTTGAGTTTGTCTGCTGTTGAAACAAACGGGAGGCGGCTTTGGAGAGTTAGGCAGGGAGGAATGGCAGCGCACGGGTGGTAGTGTTACCGGAAAAATCCGAGGGCTCCCTTGGACAAAAAGTAAAGACACCAACCAGAGTAAATTGGAGCAAATCAGCAGCCTGTAGGCTTGGCCTTTATTGAACTGTTGCAACAGGGTGTTCCCCTCACTTGCGAGAGAGAGGAAAAGACACAGAAAATGGTGTGCAAGACCTTATAAAAACTTTTGAAATTCCCATCCTCTAGGTCAAGCCCACCCCCAGAAACATCATGCATACATTACAGAAAGGAGGGGTTGAGGGAGGAGTTGTGGTGGTAACCTGAGTGTCCTGTCACCTGGCTGGTTCCCTTCTCCCCCCCCCCCCCATGAATCATTTTCTGAAGACAAAAGGTAGTCGCAGTTTCCTGCCCCCAGAGGGAAGATCTGATCATTGTCCTTTGTTCCAGTCCATGCTGAATCCAGTCCCATATGGAAGTTCTTTGTGATCTTGATTGTCTTCTGTCTAGGACCATCAGGGTTGGCATAGCAACTGGGCAGGGCTCCTGTGGATGTGCTGGGATGATGAAGGGATTATGGTGCCCTGTATCAAACCTTCCCCATTTTGTAGTCCTTCCTTCATGGAGTAAAATAAAAGTGGAACAGTGCAAATCCGATGTATGGTTGATTTTCTATGAATTTATAACAGAAGTGTAGCGTATGTAGTGTGTGATTGTGTGTGAAGTTTGTACAAACTGAATGATGGGGGCGGGTTTCCTGCTACAGTAGGCAGGCACAGGCTGGTGGGGATCATGACCCTTAATGTGCTATGTGGAGGAAGGACCGCAGCTCAGCACTAGAGCACCTGCTCGGCATGCAGAAGGCCCCAGGCTCAGTCCCCACTGGCAGCATCTCCAGGGAGGGCTGGGAAAAGACTCCCCTACCTGAATTCCTGGAGAGAGCTGCTGCCGGTCAGTGTCAACCATGCTGAGCTCGCAGGACCAAGGGTCTGCCTCTGTATCGGGCAGCTTATTAGAGGGCCACCACTCTGTGGCAGACCCTTGCTTGGCTTGCAGAAGGACCTAGGTTCAATCCGCAGCAGTGTCTCCAGGTAAGGCTGAGAGCGTCTCCTGCCTGCACCCTGGGGAGCCACTGCTGCCAGGCCGTGTGGGCAACACTGAGCTAGACAAACCGTGAGAGTAGGGTTCTGATTATTCTTTTGTTGTATATATTTCAACAACCCCAAAGTTTGAGCATGAGTAGCACTGGTGTGGTAAAAGTGGAGCGTTGCAGTAACTCGAAAATGATAAGGCAGAGGAAATTTTCATTCATACCAGCGACTTGGACATGTGAGATAATCCAGTACAGTGGTACCTCGGGTTAAGTACTTAATTTGTTCCAGAGGTCTATTCTTAACCTGAAACTGTTCTTAACCTGAAGCACCACTTTAGCTAATGGGGCCTCCCGCTGCCACCGCGCAATTTCTGTTCTCATCCTGAAGCAAAGTTCTTAACCTGAGGTACTATTTCCGCATTAGCAGAGTCTGTAACCTGAAGCGTATGTAACCCAAGGCGTATGTAACCCAAGGTACCACTGTACAGCTATTTTAAGAAAAATATGAAATGTGGTTTGTTTGTTTTTAATGATAACCATAGTTATCCAGATGTCGTTGCTGGTTGCAAAGGGGCCCCCATTCACACTTCAAGGCCACCACCGTTCCTGTTGGAGCAACATGGCTCATGGGCAGGGAAGGTTGAGACTGCAGCCCAGCTATAGCTGGCGAGGGGGCCACAGACTCCCCCTATGTGTGCTCAAAGGCGGCCAGGTTGTGCTGAGGGCAGCAGGGGCAGCAAACAAGTGATGGTCTGCTTCAACTATGGTCCCCCATATCTTGTTGGCCCCCAACTCCCATCAGTCCCAAGAGTCAGCATGGGTGGCCAGTGGTGAGAGATGTTAATGGGAGCTGTAGCAGCTGTGAGGCCTCTTCAAACACATTTTCTGAGTTCTCCTTTGACATCCTAGGTGGCAGATGTTTGTGTGGGGTGTGAGGAGACCCGCCGGGACATGGAGGCCGAGGAGGAGAGGCTGGCGGAGCTGGAAGCCCAGTTGAAGATCCAGGATGCCTCACCTGAAGACACGGAGGAGGAGGAGGAGGATGACGACGACGAAGATGACGACGACGATGAGAAGGAGAACGGTATACTGGAGACTGTCAGGACCAACATAGCTCAGCTGAGGGTAAAGATAGAAGCCATGTCCCAGGAGGCTACTGAGCTGGCGGCAGATTTGACCAGGTGTGCCCAGCAGAAGATGGTCTTGGCAGCAGGCCTTGAGGAGGTCCTGAAGGGCAAGCAAGGTGCCCATCAGCGGCGGGCAGAGCCCCTTTCCTGTGACCAGAAAGCAAAGCGCCTGAAAGAGGATGGAGGAGAAGGAGACCAGGAGGTCCCAGCCGCATCTCTACTGCTGCAAGAGGAGGCAGCTGCTGCCCTCGGAGCAGAGGACCCTTCTGTCCAGGAAGAGGTGAGCTCTGGGGAGGGCCTGGCTTGGCTCTGACGGGGTGTTCTGTGCTTAAAGGCCAGAGGGGCATCTCCTGCAGCAGTGTCTCCTTGGAGAAGGGATGTAGTTTAGTGGCAGATCAGATGGTCCCTGCTGGCAGCATCTCCAGGTAGGGCTGGGAATGTCCCCAACCATAAGAAGAGCTTGCTGGGTCAGGCCAATGAGCCACTTAGCAGCCCAGCATTGTGGTTGAACAGTTGCCTGTGGGAAGCACAGGAGCATTCGATTGGAGCACATTAGCACTTTCTCTCCTCCTGTGGTTTCCAGAAACCGGCATTCAGAAGCATTGATGCCTCCGACTGCAGAGGCAGAGCACAGCCATCGTGGCGAGGAGCCTGGCGTGCCACTGCTGCCCATCAGTGTAGGCAGTATTGAGCTAGATGGGCCAGTGGTGTGGCTTGGTAGAAGGCATCTTCCTGTGTTCCTAAGGGGAAGCCTCTCTTCCAGCCCTGATTGCCACAGGAAGGATAGCTCAGTTGGTAGAGCACAAGACTCTTAATCTCAGGGACATGGGTTCAAGACCAAATATTCCTGAATTGCATGGCCCCTTCCAACTCTTGTGGTTCTGCAATCTAAGGCAGGGATTGGGGAGACATGTGGCCTTCCAGATTTTTCTGGACTACAACTCCCAGCATCCCTAGCCATTGGCTCTGCCGGCTGCTGCGCATTTTAAGGGTCCAACATGATCTGGAAGGCACTGGACTTGGCTCCACATAAGGCAGCAAGAGGGGCTTCCTTGTTCCGTCACTGGGCCCAGGCTGGCAAGCAGTTTTGGCTGCAGCCACCTGTTTCGCTTCCCACAATGCCCCAGGCCAATGCTAGGTTCAGGGGCATTGTGGGTAATTTTAAAAGGGCAGCTGCATCCGGCTTGCTGCTTGGAGTACTTGGGCCATACTGATGGGTGCTCAGCAGTGCCAGGGAGTCTGTATATGAAGGGGTCTGAGTGAATCCTAAGGAGGCAGAGGAGAGAATGAGCCCTATATAGAAGATGTGGCAATGGGAGGGAGGCCCCTGACTCATCCTGCTCAACTCTGGCGCTACCTGAAGCAAAAGGGCGCTGGATGTATCAACCGTTCCCGACTGGCTGCAGAGGCTGAGTCAGTTCACTGGCCGGGCTGATTCTGAAGCCATGCCTTGTTGCTCCTGCAGGTCACGAGATTTATCTGAGCAGAGACAGGGGTCTTCCACACCTCCCTAGCAGGCTCGTATGTTCTCCTCCTTTCTCACTGGGTTTCCCAGCACGGGGTGTGAAGAAGGGCACTCTGCAAGCCCTGGTGGTGGTGATGGTGATGTAGTCGTTAGTGTTGCACCAGGGTCTGGGGGAACCAGGGTTCAAATCCCCACTGGTCCAGGATGATACATCCTGCGTGTGACCTTGGGCCAGTCAGTGCCTCTCTCAGTCTAACCTACCTCGAGGGTCGTTGTGGGCATTAATTGAGGGAGAGAACTATGCACACCACTTTGAGCTCCTTCGAGAAAAAGGTGGGAGATAAATTCAGTGAGTAACTAAAATAATAAAGTTCCTGGGTTGTGGGGTCGGGGCATGAAGAAACAGTGTGGCTGAGGTGGGGGGCATTGCTGGAGCTGCAGACCTCTTGGCCCTGAGGACTCTGTTTTTCCCTGCAGGCTGACACCGGAGCCCTCCAGACCAGCTGCTTACCCCCTACTGAACAACCCCCCATCCTGGCAACAGTGGGGCTGGGTTGTCGTGTCACTGAGGAGGAGGAGCTGGACTTAACAAGCAGCTGACCTCAAATGAGCTTCCAAATGCTGGGGTTGGTGGGGTGAGACGAATTGTGCTTTACACACAATTGGGAGACTTGGTCTGATACCTTTGGGGCAAAAGTGTTCGCGATTTACTTGGGAAGTTGCCACAGAGAAGAGAGTGGCCAGAATCCAGGACGAAAAAGCTCCAGCAACTTTTAACTCCTCTCCATCCCTCCGCCAACATCCCCTCTCAAGAATTAACGTTGACCTATGACCTTCCCCCATTGACCAAAAGTTGTCTTCATTTAAGTGTGGTGCAACTGTGGACTGGCTGCTTGTAAGTTGTTTTCCAGTGTGCTATGCACATGTTTTTTGTTTTTGTGGGGAGAAAGACCCCAGTTGGGATTCTCTGCAAGCCTTTTTAACAGGAAAATAATCCTGGCGGTTCTCTCTGTGCCAGACATGCTTTCTTCCCTTCTAGTCCGTCACAGTTGATCAACGGGAGGCAATAGGGCAGATCTCCAAGCAGAGGAGGGTCTGCGCTTTCAGGATCCCAGAGACTCTCAACAATTTTAGCACAGTCCCACAGTCAGGGCATTTCTGCCTAGGAAGGATTGCAGTGTAAACAGCTGCCTGCCTTTAAAAAAACAAAACAAAAACTTGTTCTTTGTTTTGAATGCATCTTGCTCTTTTATCGACAAATGCACTGTTTGCATAGCGATCTTCCTTCTACTGAACATTTTTCTCCCAGTTTGGAAGTGGTTTAGTGCCTGAGCTCCAGTTCCCTCCTTGAGCTCCTCCTCCTCTTCCTCCTAAGACTTTGTTTTTGGACAGCCTCTGGTTTTGTACGGAGTGGCCTTATTTTTAAATGTGTCCTGTATGTACAATTATCCTGCTTAAAAATGTGTTTCATCCCTATGGGTGTCTTTTTGACTATTTTGGATTTCGAATAAAGTCCTTTGAACTTGCGCTGTTGCAGACATTTTCCTCTTAAGGACTTGCCTCCTGCACAGAGCAGAGCTCTAAAAAGTGGAATCGAGAAGTGTAAGAGCAGCCCATCTGGTCCAGCACCCTGTTCTCCACACTGGCCCACCAGAGGCCCGGAAGGGAAGAAGCAGCAACAACACGCTTGCCTTCACTTGCAATCCCCATCAACTGGCATCCTTCTGTATGCATTGACCCCTGGGGGAGAGGTACTTGGGGGCCCACCCATGTCCCATTGTCTCTCTTGTACAAAGCCAAGCAGTGGAGTCAGGTGTCCCCTGCATTCATGGGCTGTCTGGGGGCAGAGGGGCTCCTGTATCCCTTTCTAAAAGGGTGGTGGCTAAAGGCTGTGTGCATGCAGAACTCCCAGGTTTAATACCCTGCTGGCAGCAGCTCTGCGTAAGACTCGGAGAGACTCCCTGCCTTCAGTCCTGGAAAGCTGCTGCCAGCCAGTGTAGACAATACTGAGCTAGATGGACCCAATGGTCTGACTCGTGCCAGAGGTGTCTGCAAACCTGACATAAGGGCTGGCAGCATCAACCCTGCTGGGTGGGAATCCCTTGCAGATTGCTGTGCATTTGTAGCAGTGACCAGAGGAGGAATGACTGCAGGGAGCAGTGCAGAGAGAAGAAATGCCATGGTGCATCTGCTGCAGCACAACTGGGTGCCTTCGTCTGCCCCAGCTGCAACAAAACATGTCTCTCTCCTGCATCAGTCTCTCCAGCCACAGCAGGAGCTATAACTCTCCAGTGGGTTGACTTCACCCCTGAAGGTGCACTCTTTTGTTGTCTCCTGAGACAGACGGATGCCAACCAACTGAACCATTCTGTGCCCTGGCCAACGTGCATGCATGCCCCGGGCACCAGCAAACTATGCTACGCCACTGCCCTTCACACAAACACACCCCAAATTGAGGGGACTGCCCCCTTGCAAAGTTGATGGACGTTGCAATTCAAACATTTTGTGTGCAATGTTTCTTGTGATCGATTATGCGCCCCCCCAATATTTTATTAAAGTTAGCACCCCTGCTGGCGAGCCACTGCTGCCAGCCCGAGTAGGCAATCCCAGGGCTCATTTCCAAGGTGCAAAAGCTCCCTCTCCTGACAAAAGGGGTCCCAGCTGGTAGTTTACACAGTGAGTAGGGGTTAGAGCTCCAGGCAGACGGGTGTCTATTCTTAGGTCCTTGCTTTGGACTGCAGTAACTTCGGGGGCAGCTGCTTGTTCACAGGTGGCGCTGTTCTGGCGACTTCGTCGGGAGTTGCGGAGCTGTCGCGAGTCGCGACGGGTGGCGGCGTGGGAACCGCCGGCAGGATGCTAATCCCGGCTCATCTGCTCAGCGGAGAGCGTCCGGCTCCCGCGCACGCATTTCAATGGGTCTACTCTGAGGAGCACCCAAAGCCCTCGCGCCTGACCCCGGAGAAGGAGGAGGCTGCTGCTGTTGCGCGGAGGCTTTTCCGGCGAGGAAAGCGCTTTCCCCTCCGCCCCCGCCTCGGGGGTCCCCGGCGCCCCTCCCCGCCTTCAAGGCGGCTTCGTCGGAGGCGATCTCCGCCCCGAGGAGCGCGCGGCGTCGGGCGGCTGGGCTGGGCTGAGCGGGTGGGGGCGCCGCCCCTCGACGGAGGCAGCTCCGCCGCCGCCGCCTCGCTTCAGGCGCCGCCGCCGGGAAAGGAGCGAGGCGGACGCGCGGGCGGCTCCGGGTGCCTCCTCGATGCGCCCCGGCGGGGAGGGCAGCGGCGGCCGCCATGGGGTCGTGCGTGACCAAAGGTGAGCCTCTCCGCCGCCGCGCCGCCCAAGGTCAAGGGGGAGAGGGGCTCCCTTCCTCCGGAGGAGCGCCCGCCGGGGACGAATTAGCAAAGCCGCCGCCCTTGGGGACGGGGAGGGAGGGCGAGCAGGGTCTGCTCCTCTCCCTCCCCATCCCCGGGACGCCCGGGCTGGAGGGGGAGGGGGCGCGCTGGGCTCACCTAATCCGCCCCCCACCCGCTTCTTGGCCCGCGTCTGTTGCGCTTCCTTCCGCGCGGCTGCTCAGCAGCGGAGGGACCAGAATCGCGCCCGGCGGGGGGAGCCTGTTGTTATTTTCCTCACCGCCCCCCCTCCGCAGTCGCCGGGAAGGGAGACGCTTGGAATACCTGAGGTGAGGCAGGTCCTGGGTTCGGATTCTGCCTCCCCGTCAAGGTGCCTGGAGAGACACGGGAGGGGGGCAGCCAGTGGGCTGGAGAGCACGTGGACTGGTAGGAAACAGGACCTGAGGAGCCCTGGCCCCCTGCTGCCCCCTCCCCCCCCCAACCATAGCTGTCAACTTTTTCCTTATCTTGCGAGGAATCCTATTCAGAATAAGGGAATTTCCCTTAAAAAAAAAGGGAAACGTTGGCAGCTATGCGCCCAACCCAGAGCAGCAGCAGCTGGGATCTCCCTCCAAATCCGGAGACACGCCCCCACATCCATTGCCAGCCCCCTGGCCTTCCTGTTGCTGCCAGCTGAGATGGCTAAATGGGGCCTCCACACCCAGGAGCAGTCTACCTCTGCACAGCCGCAGTTGTGGGTTTCTAGGGAGGTACCTGCTTGGTCTCTTCAGGGAAGGAGGAAGCTGGGCTAAATGAACCCACCATGGTCGGATCCAACAGGGCTCTTGTTTGTATTTTACACATGCTCAGTAAAGGTAAAGGGACCCCTGACCATTAGGTCCAGTCGCGGATGACTCTGGGGTTGTGGCGCTCATCTTGTTTTATTGGCTGAAGGAGCCGGCGTACAGCTTCCGGGTCATGTGGCCAGCATGACTAAGCCGCTTCTGGCGAACCAGAGCAGCGCACAGAAACGCCGGTTACCTTCCTGCCAGAGTGGTACCTATTTATCTACTTGCGCTTTGACGTGCTTTTGAACTGCTAGCTTGGCAGGAGCTGGGACAGAGCAACTGGAGCTCACTCCATCGCAGGGATTTGAACTGCCGACCTCCTGATCGGCAAGCCCTAGGGTGGGATCCAAGCTGGTACTGGGGATCAACTTAAGATGGGGACAAAGCAGATCCCTAGGAGCAAGAGGCCTCTTGGAGTGAGCAGCCGTGAGTGCCAGCTTTTGACTCACACAGAGACCTTCCCCAAGCGTGGGGGCTCTGCTGGTTTCTTAAGCAAGGGAGGAAACTTGCAAAGCAGGAGGAAGACTGTAAGCTCAGGGACTGTGCTTATGACATGGGAAGAAGGCCGTGTAAACAGAGGCTTAACGCCCAGGGAAGTGGGAGATGTTCAGAGCGGCAACAGGGCTTCTCTGTGTGCGATTCTGTGATTCCATCCCCTGCCAGCAGCTGATTTCAGCTTCTCTTGTTTGCACCAGACTGTCTGTGCTGAGACTGTTGAGACAAGGGTGAGGAGAGACTGAGAAAAGCAGACCTGGGGAAAGAGGGAAGCTCAGGGAAGATTCAAATCTTCAAATCAAGGCAGCTTTGGCAAACTGAGTGAGGTGGGGTCATGGCAGTGAAGGAAATAGCTGCTCTAGGCAAAGATGGGATGAAATGGAGCGAGCCCTCGCTCCTTTCTGCAGAGCAAAGGACCGAAACAGGCTCTGTTGGAAATCACTGAGGACTAGAACCTTACATTTAGTGCAGAGGAGGCGTGATGGCGGAGATCCTCAGCTCCTCCAAGCCAAGGCACTACGGAACAAGCCCAAAGGTCAAGCTTTTGGCGTTGACTTACAGAGCCAGTCCTGGGCACATGAAGGCGTAGCAAAGAAAGGTGCCTCTCAGCATGTGCAAAATGCCAACCTCCTCCCTCCCTCCCTGACCACCACTGTCTGGGATTAGAAGGTGGTGGGTCCTGGCAGGCGCCCTTCCACTCCCCTTGCGCCCCTTTAAAGGTGTCTGGTGGTGCCTGCTGGTTCTCAGTCGCAACTTTTGTCCTGAAAGGAGCCCCCCACTAAAAAGGGGGGGGTTTGATCCACGTAGGCGCCTTTCTGAATGCAAAAAGAGCAGCTGCAGAATGGAGCTTTTGGGTTTGTCCTGAGTCCCCCTGGCTCCCCGGCTCCCTGCTGGAAGATGCGTCATCCAAACCCATTTGAAGTGTGTTTATTTCATTGCCTCGGATGTGAGGTGACTCAAAAATTTAAGGAACAGGAGACCTGCTGGATCCAGCCAAAGGCCTCTGAGCCCAGCCTCCTGTCCTTGTGGCAGCCAACCAGAAGGAAGACGACCTGAGCATAACGCCAGCACGCTCCCAGCTTGCGATTCCTCGTATTCAGACTGCCGGATTAGATCATAGCCATAACCTTTGGCAGCTGTAATCCTCCTCTATGAATTTGTCTAATCCTCCCCCCTCAAAAAAGCCATCTAGTTTGGTGGCTATCATTGCCTCCTGCTGGGGTGAGTTCCATTGTTGAAATCTGTGCAGGGCATCCTTTTAATATGTACAGTGGTACCTCGGGTTAAGTACTTAATTTGTTCTGGAGGTCCGTTCTTAACCTGAAACTGTTCTTAACCTGAAGCACCACTTTAGCGAATGGGGCCTCCTGCTGCCGCCGTGCCACTGGAGCACGATTTCGGTTCTCATCCTGAAGCAAAGTTCTTAACCCGAGGTAACCTGAAGCATATGTAATCTGAAGCGTATGTAACCTGAGGTACCAGTGTATAATAATAATAATAATAATAATAATAATAATAATAATATATTTATACCCCGCCCATCTGGCTGAGTTTCCCCAGACACTCTGGGCGGCTCCCAATCGAGTGTTAAAAACAATACAGTGGTGCCTCGCAAGACGAAATTAATTCGTTCGGGTTTTTTTGTCTTGCGAATTTTTCATCTTGCGAAGCACTGCACCTCTTCAAGCAACTGCACCTCTTCAAGCAATGCACCCTGGGTATTAACGGTTTTAAGAAAAAGGAAAGAAACTTGCAAGACGTTTTCGTCTTGCAAAGCAAGCCCATAGGGAAATTTGTCTTGCGAAGCAACTCAAAAAACGAAAAACTCTTTCGTCTTGCGAGGCATTCGTCTTGCGAGGCATTCATCTTGCGAGGTACCACTGTACAGCATTAAATATTTAAAGCTTCCCTAAACAGGGCTGCCTTCAGATGTCTTTTAAAGATAAGATAGCTGCTTATTTCCTTCACATCTGAAGGGAGGGTGTTCCACAGGGCGGGTGCCACCACCGAGAAGGCCCTCTGCCTGGTTCCCTGTAACCTCACTTCTCGCAATGACGGAACCGCCAGAAGGCCCTCTGAATCTCCCACCATTCAGCTTCTCTGAGTGACCCCACTGGGTCCAAATGTTATGAGAGAGGGAGGGGGAAAAAACATTTATTTCTTACTCAATACCAGGCATAATCTTATATGTTTCTATCATGAGCCCGCACCCCACGGCTCTTCTCCCCCGCCCCTAAGCTAACAAGCCCCCAAACCTCATAATCTTTCCACCTGGGGGAGTTGCTCCACCCCCTTTCATCATTTGGGTTGCCCTTTTCTGAAACTTTCCCCAGCTCTACAATATTCTTGGTTTGCACTCTCCCTGCTCGGAAAAAACCTCTCCCCAGTTTTGTGGAGAAGCCTGGGGGGGGTAGCAGGGGATGGGGGGGAGGTCACAGCAGGACAGCTCTTCTGCCCCCCAGAAGCTCTGCTGATCTTTTCTTTCTGCTCCTTCTTCCAGATTTCCTCGCAAGCGCCCACAAGGACCAGGCTGTTGTCACCCCTCAGCTGGAAAGCCCCCCTGTTGCCCCACAAGAGAGCCATGGCCTTTCCAATGCCCCAGAGAAGGACGGCAGCGAGGTAACTGCTTTTGGCATGACCCATCTCTCTCCCGTGGGAATGGTGGTGGATCTGTGGAGCTCCTAGATTTCTGGTCTCCTGTGCCTGCACTGACTGGCAGCAGTGGCTCTCCGGGGTCTCAGATGGCAGACGTTCCCAGCCCTACCAGGAGATTCCAAGGACAGAACCCAGGCACCTTCTGCATGCCAAGCAGGTGCTCTTCCTTTGAGACATAAGAAATGTCCATATCCTGAGTCAGACCGTGGGATCCCATCTAGCTCAATACTGTCCACACTGACGGGCAGCGGCTTCTCTGTGGTTTCAGGCACAGGCAGTTTTCCCCCAGGAGATGCTGCCTGGGATTGAACCCGGGACCTTCTGCATGCCAAGCAGGCGCTCTACCTCTGAGCTATGGCCATTCCTGGTGCCAGAGACCCCGAAAGAGCCGCTGCAAAACAGAGCAGGCAGCAGGGGGGCAGATAACTTTCTCTCTTGCCTTTTTTTTTTTAAAATAATATTTATTACTTTTCCAAAAAATTTAAACACTAAAAAAAAATACAATACAATACATTAAACTAGCAAAACAAAACAAAAACAATAAAATAAATCAAACAATTTCATTATCCCATCTTTCATTCACTTATTTCCACGACCTCCTCACACCTCCCTTTTTGTATTCCACTTCTGTTAATTATTTCAGCAATTCCTTTCCATCTTCCTCTGTTTTCTATCCTATAATTATCTTAACTCATTCTAACCTTATTTTTTCCTTTAATACTCTATTAATCTATTTATACTTAATTCCTTATAACATTTCTACTAAAGCCATGTAACTTCATTCCAACATTTTTCTAACATTCATTAATTTTACAGTATTTCTGTAAATAATCTTTAAACTTTTTCCAAACTTCTTCCACCGACTCTTCTCCCTGGTCTCGGATTCTGCCAGTCATTTCCGCCAATTCCATTTGGTCCATCAACTTCATCTGCCATTCTTCCCGGGTGGGTAAATCTTGTGTCTTCCAATATTTTGCGATGAGTATCCTTGCTGCTGTTGTTGCAAACTTTCTCTCTTGCCTAAGGTTGCTTCCTCCACCTAAAAGCAGGTGATGCACCTGTCAGAATGAAACCACCCCTTTTCCCAGTCCTGCTCTTTCACTCCCCCCACTCCTGACCCCCACTCCATCTGTTTTCTCTTCTTGCAGAAATGCTTCAAGCCCTCTGGCGGGCTCCTCTCCAGTGGAGACACCGGCGTCCCCAGCACCTACCACGTGACGGCCCTGGCCACCTCTTCCCTGGGGGGTAGGTACACCTGCTCTCCCCCTCGCACCCTTGACTTCCAGAACTGCACCATGTGTCCTGCTTCTTCCAGGCTCTGGCCCTCTCTCTGTTTCCAAATGTGCTCTTCAGAACATCTCTGGAAAACCAATAATAATAATAATAATTTATTACTTATACCCCAGCCACTCTGGGCAGCCCCAACAAAATATTAAAATACAGTAATCCATCAAACATTAAAAGCTTCCCTAAAAAGGGCTGCCTTCAGATGTCTTCTAAAAGTCTGGTAGTTGTTGTTCTCTTTGACATCTGGTGGGAGGGCATTCCACAGGGCGGGTGCCACCACTGAGAAGGCCCTCTGCCTGGTTCCCTGTAACTTGGCTTCTCGCAGGGAGGGAACCGCCAGAAGGCCCTCGGCGCTGGACCTCAGTTTCCGGGCTGAACGATGGGGGTGGAGACACTCCTTGTGGACCGAGGCCGTTTAGGGCTTTAAAGGTCAGCACCAACACTTTGAATTGTGCTCGGAAACGTACTGGGAGCCAACCCATAAGCAGGGCAAGACTTTAGCAAAACAATTCCACACGCATCCTTTCCCTGTGTCCCTAGCTCTGCTACTTTGGAACAAGGCATTTTCATTTAGCTGTCATGGCCAACGGCTGTTCCTGAACCAATTCTCCAGGAATAGCATTGTCTCCTCTTTTATTTTATTTTTTTAAAGCAATCTTAAGTTTCCCATCGTGCATTTCCATGCCCAGGAGTGCTTCACCTGTTGGATTTTTGGCTGCTGGCAAACTGTTCATAGGGGCCTGCTAGAAGCAGAGAGAGAAAATACCCACTTAAAGAGGTGTGTGTGGTTTGTGTTGAGAAAATGGTCCCTAGAGAAGCAAAGGAAGACATGAGGAAACAGTTCCTGCTATGCTGGATCACAATATAATTGGCTCATTGTGAAAGAGCTGGATGTCAGCACTCCTGCCTTCTCGGGCCTGGGAAAGCACCAGCCCACAAAATAGAATAAAGGTAAAGGGACCCCTGACCATTAGGTCCAGTTGTGGACGACTCTGGGGTTGCGGCGCTCATCTCGCTTTATTGGCCGAGGGAGCCGGCGTACAGTTTCCGGGTTATGTGGCCAGCATGACTAAGCCGCTTCTGGCGAACCAGAGCAGCGCACGGAAATGCCGTTTACCTTCCCACTGGAGCGGTACCTATTTATCTACTTGCACTTTGACGTGCTTTCGAACTGCTAGGTTGGCAGGAGCAGGGACCGAGCAACGGGAGCTCACCTTGTTGCGGGGATTCAAACCGCCAACCTTCTGATCGGCAAGTCCTAGGCTCTGTGGTTTAACCCACAGCACCACCCGCGTCCCTTTTTAACCAGAATGCAGGTAGCAGTCATAAAAAAAAATAACCCCTGGACGGTTAAGCCCAGACAAAGGCAACTATGGGGTTGCGGCACTCATATCACTTTCAGGCCGAGGGAGCCAGCATTTGCCCACAGACAGCTTTCCGGGTCATGTGACCAGCATGACTCAACCGCTTCTGGCGCAACGGGACACTGTGACGGAAGCCAGAGCGCGTGGAAACACCGTTTACTTTCCCGCCCCAGCAGTACTTATTTATCTACTTGAACTGGTGTGCTTTCGAACTGCTAGGTTGGCAGCAGCAGGGACTGAGCAACGGGAGCTCACCCCGTCGCAGTGATTCGAACCGCCGACCTTCTGATTGGCAAGTCCTAGGCTCTGTGGTTTAACCCACAGCGCCACCCGCGTCCCCACAAAATAGAATACTACAATGCAAAAGGAGCAAAAACCGATCTGAATGTTCTGCCTTTAAATGGTGCCGATTCTGAAACGTGTCGGGCATAGCCTGTAAATCCTGTCGTATAGCAGGCAGTTGTGTGAATCCCTTCGGGAGTCCTGGATATTACTTGCTTCCAGGGGCCCCTGTTGGGACTTTGGCATCTGGATCACAAAGTCACCCAGCACCCTTTCCAAGGGGCCTGCCCCTTTTCTGCCTGCCACCACGGCAATCCCAGATTTGCAGACCCTGCGTCCTCTTGGCTCATCCTCTCACAGTGCAGCAGGGGGAACAATGTGACCGAGTCCCTTTTGGTGCTGTTCTGAGTTCTGCTCCGTTTATTTCTGGCGGGTGCCAGCTTGACGAGGCAGGTGGGTTGCTAACCACAGAAAGGCTGAAATCTGCTCTTCTCCCTTGCAAGCAAAGATGTGTCGGGCCGAAGGAGACGCAGAACGCAGTAATTTTCATCCAATACGTTTATTGCACTAGCCAAAGGCGATTCCTTGCAAGGTAGCAACCTATGATGTGTTTTTATCTTGCGTTTTTGTGAACCACCCTGAGATGTACGGTGCGCAAAATAAATAAATGTATAGAACATACATTCATCATATAAACCAGGCATTAGTAATATGAGGAAAGCAAAATCGGAATTACTGGCAGTGAGCTCAGCTTCCGATTTAACCTTCCAATCTACAAAACAGTATTATTGTACAGGGCATTTGTTCCCATGGAAACCTTCCTGCAAGGCTCTCAGTGGGGCTGGCATAGATTCCATCCCTCTGTTCCCAAGTGTGCTTATTGTGCCTCCTCCATCTTTGCTGCCCCCCACCACCACAGGCCTCGTCCAGAGCATCAAAGACCACGTCACCAAGCCCACAGCCATGGCCCGTGGCCGTGTGGCCCACCTCATCGAGTGGAAGGGCTGGAGTGCTCCGAGGATGGGCTGGGAGCAGGCCCTGACGGAGGAGGAGATCTACGCCGACCTCACCGATGAGCTGAAGGAGGCCTGGTTTGCAGCAGGTCAGCAGTGGGGCTGGGGCCTTGCAATCCCATAAAGGAGGCACCAGCTTAAGAGCCATGTTCAACTGATGCTGTCTGGGTGCTGGTGTCCTTGGGGCGCTGAGAGGTCCTGCACCTCTCCTCTGAAACTGCTCATGAAGACTGCTTGCGTACACTTCAGAGCAGGAACTGTAGCATGTCAAGGGGTGCTGGGAACTGTAGCTGTCTGTGAGGGATCTCCTCTCAGCTCCCAGAATTCTTTGGGGGAAAGCCATGGCTGTTAAAAGTGGTGTCAAGAGCTCTTTAAATGCATGGCACAAATGTCACCTTTTTCAAGCATCCCGGAAGAGGAAATGGCAGTAAATTTTGGCCGAGTCTCCCTGCTATAATCCAGGCAGGAACCGGGTGACGTAGTCCCAGCTGCAAACCAGCCCTCAGCTTTGTTCCCAAGAAAGCCGGGGCGTTCTAGATCAGGAGGGGCTCCCTTTTGGGGGGTGGGGAAGGTGTGAGGTTTATTTAGGCTAAGCCTGGCTTGCAGCTTCGTTCTCCCAAGACCTGTGAGGGTCCAGGGAGGGGTGGCATGCGCCGGCTGCTTCCCTGACATCTTCTGCTCTCCGCCTTCCCCTGCCCAGGTGTGGCTGAGCAGTTTGCCATTGCCGAAGCCACGCTGAGCGCCTGGTCCTCCCTGGACGAAGAGGAGCTGAATTATGGGGGGCATTTGCAGGAAGGCCCCCAGCTCCAAGGTAACTTCCAACCCACCTCTGGTTCTCCCCATTTTTTTATGTTGTTTTTTGGGGGGGTTGCAGCCCACCATAGTAGACCCAATGAAATTAATGATGCTAAGTTAGTTACGTCTGTCAGCTTCAATGAGCATTGGGTCTCTCCATCCTTGGAGGCTTTTGTGAAGCGGTTGCTTCCAGTTATCATTTGAGGATGCTATTGGTCCAGGTAGCCCTTGCTTCACCCTGCCCCCCCAATGCTCTTGAGTTTCCCCTCCCACCATCCCTCACCATTGGCCCTGCTAGCCGAGGCTGAGGAGAGTTGCACTCACAACATCATTTGTGGGGGGGGGGGCACAGATTCCCCATCCCTGATACGCAGGAATCTGCCTTACATTGAGTCAGGCCACTGGTCCATCTAGATCAGTGTTGTGTACTCTGACTGGCAGCAATGGGTTCAAACCCTACCTAGAAATGCTGCCGGCGGGGATTGAACCAGGGGCCTTCCGCAGGCAAAGTAGGGGCTCCCTACCCCTGAGCCACAGCCCCTTCCCCAAATTTAATTAATAATAATAATTTCTCCTCCTTCCAGACCTGAGAGGCCTCTATCTGCCGCCAGGGACCTTTCTCCTCACCCCGCAGGGCACAGGGAGCCCCTCCAACTTGGATAGCAGCCTCCCAGCCTTCTCCCTCTCCAGCTGCAAGTCCCCCCTCCCCACCGGCTGGAGCACCCCGATGGACAGTCTGGTGAAGGCCTTGCCCCAGGAAGCGGGGCAGGAGAGCCCCGTGGGGTCCGTGTGGCTCCAGCGCAGTAGCACGTCCCTCCGATACGTTGACAGCAGCTCCCTCTCGGAGGATGAGGTGTTCTATAACTAGAGGACTCTGGGGGGAGGGCAGAGGCTGGGCTGGGGGGGCTTGTGTGAAGGGTTCCACCATCACATCCGGCGGGCGTTCCTGAGCGTTTGAGGAGGTTCTTCAAATTGTGGCACCCTTGGGTGACGTCTGCTTGCTCGAGCAAGCCGCGAAGGAGGTCATGACAGTTGAATCGCTTCAATCATACGTTCCTCCTATGGGTGCACCCCGCCCAACACCTCCCCCCAAAAAGCTGTTGTTGCTTTTTTGGTGGGTATAATCTCACTGCTAGGTAAAAGGTAAAGGGACCCCTGACCGTTAGGTCCAGTCGTGGCCAACTCTGGGGTTGCGGCGCTCATCTCGCTTTATTGGCCGAGGGAGCCAGCGTACAGCTTCCGGGTCATGTGGCCAGCATGACTAAGCCGCTTCTGGCGAACCAGAGCAGCGCACGGAAACGCCGTTTACCTTCCCGCCAGAGCGGTACCTATTTATCTACTTGCACTTTGATATGCTTTCGGACTGCTAGGTTGGCAGGAGCTGGGACCGAGCAGCGGGAGCTCACCCCGTCACGGGGATTCGAACAGCCGACCTTCTGATCGGCAAGTCTTAGGCTCTGTGGTTTAACCACAGCGCCACCCGCGTCCCAATCTCACTGCTACAGCCCTTTTATTTAAACTGAACTTCCGGGGCCGCTCTGTTTACTAACCCCAGGGTGCCTGGGTTTGGTAGGGGCAGCCAAGAAGGCCTCTCAAGATGGCAAAGGCGTTTTGGGCCATGTGCCCCACTCCCATCTTCCCACGCCTGCGAGAACCGCCAAACGGCCAACTTCCGTCTGCTTGTTTGGTTTGCAGAACGAGATTGGGGCAAACCCCTCACTCTTTTCCTCCAGGGGAGTCTGCTTGGCCGGCTGGGGGGAGATACCTGCTTTGAGGGACCTCGTTGCTCCTCCACCCTACCCCACACACCCCAGCTCACTGTGTATATTTGTAAATAATAAAAGAGATATTGCACAGAAATTGCCTCCCTGTAACCAGAGTGTACTAACTGCTGGAAAGAAGCTCAGAGCCCTGTTGCAACAAGGGACAAGCTGGAACATGGGCAGAGGAAGGTGACGGAGATGACAAAGGGCAAGCCATATGAGGAACAGTTGAAGGAGCTGGTTATGCTTGGCCTGGAAAAGAGGAGACTGAAAGGAGATACGAGAGCCATCTTCAGACATCTGAAGGGCTGTCACATGGAAGATGGAACAAGCTTGACTTTTCCTGCTCTGGAAGGTAGGACTCCTACCAATGGCTTCAAAAAAGGAGATTCCAATGACACATCAAGAAGAATTTTCTGACTGTAAGAGCTGTTTCGACAGTGGAATAGGCTCCCTTAGGAGGTTGTAGACTCTCCTTCCTTTGAGGTTTTTAAGCAGAGGTGAATAGCCATCTGTCATGGATGCTTTAGCTGAGATTTCTGTGTCATTGGGGAGGTTGGACTAGATGGCCCTCGGGGGTCCCTTCTAACTCTACAATTCTATGAGGGAAGCAGGGACCAATTTATATGTGATTCTTTTGCACTTTAAGCTGTTCTTGCTGGAAATCGGCTCTGGACAGGCTTTGATTGCAAAGGAAATGTCACCATACAGCTCCCTCTTTCCCTTGCCCAGAGGTGGCACTCCTAGGAGCAGGAGGTGGTTTTTAAAAAATACAACACGCCCCTCCCAATCACATTATTCTGTACCACCCTGAAAACCACTGAAACACCCCCACTCCATAAATTCAGGTGGTGAATTTGGGGGTCCATTTCAACTCAGCCCAGATATTAGCACAGACCTTCCATCATATTGTAAAAAATAATAATGGGGTTTTATATTTTTCAGTTGTTTAAAAGTTTCAGTTGTTAAAGGTTTCAAGACGTGCCAAGAGCTTATACTCCTCTCCCAGACCTCCCCACCTATCCTCATTTGCCACCGACGGTGTGAAAATACATCTTTAATTTGCTCTTGACACCAGGTAACATTCAACAGGAATCTCCTTCCATCGTGGTTTCGAATCCCCGCCTGGTCCTCTGTGGTCTTAATTGGGAAGGACGCCTCTTCTCATTTTGCTGCTTTGGGATTTGCCAGGTCTTCGATGGCTTTCCTCACCTGAAGGAAAAAGAAGGAAGGAAGCTGAGAGCTGGATGGGAAGTGGGGTGGATGTTTTCACACTGCAATCAGCCTGGAAGGGGTTTAACTGCCCTAGTTTCCTGCAACCCCTGATGAGGAACTGGGAACTCCTTCCTCAAGAAACACTTATTCCTCCTGCCTTTTTCAGAAGCACTCTGGGTGTGCTGTAAGCTGTTCTCCCACCAACAACCCTTCGAGGTAGGTCAGGCTGAGAGCACGACTGGCCCAGAGTCACCCGGTGTGTTTTGCGGCTGAGGGCACAAAGGGATTCGAATGCAGGTCTCCCCGTTCTGCAGTTCTCTGAGTTTAGGATCCAGCCCCATCCTCTCCCAATCTGCCCCGCTTTAAGAGTGCCAGCCAGCTACCTCGTTCCTGGAGACAACGCCAACCACCTTCCCCAGTTGCGTGACAAAAGCTCTCTGAAGGTTCAGAAGCTCAAAAAGGTTGTGCACCTGTGGGGAGAAAAATGGGGAGGAGAGAGATGGGGGAAGGTCAGGATGGTGATGTGGGGTAAAGGTAAAGGTAAAGGGACCCCTGACCATTAGGTCCAGTCGTGGACGACTCTGGGGTTGCGGTGCTCATCTCACTTTATTGGCTGAGGGAGCCGGCATACAGCTTCCGGGTCATGTGGCCAGCATGACTAAGCTGCTTCTGGCGAACCAGAACAGTGCACGGAAACGCCGTTTACCTTCCTGCTGGAGCGGTACCTAGTTATCTACTTGTACTGGTGTGCTTTCGAACTGCTAGGTTGGCAGGAGCAGGGACCGAGCAACAGGAGCTCACCCTGTCATGGGGATTTGAAACGCCAACCTTCTGATTGGCAAGCCCAAGAGGCTCTGTGGTTTAACCCACAGCGCCATCTGTGTCCCAGGATGTGGGGTAACCCCTGCCTATAGCTCCTTTAACAAGGCTCCTTGCATCTTGATAAGCCAGCCCATTTCCCTGGTGACAGCAGCATCTTACCTTACCTCTCTCGCCCTGACCTAGCCACTGTGATTGTAACTCGCTCTGCGTGGGGCTGACCCAGAAACTCCTTGAGACTGACCCAGAAACTCCAGCGGGTGCAGAATGCTGCAGCGAGACTCCTTACGGGGTCTTCGCTGCGAGATCACATTCATCCGGTGCTATACCAGCTGCACTGGCTCCCGGTGGAGTACAGGATCAGGTTTAAGGTGCTGGTTTTAACCTTTAAAGCCCTATACGGCCTAGGACCCTCGTACCTACGGGACCGCCTCTCCTGGTATGCCCCACAGAGAAACTTACGGTCTTCAAATAAAAACATCTTGAAGGTCCCAGGCCACAGAGAAGTTAGGCTGGCCTCAACTAGAGCCAGGGCTTTTTGGCCGTGGCTCCGATCTGGTGGAACACTCTGTCACAAGAGACCAGGGCCCTGCGGGACTTGACATCTTTCCGCAGGGCCTGCAAGACAGAGCTGTTCCACCAGGCCTTTGGCCAGGGCACAGCCTGACTCCCTCCCTCGGCAATCTTCGCGGAGCTCTGGCCCAATGGTTGCCAGTGGCTTGAATTAATTAATTTTATAATGAATGATTTTAGAGTGTTGTTTGTGCTGTACTTTTGTACTGTTTTATTGTTGTTAGCCGCCCAGAGCCCGGCTTCGGCTGGGGAGGGCGGGATATAAATAAAATTTATTATTATTATTATTATTATCTTGTGAGAACCGCATGCGCACACAGAGAATGCGCCCTTTCCTTCATTTTCACAGAACGGGGTGTGTGCACAGAGGTAGGATCCTCTTCCACCCTCTCAGGAACCCTGCAAGGTAGGCTGGAGGAAGGGCCCAACGGCCAAGAATTCACAGCTGTGTGTTTTTACCTTTTGCAAGAAGCAGCCCCACAAAGGCTGTGGCAGGAAAACAAGCCTTGGGAGGCAGGCCTTTCCCCTCCCCAAAGGATCTTTCTCTCTGTAATAAAAACCCCCTACTTCCACACACACACCCTCTGCCCTGGCCTCCCCCCAAAGACGTATCCAGACCTTTCGCCCTGTTTCCCAGGGTGGGAAATGTGCCCCCAGGGTGTAGAACGCGAAGGCAGCAACAACAGCCCTCCCTGCCATTATTCTCCAGCAGGTGACATTTGGAGGTAGACTCCTCCTGGGCATGGAGGCTCCATTTCACTGTAAACAAATAAAGGGGTGTGCCAGAGCCCAAGAGCACTTCCTGCCATTCTTCATCTGATAACCCTCGCCTGTCTGCCGGCCATTTACCTGGTGTAGGGACATCCATGGGGAAAGCTGCAGGGTCACAGGGCTGATGGCGCAGGATCCTTCCAAGGTCTGTGCAGATGAAGGCTGCAGGAGACAGTGGGGGGAAATAAAATCTTGCAGGGTGTGGCAATTGGGTGGTGTGGGGCCCATGCAACTCTGGCTAAAGCTGCATTGCAGAGAGGGTGCTGCCCCCCTCCCCCCCACACACAGCAGAAGGGGGGCTTGTGACCCACCTCCTCCCCCTGTGCCTTGTGGGGCAAGCTGGCATCGTCCTGGGTCTGGAGGAACTTGATCAGCTCGGATCTCTGGATCATCCCCAGCAACATGGCTGTCTCTGCGGGCGAGAGGAGGGAGAAAGAAAAGGCCTTAAAAGGGCTCGACTGCAGGATCAGGCCAAAGAGGGTCTGTTGAGCCCAGCACCCCAGGAAGAACATGAGACAGGCTGGATTAGGCCCGCCTTAGTCTAGCTTCCTTCCCCTCAACAGTGGTCACCCAGCTGTGCCTGATTGGAGGCCCACCCGCAGGACCCCACTAGGGATGCCCACTGGTCCTGCAACAGCATCCTGCCTCCCATAGTGGAATCCTAGAACTGTAGAGATGTAAGGTGCTCCCAAGGGTCATCTAGTCCAACCCCCTGCAACACAAGAGGTAGAATCATAGAATCATAGAATCATAGAGCTGGAAGAGACCACACGGGCCATCGAGTCCAACCCCCTGCCAAGCAGGAAACACCATCAGAGCACTCCTGACATATGGTTGTCAAGCCTCTGCTTAAAGACCTCCAAAGAAGGAGACTCCACCACACTCCTTGGCAGCAAATTCCACTGTCGAACAGCTCTTACTGTCAGGAAGTTCTTCCTAATGTTTAGGTGGAATCTTCTTTCTTGTAGAAAGAAGAGAGCTAGGTCCCCTCCATCGAGGCCTATGCTGAAACAAGGGGGCAACTCCTGCTGTAGATCTCTTCATGGACTGTGTCAGAGGTGTCTGGGTACGTACCCTGGCGCCTCCTGAGCATGGGCAAAGAGCAAGTCCCAGCTGCTTCTCAATTCCTGCTGTTTCTCCCCTTCTGTCTCATTTCCATGCTATGGTTTCCCCCCAAAAGTGAGTGAGACTGACACTGGCCAGATAGGCAGAAGCCTCAGGTGGGCCGCTTTGGCCAGACAGGGGCCTCGACACCCCCACAAAGCGGGAAGTGAAATAAAGCCCCAGGCCTGATGCCACAGGGAAGGCCATTGGGGTTTGGGAAATGGCGGGAGGGGAGAACCAGGGCTTCCTCCCCCCTCAGAAAACCCATTAAGTCCCAGTACAGTGGTACCTCTGGTTGCGAACGGGATCTGTTCCGGAGGCCCATTCGCAACATGAAAAGAGTGCAACCCACAATAGTGCGTCTGTGCACGCGCGGGTTGCGATTTGCCGCTTCTGCGCATGCGTGTGACGTCATTTTGCGCATCTACGCATGTGCGAGCGGTGAAACCCGGAAGTAACCCTTTCCGGTACTTCCAGGTCGCCGCGGGACGTATCCTGAAAGAACGTAACATGAAGTGGACGTAACATGAGGTATGACTGTACCAGCATTGTCCACCACCGGGTACTCGGAGTCGTCTGTCGAGGTGACCGTGCTGAGAATTTCCTGGAAGGTGGCATCCCTGGGCAGGTAGACAAATTTGGTGTTCATGAACTCCTCTGTGGTGACCTTGTAGGAGCTGCAGGCGGGAGAAAGTGGCGTCAGAATGACCCCAGCAAGAGCCCAGTAATGGCAGAGCAAAGATTCCCAGAGGGTCTGCAGGCTGTTAAAAGGCCTGTGAATTGACAGCATGCACACAGCCTCCCAGTAATTGCGTGCCCTGCCCTGGAATATAGGGACATAGGAAGCTGCCTTCTACAGAGTCAGTCCATCTAGCTTTGTAGTGTCCACACTGGTCGGCAGCAATGGCTTTGCAGATTCCAACCCGACCTGGCGATACCAGCAGGGATTGAACCCGTGTCATGGACTGGTTGGTGCAGAAGAACAGTGGGAGGAACCAGCTGAGGAACCCCCAAGGGTCAAAGGCTCAGAGCCTGGAGATTGGTGGCGGGGCGATGATGAGTGGTCACAGTGAGAAGACAGGGAGGAGGAGGTGTCGGAAGCTGAGGGTTTAGTGAGCTGGGAGAGTCTGTGGCAGAGAGAAGTCATGAATCAGAGGCAGAAGCTGAAGCAGAAGCATGGGGCGAGGGAGGCCAAGAGGCAGAGATGAGTTGGGCTGGTGAAGAGTCACCGGTGTCTCCCTCTCCGGCTGTGGCAAGCTCCCAACTCTCCCCTAGTCTCCCAGAACCAGAAGAGGCATGAAAGGGGCAGAGGAGATGTTGGTCTCATGCAGGCGTAGTCTCCGATTCCTCGGAAGGAGCCCTGGAAGAGGAGCAGACCTAGATGGTTGTGGGGAGGTAGGGACTTTTCGTCTCGGCAACTGATTTCGTGGAGTAAAACCTACAGCATGGGTAGGCAAACTAAGGCCCGAGGCCCAGATCTGGCCCAATCGCCTTCTAAATCCAGCCCGCGGACAGTCCAGGAATCAGCCTGTTTACACATGAGTAGAATGTGTGCTTTTATTTGAAATGCATCTCTGGGTTATTTGTGGGACATAGGAATTGGTACATTTTCCCCTTCAAAATATAGTCCGGCCCCCCCCACAAGGTCTGAGGGACAGTAGACTGGCCCCCTGCTGAAAAAGTTTGCTGACCCCTGATCTACAGGGAACGAGCTGCTGTGCGAAACGGGCCTGACCCTCAGCCAAATCCATAAAGCGTTCACTCCCAACTATTGAAATGTGTGATTTACCAGCCAACTCACTTCGCGACAACCTTGCACCTTCCGCTCGCAAAGCAGACTCTTTGCCCCTGAGCTACAGGCCTTCCCGATATGCAAAGCGACATAAGGCAAGAGAGACTCTGAGCGTGGGCAGAGTGTCCTTTCCCTCATCAGCAAGCAGCACGTCTGAGAAAGCTCTTGGGATGCCCCTCAATGTCCCGGGAGTGGGAGGGCGAGAAGCAGTGTCCCCACCTGCTCCCCCACACCCTGCGACGTGGGAGGGGGTTTCACCTCACCCAATGTGCCTGCTCCGGATGCGCGGCAGGTAGGGCAGCTTCTTGACGATGATGGTGCCGTCGTAGAAGGAGGGCTGGAATTTCTGGGCGATGGCGTTGGCGATGAGCACGGCTAGGATGACGGGCAGGATGTGGGCGATCTGCCCCGTCATCTCGAAGGCCAGCAGGGCCGTGGAGAGGGTGTGGGTGACCGAGCCAGAGAAGGCTGCTGCCCCTGGAGGGAGGAAAACAGAATCTAGAGCAAGGGTTGTCCCTGAAGGGGGGGGGTCCTGAGGCAGGCCGGCGACTCACCCTGGGCGTGGGTCCCTTGTTAGCCGCCCCGATTCCTATTCCAAGTCCCAGAGCTGAGCTGGCTGGGGTCTGCATCTTGCTTGAAGAGGATGGCATTCCACACCAGAGCAGAGGAGCTCAGTGGTGGGGAGGACAAGTCATGAATCGAACACAGCTCTGTCCTCCAGTCCTGCCTAATGGCAGAGCTGGCCCTCCTCTGTGCTGGTATTGCACTGGGATTAACGGTTGTGGCCTCCCCATGCAACACGCACCCCCTCCAGTGTGTCTGAGCTGCGCGGGACTCCAGGGATTCCAGGTTCGGTTTCCTCCGAATAAAGGTCAGCAGAGACTGTGGCGTCTTCAAGATACAGTCATACCTCGGGTCGAAGTTGCTTCAGGTTGAGCGCTTTCGGGTTGCGCTCCCCGACAACCCGGAAGTAACGGAGCCCGTTACTTCTGGGTTTCACTGCTCACGCATGTGCAGACGGTCAAAACGACGTCACGCACATGCGCGGAAGTGCCGAATCGCAACCCACAGAAGCGCAGTCGCGGGTTGCGTTCGCTTCGGGATGCGAACAGGGCTCCACTGTATACGGTTCTATTCACATATATGTATGACCTATGGAGGGGGTGGGGTCACGGCATCCGAAGAAATCTTGCTTCTCCGTTTGTTGCCATTTTTGATCCAGCACAGAGCAAGCAAGTCCCTCAGTCTCTGGCCTCCAGCTCAGCTCCCTCACACCTCTCTGGGTCTTGTTCTCCTACCTAGCAGAAAGGTGGGGGGGGTGGAGGAAAGGCCCACCTTGGAGCCCAAAGGGCCCCACCCCTCTTGCAACCTGGCCCGTTTTTGCAGGATGCTGATGAGGACATTTCAGTGGCCGGCCAGCTCCTCTAACCTTCCCTGTATACAGGACCCCAAGAATTGGGAGAGGAACCACAGGCATCCTCCAGACAGATGCCCCCTGCAGAATTGTAGTGAACAGAGGAGCTTACTGTCATCACAACCGTAAGTCCCTGGGGTGGAGGGGAAGGGGCTGTGTGGCAAAGTTGGCAAGTGTCTGCCAAGCCGTAGTTGCCTAGACCTTTGGCTGCCGTGGCTTATTGGCTTGCCCTGTAGCAAGTGCCCACCCCACCCGCGTTGCAGACTCACCTGCCAGTGCGTAGCTTCCAGGAGTGATGAGGCTGGAGCCCCCCTCCGATGAAATGCCCTGGGGGAAGAGGAAGGCGGCAGTTTCTCCCACCAGGCGCCCGAGCGCAGCTCCTGTCATGGGGGTGGGGAAGGAGGAGGAGGACGACGAGGCAGAAAGAAACCGGTTGCATCTCCGCGACAATCCTTTCCAGACCATGTCTACACTGCACGCTCAAACTGGTTTTGAACTGGATTAACTGTCATGGAGATCCCCTTCTCCAGCCCGTTTGGTACTTGGCAGATGAGACCAGCGAAACTGATCCTGCGTTTACCTGTGGTTCCTGCGCTGCAGGGGGCTAAACAAGGTCACCTTTCCAACTCTCCAGTTCTTTGATTCTGTGACGCAGTATGGAGGGGGGGTCATCTGATGCAGGGAGATGGGGGGGCACTTACCATAAACAAAGACGGGCATGAAGTACCCAGCGGGCATCGGCATGGTGGTGGCCAGGATCAGCATCCAGAACTGTGAAAAGAGCGAGGAAAAGTGAGGCCGAGGGTAATGGCTGCTTGCTTTCAGACAGCCTGTGATGCCACAGCATGCCTGAGAACACTCCAACTCCTGAGGGTGAAAGCACAGTAACAGAAGTGGGAGGGGAGCCGCCTGAACCCTTCCTCCCTCATCAGAGAGCCCCCCCCCCCGTGTGCTTCAGAAGCGGGCCAGGTACCTTCATGAACAGGAAGACGGCCAGCGTGCCAAAGATGGTGATGTTGGGGTCCCACCACTCGAGCCACAGGTTGTGGGTGTCGACTTGAAGGGGCCTGGCCAGCGATGCGTTTTGGGAAAGGGCGCTCCAGGTGTGGTTGTCAAGGAGGGAGGTGAGAAGTTCCTTCATGCTCAGCTACAGGGGAGGAAAGATGGGGGTCTGGAAGGGCTGGCGCAAACAGGAGCACAAACGCCCACCCACCCTCCCCCTTTTTGTCTGTGAGGGGGCCGGTGGGTTCCTCTCTCTGTGCCACCAGACAGGTTGGCCTTTGGCCAGTTCACTGGCTGTTATCAGTCCTGTGCGTGCCACCTGTCGTTATTCAGCAGGGAGAGGGTGGCACTCTGCATATGCTCCAGTGTGCTCTGTGCTGGGAAGGAGAGCGATACCCAGTATTTACCCTAGAGGCCATGAACTGCCCCAGGCCCGATGGGAAGGTGATGGAGGAGAGCAGGAGGGCAACCAGCACCGAGTAAAGAGGTTTCCTGGAAAAAGGTACCAGAAACAAACAGACAAAAAACTAGGGTTACTTTTCAGGATTGAAAACAAAAGGCTGCCCAAAGCTAACTCTGATGGCAGACCAGCAAGACACACACAGCTCAAAGCAAAAATAGAAAAGATCATTTGGTGGAGGAATCTGTACATTTTCCAGGCATCACAAAGCTCTTCCACCAGGCAGAAGGTGCTGAGGATTTCTGTGCCACTTGAAAGCTTGCATAAAGGTAAAGGTAAAGGTACCCCTGCCCATACGGGCCAGTCGTGACCAACTCTAGGGTTGTGCGCCCATCTCGCTTAAGAGGCCGGGGGCCAGCGCTGTCCGAAGACACTTCCGGGTCACGTGGCCAGCATGACGAAGCTGCTCTGGCGAGCCTGCACCAGCGCAGCGCACGGAAACGCCGTTTACCTTCCCGCTATAAAGCGGTACCTATTTATCTACTTGCACTTAAGAGTGCTTTCGAACTGCTAGGTGGGCAGGAGCTGGGACCGAACGACGGGAGCTCACCCCGCCGTGGGGATTCGAACCGCCAACCATACGATCGGAAAGTCCTAGGTGCTGAGGTTTTACCCACAGCGCCACCCGTGTCCCGAAAGCTTGCGTACAAGGGAGAATATATTTTCTCGGGGTGATGGAGGAAGTAATAATAAAATGTTGGTCCATCTCTACCATGGGTAGACAGACTAAGGCCTGGGGGCCAGATCCGGCCCAATCGCCTTCTAAATCCGGCCTGCGGACAGTCCGGGAATCAGCATGCTTTTACATGAGTAGAATGTGTGCTTTTATTTAAAATGCATCTCTGGGTTATTTGTGGGGCATAGGAATTTGTTCATTCCCTCCCCCCCCCAAAAAAAAATATAGTCCGGCCCCCTACAAGGTCTGAGGGACAGTGGGCCAGCCCCCTGCTGAAAAAGTTTGCTGACCCCTCTACTGTCACTCACTTTTAAATACCTTGCGCACAATATGCTTTTTTTCTATACCCTGCTCATTCTGTTCCCAAAGCCAGAATATATTTTTTTTGTAATCCCTATGTCATGGAAAACCCAAGAAGACCCCAAATATGTGAAAGGAGAATGTCAGCTGCTACGATTCATTTGTGCTTTCATGGAACATTTATCGCCCATGCAACAACCAGGCGAGGCAAACTTCTGTTGTTCCCGTTTTGCAGAGTGGGAAACTGAGGCTGAGAGGCAGCAGTGTGTTCGAGGCCAGTCGGTCGGTCCTTGCAGGACCTCACCCCGCATGCCCCCCAGCGCATGGCCCCCACTCCCAAGGTATGACTTACTCCTCTGCAAGCAGCTTGGCTGTGAAGCAGTTCCTCCGGACGTAGCCCAGGAACCAGCGCTGGCAAAAGAGGTAAGCACAGCTCACTACCCCACAGACTGCACTGCAAAGAAACAGGGGAGGGAGGGAGGTTAGGGTCACTTTGGCTGCTGGGCACACAATACCCCTTCGGTGTCACCCCCACCCCACCCTAAGGCTGCATTGCAAGGAAGGAGATGGGTCACATCCACCCCCATACATTCAGAGCATATTTCAAGCACATGGTGCCCCCATGAAGGACCCTGGAAACTGTACTTTCCCCCCAGAAGCCTTGACACGGTTATAAGAATTCTAAGGTCTCAAATATAGAATGAATGTTCATAAATGTACAAGGCAAACACATGCACAAGTATATAAACCACGTGTCTGAAATAGTACAGGAGAGCAATCCTGAAGTCATTTTGACTCTCTCAACTTGACCTCATATATTTCTCTGCAAGGAGGAAGGAAATGGGAAAAGCTTTCCAATTGTCTTTGGACTGTAGGGGCTTACACCTCCCTTTTCAAATATAGTCTGGCAAGTATCTGTTAAGCTGAGCGAAATATCAATATGTGTAAGAGATTCAGGAACTAAAGTATTTACCATCTCAAAGGAATGGCCAGGCTACCCAGAAAATACAACCAAGTAAGGTATTTATCGGGATGCAGGTGGCGCTGTGGGTTAAACCACAGAGCCTAGGACTTGCCGATCAAAAGGTCGGCGGTTCAAATCCCCGCGACGGGGTGAGCTCCCGTTGCTCGGTCCCTGCTCCTGCCAACCTAGCAGTTCGAAAGCACGTCAAAGTGCAAGTAGATAAATAGGTACCACTCTGGAGGGAAGGTAAATGGAGTTTCCATGCGCTGCTCTGGTTCGACAGAAGTGGCTTAGTCAAGCTGGCCACGTGACCTGGAAGCTGTACGCCAACTCCCTTGGCCAATAAAGCGAGATGAGCACCGCAACCCCAGAGTCAGCCACGACTGGACCTAATGGTCATGGGTCCCTTTACCTTTAAGGCATTTATCAGGTATCCTGGCAGACAGGAGAGAAGCAACACTCTCAAATATCTGCTGGGGACCACTTCTGTGATATATATATGATTTTTTGGGGGGTGTCTTGGGGTACAGGGTGGGCAGTTTCAAAAGTCTTTATAGGGGCTTGCGCACCATTGTTCTGGGTTTTTCCTACCTCCTTGCAAGGAGAGGAGGGAACTCTGTTCTAACAGAAAAATAAAGATCCCCCTTGCTTTCTATGGCTCTTGCCTCCATCCATTCATCTCTGACCGACCATTGACTTAGGGGACTCAGTCCCTTCAGGAGTTGGGCAGCAAAAGCCAACCCCCCTAGTTTTCCCTATAACAGCACACTCCAGTTCCCAGAATTATTGAGGGGATGCTTTAAATATATGGGGTGGACCTGACCCCAAAATCCCTCACCCATCTCACCCGAGGAACATGAAGAAGAATGTCTCTGGCAGGTCAAAGGGGAAGTCAATCTTAAAGCTGGTCTTGAAAAGAGCCATGATGGTCTCTGGGAAGGGAGAAAAAGCGAGGTGTTTTAAACACAAAACAGGGGTGCCCACAAAAATAGAAGCCCCCTTCCTCGTCTACCTGTGCCCCCCCACTTTCCTTCCACCCAAGACCCCCTTCCCCAATTTCTCACTTTCCCCTCTTCTCTCCCCCGTCTCGCTTAAGCCCCCCACCCCACCGATGGCCAACATTTGCAGAAGGCCATTTGCTTGGGGCCAAACCCCACTTTGCTCTTGCACAGCCAGGCAGGGGAACCAGCGAGCCACATTGTTTAGCACCCATCACCTGCTCACCGTGGCTGCTGAGGTTTGTCCCCAGAGAGCCTTCCTCCATCATCAACATCCAGGTCCTGGGTTTCCCAAACTGGGGTCTCCAGTTGTTTTTGAACTACCATTCCCATCATCCCCGACCACGGGTCCTGCTGGCTAGGGATGCTGGGAGTTGTAGTCCAAAATCAGACAAGTTTGGGAAACCCTGCTCTGGAAACATCTTCACGCAGCATTGGTGGTGGCTGGTAGGGCGGGAGGCAGGGAGCCCAGCAGTAGGTGGTGCCAGAGCCAACTACAGGGAAACTGCTCCTAGCCTTGCACCTTCCATCCTTCTTTTTCGCCTCCCGGCTACTTCTTCTTCAAGGGCAACACTGAGCCTAAGGAGGATTAGCTGTGGTTCCTGCATTGGGGGGGGGGGGGGTTTGAACTAGATGACCCTTTGGGAAAGGGAGGCAGGCAGGCAGGCAGGTGGGCCTGGAGGGGTGAAGACTGAGATTGGTGGGGCAAAGCCCCCCTTTGCACACATAGACCATCCTCCACTGCATGGGGGAAATGGTGAGGAAGGGAAGGGGTTCCAGGGAGGGGGACACACCTAGCCTGTTTAACTAGTGTTGCCATATTCGCAAAAGTGAAAATCCGGACAAAAGTTTTTGAGCTTTTTTTCCTTTAGGGGTGGGGGGAATCAAACATTTTGGGGATTTTAAAGGATTTTTTAAAGTTAAAACAAACATCCTACTTGCCATACATTGAGGTTTCCCCAGACATTTTGCCGATTCTGTGAAAATCTGCCCAGACGCCATTTTCAAGCGTATGGCAGCCCTAGTTTCCCTTCCCTAACACAAAACATCCATTTTGCAGCAAGGGTTCGGCACTGAGGGTTCGGCACTTCCAACAAGGTCGCCACAATTGCTCAGTCATCTCTTTCCAGGGCAGTTGTGGTCAGTTTAGAATATTAGTATACCTGAAGGAGCGTCTCCACCCCCATCGTTCTGCCCGGACACTGAGGTCCAGCGCTGAGGGCCTTCTGGCGATTCCCTCATTGCGAGAAGCAAAGCTACAGGGAACCAGGCAGAGGGCCTTCTCGGTGGTGGCACCCGCCCTGTGGAACGCCCTCCCTTCAGATGTGAAGGAAATAAGCAGCTATCTTCTCTTTAAAAGACATCTGAAGGCAGCCCTGTTTAGGGAAGTTTTTAATATTTAATATTAATACAATGCTGTATTGTTTTTAACACTTGATTGGGAGCCGCCCAGAGTGGCTGGGGAAACTCATAAATTATTATTATTATTTCCACATGTGAGGCTTAAACTGCTGTCTCCCAGCAACCCCCCCCCCCCCGTCAAATCTATTTCCAGCCCATGCAAGGTAAGAGCCTAAGATTGTGCTTAGCTTGCCAGAAAAAGCAGCAGGTGGGCAGAGGTGTTTACTATGTGGATGAGCACGCTGGCCAGGGCGCCTAACACTGCAGAGCAAACTGGAAGCAACAGTTTCTCTCCTCCCACCCGCTTTGCACTTCCCCAGCAACTCTGCTCAGCTTCCTCACCTTGTTCGCTGTTGAAGACGGCCAGCAGGCGAAACATGAAGGCCCCGCAGGTGGCTGAGAAGAATCCCCTCCAGTAGTCCCGGACGGCGAAATGGGAGGACACGACCTCGATGCTGAAGAGGACCCCTGGGTGGGACCAGATTAGGAGGAGAATGGGCAGGTGAAGAAAACAGGTAAGGCAGAGGTCGGCAACTGGCAGCCAATATGCCCCGACCAGAGGCGCACCTAGGCTCCCTTGTGCCTTGGCAAGGAGATGCATTGATGCCTTCAAAGTTGGGAGAAACCATAGACAAGAAACTCATAAAGTTTTGAAATAAAAAAATTAAGGTCATGTGTGTGTGTGTGTGTGTGTGTGTGTGAGTGTGTGTATGTGTGTATATATATATATATATATATATATATATGTATGTATATGGGACGCAGGTGGCACTGTGGGTTAAACCGCAGAGCCTAGGACTTGCCGATCAGAAGGTCGGCGGTTCGAATCCCCGCAACAGGGTGAGCTCCTGTTGCTCGGTCCCTGCTCCTGCCAACCTAGCAGTTTGAAAGCACATCAAAGTGCAAGTAGATAAATAGGTACCGCTCTGGCGGGAAGGTAAACAGCGTTTCCGTGCGCTGCTCTGGTTCGCCAGAAGCAGCTTAGTCCTGCTGGCCACATGACCCGGAAGCTGTACGCCGGCTCCCTCGGCCAATAAAGCGAGATGAGCACCACAACCCCAGAGTCGGCCACGACTGGACCTAATGGTCAGGGGTCCCTTTATATATATATATATATATATATATATCTTTTCATAAATGCACCAATCAAGCATGTACATCGATATATAAACCACATGTCTGAAACCCCACAGAAAGTCCTGAAACCATTTTGTCCCTCCCAAATGATTTCAGGACTTTGACCTCAATTGACCTCAAACATTTCTCTGCAAGGTCAAAGGAAAATGGAAAAGCCTCCCCATTGTCTACTCCTTCACAAATCCTGTCTTAAGAATATGTCTGTGTATGAAAAGGGTGAGCCTGTGATCTGGCTCAGGAACGAAGTATTTGTCATTACAAAAGACTGGCCAGGCTCCCCAGGGTATCCAATCAAGTGACCATTAACAAGTCTGCCAGCAGGAGATAAACAATGCACTCAGATTTCTGTTGTAGACTGCCCTTTCTGTGATATAGGTATGATATTTCTGGGGGTGGTCTTGGACTCCAGGGCAGGCAATTTAAAATGTCTATATAAGGGCGGGCACACCTTTGTTCTGGGTTCCTCCTCCTTTCGTGTGTGTGAGGGGAGCACCCTGTTGCAACAGATCAATAAAGATCAGGCTTACTAGCTGCTTTGCTTCTCAATATTCTCTGGTTGGCCTCTGTTATTTTCTCCGACCGATGGAGAAGCTACAAAGGACTCTATAAGGGCTCTTGTGTCCCCCATAAGGGAATAAGGGCAGATTTCTGTTTATTACAGTTTGCTGTTTGTCGCCTCCTGTGCTCTGCCACTGACTTCCTCCACGGCCGTGACTGGATCCCTCAGCTGAGGCACCCAGAGGAGTCTGCATACCTTGTCTCGCTGCCCAGAGCTGTGGGGGGTCTCTTACCCATTTCAAACCAGAGTGGAGAGGTGTGGTTTTTGCAGGCCCCTCGCCAACACAGCCCCCTTCCCCCAATGACCACCGGTTTGCCGCTTTAGACATGAGCTGCTTGACAGGGCGACACAAAGCGTTTTCACCAAACACGCGCAAACTCCAAGCTCCGTAAACTTTGCAAGCCACTTGCCAGCTAGGTTTACTGAATCTGACCCACGGGGTAGGGCAAAGCTTTGCTGGTCTGTGTGCTTGTTTCTCTTACCGCTGATGGGAGCCCCGAAGACAGTGGCCACTCCAACAGCAGCTCCAGCCACCAGCATCTCGTTCTGTTTGCTCTTATTCTAGGAGGAAGAGAGATCCGTTTGCTAAGTGCCTCTTGCATCTGCCTGAGAGCCAGCGCGGCTGAGCATGAATCCCCCCAGGGCTCCAGAATGGGAGCTGAGTGCTGCGTTTGCCTTCCAAGCCAGCAGGAGCCACTCCAGTTTGACCCCTTTCCAGCTCTGTGCTCAGATTATTAAACTGAGCAAAGATTGGGGGAGACAATCCGTTCCTTCCGGTTCCTCTCCATTTATCATTTCTCAACCTCTTAAATCCAGTTCTCATTTCAACATTAGTTAGTGATTTTTGAAAAATAAAATAAATGAGATCTGCAACATTCTAGTGCGAATGTTGTTCCTAGTTCCTGATAGGCTCATCTGTGTGTGTGTGTGTGTGTGTGTGATTTTGCCTAATATACACATTTTTTTTTTTGCAAAGCCATTTCTCTTAATATAACACATTTGTGTATGTTGCTTTTCCCTAATGCAAGCTCTTTATGTACACTTTGCCCTGGTTCTATGCATTTCTGTACACCTGACTCTGCCTTGCAAAATTTGGAAAGGTCCAAATTTCAGAGGATGGCTGCAATTTAGGTTTGCGTTGTTAGAATTCCTGCTCCATGATTGCAATCATGGGATTTTTGTCTATTACATGACGGTATATGTTTGAACTCCACAGAGTGGGAAGTGACAGGATGCTTGTGTTACTGTGTTCCATGAAGTGGGACTATTGTCCTTTGTTCTTTTTCTCTTTGCTGTCTGTTGCTAGAGAGAGAGGGAGCCATGTTGTAGTGCTCCGTGTGTGTTTATATGTAAATAAAGTAGATTAGCCAAAATGCTGAGTTGCTGAGGCCTGTCACGCAAGTTGCGAAGACTCTGCGGACCCCTAAGTGTGCCGGTGTCAATTGGCATCGGTCGCTGTGATGTTCGGGCTGAAGAAAGCTCTTGAAGATCCCGAACGAAATATCAGGAGGGAGAGAACATGCCAGTTGGGCATGTGTCTTTACCAGGGTCCTACTCGAGTGTAGGACAAGCTCCTAACATGCGTATTGTTCTGGACTCACCTCTAACGTGAATGGACTCGAATTTCTCCTCTGTCTCCCCTGCCTCAAAAGCACCCACTGAAAATGTGGTGGGGTGGTTATTTTGTGGGGGCAGAAATCACCTCTTCAGCCACCCTGGTTGTGACTGTAGGAAGGTGTCAAGAGGGACAATGAATCTGCATTTATCAATCTAGTGAAGGAATGCTTGGGCAGGCCCACTCCAGCCCTTAGCCTTGGTGGGGGGTGGGGGGTGGCTGTCCCCTTGCTCCTTACCTCATATTCCCCAGAGACACTGGTCCGAATCTTCCCTAAGTAGGCAGCGATCATGCTGGATAGGTGAACGAAAGGCCCCTGGGGGAAGACAAGAGGAGGGCAGATTAGTAGAGGAAGGGATTCTACAATTACCGTATTTTTCGCTCTATAACACGCACCCGACCATAACACACACGTAGTTTTGAGAGGAGGAAAACAAGAAAAAAAATATTCTAAACGAAACCGTGGATGTATGAGTTTTGTGGTTCATGCTGTGGCCACAGACATGTGATCTGACAGTGAGTTTGGAGTAGCCCAATGCAAAATTCCTGAGGATCCATGTGGATCCATGCTTTGTAATCACGTTTTTGCACCACTGTGGCCCCAGGCAACAGTGGGTGCGTGATTTTTTTGGTGCAAAATGTAGCCATGGACATGCTATGTGATCTGATGGTGAATTTGGGGTGACCCAGAGCAAAAATCCTGAGGATCCATGTGGATCTGTGCTTTGTAACCACGTTTTAAGTGGGGAGGGAAGGGAAAGCACTCAAAGGACAAGGAGCACGCGTGGGGTGTGTGGAGAAGGATGCTGCTAATAATGCAGAAGAGGGGTATAAGGGGAGAAGGAACATGCGTGGGGTGGGTGGAGAAGGATGCTGCTAATAATGCAGAAGAGGGGTTTAAGGGGTGAAGGCTCCTCTCCTCTCCCACTTTGCTCCTTTAAAGCAAGCAGGCTCTGCTTTTCTCCCTCCTCCTCATCCCCGGCTTAGCGAGCTGAAAAACTTTGCTGCTATTTAGCGAGCTGAGTGGGGAGGAGAGAGGGACAGAGAGCCTGCTTGCTTTAAAGGAGCCAACTGGACAGGAGCCGCTTACACTTGTGTAAGCGGCTCCTCTCCTCTCCAGCTTTGCCCCTTTAAAGAAGCAGGCTCTCTGTCCCTCTCTCTCCCCACTCAGCGGCTCTTCCCCCGCTTTGCTGTTTCAAAGCGAGCCACGGAGGAGGGAAGGAAGGGGAACCATGGATCCTCTGCTCAGGACTGCAGCAGATCCCCCCCCCCCGCCGCCACCCATAGGCATTCCCTTCATAACACGCACAGACATTTCCCCCTACTTTCTAGGAGGAAAAAAGTGAGTGTTATGGTGCAAAAAATACGGTATATAGGGATGCTTGGGCTGCGATTCCTACATTGCAGGAGATTGGTGAACCACCATCTGGTATGCAGGCTGAGACCCTACCTGCCCGCGGACTGTCTCGCCAGAGTGGTGCATGCTCTAGTTATCTCCCGCTTCGACTACTGCAATGCACTCTATGTGGGGCTACCTTTGAAGGCGACCCAGAAACTACAACTAATCCAGAATGCGGCAGCTAGACTGGTGACTGGGGGCGGCTGCCGAGACCACATAACACCGGTTATCCTGAAAGACCTACATTGGCTCCCAGAAAGTTTCCAAGCACAATTCAAAGTGTCAGTGTTAACCTTTAAAGCCCTAAACGGCCTCGGTCCAGTATACCTGAAGGAACGTCTCCACCCCCATCATTCAGCCCGGACACTGAGGTCCAGCTCTGAGGGCCTTCTGGCAGTTCCCTCACTGCGAGAAGCCAAGCTACAGGGAGCTAGGCAGAGGGCCTTCTTGGTAGTGACGCCCACCCTGTGGAACGCCCTACCTTCAGATGTCAAGGAAATAAACAACTAGCTGACTTTTAGAAGACATCTGAAGGCAGCCCTGTATAGAGAAGTTTTTAATGTTTGATGTTTTATCACATTATTATTATTATTATTATTATTATTATTATTATTATTTTGGAAGCCACCCAGAGTGGCTAGAGAAACCCAACCAGATGGGTGGGATATAAATAAATTATTATTATTATTATTATTATTATTATTATTATTATTGCAATCCCTTCCTACTTTACAATTTTATGATTCTGTAGGAATCCAGTGTATCTCCTGCAGAGGGTGGCATGGTCCACTGACCCAAGTTTCTTGAGTGGACCTGGAGGCAAAAGTTTCAGGCCTCCAACTCGCCTCCTCTCCTAGACCCAAGCTACCTTGCTCTAAAGCTGCTGGGGGTGTGAGCCTCTTTGCAAACAGCCACAGGGTGTAAACCAGGCATCCCCAACCTTCGGCCCTCCAGATGTTTTGGACTACAATTCCCATCATCCCTGACCACTGGTCCTGTTAGCTAGGGATCATGGGAGTTGTAGGCCAAAACACCTGGAGGGCCGCAGGTTAGGGATGTCTGGTGTAAACGGTGAAGAAGAGCTCTGCAGCCTAGAGGCCAGGGGTTGCTTCCCTTTGACCGACCAACGGGTCACTTACGACTTTCCCAAGGAAGATGGTGCTTCCACATGCCAGGGTGCAGGTCAGGCCCACGACTTTGGCGCTAAAGTTCTCGATGGCCAGGTATTCTTCCAGGATGACCCCCGTCAGGATGATCTTGAGCTCAGGAATGCCGGAACCTGGAAGGAGCACACAGGGAGGAGGTTCCAGGTTGTTTGGGGGACCTCCAGCCAGGCTAGGAAGATGTTCCTGGTGGCCTCCTGAGGAGGACCTGCCTCTTTTCCTTCTGCATTGGCCCCACCCAACAGCCTTCTCCCTGGCCCACCTCACAGGAGGCCTGTTATGTATTCAGTGGCCTGTGTTTGCCTGAGCTTGAGTCTGGACTGAGGATTCTGATCTCCTGTGTTCTGATTCAATACACGTTGTCCAATCACAGAACATTTCAGGATTTGGGCCTCTGCCATTGGCCCTTGAACCCTGAGTCGTGATTCGCAGTTTGGAAGTTTAGACAGCCAATCACGTTGGCAGTGGGAGTGGCCAAGGCTCTCAGGAATGTATATAAGCAGTTGCTTTGCCTCTGTTTCCCAGTTATGTGGTTCAATAAAGGTTCTTGCTATTATCACTGTGTCTTGCCTCATGGGAACCCACCTTTAAGGCCTTTGCTGAGTTAGCCAATTAGTCCATCTAGCTCAGTTCTGTCTACACTGACTGGCAGCAGCTCTCCAGGGTCTCGGGCCCCACTTGGAGTTGCTGGGCATTGAACCCAGGGACCTTTGGCATGCAAAGCAGAATGTTGTTCTTATAAACGGCATTCCTTGCGAGCTGAGTGAAGACCCTTCCTTTAAGATGCAGGAACTGAGGACCCTTGGCCTATTGAGCTCCGTCTTGTCTACACTGACTGGCAGAAGCTCTCTGGGTTTCAAGCAGGGAGCCTCTCCCAGCCCTACTCGACGATGCTGCCAGGGCAAGGCTGGATTAACCATTAAGCAAAACAAGCACGTGCTTCGGACATCGAGGGAAAGGGGCACCGCAGGAAATTTTCCACTGCCGGATTTTTAACATTAATGGCCACAAATTGCTCAGCTGAGCATTCATTTTCTCAGCTAAAGTATATTACAAATCCCAACAGAACAACTATACAAACAAGGCATGCTGGATGCCTACTAAGTATAGTAGCAAATGTGTTACGTAAGATGTTTTGAGAATCTGATCAAAGATTTTGCAATTAAAAGAAGCAGAAGAAATTTTTTCAAACACAAATAAAGTGGAAGTATACAAAAACAAGTAGCATTTTCCATCTTACTGTAGGTTTTGTTTCATTTCTAAAAATGGAATTTTATTTTACTGTTTATTATTTATATTTTGAATTAGGTATATGCAGGGGCAGTGCTTTTTTTTCTAAAACATTTTTTAAAGGGTACTCTCATTTTGACTCAAGAAAGCCACCATTTTATAGGCCACCGTCAGGGGTAGCAACGGAACTGACGATTCACCACGCTAGAGAAGAAACTAAAATTTTTAACATTTTTAGTTTGTTCTCCTGTTAGATTCACAAAATGTTTCGGGGTATGCGTCCCCCTGCGTCCCCCCTGAAAAAGCACTGTGCAGGGACACCAAAATCTATTACCGTATTTTTCGCTCTATAAGACGCACCAGACCACAAGACGCACCTAGTTTTTGGAGGAGGAAAACAAGGGGAAAAAAATATTCTGAATCTCAGAAGCCAGAACAGCAAGAGGGATCGCTGCGCAGTGAAAGCAGCGATCCCTCTTGCTGTTCTGGCTTCTGGGATAGCTGCACAGCCTGCAGTTGCTCCATAAGACGCGCACACATTTCCCCTTACTTTTTAGGAGGGAAAAAGTGAGTCTTATAGAGCAAAAAATACAGTAAGTGCTTAGGGTCTCTAAAGCTCTTAACCTGGCCCTGTTCCAGGGGTTGAATCTGGGGGCTTCTGAATGCAAGGCTCTACCACGTGAGCCCTGACCTTTCCCCAGAGTACAAACTCAGTGGCTTCCTGCACCCCAGTGCTCTACAAATGAATTGTGTTTACACTCCTTCCTAGCTGCATCAGGCTTCCTTTTGGAAGGAAAAGGAGGTGCAAATATGACAGTTAAGACAGAAGTGGTGAGCAGGAGTACCTAATGTTCCTTCTCCTTCTCTTCCCTCTGCTGTTAAGTTGCCAGGGAATCAGGCAGGCAGGCAGGCTGTTGAGCTGTTGGCGGTTTGGGGCTGGGGCAGGCTCCGCACCTTGGCCGCCAGTGGCCGACTCCTGCTCCCACTCGCCCACCCAAAGGCTCACCTGCAGAGTGTGGTGTGATGCTCTGTGCGAAGCCAGTCGAGAAAGCCGACAGCGCGATGGGGTACATGGTCCAGGAGAGGTACTTCAGCACCGGGTAGTCCCCAATCTCTTGGTAAAGCCACATGTGGGCTAAAGAAACAGAAAGGAAAATCAACATGTCCTTCTGGACGCATCGCCTAGCAGCTGGTTCAAACTGGGCAGCTTAACACAAGGATAGAGGAACCCATGGCCCTCCAAACATAGTTGGATTCCAACTCCCCTCATCCCTAGTCACTGGCTGGGCTGCCTCAGCAATGGCTGGAGGACCACACAGGCCATTTACTGCCCCTGACACTTGCCTTTACTGCCCCTGGCTACCCCCATCACTACTCTGCCTTCTTTTGGGGTTTTTTGGACTACAGTTCCCATCATCCCTGACCACTGGTCTTGCTATCTGGGGAAGATGGAAGTTGTAGTCCAAAAAAACCAACACCCACAACCCAGCTAGAGACCCAAAATTGGGAAACACTTGTCTAAATGACTCTCAGGCTCCCTTCCAATTCTGTGATTCTATGAATGGACAGATGGAAATCATATGTGGCACTCTGGATGTTGCTGGACTCCAGCTCCCATCATTCCCCTGACCATCAGTCATCCGGGCTGCTGAGGCTTCTGGGAGTTGGAGTCCAGCAGTGAACTGAAGGGCATCACACTGTCTTCCTCTGCCTTCGCATTTCGCCCAGTCCTTTTAAAAGCTGTGCAAGAAGGTTAGTTTTGTGAATAGCTTCTGAGGGCGGCTTTGTTCTAAGGGCTTCGACGTCCACAATGTCATTCTTATAAATGGCTTTGCAAGTCAATAATTGCTGCTAATTGGGCCCAAAGGCAGAACAGAAGTCTTTTAAATGAATGAGCCCATGCGAGGAGGCTACGATCCTTCCTGTAGGGGCTCTGATGGGAGAATATTCAACTAAGTACCCAACTAAGTCAGGGATTCTTTAGCATTGTGGTGGGCGGGCTAGACTAGATGACTCCCGGATCCCTTCCATTTCTGCAATTCTGTGGTTTACTAAGGCTTACACTCACAATGAACCCACTGAAAATAATGGACCAACATTGGCAAAGTCTATTAATTTAAAAGGGGCAACCCAGCCAGATGGGTGGGGTATAAATAATAAAATCATCATCATCATCACCATCATCATCATTTAGCCCAGTGTTTCCCAAACTTGGGTCTCCAGCTGTTTTTCAGACTACAATTCCCATCATTCCTGGCCACTGGCCTGCTAGCTAGGGATGATGGGAGTTGTAGTCCAAAAACAGCTGGAGACCCAAATTTGGGAAACACTGATCTAGAGCAAGCTGCTGCAATGCAAGAATCCAATTAAATAAATCTGATGAATAATAATTTAGCTCTCCGGTTCTCCTGGTTCCTCCTGCTGCCTTTCAGAGATTAGGAGCCTAAGGCTGACTGAGAGCGGTCTGGGGGTGTCTGTTACCGTTGGCCATCCTGGAGACGGTGAAGTCCATGGCGAAGCTGACCAGGGCCATGATGACCCCCAGGGCGAAGAGGAAGTACCAGTCGTCCCCCACGCGGAAAAGTTGCCGCTTGACGAACTCCAGGCAGCCTGCAGGGGGCAGCAGAGGACCAGGGTGAGTCAGGTACGTTGGCACCCATAAGAAGAGACGCCCAGTGGGGGGTTGGGGTTGGGGGGGGCATCTACAGGCCTTTCATTTGCACACATTGGAATCCACCACCACACCCCCAAAATGCTGACATTCTTATATGCAAATTAAAAGACGCCTGCTTCTTGGGAGGAAAGCAATGACAAACCTAGACAGCATCTTAAAAAGCAGAGACATCACCTTGCCAACAAAGGTCCGTATAGTTAAAGCTATGGTTTTCCCAGTAGTGATGTATGGAAGTGAGAGCTGGACCATAAAGAAGGCTGATCGCCGAAGAATTGATGCTTTTGAATTCTGGTGCTGGAGGAGACTCTTGAGAGTCCCATGGACTGCAAGAAGATCAAACCTATCCATTCTGAAGGAAATCAGCCCTGAGTGCTCACTGGAAGGACAGATCGTGAAGCTGAGGCTCCAATACTTTGGCCCCCTCAGGAGAAGAGAAGACTCCCTGGAAAAGACCCTGATGTTGAGAAAGATGGAGGGCACAAGGAGAAGGGGACGACAGAGGACGAGATGGTTGGACAGTGTTCTCGAAGCTACCAGCATGAGTTTGACCAAACTGCGGGAGGCAGTGGAAGACAGGAGTGCCTGGCGTGCTCTGGTCCATGGGGTCACGAAGAGTCAGACACGACTAAACGACTAAACAACAACAATGCCCATGCTAGTGAGGAGTCATAGAATTGTAGCGTTGGAAGGGACCCCAGGGTCATCTAGTCCAACCCCCTGGGATGCAGGAATCTCAGCTAAAGCATCCATGACAGATAGCCATCCAACCTCTGCTTAAAAATCTCAAAGGAAGAGGAGAAAGTGCATTCCCCCTCCCCCTGCCCTCATACGACTAAAATTCAGGGTCACCCGATTCAGCAGAGATTCCAGGCAGGCAAATCAAAAGGACTTGTCTGCACTGTTGTGAAATGTAACTGACGGAACTCCCTGCCACAAGGTTCTGATTCAAATTGGCTTAAATAGGGAGAAGCTGACACCCACCCACCCTGTTACATCGCAGGGGGTTGGACTAGATGACCCTGGGGTCCCTTCCAACGCTACAATTCTATGACTCCTCACTAGCATGGGCAGCCAGGATTTTTGATGGGGGGGGGAGGGGAACCTCAGATTTGTATTGGTTTTCACTGATTTTTTTGGAGAGGGCAGCTGCGCCCATGCTACGCTCACGCTCGCTAGGCCTATATTTATAAACATTGGATCATATCATGACACACTTGGGGGTAGGGCTTTAAAATGGGACAGTGACAACAGAAACCCCCCCCCACAAAAAACCTCTTCCCACCCCCTTTCACCAGTGCGCGCGGGAAGTCATAAAAGTTGTGCAGGAAGGTTAAATCGATTGCGTCCTGAGATCTCAGATTCCTTTCTGAGCAATTTGGCACCAAATGGAATCAGCTCGGCTCTCAGTCTTGTCCCACTTGTGCTTTTGGGGGGGGCGGGGGGGGAGAGACGCAGGAAAAACACAAAGTCCGGGACAAAGTCTCCTCCCCACTCCCCGCCGGGTGTATTTTGAAGCTGGCCAGACGCAGGAATGACCGGCCAGGGAGCGTGTGGGTCCATAGCTAAATCCCTCTCTGGGTCACCGCGTTGGAATCCCATTCCCACCTCCTTCTCCCCCCCCCCCCCCCAGGCGGCCACTTCCATCGCCGTCCGGGTAGGGGCAGGCTTCAAAACAGCTCTGGCGAGTTCCCGGGGTTTCTCTTGGCTGCGGCGCAGCGCCAGTTTTCGAGACCGACAGAGCTCCGCCTTCATCAGATGGGACTGTTGTTTAGGGACCAACAAGCCCTGCCTACATGAAAGCAGATCGTGCATTTTCCATGACAGCGTTTTAGGCACATTGCCTCGCTTGCAAATTCGGATCATGCCCTTCTCTCTCAAAGGCAGGCAGGTTCTTCTTCTGCCTTGATTTCTCTCTCGCACTTGCTCAAAAACACTTATTGTTTATTAAATATATATATATTTTTATAACCGCTTGGCTGTTAAAAAAACAGCAACAGCAACCTCAAAGCAGTTTTGCAGAAAAGGAATAAAGCAATAAAATTACCAATAGGGAAAATAACTATGATAATTCAAAACGTTCAGAAAGTTAAAATAGCAGTGGACTGCAAACAGATTAAGACGTTGGCTTTCTAATAAACATCTGGGCAGGCTTCCTTAAACAAAAATGTTTTAGCGAAGGGGCCTGCCTGATGTCAATATGCAGGGAATTCTAAGTGCTGCCATAGAACACCAGTCTGAAAAGATCGACAGTACGTCAGCTCCCAGTACTTTCCGAGCACAATTCAAAGTGGTGGTGGTGCTGACCTTTAAAGCCCTAAATGGCCTCGGTCCTGTATACCTGAAGGAGCGTCTCTACCCCCATCGTTCAGCCTGGACACTGAGATCCAGCGCCGAGGGCCTTCTGGTGGTTCCCTCACTGCAAGAAGGGAAGTTACAGGGAGCCAGGCAGAGGGCCTTCTTGGTGGTGGCGCCTGCCCTGTGGAACGCCCTCCCACCAGATGTCAAGGAAATAAACAACTTTTTGACTTTTAGAAGGCACCTGAAGGCAGCCCTGTATAGGGAGGTTTTAATGTTTGAAGTTTTACTGTGGTTTTTATAATTTGTTGGAAGCTCCCCAGAGTGAGCGGAGTTCCTGTATTATATTATTATTATTATTATTATTATTATTATTATTATTATTATTGCCGTCTCCTCCATGAAGTTCTCTGATCCTCTTTTCAAGCGATCTAGGTTGGTGGTGGTCACTGTGTGAAAAAGGACTTTCTCTTATCTGCCTTGATTCTTCCTGCATTCCCACCAGCAGCTGAAGGTTTTGAGGACCAGCATGGATGCTGCACAGGGAACCTGTCTCTGGATAACCACCCGGGGGATCCTCTGACTCTTATAGATCCCTAGATTCCTTTTCCCTTACCTCTGATCTTCCTCCGTGTTTTTGGCCAAGGTTTCCAACTCTGCTCCAGCATCAGAATCCGCTCTTCTTCCTCCTCCCTTCCATCCTTCCTCTTCTGCTGACCTTCTGCATCCATCTGCTGAAAGGGCTGGCAAGCACCCCCTGTTGAAAATGGGGAAGGTTCCCAGCGGGTGGCTACATGGTGGGCCAGGGAGGAAAGGCTGAAGACCAAATTTGCTGCACCATTCCTCCCAACTCTGTGGGAGTTGTGATCCTGTGGGGAAGTTGGTGCAACTCTGTGGGGCTCTGTGCTGCTGAATTCACTGAGCAAGCAACTCTGGGCCCTTCCCCTAAATCCATCCTTGGCCCTCTTTCGGAGCTCATTCAAGCCTAGACCTGGGTAAACTCAGCCCCACATTGCCATGGAATGTGCGAAGCAGGAGGGAAAGGGTGCCTCTAGGCATGCACAGAGTGCCTTTTCTCTGCACAACCGAGTTCTGAGTACTCCACTAGCACCTGGAGTTACGGGCCACAACTTCGGTCTAACATAAAACAGGCCGATCCAGGTAGCCCCCCTGCATAATTTTAAGTGTAAACATGAAATATTCTGAAGTTCCTGAGGCTGCAATCCTGTGCACACTTAAGCTCAGAGTAAACCCTGCAAAGCAGACCTTCCTGCTTGGGAAAGGGTTGGGCTGCCAAATTACTCAAAAATTCAGAAAGTCAAAGGCCCCCTACCTCCCGCAGGGTTTATTTCTAAGAGAAAATGCTAGCAATTTACATCTCCTTCTCCTCTTTCAGCCTCAAGTAGGAATTCATGGCAACGGCTGCTGTTTCTTCATGAAAACCACCAAACCGGAAAGAATTAACCCCAACAAAACACCCTGAGCAACCCTTGTCGTTTCAGCTACAGGAGCAACCAAGAGTCTTCTCTGAAGACCCCCTTGCAGGGGGTTTTCTGCAAGAGACTCCCACAGCTCGGCCCTAGGCTGAATTACACAAGAGTAAGACCTGCTATGTTTAATGGGCTGAATCCCAGGTAAGTGCACAAGTCACAGGTGGCTGCCTGAGTTAACAAGCTACAACCCTAGAGCGTGCAAAAGACTTACCCTGCCTCTCTGGTGGAAAAGTCCTGGTGTGTCCTTTCTGGGATCTTGTCTCTCTGCACCTGTGCTAGCCAGAGAACACACCTGTCTCCCTCCCTCCCCACCACACCCCTCTCTCTGACCTCTAACCATCTGCAGGTGATTTGGGACCTTGCAGAAAGTGCCCTTCAGGGATCCAGGCGGATCTGAGCTGGAAGGAACTGGCCTGGCAGCAACTCAGGAGCAAGGAAAAGGGCTGCGAGGGAAGAGCAGTTTGCCTGCGCTGGGATCCAGCCCTCCTACACCACAAGGGTGTCGTCTGAGCCAGATTCGAGGGCCAGCATCTGATTTGAGTTGCAGGAGCTCATCTGCGGAGTACGTGCCTGCATTCCAGTTCCCCAAAGTACGTGTCACACTCTTGCGTGACCAAAAGACAGAGCCAAGGGCAGTGGGGCTGTGTGGGCAGGGCCTCACTGTGCCTCAGCGCTTTCCTTTCTCCTCTGTAAGCGTCATAAATAAGGTGGGATGGTGGCGACAGATTCAGTTTTATTTGTGTTTCAGAGAGAAACTGCCTCTCTTCACTTCTCTGAACTTCATGCTATAATTCCCCAGCCAAACAATGGCAGTGCATTGGTTTGGGGGAAAGGGGCATTAGTGAAAACAACATACGAAAGCACATCATTTGCACAGTGCATAGTTAACCTATGGAACTCCCTCCCACAGGAAGCAGTGATGGCCACCGACATGGAGGGCTTTGAAAGAGGATTAGACAAATTCAAGATGAAACGGTGAAATCTGCTATGATTAAATGGGCACAAGATGTTGGACATAACATAATGATGGCTGACTGGGAACAGTTATGGACCACAGGTATGAAGTTTACGGCATGCAATGCCTTAAGAGAGAATATTATGAAAATGATATACAGGTGGTACATGACCCCAGTCAAGCTTGCAAAAATCTACCATTTGCCCGATAATAAATGTTGGAAATGTAAGGAAACTGAAGGTACATTCTTTCACCTATGGTGGACGTGCCCAAGGATTAAGACTTTCTGGGAGATGATTTATAATGAATTAAAAAAGGTATTTAAATATACCTTCTTGAAGAAACCAGAGGCCTTTCTCCTGGGTATAGTCGGCCAATCGGTGTTAAAGAAGGACAGAACTTTCTTTATGTATGCTACAACAGCAGCAAGAATACTTATTGCAAAGTATTGGAAGACACAAGACCTACCCACTCTGGAAGAATGGCAGATGAAAATGATGGACTACATGGAATTGGCGGAAATGACTGGCAGAATCCGGGACCAGGGAGAAGAGTCGGTGGAAGAAGATTGGAAGAAATTTAAAGACTATTTACAGAAATACTGCAAAATTAACGAATGTTAGAATGATGTTGGATTGAAGTTAAGTGGTTTCTAGCTGTAATGGTATAAAAGAACATGAAAAAATTGGATTTTTAACAGGTAAAAATTTAATGCTATAATATATTAAGATTAAAGATCAGGATAAAATAAGGAGGGAAAGGAATTGCTGAACTAATAAATTGAACTGGGATACAAAAAAGGGAGGTATGAGGAGGTCCGGGAAACAAGCAAATGAAAGATAAGTGATGAAAAGATGGAATTGTTTTTAATTATTTTTTATTTTTTATTATGTAATATTGTGAAAACTTTAATAAATATTTATTAAAAAAAAAGACAAATTCATGGCTGCAAGTCGCAATGGCTATGCTCTCCACTGCTGGAGACAGGATACCCTTGAAAGTCAGTTGGTGGGCAGCGCAAAGGGAAGAGCGCTGCTGCTGCTCTGCTCAGGTCCTGCTTGTGGGGCTGGACTAGATGACCCCATTGCTTGTTGGCGCCGCCTCTTGGGCATTGTTGGCCAATTGGTATTAAAGAAAGACAGAATTTTCTTTATGTATGCAACAGCAGCAGCAAGGATACTCATCGCAAAGTATTGGAAGACACAGGATTTACCCACTCTGGAAGAATGGCAGATGAAGGTAATCGAATATATGGAACTGGCTGAGATGACTGGCAGAATCCGTGACCAGGAGAAGAGTCGGTGGAAGAAGATTGGAAGAAATTTAAAGACTATCTACAGAAATACTATAAAATTAATGAATGTTAAATTGAGGTCTGACTGAAAATAACTGGTATTGGCAAAAGCCTTGTGATTAAGAGCATGGAATATTTGATTGATAAAGTTGTAATATTTATATATAAATAGATTAACTTTTTTTGAGTTAAGATAAAGAAAGGAGGGTAAGGATTTGCTGAAAGGAGTTCTTAAATGGAAATACAAGCGGGGAGATGTGGGGAAGTCAAAGAATTAGGTAATGATAAGAAGGTTAAATGAAAGTATAATACTTTTTAAATTTTTCTGTTTCTTTTTTTTTTTTTTTTTCCTTTTGTGCTATGGATATTGTTATCTCTGTTTGTTTTTTGTTATTGTTATTGTTGTTTTCTGTTTGTCGAATTTTTGTATTTTTACATCTTTTGGAATTTGTTTTTGTGAAACCAATAAATATTATATTAAAAAAAAAAAAATAGATGACCCTTGGGTTCCCTTCCAGCTCTACAACTCTTATGATTCGATTATTCCCTTTGGGGCATCTGACTGGCCACTGCGAGGACAGAGAGAGGTGCTGGACTAGATGGGACTTGCTTTTGCCAGCTCCGGATGGGACAATACTTGTGTCCTTGAAAAAATGCCCCCTTATCACCAACTCTGTAACTGGGGGTGGCACTGGGAGTATGTTTGAATGATACGATAAGATAATCTTTATTGTCATTGTCCCACACAGAACAACGAAATTGGGGGGTGGGATCTACATCAGACATTCAAAAACCAACAAGCCTGCTATCCCAGCTATCCCAGCCTGGTTAGCCCCCTAAAAACTCTGATATCCCATTTTTAAAATACAATACACTCCCATAGAGACTCCTTACAATGCGTTTAAAACCAAAATCGCATTTGGATAGAAACTGTTTCTCAGGCGGCTAGTCCTAGTCTTTATAACCCTGTACCTTCTTCCAGAAGGCAGAAGCTGAAAGAGATCATTTCTGTGGTGCGCACTATCCTGCGCTATCTCTGCAGCTTTCTTATAGCACCTGGAAGCATAGATTTGATCCAAGGTGGGAAGAGTGCACCCAATTATTCTCTCTGCAGTCTTTACAACCCTGGACTGGATTGTTTTTCCCCTGACCGTGCAGCTCCCAAACCACACACATAGACCATAATACACTCTCCACAGTACAATGGTAAAATGCCATCAACAGGTCCTTTGAGAGATTGTTTTACCGGAGGATTCTCACAAAATATAACCTCTGCTGTGCTCTCTTCATCAGGTCTTTGCTGTTTTCTCCCCAGGTTAGGTCATCTCTCAACTCCATTCCCAGAAATTGAAGCCCCGAGACCTGTCCCACGCACTTCCCCTCAATAATGGGTGAGGGGGCAGAGACGACATACCCCTGAACCACTTGTTGCAGGATGGAAAATGCCCCCATCACTCAGTGCCTCCTTGTTAAAGGCCGTGCTGGTTTGCTGAGCTGAATGGTCCCCATTGTGTACCTGGCAGAGAGGCAAGCTCCCTCTGCTCTGCCCAGAGACATAAGAACATCAGGAGAGGCAGCTGGATCAGGCCCAGGGTCCTTGTAGTTCAGCCTGTTGTTTTCAGTCCCCGTGGCCAACCAGATGCCCCCCAAGGGCAGTCTGCAAGCAGGACCTGAGGGCAAGAGAGCAGCCCCCCCCCCCCCGAGTCTCCTGGAAATGGGGTAATAATAATAATAATAATAATAATAATAATAATAATAATTTATTATTTATACCCCGCCCATCTGGCTGGGCTTCCCCGGCCACTCTGGGCGGCTTCCAAAGAATATTAAAATACTATAATACATCAAACATTAAAAGCTTCCCGAAACAGGGCTGCCTTCAGATGTCTTCTAAAAGCCTGGTAGTTGTTGTTCTCTTTGACATCTGGTGGGAGGGTGTTCCACAGGGAAGGCGCCACTACCGAGAAGGCCCTCTGCCTGGTTCCCTGTAACTTGGCTTCTCGCAGTGAGGGAACCGCCAGAAGGCCCTCGGTGTTGGACCTCAGTGTCCGGGTAGAACGATGGGGGTGGAGACGCTCCTTCAGATATACTGGACCAAGGCCGTTTAGGGCTTTAAAGGTCAGCACCAACACTTTGAATTGTGGGTAGGGAGAGAGAGAGGCCGCAGGCAGAAAAAAACACCCCTTTTACTGGGAAATGCGAGCCCCATCTTTTCTCAAGCATTGGGGAGAACTGTGTCAGATGGCTGACCCCAGGGTGTTCCATCTTTAAGTGTGGCAGCAGCGTCCACACTTTGGAACTCCCTGCCTATTGATGTCAGGTGCCTTCAAGGTGTTCTTTTTGGTGCCCGCTTTAAAAAAACAACACCATTTTTGTTTCAACGGATACCCAGACTGTTGACACGGTTTTAATCGGTTGGTTTAAATTTTTCCGACGTTTTAAATAGCTGCTGATAATTTGCTTTTATTTTTGCAAATCAGAGTATATACGTTTTATGAAACAAAATACAGGCGGGCAGCGTAGGAGCCAACTCCTGGGGCCAAGGTACCATCACCCCCCCCCCAATAATTTTTTTGAGGGGACTGCCCCCCCCAAGTTGATGTGTATTGCCATTCAAATGGTGTGCATGTGTGATCGATTGTGCAGGGTTTATTGTTTTGCGTACATTCAATTGTAAGGTAAAACATATGCGAAGGGACTTGACAGGAAGTCAAAACTGAAGAAAAGATTTTGTAAGATAAAAGGGAGGAAATATTTATTTTCATTATTAGCATTATTATTATTTCTCGTGTGTGTGCGGGTGGGTGTTTTGTATGAAATGTGTGGGAGGAAATAAGACGGCAAATAACAAACAAAATATTGATGCATGTCATTTTTATTTCTCAATAATATTTTGTGGTAGTATGGTTGTAATGCTTTTTGTAACATAAAATCATTTAATAAAAATTATATATATATATATATATATATATATATATATATATATATATATATATAAAAGATTATGTGGGGCGGGACTTACCTGCCCTCCCCCAATGTTTTATTCAGTGGCGTAGCGTGGGGGGTGCAGGGCGGGCCGGCCGCACCGGGCGCAACATCTGGGGGTTAGGGTGCGCAAATCCACGGATTAGGGGGCGCAAATCCACGGGTTAGGGGGCGCAAATTACTTGCCTTGCCCCAGGTGCTGACAACCCACGCTACGCCACTGGTTTTATTCAAGTTGGCATCCCTGGGGGGCAGGCAAGGCCAGTTTGCCTCCGCACCCAAATATGCCCCCAGTAGGTAACGCGTGAATGATTTCGGTGCCTCCGCGCCCCCCGGAGGAGGAGCCTGCCGGACTCCTGGCTTAAGGGCGAGCGTTCCCCAGCGGGTCTCCTGCGGGAAGCAGCGGAGGGCGATCGGCGTGACATTGGCAGGCGTCCCTGGCAAGAGAGCGCGAGCAAAGGGTGACTCAGGCTTGAGCCGGGACGGTGACCAAGCAAGCCGGATTTAGCTCTGATCCAGCCCCCTCTCCTCCTTCTCCGAGCCGCCTGTGAAATGCCTCCCGCCTGCCTCATCTCCCCCCTCCCAGCGCGCAACCCAGGCACATTCCGGGCGGCCGGGTGCGCGCAAGCGCCCCGGGGTGGGCTTGGCCCGGGATCCCTCGGAGCGAGCTAGGAAAGGGAACCTTAAATGGGCGAAGGATGCAAGGGGGGGGGCTGGCACTGCCTCCCCCAGTGCTCACGGCGTCCCCTTTCATCCCCGCCCCCCAGGGCTGCAAGGCAGGCAGGATTTGTACAGGTGAGGCTTTGGGCATCGCTGCTTCCCCTGTCGGATTCCAGCCTCAGCCTCGCAACTGTTTGGGAATAGCTTCTTTCAGAACGCAAGATGCAAATCAAACAGGTTTCCTTTGGGGTTGTTTGAAGGGGGTCATGCTTGATTTAGCTGTCCCTCCCCCCTTACTGAGGGATGTGGGTGGTGCTGTGGTCTAAACCACTGAGCCTCTTGGGCTTGCTGATCAGAAGGTCGGCGGTTCGAATCCCCGCCACGGGGTGAGCTCCCGTTGCTCGGTCCCTGCTCCTGCCAACCTAGCAGTTCGAAAGCACGTCAAAGTGCAAGTAGATAAATGGATACAGCTCTGGCGGGAAGGTAAACGGTGTTTCCGTGTGCTGCTCTGGTTTCGCCAGAAGCGGCTTCGTCATGCTGGCCACATGACCTGGAAGCTGTACGCCGGCCAGTAAAGCAAGATGAGCGCCGCAACCCCAGAGTCGTCTGCGACTGGACTTAACTGTCAGGGGTCCTTCAGCTTTTTTTACCCCCCTTACTGAACGATGGTCAGGGCCATCTTATCCATAGGCGCTAGGGGTGTGGGGCACCTGGATGCTGGGCTCTCAGGGGCACCAGGCTGAGAGTCCGGGGCCTGAGAGTTGAGTCCGGGGAAGAGCTGGCCCATCGGTCAGCGGGCTCTTCTATTGTGGGTGGCTCTGCACCACAAGTTCAGGGGCGACCGAGCCAGCAAGACACTGAGGTCAACCGACTCCGTCCTCCTGTACGCCTGGGACTAGGCAACGGGGGGGGGGGCACTGGGCGGATCTTTGCACCCCAGTGCTGCATATGCTTAAGACAGCCCTGACTATGGTATATATAATATTATACATTTTTCATCTTTGTGCTTCCACCGAGTCAAGCAAAAGCAGCAGGCACAAAATTTACATGGCTTTTAAAGTGGCTTAGAGGAGGAAAAGGGCTGCTAGTTGCAATGGCTATGCCTTAACTTAATCGTAAATATCTATCTATCTATCTATCTATCAAAGCAGTTTACAGCAGTAAAAATATAAACCATATTAAAAAGTTTAAAAAAGGACATCAACGAACCATTTTGGAAGGATGTCTTCTTACCTGACGGAATAGGAGGCATTTAAACGCTGGCACAGAAGGCAGCTCCTGCTGACTCTCCAGTGGCGGAGAGTTCCATCAGCCGGGCTGATGTTTCTCATAATCGTCAAGTGAGCCTTGCTAACTCCGGGAATGACCAGCGACACTCCCGTCAGTGACTCCTGTGACCGAGCTAGGATATGACAAGGAATTGGTCGATTTCAGTGGGCCAGACCCAGATCTACTGTGCCCATTTCTGGAGACCACCATTTAAGAAGGATATTGACAAACTAAAAGGTGTGCAGAAGAGGGTGACCAAGATGATAAAGGAGATTCCGACTAAACATAAGGAAGACATTTCTGACAGCAAGAGCTGTTCGACACCCTTGGGAGGTGGTGGACTCTCCTTCCTTGGAAATTTTAAGGCAGAGGTTGGGTGACCGTCAGTCAGGGATTCTTTAGTTGAGATTCCTGCACTGCAGGGAGTTGAACTAGATGACCCTTGTGGGTTCCCTTTTATCTCTACAATTACATGATTTTGTGGTCGGGCGTCTGTGGGGCTCTCTGGACGTCCTGTCCCCAAGGTCTTGATCTGCCAGCCCAGATCCCAGTGGTTCTCTCTGCTCCAGCTCAGAGAATCGTCCTTTTAGGATCTGCTCTTGTTGCCTCCTGTCACACAAACTCACCCTCCCCGCCCCACCCCAATCCCTTGCCAGGCTCACATGCCCACTCATGCGCCTTTTTTTGGAAGGCAGGGCTAATCGCTGGGGGGAGCTGTTATTATCCAGGCCAGCAGGAATGCTAGTCATGACGCTCCCCCACCTTGTTTGTTTGGAGCCCGTGTCGTTTCCCCCCCCCCCAATCCACCGGGGAAACTTTCCAGTGGGATGGTCGGAGGGAGTGATGATGCTAGAGTGCCTAAATTTAGAGACTTTGACAAGAGGCCTGGAAGTCGGCCCAGAGGCTCGGAGCGCCTTTATATGCGCTGCAGCTGTGGTTGAATACCTCACGAGCACCCAAGAGTGACTCAGAACAGAGCAGAAAGGGCTGAACAGGGAAGGGAATTGCTCTCTCCTCGCCCACCCAACTTGGGTGCCTCCAGACTCCTTGGGCAGCTTGAATTAGGGTGCCTCCTTTTCTTTCTCCCGGATAAGCCCCTTCGGAGAGGTCGAAGCCACTGTTGGGGGTACAGCTCTTTCCTCAAGCAAGGCTCGCCGCCATGGAGAAGGCGCACGGGATATTCGGCGACAATTTTGGGGGCTTCCTGAGGCCACGCAGCGAGCCCCTGGGCTTCTCAGGCAAGGCGGCTGTGGGAACGGGGCGTGTGTGTTTGTGTGCCTGGGTGTGATCCTGTCCACACCATACATTTAAAGTGCATGGCTTCCCTCAAAGCAGCCTGGGAACTGTAGTTTGTTGAGGGCAGCGCTGTGGTGGGTAAACTACGTTTCCTGGGATTCTTTGGGAGGGGAGCCAAGACTGTTAAAAGTGGTGTAAAGGTGATCTGAAGGTGGATGTGGCTTCTAAGGCAAATTTGCTCCCACATTCTCACGCCTTGAACTGCAACAGAGCCAACCAAAAATATATTAGGAGATTCAGCACTAAAATGCTGGCGATTTTCTACAGTGACTTTATTTATAAAAAGAATCTGCAAACTAATGTGGAGCACTGAACTTCCAAAGGGGTAAATGATAAACTGGAAGAATCCAAAGATGCAGATCATTCCATCCTTAACCCAATTGGACCTTCAGGTTGGACGTGGCTCCCCAGGACAGAAGGAGCTACCTTGTGAAGTCTCTCAGACTACTGCTTCCTCCTTCCTCCACCTCTGAGGCGCTGCCCAAGGTCTCAGGCAGAGGTCATTTGGCTGTAGATTGGACCTGGGACCACAGGAAGCTGCATTCAGCTGAGTCCAGCCACTGTTCCATCCTGCTCAGTCTCGACTCCTTCCCAGCCCTGCTTGGAGATGCCGTCGTGGGAAACTGAACCTGGGGCGTTCTGCAGGCAAAGCATATGCTCTAACCACTGAGCAACCACTGCCCTTCCCTTATTCAGACGGGAACAGGCCTGAAACAATGATGGGGGAGGGAGGGCAGCTGGGGCAGACATCTGCTGATTTTCTTACTGATGCTCCACTCTGGGGCTCTTTTCTGTGGCCCAAAGAGGTGTGATAGTATCTGGCCCTCTGGACCTGGTCAGTGTAGTGTAGTGAATCAGGCCAAAGGGACCCCACCAATGTATCCCAGCCTCCTGTTCTCACAGCGGCTGACCAGAAGCCCCCACCCCATGGGAAACCAGAGCAACTCGACCTCTGTGAGTGTAGAACATTGCCAATGTGGACGGTAAACAGGATTCACTTGGTTGTCCTCCAGAATTTGTCCAGTTCTCTTTTAAAGCCATCCAAATTGTTCGGCATTGCTGCTTCCTGCGGGAGGGAGTTCCACAGTTTAACTGTTGTCACTGGGTTTCCTTTACGCTGTCCTGAATCCTCTAAACCGGCTCTCTCACTTCCAGCTCCAGTATTCAGAGAGGGAGGGAGGACACCTGTCTCTCTGTCCACTTTCTCCAGTATCCTGCCCCCAGCAGACAGATGCCCTGAACCTTTTCTTTTATATATATATACATTTTTATTAGTTTTTAACATATTAATTAGCATTCATACAACAGAACTTCACATCTTACACAATTATTATTTTTGGGGGGGCTTCCGTCAACACCTCTGATGGTTTTCCGTTCTTATCACTTATTATGCATTTCTTAATTTCATATTACCTTTAATTATCTTTAACTAATAATTCTCCTCATTATCTTTTTTGCAATATTTCAAATAATTCGCCGTACAAAACTTCTTGCAAACCTACTAGCGTAATCTGTTCATCACAATTACTTTTCAAATAATCCGTAAATTTACTCCAGTCTTCTGAGAATCTCTGGTCCCGAAGCTTTCGAATCCTTCCTGTTAGTTTATCTAATTTTGCATAGTCCATCAATTTCAACCTCCATTCTTCTTTCATCGGTAATTCTTCTTGCTTCCAGTTTGGGGCCAATGCTCTGAACCCTTCCGTGGCCCAGAGAACAGATCCTTGTGTCGAGGGATCTGGGGTTCACGTTGACCTTGTCCCTCTTTTTCACAGCGGGCCGTGCTGGAGGGATGGGGAACATCAAGACCTTAGGGGACACGTACCAGTTTGCAGTGGACGTCAGCGACTTCTCCCCTGAAGACATCATCATCACCACGTCGAAAAACCAGATTGAAGTCCACGCAGAGAAGGTGAGAGGCCCCTCCGAGTCCTCCCCCTCCTCCTCTTAGATCCAGCGGGAAATAGCTTTTAAGGGAGCTCTGGACTACAACTTCCATGAGCCACAGAGGTGTGGTGCTGGGGCTGATGGGAACTGTAGTCCAAAGGATCTGGGGAAGGAAGGGTGGACCACAGGGGTGCCCAGCTCTCCTCCAGACCAACCGTTCTGCCTTCTTAGGGCAAAATCTATTCCCAAAGAACCTCTGAGTTTGGGGCTGGGGAAAACACAGTAACTTTAACGCACATAGGTAAAGGTAAAGGGACCCCTGACCATTAGGTCCAGTCGTGGGCGACTCTGGGCTCATCTCACTTTATTGGCCAAGGGAGCCGGTGTACAGCTTCCGGGTCATGTGGCCAGCATGACTAAGCTGCTTCTGGCAAACCAGAGCAGCGCACGGAAACGCCGTTTACCTTCCCGCCGGAGCGGTACCTATTTATCTACTTGCACTTTCAGGTGCTTTCGAACTGCTAGGTTGGCAGGAGCAGGGACCGAGCAATGGGAGCTCACCCCGTCGCGGGGATTCGAACCGCCGACCTTCTGATCAGCAAGTCCCAGGCTCTGTGGTTTAACCCACAGCGCCACCCGCATCCCAATCTCAGCCCTTTTATTAAAACTGAACTTCCGGGCTGCTCTGTTTATTAGCCCCAGGGTGCCTGGCTTTGGTAGGGGCAGCCTCGGCTCTGTGGTTTAACCCACAGCGCCACCCGCTTCCCTTTTTTAAAGAGCATAGCTTCCCCCAAAGGATTAAGGGAACTGTAGTTGGGAATTAAGAGGGTACTGTAGGATACATTCAGCATCCTGCTCTCACAGTGGCCAATCGGAAACCTGAGGGGCAAACTATGGTTCACATAATTCTTGGGAAAGTGCTTGAAAAGTGCTTTCAGCCTGAAATGAGATGGGGTTAAGCAGTGCCCTTTTTGCAGAGGTGCTGGATGTTGCTGGCATAAGAAAGGGCACCCAGGATTCTGCCAGGGAGTGGGGGGGGGGGCTCCTCCTGGACTTTCTCTCCCTGTCTGCCTGGCATCCTTCCCCAGTGACAAATCCTCTCTGCCTTTGCTGGGGACACAGTGCTCTCTCCTCCTGCCACTCCTCCGGGGCAGGAACGCAATGTTCCAGACAGTAGGCATGGTGACAGAAGCACTGAACCATCTTCCTGGCTCTCTGGCTGCCTTGAAAATCCTGGAGGGATTTTGGGAGGAAGACATGAGCTTTGCGGGCCAGGAAATGGGTGCACCTGTTCTGGTTTGCGGTCCCAAGGGGGGCTGACGGGAGAAGGGGCAACTTGGAGAGCTTGGCATTGGGAAGTGAGGCTGTGGAAGCAGAATGAGTTGGCCCCATTGTACAGACCGGGCAACTGAGGCAGGGAGGTGTGGTTTCTATCAGGGACACCCACACACCACATACCACAAGGATCACAGCATAGCAAGAGCTGAAAAGTGGACAGATTCCAGCCAGGCTGCGTATACGTCATGCATTTAAAAACACATGACTTTCCTGCAAAGAATCCCGAGAACTGTAGTTCACCCAATACAGATCACCCTTAACAAACTACAGTTCCCAGGATTCTTGGGGGGGGGGAGGAGTTGGGCAATGAAACTCCTGGAGTTCAGTTAGTCACATCCCTTAATGTCAATGGGCTTACTCTGAGTAAGGCTAGCAATGCATACCACCCAGTGTCCCCCTTCCAGGTCCAGATTGACTGAGCTTCTGCACGGAGGCTGCATCCCCTGCCCTCTGCCCATGCTCTGGAGCCCACCCCCATCCCCCACTGGGGAGACTCCTTGTCCTCCCCTATACACCACTGCAACCCATCTCTGTGGTCACGGCCCTACACTGATTGACTTATTGACTGAACTATTTATAGGCAGATGGATTGAACTATTTATAGGCAGCTCATGGATGCTTTAGCCGAGATTCCTGCATTGCAGGGGGTTGGACTAGATGACCCTTGGGTCCCTTCCAACTCTATGATTCCACAGAAATGAAGGAAGGTGGTATACACCACCAAAAAAATCACAATAAAATAAATGAAAGCATCAATAAATACTGGTTGGTAGACAAAGTCCTGCCTGAGCAGTAACACTTTTTTGGGGAGACATCTAAAAGACAGCAGTGACGATTCCTGTGGCAGGGAGTTCCGCAGGGCCTGCTGTGCTAAAGGCTGACCCATCCTCAGAGGGAAAAGGGAGGCAGACTAAACATCCCCAGTCCAGGCCCCCGCTGACTCCTCTCTCCTCTCTCTTTGCCCTGCTCAGCTGGCAGCGGACGGGACCATCATGAATACGTTCACCCACAAATGCCAGCTGCCTGAGGATGTGGACCCCACTTCGGTCACCTCTGCCCTGGGCGGGGACGGCTCCCTGACCATCAAGGCTCAAAAGCGCCCCGGCAAGCACATCGAGCACGTCCAACAGACCTTCCGGACTGAAATCAAAATCTGAGCATCCCCCATCACCCCATAGCAACTGGGGGACGGCCTGGGGGTGAGGGGGGGGGTTGGTTGGTTTCGGAAGGTGAGCGAAGGGGTTGGGCTCACCACTCCCCCCCTTTGGCCATTCTCCTTTGTATATAATAGATTGCCTTTGGTTTGTTATAAATTATTGGGGATACCGGTAGCTGGTGTGACATCTGCTTTTTCTCTTGTGGGCGACTGTTTCTTTTCAGAGAATTTTTTTCCCAAAGGGAAGGAGAGTCATCACGTTCGTCTCTGCATGTGTGGGAATCCTGGGGTACAGTTCCGGTTGCTTTGCCTCAAAGAGGATATTGCTGTAGCATTCGGGGGTTTTATAGTTTAAGGAAAAGGTGAGTGAAAAAGGGAAATGCTAGAAGTCTACAAAATTATGCATGGCATGGGGAAAGCTTGATAGGGAGTAGTTTTTCCTCCCTCTCTCATAACGCTAGAACTCGTGGTCATCCAGTGAAGCTGAAAGTTGGGAGATTCAGGACAGATAAGAGAAAGCAGGATTGAACGGTGGAACTCACCGCCACAGGATGTAGCGACGGTCACCAACGTGGATGGCTTTAAAAGGGGGTTAGAAAATCCGTGGAGGGAAAGGGCTGTAGTAGCTCAACGGCAGGACACCTGCTGGGCATGCAGAAGGCCCCAGGTTCAGTCCCTGGCAGCATCTCCAGGCAAGGCTGGGAGAGAGTCCCGCTGCCAGTCAGTGCAGATACCGCTGAGCTAGATCAGCGAAGGATTCAGGGCAGTGCAGGCAGTTCCACTGCACAGGGCACCGATCAGGTACAAAATAAGAAAACCCAGAATTGAGAAGTTCCATGGGGCCGGGATACCAAACTTTGGCCATGCATAGGATGTCATATTATGCAAGACTATTAAAGTCCATTGTTGGCTAGGGGGACCCCATGCATGGCAAAGGACAAAGCAGCTTCCTCTGTTCTAGCATCTCCTAGGCATCATATCAATGCTCTGCCTTCAAGCATCATGCCTTCGAGGTCCAGTTGCTGGGAAATCCCAAGCAAAGGGGGTGCTTATTATTATTATTATTTTAGCTAGTAAGCCTTCTCTTTATTAAACTGTTGCAACAGAGTCCTCACTCCTCCCATGCAGGGAGGGAGAGAGGCACCCAGGACAGTGGTGTGCAAGGTCTTATATAGACTTTTGAAATTGCCTCCCCTGTCGCTCAAGACCCCCCCCCCCAAAAAAAAACATCATACATACATCACAGAAAGAGGTGGTCCCCAGCAGAAATACAACACAGGGGGAGGTCAACAGCAGAAAACCTATCTGTCAAGATACCTGATAATGGTTACTGATTGCTTGACCTGGGTATCCTGGCTATTCTTTTTGAGATGCTAAATACTTAGTTCCTGAATCCAGGTCACAGACTCACCCTATTCATACACAAATACGCACTAAAGACAGGAGTTGTGAGCAAAGAGACAATGGGGAGAATATCTGAGGTCAATTTGAGAGACACTATTTCAGACACGTGGTTTATATACTTTATGAACATATGGTTTATATATATGAGACCTTAGAATTCCTATAACACATTTAAAACACATTCAAAGGTTTTAAGAAAAAATAATCTCTATTAAATAGTTTTCCAATTGAAATGGTTGTACGATCTCAACAATCAAGCAGAAACCATCCAAATTGGCATGAAATACAAAGTCTTTCTTCTTCCTGTTCCTGAGATATTTGAAGCTGTTAAAAAGGACCAAATGGGGAAATCCTTTTTTGATTCCTCAATAATAAGAGGCAGTGGGGTGAGGGAGGCCAGGGCCACAGCCACACCATTTAAAGCGGATGGGATGGGGGGGCGGGATTCTCTCCTATTGCAAAAACTTCACCACCCCAGTCATCAACACGCGAGCCTCGTTTCCCGTGGCAGGGTTGTTCTGGGGCATATTTGGGGGGGGGGGGGAAGGAAAATAAAAGCTGCAATCCTAGACCCTGTTACCCTATGGAACACAGTGGAACTTACTTTCAATTAAGCCAGTGGATCTTGCTTTTTTCCTGACCGCTTAGGTCAGGGGTCAGTAAACTTTTTCAGCAGGGGCCCGGTCCACTGTCTCTCAGACCTTGGGGGGGCAGACTATATTTTGGGGGGCAAAATGAACGAATTCCTATGCCCCACAAATAACCCAGAGGTGCATTTGAAATAAAAGCACACATTCTACTCATGTAAAAACACCAGGCAGGCCCCACAAATAACCCAGAGATGCATTTTAAATAAAAGCACACATTCTACTCATGTAAAAACACGCTGATTCCCGGACCATCTGCGGGCCGGATTTAGAAGGCGATTGGGCTGGATCCAACCCCTGGGCCTTAGTTTGCCTACCCATGGCTTAGGTGATACCGATGGCTTACAAAATCCCTCGCCAGCCCAGGACCATCCCATAAATGGGAGCTTCTCATACGCAGAAGAATAAAAAAGCGGAATTGTAGAAATCAGAGTTGCTGGGGAATGATGGATCTGGGAGCAAACGTCTTTCTTGGTTTGTGGACCCTGGGGGAAAAAAGGGGGGGGGGAGGTGGAGATGTCCTTGATGCTCTGTCCCATGTAGGCCGAGGGCCAACGGCCTGAGAAGCGAGAGGGGCGGAAGGAGTGAGTCACTCTCTGGAAATAGCTGCCCTGACAAAAGACAGGCACTACTAGCTGGGAGGGTCAGCTGCCTGCCTGCGCCTGGCTTGTCCTCGGGCAGCGACAGCGTGGGCAGTAACCACATCCCATTCGGAGCCACCTTGCCCTTTGGGCAGAAGACAGACAGAAGGACCCCCCTTGGTGCGAATGGCACCAGGGGACTTCTGCCCAATGGCCCAACGTGGCTACAGTTTACTCCCATTCTGTCCTGGCTCCATTCATGGCTGTTGGAACTGCATCCCAACCCCCCCAAGCTGAGGAACACACAAAGTTCAGATCAGAGTCAACACTGACCCCAGCCCAATGCAATTTGGAGCCCTGGGAGGCCGCAGAGCAATCCTAGCTCCAGAATATGACTCGAGTGAGTGAGCCCAACTGCATACTCTAAGAATGTGGGAAGCAAGAAAGAAGCCAAGGGGATAAATTAGTAGCTGGCCTCAACTGGCCGTGGTCAGCATTTGAATAGCAAGACCACATTCCTGATTCCCACATGGTGCACAAAGTATTTTAACAGATAACAGAATGTAAGAGGAGTTCAGAGCTGCTAACTGCATCCAACGGCACACAAACAAATTTAAAGCCATAATTTAAAGCAGCCGTAACTGAAACCGAAAACAATTAGCAATGCAAACCTTTATGAACAGGGTCACTTGCACCCTGAAGGTCCTTAGAAATAAAAAACAGGTCTCATAGCTGGGGCTCAATGAAAAGAGGGGAGGGGGGTGGGTGGGTGAGGGAGCCATATTCGGGGCGGGGGGAGGGTGTTTCACAAGCAGGACACTACAAAAAAACATGTTTTTTGGGGAGGGGGGCGGTAGGATATCTAGGGAGAAAAAACCCTTGTCTTTTGGGGAACAAATTCCAGGGCAGGTGGTTGTGTGAGTCTGGGTCAGTCAAAACAGTGGCAAGGGTCTGGTGGCACCTCAGTGGGTTGGATGGTTTTATTTCGCAACTGGTTTATTTTGCAAGGAGACTCGCTGTTCGCTCTTGGGGACAAGATCCGAGGAAAGCCTTGTTTGTGAGCTGCAGTGTGACACAAAGCTCCATACCAAAATGCTTTTGCATGGGGGGGGGGGAAACCCCGCCCATAGAAATGGGGACAGCGGGGAGCATATCAGACTGGAATCCTAAAGTGCACAATTTCAAACTGCAAGGATTTGTTTTGATTTGCTGGTGGGGGTGGCAGGAGGCTGGCTGCCTCATCTAACATCTATCCCCAACCCAGATGTTTGGGTGTATAACAGTGTCCTGAAGGGTGAAATTTTGGGGAGGCTGATCTAGCGGATGGTCACACATGCCTTGAAGGGAAGTGTGCCCACCGCCCATTTCATTCTGTGAGGATGCCTCTTGAACTGCCTGGCAGGTGCCAAGAGAGATACCCGCTTGCTCTGAGGGCACCGCATTAAATAAAGATGGTTCCCCCTGGAACATTTGACTCGGCCAAAATGTGTGGGATTTGTGGGGGGGATGGGACGTGGGGAGGTCAGTGCACTTGCATAAGACTTTGGCCGGCCTCCCTAGTGGACAGGGCAGGTGAGAAAGAGCTGGCCTGTGTTTTGTCTGCAAAACAAGCCGCCGGCGCCTGGTGTTTGGCTCTGGGATGGGTCTGTTTATAGTAACAGCAGGCACTCTTAGCATTGTGTTGGTGCAACAGGGAGAGGAGCATAGAGGTCACCATGTCCTCTCCCTTTCTGGAGTGGGGGGGGGGGACTGTCAGGAGAGGCAACAGCCTGCCATAATGGCACCAGAAAGGGAATCTACCTGGCCATCACAAAAGCTCCACAAAGCGGGATAGGGCATTCGGGGCACGATTGTCTCAACCAGTGGTCAGCAAACCTTTTCAGCAGGGGGCCGTTCCACTGTCCCTCAGACCTTGTGGGGGGCCGGACTATATTTTGGGGGGGGAAATGAACGAATTCCTATGCCCCACAAATAACTCAGAGATGCATTTTAGATAAAAGGGCACATTCTACTCATGTAAAAACACCAGGCAGGCCCCACAAATACCCCGGAGATGCATTATAAATAAAAGAACACATTCTACTCATGTAAAAACACACTGATTCCCGGACTGTCCACGGGCCGTATTTGGAAGGCGATTGGGCCGGATTTGGCCCCTGGGCCTTAGTTTGCCTACCCATGGTCTCAACATTTGAATGTTCCACAGGTTAGCCAGGGCTTTGACTGGAGCTCCAACTCCATCAGCCCCAAAATCACCCAGAACCATCTGGAAACCCATTGGATCAATCAGCCTCTGAGGCTGTCCACCCACCCTCTTCTGCAGAGGGCAAAGGGTACTGAAAGCCTAAATCTCAGCAGGAAGTGATCGGACCATGACAAGTGACTGATGTTAATGCCCTCCCACATGCTTTCCAATCACCTGACCGGTTGAGAAAACAAGGTCCAGAGTGTGGCCAGTCACAGGCATTGGCCCGTTGACATGTTGGGACAGCAGCCCCATAATTATCATGGCAGCCATGAAGTCCTGAGCCACCCCAAAGCCAGACACCTGGCCTTGGATATTGAAGTCCTCTGAAAGCAGCAGACTGGGAGTCCTCCATCGTGCCTCCAAGACCAGCTCCGTCAGCTCAGGCAGGGAGACTGCTGGGCAGCAAGGTGGGTGCTAAACAAACAGAATCCTCAACTGGTCCGATCACCCAGTGCCAGGAACACACACACTATATCGCCCCAGAAATGGACAGAGGGCCAGGAAAGAGAGAGGATCACTAAAGACCACAGCAACTCCTGCTCCCCGACTCTCAACTCTTCCTTTCTCCCCCCAGTAAATTTTTATTATTTTCTTTACACACTCAAGTACATTAATCAACATATAAACCATTTTGCTCTGCCAAGCTTGCGACTTCCCTCCTTCCCTTCAGCTGGTATCCCTTATCAAAGCCAATCGCGTATTTTAACTTTTTACCTCTTATCGACATTGTAGGAATTACTTCAGTCCTGCTAGTGTCTTTAAATTTTTACAGTTATCCTTTAAGTATACAATAAATTTACTCCAATTGTCCTGGAATTTGTGATCGTCCTGATCCCAAATCCTGCTGGTCAGTTTGGCTAACTCCGCATAGTCCATCATTTTCACCTGCCACTCTGCAATAGTAGGCATTTCTTGTGATTTCCAGTTTTGGGCCAACAAAGTCCTCGCAGCAGCTGTGGTGTACAAAAATAATCTTTGGTCTGATTTCTTAATCTCCTTTCCCATCAAGCCAAGCAAAAAATGCTTCTGGCTTTTTAGGGAAAGTATATTTTAATATTTTCTTTAGTTCGTTATAAATTGACTCCCAAAATGTCTTTACTTTATCACAAGTCCACCACATGTGACAGAATTCTCCATCCACTTCTTTAGATTTCCAACATTTTTTGTCCCTCATCCTATATATTTTTGCCAGCTTTACACAGGTGGGCGCAGCTGATCCAGACCAGATCAGCCTCCTCATTCGTAATACGATCATGGATGAGGAGGGTCTTACTCAGAGCCCTTACTAAGGGCTGGCATTCAGCAACCGCAGCCGCATACCCAAGCATGGCACAGCATCAAGGGCAGGCTCCTCCTGAGCATGAGAGCCATTGAAGCTTTGCGGTGCTGGGCAATGACTCCTGCTGATGATGTATGCCCAACACGTGTCACACACATGATGTCACAGGTGTATGTCACACGGCTTGGCCCCTCCAGTCTTCGGCCCAAGGTGGTGCTTCTGGCTGGCACTAACTGCCTGTGCCTGGTGCCCCATACCTGGCCTGCCCCTGCCCCAAAACCATACCTGCCCCTACCCTGATCCACTGTGATTGAGTCTCTCCTGCTGTCTCCAGCTCTTCTATTCTGAAATCAACCCACATTCCTTAATTTAAAAAACAACAAAACCTCCAAATTTAAAAACACAGAAGTTAAATCAGTTTAAAACAATTTAAAACATTTTAAACAGCTAGGGCAAAAACAGCATCAGGATCACATCAACAACCACCTCTCTAAACAATACCCCACCCCTTGTGATCATTCTGCTGTTGTCCAGCATTATGCCAGTTGTTTGTCTATTATACTGATAGTATTTACCTACCTGCCTAGCTGGAAAGTTTACTTTAAACAGCATTCTCTTTATCTTAGTCCTCTCTCCCTCTCTTTCTCTTCAAACTTCTTGTTTGCTGGCGGAAAATGAAGAGTGGAGCAAAAGGTGGAGAAAGGAAAAGAAGTTTGGGGGACAAGAAAGAGGAACAAAGAAATGGAAAGAAGAAGAATGCATGGGCGAAAAAATATTTTTTTAAAAAATTGGAATTAAAAAATTGATGTTAGTTTTTTCACTGCGATTACTGCAGCCGTTCGGGGGGGATGGGATTGTTTCAAAAGAGTGGTGTACAAATAACAGTCGATCATGATGATTAATAATCAATAACAATAGGAAGAGGAAAATGTGAGGGGGAAAGAGCGAAAGAAGAAGAAATGAACGGGCGGGGAAGCAGGCAACGGGTCCCCCTCAATCTTTGCGCTTCCCCTATCCCCCGGAGAAACTGCGCTGCCTCTAGTGCTTGTCCCTGCCTCTGGTGTCATGGCGGCCAAGAGACGCTGCAGAGCCGCCTGCGTCACGTGCCAGCCGTTCCTTTGCCCCCGCCCCTTTTCCGCCGGCGAGACGGGACGCGCCGTGCACGCAAAGCGAAAGAGGGGGGGGGGAAATGCGCGTCGAGAAAGAGGGCGGTGGCTACGGAGACGCCGCTTCCGCCCGGGCCCAAGATGGCGGCGCCCTTTGTCTGTTCCGTGTCACTCTGAGCGCCGCCGCCGCCGCCGCCGCCCGGGATTATGTGACGCGCGCCGGATAGCAGGTGCGGGGTGGTGGTGGGGGCGGGGGGAGGGTTCGTGGAAGGGGAGGGGCCGGGAAGGGGAGGGGCAGGAAGGCAGCCGGGGTGGGGGGGCTGCCTGTCAGGGGGAGGGGGCTGCCAGCCAGCAGGTGGGGGGAATTCAGGGGGCCGGGGGCTGCCTGTAAAGGGGGGCGGGGAGCTAATGAGGGGCATTGAAAGAGGCGGCAAGCTGGTGGGGGGTTGGGGGGCCGGAGGGGAGAAGAAACAAGCAGGGGGGCAATCGGGGTGTGTGCAGTGGGGGATCGAGGTTAAGGGGGCGTCCAGGAAAGCGAGCAGTGGAAGGGGGAGAGGAGGAAGGGGATAACTGAGGGCGCTGCCCGCCTGTGGAGGCCAATTGCCCCCCCAACACACACACACACACACACACACACACTCCGAGTGTCAGGTGCGGAAATTCAGGTCAGTAACATTTGTATTGTGTTTGGAAATACAATTTGGAATTTAAAAATAGAAAAAAAGAAATGTGGGGTGGTGGGACTTACTTGTTCAGGGTGGGGGGAGAGACACAAAGGTCCAGTTAGGATTATTTCTTGTTCCCCTTTTTTTTGGTGAGGGGCAGGAAGCCTGTGACAGAGTTGACTTGGGGGTTCAAAGCGTATTCGGGTGAGGGGAAGGGGCTGTTGCTCAGTGGTTGGAGCATGGCATGCAGAACGCCCCAGGCTCAGTCCCTGCTGGCAGCATCTCCAGGTGGGGCTGGGAGAGAGACCCTTGCTTGAAACCCGGGAGAGCCTTTGCTGCCTGTCCACTTTCTGCGTTGTGGTGGTGGGGCAGGTGATGGGTGCTCTTAATGGGGTGGGATGGGGAGTTTGGCCCCATGAAGGAGGAGATTGAAGGTGTTGGAGGAGGGGAGCTGGGGTCAAGTCCCTCCTGGGCCCCAGACCAAAGACATAAGACATCTCAGCCTGTCTGAGTGTCTGTAAAATGGGAACAAGCTGATTTGCCTCGTCTTGAGAGCAGCAACACTTAAGGGCAGCAGAGCCCATTGCAAATACACATCCTAGAAAAAGAGGATATAACTGGAAGGGTCAGCCTGTTTGGAATGACAGCTGTCAGACTTCTTCAGATGTGCCTCAGGATTAGTGTGTTGATTTGCTTCAGGGGGATCCGGCCTCACTTTTGCTGGGCTGTTCCTGGAAAGGAAGGAGATGCCCTATACTGAATCCCATTGTTGGTTCATCTAGCTCAGTCTACACTGACTGGTACCAGTTTTCCAGCATTTCAGGCAGGAATATCTCTCGGCCTTACCTGGAGGCACCACTGTGGATTGAACCTGGGGCCTTCTGCATGCCAAGCAGGTGCTCTCCAACATTGCTAAGCCCCATCCCCTTCTGTTGTGCAGAAGTGGTTGTCAACAGAATTGTGAAGTTGGAAGGTACACCTGAGGATTATCTAGTCCAACCCCCTGCAATGCAGGTATCAAAACTCAAACATCCATGACGGATGGCAAAGGCTTGGAACTGCATGCTGCTTTTCTTCGGCTGGGCAGGGCATGATTCGTGGGCCAGAGGGAAGCCTGCATAGCCAGAGGAGGGGCATCTGTGCTCAAGGGCCTCCTGCCTCTCTCCCCGCAGCCATGGATTTCCCTCAGCACAGCAAGCAGGTGCTGGAGCAGCTGAACCAGCAGCGGCAACTGGGTCTGCTGTGTGATTGCACCTTTGTGGTGGATGGCATCGACTTCAAGGCCCACAAGGCAGTGCTGGCTGCCTGCAGCGAATACTTCAGGATGCTCTTTGTGGACCAGAAGGACGTGGTGCACCTGGACATCAGCAACGCAGCAGGTGGGCCTAGCGGCGGATGGGGTTGCGGGATATTATCCCGTGCCTGAAATGTAGGGTTGAGCTGCGTCCTAGCTGGCCAATATAACAGTTGCAAGGGGCCCAAATGACCACCAGGTCCTGAAGCAGCCAGCCTAGGCTGTGCAGGTGTCCCACAGGAAGGGGCCTGCAGAGCTGATTGATTGCATTATATCCAGCCTTTTTCTCTAAGGAGCTCAAGGTGGTTTGCGTGGTTCCCCCCTCCTCAATTAATCACCACAACAGCCCTAGGTTAGGCCGAGAAGCAGTGACTGGCCCCCAGGGTCCCCCAGTGAGAGCTTTATGAATGAGCAGAGATTTGAACCCTGGTCCCTCCCAGAGTCCAGTCAAAGTCTCTTAAGGAGTACAGGTAAGTTAAGCAAGGTGAGTCCAGAATGAATGGCTCCAGGTGAGTTGAGCAAGGGACCCACGTTGCACGCCTCATGCAAGGCAAACAGCAGCAAGCCCCCTTCTGAAAACTATGGGGCAAGTTGTACCCTCCCACCTCTGGGCCAGAGATAGAAGGCAGAGTCAGGCTTGAGCAAAAACCACCTTGGGGGATGTATGACTGGGCCCTGGCGGTGCCTCTGGTCCACCCAGTACCTTGTCCCCCAATGTCCCTGGTGCACCCCCGGAAAAGTAGCAGTGGGTGCCTCCTTGGTCCCCAGAAGGAGCCTAGAGATTTCTTTTAAGTTTCGAGGCAGCATATAAATTAAAAGGTAAAGGTAAAGGGATCCCTGACCATTAGGTCCGGTCGTGGCCGACTCTGGGGTTGCGGCGCTCATCTCGCTTTACTGGCCGAGGGAGCCGGCATACAGCTTCCGGGTCATGTGGCCAGCATGACTAAGCCGCTTCCGGCGAACCAGAGCAGCGCACGGAAACGCCGTTTACCTTCCCGTCGTAGCGGTACCTATTTATCTACTTGCACTTTGACATGCTTTCGAACTGGTAGGTTGGCAGGAGCAGGGACTGAGCAACGGGAGCTCACCCCATCGCGGGGATTCGAACTGCCAACCTTCTGATCAGCAAGTCCTAGGCTCTGTGGTTTAACCCACAGCGCCACCCGCGTCCCAGCATATAAATTACTTAATAAATAAATACAGAATTAAAATAAATAAAATGGGATACTAAGCCACAAAGTATAATTTTATTTTGTAAAACAACTTAACTTCCATGCGTGTGTGTATGTCATGTGCGACACAGGACCGGGTCTGATTTCTTCACATTAATCTACATGAACAAGACGTCCCCACCCCGCACCCCACCCAGTTTAGGTGGGAATAAGTCATAAAAAGGGAAGGGAAAAATGGCTAGGGAGGGTGGGGAATATGGGGTGTTTCTTACCTTTACTGTTTTCATTTTTAGCTTTGTAAAACTATGAGATTCAGTTTTTAAAAGAAGAGTGTGGAGAGGAAGGAGATCTAGCAAAGTTCTGGCTTTTCCCCATGATGGCTCCTTCAATGCTTTCTATTTTTTAAAATCAAATTCTTTCAAATTGTTGGTGCCCCTGCTTTGCGGATGCCTTAAACCAGGGGTAGGCAACCTAAGACCCGGGGGCCGGATGTGGCCAAATCACCTTCTAAATCCGGCCTGCGGATGTTCCGGGAATCAGCGTGTTTTAGAATGAGTAGAATGTATCCTTTTATTTAAAATGCATCTCTGAGTTATTTGTGGGGCAAGTTTTTGACCCCTGCCTTAAACCATGTGCTCAATTTGCCTGTTGTGCCATCCAGCCCTTGGCACTAGGGTTTGCTCTGCCTTGCAGGTGGGAAGTCCATGATGGTCTGTCATAAGAACATAAGCAGAGCCAATGGCCCATCTAGTCCTGCCTCCTGTTCTCACAGGGGCCAGCCACACACCTATGCGAAGCCTGCGACCAGGAACTGAGCACATGAGCAATTCTCCCCTCCTGTGGTTCCCAGAAACGGGCATTCACAAGCCTTGCTGCCTCCAACTGTGGAAGGCAGAGCAGAGCCGTTGTCGTGCGCTGACTGCCTGTCCGTGCCTGTTCCAGGTCTCGAGCAGGTGCTGGAGTTCATGTACACATCCAAGCTGAACCTGAGCCTAGAGAACGTGGAGGACGTCTTGGCTGTGGCCGGCTTCCTTCAGATGCAGGAGATCATCAGCGCTTGCAACTCCCTGAGGACTCTTTCGGCGCCGGCAGAAGCTGCAGTGGAGAGCCCGGGAGACCCCCCGACAGCTGGTATGGGGCTGTGGTTGTAATTGTATGAGCAGGGAGGTAACGGGGCACTGCTCTAGATTTCTGGGCGATCTCTGGTTAGATCTCTGGAGATTGGTCCATGAGCCCCAAAAGGGGGTCTCAGTCCAATATTTATTTATTTATATTTTAACAAAAAGTTTTATTTATAAAGAACTACAATTCAACACCAGTGTAGAAAAGTTATTGAAAATTATGCAAGCACGAATTAAGTAACTGGCTTCATTCTTCACTCTTCAGACACCAGTGGTAGAATTGAGAGGGATACCATTAAACCACTGCATATTTTCTTCTATAGGTTTAAAGGTTAAAATAATAAGCAAAACAGACTCAGTAGCTATTTCTAGTAAGAAGCACTCTGTAGAAGAGTAATATGGTCTCCTTTTAACATGATTCGACCCAGCTGTTTCCTTGATTTTGTCTTGGAGTGAATCTCCTCAGCAACATCCAGAATCAAGTTCATATATTCATCAAATCCAGTAATACAGCCTTCTATCCTCATGTTCACCTGTTCATACAGCCACAACTGAATTCTGGACCTATTCTGTAGGTATCTGAAGATGAGGTTGACACCATCACTTTCTGCATCTTCTGGCCTTGCCATGGCCGGCAGCTGGGCTGGGAACGACCCCTGACAGGACGAGCTGACTTAGGCAGGACGGGGCAGCCAACGGTCAACTCCTCTCCCTCCTCGCTTTATCCCTCCCGAATATTTGTTTTTGTTGTTATTATTATGATTATTGGAAGTGGAAGGGAACCCATGTATCTTCTAGTCTAAGCTCCTACAATGCAGGAATCTCAGCTAGAGCTTCCATTACAGATGGCCACACAGCCTCTACTTAAAAACCGTGCTGGACTTGTAACAGGCTAAAGGAATATTGGGAAATAATTTATAATGAATTGGAAAAAAAAATGGTTAAGTACCTTTCCAAAAAAATCAGAATCCTTCTTGTTGGGGATAATTCAGATGGAAATTCCCAGCTGTCAAAAAAGACTACAGTGGTACCTCTAGATATGAACGGGATCTGTTCTGGAGCCCTGTTCGCATCCAGAAGCAAACGTAACTAGCGACGGCATGTCTGCACACACGCGCGTTGCTTTTTGCCGCTTCTGCTCATGCGTGTGATGTCATTTTGAGCGTCTGCGCATGCACAAGCGGTGAAACCCAGAAGTAACGCACTCCATTACTTCCGGGTTGCTGCGGAGCGCAACTCGAACGTGCTCAACATGAAGCATATTCAACCCGAGGTATGACTGTATTTATGTATGCCACTCCTGTGGCCCGTGTTTTGTTAGCCCAAAAATGGAAAATGAGAGAGGTCCCATCCAAAGAAGAATGGCAACTTAAACTGATAGAATAAACACAGCTTGCAGAATTAACTTATAGAATAAGAGAACAAGAAGAACATACGTTTAAAGATGATTGGAAAATGTTTATTGAATATATGGGTGAAAATTGTGTACATTTAAAAACGCTGGCAGTATTAGATAAATTAAACAGTGTAGATAATTTTTGATGTATCTAACAATGAACTACTGAATGGTTTAGCTTATGTAAAATATGCAGGGATTTATGGTATGTAAGTTGAGCCATGGAAGGAGAATAGGGGAAGTCATTTGAGGTTGTTTAAATGAATATTCTAAAATGTAAAATAGAAAAGCTTAATAAAAATTATACAAAAAACAAAAATCACCTGCCAAGGAAGGAGAGTTCTCTCACCTGTTCCTCATAAAGATTGGTTTCCAGACCCTTGATCATCTTGATAGGGTAGAATACAGCTGTTGCATCACACAGCTGGCTTATGTTAAGCTTGTGGTCCACCAAGAGGGAATCTGTAGGGAGACCCCCACCTTGGCCTGATCCAGCAGGGCGTTCCTCACCCTTCTCTCCCCCAGCACCTCCTCAAGTTCTTGTCATCATGGCAGCCCTTGTGCCCATTGTGCAGATGGGGTAAGTGGGTGGGGGCTCAGCATCTGGTAGGTCATAGCTGAGAGGAGCCTGTCCTAGTTGGTTTTGGCCCCTCTCTTTCCTAGGGCAGGAGAAAACGGCTGGTGGGGGTAAAGAGACGACAGAGACCCCCCGGGATCTGGAGGAGACCCCACAGCCCCTACCCAGCAGCATCCAGAAGGAGGCGGCCATGGAGCCCACAGAGGAACAAGAGGAGGAGGAAGAGGAGGCTGAATGTGCAGCTGGCAAGGGCTCAGGTAGGCACCGGGAACCAGGGGTCTTGGATAGAGCCGGACTAAATAATAATAATAATAATAATAATAATAATAATAATAATAATTTATTACAGTGGTGCCCCGCAAGACGAATGCCTCGCAAGACGGAAGACCCGCTAGACGAAAGGGTTTTCCGTTTTGGAGGTGCTTCGCAAAATGAATTTCCTATGGGCTTGCTTCGCAAGACGAAAATGTCTTGCGAGTTCTTGCAGGGTTTTTTTCCTTTCCCCCTTTTTCCCAAGCCGCTAAGCCGCTTATCAGCTGAGCCGCTAAGCCGCTTAACAGCTGATCTGCTAAGCCGCTTATCAGCTGATCCGCTAAGCCGCTAATAGCGCTAATCCGCTAAACCGCTAATGGGCTTGCTTCGCAAGACGAAAAAACCGCAAGACGAAGAGACTCGCAGAACGGATTCTTTTCGTCTTGCGAGGCACCACTGTATTTATACCCCGCCCATCTGGCTGGGTTTCCCCAGCCACTCTGGGCGGCTTCCAACTGAATATTAAAAACAGTACAGCATCAGACATTAAAAACTTCCCTAAAGAGGGCTGCCTTCAGTTGTCTTTTAAAAGTAAAATAAATATGTGTAAATCATATTTGTCTGCATTGTGGTATTTTCACAATCTGCCCTGGAAGTGTTTGGTGAAGGGCACAAACAGTAAATAAGCAAATGAAAACTTTCGTTCAGTTGAAACACTCCTGCTTGGTCCTTGGAAGGTAAAAGATAAAGGTAAAGAGACCCCTGACCACTAGGTCCAGTCGTGACCGACTCTGGGCTTGCGGCACTCATCTCGCTTTATTGGCCGAGGGATCCGGCGTACAGCTTCCGGGTCACGTGGCCAGCATGACTAAGCCACTTGTGGCGAACCGGAGCAGCGCATGGAAACGCCGTTTACCTTCCCACTGGAGTGGTACCTATTTATCTACTTGCACTTTGACGTGCTTTTGAGCTGCTAGGTTGGCAGGAGCTGGGACAGAGCAACGGGAGCTCACCCCGTCGCGGGGATTCGAACCGCCGACCTTCTGATCGGCAAGTCCTAGGCTCTGTGGTTTAACCCACAGCGCGACCCGGGTTCAAATCCTGACGTCTCCAGAGAGCCCGCCACCAGTCAGTGCATGTGATGCAGGGCCAAATGGACCAGTGTCGCTTCCTGAGCCTCTGTTTAAATCAGCCCTTTATGTGGAGCCGCAAGGGCTCGTGTTTCCTTCATTTTCAGTAGCTGAGTGGTAGAACACCTGCTTTGCATGCAGGAGGTCCTGGTTTGTTCCCCGTACCACCAGGTTTGGCTGAGAATGTTCCCTGCCTTGTGGGCTGCTGCCCATCGGTGTGGGCAATACTGAGCTTGGCTGAGCAGTGGTCTGATTTGGTACCAGGGGACTTCCTTTGGGAGAAGCCTCCATGTGGTGGGGAGAGAGCTGGCTTGGGATCACGGCAGCAATTTATAAAAAAAAAAACCACCTCTATTCCAGTCCTCTCCCAAAGCTCAGGGCACACTGAAACATCTCAGAACAAAACCTAAAAATCTGTTTCGAAACCTTGGGTGCCTTGCCTGATGCAATGAAATGGGCCAAAAATCCAAGTAGAGCTTATTTGAAGAAGCTTCAGAAGTCTCTTACAGAGAATAAAAAGGCCCCCCAAGGGCCATCTAGTCCAACCCCCTGCAATGCAGGAATCGCAGCCCAGTAATCCGGGTGTGGTACGGCCTTCCCCCACAACCTCCAGATGTTTTGGGTGTTGTAGTCCAAAACATCTGGAGGGCAGCAAGTTGGGGAAGGCTGGTGTGGGATCTGAAGACCCAAGAGGAGGAAATTCAAACTAAATCTTTAGGAAGACTGCATTACTCAGCGTTCATGAGATCTAGCACCTTGGGTGGGACTTGATTTTAACATTTGCAGCAGGCTTCATCTGTTAGCCGAGGATGTCTGTTCGCTTCCCTCCCCCATCAAATCCTGCCCTGCTTCCTGTTCCCTCTCTCAGATTTGTTGCCCCTTATCCCCGTGGCTGTTGGTCACTAGTGCTGAGGGGTATGTGACCAGCTCCTCTCTTTTTTTCAGCTGTGGAAGACGACGTCTCCTCCCCAGTGCCTGAGACCTCGCAGACGGAAGACTCCTCCCCTGGGGAAAGCAGCGATGCCCCAAAACTTGCCCTTTCGAGGGCTGCAGAGGATGGTGAGTGGCAACAGAAGCAGGGCGGAAAGCCTCTCTTGGGTGCTTCTGGGGGTGATCTCTGTGTGGCACCCAAAGGATCTTTGCTTTCCCTTTGCCCATGACGCCTGTAGGTCAAGAGGGCACCAAGCGAGATTCCTTTCGGAAAGAACATTCTTGTATCACCTCAGAAGGGCAACAGATGAGGCTTGCAGGATCCAGGTTCATAGAATCAGAGAATTATTATTATTATTATTATTATTATTATTATTATTATTATTATTTTATTTATACCCCGCCCTTGCCAGCCAGAGCTGGGCCTAGGGCGGCTAACACCAGTAAAATTACAATAAAAACATAATATGGGGGGGGGGGGGTTTAAAAAAAAAGGTTAAAATGCAGCCTCATTTTAAAAGTAGCCCATGGAATTGCGGAGTTGGAAGGGATCCCTGAGGTTCATCTAGCCCAACCCCCTGCAATGCAGGGATCCAAGCTGAAGATTTCAGGAAGATGGCCTTCGAGTATCTGAAAGGCTGCCAGCGGGGGGGGAAGGCAGAGCAGACCTTTGTTCTCTCTGTTCCTCCAGAGGGCAGAGCATGCAGGTGGACAAGCAGGGAGGCAGATTTTGGCAAAACCTTAGAGGGCTCCTTTGGCCAGGGGGGCACCACCCACCTCAGGCTCAGAAGCATCACCTGGGCGTCCTTCTGTTGGGGAGGGGGCTGTACGTTGCAGGATCCCGATCCTTAGCAGAGGGTCAGGCTAGATGCCCTCCAGAAACCCCGCCCGCCTTGCCGATTTTGTGAATGTAATCCCGGAGCGTACAGGGGGAAGGGTTTTTGGGGAGGCAGCTGCAGCCGCCTAGACACTATTGGCTCCCACAAGATGGCGTCTAGCGCAGGTGGCCCACTAGACTGCTTCTTTCTCTCTGTGTCTCTAGCTGAGCCCTCTGACCTGAAGCTGCCCTCTGAGATGGAGGTAGAGCTGGAAGGCAAGGGCGAGGGGACCGTGCTGCCGGAGGCCGAGGTACCTTCCCAGGCCCACGAGGCCCAGCTGGCCAACGGCAACTCCCAGGATGAGGAAGAGTCGGGGGGCACGGACTCCGGGGCAGAGAACGCAGGGGAGGCCCGGCTTCTGCGCTCGGGGACCTACAGTGACAGGACCGAGTCCAAGACCTACGGGTCGGTCACCCACAAGTGCGAGGTGAGAGATTATCATTTCAAAAAATGCATACTATGCTGAGCACTGGACGGTTGGCCCAACAGCATCTGCTGCAGCCGCCTTTTGCAGCCTAACTTTCTGCAGCTGAAATATGATGTGGCGTGGACCTTCTACCCCAGAATGTTTTACTTTGATGTTGAACCAACAGTGATAGGACAGGCAAACCATGTCCAGTGGTGCCTCAGGTTACATACGCTTCAGGTTACAGACTCCGCTAACCCAGAAATATTACATCGGGTTAAGAACTTTGCTTCAGGATGAGAACAGAAATCATGCTCCGGCGGCGCAGCAGCAGTAGGAGGCCCCATTAACTAAAGTGGTGCTTCAGGTTAAGAACAGTTTCAGGTTGAGTACGGACCTCTGGAATGAATTAAGTACTTAACCTGATGTACCACTGTATTTCACTATCAGCCGTAAGTTGTTGGGGGTTTTTGCAACAAAACCTGGTTGCTGTTACCAACCACCTTGAATAGCTCACTGGGCCAATTTTAAGAAAGGCCAGATCCTGTCCTTATGGCCTGGGTGACCTGTATGCTTGATCAGTAGCCACACTCCTCAGTTGTCTCTCGAGACAGACAGATGCCAAACAGTAGGACAGATCCTTTATGACATTGAAGAGAAGTAAGAGGCTCTCCAGTTGAGAGTATGGTAGACGAAGGAGCCATTTCAAATTCAGCAGCAACATCTTGCATCTTGCCAACGTTACCTGTCCATTTGCTGTTGGACAAGGCCTCCCTATCGGATGCCATGATCACGTGTCACAGGGGGAACTCGTTGGTGTGGAGGGCACAAACCAACCAGATCAGCTTATGACTGAGCTTGACCTCTACCTGATGGCACCACCCTTCTGACTGGTGTGAACATTTGTAGAATCGCCTCTAACAACCTGCAGGTGGGTTATCAGTGCCCTTCGACAAGATTACAAGCAATAACTCGTAATCAATGCAATTCTGGGCTGCATCAATAGGAGTATAGCATCTAGATCAAGGGAAGTAATAGTGCCACTGTATTCTGCTCTGGTCAGACCTCACCTGGAGTACTGTGTCCAGTTCTGGGCACCACAGTTCAAGAAGGACACTGACAAACTGGAACGTGTCCAGAGGAGGGCAACCAAAATGGTCAAAGGCCTGGAAACGATGCCTTATGAGGAACGGCTAAGGGAGCTGGGCATGTTTAGCCTGGAGAAGAGGAGGTTAAGGGGTGATATGATAGCCATGTTCAAATATATAAAAGGATGTCACATAGAGGAGGGAGCAAGGTTGTTTTCTGCTGCTCCAGAGAAGCGGACACGGAGCAATGGATCCAAACTACAAGAAAGAAGATTCCACCTAAACATTAGGAAGAACTTCCTGACAGTAAGAGCTGTTTGACAGTGGAATTTGCTGCCAAGGAGTGTGGTGGAGTCTCCTTCTTTGGAGGTCTTTAAGCAGAGGCTTGACAACCATATGTCAGGAGTGCTCTGATGGTGTTTCCTGCTTGGCAGGGGGTTGGACTCAATGGCCCTTGTGGTCTCTTCCAACTCTATGATTCTATGAACTTCAGCTGGTTTTTCTTTCTTTGAGCCTTTCTCCGGAGTGAAGTGGTAGAGATATATTCCACCTGGCTCACTGCGCACAGAAGAAGGCGACAGTGGTGTGGTGGCAGCTGTGGCACGCAGGCCCAACACCATATCTGATGCTCTGCAGAACATTATGCATCTCTAATGTGTTGTACTCTGTCTTTTTATGCGAAGTGGAAATCATACTTGGTTTTCCTAATGTCACTTCATGACTTCCATTATTTCCATCCTGAGCATCTTTGCTCTTCATTTTCATCAGCAGATTTTTTTTGTATTTAATTTGATGGCATTGATGCATTCTGCTTATTTCTGCTTATATTCAGCAAGCTGCCTTCTCTTGTCTTCTTGTTGCTTCTGCTCTTTGTCTGTTATGCTCAGGCAGATCGGGCAAGCCAATCTGATGGTGCAATCGCTTTTTGATGATTTTTATGCAATTTCACGCATATTTTTTCCCATGAAAAATAGTAACGCAAGTTTAAAACCATTGAAAAGTCCTCGTATTTTTTACATAGCTGTTTACCAAACTAAATTATATTAATTAAACTGCAATAGGTTTTGAATTCCTGAGTCGTGTAACAAATTTTTTTATCACCCCTCATTTTGGGAATTTTGAAAGTTGGAAAATTTGGCATTTGTCCACTTGCGAGGGGGCTTCCTTGGGACCAGCCGCTTATGCCGCCTCCTCCTTCTCCCCCCCCCCCAACAGGACTGCGGGAAGGAGTTCACTCACACTGGCAACTTCAAGCGGCACATCCGGATCCACACCGGGGAGAAGCCCTTCACCTGCCGCGAGTGCAGCAAGGCCTTCTCTGACCCAGCAGCCTGCAAGGCGCATGAAAAGACACACAGGTAGGTGTCCAGTGACCAGCGAGGCTGATCCAGGAGGGGAAGGCATTGCGGTAGAACGGGCAGCCTCGTGAAGGAAGGGGCGGAAGGATTCCCGTTGGCAGTCGGGGCAGCCGTGCGATGCCCGTGCTGACAGCTCAGCCTTCCCTGCCCAGCTTCCGTCTGCATAAATGGCGCAAATGCCGACGATGCGCATCCTCCCAGGGTTGTGGGGAGGCTGCATGAGCCTCCGACCTCTTGGTTGGCATTACCAGCAGATCTTCTCGGCTGTAGTTAATCAAAGCTGACATTTGCACCCAGGACCACCTCCTGCCCTTAAAATCATGATTAGGTAAAGGTAAAGGGACCCCTGGCCATTAGGTCCAGTCGTGACCGACTGGGGATGCGGCGCTCATCTCGCTTTATTGGCCGAGGGAGCCGGCGTACAGCTTCCGGGTCATGTGGCCAGCATGACTAAGCCACTTCTGGCAAACCAGAGCAGCGCATGGAAACACCGTTTACCTTCCCGCCGGAGTGGTACCTATTTATCTACTTGCACTTTGATGTGCTTTCGAACTGCTAGGTTGGCAGGAGCAGGGACCGAGCAACGGGAGCTCACCCCATCACGGGGATTCGAACTGCCGACCTTCTGATCGGCAAGTCCTAGGCTCTGTGGTTTAACCCACAGTGCCACCCGCGTCCCTAAAATCATGATTATTCATTAAATTTGTAAACCGCCCAATACCCACAGGTCTCAGGGCGGTTCACAATATGAAATCGCAAGATGAAAACACAAAATACATAAATAAAACAAAAACAACCACAGCCTTTGAGGTGCCAGCCCGTCCTACTAAGCACCAAGCTGTTCTGTAAAAACACCTTACTGTTGTGCCACCCTGCAGCAAGGGGTTCCGCCGGTTAACGGCATCTTTTCTTTCTGCAAAGCTGTCCTTCATTCCCTCTTGCCCACCCTGAATTCTCCCGCAGCAGCGTAATTACGCTTCTGTTAGTTGTGGAGTCAGGTGGGCCGGTAGCATCGGTGACCCTTCCTTCTCCCTCTCCCCCGTTCTCCCAGCCCCCTGAAGCCATACAGCTGTGAGGAGTGTGGCAAGAGCTACCGCCTCATCAGCCTGTTGAACCTGCACAAGAAGCGCCACACCGGGGAGGCCAAGTACCGCTGCGAGGACTGCGGCAAGCTTTTCACCACCTCGGGCAACCTGAAACGCCACCAGCTGGTCCACAGCGGGGAGAAGCCCTACCGGTGTGACTACTGCGGCCGCTCGTTCTCTGACCCCACCTCCAAGATGCGCCACTTGGAGACCCACGACACCCACAAGGAGCACAAGTGCCCCCATTGCGAGAAGAAGTTCAACCAGGTAAGGCTGGAGGGCAGCTCCCCTGCTCGGGCTGGGGGGGACGGTGGAACGCCTGCGGGGGTTTGGGACCACCCCCCACCCCCTCTCAAAGCCGGTCTCTCGCCTTTGCTGCCAGGTGGGGAACCTCAAGGCCCACTTGAAGATCCACATTGCCGATGGACCCCTCAAGTGCCGGGAGTGCGGAAAGCAGTTCACTACGTCAGGTATGTGGCTCTTGGGGGTCGCCCAGACGGGCTGGGTGGACCCCAGCCTCCTTTGCCCGCAGCCCATCTGGGGCCTGTGTCGAGGGAGCTGACACAGAGCACAGTCCATTTGCAGATCAGAGAGAAATGAGGCAACGTGAGCTCACTTGCAGTTAGTTGTTTGGTTAAGGAATCGGAACAGAAAACATACAGAGACCTCTGAGATATACTCCACTATAGCAAGCAGTTGCTTGGGCTGTTTTGCACCTCCCACTTTACTCCATTCCCTGCGTTTTGGGCCCCTCTATAGTGGACGCAGGTGGCGCTGTGGGTTAAACCACAGAGCCTAGGACTTGCCGATCAGAAGGTCGGTGGTTCGAATCCCCACGATGGGGTGAGCTCCCGTTGCTCGGTCCCTGCTCCTGCCAATCTAGCAGTTTGAAAGCACATCAAAGTGCAAGTAGATAAATAGGTACCACTCTGGCGGGAAGGTAAGCGGCATTTCTGTGCACTGCTCTGGTTTGCCAGAAGCGGCTTAGTCATGCTGGCCACATGAACCGGAAGCTGAACACCAGCTTCCTCGGCCGATAAAGTAAGATGAGCGCCGCAACCCCAGAGTTGGCCACGACTGGGCCTAACGGTCAGGGGTCCCTTTATCTTTACCTTTATAGTGGCCTCCAAGGGCCCCTCTCTGTCTCTGCCTGGCTCTCTGTTATGTGTAGCAAAGAGGAGCCAGCAGGCTGTCGGCAGAAACACTGGCAGGGGTGAAGCTGCCACGTCTGACTCCTGTCTTTACTCCGTGTTGGGGCACCTGAATGTTTCCCCCTTTTCCTCAGCCTCCAAACTCCCAGCCTCTAGTACCTCCCAGCTCTTCCCCTCCTCTGGGGTGTGTCCAGTTGTCCACCACCAGGAGGCCTGGATCCAAATCCTCTCCCTCGGCGCTTTCCCTGGGGAAAGGCGGTTTCCACCACTCCTCCTGATCTAGCCAGTCTCCATATGTAAAGAAATACAGTGGTGCCTCGCAAGACGAAATTAATCCGTTCCGCAAGAGTCTTCGTCTAGCGGTTTTTTCGTCTTGCGAAGCAAGCCCATTGACGGATTAGCGCTATTAGCGCTATCAGCTGTTTAGCGGCTATTAAAGGCTTAAAGGCTTAGGGGATTAGCTGCTAAAAGGCTATTAAAGGCTATTAAAGGCTTAGCAGATTAGATAAAGGGTGGGGTGAAAGCGAAAAAAAATCTCAGGACTCGCAAGGTATTTTCGTCTTGCGAAGCAAGCCCATAGGGGAATTCGTCCTGCGAAGCAACTTCAAAACGGAAAACCCTTTCGTCTAGCGGTTTTTCCGTCTTGCGAGGCATTCGTCTTGCGGGGCACCACTGTATACAATAATAAGATTACATTCATTTGGAAAAAAAGAATATACAACAGGAAGTCTAGTGTGTTGGTATGTATATAATCTTTTGGGGGGGAATTGTTTTTGTTTTTTCTTGTTTTTTTGTTTGTTTCATTTTCTTTCCAGGTATATAAAATTTGTATATAATTTTTGTATACATGTTGGAAATTATATGATAGTAAGTCCTGTAATGTAATATGGCAACGTTTACCGATGTAATATATGAATGTTAACAAATAAATAAAATGCAAATTCAAAAAATAATAATAATCTAGCCAGTCTCCGACAGCCTGCTCAAGGCCTCTCCATACTTCCTCCTCCTTCGCCCGCAGGCAACCTCAAGCGACACCTGCGCATCCACAGTGGGGAGAAACCGTACATCTGTGTGCACTGCCAGCGGCAGTTTGCCGACCCAGGGGCTCTGCAGCGCCACGTCCGCATCCACACGGGTGAGTTTGGCCAAGGGGGCGCTTCCTTCATTTCCTGGGTGGTCAGAGAAGGCGTTGTAGCTGTTACCTCCCAGCCGGGTGGCTCTCCCAGGCCTGACCTGCTAGGGCTCATAGGATCATAGAGTTCTATGGAGTCGGAAGGGAAGGAGAGTCCGCCGCTTCCCCAGGCCTCTGTCAAACAGCTCCTACTGTTCTTCCTCGTGTTCAGTTGCAATCTCCTTCCTTATCATTAGAATCTGTTGGTTCAAGTTACGTGGAAATTCCAGCTAAACATTGTGGGAATGTTAAGGATAGTAGGAAAGGATATATTGAATAAGTATTATCCTTCCTTCACTCATGCTATGCCCGTCTAATGTTCGTATATACCTTGTCAATAGTATTTTCTCCCCTTGTTGCACACTGCCTTCTGGAAGAAGGTACAGGGTTATAAAGACTAGGACTAGCCACCTGAGAAACAGTTTCTACCCAAATGCAATTCTGGTTTTAAACGCAGTATAAGGGGTCTCTATAGGAGTATATTGTATTTTAAAATGGGGTTTCAGAGTTTTTAGGAGGTTTTGAATGTCTTATGTAGATTTTTCAATTTCATTGTTCTGTATGGGACAATGACAATAAAGATATTGTATCATAACTTAAAAAGAAGTGATGTAGCAGAGCAGATTCCCCTCAATATAGCTGGAAGCTAGTTTGCAGATTCATTTGAATCTCTTAGTTAAGATTATTTCCTGGTGTCCCCTTTAATCCCTCTTAAAAGAATAAAGACACAAGAGTCTTTCTGAGTAAAGTAACTCACATTTTAATTCAAGATATGATCCCTGAAAGGCAGGATTTACTTTAGTGGTTACACAAGCAAAGTGTGAGTTAATCTCATAGGGAAACTGAACTCATGTGCTGCTGGCTGAGAGCCAGCAGACAGCAAAATAACATTAAGATAACAAAATGGCTGCAGGAGAGCAGCGTGGCAGCAAAAGAACAACAACAAGAGAGAGAATAAGACGACTGAGAAAATGGCTGCATGACTCAACTCTTTTATGGAGTCAGCCAGAGCCACGCGCATGTCCCAGGTCACATGCAGGGGGAGGCTGCTCCAGGCCAGTGGAACAGGAAGTTACGCTGCCTGGATGTCCCCCTGCCTGTGCCCACTCTTGGGAAATCAGGAATGTTGCCCTTGACTGTACCAAGAGATTACACCCCACAAACATTAGGAAGATGTGGGAGGGACAACCTCAGAAGATTGAACCTTGGACCTTCTGCATGCAAACTTGGAGCTCTGACCCTGAGCCGTGGTCTCTTTCCTTAACAATAAAGCAAGCTTGTAGTCCTCAAGCCATCCAAGTAGGTGGCCAGCCCTGTGCCCCCGTGATGTTACCCTCCCCTCCCTTCTCTCCCCAGGCGAAAAGCCCTGCCAGTGCCTGATCTGTGGCAAGGCCTTCACTCAAGCCAGCTCCCTCATTGCCCATGTGCGCCAGCACACCGGGGAGAAGCCTTACGTCTGCGAGCGCTGCGGCAAGAGGTGGGCCCCTCTCTTGGCTCTTGGCCTGGCCTAGGGAGAGCTTCAGGGGTCATCTTCATCCATCCTGGACTGGGGGCTGTGTTTTTGCATGGTGGGAGGAGGCGATCTGTACCATGTGCTAAAACAAAGTATTTGTGTTGGGCTTTGGGGGGGGGGTTGCTAAACATGGAGGCAGGGCGGGAGATTAAACTGGGCCCTCCAATTATTTTATATAGATATATGCTTAGATAGGGACGCAGGTGACGCTGTGGGTTAAACCACAGAGCCTAGGACTTGCTAATCAGAAGGTCGGCGGTTCGAATCCCCGCAACGGGGTGAGCTCCCGCTGCTCGATCCCTGCTCCTGCCAACCTAGCAGTTTGAAGGCACATCAAAGTGCAAGTAGATAAATAGGTACCGCTCTGGCGGGAAGGTAAACGGCGTTTCCGTGCGCTCCTCTGGTTCGCCAGAAGCAGCTTAGTCATGCTGACCACATGACCCGGAAGCTGTACGCCGGCTCCTTCGGCCAATAAAGCGAGATGAGCGCCGCAACCCCAGAGTCGGCCATGACTGGACCTAAAGGTCAGGGGTCCCTTTACCTTTTACCTATGCTTAGAGAAGCCTGTCTGAATGCTTAGAAAGTCAAGGTGAATTTTAGCTCGTTTCAGTAGCTTAACTTTTTGGACTATTGTTGAAGGAAAAAGAAAATCTTGTTTTGTGTTTTTGCAAACCACTTTGAGGTTTGTTGGTTTGTTTTACAGTCAAGCAGCCTATAAATTCTGTTAAATAAATCCAGGGAAACATTTTGAATACCTAGAAGTCCTGTACACGTTTCAGTTCTGTTTCTGTGCCTCCCCCCTTCAGGTTCGTCCAGTCCAGCCAATTGGCCAACCACATCCGTCACCACGACAACATCCGCCCCCACAAGTGCAGCGTCTGCAACAAGGCCTTCGTGAACGTGGGTGACCTCTCAAAGCACATCATCATCCACACAGGTGAGTCCGGCTGTAGGGAGAGCCCTGGGGCAGCTGCATCTAGCCAGGTCCACTCCAGCCTCCTGTCTGTTAGTGCATGAGCACCAACTCTTTCTTCAACTTGGCAGAGTTACTCAAAGACTTCCTGCACAGGAGCATCAGTGCAGCCTTCTCTTGGTAAATTCCCATAACAGGAATAACCACCGTTCCTATCCAGTTCTTTCCTTAAATTCTTTATTATTTACATTGCAAGTTGCATATAAAATAAGAAACAGAACTACCGTGGTACCTCGGTTTTCGAACGTCTCCATTGACGAACATTTGGGTTTTCAAACGCCATAAACCCGGAAGTAAATGCTTCAGTTTTCAAACACACCTCCCAAGTCGAACACGTTACATGGCTTCCACTGAGTGCAAGATCCTGAGGCCTGGCTGCTGCCTATTGAGTTTCCGGTTTTTGAATGTTTTGAAACAGTTTTCGATCTTCCATAATGGATTACGTTCAAAAACCGAGGTACCACTGTATATGCAGATCTCTGCACCTTTCAGCTATTTGGCCAGAGAGACAGGCTCACAAACTTTCTCATATTCTGGCAGGCGCACTCCGCCGCATGCCCTGATAAAGATGCCTGGAGAGAATTCTTGTCACTAGGCAGATGTTTTAGGTGTGCTTCAAGGCGGTTTCAAGTTTATTTTGGCAAGACACCAACACTGTCTTCCCGCTGGCCAGCCTGATGCCCCACGGAGAAGCCCCTGAGCGAGACCCAAGTGCAACAGCAGCACCTTCCCCACTTCGTATCCTTTGAGAGCGCAAACTGCCTCAAGACGGTGGAGGTAGAATACATAGGCACAGCGAGACTGCGATAGTCATGTGCAGAGCAGGGAGTGTTACGCAGTGGTGGGGCCCTGCTGGACCTCTCTGTGAGAGAGGCCAAAATGAGAGGCAGCCAGCTGGCAGGTTGCTGAGGCCTCTGCCCCATCCTGGACTCCCCGCAGGCGAGAAACCCTTCCTCTGCGACAAGTGCGGCCGCGGCTTCAACCGTGTGGACAACCTCCGCTCTCACGTCAAGACGGTCCATCAGGGCAAGGCCGGGATGAAGGTTCTGGAGCACGGGGAGGGTGACGAGTTCAACATCGTGACCGTGGCTTCCGACGAGATGGTGACTCTGGCCACGGAAGCCCTGGCGGCCACGGCAGTCACACAGCTGACAGGTGAGCGGGAGATCCTGGCCTTGTCATTCTCTTACCAAGGGCCTGAGGGAGGCTTGAGAACTCGGGCGGGGCTCTCCCCTTAAAAAAGAATGCTTGCAACACTCGTGAGCGCCACGAGCAATTTGCATTTTCCTCCTCCCTTGCTTTATTCTTTATTACTCTATTATCCTTGGCAAATAGAGGAGGTTGCAAAAGAGCTAGTAAACTGAATTTTGAAATCCAAACAAATGAAGCCTTCTGGTTTTCACCCAGAGTTGAATAGTTGTGGGCAGGGTGGCTTTTCTCCTTCTTCGCTCATTGCCTACGCTGAGGAGCAGTATCTCCAGTGTTTCAAATGGGGATGGGGTGTTTTTCCCAGCTGGAAATGCTGCTGGAAACTGAATGCCTAGGACCTGCCTGCCAAACAGATGATCTAACACACTGAAGCTACGGCCTCTTCCCTGTCCGTGGAACAATCTTTGCTAGGGTATTTAGTGTCTTCTCCCCCCTTCCCCCCTCCCCCAGTATTTCAGTCCCTCCTTAAGCCCTCCCCGCTGCTAGGAAGGGTCCCCACCACAATGCAAAGGGCCCCTCTGCTGGCCACGGGGCCTCCATTGTGCCGCTCAACTCCCCCATGGTTCTCCTCTGCAGTGGTCCCCATGGCAGCGCCTGTCACAGCTGACGAGACGGAAGCCTTGAAGGCTGAAATAACAAAGGCTGTGAAGCAAGTGCAGGAAGCAGGTGAGCATCCATCTGGGAGCATTCGGGCCACTACCCCTCCAAAGGAGGCGCTTGGCTCAGCTTTCTACGTCACAGCTCAGACTGCGCAGAACACAAAAGTTGGGCTGTTTGTAGAAGCTTGCAGTATAGAAATCTGGCCACAAGGGTGCAGCACCCCAATGTGTGACCAGCTGTTTTATGCTCTTCCCCATTCTTTGGCCTTTCAGGCGATGGGGTTGAGCTTGAAAAGGGATGCAACTCTTAACAGTTCTCAGAGATGTTGGATTTCTAGAGAGGGTCTATTTTTCCTACCATCCTTCAGTAATGCAGCAAGGTGTGCCCTCCAGCTCTTTGGGGCTACAGCAAGTCCTAGGCTCTGTGGTTTAATCCACAGCACCACCCGCGTCCCTGTTCATCCATGTATCCCTATATAAAAGAGGAAAATACTAAAAGCCAGCTTTTAAATGTACCTAAATACAGGTTCACGGTGGTGGTTTTTAAAAAGGTGCACGTAAAGGAAAAGAAGACGTGCTTAGTAACAGTAAGGAGCTTCACTCCTGGATTCTCTCGTCTGCAAAGAGAAGGGCTTTGGTCAGGGGGGCTTTGCCCTAAATTCACCTCTGCCACCTGCCATGCTGTTGGGTCTGCTTACGCTCCAGCGGGGTGAGAACAGTAGGTGTGCACAAGTTTTCAAAGTGTACTTTTTTGTCAGGCTCAGTTGCACTAGACCAGGGGTCAGCGAACTTTTTCAGCAGGGGGACGGTCCACTGTCCCTCAGACCTTGTGGGGGGCCGGACTATATTTTGCAGAGAGAGAAAACAACGAATTCCTATGCCCCACAAATACCCCCGAGATGCATTATAAATAAAAGAACACATTCTACTCATGTAAAAACACGCCGATTCCCGGACCGTCTGTGGGCCGGATTTAGAAGGTGATTGGGCCGGATCTGGCCCCCGGGCCTTAGTTTGCCTACCCATGCACTAGACATTTAAAATGTCGTGCCACTTCAAACAAGTCCTGGCAGCCCCAAAATAGCACCAAAGAACTGCAGTTCCCAGGATTAAGTGTAGTGCAGAGAGCCCCGTTTCTCCCCCCAGAGCTACATTTCTCAAGTGGTTTAACACTTAATACCTCTTCGCAGGGACCTCTAGGAATTGTAGTCCTGTGGGAGAGCCCTTACACCTTGCCTCAGCATTTGTGACAAACTACACCTCCCTGGTTTCTTTACGGAAAGCTATGATTTGTAGGATGGGTGGCTGGGGCTGTTTGAAGCGATTCACCCATGGCCCTACGGCTCGGCCTTTCTGTATGACTGTCTCTGGGATGAAGCACTTTCAAAGAAAACAGATGGGACTGACCACCCCGGCTCTCCTGCAATTTGCTGTCTTCTGGCTTTGTCCTGTCTTTCCAGATCCAAACACCCAAATCCTGTACGCTTGCGACTCCTGCGGGGAGAAGTTCCTGGATGCCAACAGCCTGGCCCAGCACGTCCGCATCCACACAGCCCAAGCCCTGGTGATGTTCCAGGCAGACACAGACTTTTACCAGCAGTACGGTGCCCCCACTGCTGCCTGGCAGCCTGAACAGGTCATTCCCTCAGGGGAGCTGCTCTTCCGCGCGAGGGATGGCAACGAGGCCCAACCCACTTCTCTGCCCACAGAGGCCCCACAGACTGCAGAGTGAAGGGAGGGCTGGTTGCAGAGGGGCAAGGGGACCGGTATGGATTCTACTACATGCTGCTCGTTCGGGGCGGCACGTGTGGTTTGGTTTTAAGGTGCTGCTGGCTGTTCCCTCCTTGCCCATCCAATGCCTCCAGCTTCACTCACAAGCAGCTATTTTAAGGAGGTGACGACGGCGTTACCAATGTAAAAAAAAAAAAAAAAAGGATTATTTCTGTATTTTAGAAGCTCCTGCATCTGTGTTAATATTTAGAAACAAAATAAAGGCCATTATTTTCTAACGTCTGATTCAAAATGCACACTGTTTGGTGGGTATTGTCTCAGCAGCCTGTTTAAAAATCCCTTAGCACTCTATTAAAAGAAAAAGTTTTCTGGCTGTCAAATTATTCGACAAGGTTGAGAAATGAGGAAGCTGGTGAAAAATGGCAGGTCATCAGTGTTGGGTTTCCTAGAGATTCTCCTCAGCTGCATTTGGTCAATATTTTGGCAGGTGGCAGGGTAGATAAAGATGCTCCAGCTAGGGAAGAAGTGAATTAAAACAACTTTAACCGCCCCATTTATTTATTTCTGAAGCTGGAGACTGAACCCCAGCACCCCCCCGGCTGACAAAATGGTTTCTTCTTGTACATCTGCTGCTGCTGCTGCTCTCTCCATGAGCCGGGGGGTGGGTGGGGTGGATGGGGCGCTTCATTTTGGAATCGGGCTCTCTCGCACGGCCTCAAACCATGTAAGGTAAATGCTACAACACCCACATTTCTGCTCCGACACACTCCAGAAAGGATAATAAGGAATTAACTCACCCTGAAGCAAATATATTTGCAGAACCTCATGTAATTCCATTTTTTTAAAGGGCATTGTTTGTTTGTAGGGTTGGATCCAGACTAAACTGCACTAAAGGCCCCACTGAAATCCACAAGAACAAAGAGCAAACATCCTCAAACCCCACCCCAGTCTTTTTCTTCTACATACACACACACATTCAAGTGACTGACAGAAAATGCTGAGACACTCACCCGCCGTGGGTTCCATCTCCTGTGACAGGCAAAAGCAGGCTCTGCCTGCCTGAAATTACCGTATTTTTTGCACCATAACACTCACTTTTTTCCTCCTAGAAAGTAAGGGGAAATGTCTGTGCGTGTTATGGAGGAAATGCCTACGGGTGGCATGCCTACGGATTTTCCTCCTCTAAAAACTACGTGCGTGTTATGGTCGGGTGCGTGTTATAGAGCGAAAAATACGGTATATACCTGGCATTTTAGGGTTAAGGGTGCTAGTGGGTATAAAATTTTAAAGTACCAGATCCAAGTGCAAGTAGCAGGTGAGAATCAAGCTAACAGAAGGCAAAGAGGTTGAAAGTACAATAAATAAATTGCGGTCCCGTCCCGTCCCCACCCCCGCCAGCTGCACACAGCACACCAAAGACTGGAATGTCTTGTATTTTTTAATAAAGTTTGTAATCCAATGGACACACAAAACAAAACGGCGCTGAGAAAACATTTCCATAAATTAATTGTTAGGACGACAAGGACAGGAGGAGGAGGAGGAGGAGATAAAAAGTCTGTACAAGTGTATAACACTTCCACATGTGAAGGAACAGGAAGAGGCGGGGAGGAGGCGGCAATGTCTAAATGAAGCACACTTACAAATGAGTGACAAATACAAAGTCTGAGTATGAAAATAAGATTTTCTCTGAAAACACATTTTTTGGCACAGATTAAAAAAAAGTATGTTGTGGGGATCAGATTTCTTTTTAAAGTCAGTATTATATATTTATATATATATATATATTATATATATATATATATTTCTATGTACACACACCCACAGAGTCCTGCATATCCCACCAGGAAGGAAAATAGTTCTCTCCCTTTTGTGTTTTGCTTTGCTTCAGTGTAAACTGTACATCCCAGATGATGGAGGAGGAAGAGGAGGCAACTGCAGCATTGGGGGAGGGGGGCAGCGCGCGGGGTCATCCGGGAGAAGGAGTGGGGAGACACATCGTGAAATGCTCCTTGACCCGCAGACTGGAGCGGAAGTTCCCAGGTCCTGCGTTTTCTGAGTCCACAACGCAAGTTCGTGCGTGTATCGAGACATCCACCCTGAACGCCACAACACATCTTTAACTGTGCAAAGGTCCAAAATCACTGATTTAGTGCAAAGGCAGTTCTGGTTCCTCCTCCTTTTTTTGTTTTTAAGTTATTTCGTAAGTTAAAAAAAAATAGCCTTCCTTTCATTCCCCCCACAAGGAGGCACCAGCTCCCAGGACCAGTCTGCCTCGTTGAAGTGCCTCAGGTGTCCGTCTTCACTAGAGCAATATGTAAACATACAAGGTAGAATGGCGGCCACTACAAAGCCAGAGTTTTGGGCAGGAGGGTCCAATCCCTTCCGTCCATCCTCCCTTCCTTTGTCATTCACTGTCTCTCTGTTTTTGCTGTAGGGCCTTTGAGAAAGAAGTCCGTAACTGTAAGCCACTCAGACCGATGCAATGACAATCATCAGGTGAGGAGAGATGTTTGAGATACTGGCGAGGAGGTCTGGGGCGAGGCGGGAGAGGTGACTCTCGGAGAACTCACAGGGTGGGAAGATCTGTAGGACGTAGGCAGGCTGGAATAGAGAAACACAAAGGAGAGGGAAAGGGTGACCACACAAGCTCTCAATGGCCAACACATTCGCCCCAGGCAGGAGCACGAAGGGCAGACCCTCAGCTGCTTGTGCTGAAAGGCCTGGGGTCCTGTGATTCGAACTCAACAGGCTCCACCTTCCTGCTGCCTCACAAGTTCAGCTGTGACATCCCCAAAATAACAAAGCAAAGTTGGGGAGCGGGAGAGATGTGGTGGGGATGTCTCTCAAACCTGCCTGGAAGAGCAGGTGTAGACAAGCCTCATTAAGTTCACACAGTGGTGAAGGAAATGCATTCTGCGTATGCTCAGGCACTGCATTCTAACAACAGCCAAATAGGTCCTCGCATTTAAACACATTATGGGGAGGAAACGAGCCCATCTTTCTCTCCCTTCCCCATACCTGGTTGGAGCCGGGGTTGGGAACGTTGATGATGCCAGCGGCTTGCTTGGCTTGCAGGTAGCTAATGAAGGCTGCCTTGAGCGACTCCGTCTGGTTCACAACATCCTCTTGGTCTCGTCCACAAGGCAAGGCCAGCAGCAGGCAATAGTCGCTCTCCACCTGGAAGGCAAGACAAGACCCCTGAAGAGCACATCTCATGTGCACGTGCTTTGCTGCCCCATCCCTGCATTCCCAAGGAACCAGCGCCATATACTCCAGGCACCTGCAAAAGCACATCCATCAACACCCGACAGATAATTTCATGTGCACTGATGAACAACCCCTGCTTTCCCCACAGGACGCAGCCATGCAATGTGCAATTCTGCTGCAGACTGAACAGGCCTCTGAAGCCTGGTCTCGCAGACGCTTTGAGCGGCTTGAATCCAATGCAGACGTGCCAAGCGGACTCAGCGGGCGCAAGGCCCTCCTCAGAAAGGAGCCTCTTGCTCCAGCCATTTACCATCATCCTGCGCGCCACGCCCTCCAACTGTGACGCTTCCAGCCTCATGCGCTGAGCAATCCTCAGGGGAGGTCCCCCTTCTGGGGCTGGCAGGGAGCGGTGTGCCAGGACGTTATTGCCGGAGACAAAGTGCAGCTGGACGGCCGCCGTGTCATTCTTCAAGGCCAGGAGCCCCTGCCAGACAATGGGGTATTTCTGCAAATGGGGGGGGGGGGGAGAGAGAACACTTCAGTGTGAATGGTGAAAGCGATGGAATAACTGCAAGGAAGCAGGGCAGAGTTGGAGGGGGCGACCTCAGGCCCAGCCACCAAATGCACCCCCAAAACCCATCGTGTTTTTGCCCAGCTGAAATGTATCCTTGCCCCATGCACATTTGCCTCTGGCCCTGCCCATCGGTGACATGGAAGTTGCCTGGAAGAGAACGCGGCCCTTGGACCGAAAGGATTCCCCACCCCTGGAGGTTTCAACAACTAGGTGCAAGATTGGCGAGTGCCTCACTGCCAGAGCCCAGCCTCTGTGGTCCACTCAGGGCCCTCCTCCTTTACAACCAGCCCCTTGCTTCCTACTTGCACTCCCCTTTCCCAACTGAGTGTTCATCACCAGGCCTCCCCCCGCCATCTGCACCCTTCCCCAACCTCCCACCAACAATAATTCAATCAATATCCAGCACGGAAAACTCACGGTCAGCAGCTGGACCATGTCCACCGGTCTCTGGGAAACAGGATGAGGTGCAAGGTCTTGCTTGAGCACCGACTGGGGCTCGGGCCGGGAGAGGGGCAGCCCCGGAGGAGCCCCAGGCCCAGAGGTGGTTGGGATAAAGAGCGCCGGCTTCTGCACTGGGGCCTGATGTGGGGATGGGAGTTCCTGTTTGACAGAGATAGCGACGGGAGACGGGTAGGAGGTCTGGCCTGCGTCTGCCTGGCTGCGCTGAAGGTGCAAGTGGGGGTCGATCTGCTGGACGTGCCGGTTGACAGCCACTGGGTGGTGAGTGGGGTCTGGTCCTGCCGCCTGGGCTCCCTTGGGCTCCTGGGTGTGCTGGGGAGTCTTGCTATGAGCTGGCTGGCTGGGGTGGGTGTGTTCCCCTTCTGGCAGACCCTGAGAGGCACAAAGACAAAATCAGGGCGCATTGGAGGAGGAGGAGGAAACACTGGTCTGGTCCTGCCTTCCTTGTGCCTGCTCTCTGAAAGAGGGCTCTGGCAGGCAGCAAAGGAGCAGCAAACTCCAAAGTTCTCAGAAACACCACCACACCCTCTCCCCAGAAAAGCAAACTAGTGCAGGTTTATCATTCTAGATTAAAAAAACTTGTGGCTTCTATCCCTAGGGTCTCCAACAATGGCTCCTCCTCAAGGATGTCTGCATGCTCAGCCGTAACCTGCCTCTGTGGCAGTGGTTCTGGTTTCCAGAGCAGCCTTCTCTGGTTTCCAGGACCCTGATTTCCAAGCCCCCACACAGCTACAAATTAAGGGCCACTGTAGGACCCCAAAAACACTCCCTGTGACCTGCTACCCTGTGCATCGAATGCTTGTGGTAGCTGCTGCTGGCACACTCCACTTCCTTCTGAGGTGCATGCCTCCCAGCCATGCAAGAACTTGCCACACACATCCCAGCTGCATCAATCCCAAGAGCAGGCTTGGAAACTGGGAGGAGGGGTGGGAACGGAAGACAGAGGGAGGGACTTGCTGGTGGCACTTCACTTCCTTGCCTCAGACAGCCTGGAAGATGCACACCCTACTCCCAAGGCAGAGCAACTCCCAGGCTGCGGAGAGGAAGGAATCAGATTCTGGGCACGTTAAAGAACAGGAGCCAATTCCCACCTGGGTCTCTTGCAGCAAACACAACAGCCAGTCTTGCAACACAGGGACCCCTAACCTTTTGGGGCCCAGGGGCACTTTTGATACTGTTGTGGGCACCACAAAATACCCATTTACAGAAGAAGGAAGGGGGATGCTCAGAATGCTTCCCTGACCCCAAAACAACTAGATGGGGAAAACTCCACACACCTCAAAATAAAAACACAGCAGACAGCCCCCGCCCAACACACACACGCACACACACACACACGCGTGGCACAGGAGCCTTAGCACGCACCATGAGAGGAGTTTGAGGGTGCTGTGGTTCTCACAGGCAACATCAGGGACCTCAGTTAAAGAGGAACCTGCTTCACGATGGCATAAGCCGTTTGCAGGAACAAGATTTTCTTTTCTGCACACATTTTAGCCCCAACTGAATTTTGCAGACTGCATTTTAATCAATTACTATGACACCTGGAGACATGGAACCTGGTCCACAAAAACTTATGATGCCATCCTAAACGCTGCTAGTCTCCAAGGTGGTACAAGACGCAGAAGCATCCCACCGATTGATCCCAGTGATTTGGCTTACCTGAGAGGGGGTCATACTCCGAGAAGGCAGCCCGATTGGCGATGCTCCGGAAAACTGAGGATGACCTAGCTGAGCCGCCGGGTGGTAGCTCCTCATGTCCCCGTAGACCGTCCTGTAATCGTGGAAGGAGGTGCCCGCCGGGTGCATGATCTGCACGCCGTGAGGGACGACAACTGGTTGCGTCAGAGGCAGTCCTGGCAGCTGGCCGCTGAGGAGGCGGGGCTCACTGTGGGGGGAGTGAGCCATCTTGACTTCCGAGGCCTTGGGTGCCTCTTTGCCTGACGGGAGAGTCTTTGTGGCGGGGGGCGTCTTCACAGACCTCCCTTCTGGCGTGCGGGACTGCCGGGTCTCTGGGTGGTGGTCGCCCCCCACTGCAGCCATGTGCGGGTGCATCATCATCCGCACGTCCCGGGGCACGTTGTACTGGTCGAGCCGAATGCCGGAGGGGTGCAAGCGGTAGTCTGGCTGCATGACGAGCACGTCCGACTGCACGGGGGCGGACCCGCGGCACACCGTGTGGTGGTAGTGCATCTCCTCTTCCGAGGAATGCTGGGAAGACAGAGGTGGCATGACGATCTCTCGGATGGGGGCTGGCTGCGGCGTGCTTGACCGCTGCGGCTGCAGAGCCGCCCTTGGGGAGTGAAGCGCTTCAGGACGGATGCTGTAAGGCATGCCCGGCAGAGGAGGGGTGTTCATCCTGACCTCCCCTTGCGAGAGGTGCCCCAGGGAGACCGTCTGGGTGACGCTGTGTGGGGGCATGATCACAGACTGCTCGGGATGCATGCTGGAGATGTACTGAGGCACCGGGATCCCAGGGCAAGGAGACCCCTGGATCCCTAGCATGGAGTTGTTCCCAGACAGGGCTGGGGAAGAAGGGCCGCCCGGATGACAAGCCCTTGGGAAGGGAGACGGAGAGTGCCCGCTTGTCCGTGGAGAGAGGGGCTCCTGCTTTGTGACCCCCAAGTGAGACACCACCCGCTCTGCTGGGGTGCTGGGCCCTGCACTCACATGATTGGCCTCTGGGTGAATCTTGCTAGACAAGGAGGGGTGATGAGGCCCAACCCCGGGGCTCAAGCTCGACGGCTGAAGAGTCTTGGTCTCCACTTTCAGGGCACCTGGGTCTGGAAGCTTTTTGTTGGTGGAAGAAGCAATGCTCTGTGGGAGCACCATTTGGTTGTGGACGAGGATGGATGGAGTGTTGGCAGACTGGGAAAGGACTTTGACTGGCCCCGACTGAGAAGTGGGCGCCTGGACAGAGAGGTGCAGGGGCTCCGATTTTTCCAGGCTGCCCCGTTCCTGCTTAATGGAGGAAAGTACAGGGGAAGGGCTGTACTGCTGAGCTCCCAGCACAAGGGACGATGGGGCTGAGACACTCCCGTACCCCGTTGGTGTCTGAGAGCCCTTTGGGATTGGCTGAGAGGGGCCAAGAGGCTCTTGCTTGATCTGGGACTTGGACACCGACTGCTGGAATTCAATGTCAACTGCACTTGCTGGGGGGATCTGGCTGATCTTGGCTGTGATCCGCTGCTGGCCTTCTGTCTTCTGCTGGGAATAGCTCAGGAGCACGATGCCTTCTGATGTGTTGACGCGAAGACCGGGGCTGGACCCTGTCTCCACCGGCCGATCTTCAATGACGGACATGGATCCCGGATGGAACCGGCTGTTGTCATTGGTACTTGGCCTCTGCTTGTATTTTGGCGAGAGGGCGTTGACTAGGCACGTCTGGGGCGCTTGCTTCACCAGAGTTATCCGTGGGGTTTCCTCGAGGTCAATGCTGTGGGGCATCCTGCTTATCACAGAAGTGGCCTTGGGAGCAATGACAGTGATGACCTTCTCTTTCTCGGTGAAAACGGGGGCCTCTGCAGCTGGCGGCTCCAAAGCATTCATGGCTGGGACAGCTGGCTTGTCTTCTGATCCAGGCCGGACAACCTCTGCCAGAGGGTGTGGAGGATCTTCCTCTACCAAACGAGGTGAACTCACAGGCTCGGCTATGGCAGTCGTGACATGCGTTGTTGATGCCACGCTGGTTGCAGAGACGTACTTGGGCTCCATCAATATTTTCCTCAGAGTGCTGGAATTTGTGTCTATATCCGATGCCTTTGTGTCAGGGGGGAGAGCCGGCGGTGGGGTGGAACGGGCCCGGGCCTCCTCATGCTTCACAATCCACTCAGTCACCTTTGCTGTGCTGGAGTGAAGGGGGGCAGACCCAGCGGAGACAGGCTTTGCTGCAGCTGAAGATGGGGCTGCTGCTGGCAGAGGTGTATTGGGGGTGCCTGGTGGAGGAGTCACTGGAGCACTGTCAGCCCCCGGCTGTAGTTTGAAGGCGCTCTGGCTCACCTCTTCAACAGGAACCGACGGAGAGAGCAGGTCCACTGCTTTGGGCAGGGGGGTGCTGTCTGCCACAGGAGGTTCTGGAGAAGCCCCCTCCAGGGGTGCAGCCTTGCTGGCATCAGGGGGACCTGGCTGGGAAGCCAGAGGAGAGCTTTTCTCTTGACTCTCTTCTTTCGAGGCTCCTTCTGACTTCCCTTTAACCTCGTTGGCCACTGGAGATTTGCTTTGTACTCGTTCGGGCTCAACAGTCCTCGGTTCTGCTGCTGTATCCCCTTTCTTGCTTGTGCTCCGCTTGCGCCTCGGCCGGGTGGTTTTCTGGCGGCCCCGTTCCTTCCGAGCCATGTCAGCCTCTTGCAAGGTTTCTGCTTCTTGTGCCGAATTGGAGGATTCGCTCACACTCACCTCCGCCTCTTTGGCAGAGTCTGCCTCTGGGGTAGTGCCAGGGCCTGGTGGGGCAGGCGGCTCAACTGAAGTGGCTTCTGACTCCAAGATATTGCTCACGGCTTGATCAGTTTCAGGCTCCATCTCTTCTCGTGCGGGTGGCAGCACCAACGGTTCTGCGGGCATTTCCGATTCAGATTCGGTAGGATACGTTGGCGGAGCAGGGAAACTTTCGGCCTCTCCAGAGATGTCATAGATGATGGAGCCAATGGCAGCCGCGAGTTCTGTTTCGCTGGCCTGATGAGCAGGCTTGTCCCCGTCTTCCTCCGGGCGAACGTCTGACACTTCAGCCGCCTGTTCCTTGTAGGCTGCAATCGTCTGGCTTTCAGTGAGCTTTGCAATATTCTCCACAGCCTGCTCCAGTTCGATCTGCTTGGCCAGCTGGTCTGCTTCAGGAGACTGTGTTGACTCACAAGCCAGATCTTTCTCTGCTTCCTGGAAGGGGTCTTCTGCCTCTGTCTTTATGAAATGGGGTGACAATTTGTCTTCCTTCCGGGGACTTTTGTTCTTGGGGGACGATGCCGGCACAGGCTCCGTGTCCTCTTCGCTGGGCCGCAAAGCACCTTTGACTTCATCCACATTAAGCCGGATTTCAACGCTTTTCAAGCTCTTCATCAAGGAGGCTTTATCGACGGCCTTGACGTTCCTGGATCTTCCACGTTTGGACTTTGGAGTTCTCTCAGAGACAGGCTTTCTTTCCACAATCTCAATGGTGCAGGCTTCGGGGACATTTTTCTCCAGCTCGACTTCTTTCCTCTCTCGCTTCTGGTCACTCAGAAGAGGCTCTTTCTCCACCTTGGGTTTGTTACCGTTTTCACTTCCATTCGAGCCTTGGCCAGAGAGGTCAGGGGGCTCTTCTGGCTCCACCAAATTCTCAGCCTTCGACTCGTTCTTCCCCCCTTTCTTGGCTTGAGGAGTGCTGGCTGCTGGAGATTGGCTGTGTGCCAGCTTCTGGGATCGAGGCGACCTCCACCCTTCCACGGGTTTCGGGACTTCCACCATCTCTTTTGATTCTGCTTCTTCTACCTCTGGGTGAGCTGGTTCAACCTTCACGGGAGAGACTTCCTCCTCAGGCTTGCGACGAGATTTGGGAGGCCTGCCTCTTCTTGGAGGGGTTGGAGTCAAGGCAGAGTCTGGTGGCTCCCGTTCAACTCTTTTCCTGGTAGATCTGGTGACCTCCAGAGTATCCTTCATAGGCGATGGGCCTTCGTGGTCCCCTGTGGTGGCATAAACTGACCGCACATTCCTGCGCCTTGTCCTGCCCACTGGCAAGCTAGGCTCTGGGTTTTCCGGCTCTGGTGCAGCACTTGGAGATTTAGCAGCGTTCCTCGAAACCTTCTCTGTTTCCACCTTCAGTGCTTCCCCGCGGGGAGAGCCCGACCTTTTAAGTTTCTCGCGGTCAATCCTTTCACTCTTCCTTGTGACAGGCTTCTCTGCAACGTTTGCAACCGAAGTCTGGACAGGGTTTTTGGAACGTTTATTCTTGTTCGGCTTCTTGTCTTTGATGACAACAAGCGGCTCGGCTTCCATCTCGGTGTCGGAGACTGGAGGCAGGACCTCCACAGCTGGCTCTGCTTTCTGCCCTGCACCAGCCTCAGAGTTCAGAGATGGTGAAACATTTTCTTCTTTCAGCTCAGGCAGTTCCTCGGACCTTGCTGCTGGTTTGAGTGGTGGTGGTGGTGGTGGGATTATTTCAGGTTCTGGATCTGTGCAGATGTCCGCTTGAGAGAAGGAAGATCCGGGCGTGGGTGGCTTTGTGTCCAAATAGGAAGGGTGCACTAGGGATACCGAGTCTTCCTCAGGAGGAGTTGCTGCAGAAAGAGCAGGGTCCTTGTTGCTGTCTATTCCTGGCAGTGCTTCCGTATGCTCAGGTGGTTCAGTTTTGACAGCAGCAAGGAGTTCTGGAAGAGGCTTTGGTTCTTCAGCCACAGGACCAAGTTCAGGCAGAGGCTTCTCTTCTCTCAAAGAGGGCACAATGACCGGCAACTTCTCGTTCGTGACCTTTTCCGGCATGGCTGGCCCTGGTTCTTGGAGTACAAGAGCAGCTGGAAATGGCCCAACTGAAAGCAGATGCTTATGCTCTGCCACTTTTTCCTCAGGCGCTGCTGCTTCTGGGCTTTTGGGCTGACTCTCCTTCTCCTCCTGCTTTTCTGCTTCTTTGGGCTTCTGGTCTTTCTCCTTTTCTTTTTGTTGCATTCTTGTGAGCTCCACAAACCTGCTGTGGAAGAGAACCACTGGCTCTGGCACAAAGTCTGACATGCCAATGTTCCCATCCAGGGATGCCTGCCGGCCGTACAATCTACCAGAGAGGAAATCAAGGTCTTCGTCTTTCCTTTCCAAGTGTTGCAGGCGCTTCGAGTCCTGCTCAAAGATGGAGCTGTGCAGGAAGCGCGAGGCAAAGAGCTCCTGCCTCTCTTGCTCATCCTCCTTGTGGTCTTCCTTCTTATCATCCAGCTTCCCTTCAGAATCGGTTCGGATTTTCTTCTTTTTCATATACCACGAGGGGATAGGCCTTGGAGCAGAATCCACTTTCTCTTTGTCCTTATTGTTCCTAAAATTAGCAAATCTCGAGTCCCAATCAAGGAAAGACCAGTTCTCTTCTCTGGAGGATGAGAGAGATTTGGCTCTCTCAAGCAAGGCCTTTGTGTCGGGAGTGATTGTCTTGTCCAATGCAAAGGAATAAAACTTGTGCCTTTCCGAAGAGGTTGGCAGCCTCTCCTCTCGATCACGAAGTTTCTCTTCCCTGTCCCGTAATAAAAAAGACAACCTGGAGCTCTCCAGCAACGAAGGGGTTTTTGGAGAATGGGCTTTATTATCGCCGTCATCGTCAGAGTCCGAAGGCACCTCTCCTGGCTCCAGATCCCGTATTGACCGCTTCCTTATGCCATCTCTCTTGACAATGCTGCTTGGGAAGGTGATGTCCACCCTCCCAGGCTCTTGCTTCACTTGGGACTCCCATCGGTTCAATTCCTCCTCACAACTCACAGAAGATAATTTTATTTTAGCCATTTCTACCATCTGCTCTCTTCGACTGGAGTCGTAGGGGTTAAATTTCAAAGAATCCTCCCTTACAGCCACATTAGAATATGGAGGACCCTTTTCATCCATTTTAGGTGACTCTTTGGTTTCTTTCACAGGCACCAGCCTCGGGGACTCCAGCATCTCCTCATCCTCATGGAAAGGGAAGGGCCTGAGGCTAGGGGAACAGGCCGTCCTTTCGGAGTCCTCGCTCACCTGCCGAGAGCTTCTGTAGTTTCTCTCTCTCTTTGTGCTAATTTCAAAGTCGAAAGCGTCAGAGGATTTCTTCCGCTTGCTGGGAGGAGAGTCGTCTGTCACATCTTGCGGGGGTTTCCCCACTTCATGCACCAGGCTACGCCTCTCATACTCATCAAGATCTTTCTTTGGGCTGCCAAACTTCTCGTGCTTTGCAATTTCCATTTCCATTTGCTGCTTCAACCTGCGACTCAGCTCCATTTGCTTCCGATAACTCTGTGTGTGATCAATGTCAATGGGAATCTTCTCCTCGATATCGGATGATGGAGGCTTCTCTTGAGCTAGCTTGTGGTCGGGCACTTCTTCGGGAAGACTGCAGTAGGTTTTCCATGTGTCCTCTCGCTCAGTTCCTTGGTCATCTAACAGCTGTGTATGCTTGTGCTGCAATTTGATGGAGTTGACCTTCCTTACAGGGATCTCAGGGGCTTCCCCAGGTTCCTCAAGTAGCTCCCCCAGCCTAGCCTGCAGCTCTAAACTGGGCCGTAAACCAATCCCCAGAGAAATACTGGCTGGCTCTTGAGCTTCTTTGGGGCTGGTCACTGAGGCAAGCCTTTCCAGCTTGGTTTTCTTGGATTCCCTTTTAAGAGTCTCTTTCCTCAAGGGCTTTCTCTCAGATTCACTACTTGTTAACTCAATCTGCTTTTTCAAAACCACACGCGCTTCCTCCTCCTCCTGACTACTCCTTTTAAAGTCCATTTTTTGCTTATCTGGCTTGAGGTTTGCATCCGCAAAGCGTCTTTTGCGAGCTTCCAGCTTTTCTAGATCTACTGGGTTAGTCACTTCACTAGGCAGCTCTGCCTTCAGGTGCTTCCTAGGCTTCAGTTTTGCATCCTTCTCAACCACTTCGATGTGACTGGCAAGCACCTTCTCTTTTGGCACTTTCACTCGGGCGGGTTCAAGTTTCAGCTGCTCTGACTTGGTTTGGTCTGCCTGAGAAATCTGCATTTTTTGTTCAAGCAAAGGAGACTTGAGCATGTCGTTTTCTTGCTTCCCACGCAGCTTTTCCAAAGCAGGCTGTTCGATTACTTTCCCTTCCTTTTCCTTGACTCGTGTTAACACGACACATGGCATCAGCTCCAGGCGGTTCTTCGCAGCTCCTTCTTTATCTGCTCTCTCCCGACTCCCTTTGCCTTTGACCTTCTCAGGGGTGGGCTCCCGTTCGGTTTCTGGGTCTGTTTCCGACGACTGAGAGCTGGGAGAATGATTTTTGGCCCTCCGTTTCTGCTTCTCCGCTTTATCCTTTTCAAGTTTTTCTGGTTTCTCCTTCCTTACCAGGCGCTTGTCTTTGTCCGTTCTCTCTTGCTCAAAGGCCCGCTCTTTTTCGGGCTTCTCGCTTTTTGTGTAGCGCTCGAGGCGGGCTTTGTCCAGCTTGTCATAGCGGGGTGGGGAGAGGGAGCTGCAGCTGCCGCTCCGCTCCGAGGACCGGCTGTAGATCCTCCGCTCAGAATCGCTCTGCAGCCTCTCTGATTGGGACGGAGATGCTCCAGGGCTTTGGGGCCGTCGGGAGTGAGCTGGGCTTTGGCTCCTTTCAATGGGCCTCCTTTCATGGTCCCGGTCCCGGTCTGATTCAAATCGCTCCCGCTCCCGTTGCCTGTAACTATACTCTCTTATGTCTTGCTCGTAAGGGTCACCCCTGTAATCTCTGTATTCCCGTGGGTCGTCGTAATACCGTGGGTCGTAATACTCTGCTTGGTAAGGATCCCAGTCAGCATAAAACTCCCTGCTACGGGCTGGATATTCTCTCCGAGGATCTTCTGGATATGTTCCTGGGGTGCGAACAGCCTCATAGTAGGTACGGTCAGCAGCATAGTCGTAAGATCCTCTCCTTTCATCCCTGCCAAACCCAGGAACATAAAAAAGTCAGCTTCTCCCCAGATCAAGACCACCATATACAGCTCGACTACTGTAGCTACAGGTTCAATCAAAAGACAAAAAGAACAGCTATTTTCTAAGCAGGCAGCTGATCCTTTAGTTCAATAGTCACCACCCCACGTCCCACTGCTAAGAGAGGCTTCAGAGGCTTTTCCTAAGCCATGACCTTCAGCAGGAATGAGTGATGGAAAAAAACACTTCTGCTCTAAGGCCCTTCAGCTTCCAGCCCAGAATCTCGTAGTCCCTTGCTATATATGGAATGTGTCTGGCAGGGCTGGGCGATATCTGTTGCAGGTGCAATTCTGCACTTTCTCAGGAAGGAAGGCCAACATGGCGCAGGTGTTGCAGGCCACTACAGCAGCTCCCTCACCATCTATGTCTCTTGGTCCAATGTACACCGTGAGACAGCACTCTGGGCCTCTCCCTCAAAATGTCCCCCTGTTTACAAGCCTTGGTTATGAGCTGCAATCATTTAAACAGGATTGCTACTGGCTGCTAACCCCTTCCCCAACTCACAATGGTATTTTGGATATCCATTGTAAAAATAAAAAAGCCAACAAGAATTAAAATGACGGCAGGAAAAATGCCAAAAAACGTGATTTATGAATTGCTGGGTAGATCCTCCCAACCTCCAGAGACCCATTTTGGGCTGCTGTAAAGACATCAGAGGCACTTGCCTTCTTTCTGCCAGCATTTCATAGAAGTCTCTGATATCTTGACCCGTTTTCTCCATAGATTGATAGAATGACAACTGGCTTTCACGGTTTGCAAAATCCACCTGAAAAACAAGAATTTTTTAAGGCCCATTACTCACAATAACACCCAATTATGAAAAAAGGTTCATCATCTGCATTTAAGACACAGGGAAATTAAGACATGATTAAAAGTGCCCCCCGCCCCATTAAACCATCAGATGAGGAGAACTTTGCTTGCTGGTGGGTTTTAATGTAGAAGCTAGTTTTAATAGAATATGGTACTTCACAGCTTAGATGTGGGTATGGAAGTATCATAATGCCATACACATTATGAAAAAAGAACAGCAACCATGCTAGGCCAATTCAGCAATGGCCAGATACATCTGAGAATATCATAAGGAAGTTGGGGAAGACAGGGTGCATTTAGCCACTGATAACCTTCAACATGTTAATATGAGAGTGATTTTAGTCAAAAGGATCACGAACTAATTATGAATGCATGTATAACTAGTGAGACGTTGTTCTTGTTCTTGCTGTTACTGTTGCTTTTCCCAAGAACCACAATTAAAATGCCTCTGGTCAATCTTACACAGCAAGCCAAACCCAGAATACTAAATCCACAGATACTAAATCCCCAAATGCACAGAGTATGGGAAACAAGCAAGATGAATTGGAGCTTTTAGCACAGGATAGCAAATATGACCTGGTAGGCATTACTGAAAACTGGTGGCTTGAGACTCATGACTGGAATGTAGGAATTGTAGGGTATAACCTGTTCAAAAGGAATAGACTGAAGAGGAAGAGAGGAACTTCAATTTCCATGATATCTGTTGGGACTCTAACTCTGCCAAGAATGCAAGGTCCAACAAATTCCTCCATTGCCTCTCCGACAATTTAATTTCCCAGAAGGTGGAAGAAGCATCAAGGGGATCATCAAGAGGAACTGATCGACAAAGTGGAAGTACAAAGAAACTTGGGAGAAAGTGATCATGTTCTTCTGGCTTTCATGATACAGAGGCAAGGGGAAACTGTGTAGTCGGACACACACTCTGGATTTTAAAAAGGCCAATTTTCAAAAAGCTTAAGGAACTACTGGGTGTGATTCCAACAGTTGCAGGGGGAAAGTCAGGCTGGCTAAAGCTCAGAATGAACAGGCTTGCAAGGGAGGTTAGAAATAATTAAAAAGGTTTATTTGGCTATGTCCAAAGTAAGAAGAACACGGAAGTGGCGGATCCTCTCCTTGGAGAAGACAAGAGAAAAGGTGGAACAACTCAACACCTACTTTGCCTCTGTTGTCACCCAAAAGGAAAGTGATGCCGAACCTGGTGATAACAGAATAAATGATGTAAGGAGGGAGCTGCGTCCCAAGATAGGAAAAGAGGTATTAGGGAACACCTAGTTACTTTAAATGAATTCAAATCTCCAGGGCCTGATGAGCTGCATCCAAGGGTACTAAAGGAGGTTGTGGATGTAATTTCAGAGCCTTTGTCTATGATCTTTGAGAAATCTTGGAGAACAGGTCGAGGTCCCTACAGACTGGAGGTGGGCAAATGTTGTCTCCTTCCTTAGAAAGGGGGGAAAGGAAGACCCGGGTAACTACCAACTGGTGAACTTGACATCAATACCAGGGAAGGTCCTAGGACAGATAATTCAACAGTCGGTCATTTAGAAAAGGATGCTGTGATTACTAAGGCCTAGCATGGGTTTCTCAAAAATATGTCATGCCAGAACAACCTGATTTCTTTTTTTGATGGAATTACAAACTTGGTGGATCAGAGAAATGCTGTGGACATAGTGTATCTTGATTTCAGTAAGGCTTTTGACTAACCCCCCCCCCCACACACACACAATATTCTTGCGAGGAAGCTGGTAGAATGTGGGTTGAACAAGGTGGATTTGTAGCTGGTTGACTGACTGAACCCAAAGAGTACTCATTTTTGGTTTCTAGTCATCCTGGGGAAAAGTGACAAGTGGGGTGCCGCAGGGTTCTCTCCTGGGCCTGTTGTTCAACGTCTTTATAAACGACTTGGATGAAGGAATTGAGGCGATGCTCATCAAATTCGCAGATGACAGAAAACTGGGAGCAGTAGCTAATCCCACAGAAGACAGAATCAAAATTCAAAATGACAGATTGGAGAACTGGGTGCAAGCTAACAAAAAGAATTTCAATAGGGATAAATGTAAGGTTCTGCAATTAGACAGAAGAACCAGATGCACAAATATAGGATGGGGGACACCTGAGTGACTAGCAGTACATGTGAAAAGGATCTAGGGATCTTGGTGGACCACAAGCTTAACATGAGGCAACAGTATGATAGAGCAGCAAAAAAGGCTGCATCAACAGATGTGTTTAGATCAAGGGAAGTAATAAAAAGGTAAAGGACCCCTGACAATTAAGTCCACTCGCGAATGACTCTGGGGTTGTGGCGCTCAGTTTTTCCGGGTCATGTGGCCAGCATGACTAATCCGCTTCTCGGCGAAACCAGAGCAGCGCACAGAAACGCCGTTTACCTTCCCTCCGGAGCGGTACCTATTTATCTAATTGCACTTTTTGCCATGCTTTCGAACTGCTAGGTTGGCAGGAGCAGGGACCGAGCAACTGGAGCTCACCCTATCGCAGGGATTCGAACTGCTGACCTTCTGATCAGCAAACCCAAGAGGCTCAGTGGTTTAGACCACAGCACCACCTGCGTCACAGGGAAGTAATAGTACCACTCTATTCTGCCTTGGTCAGACCAACCCTGGAATACTGTGTCCAGTTCTGGAATACTGTGTCCAGTTCTGGGTGCCACAATTTAAGAAGAATGTTGACAAGCTGGAACGTGTGCAGAGGAGGGCAACAAGGATGATCAAGGGTCTAGAAGCCAAGCCTTATATGAGAGACGGTTGAAGGAGCTAGGTATGTTTAGCATGGAAAAGAGGAGACTGAGAGGAGATATGATAGCAATCTTCAAATATCTAAATCGTTGTCAAATGGAAGCTTGTTTTTTCCTGCTCTGGAAGGTAGGACTCCTACCGATGGCTTCAAGTCACACAAAAAAGAGATTGAGATCTGACAGTAAGAGCTGTTGAACAGTGGAACAGCCTCCTCCCTTGGGGGTTTTTAAGCAGAGGTTGGGTGGCCATCTGTCATGGATGCTTTAGCTGAGGTTCCTGCATTGCAGGGGTCCCTTCCAACTCTATAAATTAGATTCAATAAATCCCTCTCTCAGGAAGTTGAATAAACAATCCTCAAACACCTGTTACAATGTCAAAAAACCCAAACGGCTAATTTTAATCAAAGGCCAGTAATTAAAAGGTTTAAGACTGATGCACCGGAAGACATTCTGTAATAATCCACAGCAACAGGGCAGGCAGACATCAAACTCACTGAAGCCACACAAGCTATAGAACTAGCACACAGGAGGCTCAATGTTAAATTCATCCTTTACAATGCACCTTTAAGGTGTTCACCTCTTAGTGCAGTCCCCTGCCCCGCCTACCTCCCCCCCCCAAAAAAATATATATGGTGCCTTCCTGCTGGCTGGGGCTGATGTGAGTTGTGGTCCAAGCACTGGGAGGGCACTAGGTTGGGGAGGGCTATCCTACTGAGTGTGCGCAAGCACCCACTCACACGCCTGACACAAGGTAGGAGGTCTTATTTGGAAGCAGATAACCAAGCAAGACAAGAGGAGACGACATTTCAAAGGCCGTCCTGGACAGTGCCCAATGCACCACAAGAACCACATCTTTCCTCTGACGTAGAGCTTATCTCCATCTTGGAAAAAGCACCATGGGACACAGCACATGCCTTTACTATGCCCCAAATGGCACAGGCCAGGTGGTCAACGCACCTGGCACATCCATGTACACAAACAAGCAAGACTCCTGCGCTCAAGGTGATCTCTCCTTGGGAAGGACGCAGTGAGCCAAGAGGGCCAAGGAAATTCTACAGCTGCAGAGATGTTAGCGGCACAAGGTCCAGCAGCCAAAGAACTTAGGAAAGGAGAAGAACTGAGCAAAGCAAATGACAGGAAGGGAAAGGCTACAAGCAGCAGTTGGAGATGCCCGCACAGCTCCACTCGGCAGAGGGGGTGACAATAATCAATCTTAGAAAAACTTTGGCAAAGCATTCTGTGTCATTAAGCAATTCCCCTGCCTGGCCTATTATTTACTATTGTTTATTATCATTACTACTAATCTTTAGGAACTTAATTTTGCAGACCTTAATTTTATTCCCACCGATTTTCCTCCCCTTGGTCTCTTTTACAGCAGCTTGTGCATATTCAATTTCATTGTAGATAACGAGAGCCATGCCTTTTAAGCGGTCAAACACCACCTGTAAGAACAAAAAAACAAAACAAAACCAAAATAAGAGCCTCATCCACAGGACAGAAACGTCAGTCCCAGCAAACAAATGCAACTAGGGGCAGGGAGAATAGATACGGTTACAACACCAAATTTAGAGGCGTTTTCAGCCTTCCCCGCAACAAGGCATCTTGTAAGAGAGACAATAAAAAGGGGCGAAAGGGACTGCTCTAGGTTGAGAATCATGTGGCTTGAGGCATTGGTAGGCCTTTATTTTGTTTTTCTGTATTTTACTTATTTCCCTGCAGTTGCAAATTTTATGCCCAGAGAGTACAAATTCTGTTTAAAAAAACAGAACAAAAACAAGTGTAAGAAACCACAGTTTCACTAAGGAGATAAACGTGTGCTGCTCGAGACACAAGGCACCAGCAGGCTCTGTGGAAGTAATGCCAAGAGTTCAAAATCCCACCCACTCCCTGCAGAGATTATACAGGAGGCATTCCTGGCTCAAGCTTGTCCAACCTCCCTGCATGATTCATTCATGCAGAGGTGCTACATGACTTTAAGATCAACCTCTGCTCCAGAGATTAAAAGGCAGCTCAGTGCATGTACCTGAGATACCTGCAAGGGGGAAGAGGGGAGATTAAAGGCATTGGGGGGAGGCAGGAGAAGTCAGTTGCCTCTGCATTTAGAATGGGAGCCATAAGACAACTTCTGGATCTAATGGGACTAATCTGAGCCCTGTCACTGAAGTGGGCCATGCACCCAAAATTCTAGGGGGAGTCACAGTTTTGCAAAGGGGGGGGGCAGGGGAGGAAGAGAAGGTGGGCAGACACACCAAGCACTCTCTGCACACGTTTGGCTTGCCTTAACATGCCATTTCCCCAACTGGAAAAAAGGTGGCGAGAGCTTTGGACCTCTCGGAAGGATAGGCTCAGCCCGGAGAGAGAGAGAAATATAGAGACAGAAGCAGGTCTTCAGGACGGAGCTTGAATGTGGGGTCAGAAAAGAGCAGGTTTATTGAGGAAGGAAGAGAGGAGACCTCTTCGTGCTGCAGAAAGCCTCCCACCTACCTTCACCACAGGACCATAGCGGCAGAAATGTCGCGTTAAATACTGATCCGTCACGTTTGTCGAAAGACCATCCAACCACATGCAGTTGGTGGGCATGCTCTTCCCAAAGCCCAGCTGGACACAAAAGGGCAAAACTTCCAGTCAGTCAAAGAATTCACAATTAAGCTCATTTAACAAGAGCAGGCCTAATTCTAAACTAAGATCCGTAGAGCAGGTGCGAGCAAGTACTAAGCCAGTTTTGGGTTTTTTTAAAGCCAGTTTTAATTAACATAAATTCCAGAAGCTTAAATGGACACAAAGTGTGGCCCCTTCCTATGGCAAGTGAATCAAGTGCAACTTGCAGTCTGTACAGGACAAGGAGCTGGAGAGAAAACTGTGAATGGGCAAGAAAACAAATGCCACCTCCACGCCCATTCGGTTTCCAGGTTCTGCACCAAGATGGTCAAACAACTTTGCCCATTCGTGCCATCTGGAGGGACTGAAAAATCCCAGAAACAATCCAATCTCATCTACAAGCAAACAGAAAGGCCCTAAGAGGGACACAGGGCATCTTATCCTTGCTTCACGGCTCAAGCTGACAAGAATCACTTAAAATCTCTGGAAACAAAAAAACCCCTCAAAGAGCAGCACTTCTAGGAGAAAATTTACCTTGAGCCGATTATTTCCGAGATATTCCCCATCCATCTTCTTGATCGCTTTACACACACTTGCAATATCACAGTACTGCAGGAATGCATACTGGGGAACCCCATTCACTTTCTTGATGTCAATATCCTGGTGGGGAAGGAAAGCAGTTCACACTGAGAGACAGACTAGGCCACAGGGCACCAAGAGGACTGCTGGTCAAAGAGAACGCCCTGCTAAGGAGGAAGCAGGCTCATAGTTTTGCAGGTTAGCCTTCAGGGATGCAGCTGGACCCCAGTTTAAAGCAGTTGTTGGCCAGTCAAAAACACACACATCCCGCTAAAGCTCAGCAACATAAGTGGGAGTCTGCAACTGGTGGTCCTAGGTCAAGTATCCACTCACATCTGTGGATTCTCTTTTGCTTCCTAAACCAGCAAGGTCAGGTTGGTGTGTGGACACAAGTGACAGAAGCAGTTTCCCCTCCTCAGCTTCTTTTTCTAAATGACAATACCCCCAAACCATTCAGTGTTCCTGTCCTATTTTTATGCTCTTAAAAATACTGCTCATGGAAAACCACAACAATCCACTCTTCCCTCCCTTCCTCATCTTGCAGCTCATTCTAAACCAAGATGACGCACACAGTAAAATCCAGATGAACAACAGCAACAATGCAACAACATTGTGATGCTGATTAATTATTTGAATGCTGGCTTTTGTTTTTTTTATATATATATATATCTTTAGCAACAGCTGAAATCTAAGTAGTGACTAAGATACTCTGGAAATATTTAAAGCCTGTGCTAGAGAAAATTATCTACCTGGGGATTTAATGGGCTTAGGCAGGCAGAAGGATAAACAACATTTTGGCCAGCCTTCACTCTGATGACTAGGAGCCGAGGCAGGCACAATGTTCTCTGAGTAGGACGAGTCATCCTCCCAAGCTAGAAATAGAAGCTGGACACTTTCTATTTTTGCAAAACAACACTCACTTCTGCCTTTGTGAGCAGTGTGTTAGGAGATTCAGGCAAGGAAGGAGACTCCAGCACCTTCAACAAGTCCAGGGACAAGAGCAAAAGATCCAGAGAAGACTTCCATTCCCAGAAGCCTTTGGCTCCAAACAAAGGTGAGGAAGCAAAGACTTGCCCAAAGAGGGGACTTCTCTAACACCAGCCAGTCTTTGTTCTAGTGACATAGCAGCATAGGAGCTTCCAACTTAGGGTGACTGACTTGCCGTGAGCAAGCAATTAAAGCAAAAACAAACAGCTACACCCCTAGGGGTCACTTTTCCATTAATGATGAGGCATCCACACAACAGTGGATCTGCAACATACCCCACTGCCACGGTCTGTGTGAGCAAATGACAGTCTTTTTTCTCGTGGATGTCTCCTGAGTTTGCATGCAGTGCTTTTCAGGGCATGCAGGTGGGAGATTAAAAGGCCTGGCAACACTCAACCCAGGCAGCTCTCGGTCCTGCTTGCTAACACACTCTCCTTCCCCAATGCCAAACACACAGAAGCGGAAGCAGTTTCTGCTGAACCAGACTTGCATTGTTCAGCCATGGACATGAGTTTAGCAAATGCCTAGTAAGCAAGTGAAAAGGCTCCACCTCTTCAAGACAAAGCGAGAAGAGCTGCGCCCTTCAGGAAGGGAAGTCCCAGGGCTGCACAGCTGCCCCCAGTGCTCTTCCTCCTTGGGCCCTTGTAGGTGGGAAGGGCCAGGCAAGCCCTCTAACCATCTGCCTCAAGTGCCACCTCTTCTTGCAAGGGAGCACAGCAAAGGAGGCAGTCTCTGACACATGTAGGGCTCAGAGTATTCAGCAGAGCAAACAGGGTTGTTTTCAATGTAAGGTTGCTAAGACACTGCTACCCAGGGATACGGAAGCTGCCTTTTCCCCCTTCCAAATTTATTATTTCTATATCATGGCTTAATAAGATCCAGTGATACTTATCAGATTAATGGACCTTCAGAGCTTATATTTAATGAGCTGAAACATGCTTCTCTCTCAAATGAACTGATACAAACACACACACACTGTACATACCACTATCCCTCCAAAACGCTGGAAGATGTTGCGAAGGTCATGATATGTGGTGGTTTTTTCTAGATTGCCGATGAACAGAGTTCTCGTTGCCTTGGGGTGGAATTCATCTATTCTTTCATCTAAAGGCCGAAATTCATTCTCGCTCTCTGTTTCTGGAGGCAGGTGATTTAAAAAACAGTTCTTTTAACATTATGTGGTGTCTTCTCTCTTTAACATTCTGTAGTGTCTAAATCTCTCTACGCTGCCATGTCAGGAGGGCTGAGCTTCATCCCACCCCATTTCAAATGATTATGGATCTAGTAATGCAAGCAAATCAAAGGTCAAAGCAGTCCACCAACTCCTATTCTGTAAGCAGAAACTAAATTCAACAGACTAATCTGGAGGGAAAACTGAAACAAGAGCTCCCGCCCACTTCAATGGGATTTGTGAAGAGGTTCCTGATGGATGGTGCCAATGCACCAAAAATGACCAGCTGGCTAATGTTTTTGTTAGGGCCAACTTAAGCATCGCTAAACTTGAAGAAGAGCCATAGCTCACTGGCAGAGCATCTGCTTTGAAAGCAGAAGGCCCATGTTCAATTTCCAACACCTCCAAGTTTCCTGGATTCAGTATTTCCTATGTAAAGCAACAGCAAGCTCACTTTTTTCATGAATTTTCTCCATTCTGGAGAACTTAAAAACCAGCTCGTGGCTTTGTTGTGCTTCAGTTGGGCCAAACTGTTGCTATTTGGATTTTCCTTTGAGGGGCAAGCACAAGGCTATCTGCCATTTTCAAGGGCCAGCAACAACCTCCTTGTGCTCACCTGGCCCTATCCAAGCAGTCACTTCAATCTGCATGCCAAAGAAGAGTTTCCCTTTGGAAGCATTGAGCGCTTTCTCCTGATCCTCCTGTTGCCGGAAGAACACCAGTCCGTATCGCTCTTCAGAGGCTCCGTGAATCTGCACAGATGTCACCTTCCCGTACTTCTTGAACTCGTGGAATAAACCATCTTTAAGGCTGGTGTCTACACCCCAAGAAGCAAAGCAGAAGATTCATGCTGATGGTTACAGAAGACACTGTAGCCTTTTTGGAAAACGCAGCACAAAGGTTGCAGTTTGTACTCTTTCGTGTTGTGAGTTTCTATTCTAAAATGTATAGTGTTACATACACACAGAACTGCCCCCTGCAGAACAAGCTGCTTGGGTTCACCCTTCTCCCAATCAAACATGCCACCTCTCCTCCCCAATTACCCTCTTTTCACTGTGAACCATTCCCTGCATTGAGTGATGTGTAGTCTGCACTTGGGAGAAGCCTCGCAGAATCACCCTGGCCAGAAGGGAACCTCAATACAGCCTCCACTGGTATTGTTCTGTTGCTTCTTGCTCTTTTCCATGATGAGCGGAACCAGAACTGTGCAAATGTGCGAATTTGCTCAGTCCTCTTTTGTGCAAAACTGACAAAACTGTGCACAGAATTTTGATTTAAAGGCACATACACAGCCCTGCTTTGACTGTTATATATCTTTCACCTGTGGTAGGAAAATTCCATGCACCTTAGGTTGATGAACCAGACTACTTAAAAAAACCCTCTTTCAAAATTAATGCTGCCCCATTTGCAATATGACATATTTTCCACCAGCATTCGCGTCAGCGGTAGCCTACCAATGCAGTTCAAAGATCATTAAACAGGGCTTGTGTTTTCCAGTGGAATATTATGGGCAGTCACAATATTGCTTTGGTTTAGCATTAATTATGGATGATGCCTCTTTAGCTCTTACCTGTGGAGCGCACTGGAAGATTCTGAACCTTAATCCCAAAACTTTTGCGGGGCTCATCTTTTTCCAGAGATGGAAGCAACTGGGAGGTGGGTGCTGGAACTGCCGTGGATTGAACTGAACGGGCCGGAGACTCGTCGCTTGAGCTGCTGCTGGAGTCACTGCTGTAGAAGCAAAAAAAGAATGCAAAATTCAGCAGAGGGAGGCTGCCAGGTCATTGCCTTGAAACAAAAAGGTGCCCAAGGCCAAATTCTTTTACCCATCAGCAGAAAAGCAGCATATATATATCTGAGGACAGCATGAGGATGCCAATGTCTTCACTGAAGAATAATCAAGGGTGTGGGAGATGGTTTGCTTTTTGTACCTGGGAAAAACTCAAGGGTCTGGTCACAGGGCAATTAGAAATTTGAGATCTCTTTTTAGTCCTAAGCAGGGTTGGCATTAACAAAATAATTATGAAACTATCCTGTGATTAAGGAAACCCAATACAGTCAAATAACTGGGGAGTTATATAGACTCTTAAAGTTTATTGTAAATCTGGGCATGCTGGTTGCTGCCCGCAAGTTAAATCCAAGATTCCAATGTCTCAATTCACACGTTGCCTGAATAAAAGTGAATTTTTAATTGTTATAACAATTAATACATTAAATCCAAAAACTAGTCATTCCACTTTCACACTATATACAGGTAGCCAAATGTTACACGCGTTCAGTATGTGTACGATGGTGTATACACGCATCATGCTGATCCCGGAAGTGACCCAGAAACATCATAAAGACATCACTGAAACATCACTAAAAAGGCAGAATGGGGGCAGGGGAGGTCAGAACGAGGCAGGGCAGAGCAGAGCAGAGCAGGGGTAGAATGGGATGTTTGCAGGATTTTTCAATGGGTCAATTGCACTCAATTTCACTGGTACGTTGGGTGCCTCAGTACGTAACTCCCGCATCATATCTGCTTACAGACAAGCTCATAATTAGGAAATTAATGTTCTGCTTTTTCTGTACATATACAAGGACACAAGGCAAAATGACTCGCCTGAAGAAAAGGGCAACAAACCAACACAAAGTTAGATGGCAACACAAAGTTAGATGGCAACTAAATGTCCAGAGCTGTAAGAAGACTAAATAAAAGTTCTCAATAAATTGGTCACGGGAGTGCGGAATAAGTCACACACCCTTTTGGGCGTAAGCTTAAAGCCCCAATCAAGTGAAAATGAAAAGGAAGCAGAAGATAAACAAAAATCTTCACAAAACCAAGGGACTCTACTTGTCTTGGAACAACTCCCTCTTCACAGTGTCACGTGAACTGGCTTGCTGACTCCACTGATGCTAACTGCTAATCATGGTGACACCTTGACAATGATTGGCTGATTGGTGCAATGGCTAGGACAGTTCAGAGCAGCTCACAGTCCACCTTCCATGAGGAAAAGGGTGTTGGTTAGTTGGGATTAAAACATTGCAGGGTTATGGTTGAAAATTTTGATGGCCCTGAGAGCAGGTAGAGAAGCTAATGGAGCCCCGAGGAAAAGAAAGCTATATGAAGGTGCACAGTGGGGAAACAAACATTTAAAAATTGCATTTTTAAAATGCCAATTTAGATGTATGTGTTGGTTTTGTTTTTTGATTAAAATGTTGTAAGTCGCTTTGAGTTCCCATGGCAAAAAGTGACTAGTACATTTAATAAGCAAGGAGGAGGAGGAAGAACCTGAAGGGTAAGAGAGGGGGAATTAAGGCATAAAAGGGCAACAAGGAGAAATTAAATCCCAGGAGGAATTTCACAGTGCTTAAGACAAGTAGAATTTTATTTGGGAGGTGGAAGAAAAACTAGGGAGAATGATCTAGAACAGTGGTTTCCAAACTTCCCACCCACAGTCCACTTGAAAACTGCTGAGCGTCAGGGTGGACCACTTAATGGTTTTTCTGCCTGTTGTTTAGGAACTGTAACACACTGTGCATTACAACTTTATGGAATTCAAACTGTAATACAATAAAATACAAAATATAAGAAACAAAAGAAGCAAGAGAAATATAATTAAAATCAATATGAGTATTTAATGTGATGGATGTGCCGTTTCATGTCTTCAGCCACAAATCGTGGCATGGATCACCTGAATGAAGTGTGAATGGTCTGTGGACTGCAGTTTGGGAACCCCTGATCTAGAAACATGGTAAAGAAAAGAGAGGGAACAAAGTAGACAGTGGCCAGAGGAAGTAATGGGTGGTAGGGACATGGGAGTTGGAAAAGGAGGGTTAGAGACAGGAGGGTCTGGGTACAGGAGTAAAAGGAGCAGCCAAGGGGCATATGGTTGCTTTGCCTATACAGAGACATTTCATCAGTTATGACCTCTGCTATCACTGCAGCACTGTGAGCCTGGCAAGCAAAGGGACAGCGACACAAAGACTAAGAAGCAGCAGAGATGGCATGACTGAATTTCACACTGATTTTAAATTACTAGCCAAGTTTCGGTTCATGTGCCCTGTTAATGGATTCTGCTAAGCACAATTATTTGGCAGTACAGCTCAACTTAAAACTGGGTTGGGTTACCTATCAATGGCATGAAAATTATGGTTTTATGTACAAAAGGATGGCATCTGGTGATTCGATTCATTAATGAGAGATTATTGTCTTGCGAGAAAGGAATGTCCTGGAAGATCCCATTCCTTTCCAATGGATGACTCATTTCAAGAGTAAGGTGTATAGCCAGCACTCTGGTAGCATCACTGAGCCACGATCATGTCTCTGCCAAAGGCAGGGAGTTCAGGTTGAATGCTTCGGGCATAATGGAATGAGGCCAATAAACCAGCTCCAGTTAGGAAGTAGAATGCAAAATTGCACATATTCCAAGGGTCCAGATCCTCATTCACCTTACATTCAGTGTTCAAAAGACACTGCTGTGCGCCAGCCAACCAGCCGATCTGTAGAGATGCCTTGTCGATGTTTTATTCTGGATTGCTTTATTTATGGCTTTAATGTGTTGTAACCCACTTTGAGATTTTTTCTTTGAAATACAAAGTGGTATAGAAGTGAAATTAACAACAACAAATTCCCTTCAGGAAAAGAAATGCAACTAGACATTCCTTTGTGCCATTATTTGGTGATTAGCTTATATATCTAAGTTTCTAACAGTTCCTTAAGCTTAAGCAGTTCCTTAAGCTTTTTGAAATTGGCCTTCTTAAAGTCCAGTGCATGTCCAACTACACTCAGTTTTCCCTTGGCTGTGTACAGTGGTACCTCTGGTTACATACTTAATTTGTTCCGGAGGTCCGTTCTTAACCTGAAGCACCACTTTAGCTAATGGGACCTCCTGCTGCTGCCGCGCCGCCCGCTGTGCAATTTCTGTTCTCATCCTGAAGCAAAGTTCTTAACCCGAGGTACTATTTCTGGATTAGCGGAGTCTGTAACCTGAAGCGTATGTAACCTGAGGTACCACTGTATAATGAAACCCAGGAGGATATAATCACTTCTTCCCAAGGTTCCCTGTACTTTCACTTCTTTCCTGCCTGTTGCTGAGCACCGGGTCAAAGAGAGATGACCTGCTTCTGGGAAACAAAATTGTCAGCGAGACAACTGAGGAATTTGTTGGACCTTTCATTCTTGGCAGAGTATGAGTTCCAATAGATATTGGAGTAATTGAAGTCTGTCATGACTACTATATCACTCTCCTTTTTGAATGTTTGGTAATCTGCTCTGGGAAGGAATCATCCAAGTCCTCAATCTGGCTTGGAGGTCTATGAGCAGACACCCACAATAAGGTCACTGCTGTTTTCCTCTCCTACAATTTTTACCCATATACTTCCAATCTGCCTTCCATGCTCCAGGTCATGGATTTCTTCACAAGCATGCACATCCTTTATATATGATGCTACTCCCGCTCCTTTCCTGTTTGTTCTATTTCATCTGAGTGAGTTGTACCCCCCAATTTCTACATTCCAGTCATGAGCATAGCTGTCAACGTTTCCCTTTTTTAAAGGGAAATTCCCTTATTCCGAATAGCATTCCTCACAAGAAAAGGGAAAAGTTGACAGCTATGGTCATGAGTCTCATCTCACCAGCTTTCAGTATTAGGTCATGTTTGCCATCCTGTATTAAGAGTTCAAGTTTTTCTTGCCTGTTTTCCATACTCTGGGCATTCATGTAGAGACAACTGAAACCAGGAGTCATTCATCCTCACACTGCTGCCTCTGTCTCCCTCCATTGGGAGTCACCACACATCTCTCCTCTGGGGACTGCAGGAATCGTTCTGTACACTATCTTCCACTTGGTGTGTTCTGAGGCCTGTAACCACTGTACTTGCTCCTCTGGCCAGGAACTGGTGTCTGAGGTGAGGACATGGAACTGATTTTGTAATTCCAGAGACACAGCTTGGCTCCTGACAGTCCTGCTTTTTCGTGTCACGCTCCAATCTCCTGCATCATTTCCCCTCCTACCACTAGATGGCAATGGTCCTCTGTTCTCACTGTGTGTATTTTGAATTTAAAAATCACCTGCCACTGGCAGGTTTTCTCTTGCCAGATTTTCCCCTTCTGCCATAAACTGCTTAGGATTTGTTACTCAGGATTTCAAAATACAGTGGATAAATTAAACTCTTGAACACCATACTTTCTGGCTGCACAAACATATTTGTTCCACTGACTGCTTTGATCCTGCAAATCTGCTCTGGCTGCTGGAAGGGATCAGAGGGGTGGGAAGTGTTCTAGCGGGGGGGGATCTCTCAAAGTAGGGTTGCCATACATCCGGATTTTCCTGGACATGTCTGGGATTCCAATGCCAGAATTAGTGTCCGGGGGGAATTTCAGACAATCACTTAAATGTGTGGATTTTTTTAAATTTCTCCCCAAAAGGCTTAACAATGTCCCCCCCCAAAAAAAAGCTTATCTCAAGGGGACTTCTTACCCTCCCACTACTCTACTTTTCTGGTTCTTTTTTTTTTATTCTGTTGTTTGGGTTTGAGTTTAGTTTACTGTGTTACTTTGTGGTTTAATCTTGTAAACCTTCATGATAGCGGAAAACAATTTCCTGGTAGCCATGCAACACATAGCAAGAGAAGTGCACAAAAAACCATAGATGGTGAGCATCTTGTGATGAGGATGGCTTCTTCTGGGAGACATACATGTATCATCCAGAAACAGTTTTTTCCTACAGCATTAACTTTTTTTCAAGCTGCAGTCAGATTCAGTTAGATCGATGGACGATGGACATTATCATTTCTTTTAATTGTGTCACAGTCCTAAAAATACAGATATCGCTTTGTCCTGGGCCAGACATCATCTAGATTTGATTATCTAGGTACAGTTCTCAGACTTGGATCATTTTTTTCCTAACAGAAATTTGTTCAGACATTGTTTTGTTATCAGAGTTTAAGGGAGAACCCCAATTTATAAACGGATTACATTATTATTTTGATTAAATATTGAAGCACGGTGCCCTTTTCCAGTAGGAATAACTGGAGAGGGTTCCTTAGCCTGGTGCTTTCAGTGGGGGTTGCCAGCGTGTTCTGTAACAGGCTGCAGTGTCTTCTAGCTTCTCTTTTCAGGGAACAGAGAACAGCAGCAAAAGCGGTCTCTGTTCTGAAATCAGTTTGAAGAAATGTTCATACTCTGGCTCCTCAAAACAGCGTGCGTGCACGAGAAAGACAGAGAGAGAGAGAGAGAGAGAGAGAGAGGAGGCAAGTTGTGAGAGGCTTGCAGGCATCCTATTACGCTGAATTATTTGCAGGATCTTTCATCTTCTTTGTTGTCACAGGATGAAAATAATGAACTACTGCATGTCAACACACACCCCTTACACAAAGCTAAGCTGTGCCTTATTTACTACCCAAATAGAATGCCTAGTAAATATTTATGAGAAAAAAGATATAAAAATTGTGTGAGATTGGTGTAGAAGTAAGAGTATGTAGAATCTGGGAATTTACCATCAGTGTGGTAATTGGAAGCCTTCCTGGAAGTGCCCTTTTAGAGGGTAGCCCTATGTCCTGTTGCAGGAGCATGGAGGCAGCTAATGATTCAGATTTGTTCAGTTAATTCTCAGTCAACTGGCAAAATGCTCCCCATCAGTTAACATGAGAGTGCCAAAGACATTTATATTGAAGATGAGGGTGTTTCTCTGCAGCCATTTTTCATTCCTTTTCACCGATTACACATACAAAATTACAAAGCTACTTTCTTATTCTAACTCTCAGCAAACAATACAGTGTAAATATAAAATACAGAACTCTTATTCCTGCTGATTATCATTCAGTCCTGGCTACTCTGGGCCCAAAACCAGGTAAACAGACCCTGTTTGATTAGATCTTCTCAGTGTTAGAAACCAGATATATAAACTAATTGCCAAATGTCGTCTTAAATCTAGGTTACAGTCACCACAACAGTATGTCTAGGCGCTATTCCCACCCCGCCCCCCGTGAAACTTGTTGTTGTTGTTGTTAATTTCATTTCAATTCTGCTCAGTGTTTTAAAGAAACAATCTCAAAGCAGTTTGCAAACACATTAAAACGTCAAATCAAACAATCCAGAATAAAACAAATTCAAGCTTCAAGGGAAATATTTCAGATCCTTCTCTAAGTGACATATTGCTTTCCCCATATTTATTTACCTACTTAATTTATATCGCTGCCCCATAGCAGAAGTATTCTAGAAAGCCAGTGTGATGTAGTGGTTAGATTAGGACATGGGCGATCAGGGTTCAAATCCCCACACTCAGTCATGAAGCTCCCTGGGTGACCTTGGGCCAGTCAAAGCCTCTTAACTACCTTACAGGGTCGTTAATCCCTACAACTGAGGAGGGGAGTGAACCATGTACTCCTTGGGGGAAAAGGTGGGATATAAATGCAGTACATAAGCTCTTCTGCTTATCTCCTTAAGAAAGTTATGGCTATTTGACAGTGGAATGGCCTCCACTGGAAGGTGGTGGACACTCCTTCATTGGAGGTTGAATGGCCATCTGTCATGGATGCTTTAGTTGAGATTCCTGCATGGAAGGGGTATGAACTAGGGGCCCCTCGGGGTGCCTTCTAATAAAATTCTATGATTCTAAGCACTGTGAGCTGGTGATTACAGGTCAAGTATCCTTACATTCACTTATCACATTACTGCTTCCCACTGTTTTTTGCCTGAGATGTCTCACCCCACCAATATGTCCACTCTGGTGTGCAAGTCAAGAGTCATTTCCAGAAGAACTCGAGGATTACGTACCACAGTAACAAAGAAGATGGGCACTGCCAAATGCAGGTTCTTTCCAAGCATGGGAAAGTATCATTACTTAATAAAAAACATGAATTTATACCCAGTTCACCTCTCTGACCCAAATGATACAAAGAACCAGACCTTTCTCAAAGGTCTGTAACCCTCTGCCTTTCACGGTAACCTGCCCCTTTTTAAAAGAAAAAAGAAAAACTATACTTGCTTAGTTTCAGCATTTGGTTCTCTCAGTCCATTAACACACTGACTTCATGGGGAAAACTGCTTTCAAACTAAGGGGACCTACAAAAGCATTATGGGATATGGCATGGGATGGGGAGGCTTGTCTCATGGGCTAATTGAAGACCAGTGTGGTGTAGCTGGCAGGTGTCCAATGTATTAATGTTAAACCCTGGTCTTCAGTTCCATTCAAACATTATCTTGGCGGCCTTGGGCTAGTAATTGCTGTAACTAACCTACCTCAGAAGATTGCTGTTAGAAATAACAGCATATGTGCCCCATATCTCTATTTCCAGACCCTCCTACAGGTCAATCACAAAAAACCCCACCTCAAATATCCATCCAACTTGGGTTTGCCTAAAGTAGCACTTCGGATCTGTGGGTCAGGGACTAATTATTCCAGGCCTCCAGGCAACCAACCAAGGAAACTTTTTAAAACTTAAAACTGATCTCTCCCCCAACTCTGCAACACGCCTCCCCAGGCTGCCCCTGGCCTGGTCCACAAACAACCAACACCAGCAAGTATCCTAGGAATTCAGGATTTATCCTGCAATATTCTCTTCTCACTCTCAGGAATATGTGAAGTGAGGCTAATGATTTGCTGCTACCAAAACTTGAGCTGATAGAACCTTCCATATGTTCACTTTGTGCCATGGACTGCACTTTTTCAGGCTAGGTGACACACAAAAAACAGAGTTAAAGCTGCTGAAGAGTTAAGTTAACTTTACCTCCTTGGTCAAACACCTCTGTTTAGCAACATCTGCAAAACTAAAGCATTACCGTCTTGGAGTACAAGTCAATTAACTCAAACAGCCTCTGAACCTAATAGCTTAGTAAACATGCCAAGAGCACAGGTACCTGAGGTGACCTAATTTTCTATTAGTGCTGATCTATTAGTGTTGAAAAGGAAAGTGCGAAGATGCTCTCTAGGAAGTTCAGATGTAAAAATAAGGCAGAACTGAGAATAAAACACTCACTTAAACACATGACACATTAAAAGCAACTGTGCTTGCAGGCAAGAGAACACTTTTAAAAACTGCAAACTGAGCTGCAGAGGAAAGCACTCCACAAAGCACACCACAATCCACATTTTTAATACCACCACACTTTATAACAGCAGGTTAATCAGTTAACTAAATGGGGGGGGGGGACACAGAGGGAAGCACGGAATGGAAACGGTCCCTCCCAAGTCAAGACCAACCAAGCCACAGAGCTTGTTCGGGATTGGGGTGGGGAACCATCTGTAGACCCCCACATTTGTGCAGTCAACCTTTCCGCAACACCCTGGGGTCCATACAAGGTGCCAAACATGGAGTATGAAGATTAGATGCATTCTTTCATTCATTCCATAAATTTTATATACTTGATTTTTGGGGGCGGACGGCAGACCTCAAAGTGGTACACGAACTAAACAGTGTGTTTTCCCCAAACTGACATAGCAGATGGGATTCCTAAGCCTCTCACTTTTCATTTTCAAACTATTAGGCTTGAACTGCAGAGAGGAACTGAGAGAATATTCTATGTTCTGTGGAAGGTTCAAGTTGAGGCCTGGATGGGGGGTGGCTGACAGTGTACGGGAGAGGGAAGAGAAGTTTCCATGCTCCATATCCTCCCTTCACAGTGTTTTCCAGGGCTCCTGTCCCTTATCAATCTTATCCTTGGACGTAACCAAAAAGCCGTAACTAGAAATCAAAAGATAAACTGAACTACTGCACTATCAGCCAAGTAATCTGCAGAAGGATCATAGGCATGAATGCAAATCTACATAATGTGCAGAACTGATTTTACACGTTTCTTTAAGACAGAACTTAAGATTTCTTTCTGGCATAGAGCAAAAACACAGCTCTAAACTCGGTGTATCATTTTCAATTCAGTTTTCATCAGGAGAGACAGCAAAATTTCCCTGTAATCCCTTAATCTCCAGAAATTCAAGCCGTTCCAAACCCCAAACAGCTTATTGGACTCTGATTCGCTCTTCATATACACTTACAGCCGGGGGGCGGGGCGGGGAGGACCAGTGACCTCAGAAGAATTTTATTTATGTGCCTTTCTAATGAAGTCTAATCTGATTAGCCGACACATTGTAAAAGAGCCAATCTCAAGTGATCCAATAATCAACGCTTGTTTTCAGACACACGTAGGCAGAAGTAATTACAACTAATTCCTACACACAAGTCCCATCCTTCTCCCAAAGCCTCCATACTTGTATAGGAGACAACATAGTAGAGTGAAATGAAGCATGTGAGACTTTTGAAACAAGATCAGGCTCGGCCTTGAGAATTCACTTGTTTCCTTGGCACGCTACTTAACCTGAGTTTCTCTACCTGCAGAATGGGGAAAACTAGTGACCTACCTCAGAGGGATACTGGAGAAAAGAATAAGGAAGCGTTAACATCCATCGAGTCTTTGAAACAGAGTGAAATGTAAATTCAGGAAACAAGCAAGCAGCATACAAGAGAATATGGTCTGAAGATCCAACATATCCTTTCATCAAGGCAAACTAACTTTGTCCTCACAACTCTGACCTACATAAGACGGAGGAATCAGCTGGTGGCCATGTGTCACGTCCTACTAGTTAATATTGTCATATGACCGTGTCGATAAACAACTACTGTAATTCCCCCCTAGCTAAAAATAGGTCAGTGCTCAGGCAGAGTCCAGAGGTTCTTAGTCAGGCACAACACACCGGTTTCTTGATTTACATACAGATTACAAGGTGACAGTAAAGGACTGGTTAAGCATGTTAATGACCTCCAAATTTTGGACTTGTGTCTAATAAGCAGAATTTGGAACACATCCTACAGGTAAACACATGTGCCTTAATTTGAAATGGGTGGTGAAATACATTTAAGTGTGTTATTTCACCTGGTATTCTTGTAGACAATGGCCTTAAGAGAGATATTCAAAATGCTTCCAGTACCCAGATACGAGGTCTTCCTTAGGACTATTATTATTTCGAAAACTCTAGTAGTATTGATTTACATAAGGTGCAACACCAAGCCAAGGGGGATGGGAATTACATATGATAATATATCTGGAGTGGGTTGGCAGGGGTTTTAGCAGTTTGTGCTAAAATGTAGAGATGATTTTTAAAAAAATAAACAAACCTGTCCCACTCTTTAAAAAAAGACTTTAAAAACAGAGGATATATGTGTTTTCTGAGTCACTTCATGTTTATACATGATTTGAAGTGTTATAGTAGCTGCGAGCGGGTGGCGCTGTGGAGGGACGCGGGTGGCGCTGTGGGTAAAACCTCGGCGCCTAGGACTTGCCGATCACATGGTCAGCGGTTCGAATCCCCGCAGCGGGGTGCGCTCCCGTCATTCGGTCCCAGCGCCAGCCAACCTAGCAGTTCGAAAGCACCCCTGGGTGCAAGTAGATAAATAGGGACCGCTTACCAGCGGGAAGGTAAACGACGTTCCGTGTGCTGCGCTGGCTCGCCAGATGCAGCTTGTCACACTGGCCACGTGACCCGGAAGTGTCTGCGGACAGCGCTGGCTCTCGGCCTATAGAGTGAGATGAGCGCACAACCCTAGAGTCTGGCAAGACTGGCCCGTACGGGCAGGGGTACCTTTACCTTTTAGTAGCTGCGAGCATGTTTTAAGCTGGAAATCTCATGCTCATCTCTCACCTCTGCCATGCACTAACTGCGGGGCCTCAGCAAGCCACTCTGATTCAACCATAGTCTGAGCCTGCCATCTCTAATAGAGGGGGAACCTACAGTCCTTTTTTGTCAGCCCACTGGTTCATCTAGATGTGTTGAACCAAAGCTGAGATGTTCTGGGAGCTCTGCAAACACCATCTGGATAGTCAAGTTAACTCTACAATTACTTTAACTGGTAGTTGTTGCAAGATTGAGCTGATATATAATCATATTTGCTTGCTTTGATGCTATGCTTATCTCTGGGCCCTGGGATGCTGGGCTCTTGGCCCAGAGAGGGAAGCTATCTTTAAGCCTTGGATATTTGCCATCTATGCCCTCATAGGTCAGGTGGATTGATGGGAGGTTTTGGTCAAACTTACTTATGTTGTTGTTTGTATAAGTAATGCTTACATTATACAAATTAGCACCTTGTGGACAAATCACAGTAACCTCTCACTGTTGTGGTGTCTGGTCCTAGGTCTGTAAAGCCACTGAGGCTTTGTAAGCTGCATTGTACGTTTACACCAGAGGTCAGCAACCTAAGCCCCATGGGCCGGAAGTGGCCCATGAGGGTCACTTAACCGGCCTATGAGCCACCCCCGAACCAAGCTGCCCATTCGGTGAGTCCCCGCACACTGCGCTAAAGTGCCACAGCACGGCACGGTGACTCTCTTCCCTGGCTCCGAAAATCACGTCTGCGCGTGTCTGCGGTGCCAGAAATCACTTCTGTGCATGCCCAGATGCCAGAAATCGCTTCTGCGCAGGTGCGATTTCGGGTGCTTGGGTATGCACAGAAGCGATTTCCGGCGCTGTGGACATGCGCAGGCGCAATTTCCAACTGCACCAGTTCAGCCCACAGAGGATCTCCGCGGGTGTGATCCGGCCCATGCCCAGTAAGCCTTGCTGACCCCTGGTTTGCACCTTTCTTTAATAAAGCACTAGAAATGGCCACTCTGGCGTTTTTGACATCCTTGTTTGGTATCCCTGCATCAAACCACTCAACTCAGGCTCTCTTTTGGGCCTGCAATTCAGAACACTCAGCAAGTATGGCTTACTCTGACTAGCACCAGCTCTCCTGGAATCTTTCCAGTTCAGCTGCCCAATAAGCTTTCAACTGAATATGATATCAGCTCTCCCAAGATTTCAGACAGAGATTTCCCATTCCCCGAATCCTTTTGGTAGAGATGTCAGGTATTAAATCTAGAACTGTGAACATGCAAAACATAATGCTCCACTGCTAATTAGCCATGAAAGCTTGAAATTCGGATCTCTTGCCAGCATCCTTTCTATTTATGACAAGTAGTGCTAAATTCACACCAATATCTGGAACTGAGTTCATCCACAGTCTAATTCCCCAACTGGGAACGTGAGTAACCAAAGCAGCCCAAGGTTATGGTCAAACTTTCCAAGAACTTCTGAGAATTGTCTTTCTTCAGCCAGCATAGCAAAAAAGAAACATTCCCAACCCTTAGGCCTGTTTTTGAAAACCTGGTGTGAAAACTGAGCAGGTTCAGACAGTATGTCCTTAGACATTACTAGCCAGACTCCCTACAAGTTTACAGAAAAATTTTCAACCTGATCACCTGAAGACAACATTTCCTCATGGGAATCATGTGAGCAGCTATTTACAAAACCCAGGTTCAGGTGTTCTGGCGATAAGCAGCAACAGTAGTGATCTGGCACAACCGTTTTTTAGTCTACCAAGCTGCAAAAGTGCTTCTTCCAATACACTCATGGGCACCTTATGCACAAATAAAATTTCTAAATGCAAGTAGCAAGCATCCATGCAGAGAACAGCATCCTCCAGATATAGCTATGTGTAGATACATGGACAGCAAATGTCAGACATTACCATTTTGATCAGAGTTGTCCTTGAACAAGGTTTGGGGAAAGAACAGAAGATTGCCGCCCACACCTGCTGTTGCAAAAACAGCAGCAAAAGACCCAGCAAAAAATGATAGTCATAAGAGCCAGACTGTCACACTATTTATGTATTTATTTAGTGTCTGTCAATGACATGCTAGGCTATGGGACTGGGTTATATTGCCCAAGACCAAACAGTACACTGTTCGTACCAACAGCTCCATTAATTATGAATCCTGAAATCTGGGACCCCCTCCAAACCGGCACCAAAATTTTGCAATCTTTTTGAAGCATGCTCAAAGCATAGTAAGTGATACATCAACCCGGAGCTTGTCATTAACACCATTCAAAATACATCATTCTCCTCCTATTTACTCCAAACTGGTGCCAAGCGGCTGCAATTGTTTTGCAGTACAAACCCTATGTTTTGCAGCACCTCAAAAAATGAGTAATTGGTACTCAAACCAGGGGTCATAGGTATCACCCAAGAAACCAACACTGTCCAATTCACTCCAAACCACTATCAACATTTTGCAGCTGCTTTGAAGCATTTTGTAGGGCAAACCCTACACTTTGCAGTGCGTGCCCCCCGCCCAAAGTACAGTAAGTGATATATCTAACCAGGGCCCCTAGTTAACACCACTCAGAATCCAACACAGTCTTGATTTACTCCAAACTGGTGCCAAAGTTCAATCAGTGATTTACTCCAAACCTGTGCCATATTTTTGTACAGTGGTGCCTCGCAAGACGAAATTAATCCGTTCCGCGAGTATCTTCGTCTAGCGGTTTTTTCGTCTTGTGAAGCAACCCTATTAGCGGCTTAGCGGATTAGCGCTATTAGCGGTTTAGCGGCTATTAAAGGCTTAGCGGCTTAGCTGCTAAAAGGCTATTAAAGGCTTAGCGGCTTAGAAAACGGGGGGGGGAGTGAAAAAAATCTCAAGACTCGCAAGACATTTTCGTCTTGCGAAGCAAGCCCATAGGGAAATTCGTCCTGCGAAACGCATTGAAAAACGGAAAACCCTTTCGTCTAGCGGGTTTTCCGTCTTGCGAGGCATTCGTCTTGCGGGGCAGCACTGTAATTGTTTTCAGCATTTTGCAGTGCTCTTCTAGAAACTGACGAGAAACAAAAACATTTATACACACATTCAACATTCATGTAAACATATATACCAACATCAGCTGCAAATATCTACATACACATACACATCTACATACGCATGGTCAATTACTGAGAAAAGTATTTATTAGCTAAAGTTGTTATCACCAAGACCTGCAAGAATTCCAGAAGTATAATGTGTGAGAAGTAAATGAAAATAGACCAGACTGAGGAATGTGGGAGCTTTATATGCACAGATTCATTGTTTTAAAAGCTGTAAGACACTATTTAGAAATTATAACACAGTGTAAAATTGAGTCTCCAAAAAGATAGCATGTTGCCTGGGAACATCCACTGAAAATGTTTACTGGCTCAGTTGCCAAAATATTTCTGTGTTCCAGTTTCATAAGGTTACAAAAAGCTTAGTGCCAAATTTGTATGTTTCTATACAGGTGTAAATCTGTATATGACAAACGATTTGCCTATTTTTACTGCATAATGACTTCTTGTTCCTTAGGTCATTGTATTCCTCCCACATGTCATGATGTCTCGGAGAATATGCTACATAATGCTCCATGACATTTAGGAGGATTGATTGGCTCCCTCGGAAACGCACAGCACCTCTAAGAACATGTCACACACAGCAAAAAGTGATGCACTCTCTTAAAATTGGAGGGGGGGAATCCATAGACAAAAATAAGTTCTACGGGATTAAAAAAAATTATACAAAACTATATAAATCTGAACCATTGGACTCCCAAATCTTCACAAATTTCCTAGAAGAAAAAAAATGAATCCAAAATTTAATAAGACTCTTAGCAGAAATCCAAAACAGAAAAACAAAACAGAAAAATCTCACATTTTCTTCTGAAATTGTTTCTTGACATACAGAATAGAGGCCAAATTCCTGAAACTTGGCATATCTCGTTTATCACAGTCATACCCAAACCACAGAAAGAACTTGATCAAGTTGAATTATATAAACCTTTTTCATTGATTAATGTGGATGCTAAATTATTTACAGACATAATGGTCAGTGGACTTTCAAAAATTTCACCCAACTATGTCTACCATCACCAAGTCAGATTCTTAAAGCTTTCTCTATTAGAAGGATTCAATGCAATTTTTTAAGAGTTAATCACATCCAGAACCTACTGTTTTCTCGATGCTGGGTGCAGTAAAGGGATTTAATGGTTTAAACTGGCAATATATCTTTACAATTCAATGTTCCTTTGGTATTAGTGCATTCTGGATTGATAAGCTTTATAATTTATACTATGAGTCACTGGTCCATGTTTTGGTGAATGGGGAACTCTCTTTGACATTCCCCATTGGTCGGGGCACAAAGCAGGGCTGCCCACTGTCTGTCCTGCTTTTTACCTTGGTCAAATCTGCTATTAACCACTTTCTAAAATCAGATTTTACCATATGGAAGTAATGGAGACTGAACTTCTACCTTCTGATTCCCTCTTTAGTCCCAATAACTCAACACTTCCTTTCACAAAGCAGCCAAATCAGGCTGATTTCCTAGGTGGGAAACAGTGGGATTATATAAACTCAGAGACTTCTACAGTAATCAAAAGCTCCTTACAGCTCCAGAATTATTATTTTCCATTGGGAGACAGATCATATGGCTGGTTAGAGGTACACCAGATTATACATTTTCTAAACCAATCAAATATAAAGACCCAAGCATTATGCAGCTTAAACAGTTTGGAGCAACTACTCAACCAACTCATCCACTGAGAAAGGTCATCTCCCAACTATATAAAATCCTCACACAACTGGCTACCCTTCCTCTCACTTCATTAAGACTAAAACAGGGAAAGACTTTGGAGAAAATTTAGAGAAACAACTCTGGGAACAAATTTGGAATAAACTACCACTTGGATTAATCTCAGTTAGAACTTGAGAAAATGCTGTAAAGATAGGCAAAGTAAAGGACCCCTGGACAATTAAGTCCAGTTGAATTCATCTATGGGGTGCGGCGCTCATCTCCGCTTTCAGGGCGAGGGAGCCAGTGTTTGTCCACAGACAGCTTTTCCAGGTCATGTGGCCAGCATGACTAGACAGCTTCCAGTGCAACGGAACACCATGATGGAAGGCAGAGCACACAGAAATGCCACTTACCTTCCCACCACAGCAGTATCTATTTATCTACTCGCGCTGGTATGCTTTCAAACTGCTATGTTGGCAGGTGCTGGGACAAAGAGACAGGAGTTCACCCCATCACGCACATTCAAACTGCTGACCTTATGATCACCAAGCTCAAGAGGCTCAGTGATTTAGACCACAGTGCCACCCATGTCTCCTGGTACACGTGCCTAGCAAGACTATAGAGAAGTGATCATAACACACTCAACCTTTGCTGGCAGAAATGCAATTTACCTGGCTCTCTAGTATGTTGTGAACAGCCCTGAGATCTGCAGATGAAGGGTAGTATGCAAATGCAAAAATAAATTAACAACAACAACAACACACATGTGGTGGTTTTGCCCAAAAATCATTCGCTTTTCAGGAAAGAAGTTTTTCAAACAAATAATCAAATGATGGGACAATTGCTACAACCAGACCCAAAATTAACCCTATTATCTTACATTTATCGGGGGCAGGGGGAAGACTCACACCTTTTATATGACATGGTGTCCTTTTATTAACTTTGTTAAGACAACGGAACATGGTTTCACCCTCCACTGACTCATGGAACCTTAAGGAGAGACACTTTCATTTGACTGCCTTGCTTAGACCGTCTAATACCACCATCAGCTCCTATTTTTCTTTCTTTTCTGTACAACTACTAAGCTCTAGTTTCCTTGTATGGGAATGTTTTGTTACTTGAGATTAAGAATCAATTTAAAAATCAGTTCTCATTGTCCTTCAACTCTGCCACACAGAGCATCAGAGGTTCTTCTGCTAGGATGTTTCCATGCACTTCTTTGGTTGTAGACAAACAGTGTGACTTTATCACTTCTAGCACATTGATGATACTCTGGCATGTGTGAATCACCTTCTCTTTGTCATCCTTCTCTGATGCCAGTACATTATCTGTCTTTCCTAGGTATTGTTACTGTATTTGCTTTTCTATTGAGCATTGTCTTGAATAACATGTGATTCTGGGAATGTTCAGAAATCCTCCCCCACTAGGTTCAGAAGCACATCAAGTAGTCACCTTTTCTTGAACCATTTCTTTCCTATCATCCTCAATGATCACAGATGTAGGTTGAGCTGCAGCAGCCAGCTTCCTGGTACTCTCTAATGACTGACTATGCCTGAAAATGAAGTCACCCAGATGCACAGGTAGAGTTGTATGTTTGAATTCTGTACACTTCAGGTCCTTGAAATAAGCCTGACTGGAAGCACTGCTGGCTGTAACACCACTATACCCATAGAATGGGACCATCACAGCTGTCCACAGTGGAATCAAATGCAAAACATTGTCTAGAAGCATTTGCTGGTTACTTCTAGTTCCAGAACAACCTTTGTGGCGACAGTATTATTTTATTTCCTTCCCAACGGCACCTTTCTATGGAACCAGAAGACATACTTCACTGCATTCTTCTTACCTCGCTTAACTCACAATCTGCTGGCACGCCTATATCCTTGCCCTCTCCCTCAGTTTCGCTCATGGCAACAGTGATAATTTTATATGAGGTGTTTGACCTTAAGTAGCAATACTCCTTAGGTAGAAGTGACGAGTAAGGCGTTATGGTCCTCACAGAGTAGGCCATTTTGCCATCAGGTTGATCATGTGTGCTATGTCATTCCTGATGTAGTAATAGGGCAAATTTGGCAATCCCTTATTTTCAATCAAAATCTTAGTACACTCATTCAGGTACTTCTTCTTCTTCTTCTTCTTCTTATTATTATTATTATTATTACTGGGAGAGGAACAGCACCTAGGCATTCTGTTGTGGTGCTCATAACCTAGGTTTAAGGTGCCATTTGGCGATTGGCTTATATTTCGATTGGCATTTCTAACACTGTGTGCCTCGCCTTGCCTTTTAGAGAGGCTTTTGGTGAGGTGTTCAAGGGAAGATCAGTTGTGCAAGCTGCTTACCATTCACACAATCCAATATTATTAAATGACCAGTGTTCTCTCACTTGCTCTGGAGATCTAAAGCCAGAGTTTCAGCTGTGAAAACACTTTTCCAGTTCAAAACTGGTCTTACTGATATTCATAAGGTCAATCCTCTATTCAAATCCTGATAGATGGAGAGTGTGTTTGAGTGGGAGAAGATATAGCCACACTTATTTTAATCTACAGACTGGATCCTGATCTTTCTTAATCTGGATTCTGTCAGCGAGGGAGACAAAAACTTCACTACTCCTCAAACAGCAGATTACAACAGGGGTGTGATCTGAAATGTCTTGTTCAACTTACAAGTGGGACTGGTGCCTTTCAAAGCCTCCTGTTGGCCATTGTCACTTTAAACATCTGCACTCCAATGTCAAACTAATTTTCTGTGCCTTTAAGTGTCATCACATCTGCCAATGCTGCACAAAAATAAGACAACAGTATTGCCAGCTCCTGGGTACCAGACTTGCATTTGAGTCAGTATCCCAACCAAGAGAATTAGATGCTACAGATTTTGCGCGCCTTCTGACAGTTCAGTATTCTCATTCAACTCTATATCCTTCGTAAGAGTAAGGATACATTACAATAATTCTTGTAATGTATCTAACTTCCTAAGTAGAAACTCTACCATCACAGAACAGAAGAGATACTGGAAAACAAGAATTGTATCTCCCTTTCTAATTCAATGCTATCAATACGATCACTACCACTTTGCAACTCTTTCTGCTAACAACAAAAACAGTAACAATTTTATAGCAATTCTATCTGGGGTACACACACACAAACTACACAATGATCAAATTAATCAGTTTTCTCGCATTAATTAACTCAAAAGTATCAGGAGTTGAGTGTCATACTATTCCCCCATCAGCCATGAAGTTCACTGGGCAACCTTGGGCCAGTCACTCCCCCTTCACAAATAAAATGAAGAGAATTATGTATGCAAACTTGAGCTTCATGGAGGAAAGGTGGGGCAAAAATAGGATAAATAAAACAAATAAATAAATGTGCTCAGCCAAACCTTAAAAAGAGAAAGTTGAAGATGACAACAGTGGGTGAGGGGTGGAGACCAGACAATATAAACAGGTCAATCAGGCAAAAATTTAACTCTCCACATTAAATAATATTTGGAGTGGGGGGGGGTCCACATAAACAAGTTCTAAAGTTAGGCCTCCTAGCTCTGGTTGGGGGTTGTTTTTCAACAGCAAAATTCAAAACTGGAAGAAAAAAAGGAAATAAATCTTCAGCCCTTTGCTGCAGAAAGGCAGCAGGGGCTAATAAAGAGAGAGCGTTCATAATGACTGAACACAAAAGAGGAATAAAGCACAGAAGGTGCAACAGTCAGCACTTCAAAAGATGCTGGCTCTTTAGCATGTGCCTAATTAAAGGTTTTCTGCACTGCTGTGTGCCTCAGAGAGTACACATCCCAGGTTAAAGCAGTCACCCCTTCAAATCCAGGGATCAGCCCTTCCCTTCTAGGGATGGCCAGAGGTCCCTGTCTGTCACAGCGGCTGAGGAATTGCTTGTTCTCTCAGCTCTCTCCCACAACTTTCTGCTTTGTACAAACAAAATACCAGGCCGGCAGGACCTACATCTAACACAGCCTCTTGGGAGGTGGCACACGGCCAAATCCGACTGGATGATTCCAGTTCAGACTGGTTCTGGGAACACAAACAAGGAGGTCCTTGCACAGTCGACACTATTTGGACACAGCAGCTCCCACAGCATACAAGGCTACTCCTCGCTTATCAGCTGTGGAGACCTGAGGCCTCGTTTGCCCACATTCTTCCAGCCACCTTATCTGAGTGGAGGAAGGTGGGATACCAGTGTTTTTCTTTTAATTCGTTTCACTGTAATTATAATTTTTGCTACAGAAATCAAATAAACTCCGCAAACATGGCTGATTTGCAAATGCACCTTGACTTAGACCTGTACAAATGAAAACAAAGCCTCAAGACGGAATTAATCAAGAAATGTTTTTGAATGCAAAGCATCTGAATGAACAATGGTCTTGGGTCCCGTCCTCCTGAAGGATTTTAAGATGAGATCTTCCCACAGGAACGGAACATCCTAGCAAGCAGCCTTGAAAAGAAACCCTGAACACAGACACACAAATCAACATGCCTGATAGCTACACTCCACACTGCTGAACAGTAGGGGACAGCTTAAGGCAAGGAATGCTAACACCTCTGGAAGAGACTGAGCAGTTAAGGAGAGCCTTAAAGAGCAAGAGAAAGGCATATCTGACAGGGCAGCTTTTGAAATTACTACTCTAGAGAGAAGCTAACACAATCCGCAGTTTACAACCCTGCAACCGAAGCTAGCCAACAGGCGTTTAGTCATTCAGCTTCTGGCTTAAGAAAGTTCTCTTTGTCCTAAAAGAATTACATAAAAATATCATAACAACGTAATATGTAAAAATGAACAGGGCTCTTTCTCTTGAAGAACTGTGTGTATGCTTGGAGGGGTGGGGGCAGGGACATCCAATATTAAATTAAGAAAGGAAGGAAGAAACTGGTTATGTTCCTGAATGTTTGCACCATTAGCATGGGCATGACAGGCAACAGAAACAATTCAGATCTTTTATACAAGGCTAATCTCTCTCTCTCTCTCTCTCTCACACACACACACACACACACACACACACACACACACACGGTGGTCAGACCATACCATACCGTTGCTGCTGAAGTTCTCCACTCAAACTGCTTCTCCACCAGCAAAACCACATGGAAAATGGCCTTTGTTGAGCCTAAGTTCTGAAGCAGTTTTCCCCAATTGTCCCCATGAACAGGAAGCACCTAACCCACCCACACTCCACTAAATACCATTTTAAGCAAGTGATTCATCCTTAGTTGGCAAATTCCAGAGCAGGAAAGAAAGGAGGGGGTGCCACAGGAGGGAATGGCCAGTATTATGTAATGCAATAAAGTTTGCCAATGTCTACTTTCACTCCAGGAGAGGAGGCTGGTAAGCAAGAGACAGCAACCAATCTCTCCAGCCAAGTCTCAGGAAACCTGAATGTTAAGTCATGGTGGTTTTTCTAGCACCTTTCACTACAGTAATTTTCATCTTCATGTTTCAGGATACATGCAAGTAATCAATTTTAAAAAATCCATGACAAGGGCAAGTTTCAACAAAGAAGACAAATTCTTTCTAAAGTTCATCTGGTTTAACCAAAGAGTCATAGTCCATTAATCACAGCAACTACATTAGAAAACACAAGAATTAATTCAAGTGGAATTCTCGAAACACATTCTAGATAAAAAGAAGCTCTGTGGTCTCTACAGTAACATTACTTGAAAGCTGGGCTTCACCACAAGTATGTGAGTTTCACAAGCCCAATGTGAAATAATCACTGTTTGAAATTCCCCAGGCACTAGGCACGTTCTGCAACTGCTACGGGTCCAATTGCAGAGGTTGGCCTTTGACATCTCCATCTGACTGGCCCCTCCAGCTTTCTTAAGAAGGTGAGCAGAAGAACTTACAGACTTTATTGCATTTATATCCCACCTTTGAGTCCTCCTCCTCAGTTAATCTACCTCACAGGGTCATTGTAGGGGTTAGGAGGCTGTGAGTGGCCCAAGATCACCCAGTGAGCTTCATGACTGAATGGGGATTTGAACCCTGACCTCCCAGGTCCCAGTCAGACACTCTAACCAGTACACCACACTGGCTTCCTAGAATACTTCTGCTATGGGGCAGCTATATAAATTAAGCAGGTAAATAAATATAGGGAATATTTCCCTTGAAGCTTGCATTTATTTTATTCTGGGTTGTTTAATTTTCTGTTTTAATGTATTGTAAACTGCTTTGAGATTTTTTTTCTTTGAAATATAAAGCAGTATACAAATGAAATTAATAATAATAATAATAAATTAATTGCAAAAAAAAAAAAATGGGGATTGTAACCTAGATTTAAGGTGCCATTTGGCAAATAGCTTATATATCTAATGCTGGAAATAATACATTCAACAACACCAATCAGTATTTCAGGCAAGTATGCCAGAGTCAAGTCTGCAAATACCGTGTACTAGTGGTCAAGCACTAACTAGAATAAGGAAGACAAAAATTAGTTTGATGAAACACTGAAAACACATTTCAGTTGGTGAGATTTTTATAGACACCAATAGAGGATAACATTGCAATGTTGGACCCTTCTTTTGCAAAGTCCTTTGCTGATTGGAGAAAATTAATTTTCAGAGCTACCAATTATTTACAAGCATCTATAGCACTTTTCCCAAGTACCTGTAATGAACATTTGGACATGGTTCACATAAAACACATAGGCAAATTATGGCTTTGCGAGGACAAGCAAGTGTGCCAGTACATACATGTGTGCCTCACCCTGTCCCGTTCCACCCCCGTTCGGCCTTCTACCACGTCCAAAAGGACCCACGCATCAGCGACTGTTCATCAATTGGACATGCCTAAAATGGCTGTCGCCTGTACACACATACAATTTGACTGGGAAGGAAGATACAGTCCTTTAAAACCAGTTTCATATGATACACATTCTATTCCAAAATTTCTCTCATTCTCCCACAGCTCTTCATTGATAAATAGAAACAAAACAAAAAAATCCTTCTATCAAGTCCTTGCTAAGCTTGAACAACATTATTTTGCCACAGTAATCCATTCAGCTACAGCCACAATTTAAAACCAACACTCCATTCATCTCTCAGGCGTCATTACCAAGAGAAGGTTATTACTTTAAACTTACAAAATATGCTGGAAAAAACACATGCAGGCAGGGGGTGGGAGAAGAGAAAGCAAGGCAGACAATGACTGATAATTGGCACTGGATTTTAAATAGAAGTGGGAAAGCCGTATGAAACCAATCATATTAACTTTGTTCCATGAGGCACCATTTAAGTTGACACATTTTGAAATGTAGCACATATAAATGTCAACAACTTCATTCTTAAGCAGGGGCTCAAATGCTGAAGGCACAGGTCTTCAGGGGGCAGGGGAATAGAACAATAAGAAAAGGACACTGCAATATCCCATGGGTAATCCTTGGGAATTCATATCGGGGCCCAGGATGAAAACATGGCATTAATAAATATGACAGGGGCGTTTACATACCTGTCACTGCTGGTACTGCTACTGCTGCTGATTGAATCACTGCTTGATGATCTGCTCCTAGAGCCACTGCCACTAGGGGACCTAGTAGGTCTTGACGCTTGGCTCGCCAGCCTCTGAGGAGACTGGGTCCTAGACTGGGATGAATGTGGTGACCGGCTCCTGCTGTGCTGGTAATTCCGCTCTGGCCTCCGGCCTCGTACCTCCCGTGTGAGATCATCCCTGTAGATATCCCTGTGTACCACGCTGGGCAAAGTAAACTGCTCCCGGGCCCGAGGTTCGTAACGGGGGTCATGAGCATCAAAACGGCTCGGGCTGCGACTCCGAGAACTGTAATAGAGTCCGTGTTGTAAAGTCCGCTCTCGAGGATCTCTATAGTAATCCTGATCATAATGTCTTGTCCGATCAAATCCTCCTGTCCCCCGTTCATGGTGTCCATAGGCACTATGTTCATAAGCACGCTCCCTGTTATCTGAAGCCCTGCATTTAGGAGGGGGAAAATATTTATGTCAATCAGAGATGGAGGAGAAGGTCCCAGCATCATGCAAACATTTAGTGTGGCACTGGCGATCTTCACAAGTAATATTAACAATAAAAGACTCTAAATGACTATAATGACTATTAAGCAAAACCAATGAGCTTGGTTCTTCCACACAACTCCTCAGTTACATCTAGGTACAGCACATCTTGGCACTGATTCTGCTTCACTGATTAAACTGGGCTTTCATGACCAGAGTTCTGCATCACAGAACAAACTAATGATCTTCTGGGCCCTGAATGATTTTCACATAGTTTTTTTTTTATAAAAAAAATCACCAATTTAAAATATATTTTTTCTAGGACCAGAATGCTCTAGGATTTTAAATAATTACAACTACTCATGTTTTTCATTGCATGGGTATGCTGAAGATCTTTTGCTAAATGTTTGGCTGGCCATGAAAACCCCTGTGAAAAGCATGAGTCCAGAAAAGGCAAGTTACTGTTAGCATTTTAGTTGCTAAGATTCCTTGGATATAATGTCAAAACAGTGAATGCTCAATACATTGATCCTATTAATTATCCAAGAGGTAGGTACTTTTAAGTGCCACAGACAATGTGGAGACAAAGCCATGCCCACAAAGGTATTAAGTCCCCAAAGCAAGATTTCTGTTGATTTACTGGTAAGCTGTGGGTATTTTTGTAAGCAGCTTTGAATCAAAGAAAAGCGGGGTATTAATATTTAAAGAATAAAGCTAATTGCCACAGTTTCTATACTCCACATAAATAATCAGCAGTTTGCTCTACTATGTACTTCAGAGTTAATGAGAACACTGTGCCTGTGACTCAGTTCTATGGCCCAGAACACTGATGAGTATTTTCATAGGACAGTATTTCAAAACAGAAAGCAAAATGATCCAGAAGGCTTCCAATAGTTTAGTACTCTAATTTATTAAAAGTAAAAGGATGGCCAATCTTTAGCGGCATGGCTAATCAAGAAAAATAGTAATTCAACAGGAAATGTTTGTGGATTTAGTAATAAGCCAGAGCCTGAGTTAGTTGCAAAATTTAAAGCCCCATTTTAGGAAGAAGGGTTTTAAGCCATCTCCCTTTGTTCCAACAGTCTTCTTTGAAAACCAATTCACAGCTACTTCAGTTCTAGGCACTCAATCCTCTCCCACCTCCACCCCCACAGTTCCTCCTCTTCTGCTGGGTCCCAGGACAGATCTTCTCAAAAGCTTGAACTCTCTTGTATTTTTCTTTTGTTTAGTCTTAAGAGTGGATTAGAATCTTCCTTGATTATAAATTTCTCTCTCTTCCTACACATGCATCTCAAGCACAGGGCTAGTAATCCCTGAGATGAAGGTGCTTGATGAATCTTAAAGGCTTTCTTTTCTCTGAATTCCTGCCTCTTGAGCAATTCAGAGTTGTCTTAACAGAAATGCAAAGCAAAATTCCAAAATGCACAATATACATTTCCAATTATTTGCAGCTACATGCAAATAAGGCAGCAAACTGTTTCCAAATGTGTGCACGTGTGTGTGCATGTGTGTCTTCTTCCTTAAAAGAAGAAAAACAAGCAGCACTTTGCACCCTATGGAACATTATGCCAGTGAGAGCTGGTGTAATAAAGGAACAGAAGCAATACTCCTAGAGGGTTACTGGTATAGTAAAAGAGCTCCTTATCCATTAGAAGGACACAGAAGACAGACAAAAGAACTAGCAGAGCTGAAAATCTAATGACTACAGCAGTGCTGATTATCTATTAGTACTAATTACTACTGGAGTTAGTGGAAAGAGGGATTGACTTGGGTTAGGAGAGGAGCTAATATACACAGGGCAGGACATACCAACCTTTTCCAAGTGTGGAAACACGACCTATATTCCCAATTAAATCTAGGGAGAGAATTGTGAACATAACTTCCCCAATTTTGGCCCCTCTTATAGGGGTAATCCACCTTCTTAATGGGCAAGGGTGTCAAAATGATATTTTAGATGAGCGAGCAAGAAAAAAAATCTTAGTGACAAACAGAGAAAAAAATCCACTGGAAGCCAGTTGTCCCAGATTGACATGAGGACTCTGTAACCCCCAGACTTCATTCTTCAGGCAGCAAATCACGTCTAGGTATATCCAACAAAAGAGAGTGACTCCAGCTCTAAGTCTGAATCAAACAGTTGGTAGAAAATACACCAAGATATGAATAGATGAATGCCTCTCACTGCTGGCTAGCAGACATCCTCTGTCCATCTTTGTAACCATCCAACAAAGTCAATTTTCTCTTTATGTATCCACAAGCTGATTATCAACAGAGTGTCTTTAAAGCTAAAGTGCCTTTTAACTGTACAGTGACAAGTGCGCTCTTAACAAGACTAGATAGTAATCCACTCCCCTGGGCCACTGGGATCTTGGCTGTGTACCATGCCACAAATTCGAGGTAGTAGCCATTATTCCAGCACCTTAACAGATGGCCTGTAATTTCCAAGATTTAGCAGTGTCCATCTCCTTCACTTTTGCCAATACCACGAGGAACAGTAATCCCAAGATATACGGAAGTGGTGTAGATCCAAAAGTGGAAACATCAAAAGCTGCCTTCTGCTGTCTTCACCATACCACAATGTATTCCCATGGCTAGAGGTTGTTTGTAGAATCCAAGACGATGAATGCATAACTTTTAAAAAGCCTACTAGAAATTTTTGGAATCAATCCAATTCTATACATAAACTATGCACACCAGAAAAACCCTGAAAAAACTAGCCATGAAGCTTCTCCAAGACTCTGTAGGTTCTACATTCTGAAGATACTCCATACTGGGTTTTGAGGCTTGCAGTAACGAAATAGCTCCATTTGATAATAAGGATACATCCGAGTAAAGCCTTAACGTTATCCAAGAATGAGATTGTTCTAGAAGTTCTAGAAGAATAGCTCCATAATCGAGGATGACCATCGGAAGTCTTCCGTCTTAGGACCAAGTATCCAACCAGCTGCAGGAAATATCCTCTACAGATCCACAAGATACCAGCCACTGGGGCGGGAATCACTTCCGTTTCCAAACCCAAAATAGGAAACGCAGATAAATCCCCAAATTTTAAATCCATCTGGGGGCCCTATACAGGAGTTTGTGTTTCTCACCACATCAAATACAAAATACCTGCCTAGTGAAACCTTGGAACTTACCCATCAAGTCTCCGCTCATAGCGTCCTTCCCGTGCATGAAGCGATGGTGGTGGGCCATACGTGGGCCCACCACCACCTCCTCTGAACCCAGAAACCTCTCTACTACGAGATGCTATGGAAACTGTATCATCCAATCCCCGAGCAGCGCTAGGAATGGTTCCCGGTTCATTATAATCCGTCCGAAGGTCTCTATCTCCCATTTTGTTGACAGAGTTGTGTGCCTTCTGGGCACTCTTGATGTCCACAAAATCCACAAAGGCTGCCACGCCACCTTCTGACCCCCTTTTGGGGAGAATTTTGACACTTTCAACACGTCCATATCTAGGGGAGAAAGAAAGAAAAATAGTATGTATTAAAGGCTCACACAGACAGAACATGTTGTCGAACCACATTTTAGTTGGCTGAAATTTCCAGCACTGAGGCTGTGATGCTAATTCTGCAATCCATATGTGACTCCCCTCTATTTTATCTGTCCTTGTAAACAAAGGTTTCTGTTAGATTTGCTTTTGATTTTATTGTGTATTTAGTGTCTGTCGATGTTAGGGATGATGTCACAACCACTGGCTCACACAATAAAAGTTTGACTTGCATATTTATTTTGAATTTATTCCTGTTAAACTCATTGCAGTAACTGTGCTTCACATCATGGCTTTAGTCTGTTAGAAACAAAGTTTCAAACAAACTACTTTTTTACTCAGCTGCTCCTATCCTTCCCATCGCATTTATAAGTAAGTAAGTAAGTAAGTAAACAAACAAACAAACAAAGCTGTGATACAATATTCAGTTTTGAATACCCCTAAATATATTTTTATAAAATTATGCTTTATACTGAAAGAAAAAGTCTTTTACATAAAGGTTTGCCACAGCTCCAATATGCTTCAGTTCAATCAGCCTTAAAAGTAACCAGATCAAAGGATTTATTGCATGTGTGTATTTCCAACTTGCTCACAGTTTAGTAATAATATTTATTATTTGCAAGGCACTGCTATAAAATTTTTAAAAATAGAACTAATAACCAAGTCCTGCCCATGGGCTTACTATCTAAACAATGCTGTAAATCGCAGCTTCAGCCAGGTTTGGAAGAATATTTGGGAATTCCTAGGAAAAACCAGATAAAACATTTCATATCCCTGGATATCAGCACCACAGTTTGCACACACCAGTCAACCAAGGAAATTTCTGTGTTTTCTGCAACCCCAGTGAGCAGGGAATCTGTTTGACCACTAATATACAAATGTGGGTTTGAAGCCAATACACAAGATAGTCCTATTGAAATCAACAGACATGTCTGCTTTGAGTATGACTAATTTGATACAGCCCCTGGAAATATTTTTAATGTTCCCAAACTGGATAGACAAGATGGAAGTTCTGAAATAATCCAGTTTTAATAAATCCACTGTAAAGACCCTTTAACTGAACTCCCAGCTCCTTTGAACAAAATAAGTTATTCTGTAAGCATTACAGTTCCACAGATGTTCTATAAATGCTCCTTTTTAAAACAGAAAATAAACTAACCTGGAGAAAGATGACAAAACAGTGCTATCTCACTAGAGAAAGTGCAAGAACTACCAAGGTTGTCAGACAACCTTCGTGTATCTTTAATTACCCTTTAATTATAGCTGAGGAAAAGAACCAATTTTGACACACCTGACTCCATTTTCAAGAGTCTGAATTAGAAGTTTTAGGCCCAAGCAGCGAAAGAACAAGAGTCAAAAACCCAGAAACACAGTTACATAGACTAGCCACATGGCAAAAACAAGATCAGATTGCTTTAACAAAAGGAAAGACACAGGGACCACTGACAACAATATGTCAGCAGCACAATTCCCTCAGCATCATTCTTTCTCAGGGCTCATAGACACCAGCGAAATCCACAGATTCATCCTTGTGTGAGAATTGGCACCACCCAAGAAGTTCCACAGGAAGGGAAACCTGCTGAGTATTGCCAGGAAAGGCCCTACATCTCTGCCACAGGGAACAAGGGGGCCACTAATGCTCTTCAGTAGAAGCAGAAGCCTGCCACAGAATTTGAGGGTTATTACTTGCTTCACTTTCTCCAATGCTAGCTGGTCTAAGACTCATGGGGTGTAGAAACCTCGTACAGTGCAGGGGGTAGTAGAGCACGTTCTGTTCAGATGACTCTTAAGTGTTTTCAAAAATAAGTGATGGGGTGATGTGGGACTCCCAGCCTTGAAATCTCTGCTAGCTACACGAAGCTCATTCTAAATCAGCACAGCCAATCAAAGGGAGGGGGGGAGGACCACAGCTCCGTAGCAGAACACATGCTTTGCATGTAGCAAGTCCCAGGCTCAATGCCTGGAGATTTCAGGAGCAGATGACGGGAAAGGCCTCTGAATCCAAGAGCCCAAAGGGCCACAGCCAGTTAGAGAGCCTAATACTAGGCAAGATGGAGAAATGGTCTGCGCTGGTTTAAGGCACTTTCCTATAATCAGAGGCACAGGCCAAATTTACAATATATGTGGGAGGAAGGAAACCTATGCAGTCCAATTTCTCCATCTACAGTTTTAAAAACCAGGCACAGCTGGAGACACTATTGCCAGATTACTACCACAGAGATTGCCCTAATTTTTTCAGCCCTAACACAGATTGCACAATACTTGTTCACCCACACCTAAATCTCAGGGCTGTGTAACTATTTGGCACAGCATGTCTTCTCATGCAACAAGCCGCTGGGATGCGTGTGGCAGCTGCTTTTCAAGGAGGAGAGAGTAAAAGTTACACATCCTCACCAACATACACACAACCCTCAAGACAAAGCAGCTGTGCGAGCAGGAAGGCTTTCAACGCTCTGTGCCCTAGCATCGCCTGCGCCTTTTTAATCGCACATACCTTTTAGTCACCCACCGTGAAGATTAATCTGCCTAGTGATCCAGCCCAGCCCCACCCATTGGCTACTCTCCAAACTGCTCCTGTGGTGGCAGTTCCCGCGGGGAGGGGAGCTGCACTGCTTCATGCTATCTGATCCAGAAGGGAGGGGAGGGAAAAGATCTGCAATGTTGCATCACGGGATCATTTACTGCAGCAGAACAATGCACGGCAAGGAGAAGAGAGGCTTTCTGAAGGGCTGCCGGAGGACAGGCAATGGAGGAAAGGGAGAGCATTTTTCACAGTGGCATTTGCAAGAGCCACAACAAGGAAGGAGAAACAGCAGAGAAAAGCTTTTGTGAGGGTAACCTTCGTTGGGAAAGAGACACAAAAAGGACAGGAGCCATCATGACCTTCACCATGCTGAAAAGAGCCCTTGTGAAAACACTTCCTCCATCTCTCTTTACTTACCTCAGCCTTTCCAAGAAGTAAACAGATAAAAAACAGAGCAAGGGGGGAGAGGGGGAATTTGCTGCATGCTGGCTCTAAAGATCCCCATGAAAACAAAGCTCCTCTTGTTGCTCTTTTTTAGCAACCTTCCCCACCTTGCATAATTCATGTTAATCAATAAGTAACTCGCAGCATGTCAGACAAGCTGGTCTCATTGTATGGTTTGCTTTTCAGTGGCTTCTATGAAGCTCTTTCTGCAAGTAGAATCCTCTGGGGGCATGAAGCCCTTTTCTTAGTTCTCTGGAACAAGTTAAGACCTTTCAGTTGATCTGTTCCTTTAAGGAACCTGAAGGCTACAGAAAACAGGACAGCAAAACTGGGACTCAGGGCCCCTTGTCAATTACCCAACCACAAGGCCATGCTAAGCCAGTTTTTCTGGACTTAAACATGATCAGCACATTCACCTTAGACCAGGCTACCACAAAGAAGCCAACAGGGCAGCTGTGCTGCCCCCTCTCGTCTTTCTTCCTCCACAATGGATCCTGGGGCAGGTGGTATTTTTCCAGGCTTAATTAAGTAGATTTCTTCATTGTCATCCTTAGGCTACGTGTCACCATGAGACAAGCCTCAGCTGAACTGGGGAAATGGGGAGACCTGAGGAAGCTGTCTGCAATAATCCATCATCACACTCCATAACAACCTAAGTTAATGATGTGCATGTTAGCATTTTTGTTTGTTAACTATAATTAGTAAAACTGATTACAAAAGATTATGACACTGAGGACATTAAATCTGGGGAGATAGAAGTCTGCAAAGGCCACCAGAAAAAAATAGGACAGCTTAACAAAATATAAACGGAAAGAGCAAGAGCCAATGTGGGGCTGTTTTCCAAAAATAGGCATTTCATGGTAACAGGGATATGGTGACCGGAAGTTTAAAAGTCAATATTCTATCACTGAATCCAACTTAGTACTCATTCCAAAGACTAACACAATATCTAGATTTCACACATGCATTTTGTACAGTCATTATTGGTCAATTTAGTCCTTTTTAAAGCATAGCTGTGAAAGAGAGCTTGTGGTTTGCAAAACTAGGTTCTCCCAAGCTACTGAAAGCAGAACTAAACTGCTGCTGCTTATTTGCTGGCAACAGATTCCAAGGGCTCAAGGCAGAAATTGGCTTAATTAACAACACTGATTAGGAGAAAACCATATTCACAACTGCTGCAATGTGTATTTAACCAAAAAGAAAGTGTGCTAAACGTGGCAGTTGAGGGGGGGGGAGATTCCAGAACCTGCCATTCACATTTTTACAAGTCACTCTTCTTTAGACAAACGCCAGCTTTGCTCAAATCTCTCACGGAATTGGAGGAGGGTGCGTAGACGCATGTACAGGTACAGTACTATAGGCTCTTGCTAAGCACTATAGGTGTGTCCATATTGCTCATCTTTGTTCATGCAAACACAGCCCAACCAAGTGAGGTCAACAGCACTGCTGACAATGTGAATGCATATATTCTATTCAATTAAAATCTCTATCTCCCCCCCAACACACATATCCCATGGGCACATAAGCCAGTTAGCAACACACACATTTAAAAAAAACCATGGCCCAAATAAATTATAGGTATTGCAGTACTGGAACACCTACAGATACACTGATTTAATGGCATGCACAGAGCAGGGCAATAATCTTATGCTGCCTGTTACCATTTCCCACTAGTCTGCTTGTATATGTCTATAAAAATAGGTAAGGAAGTTGCAAGCACTTTCCTCTATATTTACTGGAGTCCTAGTAATTATCTATGTTAATTTCAGGCAAGTACGGGCAGCTCCGTACCATACATTTAAAGCATATGGCTTTCCCCAAGGAATACCAGGAACTGTAGTTTGTTATGGGTACAAAGAACTGTAGCTCTGTATGGTGAAAACTACATAATTCTTTTGAGGAATTCATGTGCTTTAAATGTATGTTGGATCTGTTTTAAATGTTTGGTGTGGATCTGCCCTAGCTCACAAAAGAAAATGCTATATCACATAAAGTTTACACCATTAAGATGATAAATCCAGAGGAGTTAGGCATGCTGAAGGTCTTCCAGGCAAAGAATAACAGTACCTACATCTTCACTATAAGTTCCATCAAAACATCAAACACTTGTTTCATGTTAGTTAGTTGCTAAGCAGTTGTTGTCACAGGCATGTTTAGCAAGCGGCTAGTTTTATCACACTGACCACACTGCGATAAATGCTGAACATATAGCAAAAAAGCATTACTGTAAAGGAAATGACACTTGGTCATCCTCAGAACTGTTCTCCGGGGCAGTGTGCATCCCTCTTTCAAAAACTATGCTTAAGTTCAATGCCCTCAACATCCAGGGCATTTTTGGTTAACCTAAAAGGGAGGTGCTGCATAAAAAAAAAAAAGGCCATTCCATATAGCTCTCCCCCTCTAGCCAGATTAAACACTGCACATTTTCCCTCAAATCAAGGGATAACTAGCTGGAGGTGGTCTGCCTTTGAAAAAACAAGAAAGCTCAGTTCCAAAGAAGTCTTCGGTGGCATTAAATTGAACTGGTTGCAGCTCTAAGCTGCCAGTGCATTTTGGCTTTCACCACAGACACATAAGGAGCACACAGCAGCTCTTCCTGGCATCCACAGATCTGGGTGGCCAGTGCCAGTTTTCAAGCTGCTGACAGAATTTCAGACTGTGCATCATTCCAGTCTATCCTCGAAAGAATGGCAGATGACAGCTATTTTCAAATGCAGTATACAACCCACCCACCCTCAAGGATCATCAGTGCACCAGTTTGGAATTAAAACACACACACACCACACCTCCCATGAAGGTAAAGAGCACAGGCATTTTTTTTTAAGGGGAGGGGAGACAGTGAAGGTGCAAGTATGCAAGACTGAGATTTTTGATTAGTTTGCCAATGCATCAATTCAGGGTGGGGAAAATATTGGTTGGTTGGTTTATACAGCACATTTATCTTCCAGTGATCTCATGTTTCTCCTCCTCTCTACTTCATTCTCACAGCAAACCTCTGAGGCAGGTCAGGCTAAGAGATGGTGAGTGGCCCATGGTCACTCAGTGAGCTTTATGGCTGGGTGGAGATTCAAACCCACCTCTCCCAGGTCATAGGTGTGCAGTTCAAGCACTATAAGACTAAAGGCAAGGCATGAGCCTAGCAATCATTTTGACACAAGACTTCCTGCCACGGAGAACGAGAGTTCGTTTCTGAACATGTCATGGAACCAGTTGGGACTGCATAAGACTTGCACTGGTATAGGGAGAAGCACATGTGGGCACACAGAGTTCTACCTGAGTCTTCAAAGAAGTTGTAAGTTTTAGAAATAAAGGCTGGGCCCCTGAACAATAAGGACTATGTTATGTCCTCCAATTGCTCTTGCAGCAGGCACAAATAGGTCAGAGTCCTGTGTTTTCCCATTGTAACATGAGGCTAAGGAGACTTACACAAACAGAAAAGAGGTGTTCTGAAAATCAAGAGGGAGGAGCAGGAATCATCAAATGCATCAGCCAAAGACAGCCCAGCTGTCACACAAACCATATCTACCTGAATGTAGCTCACAGTCAGGTTGATGTCACTCAAGTGTCCTAAAGGCCATCTTGGCACAGCCTCATCAGAGATGTCCTGTTCCCAAAGTGAAAAGAATTCCCTAACATGCGGAAAGTTTGCCAAAAGGGAGATCACCCCACCTACTGGTTTTAGAGATTCTCTTTTGCTTTCCTTAAAAAAATGTGTTTCTTCAGACCGATGGCGAAACCAAAGACCGTTACCATTTGTGGGGCTGCACTTGCTCAAGGCTGCTGTCCACAGACCACAATGAAAGTCTCAGGGTACCACAACACATGTCAGAACAGCTTCTGTTGCTTTGGAAAATGTTTCACAAGTGAATCAACTTGCAACCTTATATGGTTGTATCGAACATTAGTCCTACTAAGAACAGACCCATGGAAATTAATGGACATGACCAACTTACTAGGTTTAATTTTCAAATGTTTTGATACTCAGCACTTTTGCTTTTTTAAAAAAGCTTCCCTTTCTACAAAATATAACATAGCTTGCCACCATTAAGGCAACATACTTCCTACATCTGTGGTTTGACAGAAGCAAGGCCCCCATGACCTCTGCACAGTGTTCAAAACTCCCATTGTTCAAGGTGCATTTTGTGACAGGGAATTTCATTAGGGCAAGCAGTTTCTGAGCTCTGGGTGCAGTAGTGTGCCTAAGATTTCAGATTAAAACTGCAGAGTGGAAGGAAAGGAGGACCTTTTTCCTGCCTTCCCACTTCCAGCTACTCTCTGAAGACTGGAGAAGAGCCTCTCTGAAGAATATTAGGGGGCTGGACAGGGGAAGAACTAAACCATGTGAAAAATGAACATAATATTTCATATCTCAGTTCCTAACACTGCCTCTGCACAGTTCTAACTCGGAGCTAGTACCATGGGAGCAATTATGCAGGAGTCAAATTGCAATAACTTACCCATATAAGTCAAGAGATTGGTGGCAGCATGTCAAGACTAGTCCTGACCCAATACCAGACACTAAGTGCTGTACTTGAAGGGAAAACCAGATTTCCCACAAGCCGAGGCCCTTGGGGATCAGGCAGTGTCCCCCAGAATCAGTGTTGAGGATCAAAGGGGAAGGCGGGAGCCCTGCTCCCTGCATCTGCTGGCACCAAAAGGTCCAGTTCTGGGCCAGACTGACAACAGAGCATACTCTGTGGACTCAAAGTCCACCGAGCCTCATGAGTCAAGGGCATCCTCATGAGCAAGTAATCCCTGAAACTCCTTCACCACCAGTAACTGTGGTTAGGGTGTGGTCTAGGAGGTCTGAGTACACAAAGTCTGCCTCTTGAGCCTCCGAGTTGCAAGTAACTTCCCATATCACTGGTTCCTTGTTTCCAAGCCTCATCTCCCCTCCTTGTTGCGCTGCACTTTGCCTGGACTCCCTGAGGTATTGACCTCGGACTGCTGCCTGGCATTGCCTCTGCATCATGCTTTGCACCTGAACTGATTCCAGGTGTCAGACCCTGGTTTGTTTGGACTGGACTGCACCTTCAACCTTGTTTTCCTTGGCGAGTGTTTCTGTAAGAGGCTTACAGCTCCTGGAACTGGGACCCAAGCTCACTGAAGAACAACACAGTAGGGTGGGGGAAGAGAATAAAATAAATTCCTTGCATCAGATTATAAGGAACATATGATCATGTTAGTTTTCCATACCACTTATATAGCCAAGGCAATATACAGCAAAATATAAACCAACAACCATTAATAAAATAGGGTACCCAGCCTTTAATACACTAGGAGGAATGCCTTAATCTCAAGAACAACTCAATTTTACAAGTGTTGTTTTATTAATGTTTATTCTATGCATTTATTATTGCAACTCACCGTGGAGTCTTATGACAAAAGGGTGGAATATTAGTTTTAAAAATAAATTAAAGTAACCTTTCAAGAGGTGCTCTGGGAATGTGTGTATGTCAGTGGTATGGATGCAGCCCATGGGGCCTTCCTATCCAGCCCCCGTGTCCCCTTTTCACCCTCACCACAATTAAGCTTGGAAAAAATCTGTCTAGTGGCTCAAACAGAATGTTTTTTCCAAGAGTAGTTGTTGGGGGTTTCTTCTGGGGGGAGGGATGGAGAACTGGGTAATCTTCATGGAGAATGCAGCTAAAAGAAAGGTCAAGCCTTCCAGCTGTAATCTCCAGGAAGATCACATAATTGGGCTCCCATAAAGGCTCAAATGCTTTTTCCAAGCCTAACTGTTAAGCAGGGAGAGTGAATGTGTATGTTGCATGTCTGTGCTCAGTATCTCTACCTACTTTTGTCTTTGCCATGCCCACTGTTGGCATTTCCCCCCCCCCAAGGTTAACCAAGGAAGTATGCAACCTGAGGGGTTCCTCTCCATGCTAGGCAGGCGTATTATCTCTCATACACACTATCCATCAGGGATCTAAGTAAGACCGTCTACAAGTACTAGTCATGCTTCCAGTTTCAGGATACAGTTTGATGCACCAAAACATGATGCAACACTAGCTTAACTAGAGGCCACAGTGGGACATACATGCACATATGCCATTAGTAATGACTAGCCTACACTACTGCCCTTCAGTATCTCAAGTAAACAGACACACAACCCTTTCTTTATCTATTCATTTGTAAGAATGAAGCCAACAGATCATTAATGCATGTAATTAGCAGTCAACTTAGTTTCGTCAAGTTTAGTCACACTGAGTGAGAGTATGACCACCACTCCCCTCCCTCGCCAAAAGCACAAAAATGTTTGCGGAATAAGAACATTTACTTCTGTAGTTCAAAGACTTCAGGCTTTGCAACAAGGAACCCATGAGCCCATCTTGCAACACAAGTGACCTTTGTCTAAAGCTTTACTGCATACAACCAACCGCAACAGAGATATTATGAACTCAGCATCATATTTCTTGCCCCTGGAAGAATTTCAGCCTTCCTAGAAGTTTTACATCTGGCAGACAAGGAGATAGTTTACAGCTAGAGATTATAATGATTGCCTTCTCTCTCAGCTCATTTAATTACCTCCTTATCAGACATGTCCAGTTTCACAAAAGTCAGCTAAGATTCCTGGAGCTCACTTGGGTTAATTAGAAATTTGTAGAATACAAAAGGCTGAAATCCTAGCACAATTACAAGGAATCAAGTCCCATTTAATGCAGCGGGGCTTGCGTCTGCGTAATCAGTTTTGGGATCAGAATTCAAGGCTGACTTTGGGAAGGTTATGTGCTTCAGTGCGTACCTTTCTCAAATAGCCAAGCCACTTGCAAAACAGGGTGCAGATCACATTGCGGAATGTCAGACATGGTATCACTTTTATGGTATCATGACTATTTAGAAGCAGGCTCTTCTAGAACAAGAAACAAAGCAGCTATGTGGGAAGTTTAAGAAAAATACAGCCCAAGAAGTTTCACCCATTGACACGAACTTTCTAGAGGTTTGGCTGCTTTGTGGCTTTTATGTGTTTTGAAATGTTATTTATAGAACACTGTCATAGAATGCAAAGAACCGCTCCCCAAAGGAAATTTCAAGGCTGCCCCCACTTTATGGGCATGAGACTTGCTGAAGGCTATCCAAAAATCCACGGCTGAATCAGACGATGTGAGGCTGCCCCTCCTGTTCAAACACTCATTTCATGTCCAGTGGGCTGGCAGGAAGGAAGCATCCGAGGATTTCTCTGGGGAAACGCACCAGCAGCCTCAAGCTGTTTAACAAGCATGTAGATCTGAGGAATCCTACACATCATGAAGTGGCAGAGAGCAGAACAGTTCTGTCAGCCATAGCATAGCAGTGATCCCACAGCTACCTAGAACCTGGAGCACTCTGCTCCTCTTCCTCCAAAAGATAACAATGAGGGTGTGGGTAGAATTCAAAACACAATAGCATTAAGGCAGCAAACCAAACTTTGCCAGTATCAATTGCAGTTATTCTCATGGGGATCTCTGTCCGTCTTCAGAAGGAAAGCCTACTTTCTCTGCTACATCCTTCCCAATGACTCATTCCCTCTCTGCACCAAATCCTCCTTTTGTCAAGTCACTTGCAAAACAGGGTACGCAACACCACGCAGCTGCAAAATTTAAATGAAGGTGGTAGTTTACTTAGGGAGCCATGTACAAGATCCAGATCCAGTCTTTTCAATCCGTATAGCCTTGGAAGCGTGTTTAGGCTTTCATTAGTCATGCAGAGGCAGAACAGTGAACAGAGAGACGAGACAGCTAGCATCCAGCTGTACATACTCCTGTCTGTGGGGGATGAAAATGCCAGAAGGCACGCAGCTTGCGCTGCTTATGTGCATTAGTGGAAAGGTAGATAACATGGTGCCCTCCAAATGTTGTGGACTCCAACTCCCATCAGCCCCCTCGCCCCCACCTCTGCCAGCACGTCATGGATGATGGGAGCTGTGGTCCAACAGCAACTGGAGGGCACCACATTGGTAGAAAGGAAGAGGGAGCAGTATGCGACTTGAAGTCACCAAAAATAAAGAATGCACAGGAAAAGGCCTTAAGGAAAAACAGGTCTTAAAGGATAACAAACTGGTGTTTTTCTCCCAAAATAAGACTCAGGGCCTAAAAAGGGTAAAATGAAATGGGAAACCTCGAATGTCACTTTTCATGCATCTTGTGAACATGAAGCAGCACAAGCTCTTGAGAAGCACTCATTATGTTAGTGACGCCCATCTTTAACAGTCACCATTTTATTAATGGACTAAACACACACATTATCTTATGTACTTAAAACAGAAGTAGTTGAGAGCAAAGGTTCTTATTTTTCTCCTCAAGTTAATCATGGAGAAACGTGGACATTTGGCATTTGTGCAGAGGAAAAATGTTACTATATTTAGCCTCCTTCTCTTTGCAGGCTGCCATGCTTCTGTTTCAGCAGTGGGAAAGTGCTTCAGTACGTCAATGACTGAAATGATTTGGATGCATTTACACTAGCGAAACACTTTCAGTTGCAACTAATCAACTCCTCAGGCCCTGAACAGAAACCATGAAAGGAAGGGGTACCTTAGCAGTTTCAGATGCCGTTTTAAATACGACGTATAATCTGTATGCACCACCTTAAAGAGACTTAAAAAAAAGAAAAAAATCTGTATTTCCAGAATTACATATCACCTCCACCATACCTATCACATAGCCCCCTTACCAGCAGTCATGTTTTAGACTGTACGTTCTTTGGGGCAATAGACCTGTTTTTTCCTTCTAAAACTCTGTAAAGTGCTGTGTACATAAAGGGCACTGTATGTATAAGAAGAATAAAATAGTATCTTTGACACAAACAAAACCTCAGGGCAGTTTTCCAAAAAAAAAAAAAAAAAAAGGATCACAAGAACTGTCAAAATTACAGGCAAAACATTATTCGGATATTATAGTAACAGCCCCCAAATATACAAAAACACAAATTTACACAAACTAATAAAAATGGTATGTATCCAAATTCATTTTACAGAATTCAGAAGCTTACAACTTTATGACATTTTGCTTGGTCCTAATAAAGGCATTATGGAAAAGGAAGTTTACTTGAGACTTCCAAGCCTCTCTCCTCAATTCCCTTTATAAGGTTTTAGAGTTAGGAGTCCCATTCGAAAACAATTTTTTTCCTCTTTAACGAGTCATTCCTAAATGTACTTTTTTTAGAGTACATTTTTTTTAGAACCCTGGAATGAACAACTTGAATGTGTTTTCTTCTGAAATGAGAATGTATCACCAGTACCAACTAGAATGACTGCATTTCACACTGGTGTGCTGCTAACCTTTTTTTACCTTTTGCTGCTAACAGAGGCTAGTATTTGGCTATGCCTGCCATTTATGTCCGGCAGTACAGCAGGTAGTTTTTTTGCCTCTGCAGCTAAAGGATGATAATTACTGCTTGCTCAGACTCTGCATATTCTTTGTCCTATTTTCAGACTGGGGGGATGGGTGGGAACTTTGCACAGCCCAGCTAAATCCAAAAAGGCTCTTTTCACTCTGAACTAAAAGAGGTCCTCTCCTGTAATTAAACCTTATTCATTCTATAGGCAACCACTATCAGCAGCCTTTCAAATATATATGCAAAGCACAGCTATCTTCCAGCACACTGATCTGATCCTCAACTGGCAGGTCAGGACTCACTAGTGGGTCACAGCCTGATCCAAGGTGGGTCATAAAAGGAGCACTACCATCATGCAAATTATGGTAAAAGGATAATAAATGGGTCCCCAGTTGCATGTTTGGGTTAAAAGTGGGTCCTGGGCCTGAAAGGGTTGACAATACCTGCACAAGACAGCCAGGCAGTTATTGTGCAACTGGGCTCTGCCCTTCCCCCACACAAGCCAGGGACATACAAAGGAAGGGCTGCTCTATTGTCAGTGTACAGTACTCACAATGGCCTCCTCCTGCCAACCGAAACTCAATTCAACAGATATCTGATAGTGAAAGGATTCAGTAATCCAAGTAGCTAGAAGCAGATGGAAAACACTTTTGCATATTTGGCCATATCAATTCTGGAATGTGCACCTTAGTATTTACCAGCTCCCACCCACCCCCAATTCCAAATGCAACAGCCAAATAAATCTGATTCTGAAATCTAAGCACATACACACACTAAATTTCAAGACCTATATTTAAACTGATGGCACATTCAGAAAAATGAAAGAGCCACTTAATTCAGATCCTTCCATTTTTCTGAACCATCACTAAGCAACAGCACCATGGCAACTTTGTCCAGCATTAAAAATGCTCTGTGAAAACAGGGTGAAGACGACACTGCAAAGTCAGATTTAATTCTCACTGGAGAAATCCTCTGGCAATCTTGGTGCATAAACCCATCATGTCTTTTTTTAAAATCACCACTCCAAAATCTAGTCTATCACTACCCTGCAACAAGCATTATTTTAAAAAAACCAGACAGGTCTAGTTGTACATATCATTTTAAGCTCTGGTTATCTGTATTTCCAGTGTAAGGCATAATAAATAATAGGGCAACTGACCATTTCTTAATGGGAAATAAGGCAGCTGCTTCAGTTTTATGTAACAGCTACGAGGATCTGACTGGCTGGATTATGCCCCTCTTATACCTAGATTTTAATTCATTCAGATTAATTTCTTAATCCTTTGTCTGCCATTCTGTGTTTCATGCCACTTGGCACAAGGTTATTCTTACAGATTTGGCCCTTTACAAAACCTGGGAAGACCGTTTGCAAGGAGGGGATGTCCCTCGTGACCACAAATGCTGCAGCAGCAACTGCTCTTTTCTGAGAAATATTTTCCCTCTGCATGTTTTGGAGGAAGCTCCGCAGCTCAGGCAACTGTAACAAGGGAGCTGGAGAAATTCTCTCCTTACGCTGCTCTCCTAGCACTCCCCCACCTCCCTGTGTGCAGCCCGAGATCAGCTCTGTTCTTCCCTACATAAACTGGGCCGCCATTTTAGAAAGGCATTCACACCAGCCAAAGCACTGCACCAGTCACCACTTCAGAAAGGGAGTCCTCTCCCTGAACACTTCCTCCCTCCCAACCTATGGAATATGAACAGGGAAGAAAGCAGGAAAATGTCTCTAGAAACAGGCAGCGCTGCTAAAGAACAAGTCAAGCTACATGCTGCTGGTCACAGCAAATCCTGCAACACAGTTTGCCTGGATGTGTCTCTTCCTCTCTCAGCCACAGAAACCAACACTAAGAAACAAGCAACGCATAGGGAAACCAAGCAGAAATAAAAGGAACCATTGTTCCCATGCATGTTGCATTTTGCATAGAGGAGCACTGTTAAAACCTTTCCCCTCCCTCACCCCCAACACAAAAACAAATGAAAAATTAATGACTGAAGAAAGAACAAATACCAGTTTATCGGACGTAACACCACTGGTCTTCCTCCCCACACCCAAAACTGCAATACTGGGGAGGAGGGAGATAAATGATCTGCTTTAAAAGTTGCAAAATGAGTTAACTCTGACAAATTCGGAATATACGTAAAACACTGATGAACAAGCGAAGGCCAAGTAACTAGAGAGCTTCCCTTTAATAAAGCAGGACAGAGTTCTACTCTCCTTTCTCCCCCCGCTTCACCAGCCAAGCTTGTTCCCCATGAGGTAGCGACCAAGTCTATTTTTCCCATGGTGACTCATTAGGTTCACTCCATAATTTTCCTACTCTAAACATTAGCAAGAAAATTACAAGGAAATTTACAAGCCCTTTCAGAGTCTCAAACTGGAAACTATTTTATCTGACCAAAACACTTGTCTAGAATTCTACCTATCAGTTTCCTTCCACAATGCCATTAACAGGCTTCCACTGTAACAGCAGAAGTGAGTTGCGAACATTGTGCTTACTCCTGCAATCATACATCACCTAGGATCCATCCACTACTAAGAAGGCTTACAAATCTCTCTCTCTCTCTCTCATACACACACACGCTGGCGCTATTAAGTTAATAATTAAGCCAAATATGACCTGTTGCTAGATGAATAAGAGGCAAGGATATATTATTTTTGTTTGACTGGGCCTAAGGCAGCAAGAAAAATATCAAAAGTAACAATACCAATCTGGTCTTCAGAATTAGCCATGGCAGAAAACTGTTCCATCGCAAAGGAAACCAAAGGAAGTTGGGTTCAAGCAGGATTTCAGCTTCTACTCTCTCAAAGTTGTGCTTGAATTACCAGGTCCCAAACATTTCATTCATAAATTGCTTCAAGAGGCAAGCAAGCAAAATCAATCAATAAATAAACAGTTCAGACTGACACTTGTGCACCCCTGAAAACAGCAATAGTTTATCCATGTTGTGTTTATGATACACTGAAAAGCCAAAAAAACCAAGATACAAAAACCCTCAGTTCCATCAGTGGATAGTGCTGGCACAAAAATATGGAAAAGAGGAATTAGCAGGCCTCTTCAGGTAAAAGTTGTTTCCATTCCAGGATGCCCTTAGAAAAATCCAATCCACAATGCTGATGGCACTTGGCGGTATCCTTCTTCCTCAGACTCTGGAGTTTCTTTTCTGAAGTTCCTTCCTTTAGAGTGTCAAAGATTCCAAGTGCAGGAGGGGATCCTTAATCCCAGCCCCCCTGAACTTCCTTCTCTCTTGGATCCAAGGTATTCCAATTCTACCGGATCCGTAGGGGCAAGCAAAAGCAGCAGCTGCTATAATACTCAAGACAGGTTTTCCCAGGCGCACCTGCCTTCTGTGGCTTGGCCTGTGAAAGGGCTCTCTCATCAGGCACTTAATTCCAGGTCCAATCTTAGGTTTTCCCTTCCACATGGACAACCATGAAACTCCCTTCCCTTCCTAACCCATCCTGATTTATATCCATGCCTCCACAGGCACCCCCTCCCAAACTAGGGGTATTTGATCTCTCTCTCCCCCACACCCCTCCCACCTTCTCTTCTGCTTTCACACAACTCCAAGAGGAAAAGGTTCTCCCCTCAATCCTGGAAGTGGCACTTTATGTGTTGTGGGGTGAGAGTAGTCACCTTCCTCGTTCTTCTCTTGACATCTTGAAGATTCCTCATAGTTGCCATGTCCCTGGGGATGGTACTCCTTCCCTCATTTTGCTAACCTCTCTCCCTGCATGATGTGAAATGGAAGATTCAACTACCCTACTCTTCCTCCCACCCCACCCCCACTTGTTTGCTTATGCTCTCCTGAAACCAACAACCCTTCATTATCTGGAGGAGTCACTGTTCCCTGCCTTCACCTCCCAACGCGCTCTCAGAAGCAACTGCCCTTGTTATAACTTAGGTCTTGCCTCAGTTTCCTATTCCCCCCCCCACTTCCTTAAGTCCGGAATTCCCTTCTTCCACTTTTATCTAGGGGCTGAGCTCATAGTCTAGACTCTTCCCCTCACTCAGCCTCTTGCCTTTCAAACGTTAAGGGTTTTTCCTTTCCCACCAGTGTGTCTCTCTTCCCCTATTTATACAGAGAATTCGAGGGTGGGGAGTGTGTTCATCATATATATATATATATATATATATATATATATATATAGACTCGTGGTGGTAAACCCATCCACCCCTCCCTCCCTCTCTCCCTACCTGCCTACCTAGGTAAACCCACCTGGAGCGCTTATCTTCAGCTAGGCAGGATGTAACTAAATGTAATGTAAACCGCCCTGTGGCCTTCGGATGAAGGGCAGTATATAAATGTAACAAATAAAATACACTCTTCCTCTCCCGCGTTGGTTGAAATTATGTGGGGGAGCGGGAAGATCCCTACACGCACCTTTTCCTCTTACGTTGGACTGAAGCGAGGAACCCCTTTCCCCCTCCTTTTGCCTCCCCCACCCGCCTTCTCTTTACCCCCTGCTCTCCCCCCACTTCTTCCCCCTGCCCTTTCGGGGATGTCCTTCTGACTCCACCACCAGCCCCTCCCTCCCTTCCTCCTCCACTCACCGCTTGAAGTGCTCGATGATCTTCTCCTCGCGGACGTTCTCCGGCAAGTTGCCCACCCAGAGGTGCCTGGTCTCCCGGACCATGCTGCTGCCAGGCGATGGGGGCTCCTCCGCGGCGGGCGTTGCTCTCGCCGCCGCCCTCCGCTCGGCTCGCCTCAGCACCGCGAGCGGGGGAAGAAGCAGAAGCAGCTGCAGCCTCCTCTTCTTCCCGCCGCCGCCGCTCTTCGCCGCCGCCGCACTCGGCCTGTGCCTGCCGCCGCCGCTGCTCCTCTTTCGCCGCCGCCGCCGCCTCCTCCCTCCGCGGCGCCGGTGGGGGGCACCATCCCACCGGGCCCTCCCGACACCCGCCGCCGCCTCCTGCTGCTGCTGCTTCTCCTCGCGGCTGTCGCTGGTGGTGGGACCGCTGCCGCCGCCGCCGCTCCTCCTCCTCCCTCCGCGGCGCTTCTTCCCAATTTCTCCTCAGTAGCAGTAGCAGCAGCAGCAGCAGCAGCCCCCGCGGCGTCCCCCGCTCGCTCCGTTCACTCGCTTGCTCGCTGTCTCACCCCCCAACCTCCGCGCGCGCGCGCATGCGCCCTCGGCCGCCGGCCGCCACCAACCCGGGTCCTCGCGCTTCAAGGCTCGCTCCTCATTGGGCGGCTGGGCGCGCGGCGAACCAGCGCGTGCGTGTGCGTGTGTAAGGAAGAGAAAAAGGGGCTTGTGTGAGAGAGAGAGAGAGAGGGAGAAAAGAGGAGGAAGCGCGCGCATGCGCTCTCGGGTATTGTGCGAGGAGGAGGGGGGGCCGAGCGCTGCGAGCTCTCGGAGGCCGGGAAAGGAGTAGGTAGGTGGGGTGGGGGAGGGGTGAGAGAATCCCGCTGTCCCCAATACGCCTTCTCCGCGGGAAGCGCGCAGGCGCACCACGCTCGCCTCCCCGCTTCGCTCGCGGTCTCAGGCTCTCAAGGCTGTTGCGCATGCGCCCTCGAGGCTGGGGCGCCGGTGTTGTCTTCCCCTCCGAGAGCCTCAGTGAGTAGAAAGACCTCAAGGGAGGAGGAAGGTCGCCTTTCTCTCTTCGCTCCTCGCCCGCGCCATCAGTAAGGGTCACAGAATATCCCAGGCATGGCAGGGCTTCCCCGCTCCCTCGCACTGGTATAATGTCGCATCATGTGGAAATAACTATTTCCACCATTCAAGTCGCTACCAGAGTTATTTGTTGGTTCCCAAAACTCAAATCCCAGCTCCTGGGAGCGGAAACTTAAGAGGAAAATGGCGCAGGAGGTCTGCCGACAACCTCTAATTGGGCATTTCCTTCGTTTTGGTGCCACTTCCGTCGCAAAAGCTGAGCTGTGAAGACTTCGCCGGTCAATGCCAAGACTGTTGTGGCTTCTCGGGGGCTATGAACAGTTACACATATATGAAAGCCATGGCGCTGCAATAGGTTTCCAGTTATTTTTTATACCATATAGTAAGAAGAAAATCTGTTGTTTATCTGTGTTTCGGACTGTATGCTCCGTGGGAACAGGGACTTGCCATGCCGGTTACTTGCATAAAGTATTGTGCATATAGATAGTGGCATGTAAGTAATAGGATGGGTCCTGAAATTTCGTGGGATCAAAATTGGTGATGCCTATAAGCAATTGGCCTAATCCAAGCCGAACTAACACTGGATCTAATTCTTTTTATATATTTCTATACTTTTCCATATCTGCTTATATTTGTTTTAGTTGTTTTAGATATACATATAATTTATGTTGTTTTTAAAAAAAGATTATAATAATACAAGTACTTATAAACACTTGCCCTGCAACCCATACACACATCACCTCCATACAAATAAAGTTTGCTCTTTTTCTGTAGGACAGTTTTTCTCATATGTAACATTATGGAGATTAACAACGTAAGCCTAAGCATCTACTCTGAATAAACTCCCTTTAGCTTATCCCTTAAGGCTGCAATCCTAAGCACACTTGCTTAGGTCTTGCTGAAAGGATGCCGCCTCTGAGTAATTATACATAGGACTGCTGTGTTCATTAATTAATTAAAAACTCTGCTCTCAATTTATGTGTGGCAATGTCAGCACGCCTCTGCATGAACCCCAGAACCCTTTGTGACACAGAGGGATTATTTGGTAGAAAAAGTTCACATGGGAGGTTTCCCATGAAGGCTGGGAAAGCACAACACAAGAACAATGGCTGCTGCGTAAAATGCCACATTTTAACAGAGATTGCTGTGAGCTGTCTGTTGCCCACTAGAGACTTCCCAACATACAAAGAGTTTTCCCACGTTCAAAAAACAATATATGTAACCAACAAGACAAACACAGGAGAGATCTATCTCTCCTGGTGTTCAATTCCAGCAATTTGGGATGAGTAATACCTTGAGAATTAGGTTAGATTTACTGATCAGCTTGGTTATCCTAATTCAAAGGTTCTTAATTGTTGTTTTTAAAGCTCATTACGAATGAACCACTGGGATAGGAATTCCTTCGTGCAGAAGGTCTATTCCCCTCTATCCATTATATTTTTTAAGAGAGGGGAGATTCCTCTCTAGACCATGAAAGCTTATGGCATAATACATTTGCTAGTCCTTAAGGGGTCACAAGAGTCTCTGTTGTTTTTGCTGGAACAGATGGGAACACAACCACCCCTCTGGAAAGCATCCTTGCTCTCCGTTCATAGATAGATAGATAGATAGATAATTGGGTCTGTATAGTGAACAAATTAACTGCTGGCATTTTTATAAAAGAGAGACCAAAAATCAGTAAAGATTAAACAACAACTCTACTATCTGCAGCAAATGAGTATTAAATTAATAGATGCACAGAAAGTTGCTATATTCTTACAAGTGATAATGAAGTGCCTCTGAATATGTACCATGTGTTTCCCTTACTCATAAGTAACCATGATTCCACCCATTTGGGGGATGAGAGAGAGAGGCTTTAATAATAATAATAATAATAATAATTTTTTATTTATACCCCACCCTCCCCAGCCAAGGCCGGGCTCAGAGCGGCTTACAAGCAATAATAAAAACAAAATGAATGATTACAACTTAAAAACAAAAATAAAATACAACATTAAAATAATGGAACATTAAAATATTAAAATGTAGCCTCATCGCAGGAGGAGAAGGAAAAGAAAAAAGAAAGAGAGGGAGGGAGGGAGGGAATCAAATTGGCTCCAAGCCAAAGTCCAGGCGGAACAACTCTGTCTTACAGGCCCTGCGGAAAGAAATCAGATCCTGCAGGGCCCTGGTCTCATGAGGCAGAGCGTTCCACCAGCCAGAGTTGAAAAGGCCCTTTGAGGTCAGAGGTGCAGCTTGACTGCAGATATACCGTAAACCCCAACACTTATTGGTGTGGAAATTAAGCCCCAACAGCTACTTAGGGTGTAGCAGGTTTTGAAGTTTTCCACAGAGGCAACCTTCCTCCACATGTTAGTGTTTCTTTTCAGCTGCTATTGCTGGGATGAGAAAAGTTAATTATTGGGGCTGATACCTCAGCGGTGGTCATTAATGGGCTTGGATTGCAGCATCACCATTGAGTTGCAAGCCAGATGGGAACCCAACCCGTTGTTCCCTGCTGAACAAAGGCAGAGGGGAGGGAGGGGGAGAGAGAGATGGCATTCCCAGCCACATCCTCCCCCTCCTCTTGCCTGGGGGTATAATTAGCAGAGGCACCCCAGGTGGCAGGAGGATGCCCCACGGCACTGACACGAAACCTGCTCCACAGCTGCTTAATCACAGGGGCATATTAAATGTACCAGAAGGCAAGGAAACATTCGGAGCATGGTTTTTCATGGGAGGCTTACCAAACCTCTCCAACCAGCCCTCCCAGGTTCTCCCTTCCTTACCCTTCGCATCATCCATCCCAAGTCCTCTGGCCAACTGTTGTAGTAACTGCTGGTATTAGGGCAACTCACAAGGAAACATGGCATCCTGGATTCTGGCTAACAGGCCAAAGGTGGATTGGATCCCATTAAATTAGGGAGCTAGGTATTGTCAGACGCTAGTCGGTTATAAAACAGTTATGGATTGTCTTCCACAACTCAGTAATTAAGAGAGAGAGAGAGAGTAGTTAAGCACAACAGGAGAAATAAGGACTCTGGTGAACCCAGGCACCTACCCATGGGCGTAGCCAAGGGGAGGCAGGGAGGGGCAGCTGCCCCCCTAAATAAATAGAAATCAATACAGAGCCAACTGAGGTTCTGGCCCCACTAACAAAAGGCCTGCCTCTCCAACAGAAATCCTGGCTCCACCCATGCTTCTACCTGCCACAACTCTGGATATGTTACTTTTCTCAGCTCCCTGCATAAGCCTACGCTGATAATTCTGCAGTTCAGAAAGTTTAAATAATAACAACACCTGGAACCAAATGACCTTTTCTGGAGCACAGACTATGATCACAAACCCTCCAACATTCCTCAGATGAAAATAGGGACATTTCTCACTCCCCCTCAACTGACTCTCCTTGACCACCTATTTTTTGTGGCCCTCCGCACCTGCAGAGTATTCTCTATTAGGAAAAAAAAGACAAGTGTCACCTCCACTACACCAATCGGACACAGCACACATGCTCTCCACCATCCTAAGAAAACCCCTTAATCCTAATTTTATTTTATTCTTTGGTAGATTTACAAAAATAAATACATTTTATAAAGGGGCCAGATTAGATGCGGACACACAAAGCATTTTTTAAAAATCAAGACTCCTTGCGCTCCACTCCCTGTTTCTTCCCACCCAGGTGGTCCTGCCCTCTGCTTGCCCCTCAGAGCTGGTGTGTCACTCAGGTCTGACTGCCTGGCACCATCCTTGCCAGTCCCTAGGCACTTCTTAGTTTACCTAGGCATTTTGTAACTCAGTTGCCTGTCACAGTGGTGCTATTTTAGTGGGATGGGTAGGGCTTGACCTTATTTGACATCTGAAGGCAGCCCTGTTTAGGGAAGCTTTTAATGTTTGATGTTTTATCACTTTATTATTATTAATAATAATATTATGTTGGGAGCCACCCAGAGTGGCTGGGGAAACCTGGCCAGATGGGTGGGGTAATATTATTATTATTATTATTATTATTATTATTATTATTATTATATTTTACTGTGTGAGCATTTTATGTATTTTGTATTGTTCCTCTTTACCTCCTTTTCCAGTTTTGCACTGATTGTATTTGTTGTATTTTATCCTGGCAAGCTGCTTTGGTATTTTTATTTTATTTTGTATAATATGACTGATAAATGAAAATAAAAATAGGATTAAAACTCAACTTCTACACTCTACTGTAGCACTACAAAGAAAGGGTTAACAAAGAGCCATTCCCAGATATAGCCATGTTGATGAGGCTGCCCAAGAGAAGGACATTATAACTTCATTTTCCTTGAGACATTGTTTGACAACATCTGCAGGTGGGGAAAGTAACACCACTCTCTCTCTCTCTCTCTCTCTCTCTCTATATATATATATATATATATGGTGAGGATTGGAGTTTGGCATGCTGGCCACAGTACTTGCATTCAAACGGGATTTCTGAGCCTGGGGAATTTAGGACTGATATGCCCAGGACTGTTTCCCATTCCCATTTCAGATGTGGAATCATTTGGCTTTCACAGATGCTTATGTAAGAACTCCCAGACTTTTTTTTTAATGATATTTATTAAAATTTCAGAGAGAAAAAAAAGAATTACACAAAAACAAAAAGTAAAAATACAAGAAAAATACAAAATACAAACTAAAGAATAAAAGACACTTAAAAAGAAAAAAAAAGAATGGATCAATCTTTCCATAGCTTACATTCATATCCTTGTTTCCCTGACCTCCTCATACCTCCCTTTTTTGTATTCCAGTTCAATTAGTTAAGTCAGCAATTTCTTTCCCTCTTTGTTTTCTCATGATCCTTTAACTTAATATACTATAACTTTAAATTTTCATCTGTTATCAATCCTTTTTTACATACACCTTTATAGCATTACTGCTTAAACCACCTAGCTTCATTCCAACATCATTCTAACATTCATTAATTTTGCAATATTTCTGTAAATAGTCTTTAAATTTCTTCCAATCTTCTTCCACCGACTCTTCTCCCTGGTCTCGGATTCTGCCAGTCATTTCCGCCAATTCCATGTAGTCCATCACCTTCATCTGCCATTCTTCCAGAGTGGGTAGGTCTTGTGTCTTCCAATACTTTGCAATAAGTATTCTTGCTGCTGTTGTGGCATACATAAAGAAAGTTCTGTCCTTCTTTGGCACCATTTGGCCGACCATGCCCAGGAGAAAGGCCTCTGGTTTCTTCAGAAAGGTATATTTAAATACCCTTTTCATTTCATTATAAATCATCTCCCAGAAAGCCTTAATCCTTGGGCACGTCCACCAAAGGTGAAAGAATGTACCTTCGGTTTCTTTACATTTCCAACATTTATTATCGGGCAAATGATAGATTTTTACAAGCTTGACTGGTGTCATGTACCACCTGTATATCATTTTCATAATATTCTCTCTTAAGGCATTACATGCCGTAAACTTCATACCTGTGGTCCATAACTGTTCCCAGTCAGCCATCATTATGTTATGTCCAACATCTTGTGCCCATTTAATCATAGCAGATTTCACCGTTTCATCCTGAGTATTCCATTTCAACAGCAAGTTATACATTCTTGACAAATTCTTAGTTTTGGGTTCTAACAGTTCTGTTTCCAATTTTGATTTTTCCACCTGGAAGCCAATTTTCTTGTCCAAATTATATGCCTCCATTATCTGATAATAATGAAGCCAGTCTCGCACTTTGTTTTTTAATTTCTCAAAACTCTGTAATTTCAGTCTATCTCCATCTTGTTCCAAAATTTCCCAATATTTTGGCCATTTGGCCTCCATATTGAGCTTTTTCAGAGCTTTCGCTTCCATCGGTGACAGCCATCTTGGGGTTTTATTTTCCAATAAGTCCTTGTATCTTATCCAAACATTAAACAATGCTTTCCTGACAATATGGTTTTTAAATGCTTTATGTGCTTTGACCTTATCATACCACAGATATGCATGCCATCCAAATACATTGTTAAAACCTTCTAGATCCAAAATGTCAGTGTTTTCAAGAAGCAGCCATTCTTTCAACCAGCAAAAGGCTGCTGATTCATAGTAAAGTTTAAAGTCTGGCAAGGCAAATCCACCTCTTTCCTTTGCATCTGTTAATATTTTAAATTTTATTCTAGGCTTCTTGCCCTGCCAGACAAATCTAGAAATATCTCTCTGCCACCTCTTGAAACAGTCCATTTTGTCCACAATTTGCAATGTTTGAAACAAAAACAACATTCTAGGCAATACATTCATTTTTACCGCAGCAATACGACCCAGCAGTGAAAGCTTCAAATTTGACCAAATTTCTAAATCTTTTTCACTTCAGCCCAGCATTTTTCATAGTTGTCTTTAAATAAATTCCCATTTTTGCTGTCATGTTAATCCCCAGGTATTTAACTTTCTTAACCACTGTTAAACCTGTCTCATTCTGAAACCTCTCTCTCTCCATTGGTGTTAAATTTTCTCTAAAACCTTGGTTTTTAACTTATTCAATTTAAATCCTGCAACTTGACCAAATTCTTGAATCAGTTCTAAAACCCTTTTGGTACTAGATTCTGGCTCCTGTAACGTCAATACTAAGTCATCTGCAAATGCTCTCAATTTGTACTGTTTGGCTCCGACATAAGAACTCCCAGACTTGCTCTCTTTTTTCTTTATGGAGAAGCAGGCAGAAAATCACTGTGACAGCAGAGAAAACTTAATTGAATTTTGTGGACATGAACTTTCATAAGCAACACTGGATGCAGAAGGCAGAAAGGCAACACTCTTGACAACTTTGTACTGAATTTCCCACTGCTCAGGGAACAGAATAATCCCATAACCTCACCAAAGGCTTATGTTAAAGCTGTATCAGTTGTAAATAAGCCATAGCCCCTCATTTCTTCCCCCATACACAAACGCTTTTTAAAAATTAGTTTGAAGTCCATGCTGCTGAAGGCAAAATCTTAAATGAATCCAAAACGGATGAGGTTGGGCAGTGCAAATTAGGTGTCCCCTTTGTGTTAAAAAGCCCTTTTGGTGGTTTGAAATCCAGAGGGAGAAGAATGCACACTTTAAATAAAGCACAACATATATTGCAATAAATCTGGCTCATAGGTCTGGGGCTTGCTTTGGAATTAAGGCAATGATCTCACTGTCTAGTGAATGCCAGCCCATCCAGAGCTGAAGTCTCTTTTCTCCCAAGCTGCCAAGGATGTGTTTTCAAAGTCTCACCTACCACCCACCAAAAGAAGGGGTTGGGAATTCAGGAGTAAAATTCAGGAGGAAAAGGCTTGATCTCTGATGTCTGGAAGCATTGGAGGGGTGCTGAGCCAACTGTGGTGCTTCCTATTCCTGTGCCCCAAGTAAATGGAGGGCTGCCCATTCAAAACACAGCATGGCCTGCTCTTAAGGCTTTATTATAATCTGCAGAAATCTGCAGTCATGAAGATGAATGCTGTTATTTATGCCAACGTATAAATAAACAACACACATTATTTAGTTTTTTCCCCCTCCACAAAGGCACTCATGATATCCATATCAATGTGTCCCTTTTATCTTCAAGACAATTCCGCAGGGTGGTTTAGGATGAGAGTGGGACCAGCAAACCAGATCACCCAGCAAGTGGTTACTTGAACCCGAGTCTTCCTGGTTTGCAACCACTGCCCTACTATGTCTGCACATCAAGAGAACAATCTGACCATATGGCCAGGAAACAGGGAAGTCTCAGCCCCAGCTGCAGTGCCAGAGAATTACATACCCCTTCCAGATAAATGACCATTGGTGCTTATCTGAAGACGTGTTTCACATATCAATTATAACTGAAAATGTAAACTGGAATTTAAAGCACAGCTGCAATCCTAAGTATGCTTACTTGACAGTTAACTCCATCAACACCAATACGACTTACTTCAGAGAACATTGTGTTTAGGATTCGGAAGGAAGCAACGGGAAATGCACTGAAAGAGAAATCTAACATGTGGGATCATGTGGGTCCCATTCCCAAACACACTTTGCTTGTGTCTCCCCACCCCCATTGTTGTTGTTTTTTCTGACAAGTCTGTTGCAAAGTAATCCCCAATTCCCATAAGTGCAACATTAATAAAAGAAAAGCCTTATATCACCAACAGTCCATCCTATAATTAAAAATTAAAGTCTGCCCTGAATTTTGTGCAGCTTGGCAAAGGTGTAAAGGAAGAGGGGGAGGTCCTCGAGAATATATACAGTACTTGGAAACAGCAGCTTCCTACAAGGGTGGGCTGGAAGAAACAGGAGGGTTTTCTCCGCTGCCCCGCTCCTCTCCCATGTCTCATTACTCTTGGGCTGCTGAAATGCTACTGAGCCTGTGGCTTGTTTTTTTTTAGCAGCCTAACAACTACGCTTTCTTTTTCTCTGTTTCCTTCTCCCCGTCCTTCCTCTCCCCTGCACTGCAGCCAACCACGCCTACACCACAATGCGGCAAAAGGGCCGCCTCTGCAGTGGGTGAGCCTCCCGCCCCATGCATTCCCTCCCCACTGTTCTGTTTCCCCGGTTCCCTCCCCTTGAGAGGCCACAAAGGGCAGGGCAGCCTTGCATGCAAAAGAGAGAAAAGGGTGTTGCTGGCGGTGGGGGTAGGATGGCTGCTCCCCCCCCCCCGTGCTTTCCTGAGCAGCACTTCCCACTTTAGAAACTTCTGGAACCAGGCAGCCAATCTAGGGAGAGGAGGAAGGCAGGAGCCCCCCTGGTTGATGCTCCTAGAGGAGGCAAGCCAAGAGTACCAGGCAAATGCATAAGATACTCGCGCGCTCTCTCTGGGCTCAGCAGTGCCCACAACCACCACGATGCCTCGTCTTCCTCCTCCTCCTCCTTCTCCACATTTCATGATTATTTCAAAACAAAAGCAAAAACAAAGCACACCACGCCAGTTGGGAGGAATGCCTGGCACACTAGCAATGGTGGATTTCAGAGGAGCCTCTTGGAAAACAATAGCCTGCCATTAAAACAAACAAACAAAACCAAAAAGGCTGCACGTTTCAATCCTTTTGAGGGTTTGTCTGCTTGGAATATATATCTCATTCCTTTGCAACGCCAGGGAGTGATTTCTTCTTTTCTCTCTTTTTAAATTTTTTTTTAAAAATAAAACCTGCCTCTTTCCTTAGGACAAGCCTGCATCTCAGTGGATTAAACCTGAAAAATAAAAGCCAAATCATTCCTGGATTATGATGATGATGATGATTTTTTTTTAATTAAAAGGGTTGTGTCTGTCTTTTCGGTATTTTTATTTTTTATTTTTTGGATGGGGGTTTTGCCTCCCCGGCTTTGCCTTTCTTTTAGGATACATTGTAGTTTAAATGCGAACGGAGCGATAACAAAGGTAATAATCCAGCAAGTGTAACGTATGTGAGCTGAAATAGACAGTATTTTAAGGAAGAGGGGTTTTTTTGTTTGTTTGTTTCAAGGGTGTGTTTGTGCGTGTGTGTCCATTTTTAAACGGTTTTTATTCGTAGGGAGTACTGTAGTGGGTCTGCATTGAATAATAATTAAAAAAAACAATTAAGATTTCAAGTTTATCCAAGTGCTTTTTTTAATAGCAAAATTGTGTCAGGGAAAGGGGTTGCGGGGGGTAGGAAACAGCATGTTTGTTTTGAGTAAAAAAATGGGGCTGAGTCTGATCACTTTCGCGGTGACTTAAATCCCGGGAAGATCTCGTCTTAGCTAAAAACAAAGGCATTGTTTGTGCAAAGACTCGGGTTGCAAAAGACTCTAGTTTACTAGATGTAAACTAGTAATGAAATGGGGGAGGTTAGAATGAACAAGACTTCTTATTTCAGCAGAAAAAAGGAGCCATTTTTTGGGGGGGGGGGGGTAAGGGACAAATTCCAGATTTAGATGTTAATGTTAGAGCGAGGGTGTGTGCTTTTAAACCGAATCAAGAAGTTACAAAGGGGTGTATTCGGACATGGTGTGGCAGAAACGCAGCCGGGTTGAAAACGAGGTGGTGAAATTGGATGTGTGGTAAAAGGCTTGTGGGGACGGCGACCTGTTAACAACGTTGAGTAAAAGCACGGTGGCTATTTTCAATAATTCAAAATAATTCAAAATACAAAGTACAACGCTTCCCTTCCAACCCATGCTGGATCGCAGTGGGTAATATGGGGCCTCCATTAAAACACGTATATAAGTATACATTGGGGGGGGGGAGTAGCTGTGCGAATTAAAATTTCGGTAGCATTGCTGCAATTTCAGACGGAGGCAGCGGCCCTTTTATTCGAAATAACTGGAAACGGAAGAAGCGTTTTCCCTTCCCATGTTTTGGGCTTTTTTGGTTTTTTTTTTTTACAAACAAATCCGCAGTGCAGCTTTTCCTGCCTTCCTTCCTCACACCGCCCCCCCCCTCGCCTCCACCTTCTCTTCCTTCTTCGTCCTTCTGTGGGCGCCATTTTGTAGCCTCCCTGGGCGGCCATTTTGTGGGCAGAGAGAGGCCGAGAGAAGCCCGCCAAAGGCTTTCTGCGCGTATGCGGCTGCAGTACCCGCGAGAGGCCACCGAGTGGGAAATGAGGGCGCTGCCGCGCTCCTCCGCCACGCGCGCTTTTCGTGAAAACGCGCGAGATCTCTTGAACCAAGGCCTTCCCCACTCCATGGGTGGTTTCCAGCTGAGTTCTCTGGGCAGGGCCATTAAGACCAATGGGTCTACTGCAAGCAGAACCAGCATTGGATGCAACCCTTAGTCAGGCGCATTAATTTCGATGAATCTACTCTTGAATTTGGAGTAGCATTGGTTACAAAGTGTTATTAATTGCTCTGTTATTAATTCCCCTCCCCCTCAAAAGAGTTTTACTGGCACACATTGAAATATTTACAAACGTTTATACCCAATGCTAAACATATTTTTTTATAAAAAAATAAATATTTTAAAAATCTAATCTAAAACAGGAGCAAATAAAGGAAAAAACCAGAAGAATAAGCCATGAAAAGACTTCAATTACCTCTCTGTCAGCTAAATATAGTAACTTTTCCCAATAATTCACTCAAATTAGCATCATGGAGGTAGCCAGAATTTATGGGGGGGGGGGCAGATCCAAGCTATCTGCAACACGATTGGTCCTTTTTTAAAGTATTTACTTGATGGGGGGGCAGCTGCCCCTCCCTGCCCATACCCATGGCTGACATCCAACTATTCAAATTTTCTTTAAGCCATTACTTTTTCAGTGTTCAAATATTACATTTTCTCTTTCACGCAAAAAGTCCGTAATAAGTTTCCGATACTTAATAAATGTCAATAATGATTTTTCTCCAATTAAACACGTTAATTTGTGCATATAACAGCTTGCCACTGGGATCATATATTGAAATAATCTTCCATAATCCTTTTCCAATTATGTACCCATTAAGCCTAAAAGAAAAGTTATGGCTTCAATTGAATATTTAAAATATGCTGTATCAATGTCTGGAATCTAAGTTTTCAAGCGTCTCGGAAGCCGAACGATTCAGAACCCGAATGCCGAAAACCCGGAAGTGAATGCTTCCGTTTTTGAATGTGCCTCGGAAGTCAAACGGCTTCCAAGGTGCGTTTCTCCATTTTTCTCAATGGAACTTGCCAACCACCCATTGCGCCTCAGTTGTCAAACGTTTCAGAAGTCGAACGGTCTTCCAGAACGGATTACGTTCGACAACCGAGGTACCACTGTATTGGTATCCAATATTTTTTAGCCTTTATACCTGTACACCAAACATGATAAAATGTCCCTTCATGTTCTTGACACTTCCAGCAAACATTTGAAACACCTTTATACATTCTAAATAGTTTCTCAGGAGTTAAGTACCAATGATACATCATTTTATAAAAGTTATCTTTAATATCATAACACGGTGTAAATTTTAACCCTTTGGTCCACATATACTCCCACTGTTCCATCTATATATTATAATCAAAACATTTTGCCCATTTATTCATTCTTAAACTTGGTCTTCTGTTTCAAATTTCAACAAATGTTTGTACATTTTTGCAATAACATGTTCATAATCTGTGCACAGTTGAATTTCAAAGTCCGCCTTTCCTTGCTCTATACCAAAAGTATTTTTATCCAGTTTAAACCTACTGCTAATTGCATATAAGGAAACCACTGCAAACTATAACCTTTCACTACTAGTTGTTCCCTTGTTTTAGTTTTATAGTCTCCTTCATGCAATTCTAATACAGTAATTCATGGTATGTTGTCTATTTTTCTTTGCCTGTCATCCATTCTCTGTAGAAAGCTTCTTGTGATGAAATCCAGAAAGGTGTGTTTATATTTATTCCAGATTCTTAATATGACATGTCTAATAAAGTGATTTTTAAAGTCCACATTAACTTTAACTTTGTCATACCACAAATGTCCATGCCATCCCAACCTTAGGTCATGTCCTTCTATTTCCAAGAGTCTCTTATTTCTCAATGTCATCCACTCCTTCATTCACACTAAAGAACAGGCTGCAAAATACAATTTTAAAGTGGGTGTGCCCAATCCTCACCTTTCCTTTGCATCTTGTAATATTTTAAATTTAACACATGGTTTTTTCCCTTGCCATAAAAACTTGGATAAGTCTTTTCGCCATTGTTTAAATGGTAAGTCATTAGCTATAATAGGCAGTGTTTGGAACCAAAACATCATCCTGGGCAATATATTCATCTTTATCACATAAATTCTCTTCAGCAGTGGCAATTTTAATTTCTCCCATCTTAACAAATCTTTTTAAATTTCTGTCCATGTCTTAACATGTCTTGAAACAACATACAATTCATTTGGATAGTGATATCCAAATATTTTAATTTTTCCAATTTGAAATTCAGTTTTCTCCATCAAGGTCTTTTAATCTTCTGTTGCCATGTTCATTTTCTTATGGTTAATCTTAAAACCTGCTAGCATGCCAAATTCATTTAGTTTATTCGTAAGAGTCTCCACTCCCTGTAAGGGGTTTTCCAGAACCATAATCAGACAAAGGATTACTACGCTTCAGACCCCAGTTGAAAACTTTGGGTTTTCACTAATGAGGGTGTGGGAGAGGTACAAAGATCCAATAGAACAAAAAACACCTTGGTGGCTATCACGAATTGAAGCTTTGTTACTCAAACCGCTTGGCAAAACGGGGAAGTGGCCTACATATAGAGATCTACTGAGGGATCAAGAAGGGAAATGGAAATTAAAAGAGTACAGTGGTGCCTCGCAAGACGAAATTAATTCGTTCCGCGAGTTTTGTCGTCTTGCGATTTTTTTCGTCTTGCGAAGCACGGTGTCGGGAAAGTTTTGGAAAAGCTTCAAAAATCACCAAAGTCTTTAAAAACCTCAAAAAGGCTACCACACTGCGTTCTATGAGTTGCTCCTCGAAGTCAAGTCGCAACTGTATTAACGGTGTTAAGAAAAAGGAAACAAACTTGCAAGACCTTTCCGTCTTGCGAAGCAAGCCCATAGGGAAAATCGTCTTGCAAAGCAGCTCAAAAAACAAAAAACCCTTTCGTCTAGCGAGTTTTTTGTCTTGCGAGGCATTCGTCTTGCGAGGTACCACTGTATGAGGAAATCGAAGACCATTTTCAGAGTTGGCTACACTATAGACAACTACATGAGATGTATAAGGAAAGTAATAAGAAAGGGTTTAGTTACACAACTTCCAGATTTCAAAAGGAAGTTATAGAAGAAGAAGGGAAGCTGCTGAAGAAAGCATATAGTATTCTGCTAGAATGGGAAACAAAAGATGAGGAGGTCAAATCAGTCATGATTAAACAGGCATAAGATATAGGACATAACATACAATTGGAGGACTGGGAAAAATTGTGGAAAGTAAATCTGAAATTTACAGAGTGTTCTCTTTTAAAAGAAAATTATATGAAAATGATGTACAGATGGTATATAATACCAGTACAAATAGCAAAAATGTACAAAACCGGGTCAAATATATGTTGGAAATGTAAAGAAAAAGAAGGTACTTTTTATCATATGTGGTGGGAATGTAGAGAAATAAAAAAATATTGGGGAAATGATATATAACAAATTGAAAAAAATGTTTAAAATGACATTTGCAAAAAAAAAACCCAGAAGCATTTTTGTCAGGGATTGTAGGACAAGACCTTCCAAGAAAAATTAAAAACAAAATTATATATGCTACAACAGCGACAAGAGTCTTGTTAGCACAAGGATGGAAGAACAAGTAAATCCCAACGAAAGTGGCATGAAAAATTGACGAGCTATGCGGAATTGGCCACGTTGACATATAAACTGCGTGACAAGGACAATCGTGACTTCAAGGAAGAATGGGAACTTTTTACAAACTACTTAAAAAGACAACAAAATGACTTGGGACTCCTTGGCAGGTTTTGAATAAACATCCGCAAATTTATTAGTTGAATATATGATAGACAAGACAAGAATATGTACAATTTTATAATATGCAGAGAACAATATGTGCAAAGAAACCAGAGAGGGGAGCTGAGGGAAGTCTTGGGGGGGGGGAGAAGGAGGGGGGGAAATAATGTAATTGAATACTTGGATTGATAAATTGTTATGTTGAAATTGTTTAATAAAAATATTTTTTTAAAAAGAAAACTTTGGATGGTCATGTCCATTTGGGCTACCACTGGGAGAGGCCAGGCAGTTCTTGTAGAGTTTAGCTCTTTAAAACCTGACAAAATTTGCGCATGTCTAGCCTTTGGCCACATCAGTGAGGTAAAATGAGCAGGACGCCACAGAATATCCAGGGCTTATTTATTAAATACAGAGGTTTCAGTGGCAATTTCTATTTTCTGAGTGATACTGGCATAATTACACTCTGCATTTTTAAAAAATTGCTGCTTACTAAGTTCACCCCCACCCCCATGGTCAGTTAAACATTTTTTTATTTCAGGTATTTATTATGAGTTTTTAACTGATTTTATCTATATTGTATCTGTTGAGTTTGATATACACCGATCAAAGACAATTGTAATTAAGAGAATGTAAACTAAACATAAAACTATTTTCTCTCACCACTACTTTAAGCTGAATGTTTTTGAAGGGGCCAAGCGGTGCTTTTTTCTGGAAAAAAGGTGCAGGAACTCGCCACAAAGTTTGTTTGTTTGTTTACTGTGGGCCCAGTCACAGTGCTAATCCCCTGGGCAGTGGATAAATGTAAGATATAATTAATAAACTCAAGCAGACAATGATTTGGATTAGAAATGGCCATGACTTTTATTACATATATAGGTGGATTTTTAGCAAAGGCATTGGGTGTATATCCGTTCCAGCCTGCCTACCCCACAAAAAGACCCCAAAAAAATATTATTTAAGTTAAGGCGACTCAGTTCCCCTGAGCTCTTGCTCAAAAAAACACACCCTGGGGCCAAGTCTGTCTGGAGTTCGTTTAGACACACAATTCTGCCTTCACCGAAGAAAAATGCTAAAGGTGGGCAAGCGGTAACATTTTTGAACATGATGAAAAAGTGGCAGCCACTGTCTGCTGAACCCCAGCTATGCTCAGCCTCTTAAGTCTGCAGTCCTACACACACTAACCCCATTGAGCCTAGTGTAACTTACTCACAAGTAAACATACATAGGCACCTGCCACTCCTGATCTTACACAATGCTAAGGAAATGAATACTCTTGTTTCACACGTACCAAACATGTCAAGGCACATGCAGAAGACAGATTTGAAGAGACCCAGACTGCACCCTGGGCCCACCCTCTTGCCTTAAGACACCCAAAGGATGGTTGCCAAGAATGGTTTTTTAATCTACTTTTCCCAATCTGGGGCATTTACGCAAACACCCAAAAGGGCATGCCAGGAACAGCCCTATTTTAGGGATTTCCAATTGCTGGTGGCAAAGGACCCCTCTCCAATTGCGCTGGCAAAATACCTCGATCCAATTCCACACTAGGGTTACAATTGCATCTTCTTCCAAGTATTGCATCAAGGGAACATTTCAAAAGAAATGCCGGTCGGTCCGTAACCTTTCGTGAAGTGATTAGTTGTATTAACATGTAACAGTGGTATGATATTGAGGAATAAAAGGCTAGAGTGTCAAAGCTGGGGTGGTAAGCACAGACCTGCATATCTATTTTCAGAAACATTATTTAATAACTCCTTGTGTAACTTGCAGTATCAAGCCCCAACAGCTTTATCACAGCAACAACTGTGTGCACTGAAAACTTAGGGTGACACTGAGAAATAATTGCACCTGATTCAAGACCTGATTATTGCCCCACCTTTCTGTCATCCGTGTATTTATTTTTGTCTCTCTTAGTCTGCATCTGTAATAATGGGATAAGATGACAGAAAAAATGACCTACTTTACTAATTAGATATAAAGAACTCTTGAGATAATGCGCACGGTAAGCTTTCAGCTTTTAGAAATGGTGCCTCAGCGAATGTGTTTTTTTATGCCATGAAAAAGCAATAAGGAGACATTACCTGATCAGTCTGGGATATTAGAGCCATGGTTCTTCTGTTTTTGTGATCTCATGTTTTTAATATTTTGGAAATCCATTTATCTGTTCAGTATACATCTCTTAAGATATCTCACATCATATCCGGAGATCAAGTAGGAGGTTTTCATCTATGTTTGGATACAAATGGATGACAAAACCTTTCAAAACTGCCGATTTTAACCAAAGATTTCAAAACTGCCCTGTTTTATTTTTATTTTATTGTTTCTTAGTATTACTGAGCAACGCTGAATACAAGGTTGCTGGTTCCTTGTATTTGTATCCATTTAAATTGGGAATTGCAATCACTGGCAATGGAACAACAGTGTTTGAATGGCCTCCGAGAGCGTTCCCTTTCCCCCTCATTCATTTGCTCCAGTCTTGGGTCCTCTCTTTCTCTCCCCCAGTATCCAATTTCCTTCCCCAGTGGGCACTTTTGCTGGTATATCTGCCCCTCAAGTGACATGGGCAGGGCACAGTGAGACCGTAGCCACAAGCAGAAGATGAGGCCAGCATATCTGTTTCGAACTGCAATTCCCAGCAGGTCAGCATGGTCATTTTGGACTAAAACTCCCAACAGCCCCAGACAGCATGACTGGACAGATGTGAGTAGTCCAAAATACCTTGAGGGCTCCAGGTTGGGAAAGGCTACAGCATACAGTTTGGATCCCTGTAGCATTCTCACCTTGTATTTTTAATTGATTTAACCAGAAAATCACATAATGGCATTATAGGATCCATTTACAGTGGTACCTCTGGTTATGTACTTAATTCGTTCCAGTGGTCCATTCTTAACCTGACACTGTTCTTAACCTGAAGCACCACTTTAGCTAATGGGGCCTCCTGCTGCTGCCACACCAATGCCGCGCGATTTCTGTTCTCATCCTGAAGAAAAGTTCTTAACTCGAGGTACTATTTCTGGGTTAGCGGAGTCTGTAACCCTGAAGCGTATGTAACCTGAAGCGTCTGTAACCCGAGGTACCACTGTATATATTTGCTTGTAACATCAAAACAGAAGAAAGCCATTGCATTTGAAGTCAGGTTTAATCAAGTTCGCGTATATGTGTGGTAATTTTGATGCCAGCTACGGCTTCCTGATATTGTTTCCAGAGGGGAAAAACTCAAGTGAACATCAGCACAGTCCAGCAGACAGACAGGAAAGATATCAAAAGCATACAAAAATCATAATAGTCATAACAATCCCAAACCCCATACATTGTTTCCGTACATTTAAACAACTGATTGGTACAAATATATATATATGATTAAGACTGCAAAACAATTTTTGATACCGTGACAGTTTCAGGCTAAAATGAAGGTGGAAAGACCCTCTTCCCCATACCTAATAAATAGCCTTTGCCAGAACCTGCTATTAAGGTAGTGTTGCCTTGTGCTGCCCCCTGGCGGATAAGACGTGTGTTAATGGGCTGGGCAAGGTGCCTTCAGTGTGCACAAGAGAGTGTGCATATAGACACATACAGCCGTAAAGTTTTATCAGGCAAAATGAAACATTTGCCCAGGTTGATACTGGTGCAAGCATTTGAGTCACAATTAGGTGTTTTTCTCAGAGATTGGTCCTCCAAGCAAAACCAAAAGTATCACACAATAAGGTGTGATAGTCTTAATTTATACATTAACAACACAGCAAATCTACAGATGGCAAGGCCCAGTTTATAGTCCTTTCCTTGTGGTGTGTTCTGTATTTGCTCAAAAGCAGGCTTGCCTTCATGACCACATCACATGTTTTGAGCCTTGCCACAGATCTGGTCCTGGAGCTTAGCCTTTTGCCCACAGATTAAGCCTGATGCATTTGTGAGGTCACGACACACCTGAATTTGTTCCAGGCCTCACCTCCTTCCTTATCACCTCTTCAAGCAAGGTGGATGACAGCTGGGAATGTGGACTTACATTGTTAAAAGACCCTGTAATAAAGCTTCCTAACAACTTACTGCTCAGTTCCCTCCAGAGATCTCCCAGATAGAAGTGATCCTAAGACTTATATTCCCCATGCTCAATGACAAGAAGCTATACTCTCAGCCCTGCCATGGGATTTCAGATAGGGCTCTGAAGAACAAGGAGGGAAACATAAAGTCAGGAAAAGAAAGGTGCTTGTAAGGTTCTGCTGCTTTTATACCAATAGTCTTGCTCCCAACAGCCTTGAGGCTTTGCTGGACTGACGAAGCAAAAGGTAGGGAATAAATCCCAAGTAAAAAAGTTTGGAATCCATCAACCGCCTTGCAGCTGAGCTGCACACACATCCATACCATGTTCTGCTGGGTGAAAAGAGTTCCACACATTATATATCTAGCAATTGGCCCTCTTTGGAAAAAGATGCTCATATATTACACCAGTGGAAAGCAACTGGCAGCCTGCAGGGGGGGAATCCCGCCCATGGATGATTGACAGTTGACCACCTTTCACATGTGCCCTCTAGTGGTAAAAAAAACCCCTTCTCCTGGCTCAGTCTCTCTCCCAGGAGAGGCATTGCACTGCTACAGGCTGTTACAGCCAAGGCCACTGGAAGGAAGAACAATACGGTAGGGGGAGACTCCTATAACTCCACCCTAGACTTTTAGCCAGCCTTGTTGCCAACCTTTGCATTACACACAACCCCAGGACTAATCCCCAACACTGAAAGGTTCCCCCCCACCCCAAGGCTCAGTTGAAAGTTAACAGGAGAGGCACAAACGGGGACGTCCAAATGCTCAAGCACACCACTGCCTGGTTCCTGCGCTGCAGCGTCTGGAAATATGCTTGTGATTCATTTGCTCAGCAAGATGATTCTTCAGTGTGTCTGATGTGGCAGGATTTGCAGAGGAGGTGGCTTCCCAGAGGGTAGCAGCCCTCTTCTGTGGGTTCTGGGGACAGCAAGACCCAACATCTCTGCAGAATGAAAGGAACAAATAGAGTGTTTGTCTGTGGTTAGCGTCCCTTTATGGGTAGGGTTGTAGCTCTGTGGCAGAGCACCTGCTTTGCATGCAGAAGGTCCCAGGTTCAATCCCCACTGGCAGCATCCCCAGGTTGGGCTGGGAGAGACCCCTGCCTAAAACCCCAGAGAGCCATTGCTGGTCTGACTAAATATAAGACAGATTTCTGTGTTCCTGGGTCACAACAGTTTAAAGCTATTTGTGCAGACCTTCTCTATACAGATCCCGAACACTCACACCTTATTACCAGTGTTAGAAACTGAGATATGAAAGCTAGGAGCTAAATGGAACCTTAAACCTAGGTTATGGGCGCAATAACAGGATGTCTAGGCGCACTTTTTTATAACAAGAATACAAAGCTAAAAATTAATGAACTGCAGCTAAAGTATTATGTTCATTTTTCACGTGCTCTAGTTCTTCCCCTGCCTACCCCCTAATATTAATATTAAGAGGGTCTCTTCTCTAGTCTTCAGAAACTAGTTGGAAGTGGGGAGGCAGAAAAAGGACCTCTTTTCCTTCCATTCTGCAGTTTCAGTCTGAAATCTTAGGTGCAGTACTGCACCGAGAGCTCAGAAACTGCCCTAATGAAATTCCCTGTCGCAAAAATGCGTATAGAACAATGGAAGTTTCGAACACTGCTTATTACCTATTTACTAGTCCTTCAAACACAGCTCCAGTGCATTTGTTCATATGCCCCCTCTTTTGTTATAAAGGAAGTATCCATAATATTTTGTCTTGTCCACATTCATTTGGTGAGCTGCAACTTGGGAGTCCTGGAGATGTCGGGACCTTTCACATTCAAAATAGATGCTCCACCACTGAACTGAGCTGCAGTCCTTCCCCTGATTCTCCACCTCTCTCTGTTATTCCTCGTTTACTTTTGATGTACAGTGGTGCCTCGCAAGACGAAAAGAATCCGTTCCGCGAGTCTCTTCGTCTTGCGGGTTTTTTCGTCTTGCGAAGCAAGCCCATTAGCGGTTTAGCGGATTAGCGCTACAGTATTAGCGGCTTAGCGGGCTTAGCGGATCAGCTGATAAGCGGCTTAGCGATCAGCTGTTAAGCGGCTTAACGATCAGCTGATAAGCGGCTTAACGATCAGCTGATAGCGGCAGCGATCAGCTGTTAGCGGCTTAGCCCATCAGCTGATAAGCGGTTTAGCGGCTTGGGAAAAAGGGGGGGGGGAAGGAAAAAAACCCCACAGGAACTCGCAAGACATTTTCGTCTTGCGAAGCAAGCACATAGGAAATTCGTTTTGCGAAGCACCTCCAAAACGGAAAACCATTTCGTCTAGCGGGTTTTCCGTCTTGCGAGGCATTCGTCTTGCGGGGCACCACTGTATGATTGAAAACCTTTGAACAGTACTTGTATTTCACATTTTAAAGAATGGCACTCGCCTTCAAACTTGGCTCGTGGTGATGATCTTGGTTAGTCTCCCTCCCACACTGCATGACCTCAGCCATTGGACACCAAACCCTCTCCCAGGCTTACTTCACAGCGGTAGCAGTCCTCATGGAAGTTTTGCCCCATGCACTCTATCTTGTAGGAGTCCCTTCCGTCACTGGGGATAATGGGCCTCTCACAGGCACTGCACACAGAAGCATACTTCCTGAAGAGGGAAAAGACAGATTGTGACTGTGATTCCCTCTGCATGTCCATGGCACAAACTTTATCTTATTTTATTTTTTTAAAAAAATGATATTTATTAAAGTTTCCCAAAGAAAGAATCACATCAACAAAAAAGAAAAATTCAAGAATAAAAAGAAAAATACACAATGCAAAATACAAAAAGAAAAAAGAAAAAACAGTTAAAAACAATTCCATCTTTTCATCACTACTTTTACATTTACTTGTTTCCCGGACCTCCTCATACCTCCCTCTTTTGTATTCCAATTCAGTTTGTTAGTCCAGCAATTCCTTTCCCTCCTTTTTAATCCCAATCCTTAATCTTAATATAATATAACATTAAATTTTTACCTATTAAAAACCAATTTTTCCATTCTTTTAACCTTTTTAATCCTGATCCTTAATCTTGATATATTTATAACTTTGAAGCCTGTACAGCTAGAAGCCACTTAATTTCAATCCAACATCACTCTAACATTCATTAATTTTGCAATATTTCTGTAAATAATTTCTTCCAATCTTCTTCCACTGACTCTTCTCCCTGGTCACGGATTCTGCCAGTCATTTCCGCCAATTCCATGTAGTCCATCATTTTCATCTGCCATTCCTCCAGGCACAAACTTTATCTTATCCCAAATACTTCTTAAACTCTGCGTGCTTTGTGTGCGTCACTCAGGGCACCCCAGACATCAACTTCGTTGGTACGAGGAAAAGGAGATCAAATCCACCATTCAAGTAGTGCTTAGTTCTTATCGCCATACCTGTAGAAGTCATCCAGGCAATGCACAGCATCGTCGTCGCCAACAGCAAAGACCTCGTCGCCAATGGCCCGGTGGCATACAACACAGGTGAAGCACTCCGGGTGGAATCCGTGGCCCATGGCCCGCACAATTTGGTTCACGATTAAGGCCTGGCACTTTCTACACTTCTCCAGGGTGTTCTGGGAGGGCAGGATGTATCCGGAATGAAGCAGAGAGATGTTAGATGCAGTTTTTCAGTGTCCTGATTGAAGGGAGTCAATAGCATGCATTCTGATGCTTTCCTCAAAACACTCAGTGTGTAAGACACCCCGGGTTGTATCCAACCAAGACCTACTCAGAGTAGACACACTGCACTGCAGGGGGTTGGACTAGATCAGGCATTGGCAAACTCGGCCCTGCAGATGTTTTGAGACTACAATTCCCATCATCCCTGAGCACTTGTCCTGTTAGCTAGGGGTGATGGGAGTTGTAGTCCCAAAATATCTGGAGGGCCGAGTTTGCCTATGCCTGGACTAGATAACTCTTGGGGTACCTTTCAACTCAACAATTCTATTAAATGAATCTAAGTAAGTCATGGCCATTAACTTCAATGGATTTACTTTGAGGAGGATTTACTACCCTCCCCATTAAAAACCGTAAGCCATAAGCCTGGAATCTACAAACAAACACTAATGGCACCAGGCCTCCTTCTCTGGGGAGACTATTCCACAATCAGGGAGCTACCACTGAAAAGGCCCATTCTCATGTTGCCACCCTCCACACCTCTTTTGGAGAGGGCACACAAATAAGGTGTGGACCTTGAGCCACAAAGCAGGGGAGAGGAGAAGAGGCAGAGATATGTACCTGGTAGCAGGCAACACACAGGGGCCGTCCCTCTTTCTGGTAGTAGCGCTGCCCCACCAGGGCACTGTGACATGTTCGGCATGTGAAACAGTCAGCGTGGTACTGTTTGTTCATCGCCTCAAGCGTGGGAGTCCCAGGAGAGATGTTTTTGTGACAAAAAGCACAGATATCTGAAAAAAAGAATCACATGGGCTTCCATCCAACAAAATTTTACTCATAGCAGACCCACTGAAATTAATGGGCTAAGCTAGTAGTGGACATTAACTTCAATGGGTCTACTCTGAATAGGACCAGCACTGGATACAATCCTGTATATTTAGAGCCAGTGCTTCCCTTTCCCAAGGTCAGTCCATGGAACCTTTGCAAAGAGTATCACCTTGGAAATACAGGTGACTCTCAACATGGGTGTTATGTTCTGGAGATCACATGTAAAACCAAAACTGCACATGGTCAAAACACATTGGTTTCAATTGCAGGTAGGATTGCCAAAGTCATTTTTCCTGGACTCTTGTTCAATTTCCACCCCCTTTTTAATTTTTTTGCTTAGTACATAAAGCTACACACACACACTAATTAAATGTGCATAAGTTGTGAGTTACCTGTAATAATTCTATGGAGTCCCCAAAAGAACCGATTTCTACACATACATATTCCTTCTTGGTGTGCAGTTTATTCTCACCTTTTGCAACAGTATTCTCCACCTTCCTCTCTGTCTGATGCTTACCAGCCCAACCAAGGGTTGAAGTCAGAATTTTAGGTTGCCTCAGTTCTGCTGCAAAGGTTGAAGTTGTCTAGAAAACAGGAAGAAGTAGACTAAGGCAGGCTAAGCACCTTCACAATATATTTCTGGGTGGCAGAGGTTAGCTTCAAAGGTATGAGCAAATGAACCACAACTGATGCTTTTAGGGGCTCTTGTGCCTTTAGTGAAAAGTTTACTTTTTGCAAGTTCAGACCACTTTATTGCTTCCTGTTGATCATGGTAGAAGATTAATAGCCTCTTTTAACAACCTCAGTGTCAGTTTCTGTCCCTGGGGTCAAGCAGGGGGAGCTTTACTAGCAACCCCTCTCTTTCTTTTTAAAAGATTAAAGAACCTTTGCTAAATGGGACTTATTTGTGAACAAACATTGCAGAAGGATCTTTGCCACAAGTAGAGATATTGCTGGATAACATAGACTTATATTAAATATTTGTGTAGATGTTCTAATTCAGCTTCCAGCTAATTGTAGGAAAACAATGCCTCAGCAAGGTTTAAGGGCTCAAATAAGGAAGCAACTATCGCCTGGGTCCTCGATAATAACAAAGAGAACAAGCTGATATGAAGTCATGTGGAACCAGCCCAAGAGAGAAGAAACTACCCACTTATTGCATTAAAAAGTGACTGTCCAGATAGATCCTTCAGCAGAAATAAGGTGGTTACCTGCAAGGATGTGGGGGAAACTGATGTTTGTGTCTGGAGATCAGGACCAAGTGTCTCCACTGAGAAAGGTTTAGAACATGGTGGTGGTGGAGGAAAGATGCTATCCAGGCTAGGGTCCACTGCATTACAGGACAGGATGGGAGGAGTTGGCAAGGCAGAACAACCTGAAACAGACACAGAACGACAGCTGCCTTAAGTACTCAAAACTTGGTTTAATCATCTTTGTACATTTTAAAAACAAGAGGTTCAGCAACTCAGACTTGTTCAGAAGATATGCTAGGAGATACCAACAAACCCCAACCCCTACTGCTTAACCCTAGATAGTGTGGGAGGCTAAGGGGTTACTCTTAAACATACTCTAAACAAGCTGAGGGGTCATTATTACTCTCCCAGATGCTGATGCCCAGAACTGAAAGCAGGAAGGGGCCACAGGTCAGCGGTCGAGCCGCTGTCTTGCATGCAGAAGGCCCCAAGCTGAATCCCCAATGACATCACCCAGCAGGGCTGAAAAAGACTCCTTGCCTAAAATCCAAGACAGCTGCTGCCAGTCAGAGTAGACCATTCTGAGCTAGAGGGAACAAAGGTCTGACTCTGTCAAATGCAGCTTCCTCTCTTCCTACTACACTCTATGAAGGTACAGTTAAGGCCTACTGCTAGCACTACGCAAACACCTACAGGAACACAGAAAGTTGCCTTATTCCAAGTCAGACCATCGAGTCCACCTAGCTCAGTATGGCCAACACTGACTGGCAGCAATAGCTCTCTAGGGTTTAAGGTAAGGGATCTTTTCCCTATCCTACCTGGAGATGCTGCCGCCAGGGATTGAACCTCTGCCACAGAGCTACAGCCCTTAGTTGAATGCTTGTATTTTTAATTGATTCACACTCCTGGCTCTGGATATGGGCTCCTCAGCTGAGCCTTGGCTAAAGGGAGCCCTTCCAGGACAAGGGTCTTGGCCAGCTGTCCTCCTGTCCTCTCTGTGCTTCCCCTGCACCTGGGACAGACTACGGCATCACTTCACTGTGATTTCAGTTCCTCTCACCTCCATTGGAAACGCCCACTGTCCCTCCGTAGCAGCCTCTGCTCCCTTTAACAGCACCAGAAGATGTTTGGATCAGGGAGGGAGCAGCAGACTTCAATGCCTCCTTGGAAAGGCAGTTGCTGGGTGGAAGTTGAGTCCTCTGTGACTTTGCTTCACTTCTCACCATGTGGTCCCTCCTGGGTGGAGTGAGGGTGATGAAGATGGATGAGGCAATCCGTTTCTCCACCTTGTTGGACAGCATTTTCTCCTGGGACAAAGAAAAGAGGCAGAGATGTTTGGGGTTGTGGTCGTGCAAGACCCCGTTCCCAGAATCTTTCCATCCCTCCAGCGGTTTGGTTATTTGAGGGGCTCGAATGAGCAAGTGAGAGAATGACATGGTGGGAATGGGTGGGGAAATTTGGGTCTGGGAAAGCCTACTTCCACCCCCCATCTCCTGCTGCAGGCTCTGTGAAGCCACCAGCCTCACTTTTTACATCTGCAAAACGTCAACAGCTGCATTATGGCGAAAGGAATCAACATTTTGGGCCAAAATTGCTCAACCAATGCTCCAATATAAGTTTGTTCCCTGTCCTATATGAATTGTGCATGTTACAGCAATTTTGCAATCACAGAATTGTAAAGCTGGAAGGGACCCAATAAAAGGAATCAAAATTAATTTGCATACTTGTGTTCTGTTGCATGTGGCAAAGGAAGGCAAAGGGCAACATTTCCCTTCTTGTTTCCTTTTCCATCCTCCCAGCTCCACCAGGCATTGCCCACGGAGCGGCCCATTTCATGAACACAGCTTAAAGAGGACAGGGAGCATTTCCTTTTTGGAACATGAAAGTTGAGAGTCTCAAGATGCTGGGTCCAACGACAGCAGATGCACAAACAAAACAAACCTACCATGCATGAAAAACGCTTCACAAAATTTAAAGCAGAATAAAGCGGGATGCAATCAATAACACCACAGAGCAGTCACTGCTAAACAAGAAGCCATTTCTCCCTTTGGCACTCCTGTGCACCAACCTTCCTTCCTCCTTTGCTTCAAAAAAATCTTCATTCCTGGGAGCAGGGAAGGAAAGGAAAAGCTGTTTCTCTGCAGCAGAACAAGACCTGACAGACCTGGGAGCAGCGTTTCAACAGGAGCCCTGACGTGGAGCCAGCCAAGGGATTGCCACAGCCCAGTCCTGAGGCAGCTGCTCTGAGCCACAGCTCTGCCTCATCACCATCCCACAAGGAATGGGGCGGAAGCGATAAGGAAGTGGGCAAAGGGCAGCCCTGCTTCAGGCAGGTGCTGGCTCTGAGGCTCGTCCCCAACGCCCAGGCTGTGTCTGCAGCAGTGGAGCTGAACAGCGTGGGTCTTTTTTTTACTCCTACCCCTCTATAACTTGCTAAAAGCATTCCTAACGCTTCCCCCTACTGGGGTGGCATGTGAAAGTTTGTGGTTATGCATAGTTCTGCTCTCCTGTGCAGAATCGGGGGGGGGAGGGGGGAGGCAGCTGCCAGTTTAATTAAATACTTTACCTGTCCCCACCCAAATAACAGGGAGCCTGACCTTCTAATTAAACAAGCAGGACATGCCATGCCTTGGGGTCTTCAGGCTTCTCTGGGCGACCATGGAAGATTAACCTGGACACCTCTTTTATCTCCCTGTCCCCTGCCACCCATAATTTCTGGCATTCCTCTTGGCTTCTCTCCAAACTCCTGCACCTCAAGGCTTGCAGCTCTGGCTGGCTCAAGGACCCACCATGGCTGTCTCTTTAGACTAGATGCCTCCCTCATTTTCTGGGGGAGGCTACTCTGGAGCAGTGAGGGGCTATGAGGAGGGAGGAGCCATTTGTCAATTTTGGTTTATCTCAATTCCTCATTTTTCCAATATTAAATTCAGTTTTCCACATTTCCACACCAGTTTGCAATATTTCTTAAGAAGTCTTCATGGGAATTCATAAGCATGTTAGTGTGAATTTCTTCTGTAATAGATGCGTTTGTATGCCACACTGCCTAATAAATGTATTTCCGCAAAACAATATTTATAATGCTACTCTGGATATTTGCTGGTTGGATGCATATATTCTTAGCTGGGGAGCTGCACTGCAAATTCTGGAGAGGTGCAAATTATGAGGGATTGCTGTGTTTCGGTTTACAAATTGTTTCAGAAAGTGTGAATTAGGTAAGTTCACCTTTAAATGTGAACTGAATTGAATTTTCTGTCCCTGTCTAGCTATGATGGCCAAAAAAATAGACCCCTTCCTCTCCAGCCACTAATTCTATTGTAACACTTTGGCTTGCAAAGGACCTAATGCTATATTGGCTGTGAAGAGCAGAATAAACACAATAAATGTACAAAGCAACATCATCATTATTATTATTGCAAGAGGATACAAAAAAATAAGATTCTGAAGGTGCTAGAGAGGTGATGCTCTGCCTTGCACCCTTGCCTACAGCCAGCCTGCAGGGGGGGGGTGTCCCATTTTCAGGGTGAAGCCTCCAACACATTGGTGGAAAGCCAGCCACTTCCTCATCTGCCAATGGAAGAAGGCCTTTCTGCCTTGCCATACCTCACAGCATGCACCCCATGTCTACTTGGGAGTAATTCCCCTTTGTATTCTGTGGGGCTTCCTCCCAGGAAAGAGTGCCTTGGATTGCAGCCTCTGCCTCTAGGACAATATTGGAGACACAAACTTCTAAGCTGAACATGCAAGCTATTTTCGTTTTCAAAGTGCAGAGGTTTTTCACCTAAAGACAACCAACACCTTCACTTAAACAAGGGTACCTAAGTTATCACCTTACCAGGCTCACAGTCCTGGCAAGCAAAAGCTAGAGTTTCCCTTTACCAGGATCATCACGCAAGCAGAGGGTCCTGGCAAGGCCACCCCCCCAAAAAGAGAGGAAACGAGGCACAAGAGTTTGCAACGCTAACGTTTTGTAGGGAGAACTGGAGTGGGGACAGTCATGCTAGGTATCAAGACAGCCATAGGCTTTCTTTGGGTAGGGGTTTGTTTCGGTGGGGGCCACTCCCTGCACCGAAGCTGTATCTGTGGAGGAGGAAGAGGCGCCCCCAGTGGCGGACCTACATTTGTGGGAGGGGTCCCTGAAGCTTGAACTGTTATGCGGGCCCCTTTGCAACCAGAAGCAAGGCTTGGGTAACCACTGTTATCTTCTCCCACGACGGATCACCACACCTTTGCAACATCTGTGCAAACTTTGGGATCGTTGAAATGCATCCAGCAAAAAAAATATCCATCAAACTTGGCCTACTAGACCCAAATCTTAGAAGCAATGTAGACTAAATGGGGGCCCCTCCAGGATTAGGGGCCCTGAATTAGTTTCATCATAGTAGATCCACCCCTGGGCGCGCGCCCCCCCCCATCTCCGCCCTGGCTCCCCAAAAGTCCTCCGGGACATTGAATGGGGCAGTTCCCGGCTAGATGGCGAGGCAGGCAGGGCTGTGCCCACGGGCGCCTCCTGCAGGGGGAGGCCCCAAAGAGCGGGAGACCCGCCGCGCCCTGCTCAGCGGTGCGGGAGCTCCCTCCAGCACCCTTCTCTTCTGGCGGGCCGGGGAGGCTGCGGAGGGCCACCGACAAGGGCGCCGGACACCCTTGGACGCCACCCTACCTGGATCCGTGGCAACGCTGGTCCGGCCACTTGGTACCTGCCCGGCGCAGCGGAGAGGGGCAGGGAGGGAGGCGTCTGCCAATGGAGAGAGAGAGGGAGGCGGGCCGGGCTGGCGGCCCCCGGCTGATCTCGCCCCGGTCCCCGGGAGGGAAGGGTCTGCTGCCCCCGCCTGCTGCGTCCTGCTCGCCGTCCTCGACGGGCGCCGTCTGCCCGCTTCCCGCCCCTCCTCGAACAAAAGGTGGCCCCGCCCGCGCGCTCCCCGCGCGCCCCGCCCCTCCCTCCGTCCCGCTACCTACCTGGGTCCGGGGGCTCCCCTCCTGCAAGCCCACCCCTTTCTCCGGCAAGCTCCCACATGCCGGCCCGGCCCGAGGTGGAGGAGCAGCCCGCGCCAGGCAGCCAGATCAGGCCACCCAAAAACGGGGCGCCAGAGGTCGGCTGCCTCTGCTACTGACTGGGGGGCAAGATGCAGCCGCATCGGGACTAGTAGTAGCCACGGAGAGCCTTAGCCCCCACCCCCCTCGGCATTTGCGCCTTTGGAAGTCCTCTCCCCTAAGGCCATCATAAAAGACTTGCACCTCCCTTGGACCAAAAGTGAGTCCAGCCAGGCCAGCGTCTTAGGAGCCAACACGTAGGGACCAGGGTCCCTTTGCGCACCTCCCTAAAATATTTAGGCATTGCTATTCAAATGGTGTGTGTGCACCGAGTCATGTGATCGATTATGCAGGTTGGGGCTTACCTGGGCCCCCCAATATTTTATTCCAAGTTGGCACCACTGTCCCCAAAGACTTCTCCTGGACACACTCACTGATACCTGCCCACACATGGGTATCCAGGCCCTGCCGTTGAAGCCAAGAAAAATAGGTTTAAATTCTCTGAACCCTCTCTAGCCCAGGGGCTGCAAAACTTTTTGGACCTGGGGGCGCATTTGAAATCCTAAGAAACACTCACAAGCACCGCCATTTCACAGAACGAAAACTGGCAATCCTCAGACCACATAAAACCTCCTACACCAGGCATAGGCAAAGTCGGCCCTCCAGATGTTTTGGGACTACAACGCCCATCATCCCTAGCTAAAAGGACCAGTGGTCAGGGATGATGGGAATTGTAGTCTCGAAACATCTGGAGGGCCAAGTTTGCCTATGCCTGTCCTACACCCTACTTCCAAAAGAAGGCAGGTGAAACGCAAAAAAGTAGGCACCTCACTCCAAGAACCCTAATTTATTCTAAATTGAAATTAGGAGGAGCAGGGTACAGGATCAGTGGGTGCCAAGGGGAGAGGCTGAGAATGCTGTGAGATCCCAGGAGGGCAGGAGATCCCAGAAGAATCCTTCTGGAAAAGTTGATAAAGAGTCCCATCTAGGCCAGCACCCAGTCCTCACAGTGGCCAACCAGTTGCCCCAAAGGGAAGCCTGTGAGTGAGACCTGGGCGCAACAGCGGCTCTCTCCCCACTAGCAGCACGCTATCCAAGGACAAAAGGAAACAGTGCTTCAGGTGCTGTGGAACTCACTGCCACAGGCTATTTCAACGAAAGCTAGCTGGCATAAGAAGCAAGCGTTGCAAAGGACTGGGTAAGGTTGTGGGCCTAGTGACAGTCTCTCTGCCTCTGGCGTTCCCCTCTCATGTCTTGGCTCTGAATCATCTTTGCTGCTTCATGAAGACCACTTCCCTCTATGGGAGACAATGTTTTCTCCAGCCTGACCTTGCAAGGGGCAAGGGTACAGATGTGTTTCTCAACTCCCAAGCAGAGCTCAGACGCTGCGTGCTCTGAGTCATTGGCCAGCCTTGGAATGAACCTTTGCAAATATGCGCCACCACAAACTACAGGATAGAACAAAGGCCCTCGACTCCTTGTGATATTTCACACAGGAATGTAGGAAAGTGGCCAGACCCTTTGTCCACCTAGCTCAGTTTTACCACTAGCCTGGTGCCCCAGAGAAGCCGCCACCGCCACAAGCAAGACATGAGCACAACAGCCCCTCCCCACTTGTGATCCCCAGCAACAGGAATTACCCAGGGGGGCTGCCTGCTTCCAATCCTGGAGTGGACATTCAGCCACCGTGCCTGGCAACCTTTTGGAGGTCTCCATTTGGCACGTTTCGGAGACAAATTCAGTGAGATTTAGGCTGCAAGGATAAGCAGGACCACCGCCCTCTCCTCCTCTGTGTCTCCTTCAATCATTTTCTGGAGTGGGGCTGAATGTTTTTATTTCCTGGTCTGCAGTGGTATCTTTCTTTTGTCCAGCACTCTTGCGGAAGCAGCTGAGCTGTGTCAGCATTTGACAGCTCATTTGAGTTGCATTGGTGAAGCCTTGAGTCAGCTTGAGCTGGCGTGGGGAGGAGGGAGGAGGTGGGAGAGCCATTGAGGATTCCCATATAAGCCTTGCTTTTCGCCAACCAGACAGGCAGACAGGAAGTGCAAGTGTGGGAGGCCTCCCCCCTCCACACATAATCGTGTATCCCCATGATTACAAGGGCTGGAGGCAAAGGGAAGGGAAGGGTGTGGAGCACAGCACTAAGAATATAAAGGAAGGGCATGCAAGATTAGGCTCGAGGCAGAGAAGGAAGGAAGGATTGATCAAACCCCGGTTTGCAAAGAGGCTTCTGGGTAGGTAGAGGGTGTTTGCACGAACGAGGATTAAATCACTTTGTGGTTTAATCCGTCTACAACAACACAGCCATGGATCTGGCTCTGCCCGGCCAGCTTTTCCCACACTCCTGATAACGTACAATTCCCCCCATAGCTTCCTGAACAGCAAGGCATTTGTAGCACAAAGTGCAGCTACAAGTTAGTTAAGCACACTAAAGACCCCCACCCCAAAATTTCAATAGGTAAGAGTTAAGGACATGGGTAGGCAAACTAAGGCCCGGGGGCTGGATCTGGCCCAATCGCCTTATAAATTCAGCCCGCAGATGGTCCGGGAATCAGCGTGTTTTTACATGAGTAGAATGTGTGCTTTTATTTAAAATGCATCTCTGGGTTATTTGTGGGGCATAGGAATTCATTCATTCCCCCCCCCAAAAAAAATATAGTCCAGCCCCCCACAAGGTCTGAGGGACGGTGGACTGGCCCCCTGCTGAAAAAGTTTGCTGACCCCTGGTTAAGGAGGTCCATGGATGGCTAGTCAATAAGAGTTAGACAAATGCACTTGGGATAAGGGCTGTCAGTAGCCACTAGCCACAATGACTATGTTCTGCTTTATTATTGATAAAATTACTTTTATATACCACCGTGTTATAAGTGAAAATCCGGACACAAAAGTTGTTGAGCGGAAATTCACCAAAATCTACACTTCCGACATGGGCTGCCATATGTCCGGATTTTCCCAGACAATTCAGCTTTAAAAAAACCCACAATAATACAGATAATCACCCAGTGGCTGGTGCAAAAATGTATTCCAGAAGCGAGGTGGCCTCGGCTGAATCTCTGCTGGTAGGGAGACGGGTGACACTCCATGCCAATTTCTGGTTGGATAACCACCCTTGCAAGGTAGCCCCTTCATAAGTAACAAAGAGTCTTGTCGGCTACCAAATGTATTATGGAATAAGCAGATACAGAAAGTGTGAGCCTCAGCAAGCATAGTACCTGGGTCTATTCAGTAGCGTCTGAGTGTGGAGAAGGAGACAGTAAACTCTGAGGAGAGGGAAATTAAATGCCAAAAAAACCCCCAAAACCACTCAACAACAAAGCAACTCCAACCACAGGCAACATTTCGCACACTGGACTCTGATCTACAAAAATCTTATTTCCATAATATAATCCCATAGTTTTTCAGCTGCTCCAAGACTCATTTTTGATGCATGAATGCTATATCATTGTTAATGGTTTATTATTCTCATCATCTCAATTTCCTACCTGCTGCTCACTGTCAGGATCCAGGTCAGGTTACAGGAGTTTAAAAACAGTTTAAAACAAATTACTGTCATGCGAATAGGGTGGATCCTGAACACACACATCTATTGATCTATTGAGCTGAGGTGTCAAAGGCCAGGGAAAGAGGTGCGTCTTCAGCAAACAATTGAAACGACACACATAGGAAGATGCAGGAGGAATGACGGATGAGAAAAACGGCTTGGGGGACAACTTTATTTAGGAATGTGGGGCGTGCAGAGAGCATGAAAAAGACTCCAGAGTTTCACATAAATATTTGTTGTTGTTTAGTCGTTTAGTCGTGTCCGACTCTTCATGACCCGATGGACCAGAGCATGCCAGGCACTCCTGTCTTCCACTGCCTCCCGCAGTTTGGTCAAACTCAAAATAGAAGTCCGCTTTATTCCAGTTTTTGTCAGAAGCCTTTGCTCCCTAGGCACACCAGCTCCTTCCTTAGCTATCAGCACAGTACTTTAGTGTTTATTTAAGACAAAGGGGGGCATTTTCAGCACCCCCTGCAACACACATACATGAAGCACATCATCCCTTGGTGCAATCTGTCCACCTACCAGCCCCTGTGTGGTCAGTGTGTGGTATTTTGGTGGCATTCCCATAGCAGGCTGACTTTAAAAAGGGTTGGCTGTTTGTTCAAGAGAGGAGATAGCTTAAATTGGGGAGTAGGGGGGTTGCAATTAATGGGGTGGGGAAATGCAGTTGGGCAAGACAACAACTAGCACAGAAATAAATAAGTCACCATTTAGTAAAGTGACAGGCATGAAATATCTATCCCACTTCCAATGCGGGGCCCAGAGAGTCCAGAGTACAGTGGATCAGATGAAATCAAGCATTGGGATGAAATCCAGCCCCCAGGATTTCCCCACCTTGGACCTGCAGTCACTGGCTCATATCAACCTCCTCCAAAGCCCGCTCTGTGTTTCAGGATGTTGCCGTTGCAGAGTGGGATTTTGAAGGGTCTTTGTAGTGTCTCGAGGGCTTTCGGGAGGCAGAAGCTGAGGGCAAGAACCTTTGAGAATAATCCTGAAGTGCCACAACAAACAAAAGAAAAAACAGAAATATTAGGTTCTAGGAAGCAAATCAATGACATCGTTTAGCCATCTTCAAATATCTCAAGGGCTGTCACAAGGAAGATTTCTTGTTTTCTCCTGCTCTGGAGGTGAGGACCCAAACCAATGGTTCAAGTTACAAGAAAGGAAATTCTGAGTAAACATGGGAATAGTTTTCTGGCAGTTATAGCTGTTGAACAGTAGAACGGACTTCCCTCGGAAGATGGAAGGCTCTCCTTCATTGGCTGGTTTTAAGCAAAGGTTGGACGGCCATCTGCCATGGATGCTTTAGTTGAGATTCCTGCATTTCAGGCAGTTGGACAAGATGACTCTCAGGGTCCCTTCCAACTCTACAATTCTATGATTCTATGATTAGGAGGAGATTTGTGACAGGCATAGGGGAGCATTTCTTTCATGAAATAGGTGTTAAACTTGTGGTGCTCATGATCACAGGATGTGGCCTTTTGAAGCAGATTAGACACATTCATTGAGTATATATAATCCCGTCTCTCCTAACGCTCTGGTGGCCATGAGATGCTTTGGACTGTGGCTCCCATCTCTGCCTGCGTCTGAAACATCTGGAGGGGCACAAGGTTGGGGAAGGATGGGACAGGCTATTTGCCAGGAGAGCGGGAAATGTGTCCTCTGAGTTTAGAGACAGGAGCAGATGTTGGAGAGAAACCCCATGGATCAGCTTTCACCATCTGCCTCAAACTGAGAGCTTTCCAGACCTCCACGTGACAAAATGGTGGACCTCTGGTATGATTCAGTGTGACTGTTTCCAAATATGGTTTTTTAAATAGGTTTTTTAATATTGCCTCCCCCCAAGGTGGTGGCAGCCTCTACTGAGGTCGCTCAGACTTCCCACCCCAACAAAGCCCACTGTTCCTCTCCCTTCCCACTGCCATCTTGGAATACCTTTCACATGCCAACACTCTCTTGCTCCTCCTCACCTGCTTCCTGCAGATATCCAGTATAATTCCCGCCCGCATCAGGCACCAGATCTCCCCAACCAGTGAAACGAGGACGTTCACAATGTCCATCCACCGGCCAACGGTCATCAGCAGGATCAGGAGGCCCCCCATCCTGACAAAGACCGTCTGGTAGGCCATCTGCTCTGTGGGGTTCTGCCGTTGCTCTTCTGCCATTGGACAAAGGAAAGATAAAATGGTTAGGTTTATGCTGGTCAACTTATATACAATGCCAGTACTATTCAGAGGAGACTTGTTTAAATTAATGAACCTAAGAAAGACTCACACTGGATACATTCTGCAAATGAGAGGGCAGGGATGGGGAACAACTGTGGCCCTCCAAGTGTCAAGGACTGGCTGGATGAGGAAGAGCGGTGGGAGCCCCCCCGCCCAAGAGCCCCCCAGGGAAGATGCAGAAGATGGCGACTTAGATCCTGGGTCCTGGTGGTGGGACACAGAAGAGCAGTCTGGGGAAGGGGCGAGCTGGGAGGTGCTAGAAGCAGGGAGTCTGAGCGATCCAGGGGAGTCAGGAGGAGGAGGCACCTTCCAGGACAGGATCTGAGGCCGAGCGTCACAGTGTGAGCACAGAGAGGAGTCAGAGGTTGCCCTTGCTCCCAGCAGCAGGGCAGTCTCGGTCCTGCTGGCTCGCTTCCCCCTCTGATACCCCAATCGATGAGAATCCTGCACGTTGCTGAGCGTTGGGCCAGACAGGCCCAGAGGATGAGCACTCCCCTTTGACGCAGCCTTCATCTGCTTGGGAGGGATCCAGAGTGAGAGGCTAGAGGGGGAAGTGAAGGGCTAGTGGTCAGTTTCAGCAACTTCTCAGCTGGATTAAGGTGAACCAGAGGACTCTGCTGTGTTGTTGTTGCTGTTTAGTCATTTAGTCGTGTCTGACTCTTCGTGACCCCATGGACCAGAGCACGCCAGGCACTCCTGTCTTCCACTGCCTCCCACAGTCTGGTCAAACTCATGCTGGTAGCTTCGAGAACACTGTCCAACCATCTCGTCCTCTGCCGTCCCCTTCTCCTTGTGCCCTCCATCTTTCCCAACATCAGGGTCTTTCCCAGGGAGTCTTCTCTTCTCATGAGGTGGCCAAAGTATTGGAGCCTCAGCTTCAGGATCTGTCCTTCCAGTGAGCACTCAGGGCTGATTTCCTTCAGAATGGATAGGTTTGTTCTTGCAGTCCATGGGACTCTCAAGAGTCTCCTCCAGCACCATAATTCAAAAGCATCAATTCTTCAGCGATCAGCCTTCTTTATGGTCCAGCTCTCACTTCCGTACATCACTACTGGGAAAACCATAGCTTTAACTATATGGACCTTTGTTGGCAAGGTGATGTCTCTGCTTTTTAAGATGCTGTCTAGGTTTGTCATTGCTGCTGTGTTAATAAAAGCTAATTGCATTCCGTGCCTCCTGTGTGTCCCTGCCCTGTGGTCGACCTGGGCTCACTTGGCAGCTTCTGGACACCAAGTGATGCTGGTCTCCCAACTCCAGCATAGCCAGTAGTCTGGGATGATAATGGGAGCTGGAGGAGTCCAGTAACATCTGGAGGCCCACAGGCTCTCCCATCCCTGCATTAAAAGGATACAGAGTAGTGATGGAGGCATCTGGAGCAGTAAAAGCAAGTGATGGTATAGTTAAGGGACAGAGAACCTGTGCTGCCATCTAGACCTTGCAGGACTCCGGGTCCCAGCAGCCAGCATGGGCAAGAGTCAGGGCTGGAGCTGGGAGCTGGAGTCACAACAACATCATCCGGAAGGCCACAGGCACACCATCCCTGCTGTAGGGATAGCTCAGTGAGAACAGCATGAGTCTCTTGATCTCAGGGTTTCTGGTTCGAGCTCCACATGGAGCAAAAGTTTCCTGAACTGCAGGGCCTTGGGACTAGAGGACCCAACTCTACAATTCCACGATTGTATCATCAGCAGAACCAGTCCAATTCTCTCTTCGAAAAAAGGCAAGGAACCGAACTGTCATGTCAACATAGGAAGAGGTATTGTACCAAGTTGATACTATTTTGCCAGCCTTGCAATCTCATGCCCTTTTGAGTAGGGCTGAACCCGAGGTGTGCGCTGCTTTGTGCTCTTTATTTGGAGTCTCCCCAATAAAGAGGCCACAAATGAGCAGAGGAAGCTGCCTTAGACCAGATCATCAGATGCTTTCTCCACCTTTCTCTTGTAATTGGCAGCAGGTCCTCAAGGTCTCTGGCAGGGTGTGTGTGTGTGTGTGTGTGTGTGTGTGTGTGTCTTGTACACATCTTTGTATTTCTTCTTTCTTTGGTGATCACTCATAGCTGAGTAAGATTGTCTTCCATGAACATGGCTTAACAGTAAGTGACTTTGGAGGTCAATTCTGGATCCACACGTCCTTCCACAGTAGGGACATAGGTTTCTGGGCAGGAGTTGATCACGGTGAGGGTTTGCCAAGCGTTGCTTCCTCTTAGCACGTTTCTCCCTTTCGTCCTGAGTTTGAGTGTCTTCAAAGCCCATGACACCCTTGGTAAAGGCCGTTCTCCAATTGGAGCGCTCGCAGGCCAGTGTTCCCCAGTTCTCAGTGTTTATCCTACATTTTTTTAGATTTGCCTTGAGAGGGTCTTTAAACCTCTTTTGTTGACCAACAGCATTACACTTTCCATTTTTAAGTTGGGAATAGAGTAGTTGCTTTGGAAGACGATAATCAGACATCCGCACGACATGACCAGTCCAACGAAGTTGATGTTGAAGAATCATTGCTTTGACACTGGTGATCTTTGCTTCTTCCAATACACTAACATTAGTTTGCCTGTCTTCCCAAGTGATGTGTAAAAGACACCGTTTCAGAGACACCGTTGATGGAACGGATCTACAAGGGATCTTTGTATCTAATGGATCTTTGTATTTAAGATCCCCCTAGCTAGAAATGCCAGGAGTTGCACCTGGGGACTTTCCCCCTTACCAGACATTATTCTGATGGCCTGTGATGCTACGGAACGTTCGCAAACATTCCAACCGCTCCAGGAAGGGAAGGTGCCAGAAGCGGACCATTCTGCAGGAGGGTGCTGCTTGCTTGCTGCTGGGGAAAGAAGCCAAAGGCCAACGGCCGCCCACACCTAGCAACCTCCCAAAGATCTTGCCCACTGAGCCAGAGGCCCACAAGGGGAGGAGGAGCTCACCTTGCATGTAGATGACAAGCAGTGTGTAGCAGATGGTGAGCGGGGTCCAGAAGCGGATGGCCTCTGAGGTGGTGAGGAAGTCCCGGTTGATCAGGGCGACCGCCGCCAGGTCGGCCACCACGAAGGTGACCTTGAGGGCGTTGCAGAGGAGGCGAGGGATGCCGTGCCAGGTGGTCAGGAGGAAGAGGCAGGCCCCGCAGTAGCGCTCCTTGCAGTGGAGCTCGTACATGGTGAAGATGTGGCGCGTCAGGCGCCAGACATAGTAAGTTAAGAGTCCTGCCAGGCCGACGCTGAGGAGCAGGTTCCAGGTGCGGTGGGGTGCCCCCTCCTGGAGGTAACTGAGACTGCAGGAGATGCCGCAGCCCAGGGAGTACTGGCAGAGGAGGTAGAGCTGGCTGCTGTGCGCCCCCTGCAGGATCCCAGTGGAAATTGAGAGATGGTAGCCGTGTATATTAATTTTTTTTTATAGAAATAATTTCAATTATAAAGAAATAGAGTGATACAAAGGGGGGAAGGGAGAAAGTAAGGGGGGGAAGAACAAATGTGTGTGTAAGAAAGAGAGAGAAAGAAACAATACACAAAACTGCAATGTAATATACAGTCGTACCTTGGATTCTGAACGCCCTGGAACTTGGACTTTTTGGTTCCTGAATGCCGCAGACCTGGAAGTGATTGTTCCGGTTTGCGGACGTTCTTTTGGAACCCGAATGTCCGATGGAGCTTCCACAGCTTCTGATTGGCTGCAGGAGCTTCCTGCAACCAATCAGAAATAGCTACAGTGGTACCTCAGGTTAAGTACTTAATTCATTCCGGAGGTCCGTTCTTAACCTGAAACTGTTCTTAACCTGAAGCACCACTTTAGCTAATGGGGCCTCCTGCTGCCAGCGCGCCGCTGGAGCATGATTTCTGTTCTCATCCTGAAGCAAAGTTCTTAACCCGAGGTACTATTTCTGGGTTAGCGGAGTCTGTAGCCTGAAGCGTCTGTAACCTGAAGCGTATGTGACCTGAGGTACCACTGTATTTGGTTTCCGAATGTTTTGGAAGCCGAACAGTCTTCCAGAACAGATTCTGTTCGACTTCCAAGGTACGACTGTACTCCCATACATTCATATATTAATTGATATGGACGGTGGCAGTGTAGGGGGGGGTGTTTATTTTGATTATATATATTTTGATTTTAGATTTAGATTTTGTTCTGTCAACCACCCTGAGACTTCCATGTATAGGGCGGCATATAAATTCAAGAAATGAATAATAGTGGTTAGTGTGTTGGACTAGGACCAGGGAGATCAGAGTTCAAATCCCCACCCGGCCATGAAACTCACTGGGGGACGTTGGGGACCAGTCACTGCCTCAGCCTAACCTACCTCACAGGGATGTTGTGGGGACAAAATGGGGAGGAGAACCACCACGTACAGCACTTTGAACTCCTTGGAAGAAAAGCTGGGATGTAAATGCAGTGAATAAATAAATAAAAATCCCTCCATCCAAATGGCAGGATAAATCTCGACTGTCGCAGGAATTCGTTTCCTTCTATCGCAGGGCTCCTGGTTACTTTGACTCCACAGCAGGCATGTGGTCCCACCTCAGCCCGCACATGAAGAAATATAATAATAATGATAATAATATAATAATAATTTATTATTTATACCCTGCCCATCTGGCTGGGCTTCCCCAGCCACTCTGGGCGGCTTCCAAAAAAATATTAAAACACTGTAATACATCAAACATTAAAAGCTTCCCTAAACAGGGCTGCCTTCAGATGTCTTCTAAAAGTCTGGTAGTTGTTGTTCTCTTTGACATCTGGTGGGAGGGCGTTCCACAGGGCGGGTGCCACTACCGAGAAGGCCCTCTGCCTGGTTCCCTGTAACATGGCTTCTTGCAGTGAGGGAACTGCCAGAAGGCTCTCGGTGCTGGACCTCAGTGTCTGGGTAGAACAATGGGGGTGGAGACGCTCCTTCAGATATACTGGGAAAAGGGAAAGAAAGAGTCGCTCACCTTGTCAAGGGAGAGGACGGTGGAGATGGCCCGAAGGGAGAACTCCAGCACCACCAAGGCAGCCACACGATAGCCGACCACCGTGAAGGTCCCGGTCAGCACCAGGAGATGCAGATGGTCCAGCAGCGGCCACTGGTTGCGGATGATCTCCTTCTCCTTCTGCCGGTCGGGGTCGCTGGGGCAGAAATGAGGGTCTCAAGAAGGGAAAGGCAATTTCTCCGTTCAGGACTGAGAGCTCAAACTCAGGAAGCTACAGGGACTAGCTGGAGTAAACACACCTTCCCTTTTCCGAGTCCCATCTGAGTACTTCCAGGAGAGCCCAGAGGGCTTATCCCACCACTAGGTCTCCAAGGTTGGCAGGAACCTGATATCCTCTGCATTTACTCCAGGAGAACCATCTTCTGCCTCTCCCAGGGGCAGAGAGGTTTGGGGGCTCACGCATGTCTGGAAATACCCTTTGGCCTTGCAACAATCCAACCTCACAGGCTTTGGGTAAATTGTGCATGGGACTCTATACATACTCAGAGGGGGTGCTCCTCTTCTGTACTGTTTCTGGAGCCTGAAAAGGGTCTTCTTGGGGCTTGGCTCCAAAAAGACCCTTGGAAACGCACAAAGGTTTGTTCGCTGGCAAACACAACCTCCCTGGCTGCCTTTCCCTGTATCAATCTTGGGGCGTGTTCAGGTCCTCTGTGATCATTTCACATTTCCCAAGTTGAGTTTGGTCACCGAGATCAAATGAAACCTGCTCCTATTTAAGCTCCCAGTTCAGCCCTGACCGAAACCGTCCCCAAATCCATAGGGATTTGTGTTTGCGATGCCCTTGTCCTCATACAAAGAATCACGGCTAAAGGACAACCTCATCCTCTGTAGTTGATACACTGCTCAGTGGCGTAGTGTGGGTTGTCAGCACCCGGGGCAAGGCAAGTAATTTGCGCCCCCTAACCCGTGGATTTGTGCCCCCTAACCCTAACCCCCAGATGTTGCGGCCGGTGCGGCCGGCCCCCCCCTGCACCCCCCACACTACGCCACTGACACTGCTGAATATCGTTTTCCATTGCCTGTGCTCATCTGCTTTGTTTTCCAAAGCTGAAAAGATTAAGGAAATGCCAAGGAAGGCATCTTTGCCTGGCAATCTTTTTCTCACCAATACAAAAGGCATCTCGCCAGCCAGCGTACAAAGAAGTCAGCTGGGCACTGCCCAGGTGGGGCCATTCTTGCGCCCTGCCCTGGAGATAAGATGCTGCCACACCAATATTTAACTCCCAGGGATCCCTGGGACTCCAAAGCATGGCATTGGTGGAAGCTCACATGAACCAGATCTTAAAAGGGGGTTCCTCAAAGGCAAGACCAGAGACAATCAACTTCGCAGGAGCAGAAAATCTGGGCTTATCCCTATTGAATTAATAGGAGTGTCTGAGATTCTTTCTGCAGACAGACAGCCATCAAAGCATCCGGATTCAGGAGGCAAACGTGACACTAGGCAGATCGGCTTGCTGGTCTTTATGGCTCCTTCCTTCCACCACCTAGTCAGCACCTTATCAGAGCCCTGCAGGGGTTAATAGCCACCCCAGGGCCGCCTGCAAGGACAGATTGAGGAAGCGGCTCTCTGTTTAGAAATCTCTGCTCTGCCTAACAAGCACTCACTTCAAACAGTTGATGTAGATGTAAATCTTCATCAGGCTGCCCAGGATGGAGACGGCACAGGCGCCCACCAGCCCTGCAAGGAAGCAAAGGTCAGAACAGGGGTAGGGCTCAGTGGGTGGGGAAGGCCCCCCGGGAGGAGGAGAAGCTCACCCTGCAAGACGGAGTCCACCAGATCGGAGCCCCAGGCCAGGCTGGGGAAGGCGGGCAGCCAGGAGACCAGGTAGGAGTAGAGGCTGGAAAGCATGGTGGTGCCGTGGGGCAGGGGGAGGGTGGGTGGCTCAGCCCTGGCCTTCCTCTTCCTGGCTGCAGGCTCAAAGGTCTGCTGGTGGAGGGCTGGCGAGAGCCCAGGGACCTTGTGCTTGTGTTGCTGCTGCTCTGGTAAATCATTGCTGCCTCTTTGCCCCTCCTGGGGAGGCGGCCACTCAGCCAGAGCCCTTGCACAACCATTCCTGCTTGGGGAGAAGCAGGAAAATCATTTCCTGGGCCAGTAGTAGTAGCAGCAGCAGCAGCAGCTCCCCACAATGAAAGCAAAGGGAAACACTTAAGGCAAGGAGGTTTTTGAGCTCCAGCCCAACTGCAAAATGTTCTTCTTCTTTTTTTCTTTCAAATTTTTTTATTACTTTCCACAAAATTATAAACAAAAACAAATAAACAAACATACAAACATAAATCATAACCTTATTAAAATTACACTTATTAACATTGTTAAGTGACTTCCTCGCTTCCCCTTGGTTGAATTTCCATGCATATCCTTTTAACGGCTTTCCAAATCATAATTCTTATAAACTTCACTTAGTCTGTTAACATCCTTATATCTTTTCAATTCAAGATTGAACATGTTCAACATCACACCAGCTGCAAAATGTTCTTGCAGGTGTTGTCCTCTCTGCCTGTTGCTGCCTCCCTTGAGCCTCTTCTGAGAAGCCCCTTCTTTACAGAAACAGGTGCCAAAAAAGGAGATCATGTAGGGAAGTGCTGCTGAGCATATGCAGAGTGCTTTTCCCTCGCATCACTGGTGAGTAACTTTAAATGAAGGAGGAGGCCTCTCATGCGGGCCTGAGCCCCAGAATCCATTTTTCTTCTCAACAGACTACCGTATTTTTTGCTCTATAAGACTCACTTTTTCCCTCCTAAAAAGTAAGGGGAAATGTGTGTGCGTCTTATGGAGCGAATGCAGGCTGCGCAGCTATCCTAGAAGCCAGAACAGCAAGAGGGATTGCTGCTTTCACTGCACAGTGATCCCTCTTGCTGTTCTGGCTTCTGAGATTCAGAATATTTTTTTTCTTGTTTTCCTCCTCCAAAAACTAGGTGCGTCTTGTGGTCTGGTGCGTCTTATAGAGCGAAAAATACAGTACTTTTAGGTCACAGCACTTCAGAGCTGCATTTGTTTTACTTGTGATACGTGGGTTTTTATGCATACTCCGACAGACAGCATAGCACACATTACAAATGCATGCAAATAAATGCATCTGGACGAACACGAGCCCTTGCTTGGACACACCGCATACCAGAAACAAACCCCAGGTGCCAAAGTTCACTCGGTCTAGCCCAGCTCCCTTTGCACAATGGTGAAGCAAAATGTAACAAAGACCTGTCAATCAAAGCAGCAGGATGCCTTGTAAATCAGCAGGGTTCCAACTGTGGTACTAGTGGCAATAATAATAATAATAATAATAATAATAATAATAATAATAATAATTTATTTATACTCCGCCCATCTGGCTGGGTTTCCCCAGCCACTCTGGACAGCTTCCAACAAAATATTAAGATACAATAGCCTGTTAAACATTAAAAGCTTCCCTAAAGAGGGCCGCCTTCAGATGTCTTCTAAAAGTCTGGTAGTTTTTCTCTTATTAAGCTTCTTATTAAGGCTGTCAGATAAAGAGAAACCACTCCCCTTTGTGTAACAAATATTTATTTTTGTACTCGGCAGGGGTGCCAAGTTGAATAAAATATTGAGGGTTTTCAGGTAAGCCCTACTCCACATAACTGATCACATGATGTGGCACACGCACATTTGAATGGCAATACCTATCAGCTTGGGAGGAGCCCTCAAATATTTTGGGGAGTTTGTGTGACGGGACCTCAGCCACTACGAGTTGACTCCTATAGTACTCAGTATATGTAAAGACCGTAACCAAGGAAGTCAGGGGAAGTTTGTATCTTGAATTTTTATACTGTCTCGAAAGTCCCATCTCAGGTGAGCTGTGGAGGGGTGAGGCTCCTTTTTTCTGATCCTGAGGTGGTTCCTGCTAAGAGGGTCTTCCCCAAGTGCACAGTTGGTCCTGAGTTTGAGTTTATCTCCACTGAAATCAAGGGACACTGCCAGGACAGTGGTAGCTTGGGTTAAGTATTTAATTTGTTCCAGAGGTCCATTCTTAACCTGAAACTGTTCTTAATCTGAAGCACCACTTTAGCTAATGGGGCCTCTCACTGCCGCTGCGCCAGCGGAGCACGATTTCTGTTCTCATCCTGAAGCAAAGTTCTTAACCCGAGGTACTATTTCTGGGTTAGCGGAGTCTGTAACATGAAGCGTATGTAACCCGAGGTACTACTGTACGTACTGCCATGCAAACCCTCCTTGACAAGCTTTCTGTCAAAATGTTTTGCAAGGACCAAGGAAAATGGGAGTCCCACACAAGTACAAAGGCAGCAAGGTCAGTTCTGGTGCCAGAAGACCCCCATGAAAGCATGCAAGTCTGCTGGGCAGACCTTTGAGCTAACTTCCGTTTGGCCTTTGCATCCCGAGCCCTCATGCTAATTTCTGGTCCTAGGGACTCGGGTTCTCCCTTCTGCTCCCACAAACCACCTACAGTGGGTGCAAAGGGTGCTAATCCCTTTGCAGTGTGGTGTAGTGGTTAAGAGCGGTAGTCTCGTAATCTGGGGAACCGGGTTCGCGTCTCCGCTCCTCCACATGCAGCTGCTGGGTGACCTTGGGCTAGTCACACTTCTCTGAAGTCTCTCAGCCCCACTCACCTCACAGAGTGTTTGTTGTGGGGGAGGAAGGGAAAGGAGAATGTTAGCCGCTTTGAGACTCCTTAAAGGGAGTGAAAGGCGGGATATCAAATCCAAACTCTTCTTCTTCTTCTTCTTCTTCTAATCATGTACACCAGCTAGAGCTCACTGGGCAGGGGGGAAGGTGATATAGAAATGTAATAAATAATAACTGAGGTTTGGGGATATCTTGTTAATCACTTAGGACTGCAATGATGAAGTCAAGGCCCTCTGCAGGTGACAAAGCAGCTCCTTCTGCCATGTTAAAAAAATGGAAGAGTCTGCTAGATCCATTGAGTCCGGCAACCTATTCTCAGCTAGAATAAGCTTTGATCCTCCTGCCTGAATGGAAATGGCACCTAGAGTGCTTCTTTAAAAGCAATTAGAGGTGCTTTGCCTGCAACACTCATTATTATGTGCTAGGCATCATAACCTTTGGTGCAAGCCTCGGCTAAAAAGCTTTCGGAAGAGCTTCTGCTCACAAAATGAAAATCGCATAGAGCAATTAGAGCCAATCAATACCAAGTGATAAAAGATACTATTGTGTAATAGTCAGCGAAGGCACCAGGGAGGGAAAAGCTGTGTGTGTGTCTGCTAAAAAGGCAGTGTGTTTGTGCCAGGGGAGTCCAAATGTGGTGTTGCATCTGAGATTTCTGCTCTCTTCCTCATCACATTTTCTCTTAAGAATGTTGCGGAAACTTATGGGCTGCAGTAAGTTGGCCCTGGGGGCTGATGGGGAAGAGAGGGGAATCGGAATGAGAGTGGCTTTGACAGTGGCTCTAGGGTGGAGTGCAAGACCCAATCAAGTAGAGGGAAATCCGGCTCCATCCTTGGTACATTTTATTTTTATTTATTTATTTATTTTAAATAATATTTATTAGTAGTTTCAGAATTATAGAAAATAAAAAACAAAAATAAAAAACAACACAATAATACATAAAAAAGAGAGGGAAAAAAACACAAAAACCAATACAACAGTACAGCAAAAAGATGCAAAGAAAAAAGGAAAACAGAAAAAAACAAAAACACAAATCCCAAATTACATATCTATAACTTCCATTTGCTTGTTTCATTGACCTCCTCACACCTCCCTTCTTGCATTCTAATTCAATTAGTTGTTTCAGCAAATTCTTTCCATCTTTCTCAGTTTTTGTTACAAAATTTATCTTAACAATTTAACCTAATAATTAGCTCAACAAATCCTTTCCATCTTTCCCCATATTCTGTTATTCAAATTACCTTAGTTTATTTAACCTTATCTTACTCTAAAATACCTTAAAGCTTAAATCTTAGTTTTCAAATATACATAGCTCCTGATATCATTTCTGCTAGTCATATAGTTTCATTCCAACATTTTCCCTAATATTCATTAATTTTAAGCTAATTCCCTAAATAGAAAGTTTTTATTTACAAATTCTTTCCAATCTTCATCCAACGTCTCTTCTTCCTGGTCTCGGATCGTGTCAGTCCTTACTGTCTATTCCATCTAGTCCATCAACCTGGAAGCCTTATGTCCGAGGCCCTTAAGTCTCTTCCATGTCCCTTCTGCAGTTCTTCTTCTTCTTGTTTATACTTGTCCTTTTCCTTGTTTTTTCTTTTCTTCATCTTTTCTTTTATGTTATGTAATTAAAACTATCAGTGCATAATATAGGACTGTGATACTCTGCAAATATTAAAAAGTAAGGAAGACTACGTAACAAAAGCAGAAGGCAGGGTAGGTTAAAATGTACCAAGGATGGGACTTCCGGGTCAGCGCCATCGGTGAATGGCGGAGTTCCTCCGACTGGAGGAACGGGCTCCGTGGAAACTGGGTCTTCCCACCGCGGTGAAGGTGGGGACCCGCTAGAAATCCCAGGTGGAGGAAGCCTGGGAACGTGGGGTTCGGCAGGGCACCAGGAGCGCCCCCACCTACTCACCGGGAACCCCATTTTGGGGCGCCGGAGCGAAGTGGGGTGAGTGGCGCGGTGCTGCGAACTGATTGCTATTTTCACGGAGTGAAGCCGCACAGCCATTGCCGGAGAGCGCTGACTTTTTCCTGTGGACAATTGGATTTAAAACAAGTACCCGTGAGTAGAAACGGAAAATTGGATTAAGAAATATTTCAATTTGGCATCGAAGCAGGAAGGTTCAAAACACGAAGTCCGCCTTCCGCTTTTTGTATATAGACTAAAGCAAAAACTTTGTAAGCTAAAGCCTGGAAAGCTGTTAAAAAAGTCTAAATTTCCTTCATTCAGAATTACTGAAACCCCCTTGGAAGCAGGAGAAAAGGGGGGGGGGACTTTGTTCAACCCTAGCAGGAGAGGGAGTGAAGAAGGATAAGTTTCCACTGCCTCTAACCTGGGAACGGGGTGTCAGAGACAGAAATTGTTGGAGAGGTTCATTGACTGTGAATGGAATACTTTGACAGATAGCTAAAGAAGAGAAACAAACTGATTCCAATGTTGCCTTTTGCATTCTAAAGAAACAAAATATCTGAAAAATATCTGAAAAATGAAAGTAATTTTCCTTTGTTGGACTTGCCTTAAAAAAAAAAATGGATACAAATAGAAATTGTCTCCTCTAGAGGGAGCTTGTTAAATTGTTGCTGCAGTATACTTGAGGACTCAACAGCTGTGAGATTAAGATCGTGGGACCAGTCTCTTCTGACATTGACTAAAGATGAGCTGGGAGGAAGATTGGGAGCTTGCTCTATGCAAGACAAGTGCCTTGCTGGAACAGATGCACGAGAAGATGGATTTGATGAATGAGAAAACGGATTTGATGACTGTTGTGGTTAATAACTGTGGACAAACAGGGAACATTGATACAGAAATCATTCAGGAACCAACTCATGAACCTGTACTGTCTGGGCAAGTGCAGAAGATAATGGAGGAGGATGCGGTTGCACCTCAAATAATACAAATGGAGAGACCCGAGGCCCTACAGGCGCATAAGCCACTGTCATTGAAGATTGAAGTTGGAGTGGGCCAGGGGGAGTTTGGAGCTGAGGAGGTTCCTAACTTTGGAGAGACCTGGAAATATGCTTTTAAATACTTTTTGGACTATAGCGATGACTGTGGGGAATGGGTCTGTGGGGAATGGGAGGGTTTGATGAAGAGAGATGGAGACAATTTTGGCTTGGAATTCCCCAGAGACCTACTCCTCAATGAGAAAGGAAAGAAATTAAGAAAGAGATTAGAACCGCCAGCCTTCTGATCGGCAAGCCCAAGAGGGGTTTAGATCACAGCACCACCTGCGTCCCGCTATTTAGTATAAACATAATTTTGGCTCGATGTGCTTTAACAGCTCTCGTCTAGGCAGACATATGTGAGCATAATGTATTTTTGTGGGATGGATGGGTTTTTATTGGTAGGAGATGATATATTAATTGAAATATATCCCTCCAGGCTCCCAGATTTGTGGGTTTTAAAATCTAAAAAGCAAAGGAATTAAGAATGGAAAGCCTTGTTTTGAGCAGGTCCAGCTAACAAAGCAAGCCGGCTTCCCCCCTCTTACCACACTTAACAAAGAATCAGGCAACAACTTGTAAAGTATGTTTAAAAATAAGATTATCCGGGAGAGGGGAAGTGACATCACACCAAGCTCACTCTACCAATTGTATTCCTATGGTCTGAGTATCTGCCTTTCAGCAATATAGCTCTGTGGACTTAGCCCCTTCTCAAGCTAGCTAGGAATAATATGCACTTGTTGGGTTTGGCTGCTAATCTCCCAAAATTTTAATAGTTTAATTGTTTAGTGAAATGTGCAGCTGAGCAATTAATGTGCAGAGTCACTGGCCACTGTGCACTTTCCTGTGAGGAAAATTTGTAGCATTTGGAGCTTTTTAGTTTACAGAAAAGATGAGTAAGAGGCAACATGTTAGAAACTTTGTCTAGGTCATGCTTTTCTGAATTTGTGATGTTTTGGTGATTTTGTTCCACATGGTGTCAAGCTCTTTTTAAAAAATGAGTCAGCTGTTTATAAATAAAATAGCCATCATGCGTATAGAGAAATTTATTTTACAACCTTCTGCTAGATGGCAGGAGAGAGGTTTGTGGACTTTGTGCGAGGCAGATTAAACAGGTTAGCAGGGCGGCATTGTTGGCTGATGACTATCCTCTGCTGCTTCTCTTTTGCTATTTGTGCACCTCGGCCTTCCTCAAGCCAATGTTTTGAACTACAGCGCCCCTCAGCCCCCAGCCAGCACAGCTGCATGGTGCTGGGGCTGATGGGAGCTGTAGTCCAACTAGCTCAGAGGGCACCAGATTGACAAAGGCTGGCCTTGCTGATGACAACAGTCGTGCTGAGCTCCCTTCCGCCCTTCTGTGTGCCTTGCTACCTGTTCCCATCCTACAGAAGTGCCACCAGGTGGGACCAGCCCATCCCTGTGAGCTTTCAGCCAAGGGCACCTATAGAGAGTCAACAGTGTATACCTGGTGAGGTGGCACCTTCCGGTGGATTCCAGGTTGTGGTGTGACGTTGACGAAGGTGCCTGTTTATGTGCAAAGCTGAAAGTCCACAGGTGGGTGCGGCTGTTTGTCCCCCAGCTGCTGTTCAGAAGTGCCCAGCCTGTGTACAACTCCCTCTTCCCTTCCCCAAACATGCTGCTTCTTGGGCAACAAGATGCCCAGAGGAAGCCCATAAGTGGGATATGAAGACAGCAGCAGCACTCTCCCACCTTTGCTTGAGGAAAAAACTGAACTTGGTGCACCAGTGAGCTGGAGCATAGCTGTCAAGCGTCCCTTATTTGGCGGGACAGTCCCTTATCCCAGCGCCATGTCCCGCTGCTGTCCCTTATTGATGAGGCTTCGTTTGGCTGCTGGCTGGGCTTTCTGCCTTTAGCTCGGAGGGGCTCAGAAGTTGAACATACCTGTGCCCAGAAAATCCCTTATTTTGGCTGCTGATCCCTTATTTTCGAGGCTGCTGGTCCCTTATTTTCAAATCTGTAAGTTGACAGCTATGGGCTGGAGTGGTTTTGAGGGTGTCGGGCTATTGCAGTGGAGACCCAAGTTCCAATCCCCTACCTAGCCATGAAGCGCACTGCCAATTGCTCCCTCTCAGCCTATCCTGCCTAACAGGGTTGCTGTGAGGATAAAATGTGGAGGAGAACGGTCCTTTTTTGCTGCTTCCCTGAGCTTATTTGGAGGAAAAGTGAACTAGAGATAAGAAGTGAGAACATAGAATGAGGAGGCTCTTACCTGTGGGGCTGTACAGGTGGGTTCTGTGTAGGCAAGAGAGTACATTGTGATTCCATCTCCCTCTCTCTCTCTCTCTCTCTCTCTCTCTCTCTCTCTCTGACAGTGTTTGCACAAAGGGATTTATTTAGCGCTCCCCAATATTACTACACCACACACACCATCGTCTGAGTGACCCTCACAACAACCTTGTGGGGCAGGGCAGTGCCCTTGTTCCCACTCCTGACTTTCTAAAGGTGCTTTAGCAGCTCATGGTTGACTTTCTAGATTTGTGCTGGTGGGGGACATGAGCTCCCTGCCAACTCCCCTGGAAAGAAAGTGGGGGACAAGGAGGCCTAATGTGGCTTAGAATCCACCCCCAGACCTATTTGCTGAACTGAACATTGCCTACTCATCCATGGAAACCCCCCCTCCAAATGACACCTCCTGAGAGAGGGCTATAAATACAACAAAGTAGAAACAATCTTTATTGGGCTTGAGCTCTGCCCAGCCACTGGGCTCCAGTTACAGCAGCTGTTGGAGGAAACAAGATCACCTTGCTGAGCAAACCTGCCACCCCCCCTTTCCCAGTCCCGGAGGGAGGGGGGGTGCTCTGCTCTTGGCAAGGTGCAAGGAGGACAGACGGGAACTTGGCAGGGTCCAAATGTCAGAGGCTAAGGCGTTGCCTGCGTCGCAGATGTCTCCGGAGGATTTCAACCTTGACCCAAAACACAGCTCTGCTGTTCCTGAAAGTGGCCACAGCTGCTCTCCTGCTTGCACTCCTCGAACTCCCATCTGATGGGTTCAGAGGTTCAAAACAGACCTGTTGCCAGCTCTCCAGGGTTTCAGGCTGGGAGACTGAACCTGGGACTGCCTGCAAATGGCAAGGAGGCCACAGAGCTACAGTACCTTCCCCAACTCCAGCCTTCTCATGCCATTTACCCTTTTATTTTGGTCTGTTAACGCCTGGTGCCCATTCTCTACCCCTTTGGTTGCAGGGAGTGCGTGTCCCAAGGCAGGGAATGGACAGGATACTGTTTGCAAGCCACCCAACACCCAAATCTGCACAGGCGGAGCTGCAGCAAGTCTGGGGATGCCCCTCCTTGAGCAGCCTCACCCCTCCCAAAAAAGGTAACTTTGATGTGAAGCTGCTGTTTGGCTCAGGGGCGACCGTCCTTCTCATGCACAGAGTGTGTGTTTGCAATTCTTGCTTTTCAGAAAACCACAAAGTTGGTTCTTGGAGGCCACTTCTCTGGTGTCACACGATGAGTGAGAAAACAAGATGGGGAAGGACCAGGTGCTCCCAACTGTCTCCTGGAAGAAGGGGCTGTACGACCGCCCCCCACCCAAGACCTCTGGTCCAGGGAAAAGAGGACAGGCAGCGCCAAAAGTCCCACTCTTCATTCCAAAGCTGCCTGGGAAAAGACCAGCCTCCCACCCCAAGTTCTGGTCCCATCAGTGAGGCGGGGAGAGGGAGGAAGAGAGCAGGCGCCCCTCTCTCTGGAAATGTCATCTTCTCTTGCAGGGTTTTCAAGCCCCCTGGAGCTGGTAGGTGAATTTCCTCAGTTCGTCCCAGAAGAGGAGGCTGAGAATGGTGTGTGGTCCCAGGCGGAGGTAGGCAGGCCCCAGGCCCTTGTAGAGGGCCAGGACACCCTCCTTGCCAGTGACTTGCACCACACAGTCGAAGAAGCCGCGGTAGTGCTTGCCCTGTGGGTGGCAGAGGGGAGAGAGCCTGGTTAAAAGCAGGACCCATGGCCGCGGAACAAGGGTGCTGCAACTCCTCTCGCCATCCTTGACAGCTGACTGTGCTGACTGGTGGGAGCTGGGAATTCAGCAACACCTTGGGGGGCTGCAGCTGCTCCCCATCCCTGAACTAGCCCCAGGCCGCTTCTGAGCCATGAAACTCCTCACCTCCCTCCACAAGCTTCTTGGGGTTCCTAAGGCTGCCAGTGACCACCCCTGGCATGAGAGAACTTACCATGCCCAGCTCGTCCACTGGCTGGTTGTAGAGTCTGGTGCTCACCACGTCGAAGGGTGTCATAGCCACAGCAACAGCCACGCTGCTGATCATGCCACCAGCAAGCGCCACCATCCAGCTGTCTTCCTTGAACCACTGTGGGCAGAAGAGGGCAACAGTAAGGGGGGGGGAGAGTCGGCCCCACCCCACCCGCTCTGACAGCATCAGGATCGAGCAACAGGAAAAGCCACAAAGGCTGAATATTGTATTTATTTATTTAAGGTATATACCACCTTCCTCCCCAAAGCAGCCCACGATGGCCAACACACAAGCGATGAAACAGTTAAACCATGTAAAGATAAAGCAGGATAAAGGTCTTGAATTAAAAGGTTTGTTGGAAGAGGAAGGTGTTCAAGCAGGTGCCAAAAGGCAACAGAGACAGCGCCTGTCACACATTTAATGGGAGAGAATTCCAAGGGGTTGGTGCCACCACCCAAAAGGCCCCGCTCCTATCCTGTGTGGAACGGATTTCCTGATGAACTGGCCACCCTCTGCAGAGTGCAGGGATCAAGTGGGGTATAGAAGGGGTGAGAGGATCGAGGAATTGAACAAACTGGCAGGGCTCATCTTGGAAAGGGGTTTAGGACGGGGTGGGTCTGAGGCGCTGCTGATAAGCTAGACCTTGACAAAACCAGAGTCATGCAACTGCCACGGACCATCTCCCCCACCTTCCGGCCCCCTCCTCACCTTTTGCTTCCTGACCCACTCTTTGGCAGAGGCGAAAGTGGCCAGCTGGACGGCCGAGCCCACCATGACGCGAGGCACGGCCCCGTTCACCCCTCGCCACAGTCCCAGAAGGCCCTGCTTCTTGTAGATGGTCTCAAAGGCACTGGAGACACTCTGCAGGGGGAGAAAAGCTGCAAGGGTTAGTCAGCAGGGGGCAGCAGAGAGCAGGGGCAGCTGCCTGCATTGTCCCACTGTGGCAGGACACTCATCTGCGGCTTTGCCCCCCTCTTCTCAGTCTGGGGGGGAGGCAGGAAGGAAAGCCACACCCTTCTCAGGCTTCAAGCAGATCCTCCCCATAAATATGGGAACTATAGTTTACCCCTTACAGAGCTACAGTTCCCAGGATTTGGAGGTGATGTGCATTAAATCATAGAAATGTAGAAATGGATGGAGTCCCAAGGGCCATTTGGTCCACCCCCCTTAAAATACTGTCCCCTATCCAATTTACTGTCCCTTATCCCCTATCCAATTTGAAACCTGCTTAGCTTTGCAAATGTGCTAGCAGTTTTATTGCTTGCACCACTAGGATGACTAGTTTTGTAGCTTAGTTCTCTCTCTTTCAAAGAGAAACACCATCATGCCAGCGAGAGACCATCTGCTTCTGTTGGCTCAACCCAGACTTAATCTGAAGGCAAAGGGGCCAAGCCTACGAGGTCAAATTGCAGTTCCTCCTCTCTTAGTGATGAAGAGCTGCACTCCAGACTCCTGCGGGGCTCAGGAAGGGTTTCGACGGAGTCCAAATTACCAGGGACACCAAAGAGCACATGAGGCACCCATCCTGACCCATTTTGCTTTGGACAAAACAACAACAACCCTGACCCACCCACCAAGGCTGTTGTTGCATGAAGCAGACGGGAGAAATAATAATAATAATAATAATAATAATAATAATAATAATAATATATTATTTATACCCTGCCCATCTGGCTGAATTTCCCCAGCCACTCTGGGCGGCTCCCAATCGAGTGTTAAAAACAATACAGCATTAAATATTAAAAACTTCCCTAAACAGGGCTGCCTTCAGATGTCTTTTAAAGATAAGATAGCTGCTTATTTCCTTCACATCTGAAGGATGGGCGCCACTACCAAGAAGGCCCTCTGTCTGGTTCCCTGTAACCTCACTTCTCGCAGTGAGGGAACTGCCAGGAGGCCCTTGGAGCTGGACCTCAGTGTCTGGGCTGGATGATGGGGGTGGAGATGCTCCTTCAGGTATACTGGGCTGAGGCCGTTTAGGGCTTTAAAGGTCAGCACCAACACTTTGAATTGTGCTCGGAAACGTACTGGGAGGCAATGCAGAAAGAGATCTTGCAGGGGGAGTACCTCTGAAATGAAATGAAGACTGTTCTCTTGGTTCCATGGGGCTGAAATTGAGGCCCACTTAAGGTCCAAAGCCATCCCCAGCTGGTAATCCCCCCACCCAGACCTGGTCCACCCATGAGGCAGGGTGAAGCAGCTGCCTTGGGCGGCAGAAAACCCTGAAGTGGCGCCCCTGTGGGCCCCTGCATGCCCAGGGCAGGCGGCATGGTCCTCTTTCACCCCAAGCGGTGAAATGGCATGCTCTGGCTCTGCCCCCTCACCCCAGAAGTGGTCTTCCTCTCTAATGGGGGATCTGGATTTCACATAAGCCACAGCAAGACTGAGGAACGCCAGAGGACACAAGAGCCAAGTGGTCCAGTTTCATTTCCCTTGACTTTGGCTCCATGGCCACGGATGACCTCATGGGCACATGATGGAAGGATGCCCTTGGCCAGGGAAAGCAGGTACAGCACACAGACCAATGAATCTGCAGACCCTCCAAACGTCCCTATTTTCCAGGGACAGTCTCAGATTTACAGAAGCCATCCTGGTTTCTGATTTGATCCCAGAATGTCCCATTTTTCCTTAGGATGTGCCTATTTGCATCAGAAAAATGTTGGAGGCTATGGAGTTATGCCACCCCGAGCCAAGGATCATAGAATCATAGAATCATAGAGTTGGAAGAGACCACAAGGGCCATCGAGTCCAACCCCCTGCCAAGCAGGAAACACCACCAGAGCACTCCTGACATATGGTTGTCAAGCCTCTGCTTAAAGACCTCCAAAGAAGGAGACTCCACCACACTCCTTGGCAGCAAATTCCACTGTCGAACAGCTCTTCCTGTCAGGAAGTTCTTCCTAATGTTTAGGTGGAATCTTCTTTCTTGTAGTTTGGATCCATTGCTCCGTGTCCGCTTCTCTGGAGCAGCAGAAAACAACCTTTCTCCCTCCTCTATGTGACATCCTTTTATATATTTGAACATGGCTATCATATCACCCCTTAACCTCCTCTTCTCCAGGCTAAACATGCCCAGCTCTCTTAGCCGTTCCTCATAAGGCATCGTTTCCAGGCCTTTGACCATTTTGGTTGCCCTCCTCTGGACACGTTCCAGTTTGTCAGTGTCCTTCTTGAACTGTGGTGCCCAGAACTGGACACAGTACTCCAGGTGAGGTCTAACTAGAGCAGAATACAGTGGCACTATTACTTCCCTTGATCTAGATGCTATACTCCTATTGATGCAGCCCAGAATTGCATTGGCTTTTTAGCTGCCGCGTCACACTGTTGGCTCATGTCAAGTTTGTGGTCAACCAAGACTCCTAGATCCTTTTCACATGTACTGCTCTCAAGCCAGGTGTCCCCCATCTTGTATTTGTGCCTCTCATTTTTTTTGCCCAAGTGCAATACTTTACATTTATCCCTGTTAAAATTCATCTTGTTTGTTTTGGCCCAGTTCTCTAATCTGTCAAGGTCGTTTTGAAGTGTGATCCTGTCCTCTGGGGTGTTGTCAATGAAGGAGATAAGTAACCAGACAACCTTTAGAAGACATCTGAAGGCAGCCCTGTATAGGGAGTTTGTTTTAATGATGTTTTATTATGTTTTTATATATGTTGGAAGCCCCCCCAGAGTTTGGGGCAACCCAGTTGTTGTTGTTGTTGTTGCTGCTGAATAAAGGGTAAAGGGACCCCTGACCATTAGGTCCAGTCGTGATCGACTCTGGGGTTGCAGCGCTCATCTCACTTTACTGGCCAAGGGAGCCGGCGTACAGCTTCTGGGTCATGTGGCCAGCATGACTAAGCCACTTCTGGCGAACCAGAGCAGCGCACAGAAATGCCGTTTTCCTTCCCGCCGGAGCAGTACCTGTTTATCTACTTGCACTTTTGTGCTTTCGAATTGCTAGGTTGGCAGGAGCAGGGACCAAGCAACGGGAGCTCACCCCGTCGCAGGGATTCGAACCGCCGATCTTCTGATCGGCAAGTCCTAGGCTCTAGAAGCTGTTATTTTCATTGGAGAAATATTGGAGGGTATGAATCTCATACCTCTGATTTACAGTGTTATTGAACGCTGTGGGTTTACTCTGCATAAAACACCTGAACACAAGTTGAACCAGGTGAGGGATGGAGTGTGGTGGATACTATCCAGGCCAGAGCTCTGAATCTCCTGATCTGAGGGTGGGTGGGCTCTGGGAGAGAGGGTCTTGCCCTGTGCCAGGGAGGGCAAAGGGAGCCACATCAGCAGGAACCCGCTGGGCCTGGGACCAGCACACACCAGTGGCACAGCTGTAGGTCCCTTCCCCTGGGCCCTTTGCTTCCGCCTCCCTGCTGGGAGAGAAGCCAGCTGAGGGAGCTCAGGCCAAGGGGGAGGGTGCAGGGAGGACGTCCGTGTTTTGCAAAACAAACATGCTGAGGTGGTTGGAAAGCAATCCGTGCGGAGCGGCACAAAAAACTGACGTCACCTGAGCTCAGGAACAAGCCAACGTCACCCTCTGCCCTCTCGCCTCCTTCCCCAACTCCTCCCATTCAGCAACTCTGGATGCTGCAAAACACTCGCTTGGTTCTCAGGCTGGCAAAGTGAGAGGGCTGAGATTCTCCTTAAAAGCAAGAGAGCCCCCCACCCCTGTTCCGTTCTGCCCTGGGAACGGGGTAGGGGAAATTCAGCGGCAGAGGCCAGGCATAATCCAAATTTAAACCTAACGGGGCAGATGAAAGAAGAGGAAGCAGAGTCTGCCTCTAACATGCCATAAGCCATGGGTAGGCAAACTAAGGCCTGGGGACCAGATTCGGCCCAGTCGCCTTCTAAATCCGGCCTGTGGACGGTCTGGGAATCAGCGTGTTTTTACATGAGTAGAATGTGTCCTTTTATTTAAAATGCATCTCTGGGTTATTTGTAGGGCATAGGAATTTGTTCCTTCCCCCCCAAAAAAATATGTAGTCCGGCCCTCCACAAGGTCTGAAGGACAGTAGACTGGCTGAAAAAGTTTGCTGCCCCCTGCATTAAGCTGTCTAAAATGGTACACTAAATATTGGCGTGGTGGGCATATCAGAACCCTCTGGAAGAATAAGAATAGCCCCTGTTGGCTGGAACAGGGCTGAGCAAAGCCAGACAATATCGCTGGACTTCAGCTCTGGCCATCCCTTATACCACCCCTTATACCGAGGCAGTCCATGGGTCCATCTAGGTCTGTCTCATTTATACACTGACTGGCAGCAGTGGCTCTCCAGAGCTTCAGGACAGGGGTCACCCCCAGCCCTACTTGGAGACGTTGCCGGGTCTTGAACCTGTGACATTGTGCATGCAAAGCAGAAGCTCTGTCACTGAGCTATGGCCCTTCCTTGGCCGTCTTGGCAGCTGGGAGTTGGAGTCCAACGCCATCACCTATAAGGGCACTGCGATGCCCATCCCTGCTCTAGGGGCGCCTCTGGCCTCTTTGTCAATGAATCAGCCCTCCTCTGCGGCGACTGCTAGGACCCGGGACAGTGGTCAACAAGGAGAGCTGCTCCAAGCCATTTTGCAGCCTCAGGAAGAAGTGGCACACACACACACACACACACACACACACACAGGCGTAACACGTCACTGCTGCTGCTGCTGACCACCCCACAAGCACCGCCTGAGGCAGCTGCCTCACCCTGCCTAATGGAAGGGCCGGCCCTGGCAGTTACGGTGGCTGCTGATTGGCTGGCTGTTGTTTATACAGAAAGTGCCCAGACGATGGTGCCAGTGCATGGTAGCCCTCAGCCCAAAGGTCTTGGGTGTGCTCACCCAGTGCTTTCTTCCCGGCTGGCTGTGTCTACCAATCCTTGCTCCTCTTCTCTGCAGCAACAAACCCCTTCCCCTTTAAATGGTCCCAGCTGGGGGGGGGGGGAGGTTCCGCTAAAGCGTCTGCTCTGCATGCAGAAGGTCATTCCCAGTTTTAAAAAGACCTATTGGCAGCTGATGGCTAGGTGGCCTGGCATGATAGAAGACGGTTTTCTGTCTTCCTCCTGCATACACAACAGACTAGACATCACACACACACACACACACACACACACACACACACTCAGAGGCCACCCCCTGCAAATTCACCCCCCAAAGCCTCATCGCCGCCACCATCCTGACCCCCAGCTCACCTGGTGGTTGTGCTGGTGCCCCACGGCGATGGCGGCCAAAGTCTGGGCCTGGAGATGCGTCTTGACCTGGAGTCGCAAGCAGAGGAGAAAGGTCAGCGAGAGCAGAGGCGGGTGGCGGGAGTCCCCCCCCCCCACCGCAGATTGTTTGAACCACTGGCTCCTTTGCAGAAAGAGGAGGACTCTGCCCGACCTTGCAGGCAACAATAACGCCTCCACCTTCTCTGCTCTGTCAACACCCTGGAGAGGTACCTTGGGGACAGTTACATAACTCTACCTGGCTGGTGATCAGACTTTCGAGCACCCCGGGAAGGTGCGGCGCAGCTCCTCTTTCCAACGGCCAGCCCCTAGGTCAAGGGGCTTACGGAGGGCTTACGGTCCGCCTCACCCTCAAGGAAGTGGATCCTCATTTCAGGCAGGCTGGAGCCCAGTGGGTGGCTTCTCCCTGAACCGTGCAGTGTGGATACTGGAGATTTTGCTAGAGTTTAGCGGGGTCCTGCCAGCAGGTGTGCCGACTTGCATAAAATATTGGGGAGGGGGCCCAGGTAGGTCCCATCCCACATAATCACAAGATGCAGCACACACGTTTGAATGGCAACGCCAATCAGATTTTTCGGGGGGGGGGAAGGAGCCCCTTCAAATATTTTATTGGGTCGGCTCCTATGATTGCCAGGTCTTGGCCTCGTCTTCAGAAGTCCTGTGCTCCTCTAAAGGGTGTGTTAGGCTGTAACACAGACAGCAAAATAGCCACCCTTCCTCTATGCCCCCAGCTCTCTAAGCATGTCTTAACCACCAGGTCTTTAGAAAAATAGGTACCACCCCCCATCTTTTCCTCATTGGTGCTCACTCTGTGCCGTATCTTTTAAAGTGCACAACTTTCCCTTCATTCTGTGCCGGACCTCAGCATCCTCTGAGCTACTTGGGATTCTTGTTCAGACCACAGGTTGGTGGGTGGAGAAAGGCTCCTCCGGCATCAGGATAAGGCCAATGGGAATTGCAGCCCAAAACACGCTAGAGACAAGCTTGATCACGACTGATAGGCCGTGCATTTCACATGCACTTAAAAAAAAACCCTCTAGCAAAGAGGGGTTCTGTATCCCAGGCACAAATGAGCAAGATTGCCCCAAATTGGTGCACTTGATCTCTCTTCTGGGCAAGGAGGAGGCTGTGAGAAGGTCAGCCATCCCCTGGGAATCTTGCTCCTACGTTGCCCAAACACATTTCACAGCCTGCCTTCGCTGGGACAAGACTCTTGGCAGCTTTACAAAACAGGAACAGCTTCTCAGAATGCTGCAGAGCAACTTTTGCAACCCCACACAGGGCTGGTCTGTCCTAAAGCTCTAGGACGGACGGTTGGACAGACAGACAGACCCAAGCAACCAGCAGCCATTTTCCGGGGTGGTTGGTAGCTGTTTGTGGAAGAAACTGCTCAGCCCTCCAGGGTTTTTCCGTGTCTGTCCTGCCATTCCTCCAAGGACACAGCAGTGGTATATGTGGTTCCCTCCTCCTTTTATTCCCACATCTACCCTGTGAGGTGGGTGAGACTGAGACTGGCTCAAGACTATACTTTCAGGGATCATCCAGTGAGCTTCATGGCTGTTTGGGGATTTGAACTCAGCTCTCCCCTGCTCCTAGTCCAGGACTAACCACTACAGGACTCTGGCTCTCAATGAGCAAGGGGTGGGGGACGCCACAGCTGTTCTACAGACCACCAGCGGGTATCTGAGAGACACAGCAAGAGAGGCGCAACAGGAATGCCTCAGATGTGGTAGACCTGTGCTGAAAAATCCCCTTTCTGACACAAGCACAGTTCATGGCCAGAGGCCAACTGCCTCAGCTTCCTGCTCTGTAAAATGGGAGCAAGCCATGTGAAAGGGAGCCGCCTGATGCACGGGCAAAACAGGACACGGGTTCACAACAGAATTGCTGCAGATTTGTGGGGCTTGGCCAGCTTTCTGCCTGCCTCAGTTCTAGCTCTGCAAGATGGGGATAATGAGAAATGGCCTGTGTGCAAGGTTCAGATGACAAAATAACATATTTCTACTTGCTACAAAGCAGGGGTCACAGAGACACAAGGCTGCCCACTGCCCTGAAGCCAGCTCGGCTTGCCAGGCAGAGCATCACCAGGAGACTCACCAGATAGGCTGGGCTGCCCACGAAGGCCCCCAGCGCCCCGGCCACGGCCCCCGCCACAATGGTCCCGCCCGGCTGCTGCGTCAAGCCGATGTCTTCGGCGTGGGAGTAGAAGAAGAAGCGCACACCGTTCATCAGTCCCTGGTAGAGCAGCCCGGCTGTCAGGCCTTTCTGGAGCCCCCGGAGTCCATCAGCCCGGCTGACAGCCACCATGGCGTGCAGGACCCCCCGGTAATGGCGAGGGTAGGTGCCCCGCGAGCGGAGCTCCCCTTGCAGCTGCAGGCGGGTCTTCACCACCTCCAGAGGGTTGGTGAAGACGCAGGCCATGCAGCAAGCCGTGGCCCCCAGCACAAAATCCACTGGAGGAGAGATGGAGAGCATGGCTGCTGTGGGGCTGCGTGGGGGCTCCATGGCGTGGCCCCCGCTGGCCCAGCTGTTGATGGGGACGACCAGGAAGGACATGCAGGGAGGTCTCCTCTGAAACTGAGCTAGCAGAGCTCTGTCTCCAGAGAAGCTTGGTGCGACCACAGGAGCCTGCTCGGCCAGTACCAATGCCGCCACCAACTCCTCCTTTCCTAGGGAGATCAGCCCCTCTCCTCCAGCAACCAGCTCCTCTCTTCCTGCCCTGCTATCCAGCTTGCTTTGTGCCATGCAAGGTTGTTTGTGCCACTTGAGTGACACCTTTGGGCTTATATCGCTGGCCAGCCCCCTCCCTCAGCTGACTCTCCGCCTCTGGGAGGGATGTTTGGGTGGTGCCTTCCTCTCTACAGTATTTGCCTTGGTGCCAGGGAAGGGGTTGGGCGAGGGAGGGAAGCAGGCAGAATGTAGGGGAAAGTTCACACACACACACACACACACACACACACACACACACACACCCTTCTGCCTGCCTCCCTCTTTTGTTTACTGGAGATCATTTTGCTCCTGAGCTTGCAGGAACACACTGCTCTGCAAGTGGGAGGCGGGGGGGGGGGGAGAGAAAGATTCAGCTCTTTCCAGACCAGAACAAAAAAAACAAAAACCCAACCCCAGCGGCCAGCCTTGAATTCCTGAAAAAGTGTGATTAGTGGGATGCATTCCTTGCGGGGAGAGCAGTCCAGTCCGCTAGGCAGGCAACACACACATGTGGGCGTTTTTTTCATCATGTACACATACCCAGCGTCATCCAAGAGGAATCCGTATCATCCAATTTTTATCAGAATTCTAAGGTCTCAAATATGGAATGAATGTTCATAAATGTACACGTGTTTGAAATAGCACAGAAGAGCAATCCTGAAGCCATTCTGACTCTCCCAATTTGACCTCAAATATTTCTCTGCAAGGAGGAAGGAAATGGGAAAAGCTTTCCTATTGTCTTTGGACTGTAGGGGCTTACACCTTCCTGCAAATACATTCAGTCAAGTATTAGTTAAGCTGAGCAAACTATCAAAATGTGTAAGAAATTCAGGAACTGAAGTATTTGCCATCTCCAAGGAATGGCCAGGCTACTCAGAAAATGCAATCAAATAAGTCATTATCAGGTATCCTGGCAGACAGAGGAGAAGCAACACTCTCAAATTTCTGCTGGAGATCACCACCTTCTGTGATGTATGTATGATGTTTTGGGGGGTGGTCTTGGGCAATTTCAAAAGTCTTTATAGGGGCTTGCACACCATTGTTCTGGGTATCCCCCTTGCTTTCTATGGATTTTGCCTCCATCCATTCATCTCTGACTGATCATGGACTTAGGGGACTCAGTCACTTGGGGAGTTGGGCAGCAAAAACCAAACCCCTTATTTTTTCTATAACACAATGAAGCTGAATCTGGGAAGATTCATAGAGTTGGAAGGGACCCTGAGGATCATCTAGTCCAATCCCTTGCAGACCCTGTAGCTGTCCCTTAAGGGGATCAAACCTGCAACCATGGCATTATCAGGACCACGCTCTAACCAACTGACCTATCAAGCCTGGAAAGGCAGAGGAACAGGCCCAGTTAAGACCAACGTAGATAAGAATCTGAAGAAAGCCTGGAAACAGTGGTGGAGGAAGGGAGCGGGAGCGGCGGTCATCTCTGAGGGGGGTGACAAGAGGGCATGGGTCTCAGCCCACTGTGTGTGGTTTCCTCCGCTGCCGCTGCCACGAGTGGAGGATCCCTCTGCCATCTGTATGGTGTATGCGCAGCCGCACATGCGCTGCATGTAGCAGCGTTGCGCATGCACCGCCTGGCGGTTTGCTCCAAAGGAAGACTGAGGGCAACCACCACACTCTTGCGACTCTCGGCCACTGGGATTGAGAGGCGTTTATGGCCTCCAGCTGCAGAGGATGGCTAAGGATGGCAGTGCAGTGGCAGGTCCCGACACTGGGTGTGAATCACGGCAAACGACGAACCAAGAATCCTGCCCCAGGCACACAGTGCCTCTGCTGCTGGGCATGCGTGGCCCTTCCACAGAAGCAGAGCAGGAGCACGTCTTGAGCACGTGTCCAAAGAGGACAGGCAGCAACCCCTGTGCCCGAAAAAGAGCAGTTGGCTCGGTCTGGAGGCGTCTTCTTGTCAACAGCTCGAAATAGCGCGTCTCAGGAGAGTGTGGCATTGCTGATGCTTGTGTAAGATGCACTGAGAGGACAGAAACATGGAAGGGTGCCGAGGAGAAGGCAGGTTGGGAACTAGGGCACAGGAGGGGGCAAAGGGACCCCTGGCTGCCCTTTGCCCTGGTCGTGGAGCCTCCTGCGCCCATCTGGGGGCACCAGCTTCTCCTGCTCTTGGGTGCGGCCCCGAGGCCTTACTGTGCAAAAGGCACATGAGGTCTGTTTCCACTTTGGGGTCTCTACAAGTTGGCACTTCCTGCCAGGACTGCAAAGGTTAGAAAAGCCTTCCCCCCCCCATGGCAATGGACTGGATTGCCTTGGCCTCAGCCTCCTCCCTGGCATAGGAATCTGCCTTACACTCATTCAGACCACTGGGTCCATCGGGTTCTGTATTGTCTACACTGACTGGCAGCAACTATTCAAAGTCTCTCCCCCAGGCAGAGTCCTTTCCCAGGCTGAGGCCTTTTTACCAAATGACACCCAAGGCTCCGCTCCTCACCTTAAAGCACAAACAGGTAACCAACAGAGGAAGGAGATGAGAGAACAGAAGCAGAGATTAAACTGAGATAACAATTTGTCAAATTCCTTTGGAGAACAAACAGCCAGAGAAGAGCAAGTTGGTTCTCCCACCGTCCTGGCAAATAAAACCACCCTACCACTCCCATTGGCACAAGGGGGTTAAACCACAGAGCCTAGGACTTGCTGATCAGAAGGCCGGCGGTTCGAATCCCCGTGACGGGGTGAGCTCCCGTTGCTCTGTCCCTGCTCCTGCCAACCTAGCAGTTCGAAAGAACGTCAAAGTGCAAGTAGATAAATAGGCACTGCTCCGGCGGGAAGGTAAACAACGTTTCTGTGCGCTGCTCTGGTTTGCCAGAAGGGGCTTAGTCATGCTGGCCACATGACCCGGAAGCTGTATGCCGGCTCCCTCAGCCAATAAAGCGAGATGAGCGCTGCAACCCCAGAGTTGTCCGCGACTGGACCCAACGGTCAGGGGTCCCTTTACCTCTACAACTCCCATCATCCTTAGCTAGCAAGACCATTGGTCAGGGATTATGGGAATTGTAGTCTGAAAACAGCTGGAGACCCAAGTTTGGGAACCACTGAGCTACAAGGAGCTTTCGGGTCACCCCCTGATGTCCCAGGCAAGCAGGCAGACTCAGCATTAACCAAGGACTGTTTATTACAGGGTAGGAGGGGAGATGTATGTGCAGATACATTCTGCCACACAGGCCACCTCTTGGGGGGAGGGGAGACCCCCGCATGAACGCATATAATACATTAGCAAGTCTCTTCTCTGTTAAAGAAAATTTAAAATAGCAACAGCTTAAAAAAAACACAACACCACCCTCCTCAGGCAAATAAAACCCGAACCCTGCCTATCATGGCTGGAATAACCAATGCGGCCCCTGCTTCCTATAGATTTGCTCTTGGCATAAACAGATCAGCACACCCCCCCAGCAGTATTACCACTGCCCTAAAGCCAGCCAGGAGGTGGGCAGGCACAGAGGGACTCCCCTCCTGCAAAACAACAGGAATGTGAAGAGGCAGGATCTGCACAGACCAGCAGATGCCAGGGCAGACTGCCCCCTCCCCAAAGGAAGCTTCTCTGGTTGCAAGGGGCAAGGAGGAGAAGAGGATCTCACTGCACCAGGTCAAGGCCAACTCCTGACAACAGATCCTTTCCTGGCAAATGCCACTCCACCAGGGAAACCTGGGGACAGAGCGCCACCTGCTGGCCTAGCAGAGGAAGCTGCCGGCGCCGCCACTCCCACCCCGGCTGCTCTTTCTCAGCTTCCTTGAAGAGATGGCGAAGGCCCGATCCGCTGCGCCAGCTTTGCCCAGTAGCCTGCTGAGACCGGGGCAGAGGGGCTGGAAACAGGCAGAGATCCCTTCACAGAAAGAGAACATCTGGGGGACGAAGGAGAGATGGGAGGGCAGCAGGCAGAGATTTGTCTGTACCTCGGGGGGGGGGGAGTGGAATAAGACCGGCGAGTTTCTGCTTCGTTTTGACAAGAGAAATGCATGCAGGGTGTCCGCCACGTCCCAACCTTGCCTCATCCTAACAGCTCCAGACCTCCCGGCCCGGGTCGTGCCCCTCTACCCCATCCCCGTTAATAAGAGATTAGTATTCTTCGAAGATGAGGCCTTGCCACCAGGCCCCTGGGAGGGCTGCCAGTGGAGCGCCAGCAAGCCAGTCCTCTTCTCCGCTGCCGGCAGCCCTTGTACCGTAACCTCCAGCTGAGATGTAGCAGGAGAAGGAGAGATGCAGCAAGGTGGGCCCGGTGGAAGTTGCTCGAGGATCGCAGTGCTTCATCGGCCTATTATTACACGTGCACACTCACTCACTCAGTCACGCACACGGCCCCCTTTCGTCTCCAGCTGGATTCTGCTGGCAGCCAAGCGGCCGCAGGGAGGCCCAGCTCCACTTCAAGCAGCCTCTGGCTCGTGAAGAAGGCCAATGCCCGCGCTGCCGCAGAGTCGTGTTTTGCACTGCCGGCCGGGAGGCTAACACCAGGGGTCCCGGGAAGCCCTCCCGCGGCAAAGGCTGTCGCTCCGCTGCCAGGCGCTGTGGATCAAGCTCACGGCGTCCTCGCACTTCTTCCGGATGGAGGCGTCCTCGATCGGCTTGTGCAGGAGGTCCACCTGTCAGGACAAAACAGGGGCGGGAGAGGAAGGTTTGTGGCTTGCTAAGACCAAAAACAGGGAGCTGGGTGAGGCTGAAGGGTGAACCCTGCCTGGTTAAAGCCCCAGCAGCCTAACCACAGAGCCCAAGGCCACCTGGTCCAGGAGCTGTTTCTTCATCACAGATAAGAGACTCAAATGGTATTGATGTACAGTAGTGTCTCTGGATGCGAACGGGATCCGTTCCGGAGCCCTGTTTGCATCCTGAGTAAAACGTAAGATGCAACTGCGCCTCTGCGCGGGTCGCGTTTTGCCGCTTCCGCGCATGCGTGCGATGTCATTTTGAGCGTCTGCACATGCACAAGCGGCGAAACACGGAAGTAACGCGCTCCGTTACATCCAGGTCGCCATGAAGCGTAACTTGAAAATGCTCAACCCAAAGCACATTAAACCCGAGGTATGACTGTATTGTATTTCTATTCCACTTTTTTCTCAGCTGGCATACATAGTTTCCCCCGCTCCTGAATTAACCCCCAAGGTAGGTTAGGCTGAGATGCAGCGACCAGCCCCAAAGGCTGTCTAGCTAGCAAGCCTCCTGGCTGAGTGGGGGATTCGAACCCTGGCCTCCTGGCTCTCAGTCCAGCCACGCTGCCTGTCTCCAAACAGCATCTGTATTGAACTAACATACATTTTCAACCATATACAAAAACGACAACATTGCTTCCTCGTGTGCATCATCATCCAAACTGGAATCTGGGGAGAAACTCCACACACACACACCAACCCTGCCAAGGGATTAGAAGATATCAGTCTCCTGAAGGAACTTGACAAAAGGCTCTTCGTTGAAACAGATGTTTCAGTGATTACCTGTCTCACAGAATTGTGGACTTGGAAGGAACCCTGAGTGTCCTCGACACCAACCCCCTGCAATGCAGGGTGTATTGTTGCTGTTTTGCACAGCTGAAAGATTCTATTAGCACAAGCTGTGCCCCCACTCGCTTGGCTCACCAAACCCCACCCACATTAACAGCCTCAAACTTCCTCTTCCCACCCAACGCAACTACCTAGCTCACTTTTCACCTTCCCAACCCCACTTCTTCAAGCAAATCTAGGATTGTAATGCAGCTGTGCAAATCCTCCAGTGGGGGTGGTTGCGGTTGCGTGATCACAGAATTGTAGAGTTGGAAGGGACCCCCCCGTCAATGCAGGAATCTCAACTAAAGCAGCCATGGCAGATGGCCGTCCAACCTCTGCTTAAAACCGCCAATGAAGGAGAGCCTTCCATCTTCCGAGGGAAGTCCGTTCTACTGTTCAACAGCTATAACTGCCAGAAAACTATTCCCATGTTTACTCAGAATTTCCTTTCTTGTAACTTGAACCATTGGTTTGGGTCCTCACCCCCACAGCACGAGAAAACAAGAAATCTTCCTTGTGACTGCCCTTGAGATATTTGAAGAAGGCTAAACGATGTCATTGATTTGCTTTCTAGAACCTAATATTTCTGTTTTTTCTTTTGTTTGTTGTGGCACTTCAGGATTATTCTCAAAGGTTCTCGCCCTCAGCTTCTGCCTCCTGACAGCCCTCGAGACACTACAAAGACCCTTCAAAACCCCACTCTGCAACGGCAACATCCTGAAACACAGAGCAGGCTTTGGAGGAGGTTGATATGAGCCAGTGACTGCAGGTCCAAGGTGGGGAAATCCTAGGGGCTGGATTTCATCCCAATGCTTGATTTCATCTGATCCACTGTGCTGGACTACTCTGGACTCTCTGGGCCCCGCATTGGATGTGGGATAGATATTTCATGTCTGTCACTTTACTAAAAGGTATTTACTATGCTTGTCATTTTTACTTCTTTTTATCTTTCCATTTTATTCCTTTATTATTTCCTTCAATACTCTTCTCTCTTTGCTCTCTTTTCTTTTCTCTGCTTTCTTTGTGTTGTTGTTCTGCTCTGGTCTTTGGCAATTTTTGTGGTCCTCGACTCAGGATTAAGGAGGGGTTAACATGGATGGATGGATGGATGAAGGGAAAAGAAGATCTCCCAGGGTGGGAGGATGGAAAAAGAAAGGTAAGCTCCCAAGTGAGAGCTGGAACGGTCCCCCCCCCCCTTTGTGTGGGACAAATTAAGATGTACCTGTGAAAGAGGACTTTTTCTTTCTCTGTTTTTGTTTAGATTTGTTTGGTCTTTTATTGCAGTGCATTATGTCTGAATAAGCCATGTTATATAAAAGAGGAAGGAGTGATGAATGTGCCCAGAGTCTCATAGTCCCTTGCTATACGTTGAATCAGAATGTGATGACAGCCTTATATCATCAGTACAGGTATTATTTGGATCTCTTTATTTGCAACTAGGAGAAGGAAAACTGTGCCTTGTAGGATATCTTTAAGAGAAGACAAGGTTAAGGAATAAACCCTACTCAAATCTGGAGAGAGGAATCTCTAAGATTGGTTGGATGGTGCCTTGTGCACCTCCTTCCAGCAACTCCTGCAGCCCCTGGTGCCAAATGTATTGCTCTGCTTTCCTGTGCTCCACATCAGCAAGGCCGAGAGGGGGGTCTTGTCGTCTGGGCATCCTAGAACATCCATGCACACTGTCTAGGCTTGTGCCCCATGGAGGTCACTTTGGTGCTGCTAATGCGGCAGTTTATCTTCACCCCTGGAGGTGCACTCCATTGTCTCTTGAAACAGAAGGACATCAACAAAAGGCCCTTTTTACGTTTCATAGCAGCAGCACAGCCACCCCTATGGTTTGATGGCAATGCCACGGTAGGAGCCAAGACACAGCATGGGCTTCAGTGTGTAGGAAAGGGAGCAGAGCAGGCAAAGCCTAGCCGCCTTTCAGAGGACTGGGAGGAGAGCCAGGCCAACGGCCAGGCCAGCTTACCTGGTAGGTGCTTTTCCACACCGTGTCCAACGCCAGGAGGAACCTCTCCAGTTCTGCTATGCAGCTAAAATAGAGCACCCAGGAGGGCAGGTACTGCTTGCGGTCCTGGGCAAACTCCTAGGAAGGGAGAGAGGGTAAGACACACATCAGTTGAGGGGAAGGGCACCTGCTTGGTATGCAGAAGGACCCGGATTCAATCTCCAACGTCAGCATCTCCAAGCAGGGCTGGGAATGGGCTCCTCCTGTCTGAAAACACTGAAGAGCTGGATAGCTTAGTTGGCTAGAGCATGGTGCTGGTAATTGCAAGGCTGCCCATAATGGACAGCTGCATGTTCCTGCATTGCAGGAGGCTGGATTAGATGATCCTCAGGGTCCCTTCCAACTCTAAGCCTTTGGATATGTTGATCAATAATTGACAATAATGAGCAAGACAGACTACGAGCCGTGTAGTGATCAGGTGGGATTGCTATGAGGAATTATAACAAATATAGAGTAAGTCATCTGTGTCAGCAATGAAAGCATTGCGTTGACTGGGTTTAAACTCTTTTGATATGATTCTTGATCAATCCACACCTCTGCATCCCTCTTCCATTTCTCTTTCTTGACCAGTCACGTACACTGCCAGTTGCATCGCCAGGCAGGCATCCTGGGTCATCAAAGACAGTGGGCAGTTTCTTTGATGTAGCTTTTCTGATATGTTAATCTTAGGATGTTAATCTTAGGGCCAGGAAACAGGTTTCACATAAAGGTGATAATGATCGCTGTCCTCCTGACCATTCTTCTTATCATGTATATTGCTTGTTTATCACCTCCCGGGGCTGCCAAATGCACTCCCTTGTAGTTTTGTAGTCTGTTTTATTTACACCATGCTTAATTAGTTTTGGTAGTTTAACTTTGTCCCCACGTGGTTTGTTGAAATGCTCAGAAGAAATCTGCTTGGTTCTTACGAATACTCTGTAAAAAGTTCTTTTGTGAATAAAATGACCTGGGCCGGAGGGTGGAGGGAGAGATTATTATACGCACCCTTCCCAAAGTCTTGCTGGTTCAAGCCTCTGTGTGTATTCTTATTAATCAGAGTATAATCCTTCCTTTACTTTGAGAATGCCTCAGGGCCGGACTTTGTATAAGGCAGCTTCCTATTTTCTTATATAAATCGGCCCTTTATTCAGAACTATACTGGCTTGGTCGTGGTACACAAAATGAAATATGGCAGGATCCCCAAGTATGCTTTGCGGAGCTGCCTTCAGGACCATCGGCAGACCAACTCTGCGTTAGGAAGGTGTCTGCAAACAAGTCACGAAGGCTGGCTTCATCAGCGGCCTGAGAAGGAATGACCACTGGGAGGAGCACAGAGAGAAGAAATGCCATGGTGCACCTGCAGCAGCAAAATTTGTCCCACCTGCAATAAAACAGGTCTCCCCACATTGGTTTCTCCAGCCACAGCAGGCGCTGTAACTCTCCAGTGGTTTGACTTCACTCCCAAAGGTGTCTTCCAAGACAGTCAGATGCCAATCATTATTCAGAACTTACTTTACTTACTCTTTAGGAGAAGGGTCATAGCTCAGATTTGGATGCAGAATGTCGCACATTCGGTCCTTGGCAGCACCTCCAGGTAGGCCTGGGAATGTCCCATGCCCAAGACCCTGGACAGCTACTGCTGCCAGTCAGTGTTGACAATACTGAGCTAGGTGGACTGATGGTATGATCTGGTATAAGGTGTCTGTAGCCATTGCTGGCTGGACACACCCATGTGGCACATGCCCCCAGGTCACCCAAATACTCACCAAGATACAGTATTCCCGGCCAGCCTCTGTGGAGACAGAGACCACGTCCGCCAACTCAGCCGTGGCCAGCGAGCGAAAGAAGCTGGTCTGGCAGTCCTCGTGGCAGGTGAAGAGTTTCTGATCTGTCAGCACCAGGCAGCAAGGGACACAGGGGGCAGGAACCACACCCTGGGGGACCACCTGGAAGAAGGCAGAGATTTCCAAACATTTCCTGTTGGTGACACACTTTTTAGACATGCATCCGTTCACAAAATAGTAAATCAGTTTTATTAGCAAACCAGAGGTTAAACTAACCCCTTTCCAGCCCGGCGAGAGTTTGCACAACACACCTACACACTGAGGTTGACACACTAACAATGTTTGGAAAGTTCTGGCATATGGAGTGTGTTGGTTCTCCAGTTCTACTCAGGAGTTGACCCACTGAAGCTAATGGACAAGGCTAACTTGCGGTCATTCATTTCAGCAGGTCTCCCCCTTTACTAGGGACGCGGGTGGTGCTATGGGTTAAACCACAGAGCCTAGGACTTGCCGATCAGAAGGTCAGCGGTTCGAATCCCTGCGACAGGGTGAGCTCCCGTTGCTCAGTCCCTGCTCCTGCCAACCTAGCAGTTCGAAAGCACGTCAAAGTGGAAGTAGATAAATAGGTACCACTCTGGTGGTAAGGTAAACGGCGTTTCCGTGCACTGCTCTGGTTCGCCAGAAGCGGCTTAGTCATGCTGGCCACATGACCCGGAAACTGTATGCCGGCTCCCCTGGCCAATAAAGCGAGATGAGCGCCGCAACCCCAGAGTCGGTCACGACTGGACCCAATGGTCAGGGGTCCCTTTACCTTTACCCCCTTTACTGATGAGGGCCAAAAGTGGTTTTATGGGGCCACAGAAGCCCAGGCTGCCTAGGACCCCTCATAAGCAGCAACCCCTGTGAGTCGTACTGGTCTCATCTGGAAGCAGAGCTTTTTCTCACCCCTTTGGAGACCGCCTGGCACAGGTACTGCATCCAGTCAGCCATCTCCTCCTCGCTCTCGGCGCTCAGCTCTAGGGAGGGCCGGTCAGTCAGGATCACCTGGAAGGAGTGGGGGTGGTCCGTCCCGTTGGACCTCCGGCACCCTCCACACTGCTCCCCACTGCAAGGAGGGCCAGAGAGGGTTGTGAGTGAGTGGGGTGGGTATGGGTGGGGAAGAGGGAAGATCTGGAAGGCTCCTGCCTCGCGGGGCAAACTCACCCCATGGTCACGGAAAGAAGAAGGGTGACGTCCGCACGGTCCGGGTACTGATACAAGATGCCGTTGCTGTGGAGGGAAAATGCAAGAGCCGATTTTGTCATGCTCTCCTGTCCTGTGTTCAGGACTCAGGGTGGGGAGCTCAATCACTCTGGTAAAGGGTGGGCACTCACGGCAGCTGCTGCATCAGCTTGCTGCTGATGCGAGTCGCAGGGCACAATGTCCGACAGGGGCAGGGGGGTCATTAGGAAGGCGAAGGGGGCTGCACATTGGAGGCACAAACAGTAAGAGAAGCAAGCCCGTGGCGCTTCCTCTGAGCCTTTTGTGCTCCCGTCCTCGCTCGCTCTGTGATCCTGTCTCTCTCTCACCTGAGCACCACGTAGCAGGTCTTCCAGTTCTCCTTGCCCAGGTAGTTGGTCCCTGCCTTGTAGCTCAGGACACCTTCCTTTGTGATGGGATGTTCGACTAGCATGTAGTCCGAGGGGGCTGGCCCCAGAGTCTCGTCCATGGGGTCTTCCCAGTGGATCAGGCCGTAGAAGCGGACCACCACATCCGAGATCTGAAGGAGACCCCGCCCCAAATCACAAGTAGGGTTAATAGCTTCATAGCACTGGGGGTGGGGAGGAGGAAGGAGCTTGTGATGAAGTCCCTCCAGGGCAGGTGCCTGAAAGGCCCCTTGGTCGGGGGGGGAGAGGGTCTGAAATGCTAGGGGGACCCCTGAACCAATCCTATTTGTGGGGAAGGAGGACAGCAGGAGCTAAGTATCCAGGTGGGAAAACTGGCAGAGACCATGACAGTCTCCTTCTTCCCTCACAGCTGAGGCAGGGAACCTTTTTGGCACATTCAACACCCCCAACCCACCCGTCAATGTCATTATGATGTCATGTGACCCCTGCCCACCAGGGTGTTCCTTGCAGGAAACAGGCTGGCAAAGCAGCAGACAGCAGGACTGAACTCTCTGTTCACCAGCTGATGAGTGGAGGATTGGCTCCTGTTCTCTGTAGGGGGAACACTCCTCATGGGGAACTCTCTGGTGAAGCAGAACCCAGCAGGACTGACCTGCCAACCAGCTGATGTCAGCTGACTGACAGGTGGGTGTGGCTTGGGGAGAACAGCCCCCCGCCCGCAGCCTTATTGCATATGGAATTCTCTCAGATGCAGTGCAAAAGTGGAGCAGGCCTGCCGCTCTCATTCTGATCCCGAGGACCATCTGATCATTCTGCAACATGCAGACACTAGTCACGTTCTCCCCTTGCTGAAAACAGGTCAGGGAGGCTTGCACTTAAAACTGCCTGCAGTTGGCTGGAAAATGGCCCAGAGTGCCCTCCTCACCTCCCGCCTGGATTCCTGAGCCACAAACTTGGCCAGCGCCAGCTTCTCCATGGTGGCGTCCGTCAGGATGCTGGGATAGGGCGGCTCTCGGCATCCTTTGATCATGGCTGACTTGAGGCACACCAGGAAAAACCTGGGGGAGGGAGGGGGGAATACAGAGGGCAAAAGCGGGAGTCAGGAGGTGAGGATTCATTCCCAGAAATGGGGGATCAGGCCAGAAAACCAAAGCTGATCCAATAATAATAATAATTTACATGCTGCCCATCTGAGTGGGTTTACCACAGCCACTCTGGGCAGCTTCCAACAATTAAAACGTTAAGCACAGGAAAACAACGAACATTAAAAACTCCCCTATATAGGGCTGCCTTCAGATGTCAGATAGTTGTTTATTTCCTTGACATCTGAAAGGAGGGCGTTCCATAGGGCGGGTGCCACTACCGAGAAGGCCCTCTGCCTAGCTCCCTGTAACTTCACTTCTTGTAGTGAGGGAACTGCCAGGAGATCCTCACTTTCAGGGCTGAACGATGGAGGTGGAGACGCTCCTTCAGGTACAGAGGGCGAGGCCATTTAGGGCTTTCAAAGTCAGCACCACCACTTTGAATTGTGCTCGGAAATGTACTGGGAATGTACTGAAATCCTCCCTGTCCCCCCTTAATAGCATTTAGATGCTGTTAAAATACAGCCTTGCTGCAGTCAGCAGACTCTTCTGAGGCCATCCCAGAAGCAAACTGGTAAGGGAGGAGCCCTTAAAATGTGGGGCCAGTCCCCTTCTGCACCCCCAGCTGGCGCACTGCTCTGCCTTGTGCAGGGCAAGAGCACCCAAGGCCACAAAGCGGGCAGCTGCCTCATAAAGGTGCCAGGAAGGGAGCAGGCATGCCTGGCTGGTGCTTTACTCACTCGGTCAGGGTGACATCGGCCGTGTCCAGAAGGAACTGCTTCCTGCGGTTGGTGCAGACCAAGGTCACCGTCTGCTGGTCCAGGCCCACCTGCGGCAGAAGGAAGGTACCCCAGGTCAGGGAAGAAGCCCCAGGACAAAGGAGAGCCCCTCAGCCTTTGAGCTGAGAAGCTGCTCAAAGGTGGGCTGCCCAACTGAATATTTACAAACAAACTGTAAACAGGTAAGAACACTGGCAGGACTATTGTAATAACCTGCAGTTTTATAAGAGTATGCACTTAAAGTAGATGAATAAATGATTAAGTTAATATGGAATATGCATTTCTGAAACAACCATGGGATATTAGCTCCACCCAAGGCATGATGGAGAACATCAACAACCAGGAAAGACAGACACAGCATTTTACAAGGACAGGAAGAAACATTATGGACAGAATAATTGTCACACACAGGAAGAACAAGGACATAGTTTGAGTGCCTCACTTGTAGTTTCATAAACCATTTAATGTGTCAATACGAATAGAAATTAATATTGCAGTTGTTGTATATGGGATTATTATCGTGACAGGAATGTAACTGAAATTAGTATCTGGAATGCAGATGTAAAGAAAATAATTCAATCAATTCTAGCATGCGGGGGAACACCTATATTACAGTGGTACCTCGGGTTAAGTACTTAATTCGTTCCGGAGGTCCGTACTTAACCTGAAACTGTTCTTAACCTGAAGAACCACTTTAGCTAATGGGGCCTCCTGCTGCCGCCGTGCCGCCGGAGCCCGATTTCTGTTCTCATCCTGAAGCAAAGTTCTTAACCTGAAGCACTATTTCTGGGTTAGCGGAGCCTGTAACCTGAAGCGTATGTAACCTAAAGCGTCTGTAACCCGAGGTACCACTGTGTATTTCAATTTGGTATTTGAATGATTGGTATTAGTAACTGTGGTGTAGTGTGGTGTAGTAGTTAAGAACGGTGGACTTGTAATCTGGTGAACTGGGTTCGCTTCCCCGCTCCTCCACATGCAGCTGCTGGGTGACCTTGGGCCAGTCACACTTCTCTGAAGTCTCTCAGCCCCACTCACCTCACAGAGTGTTTGTTGTGGGGGAGGAAGGGAAAGGAGAATGTTAGCCACTTTGAGACTCCTTCGGGTAGTGATAAAGCGGGATATCAAATCCAAACTCTTTCTGTATTATAATTTGGCATTGTTATAATGAGGCTATTAATGGGTTGTAATTGAAAACTAATAAAAAATATTATTAAAAAAAGTTAATTTGGAATATGCAGAAAATATATAAAACAAATTTGAAGAACCACAGAAAGAGCGGGAAGGAAGATGAGTTTCAAAATGTTAAAATGATTGTAAAATTACTGAAATGTATAAAATTGAAAATCATAAAAAATCAAAAAGGGGGCTGCTCAAAGGTGGGCACTGGAGGTGCCACAGAGCCTGGCATGATGCCCTCTGTGGCCATGACTCTGCAATATCCTTGGATGCCAAGCAGTTTCAACAGGTCCAGCTGCCCCTGCTGCATTCACACAATGGTGTGTCTCTCCCCCCCCCCCCCCGGCAGAAGCCAGCAGCTCAACCGGGCAGCTTCTGTGCCTCTGAAACCGCACTGGTAAAAGCCCCACAACTCTTTGGGAACAGCACCCTTGCCCTGGAATTCAGAGCACTGAAAACAAGAAGGCCCTCCCCTCTCAGGTGTACCATGGCTGGATCCAGCTTCTGTCCCAAGAGGCGCCAGCACTGTCCCCCTGCCTCAGTCCCCCTTTCCCAACTCACTGAGATGTAGTCCAGTTCATTGTAGGAAACTGCTTCCTCTACCATGTAGGGCTTCTCAGCGGCTCCTGAGCCAAAAAGGGGGAGGGAGCAGGGAGGAGAAAGAGAGAGAGCCAAGTCAGTCACATGGTTTGGGAAAGTTGCAGCCCATCCACGAGGGTCTCTGGATCACCTGGCACGGCCTCTTGCAGCTCAGTGATCAGGCCCCAGGTGATATTGCTCACATCCTCACTTAAAAAAAAAAGCAAAGCAACTACAACAGAAGGCGGGGAGATGGTCTGGAAGCCACACTCCCTGGACACAGTCACAGCAAACAGGGAGGCAGGCTTTGAACTGAGCAAGGCAATGCCGTACAATGTGCCCTTCCCCACCAAAATGAGGAAGGGCTGTGGCTCAGCGGCAGAACATCTTCTTTGTGCACAGAGGATCCCAGGTTCAATCCCTCGCAGTTTCTTCAGGTAGGGCTGGGAATGCCTCCCCCACTTGCCTGCAACCATGGAGAGGCACTGCTGCCAGTCAGCGCAGGCAACAGTGAGCATCAGCAAAGTCCACCCACTAAACCGCTTCTAGGGCAAATTTAAATTGGGATGCCTCCATGCCAGGTTCTTGGGCTGGGGGGAGGGGAGGGTTGTTGCTGTTGGGGTGTTTTTTTGCATTTTTATTATAGATCTTCTTGTGATTTATGTGGAAGCTGTTCAGTTGGGTTGTGAAAATTTTTAATGTTTTATTTATTGTTTATGACTACAGTGGTACCTCTGGTTACGAACGGGATCCGTTCTGGAGCCCAGTTCGCAACATGAGCAGAACGCAACCCGCGCCTGCGTGTCACGATTCACCGCTTCCGTGCGTGACGTCATTTTGAGCGTCTGTGAGCGGCGAAACCCAGAAGTAACACTTTCTGGTACTTTCGGGTCGCCGCAGGACGCAACCTGAAAAGATTTAACCTGAAGGAAACGTAACAAGAGGTATGACTGTACTATTGTCATGTTGTAGCTATGTATTGTTTTCATTTTGTAGGTCACCTTGAGCATAGTTTGAACTGTGGAAAGGCAGCATACAAATTAAATTATCATAGAACTGTAGAGCTGGAAGGGACCCATGAGGGTCATCTAGTCCAACCCCCTGCAATGTGAGAATCTCAACTAAAGCAGCCATGGCAGATGGCCATCCAACCTCTGCTTAAAAACCTCCATGGAAGGAGAGGCTACTACCTCCCGAGGGAGACCGTTCCACTGTCTAACAGCTTTTGCTGTCAGCTAGTTCTTCCTGATGTTTAGTCGGATTCCCCTTTCTTGTAACTTGAAGCCATTGGTTCGAATCCTAACCTCCAGAACAGGAGAAAACAAGCTTGTTCCATCTTCCATGCGACAGCCCCTTGAGATATTTGAAGATGGCTGTTATGTATAAAGGTAAAGGTAAAGGTACCCCTGCCCGTACGGGCCAGTCTTGACAGGCTCTAGGGTTGTGCGCTCAACTCACTCTAGAGGCCGGGAGCCAGCGCTGTCCGCAGACACTTCCGGGTCACGTGGCCAGCGTGACGAAGCTGCTCCGGCAAACCGGCACCAGAGCAGCACACGGAAACGCCGTTTACCTTCCCACTATAAAGCGGTACCTATTTATCTACTTGCACCCGAGGGTGCTTTCGAACTGCTAGGTTGGCAGGCGCTGGGACCGAACGACGGGAGCTCACCCCGCCGCGGGGATTCGAACCGCCGACCATGCGATCGGCAAGTCCTAGGCGCTGAGGTTTTACCCACAGCGCCACCCGCTGTTATGTATGCATGCCACCAAAACCCTGCCTTTGGAAGTTGCCTGTGGCCCAAAAGAAAGTAAGACGGGGAGTGCCAAGTTATTTGCCGGGGGGGGGGGGGGAGAGGGATAAAGACAGGTGTATGTGGGGTATATTATGTGAGACAAATACTTTTTGCGACTCCAGTGGCCACAAAGGGAGCAGAAGGGATGTGTTAAGCAGCCCTGGTAAAAATGCTTTTTCAATCCACCATCTGCAGCACCGCCTGCCAAATAATCACCCCTGAAACATCACTAAATGGCTCCTTTGCAAGTACAAAGCCAGGATCGGGGCCTGTGCCCCAAGGAGGGAAGAGACTGGGCCAGCCTGGCAGGATACCTTTGCGGAGGAGGTAGACGTAGCAGTCGGTCAGCAGCACGTAGACGAGCTGGAGGTTGCCCTCCATGTGCCCAGAGCTCATGCGGATCATCTGCGTGGGGGGGAAAGAGAGAGGCGCCCTGTTAAGGCTTTGCCACAGGGGCTCCGCGAAACGCACCCACTGGCCACAACTTTGCCACTGGGGCAACGCTGCCCATGGAACACTGAATCATAGAATCATAGAGTTGGAAGAGACCACAAGGGCCATCGAGTCCAACCCCCTGCCAAGCAGGAAACACCATCAGAGCACTCCTGACATATGGTTGTCAAGCCTCTGCTTAAAGACCTCCAAAGAAGGAGACTCCACCACACTCCTTGGCAGCAAATTCCACTGTCGAACAGCTCTTACTGTCAGGAAGTTCTTCCTAATGTTTAGGTGGAATCTTCTTTCTTGAAGTCTGCTCTTTTGCACTGCTCCCTGTTCCTGATCTGCTGGAACTGCTGGTGACTCTAGGACAGAAGAGAGTTCTTCCCCTCCAAAGCAGGCTTTGAGCTAGCTGGCATCAAGCCCCGCACACACAAACACCCCCTTCACTTTGCCTCTTAAGGACAGGAGAAACTGAGTAAGTCGAGAGGGGGACATCCCAAAAGGAGTGGGGGAAAGGGAAGAGAAGGCGGCAACACCTCACAGACCTACCCGGAACAGCTGCTCCTCATTTTCCCGGAAGACATGGATCATCAGAAGCAACAAGTGGTTGTTGTCTACCCTGTGCAGAGAGAGAGAGAGAGAGAGAGAGAGAGAGAGATGAATCTCAAAAAGCATGGAAGATTTAGACCTCCCCCTAATACCTCAGGGCCAGTGGGAGAGGGGGAGATTTGGGCCTTATGAGGTCATTCCCACGCGGCAATTTAATATAGGACTATATTATCCAGCAATGCGTCCCTCACCCAATGGTCAATATTCTTCTTCAAAGTTGATCCTTTTGCATTTGGGCTGGAAGGAGCAACACCTCACCGTCACCCCAAGTGCTTGCATGCCACTAAGGACAGAAGTCTCCACAATGTTTGCTCAGAAGAAAGCCCCATTCAGGACAGGTCTCCTTCAAATTGAGTTAGAAGCTTCCTCCTTGCGGCTTCTCCCTCTCAATACTGATGCAACTGCCCCTGGCTTAGTTCTTGTTCCCACAGATGAGGAGGGGAGACTGTTTTCCTCTCATTCCTTTCCCACCCCCCTAGTAATTACCGTATTTTTCGCCCTATAGGACACAATTTTCCCCCTCCAAAAATGAAGGGGAAATGTGTGTGCGTCCTATGGGGCGAATGCAGGCTTTCGCTGAAGCCTGGAGAGCGAGAGGCATCGGTGCGCACCGACCCCTCTCGCTCTCCAGGCTTCAGGAAGCTATCCGCAAGCCTTGCAAGCCCGGTGGGAGTTCCCGCGGGCTCACAAGGCTTGCGGGCAGCAGCCTGCAGCCCCGGCGAGTGTCCGCAAGCCTTGCGCGCCCAGCAGGAGGTCCCGCCGAGCGCGCGAGGCTTGGGGCAGCAGCCTGTCACCTGAAGCACGGGGAGCCCTCCGGAGGGTGCCCCGTGCTTCGGGCAGGTGTGCACAAGGCTTGGGGCGGCAGCCGCGGCGGGGGGGGGAAATAATTTTTTTTAATTCATTTCCCCCCCCAAAAAACGAGGTGCGTCCTATGGGCCGGTGCGCCCTATAGGACGAAAAATACGGTATATAATACAATTTCATGATAAACAAAAAAACCAAGTAAATAATGAGAGGAAGCCAGTAAAATTAAAGACGCTTTGCCTGGGTGAGGAAAAGGGGATGATTAACCGATGAGCAGTTCAAAGGCAGTTTCTTGTCACTAAACAGGAAGGAATGAGAGGAGGATGTCGCACAGGGGAAGCTCCTAATCGAAGGCACAGTACAGTGGTACCTCGGGTTAAGAACTTAGTTCGTTCTGGAGGTCTGTTCTTAACCTGAAACTGTTCTTAATCTGAAGCACCACTTTAGCTAATGGGGCCTCCTGCTGCCACTGCGCCGCTGCTGCACGATTTCTGTTCTCATCCTGAAGCAAAGTTCTTAACCCGAGGTACTATTTCTGGGTTAGCGGAGTCTGTAACCTGAAACGTATGTAACCAGAAGCGTATGTAACCCGAGGTACCACTGTAGCTGGAAGCTTCAAATGAATTCTGCCAGCCCACCTTGGGCAACACAGCACCTCAGCTGTGGCAAGTCAGAGAAGCTGCCTGGGATTTTAAAAACACAAAAACTACACAACGCAATGTTTTGTCAGCTACGCCATCTGGATTCTTTGTCATCAGCAAGTGAATGCAGCCAACAAGAGATTCCAGGCTGAACGGCTCCACCGTGAGGTTAGCAGGCCGGAGTGACAATTTGCCAGACAGATAAAAGATGACTGAGAATTCCCACCCCACCCCCCGGTCTTTTCTCCTTGTCTCAGAAGACCCAGCAGAAGCAGCCAGCCACCATTTTGTCCTCAGGTAGAGAAACTCATACATCTCGTTTATAAGGGGAATAACCGTTTCCCCTTCCCATCCTACCCTGCCCTGGGTCAGAAAGGTTCCCACCTTCTTTCACCCACTGGATTTCCTGGCAGCTTTATTTGGTTCCCTCTGTGCAGCCACTTACCTGAACTCGGAGGGGTGGGCTGCCTCAGAAGGGCTCCCCTGGCCTTCTTCCACGCCAGAGTCCTCAGCGCTGCTTGGAGAGGGGCTGGCCCTGTCTCCCTTTAGCTTACCGAGGGCCTCCACACTGCCTGCCTCAACCTCCACCACCTCCTCCTCCTGCTCCTGCAAGTCCGTTGCTATGCGTGGCCCAGCCGTCTCTTCTCCTCCTCCTCCTTCCTCCTCTTCTCCAGCAGCTTGAGGGCCACCAGGAACATGTGGCGGTTGACCATCCCCTGCAGCGTCATGGCGGCCACCACCTGCCGAAGCAGCGTTTGGACTCTCGACGGTAAAGCGGTAGAAATCCATGGGGGCCGAAACCCCCTCACTAACGCCGCCAGAGGGTGGCCCCTCCGAGGGGGCCTCCTCTGGCAAGACGGTCCGAAAGGACTGGTCCGGGGGCTCGAGGGAGCGGTTCCACCCCCCGGCATCGTCCAGGGAATCAATCACCCTGCTCAGAGATTGCCCCATCCTCTCCATGGAGGTGTCCTTCATCTCGGGGATGCACAGACCCAGCTGGGGAAGGGCGGGGCTCCTCTCGCTGCTGACATCTGGGTTGGCCTCCAGGCCAGATTCCTGCTGCCTGGCTCCGGTGCCCGACTTGTCCCCCTCGTCTGCCCCTTGAGTTCCAGCCTGGGCCACAGAAGAGTTGGGAGTGGTGCTGGAGTCCTCCTGTCTGACCTCTTCGGTCTTGACCTTTTTCTTCTTGCCTGCCTTCTTCTTTTTAGCTAGCCTACAAAGAGATGGAGAAGTATTAGATAGATAGATAGATAGATAGATAGATAGATAGATGTTAGATATCTAACACCGAGTAAATTGGCAAAAATGTATAACTCTAAATCAAATAAGTGTAAGGAGAAAGAAGGTTCTTTTTATCATGTGGTGGTCTTGAAGCTTCCTGGGAAATGATATATAATGAATTGAAAAAGATGTTTAAAATAACGTTTGTAAAAAAAACAAACCCAGAAACTTTCCTTTTAGGAATTATAGGGACAACCACCCAAAATGTAAAAAAGCTTATTCATGTATGCTACTACTGCAGCAAGAATGTTACTTGCCCAAAAATGGAAAGAAGCAGAAGTCCCAGCGAAAGAAGAATGGATACAAAAACTTATGGAATATGCAGAAATGGCGAAACTTACCGGAAAAAAATGAGAAATCAAGATAGCAACCTTTTTATAAAAGAATGGAAATGGTTTATTGAATATTTACAGACAAATTGTAAACAGGTAAGAACACTGGCAAGATTATTGTAATCTGCAGTTTTAAAAGAGTACATATTTAAAGTAGATGAATAAATGAATAATTTGGAAATGCAGAAGGTATTAAAAATAAATTTAAGGAACCGCACAAAGGGGGGAAGGAAGTCAAGTTTTGAAATGTTAAAATGACTGTAAAATTGAAATGCATGAACCTGAAAATAAAATAAAAAAGAGATGGAGAAGTAGAAGCACAGTGAGCCATAAGGGCAGCGTCAGGCCACGGGGGTGTTGGGGGGCAGCGACAGCCCTCTAGAGAACGCAGCCAGCGTGAATATTTGGTCCCATACCGAAGGACACCCCCCTAGGCTTATTAGGAATAGAAGCAGCTGGCTGGGGCTGATGGGAATTGAAGTCCAGCAACATCTAGAAGGCCACGGCTCCCCCAAACCTAAACTAGACCGTCATTTGCCTCTCCTGTCCCTGCCTACATCCATCACAACTCTGCCTCCTCTTGAACGCAGGGGTGTGGAACCTGTGGCACTCTGGGTGTCGGACTCCAGCTCCTTCCATCTTCCCTGGGACTTCCGGGGTGGCGCCATCGGTAATGGCTGCTTCCCTCTGATTCGGAGGGAACCGGCTCATCTTCCCCGACCACAGGCGATGCTGGGCCTGGAGGGAGTTGGAGTCAAGCAACCTCTGGAGGGCCACAGTTAGCCCAGCCATGAGCAAGACAGAGCAAGGTAGTTTATAATATGTTTTAAGGAGGGGACAATAGCTCAGCAGTGAAGCCTATCCACCTCCCTGGTATCTCTGACTGCAAACCTGCTGACTGTCAAGAGTGGACTCAGCTAGCTGGAAGAATGGCCCAATGCAACAGGAATGCTGAAGAGGTACTCCTTTACTCTGACCTTTGACCCCTCAAGAAGCGAGGTTTTTTAGGACATAGTCTCTTCCTCTGACTTGCTTCAACTGTTAATATAGTAAAGGTAAAGGGACCCCTGACCATTAGGTCCAGTCGTGGCCGACTCTGGGGTTGTGGCGCACATCTTGCTTTATTGGCCGAGGGAGCCGGCGTACAGCTTCTGGGTCATGTGGCCAGCATGACTAAGCCGCTTCTGGCGAACCAGAGCAGCGCACGGAAACGCCGTTTACCTTCCCGCCAGAGTACCTACTTATCTACTTGCACTTTGACGTGCTTTCGAACTGCTGGGTGGGCAGGAGCAGGGACCGAGCAATGGGAGCTCACCCCATCGTGGGGATTCGAACCACCGACCTTCAGATCGGCAAGTCCTAGGCTCTGTGGTTTAACCCACAGCGCCACCCGCTGAATTTTAAATTGCTGTAGCCCTGGGATGATGATGATGATGATGATAATGCTAGCCCAAAGATGGAAAGCACCAACAGTTCCGATCAAGGAAAAATGGCAAGCCAAACTGAAATGCTGAAAAGGCAAAACTGACTGGGAGACTCAGGAATCAAGAAGATATTGACTTTGAAAAAGAATGGGGAAAATTTATTATTTACTTAGGAGACCATTGTAAACAAATAAAAATGTTAGCTGGACTTTAAAAATAACTTGCATAGAAACGAAAAATATGGATAATTTAGAGAAAGGAAAACTGGAGAACGCAATGATATGTAGTTTTAGAAAAACCATTTTAAGCACCCATGCAGGGGAGGTGGGGAAGTCATGAGATTCAGAGAATCTCATATATGGATATGGCTCAAGTTTTTTCTCTTTAATATTTTGAATTTGTTTTTGTAAAAACCAATAAATTTTTTTTTTTTTTTTAAAAAAGATAATGATAATTATGATAATAAGCAGTTTCATAGGATTCCAGCTGGCCAGGGAACCCTGGACTTTCTACCCCCCCCGCTGACCTTATGACCTCCAGCTCCATGCAGTTCTCCGATAGGTCTGTGCCCTCCGTCGTTGTGAGGTCTGCCTTCTCTTGGGAGGCAGAGTGGACTGGGGTGGTCTCAATGGAGGACAACGCCTCCGCCTTCTCGTTGAAAGGGTTGTAGCGCTGCTGAGTTGGGCTCTTGGCCGACGCTCGGCAGTTGTTCACCTCGGAGGCTGTGGAGCGCGAGCAGCTGAGGGTGTCTGTTAGGTCTCCGTCTGAGCAAGAGGAGGAGAAAAAGCAACAAAGTGTGATTCAGCTCCCCCCTCCCTACAAGAAGGTCCTGAAGCCAGAAGCAAAGCCTGGGGAAAGAGTGGCCCATGAAGGATCCCCAGCAGAGGGGTGGTTTTTGGTGCCCCCTGCAGACATCCTGAGACAACTCAGGGTCATTCAAAGTAAGCAGCCAGGAATCAGAGGAGGACTCGTCTACTTCACAAGTGCTCATTGGTTTCGGTTTAAAACTAGTTTTGGAAACTTATCACAGATTGCGATACTTATCATCGTTCAGCCCGGACACTGAGATCCAGCTCCGAGGGCCTTCTGGCGGTTCCCTCATTGCGAGAAGTGAGGTTACGGGGAACCAGACAGAGGGCCTTCTCGGTAGTGGCGCCCGCCCTGTGGAACGCCCTCCCTTCAGATGTGAAGGAAATAAGCTGCTATCCTATCTTTAAAAGACATCCGACGGCAGCCCTGTTTAGGGAAGTTTTTAATATTTAATGCTGTACTGTTTTTAACACTCAATTGGGAGCCGCCCAGAGTGGCTGGGGAAATTCAGCCAGATGGGCGGGGTATAAATAATAAATTATTATTATTATTATTATTATTATTATTATTATTATTATTATTACATGGCATTACAATCTGGCAAAGGCACTGAAAAGTCTTATTCAGCACCCCCTGATGCTTTAATGCCTGTTTGCACAGAACTCACAGGTTTTCAAGCTCGTTCAGTTATTTAAAGAACTACAGCATTGTAGTGCAGAAATGCCCCTGAGCTGAGCTGCCTTGGGATTGGACTAGGCTCCAAGCAAGGCGAGAGGAGCAGTCCCATTCAGCTGCCCTGTAAGCAACCAAATATCAGCCACGAACAGGTGCCCCAAACCCTGAGCACCGCAGGGTTGGTAGGCAGAATGCTCTTGGAAGAGAACGGAAAACGGGCAGGAGGAGCCTCAACTCAACGTTCTGAGCACCTTCCCACTGGCAATTTCTGCTCTCCTGTCCTCCCTGTTTCCCTTTCCAATCATAAGGACTAGAAGCTCGCCTACAAACAAGACAGAGAGCAGCTTCTAATAGAGAGTCCTTGGTTTCCTTCTGCTGCAAAGCCCTGTGAGGAGGAGGAGGAGGTGGCGGCACAGAGTCCGAGGCAGCCCATAAAGAGGGAGAGCAGAGAAAAGAGATGGGCCCGCTTAAAAAACGAGGCTGCCAGTGGAGAAAGGGGGGTTGGTGGCAATCAAATAAGTGATGGCTTCTTTTGGGTCTTTCCCATGCACTGTTGGAACAGAGAAAGCGGTTAGTGGCCCGGGAGAAGGTGATCACCGATGCCTGTGCAGAAAGAGAGGGTTTGGAAGGCTTGTTAATCTGGAGACGAGGAGGACACCCAGCATCTCATGCTGCAGAGACAAAGCCACAGAACGAGGAAGGATGTTAAAGACACTCAGGACTTGGCCCCACTAGGAGGGAGAGGGAGGTCAAAGGCCGCGGGGAAGGGCCAGCGAGGTGGAGAGCCCTCGCTCCCCAAAGTGCCGCAGCACCCAGTGCCAAGCCCCTGTTTACCCCACAAGGAGTGGCGGAGGGAGGGACCTCACACTCTTCTGAGCCGCTGGTTCCCCCTGGGGGCGCCAAGCGGCTTTAGGGACCCATGGCGGGGCATGCAGGCAAGCTCTGACGAAGGAAACAAAAGCGGCACAGAGAGAGCATGGCTACGGAGAAGCGGGCGAGCTGGTCGCACCTTCCCAGGCTGTGGTGGGCATGGACGGCACTGCAGGGAACACATCTCCAAAATCATAATCTACAAAACGAGGGATAAAAAAGGAGGGTTAGAAATGGAGGCTGAAGGAAGGGGTGGGGAATAAATGGCCAGGGGGGCGTCAAGGGGGACAGAGGTGGGGTGCTAGTTCGTTGCTCTTATTATTTATAGCATTTATATCCCACCTTTTTTCTCCAAGGAGCTCTAGAGTGGTATACATGGTTTGCCTCCTCCTCATTTAATGGCCACAACAACCCTGTGAGGTAGGTTGGGCTGAAAGGCAGTGACCCTGTGAGCTTCATGGCCAGACAGAGATTCAAACCCTGGTCTCCCAGGCCCTAGTCCGACAATCCGTCCACTACATCATGCTGGTTCTTCCCAGCAGCATAGGTCTACGCATGGGGCAGAGGAGAGGTGGGGAACTGTGGCTGGATTATACCACTCCAGGCTGCGGGGGGGGGGGGGGAGGTGCCAGTTTCCAAATGCTCCCCCAAATACAAAACTTCCAGAAAGGAAATGCCATCATCGCCAGCAACAAACACAGCAGTTTACCAGGGAGGAATATTCAAGTTCGGTCTACTCCTTAGTTGTGCCTGCCTCCTATTCCTCTGGGTCTGTTCCTGCTTGCTTGTTGGTTTTTTGAATGCAGGAGGGCATTAAAAAAGTGGTTCCCCTGACTGGCTCTCAGATGTGGTACAGTCCAGTCTAGCACCTCGGGACTACCCAGTTCATTCTACAGCACAGGCAGATGAGGCTTAACCAGCATCAGGTGGGGAGAAAACTGTGCACACCCCCAGCATGGTATTTTCAAATACCTTATTAAAGACACCACTCTGAGAGAAGTACTCCATTCATGTGTATCCAAGAGGACGCCTTTTAGGCCATGGAGAGACCTGGCTTCAGGTAACTCCCCCACCCTGGGTTTTGTCCACGAAGACAGGGAGATGTCACCCACGCTCTGGGTCTCCAGCACAGAGGGCTGGAATACCCTACTAGCAAAATCACCCACGCTCCCTCCCCTTCTCTCTGCAGAGAAACAACATGACTACTAGATACCCAAACTGGATTAACTCTCTCTGCCTTCGCCCCAAACTGCTGTTTGGTGAGCGAGGAGGGATTTCTGCCTGCAGACGTCAGTCTCCTGGGCACTGTGCAACAACCCCCTGGCCTCCTCCAGCCCTGTTCGAACACTTGCACCCCACTTACCCTCGCTGGAGGGGGCAATGGCACTGTCGTCCCATTCCAGGTTGGTGGAGGTGACGGAATTGAAGGAGTTGAGGGAGAGGCTGTCTGAGCCATGGACTGAGCTGGGCAGGCGGTCCTCAAAGTCCAGCAGGTACTGAGGCTTGTAGTAATCCGGCATGTAGGGCGCCAGGTCCAGGTAAGGGGCATCCTGGAAGGGCCAGGGAAAAACCTGGGGTTACTGTTCATCTAGGGAATGGAGAAACCCACCTCCTGACCTGCCTCCCCTAAGGAGCCCCTGCTGGCAGGACAGCTGGCTGCTCACTGCTGCCACCATCCTGCTTCCAGGCGCCACCTCTCTTAGGGCACCTGCATGTGGCCAGCTGCCTCCAAGCACTGCAGAGAACTGGAGCCACAGTCATGCCAGCGCTCGGAGGGCTGCTTATTAAGGAAGAACAAGAGGGGGTAACTTGACTAGGGAGAAGTCTCAGTACCCAGAGCCCTGGGAGAGGCATCTTTGTGGGGAAAGGGTCTGCTTGCAGCTTCCTCGACACTGATGCATCTGGTTGGCAAATTAATTGGAAGGGGTGGCCTGCCCTTGAAAAGGGCTCACCACTGAAGCTCAGAACACACCTCTAGGTATAAGAAATAAAAGGAAGGCGAAATGCTGCTCCTCTTTGGTCCAGACTAAATCAGAAGGCTGTAGCGAAAGGGGTTTGAACAGCCAATGTAATGAAGGGGTCCTTCTTGAGTCTCTCTCTCTCTCCCCCCTGCCAGCCCAGTAAATCACTTTCCACACAGGGCTCTTAGTCCTAGTGTCTAGCAAAGTACTTCTTAAATGCTGCTAATGTAATACAGAAGAAGCAAGGGCCTTTCAAAATGGGGGAAAAAATCAATGCAGCATCTTTATTTGGCCGTAGATGCAGGAAATTGAAGGGTGGGCAGGAGGTGGATTAAGCTTTCCTCGTGGCACCATCAAGATGCTGCAACTCAAAAGGAGGCATGGAAATTTCCGTGCGTGTATTCGAAGCCTGATGGAAGTTGTGCTGCCAAAGACTGGGGTAGCCAAATGGGGGCCAGGGGGATTGAAAAATACAGGGCAGGTTTGCATCAAGAGTTTGTTCTTTGCTCCTTCTGTGTGTGTGTGTCTCTCCGCTACTCTCCAGCAAGAGGAGAAGATTTGCTCACCAGGTCTAAATCAAAGCGGATGAACTCCAAACCAGAGACCAGCGTGAGGAAGAGGGTCAAATGATGGTGGCTGCAGACAAGAGCGTTCCTGTGGGAGAGAGAAGTTGAAGCTGGTCATCCAAGAACCCAGAGGTTTCATGGCCCACCCAGGCAAAAACAAAGCCCAACCTCTTCCCATCTGATCTTTCCCTTCCTTCTGCAATCCAAAAAGACAAATTCTGCAAGTTCAGCAAGGAAGGAAAGATTGAAAAGGCTTCCATTTAATATTCCAAGTCACATAAGCAGATCTGACTGTTCGGACTCCTTGCAACATCATTGAAGACAAATATGTTGGTTTTCCAGAAAATTTTGAATCAGAAATTTTTCTTTGTCTGGTATTCTGAACTGAACTGTGTTACACTGTTGTAAACATTTTCCTTTTGCGGGTCTTGTTTAAATAAAACCATTAAGTTTTTATTTTATTAATTAAGTATTTATTTTTATTTTATTTAAAAAAAGAAAAGAGAAGAGAAGTCTTCTGGCACCTTCAGCCAAATGGAATCTGAATTAGTGTGTTTATTTGAATTTCATTTAGAAAATGAAAGTAAGTCACCCATGCTAACGATATGTACCGTTTAAACCTTTTCCCAATAACCCAAAGTCTGTTGAACTGCAATACTCAATTAAGTGGGGACACCCAATAATGTAAACTTTGTGTGTTTTCTATGGTGCATTCAAGAAGACGATTTACTTAAGAAACCAGTGAACTGGAATAGTTGTATGTATTTTAAAACATGCCGACTCAACAGTTTGCACTTCCCTTACACCGTTTGAACATTAAGGGTGGGGGGAAGCGCAGCTGTGCCTTCTCCATCCCAGTGCCAGACTCACTTGACGTAGTACTTGTGCAGCAGACTCAGGTTCTCCTGGAAGAGGCGCAGGTAGCTCTCCAGGGAGTTCTCATTGAGGGCCAGGTACAGCCATGCTCGGCCTGGGGGGGCGGAAAAGGAGAGGGTTTTACGGGCACGGCTTGAGGAGTAGGCAACCTCCCACCCACCATGGCTAAATGTCAAGAGCAACAGGCTCAATACACAGGCTTTGGGTAATGCCTCCGAGATGTCATCATGAGACAATGCTCAGCTGCTGCCAAGAGGTGCTGGGAAGCCATGCACTCTGGGCCTGGCCATGCCCTACTCCTTAACCTCACGTTGCAGGACAAGACAGTTTTTTCTGTATTACACAAGCCCAAGCCCATCAAATGTCCCAGGATTAAGCCCTTTTGAAAAAGGTGCCAGCCTTAAATCAGCCCCTGCTTTAACCAGCAAAACACCACCGGATCAGAGCATCCTTGCCCCTGTTAAGGAACCTGGTTCTGTACAAAGTGGGCAGCCTGGCGAAGATCTCAGTGCAGCTCAGAAGCTTGCATGTCCTTGTGTCAGCAGAGAGGGGTCTAGGGAACACAAATTCCCTGTCCCAACGTATTTCAGAGTCAACACAACATGGTTACAGCAGGCCTGGGGAGTGCCTGGATGGGGGACCCCTGTGAGGAGGACGACTGTGGAACCAGCCAATGGCCTGGCAGCTGGAAGACCGGATCAGTCCTTTGGATAGGAGCCCAAAGGGAGCAACAGCTTAGAACAGGATATGTGTTTCATTCATTTCAGAGAGTTTATATTCTCTCGTTCTACAGTAAAGAAAGCAACAACGGCAGTGCTCAGGGCAGATTTTAAAACCCCCCCGAAACAACAGCAATACAGCATTAAAAATAATAATAATAAAAGACCACAGGAAAAGAGACAACAGCTAAAATAACTGGAATAGAGCCATTAAAAATCCAGAATTGTAGCCAGTGCTAGCCCTACTCTGAGTAGACCTGTCAAAGTTAAGGAACATGACTACTTTAGGTTTTTTTATTTAAATGTGTCTCCTCTGAGTAGGACTAGGACAATTCCTAACGGGCAAATTAAAAGTTAGCCTAAATAAAAGTGTCTTATCTGAGTAGTGGAAGGCAGGCAGAGAGAAGCCAAAGGGACCCCCTGAAGGACAGAGTTCCGTAGTTTCTCTCCTGCATCCTGAGTGCTCTAGTCCTGGTAGCAGCCAGGATGCAAAGGAGAGGTTTGTCTTCAGATCCTAGGGCGCAGGTTGGGTTTAAGTTGAACCAGAAAACATGGAACACAAACACTATGCCACATTACATCCCGGGAAGGCGGTTGCCAGCCAAGCTCTGGTCTGCACTTACTGCGCCCCAAGTTGGTGGCCACGTGCTCCAGGACCTCGATCTGCTCAATGGCTTCTCGGCGAGTGAAATGGACCACCAGGACCCAGTAGCCCGAAGGGAGATCTTGCAGCCTGTGGAAACAGAGGAGTAAAAACAGGGTGATGGAGGACAGCCACTGTGTCAAGGCTTCTACCTCAGACCTGTTTAACAGCACAGCCTGCAATATGAATATTATTATCTGTGTAGCTGGAGCCATTACAAAAAAATAATAATACACACAGCAGAATACATTACACAGTTACAATAATTATTGAAACCAGGCATTCTGTCAGACAAGAGTTTGCTCCCCTGAGGAATTTAACTCATCATCCCAGCAAACTTTTATCTTTAAAACGGGCACTCTAAAGGCAAAACAGGTCACTTTTCCTGAATTGTAAGGGGGACCTGCTGCACAGCCTGGAAGACACATGGACTTTCTTTCACTGCCTCCGAAGCCCCAGATAAAATGTTCAGGAGAGATCCAGCCCAGACCCAAAATATCTAACTCAACTTACTCACGAATTGACTCCAGGTACCACCTGTCACGGGGACACGGGTGGCGCTGTGGGTTAAATCACAGAACCTAGGACTTGCCGATCAGAAGGTTGGCAGTTCAAATCCCCGCAAAGGGGTGCGCTCCCGTTGCTCAGTCCCTGCTCCTGCCAACCTAGCAGTTCAAAAGCACGTTCAAAGTGCAAGTAGATAAATAGGTACTGCTCCGGTGGGAAGGTAAACGGTGTTTCTGTGCGCTGCTCTGGTTCGCCAGAAGCGGCTTAGTCATGCTGGCCACATGACCCGGAAGCTGTACGCCGGCTCCCTCGGCCAATAAAGCGAGATGAGCGCCGCAACCCCAGAGTCGGCCACGACTGGACCTAATGGTCAGGGGTCCCTTTACCTTTACCACCTGTCACCTTATAAGAACACCAGAGGAGCTTAGCTGCTGGGTCAGGCCAAAAACCTATCAAGACAAGCATTCTGCCCCACAGCAGCCAATCTGGTGCCTCTAGGAGGCTCACAGGCAGCACGTGAGCACAACAGCCCCATGTCTGTTCCCCACCAGCTGGCATTCAGATGGCCTGCCCTCTCTGATATTGGAGGAAGGCTGTGGCTGCAGTAGCTAGCAATTCCACTGATAGCCCCCCTCACTTCCCCTCGATGAATTTTTGCCCAAGGTGGGGTCCATCACCACCTCTGGGGCAGCAAGTTCCACAGCTCAGCTCTGTGAGAACTCATAAGCTGCTTCTTCTTCCTGCTTGCCCTGAATCTCTCACCATTCAGCTTCTGTGGGATCTGAAAATCTTCCCCTTGCCCATTTTCTCCACGCTGCTATTCCGTCTTCCCCCCTCCCTACAATAGCAAGTCCCAAACGTGACGACCTCTCTTCACAGGGGAGCTAATCCATCAGCCATTTGGCTTTTTGTTTTCAGACCCTATCTGAGGCGTGGTGATGAGAACCATACGTCGTACTGCGAGTGAACTTGCACCTTAGATCTGTAGAAGCGCACTGAGATATTGGCGACTTTAACGTCTGCCTGGCAGTTTTTCTTGACTGAAGTTGGCAGGGCTTTTACGCCTAGCCTGTTGCTTTAAGAGAAAACGCTCACCAGTTCTCTCGTAAAGTGGGCAGAACAAGGAAGGGGGGGACGGTAAGAGCCCTTCCCAAGTGCCACTCAAACAAGCCGGGTTCTTAATGCACTAAGTGTTCCTTCACCTTTGCAACATTTTCAAAGTGAGGAGTGGCACTGGGGGTTGGGAATATTTTCAGCACCGAACTGGAAAGTGGTTAGGAAGGCCTGGCTGCCTTACCCATACAGCAGCGCATGGTCAAGGTGCTCGCAGAGCCTCTGCAGGACCTTGTCGTGGTTCCTGATGGCTGGAGTTTCATCCTCGCAGGCGGCGAAGTAGCTTTGCAGCTAAGGGTGAGAGAAAGAGAAAAAACACGTCAGTGAATGAGTTTTGGGGGAGAGGATTCTGCCTTGTAGAATTACAGAACGGTAGAGCCGGAAGGTAGCAATGCAGGAATTGCGACACCCCAGAGGGGTCCAGGGGGCAAGCACCTAGGAGCTCAGACGCTTCTCAAGGGCTCAAAAGGCTTTTCCCAGCCCTGCCTGAAGATGCAGAAGAAGAAGAAGAAGAAGAAGAAGAAGAAGAAGAAGAGGAGGAGGAGGAGGAGGAGGAGGAGGAGGAGGAGTTTGGATTTGATATCCCACTTTATCACTACTCAAAGGAGTCTCAAAGTGGCTAACATTCTCCTTTCCCTTCCTCCCCCACAACAAACACTCTGTGAGGTGAGTGGGGCTGAGAGACTTCAAAGAAGTGTGACTAGCCCAAGGTCACTCAGCAGCTGCATGTGCAGGAGCGGAGATGCGAACCCGGTTCACTAGATTACGAGTCCACCGCTCTTAACCACTACACCACACTGGCTCTGCTGACGGGGATTGAACCTGGAGCTTTCTGCTTGCAAGGCAGGCGCTCTGGCCGTGAGCTATTTCCTGCAGGTGACAAGAGGGGTCCAACAGTGCAGCAAATGGGGGGGGCAGGGAGATATTTATTGTGGGTACCTTCCATCAGCACCACCTCTGTATGCCTGCTGGGATACAGTTCTGTATACAGACAGTTCTCCCGGCCAATCAGACGCACAGAGCAAGGTGGGAGGAACATTTTCTCCCTAAGCCAGGGTTCCCAGCCTCGCCGGTTTTGGGAGGGACACCCAAGCAATGCGCTGCCTCAGCTGAATGAGGCTCCTGCGACGAGCTGATCGGATCGCAGGGAGAGCCTGGGGCAGGAGAGGCAACACCCCATAGCTCCCGTCGCCCATTTTGCAATTGCTCACCCAAGGGGTGTGTCCCAAAGTGTACCTGCACAGAAGCTCTCCAGCATAGACTGCAAGGAGAGGAGGGTGACGCAAGGAAGAGCTGCTCCTGGCTTGGAGGGGGTGGGGCCTGGCTGCCTCTTGGAGCTCTGCTCCCTATGGGCTAATGGTGGCAAGTGCAAGGGAAGCAACACTGAGGACACACAGGGAATGGGGCTCAGCGGCAGAACATCTGCTAAGCATGCCAAAGGTCCCAGGCCCTGGCAGCGTCTCCCCTGCTTGAAACCCTGGGGAGCCACTGAAACTAAAGGACTGAAGTTAATCATAGTTATTAATTCCAATGGATCTACTCTGAATTGGATACAACCCTTTCTTTCCCAACCATAAAGGAAATCTCAGAGGCACCAGTATGCTGCCTGACATCTCCACCATCTGGAGGTACACGCCTGGGAATCATTGGATCTCGACTGCTTTCACACACTAATACCCCATCCTGTAGAATTCAATCAGTTATATTCTATCTGCACAATCAGAATGAATTTTAGGAGCCTTTCTGGAAAAGGAGCAGTGAACAATGATATAGTTAATTGTTGTCGCTTGTCTTCACTTCCTCCACCCCACTGCCCTGCTCACAGTTGTGAAGAATATGCTTATGTTACGAATGGTCTGTGTAACCATTAAAAAAAAGAGGTTGGAAGAGGCCAATATATGTGGACTGTCCCTGGATCAAATGACTTTTCTTCTTTAAGTTCTCAACGTTCTATACCTAGTTCATGGTTGCCATCTGAACTAGCCAGAATTAATCACAGTCAGTCCATCATTTGAAAAATAAGACTTCAGAGCCTCCTGGCCCAAAAATGGCAACTAAACATCCTGTGTTGGTGACTAACTTTGGTTTAAGGAGCCATTCAGCACCTAGTTTATATATATGACTTTCTCACACTGCACCCAATGGGGTAAAAACTGCATGTTCTGGTAAAAACACCTGCTCCGGGGGGCTGAAAAATCCCGACCAGCAGGAAAGGCAGGAAGCCGGACCTCCCTCCCTGATCAGGGTGTCGATTCACGTGTCAACTGGATATCCTGCCAAGCAGTACTTGACTGATCAGGTTCTGCCCCAGCTGATGCCACCAAGCAAAGCTGACCCATAAGGTGACAGGGCAAAATTTCCTCCTGTGGGAATGCTGGTCTGGTGAGTCACAAAGCTATTTATAAACCCTTTGACAAGCAAAACAAACGACGTCCATGTTTAAGAGACACCCATGTGATTGCCCAAGCGCATTCACAGGCAGGACACACAAACAGAGAGAGCACCGTAAACAGACGCCCGGCTGAGATGTTCGGCTTGAACCCGGCTGACCATTCAGAGCTGATGGAAAATAACCCCATGACAAGAGGGTCAGTCCCAGCCTCACCTGCCGTATGGAGTGCTGAGGGGCCTATTGCTCTGTGGAATACTTTTCATGAACACCTAGTCCCTAACTGGGGATCCACAACTGCTCAGACCAGAAGGGAAGCAGGGTCTCTGCAACTTCCATACGTCACCTGGGCAGAGGGCTGGTATCTCATGCTTTACATGCAGAAGGCCCCAGGTAGGAGCAAAATGCCTTTCTCTGCCGGATACCCTGGAGAGCTGCTGCCAGTCAGAGCAGGTGACACTGAACTAGATGGATCAATGAATCAACACTACATAACTCAGCTTGCCATGCTCCTGCTCTGTGGGCACAGGGGGCCACATGGGATGGGGGGGATGCCCACCAGAGACCCTTTCATGGCAACTCTGAGCCAGTTTCTTCAGCGCTTGGCTGCCAGTGCTGGGCAGATTCCAAGGACTGGAACAAGTCCAGAAAGGCAGCGGATGGTGCAGCTCATGAGCTGAGCAGGCTGAGACTGACGCAAAGCATATGACTGCTCCTTCGAGGACGGAACAACCACTTCACAAAGGACGGAGTGGAGGGTAGCAGGGAGGCCACAGATCCCCTGCCATGCGGCAAAATCCTGGAAAGAACACTAAGGAGAGGGCCCTGCAGAGAGGAGGAGGAGGAGGAGGAGGAGGAGGAGGACTGTGGCCTGCTCACTGAAACCCCCCTAGAGGAAAGGGACTCCCCACTTAAGCCAACTTCTGCAAACTGGCCCTTGTACTGATGTGAAACTTCTCGAGAGAGGAAGGAGGGAATGTGCTTTTGACAGCATTCTCTGCTCACGGCAACAGCTGGAGGAAACTCTGCTGATGGTAACGCGGGATCTGGAAAGTTGCTCTTCTCCATTTCGTTCTTTCGGTGGCCATTTGGGTCCTGCTCTACAGCCAGTACCTGGGGGCCCTGTCAGAGCTCAGAGCTGATCACACAGCAGCCCTCCTCACTTTCGCTGCCTGGATGCCAGCGTTTGCCCCTTCCCTGGCCACATGCCATGCCTGACTGGCCGCAGGCTGCAGGAGACAAGGAAGGAATGACAACAGCTCCCTCTTCCAACTCCCAGCCTTGGCGTCCCTCCTCCTGTGCCCAGCAACCAACACAGCCAACAGCTGCTCTGCTGCTACCAGGGACCACTCTCAGCACCTTTCTCCTACTCCTCTGCATCACAGATCTTCCATGCACCTGCTGGTGGCTGCCCTGACACAGCACCCAACGCACAAGCTACACAGTCTGGCACAGGTGGGAAACTCTTGTTTTATAAAGCAGCCCAGAAGTTGTTAAACGTAGAAGACCATGTTCCTGCCACTGAAGCTCAGGACCCTTTGACCGAACCTCATTAATGGATTTACCTGATATGCAGCTGTTCCCCATTCACCTCAAAGAAAGAAATCAAGCCTTTAATACCACTCTTCATTGCAAATTCCTAGGGCTGAGATGAGCTGCAGCAGCCCCCTCCCCAGGGAACTATGTTTCTTGTTGAAACGACAGTTTCCAGGGGTTGCATTCCACGTTAGTCCTCCTCAGAGTAGACCCACTGAAATTAGTGTGTGTGACTATCTTGGGGTCATTGATTTTAATGGGTTGACGCCGAGTAGGACTTACCTGGTTACCACCCCAGGGTGCTTTAGGAAAGCCCACAAAAGGTTAGCATATGTGCAATGGCAAAGATCACAACTCTTGCCAAAGAATTTTGCAATACTCCTTCACGCACCCACTGCATTATGCCACCCACTTTCAAACAAGAGGGATGAAGGAGTTGCAGCAATGCTCTCCTCCCAGGGTGGAGTTAGGGAACATTTGGGCATCTTATAAAATTAAACCTAGGCCCATCATCTGATTAACTAGTTTATGAAATGTATATTCCACCCTTCCCTTACAAATGAGCCCCGGGTGATGCGATCTTACAGTACGAACTCATGGAGACCCAATTTTATGAGGAAAAAACTACCGGACAGCAATTTATGAAAGTTTTGGGGTCTCTACCTGCTTCCTTCAGAATTTTGGAAAGGAGTTTACAGGGTTTTTGCATTTTCTCTGCTTTGCAGCCACAGGGAGAAAGCAGGTGGGCATGGCCAAAACAACCACATGGGCCAAATGGGGAGGTCTGGGAGGCCACAGGCTGGAGATTCCCCAACCCAGCACTAGAGTTTATGCAATATTTCGTGTTGAGTGGGAAGAGCCAGCCATGAAATACTGGCAATTTGTGCAACTGCTGTGGGACAAGTGGAAATGGATTTGCCTGGGGAAGACAGGAGCGGTTATGTGGAGCAAGGGGCTGATGGAGGGTGGAGGAGTTGAGCGAGTGAGAGGGGAAGAGAAGATGAAAGCAAGTCTGAAGACATCTCCTTGCTGGTATCTAGGGTGCACTGCTAACTGATTGCTTTAAACGGTTTTAAGTTGTGATTACTTTATGTTGCGTGTTACGCTATCTAACTGGAGCTATCAAAGAGGACCGTGTAGAAACAGTGACTAACCTACCAACAATGGCTAAGGTGTTCATTATGTACTTTCAGAAGAAACCCCACTGTCCTGCCTGCATTGGACCGGTTCTTAATAGAATCTGAGACATCCCGATGACGCCAAAATGAACATATTGTTCCTGGATGTGGAAAGGACTAAAGTTGAGCAAAGAAGCGGTGCATAATATCTGCAACATCCTGGAATGACAGATGTCAGGGCAATAGTAGCCTTATGAATGCACACACACAGTTATCTGAACATTTTAAATATTTGCATTGTACAGGTGTATCTCTGCTTTGAATATTGCTGTTTGACTACACATATATACGTATACCACAAAGGGTGAGTTACTTTTTGTTACTGTTTTGTAAACCACTGTAAGAGTCTCCAGTTTAGGATTACGGCTGGGCGATATCTGGTTTTCAACATTGTGATATGTCACCAGCTAAACGTTGCAATATACCGATACATCACAGTGTCTGAAATAAGGATGGAGCTATGTAGAGGCATTGCCTGCTTCAAAGTTTTTCCTGCACCGTGATTTATGCATAGAACATACACACATCATGATTCACAACATATTGCCAAGTAAAAAATTATGATATGATTATCACAATATTGGCTTCAATCCGGTTTTGGATGATATATCGCCAGCTCTAGTTAGGATTAAGGCTAAGGCTGAGCATTATAGGGTATAAAAAACCCAAAGGCCAGATCTAGTAAAAGGATGAAGCCTTTAAAAAAAAAAAGGGTTTCAGTAGTGAATATAAAAGGCACAGTTGGTAACAAAGACGACAGTCTCGCCTCTGGTTCCCTACAGCCAAGCAAAGTCATGGCAAAGGATAGCCAGATCTAGATAGTATAAAACCCTAGTTCTGCAAACTGAATATATTATCCAAAGGCACTTCCCCTTCATATTATGTCTGGCTGCAGATATTGCACGGAATAGCCTGTGCATTTGGATAAGTGGGTTATTATGGGCTTGGGGGATGAAAGTCAGGGGCAGGGAAAAGGTTACAAAAGGCAAAGGAGAAGAAAGAATGACTGGTAAATTGGATGATGCAGTGCTGGGAAACACAATTAATGGAATTATGAGAACTACACACTGCTGGCTCTCCTTCTTGCCAATCCATGGGCTGTTTCTTCAAGCAGCAAAGGGCCAGCAAAGTGCCTCCCATCGAAGGCATCTGCTTGTTTAAGAGGTTGGGAGAGATAAGCTCCACAAAACACTGAGGCTTTCCTGCTGGGGAAAGGCCTGTCATGGTAGGGAGCCATCAGGGTACCCTGCAGATGTTGCTGGACTCAAATACCCATCATCCACTGCTGCATGCCAAACAGTCAGAATAGCAGCTGCTGAGAAGCACAGCAGGGGGAGGATGCTGTTGAACTCGGGTCCATCATCTTGCAGACTTTCCAAAGGAATCTGGTTGGCCACAGCAAGGACAATTGGCCTTACGTTCTTAGGATGGAAGGCTCAGGATGACCCACACTGACTGCCTAGGGTTTTGAGCAGGGGATGTTCCCACCTGGAGATGCCATAGACGTTCTGCACAGAAAGCAGGTGCTCCACCGCTGAGCTGCAGCCCTTCCCTTCAGCCTCGGTTTGTTGTCAGTAAAATGGGAACAGAGGCTTCTCTAAAAACATCCATTGCCGAAGAAAGCAGCCCTTTGGCCCACTGAAAATTCAACACGCACTGCAACTTGCTTGTTACTGAGACTGCATACCCAGGCTTATTACAGTCCAGCTAGAATAAGGAAGCAAGAGAGCACAATAGCTGGGCTGTGGGCGCAAAGGCAGACCATGCGGGAAAAGAGATGTACAGTCGCAACCAGGGATGCTGGTTAAGTGATGTCATATGGTGCTAAAACAGAGGTGACAGCTTTGATGAAATGGTCAGAAAGCACAGCTTGAGCAGTTATCATTACCATGGGGTGGGCCCTGATAGGCTGCTCCTGGGTGGGTAATGTTCAGAAGAAGCCACAACAGCAGGAGAATCCCGTATTGTATTCTATGGCAGCTTCCCTGCCCCTGACTTTCTTCCCCCACGCCCACAACAAGCCCCCAGCATAGGCTGCTTATCAAGAGAGAGCAGGGAAAGGATTGAGAAATCTGCAATGAATTAAAAAAGGCTGTTTTAATAGTATTATAAGTAATACTATGCTACTGTGGCTAATCACATCAACAACATGTGACAATGATGAAACGACGTTACTAACAACACTATTGTTGCGGTACGTCAACAATGGGTTGCGTCCTCCTCTGAGAAGACCCACTGAAACCAATGGGCCAAAAACCCACCACGCCTATCAACTTCAGCGGGTCCAGCTTTGAGTGTAATTCGTACCGGATAGCACCTCTCGATTTTATTTATATTGCATTAAATCCATAACCTGCCCTTCCTCCCAGAAAGGAGCCCATGAAGCAGTTCTTAAGTGACTCAGATTCCTGTGACCTACCCTGCTCTTGGTTTAACTGCTTTTAATTTTGAAAGTGAAGCGACGGCTGTAACCCTGGAGCCTGCCTGTCAAAGGGGGGGGGGGAATAATAATAATAATAATAGAATTTATATACCGACCTATACCTGGAGGTCTCAAGGCAGTTCACAGAAAAGGTCATAAATTTAAGAACGCTGATGATGGTAGCAAAAGGACAAGAAAACGGACAGATCTTAATAACAAATCATAATGATTGTGAATAACAGCAGCAACAGCGAACAAGAATAACGAGTGACATGTAATAGTAATAACAACGAATAAGAATTGGGAGTAGGGGGGTGAAAGGAAGAGAAATATGCTGGGAAATATGCTTAAGTGGGGCTGGGAAGGGCACCCTTTTTGGCGGGATGGGGGGGCGTCTGTGGGTCTCCCCCCCCCAACAACACCCCAATAAAAAAACCCCTCCCCACCCCGCTGACCTTCTTGACGGAGAGGGAGATGTTCTCCAGGATGCGGTCCTTGACCTGCCCGGGGGGCTCCATGGCCGGCGCCGACGCGCTCCTCTGGCGGAGACCCCGGCCGCCCCGACGGCGAGGACGTCCGCCCCCACGGCGCTGCGGACCCCTCGCTCCCTCCGTCCTGAGGGTCCCCCGGGGGCCACGGAGAGGAAGGTCCTCCCCCAACCCTCAAGGCCCGCCCCCCACCGGGGGCACTTCGGGGGCGGGGAAGAGGAGGACGAAGAGGGCCCTCGGGAAGGATCCTGCGCGGGACCGAGGAGCGGGACCGGCCGGGGAGGAGGAGGAGGGTGGAGCCGCCTCGTGACAAGCGGGGAGGCGCCCAGGGAGAGCGCCGGACCGGCCCCTCTCGCCTCGGGCCTCCTGCGGCCTGTGAGGAAAGGGAAGCGAGGAGGAGAGGCTCGGCCCGGCAAGGCGGGAGAAGAAGTGGCAGCCACCGAGATCGCCGCTGCTGCTGCTGCCGCCGCCTCTGCCACTCGGCGGCTGCTGCAGTCTGTCCCCGGCCAGGCCGCTCTCGGCCCGCGCAAAGGACACCGGGAAATGTAGTTCGCCGGGTCTGAGGGGGAGCAGGGAAAGCGTATACGTATAGTGTGCCTGGGAGGAGAGGGAGAAGCAAGAGGGCTCTTCAGGGGGCCCCTTCCCACTCTACAATTCTAACAGCCCGTGGTGGAATCTAGACACACACACACATATATATATTAAAAAAAACAAACCGCTGTGAAAATGCTTTTAAAAAAGAAAGACACGTTTTGAAAACTATGTTGAATCTGCCATTAGCTCACCACCGCCATCTACTGTCACATTTGTATAATGCACTTGGAATGCTGTTTAAATTAAATTAAAAAAATTATTTGCAGATGTATAGCTGAGTCCATATGGTTATACAGTAATATTATATATATATAGTGTATGTATGTATGTATATAAAATCTTTGTGGGTTTTTTGGGGGGGTGTATATCTATCTATCTATCTATCTATCTATCTATGTTTTCCTTCCTCTCATAGGTGAAGGACTTTGGGTTCCATTGCTTTAACTGTATCAATGTTTAATTGGGCTTTTTTTTAGTGATTGTTCCCTTCCCCTCCTATTTCCCCCCTTCCTATTTTTTTGTTTGCCCCCTTGTTTTTCTCACAAAACCCTGCAAAGTAGGCTAAGCCAAGAGGCAGAAGGGCACTGCCCGCTAATTCTCCTCACAACAAACCTATCCGGTAGGCCAGGCTTTGTGTGAGGCTCCTTTTTAGTCCCGCGACCACCCAGGGAGGAAGCCAACAAGGTCCACCAGCGCAGCTTTGCAGCTGCATGCCCCTTTGAACCCAGGTCTCCTTTCCCATGCAGCCTTGTGTTATTGTTAAGATAGTTTTTAAAGCTCTTGAGAGAGATATTTTTGCAAGCTGCACGGGGTAGGAGTTGACCAGAGAAAGGTAGGTTCTAAATACCAAAATCAATCAATAAACAAACCAATACCCTCATGCCAGCACCCCCATCTTTGGTAAAAACTTTCTTCAACCCTCAGCTCAGTGATGCAAACACTTCTTTCCCCCTTCCGCTAACAAAATTATGTGTGTGTAAATATGCATGTGCAAATACGTGACCTCCTGCCCTCAACGCACATGGCGTTTTCCAAATTTCAAGGGAGGGTAAGGTCCCAGCCCACAGCAAGTTTACAATCTAAAATTTGGTATGTGCCAATTCAACCCCTTCTGACTCTTGATGGGAGCCTGTTTACACATTTTATTGGCAAACACCCTTCCAAGAACTTCTACCTATTCATTTCCTCCTCCCTCCCAATTCGTTTTCCTTTTGTGCTATGTATTTTGGGGTTGCAAGGCTGTCCTTTTTTTAAGCGATGTCCTTAATTTAAAATCTGCAGGCACACATCTTACCAGCCTTACAAGAATTCCAGCGTTCACCCTGGGGGAAAAATACTTGCATTAGGCCAGCCAAAACGTTTTACAAAACAGTGTGTGCAACGTGGCAGTTGGCCTAATGAAGGTATTGCCCCGATGTGGATTTTCTTACGTGTTAAGGTAAGCTCTGTGTGTCCTTGCCATAATGCCAATTTCTATTCCATTCCAGAGGCAAAATGCAAGCTGGAGTTTGGCCCTTCTGTCAGCTTGTCAAGGCTTCACCGGTGAAATCCGTGCCTATTTATTAAAGACAGAAATGAGTCATACCACAAGACGGCAACTAGAGTTGGCCATCCTGCTTGGCATGGAAGAGGAGAGCAAGCCCAAACAGGTAACTATTTCTTAGGGTGAGCTTGCTAGCTTGGTGGAGTAAGCACCTTGGAGGTGTCACACACCCACAGATGCTAAGCTGAACCTGTCTAACCACTTTATAGGGTGCAGTGGGAAAGGTGTGCAGAAGTGCTTGAGGGGATGCAAGCAAGAATACAAAAGTGCTCCAGCATCAGTGCGCTACTGGATCAAAGGCCTGTGTGGACCAATATCCTAGACATGGGTGCAGCAGCACTCGCCAAGGTGTGTCTAGGCTCCATTGCGCCCTTGGCAAGGAGCTATATTGGTGCTCTCCTGCCAACCCCTATCTGGCTTATGCTCCGCCAACAACAGATATTCATCCTGCCTCCGATAGCGGAGGTAAGAGATCCACATCCTCCTCTATGGTTTTGTCTAAGCCCCTTTCTCGCCCTGATCTGGCCACAGTGATCCATTCAATGGTCACGTCCAGGCTTGATTATTGTAACTCGCTCTACGCAGGGCTGCCCTTGAAGCTGACCCAGAAACTCCAGCGGGTGCAGAATGCCGCAGCGAGGCTCCTTACGGGGTCCTTGCCGCGGGATCACATTCATCCAGTGCTTTACCAACTGCGCTGGCTCCTGGTGGAGTACAGGGTCAGGTTTAAGGTGCTGGTTTTGACCTTTAAAGCCCTATGCGGCCTAGGACCCACGTACCTACAGGACCGCCTCTCCTGGTATGCCCCGCGGAGGAGCTTAAGGTCCACAAATGACATCATTTTGGAGGTCCCAGGTTGCAAGGTGGTTAGATTGGTCTCAACTAGGGCCAGGGCCTTTTCGGTACTGGCCCCGACTTGGTGGAATGCTCTGTCACAAGAGACTAGGGCCCTCTGGGACTTGACATCTTTCTGCAGGGCCTCCAAGACAGAGCTGTTCTGCCTGGCCTTTGGTTTGGACTCAGTCTGACCCTTATGTTTCCCTCCCCTTTCGGTTTTGATATATGGGCCACTTTTAAAATGAGGCTGCATTTTAAATTGCATTTTAACCTGTATTTTAAATTGGTTTTTTCCCCTATTATGTTTTTACTGCAATTTTACTGGTGTTAGCCGCCCTGAGCCCGGCTCTGGCTGGGGTGTAAATAAAATTTATTATTATTAAAGACATCCAATTCAGCACTCACTAAATCCTGCAGCAGTGCGTTCCACAGCTTAATTATGCGCTTTGTGAAGAAGTCCTTCTTCTTGTTTGTCCCAATTTTTCTCCAACATTCAGCTTCGTTGGATGAGGCCCCCCCCAGCTCTCCCAGCTGTGTTCCAGGTGTTTTTTAGTGAGAAAGGGAGGAAAAAATCCCAACAACCATTATGATAAAACTTTGTTTTTATTTTTAAAAATGTTTTTACATGTTTTTCTTCTGATTGTTTATCCCCAAGTATTAAAAAAAACCCAAAGAAACCAAAAGTGGGCTGCCAGTGGCAGTAACAGAAAACATAGCTTGATCAGAAAAACAGCAACAAAACTCCAAATGCTCCCACAATGCTGAAGCTGTCGGTGGCAAGAACAACCCAGCCCAAACAAGTAAGTTTATAGCCCAGAAGGGTGCATTGAAGCAAAACAGCTTGAGGATTCCTGAGCTCAAGGACAGACAAGTTCTACTCAAGAATGGACACACTGAAATTACTGGGCCCAAGTTAGGTGCGTTCATTCATTTCAATGGGCCTACTTCGAGTAGGGCTAATGTTGGATCCAGCACCTTTCCTCTGTTCCGCATCTATCACACAGGGTTTATGTTCTTATGCAAGAACTAAACATTAGAGAGAACTTTCTCACAGTAGTAGCTGTTCCAACAGCAACTCCTTTGGAAGGTGACATAAATTCCTTCATTGGAGGTTTTTAAACAGAGGTTGGATGGACACCTGTCAGGGAAGCTTCAGCTTTCCAGCTCTACAGTTCTATGATTTTGTATCCAGACAGGCATTGGATATTTTCTCCATCTTGGCCCATACACTAGAGCAGAGCTTTCCAAACTTTTCATGTTGGGGACACAATTTTTAGACATGCATCATTTCATGACACAGCAATTCAGTTTTACTAGCAAACTGGAGGTTAAACGTGCCCCTTTCCAGCCCCAGGAGGAGCATTTGCACAACACACCTACACAATGCAGACAACACACTTAACGTGTCGCGACACACAATTTGGAAAGCTGTGCTCCAGAAGTATCCCTGTGGCATGCCAAGTTTCAGATGAGGTCATGCATCCTCTTGTGAAAAAGGCCCCACCTTGCTAAGCTGTCCACCATCTCCTGCAAATTATTATCATGAATGGTGGCGGCGACACTGGCAACCTCTCAGATCATTATTTAAATAAAGATGTTTGCCAACACTCTTTTGTAGGAAAGCTACCCAAACTCATCCAAAAGTTCTCTTACAAATTTGCAGACGCTGTTGCTTGTTAATGGGGGCAACTGTATTTCTAAAAGAGGTACCCTATATAGACTAAAGCAGCCTATTCTACCTTGGTGCCCTCCAGAAGTTTTGAACTGCAACAACATTCATCTGCCTCAGAATTCAGAATTCTTACATATGGCTGAAGCAGATTTCCTATGAAAAACAGGCAAATCCATTAGTGGGGTAAGCTTCCCCAATTTCTCAGTTAAAGCCAACCCAGCCCTGAGGGGCTCAAGGTTTCCCAAAATATGAGGTTTTTTTTATTTATTAAAAAAGTAAAATATAATCAGCTCAAGATTCCCACCAGCTCTGCCCCAACACTGACATGAGCCAAAGGGCAGAGTTTGGAGCCCCAAATAGCCACCTGGGAGACCTTGGGTTTTGTGCCAGCTCAGAGATGGGCAAAACCACTCAGGCCTGAGAGTCACCATCAGAAATGTGCTTAGTGGCAGAACACCTGCTTTACACATTGAAGGCTGCAGCTTTAATTCCTGAAGGCATCTGCAGCCGGGAATTTCCTGTGTCTGAAACCCTGGACAGCTGCTGCCAGTCAGTGTAGGGCCAGGCCTCCAAATGCCTACCCCAGGACCATCTCTTGTATTAAAGCAGGCAGCCCTTAATGGCAAAGGGGAAGTAATCAAAGCTGGTAGAAGACATCCTTTAAGTCAGGCTTTAGGGCTGAAGCAAGTTGTAGTCCAAAACATCGCACAGCAGGTTCTTGCAGGAGGAAAAAATGGTAGTTGCAACTGAAGCCCATAAGAGCAGCCCTGAAGCTGGATCACCCCAGAGGGAGCCCAGCATAGTCCAGCACCTGTTCTCTCAGTGGCCAACCAGGCATCCCAACAGGAAGTGAAGACAACCTCACTCTCCCCATTATCCCACCACCCCAGCAACTGGTATCTCGGAAGCATTGGTGCGTCCTGACAGCACGGGCACAACATAGCCTTCATGGCTAGCATCCTCCCTGAATTTGCCCACTCCCCCTTTTAAGGCAGCCCAGGCTGGTAGCCATCACTACACCTTGCAGCAGTGAATTCCACAGTTCCACCATGCGCTGTGTGAATAAATACCTGCTTTTGTCTGCCCTCTCACCATTCAACGGACGACCCTGTGGGGTTCTACTGTTCTGAGATAGAACTACCAACACCACACATTCTGGGTTGCCCTTTTTGCAGCTTCACAATATCCCATTGGAGCCGAGGAAAACAGAACTGTGCCCAGCATTCCATAGAATCACAACTTTTTATTTTCAATCTCTTTCCAAATAATCCCTAGCGTGGAATTCTCTCCCCCCCTCCCCACCACCACCCTGGACTAGGTTTCCACTCTAAAAGCCTTCTTTGTAAGGATTTCCCTCTTTACAGGAGGAAGAGATGCAGAGGAGGCAAAGATGTTCCTGGGTATGACAAAAGAATCCCCCTATGTCATTATGAAGATGGAACAGAAATATTATGCAGACTTGCAGCCCAATTCTTGCTTTCAGGTCCCAGCTCACACCTACAATTGGAGCTTTAATTAGGTTTAAGCCCTAATGAAGAGATCTCGGGTTGTGTCAAGAACGACAGGACAAAGCAACACAGCTGCCCTGCCCTTTGAAAAATATAAAAGCCAATTGTCATTCCTATCAGTTCTAGCGACACTCAACACACACAGGTTCCTGGTGAGGCAGGGAGCAGAACAAAAGGAAAGCAAGACAGCTCTTGTACTAACTAGCAAAGCTAGATGGATTTGTGGTGGGGGCATGTTTTGCTTTGGGTCTGCTCTCTGCCATAATGGGGATCTGTAATGTCTGAATGATAGAAGGAACAGAATAATGGGGTAGTTAGATTGGGGTATTGTTGAAAAGAGGGTGTCCGTTCTTTTCCTTCTCTTTCCTAGTGCCGTCTCAATATTGCTTTGCACCCAGGACAGTCCAGCCTGATTAAGTCTGACACATCTCACCCATCTTTTCAGCGGTGGACTCGGACATTTTAATGATCCAGGAACGTTTTCTTCCCTGTCACCACCATTTATTTTCTTTGCAAAATATTCTCTTAGCTGTGTGGTTCCAATGAGAGCTTGGTTCACTCAGTGCAAAAAAAAACCACTCCCAATTGCTCATTGCTTTTCAAACCCCAATGTAGCCGTGCACCATTTTGGTCCACTGGGAACTAGATAATCGCCATTACAATGTAAACAGAGTACTGGACAGTGCAGCAAGATAGTTACGCAAGGAAACACTCAAGCTGCAGAGTAGCCAGAACGACAGAGAATTCACTAGTTTAAACCTGAGTCTCTTTTCATACACAACAAAGACAGTTTCAGGATTTTGCAGGGCCTGCAAATATAAAGCTGAGCCCCCTGGCTTGGGTCTCCGTGTATGGCATTCCCATGGCAAACATGATACCTGATGTGCCTAAAAGCCACTTCAAGAAGGGATGCCTGCTGGAGAAAAAGGCTTCTGGGTTCCTCCACCTCGGAATGTGAGAGGTTTATACATACACACCCATTGGGGCCCAAATGTCATCATCTCCCACTGTATTAACTTCGGGACGCCTTCAGAACTGGTTGACAACCCAACAGCACCACATTCTAGCCCTCCCCTTTGAAGCCAAACACACACAAGGAGAGGCCCAAACAAAAAATAAATAAATTTAAAAATAGGGGGAAGGGAAAGAGCGTTTCAAAATGGACAACTCTACTGCCAAGATTTGGGTTCAGCCCCTGGGCGTCAGCGGTTATTCCTGCTCAGTGTTTTTTTTCTGGGGGGGACACAGGGGTACACACACCCCTAAACATTTTGTGAATCTTTGCACTTTTGTCCATTTACTGCATTTATTTTTCCCAGCTCTGAACTATAAAATGGTGATTTTCTTGAGTCAAAATGAGAGTACCCCTAAACATTTTTTTAAGGGGGAATAAAGCACTGTTCCTGCTTCTAAGTTGCCAGCCTGACTGCTCATCAGCAAGGCAAGATACGGCAGCAGGAATCCAACCCAACAGTCGAGCTTGCAGGGGTGGCCCCTACCATTCTACTGGCTGCGACAGATTTAGGGGCTCTCCTTAACCAGCCTAAGAGCATGCAAATGGAGTATTCTCTCAGGGACCTTTCTGATCACCACACCCGCTCCATGAAGAGTGTGGATGGTGGCATTCTTGGGGAAGTGGAGACGCTTCTGCCAGGGTCTTGGCAAACTCATGAGCTCACCTCCTTAGCTTCTGGAGCTGGCCCTGGCTTGCCCACCCCACCTTGCAAAGCTGCATAAAGCACCCCATTGTGACACTCTGCTGCTTGCTAAGCACCCAAGGTTCTGCCGCCCCTGTGAGCATCAACCCCATGGAGGCAAAGGATAGCCCAGAGAGCAGAGATCCTCCTGCCACGCCTGTTTCTGAGGGATTTGCTGAAGAAGAGGGACTATGTTCTACAGCTTTCTCACCTCTTAAGTTTGGCCTCTTCTTTTAAAAACAGGTTATTTAAATAAAGACTTTATTCCATTATACATTGCCTTAATCATCATCATAATCATCATAAAAAGCTACTGTGCTGATACATTACCAATGCTTTGCTCCTTTTAAAATGCCTAAATTCAACAAGGGAAAACAAGACAGAAGATACTTTGGCTGAAAATAAATGGTATTCTCTCTCTTTTCTCCTTTTTCTTTTAAGAAAAAAAAAGTGTGGCTCAATCATCGAAGCAGAATATTCTATGTAGTCAAGATACAGACTCTTTTTGGGGTGGGGGGGTGGGGGAGTACAGGCCAGCAAGCCAAGCCGCCTTCCCGCCACGGTTACGTAGGAACGACTATATTCTTGGCTAGCAAAATGAGGAGGGCAAGGTCTGCATTTCCGCCGGCATGCTCCAAAGCCTCACCAGCTTCCTGGGGTGTAAAGCCGGCCCCCACAATCTGATCAATGTCTGCAGCAGGGAAAACAGAGGGCCAGCGGGGCACGAGATCGGGGAAGCCCAGAGGCAGCAAGGGGCCAGTTGGCTCATCGAGTGGCCCCAAAGCACCTGCATTTAAGGTGTCTGGTGGTCCAGTTTCTTCCGGGAAAGAACTCTGAGAGCTCAGAGACGCATCTTGACCCATGCTGAGACGCTGGCCCTGCTCCAAAGTTTCCCCACCCAGAACTAAATGAGGAGGCTGGCTTTCAGAACATTCACAGTGCGGAAGCTGAGCAGAAGCTGCCGATGGGCTCAGGGAGAGGGAAGTGCTCAAAGTAGAAGATCCTTGGATGACCAGAGCCTCCCGTTCGGACGTCACAGCCAACCTGTGGGCCTCCTGGAGGTCAATGGACACTTGTATCCCTGCACTTTCAGGGATGGGGAGTTCCACATCCTGGCTCTCAAGGCGTGCACATCCGTGTTCCTCTTTAAAGATCTCCCCACCTGCCGTTTGCTCTTCAGGGGCAGACGCGGACAGGCTGGTGTCTTCATGCCAAGGAACACTTAACTCCCCTTTGCAACTGACAGCAAGAAGTTGGTGAAGCTCCTTTAAGGCAGAGGAGAGGGAGACGTGCTGGTCTTCCGCCTGATCGGTCAGTTGGCCACTGGGAGGGGTGGTGGGTGTATCCGATTCAAAAAATGCATTTCCTGGCTGCATCAAATCAGTGGCCGGAGTGGAGTCAACTCGCTTGGTCCATTCCACCTCCATCATGGCACATTCTGAGCTCACAGCAGCCAGTCCAAGGGAGCTCTTTGGATCTGAAGGGTCCTGGGTAGCTCCCACTGCAGGGTGCTCTGGCAGCAGACTCTCTGAGCTCCTTCCCTCCCCTGCAGAAAACCCCACCTCCCTTTCCATGGGGACGTTGTCAGGGCTCTGCTCTCCATCAGCAGGGGATGGGGAAACAGCCATCTCGCAGGGAGGCTCCTGGTAATCTGGTACCTTCTGCACACCCAGAGGCTGCTCATTTCCAAGGGTTTCACGTGTCTGGAGGTCTAATTGAAGCTTATGTGTTTGTTTCCCTTCCTGCTGCTCTGAAGCGAAGGGTCCGTCCAGATCCTTTGGCCACCCACAAATGCCCAGCAAGTGGCTTCCTCCCTCTCCTTCAACAGCAGGCGCCAGACCAGGGGGATCGTCTTCAGCACTGGGCTTCTGCAGGCTGCCATGAGAAACTGGCTCTCGGTCCTGTGAATGAGGACGGGACCCCGTTCCAGTTTTTTCAGCCGGGGAAGCATCGGAATTGGCAGAAGCAGTATGGTTTGGTGGAGACCGAAGCGGCTCTTTGCCTTCCAAATTGGTTGGGCATTCAAGAAGAGAGTCTATGGACTTGGCCGCCTTGGGGCTGAGAGTCTCATCCTGGCTGCCCTCGTGGGAGAAAACAGAAGGCGCAGAGACTGAACGGTCAAGCAATTGGCTTGCCAGGTCGCCGGCCTTCGGACCCATCTCTGGAAAACGGACTGGACGTTTCGTCCCATCAGAAGTTGGTAGCGATGGCATTTCTAGTGAGGTAGTTTCTTTGTCACTATTCTCTGTACAAAGGGGAGAGGAGAAAGGGGTGGGGGAGAGAGAAATGGAATGAGATTCTCCCTTTGATACGTTCCATGAGCGTATATAAAACCTTCAGGAGGTACAGCCCATTAGCTTGCGTCACCGGGACTTGCTTTGGGATATGCACTCAGGGTACTGTTAAAAAATGCCTGGAGGCTGGATCAGGCCCAAGGGGAGACCAGGGAGAAGAATCGGTGGAAGAAGATTGGAAAAAGTTTAAAGATTATTTACAGAAATACTGTAAAATTAATGAATGTTAGAAAAATGTTGGAATGAAGTTATATGGCTTTGGTAGAAATGTTATAAGGAATTAAGTATAAATAGATTAATAGAGTATTAAAGGGAAAATAAGGTTAGAATGTGTTAAGATAATTATAGGATAGAAAACAGAGGAAGATGGAAAGGAATTGCTGAAACAATTAACAGAAGTGGAATACAAAAAGGGAGGTGTGAGGTGGTCGTGGAAACAAGTGAAAGAAAGATAAGATAATGAAATGGTTTTGTTTTTGTTTTATTAGTTTTATGTGTTAGTGCTTTGTAGTGTTTTTGTATTGTATTGCACTGTCTTCTTTTTTTATGCTTTTTTTTTGTAGTGTTGTGTTTAAATTGTTGGAAAATTAATAAATATTATTAAAAAAAAAAAAAGGGATCAGGCCCAAGGGGGCCCATCTAACCCTCACAGTGCTCAACCAGATGCCCCAATGGGAAGCCCCAAAGCAGGACTTGAGTGCAAGAAAACACTCTTTTTACATGTGATTTCCAGCTACTAATATTCATATCCGAACTGCCTCCAACTGTGAAAGTAGAAAGGAACCACCAAGGTTAGTAACCACTAGGCAAGGCTCCTGTTTTTCCACCCGCACCCCAAGTATAGTAACACTGGGGGAAGAGAGGCAGGGGCAGCCTTTGCCCCTGTCTCGCAGGGGGTTGGACTAGATGACCATTCTGGCCCCTTTCCCACACTACAATCCTATGGGTCTGAGATTCCACTGGGTTGGTTTGGCTTCTGTCAGAGCTGCCTCCATCAAGCAGCCACCTCACCTTACCTCACCTGTCATTATTATTATTATGCAGCATGAAACCAACAGCTGGCACCCAAACAGGCACCAGATATCTTCGTCCTCCGCCCCCTTCTTGCCCTTTTGGCAGGAAGCTGCCCATACTGCTTTGGCAGAGATACAGCATATAAATAAGGCTGAGAATCAAGAGTGGCTACAAAGCTACAGGTTTCACTGTTTCCCCCCATGCTCCAACAAGATGCAATTAGTGAAACCAACATTCCTGCTAACATTTTAAGAGTAGGCTATAAATATCCAAAACTGGGTATTTTCCCTTTCCCAGGGTGAAAAAAGGAGAGAGGATTCAGTGGTAAAGTAGCCTGGCCATGTTTCAAAATATATTTTATTTCAAGCATCTCGAAATCGTCTTGAAAGACAGGTGTATTAGAAGCAGCCCTCCCGCCAGGCTGATTTGCTCAGCACTAGGCAACGTGTTAGGTTTGAGCTCGGGGGTCATCTAAGCTCCTGAAAGTACAGATCTGGATATGAGCCTCTTGCTCCCTGGTTAGTCAGTCTTGTGAGATAATCAATCCCAGAGCAAAAGGCGTCAAAAGTTTTGCTAGCTAAAATAAACATGACACTGCATTTCTGACTTGAGTTATTTGGCAAACAGTCTTAAAACAAGTAGCTGGTTCTGAGGTCCGCTTTGCATCTACTCACCTGAGAAACTCCCCGGAGACTGAACGAAACAAAACTCCTGCACTTCCCCCCACTTATCGGTTCTGGGGTGAACATCCAAAAAAGAGGCCAAGTCTGGCCAGTGGTGAGTTAATCCCTCAGAGAGTGGTGTTGAGTGTTCAGCTCCAGGCACCACCAAAAACTACTGCACTCAAGTTGTCTGAATCGAGCACATCCACAAAAATATGCCCCCTCTGCAGTTCTCTTCTCTCTGCAGCAGACGCTGAGAAGATCCAAGAGCCTGCTTCACGCCGACCAGGGAAGATGCCAGAGTAGGCAGGAGCTCCTTTGAAGTCCCCACCCCTGCAACCCCCGTCAAGGAGATGGAAGAGCTCGGTGGAATACCTGGTCTGTGGCCCACTCCAGCGGCAGCAAACCCCACACAACATGCATCAAGGCTTCTGGCGTTCTGTTTGGATTAGGAGACAAACACACCAAACTCGGGTTAGCACACACGCACATGCACCACGACTCGGGAGGTGGCTTGCAGCCCTCGTGTGGGTCCTCATGTCATGGTCTGCTTTCCTGTCCCCTCCCATTCCTGCATGCAACTTAGCAGCTCCTCACGGCTGGGACTTCTTCCAGGAACGATCCTCAGCTATCTTAGCCTCACAATGCACACTGAATTGCTTTTTAGAATGGGTCAAGGACCGTCCGCTTGCACTCCAGTTGACGTCCGGTGTGGATGGGCGCTGGCAGGGCTCCTGTCTTCTATTCTCAACTAGCATGGATTTTTGGCACTGCATGCTTCTGGGCCACTTTCTGAGCCTGCGCTCTGGGTTCCTCTCTGCCTCCCTGCCATCTAGATCTCGATGATCTGCGAGGAAGGGACTCTCCAGCTGCCTGAAGATCTCCACTGCGCTACCTCTTCAGAATCTTTTCCTGGCTCTAGTTGACTCAATGGGCTTGCTAACCCTGTGCAGGCACTGCCCCAGCTGATCCCTAGGGAGGGGGGGCCACGTTTCCATCCTCTGCCGCAAACCAACAAAACCAAGGAGGGCTCAAGAACTAGACAGGGAGGAGGCCTCTAGCGTTGCCTCTGTGGGGTGGGGGGAGATTTTAAAAGTAATTCAGGATGGCCAGACTTGCAGGGGTCAGGGAGGTGGTGCAGGACAGCAGCAACATTGGATGGGGAACATGGAGGAACAGTTTTCAAATGTGTAACTCAAGAATGGAATGCAAGCTTTCCTTTGCTAAAGATTTTCAAGGCAGAAAAGTGACAGTGGGCATCACAAGGAGTGACTCCACGTCTTCCCAGGGTTATCAAGTGCTGTTTTTATTTTTTATTTCATAATTTCTATACAGCTTGATTGTAAAACAAAAACCTCAAAGCGGTTTACAAAAAATAAAACAGTAACGGTATCGCACTAAGAAAAATTTACAAAAATAAAGAGTTTGAGAGAGCTAAGATAACACACTAACAGATCGATTTCTTACAAATGTAGAAATGGCATCTGTAGTAATGCCAGTTCAGCCAATCGAAGTTGTCGTGGGCATATATGGGGTAAGGCAATCTTGTTGTTGGCACCTTACTGTCTCGGGAGACTTCACGCCTCTGGGAGTGAAGTCAGGCCACGGTGTTAGCAGCACCAAAGAGACTTCCCCGGGACGCAAGCCTAGACCATGTGTCTGGGGTTCCTGGGCTCCCCAGGTGACAAGACCCGGCTGCTCTTGGCCTCGCTGATGGTGGTCCAAAGGAAAGCAGAGAAATACGTTTGGCACCAGCTTGGCTTGCAGGAGTTGCTGGAAGGAGGCTGACAAGGCGCCATCCAACTGCCTTAGGGACTCCACTCCAGATTTCTGTTTGCTCCTTAGCCTTTCCTTCTCCCAAAAATATCCAGTGGAGGTTTTGGATCCAAGGTTTCCTTCTCCTAATTGGGCTACCTTCCCAGGTAGACAAGCCCCACCTGCCCTGTCTCAGTAGGTTACCATATAAATATGGGTTTTTTTATTATTGTTGTTGTTACTACTACTTTGCGCCCCCTCAGCTGGGTGCTCTGTGCAGCGCAACTGCTTGCCCTGCCCTAAATTCCCTCCAGATGTTCTTGGGATGCCTAGTCCCTGCTTGCAGGGCCAGTGGCTGAGAATGATCTGCATCAGCCTGCCAGCTGCTGAAGCCTTCTTTCTCTGCCCCTTTGCCACAAGCCCTTGGGCCCCACAGAAGCCTCAGCCCGGGCTCCTGGGCATGTTCCAGGGTTTATGTGGCACATGAGCAAAAGCCTATCAGGTGATCTTGTAGGTAAACAAACATTAGCTTCTGGAAAGAGCATCTAAGCTGCGTTTCACTGCTGTGGGAGAGAACGTGGTCAAAGGCTTTCCACATCACCCCACATGGCAACCAGACAGGCCTGGTTCAGCTTTACAAGACTGAATGTGCTGTGGAGTAGTGGTGAATGTTAGAATCCACCACTACTCCAAGCCCCTAGCTCCTAAACAAAGGGCCATCCTCCTTTTCCTGAAACACCAAAAATTCTGGTGCATTTCAGGCAAAGAATTATAATGCCACAAAATCACAGCAGCCACTAGTAAGGAGCAGAGGGGTCTGCCCACTCAAATGCCCGGGAAGAAGCACTGGGGGATGGGGAGAAATAGCCTGGCAGAGAAAAGGGAGAGAAGGTGGAGGAACGGCAAAGCTGTTGCTTCGAGACAGGCATGAAGGCTGCCTGCCCCACCCCCTGCCCTCCTAAGCACTCCTGTCTCTCCTCGAGGTGGGCCAGGGGTCTCCGAACAAAACTCGAGACTGAGCTAGACGTGTTGGAACGGGAGGCTTTTTAATGTCAGGACTGGAGTACAAAGCAATTCCCCTGGCACGCTGTTTTATCCAAGATGTAAGGCCTGGGTGAGGGGAGTGCCAGGCGTTAGAAGATGACGCACTGGGAGGTCCTGTGGCGGGCAGAGGCTCCCGAAGACAGGCGACGCTCCCTCCGCAGTCTCCTCTCCTCCTGTCTTCTGACTCGGATGTCTCGGGCAACTGCAACTGCAACTAACGCATCCAGAGGTGGTGGTGGGGAGGTGGGTGAAAGCGTCAGTCAAGGTCCTCGCATTTTACCAGGCCATATTTGGTCCTAGCTTTACTTCAATATGGGACGCGGGTGGCGCTGTAGGTTAAACCACAGAGCCTAGGACTTGCCGATCAGAAGGTCGGCGGTTCAAATCCCCGCGACGGGGTGAGCTCCCGTTGCTCGGTCCCTGCTCCTGCCCACCTAGCAGTTTGAAAGCACGTCAAAGTGCAAGTAGATAAATAGGTACCGCTCCAGCGAGAAAGTAAATGGCGTTTCCATGCGCTGCTCTGGTTTGCCAGAAGCGGCTTAGTCATGCTGGCCACATGACTTGGAAGCTGTATGCCGGCTCCCACGGCCAATAAAGCGAGATGAGCGCCGCAACCCCAGAGTTGGCCATGACTGGACCTAATGGTCAGGGGTCCCTTTACTTTTACCTTACTTCAATATACTTAGCTTTGCAAGAGGGGCTGGGCCATAATGACCCCTTGGGTCCTTTCCAACTCTCCAGTTCTATCCTATGATTCTGTGTGTGCTGTTCTGCTGCAATGGAGGACACCTAGCCTGGCTTGTGAGGAGGGGACAATCCTGCTTTGGGACCAAGGTGGAAGCAGGGCCCGCAAAGAGCAGGAAGGGGCCTCTGGTGCCTTCTGAGTCTTATTGGTTGAGCAGCCAACAAAGCTCAGTGGCCAGGAAGGCAGCCTTGGGTTCATCATTCACTGGGGAGCCTTGGGAAAGCCAGTGTCTTGCAGCCGAGCCTACCTCACTGGGTTGGTGTAAGGCTAAACCACCACCACGCTCCTTGGCAAGTGGGTTACAAAGGTAACTGCGATTCCTTTTATAAAATTTCTATGCAAACGGGGTTCTGCAACTTTCAACTGATTAACTGGTTAGGTTAATAAGGGTCTAATAGATTAACAAATTAAGAAGTCACAGGCACCATCTCTAGGAGGCGTAAGGAAGAAGCCTCTACTCTTGGCATGCTCTTAAACCAGCTTGGTGCTCTCCAAGTGCTTCAAACTACAACTCCTCTCGGTCTCGGCCTTTGCAGTGGCTTGCACAAAAACGGCCAGCCAGGTTGGCAAAGGGGAAACGAGGGAGCCTTCTGTCAACAGAAACACGGAGCCAGAACCTTGGGCCCATCTAGCTCAGCACTGACCTACACTGGCTGGCAGCAGCTCTCCAGGACAGCAAGCAGGGTGGGGCTCTCCCAGCCCTATAGCTAGAGATTCCAGGGACTGGGCCTGGGGCCCTTTGGCATGCCAGGCAGGTGTCTTGCCACTCCACCTTGCGTATCCTTGCTGTACCTGCTTCGTCGACGGACTTCTGTATGGCTTCTGCCAGCTCCTGGTCTGCGATCTCCTCGGGCCGCACGTCCTCTCGCCCCGCCCCGTAGGCCAACCTTGCACACTCGGGGAGCTCCCCCTCCGGCAGGAAGGTCGTCTGGGAGCCGGTAGTGCCAATCACCAGCACGTTCTTCTTGAGGTCTATGGAACACTGGTGGTGGGTGGGAAGGAGCAGAGATCCTGGTTAGGGGACACCAGGGGAGCTTCATTGCCCTTCAACTGCAGGCAATGCCCTAATGCCAGACAGCTTCAAAAGCACCCAGGGAAAAACAGGGTAGATGGCCAATGCCCTACAAATGAATGTGACAGGTAAAGCATTCAAATGCCCTGAATCCATTCAGTTACCTTCCCTCAGTATAATATAGAGACCATGGTTTTTAACCATCTTGTTTAACCATTATGTCTATGACACAAGTAGTTCTGGTTGCAACCTTCCTCGCAGTCACATACCTGTGGCTTAATTATTTGGCTTTATTTTATATTTGTTTTTGTTGGGACAGTGAACAAAAATAATTTTATTTTTCTTATAATAAATTCCTATTGAATTTTCAAAAAATATTAACATAATGAATTTGTCTTTTCTTTACTTCCCGCCCCATTTTCCATGGTGTTTTAATTTCTACCCCCTCTGCTGCCCACTGCATTCTATTTCTTATGCCAACACATCAATACTGTATTGACCAATTCCTTCTGTGGCTCATAATTCAAATCCTGCACGCGAGGTCATCGAACTATAATATCTCCTTACGTAGTCCTAAAAGGGCTTCCATACTTCCACAAAACTATCATTGTTAGATTCTCTTATTCTGGCTGTTAACTTTGCCAATTCTGCATAGTCCATCACCTTACTTATCCCTTCTTCTTTGGTGGGAACTTCTTCCTTCCAAGCGGTCCTCTATTGTATATGGACTATGTATACTGCTATCAAATGCTGATAGCAGTTAATTTGCAGGATTTCTGTATGACGCTTAAAAAAGACCTATTGAACATACAGTGGTACCTCGGGTTAAGAACTTGATTCGTTCCAGAGGTCCGTTCTTAACCTGAAATAGTTCTTAACCTGAGGTGTGCTTTTGCTAATGGGGCCTCCTGCTGCCGCACAATTTCCATTCTTATCCTGGTGCAAAGTTCTTAACCTGGAGCAACCACTTCCTGCTTAGCGGAGTTTGTAACCCAAAGAGCCTGTAACCTGAGGTATCACTGTACAGTGGTACCTCGGGTTACATACGCTTCTGGTTACATACGTTTCAGGTTACAGACTCCGCTAACCCAGAAATCGTGCTTCAGGTTAAGAACTTTGCTTCAGGATGAGAACAGAAATCGTGATCCAGCGGCGCAGCAGCAGCAGGAAGCCCCATTAGCTAAAGTGGCGCTTCAGGTTAAGAACAGTTTCAGGTTAAATACGGACCTCCGGAATGAATTAAGTACTTAACCCGAGGTACCACTGTATTTGTTTTTTTAAAAAGGATAGAAGCTGCTGGGCGAAGACCACACACAGAGATACCCACATATACACATTTCAGAGGATGCTGCCGCCTTTGCCAGCCTCACCTGGTGCCTCTTCAGCATGTCCAGTCCCAGGAGCATATCCATGGGCTGCTCCTCCAGGATGGAGAACGAACAAGGCAGGAAATCTCCTTCAATCTGGACCTGAGCTAAAGCAGATTGGGGGTGGGGAGGAGAGAAGAGAGACTGGCATATTAACCAAACTAATCCAATTCAAATAACTTGATTGTTCTAGCCGTTGGCCATGACAAGTCGTATTAACGTAAGCAGCTGCCCGAAGCAGGATCAGGCTAGAATTCCCACCCAAGTCCAGCACCCTGTTCTCCCAGTGGCCACCCACAAGCAGGATTCGAGCACAAGAGCAACTCTTCCCTAATTGTGATTTCCAGCCACTGGCACTCATAAACATTCAGAGCAATATTTCATAAATATCACTGCAGACATGTCTGAGATCATGGTATTTCCAACAAGTGGCTCCTGTCCGGGTTTGTTAAATGTTGTGAGGATCCTATGCCATTTTAAAATGTGCTTTTTGGGGGGATGGGAGGTTATTGGGTTGTTGTTTTTATTTTGATTATGCATTTTGCAGTTCTGTGAACCGCCCTGAGACCTCCGGGTATAGGGTGGTATATAAATTCAATAAATAATAGTAATAAAATAAATTTCCTGCCTCTGACAGCAGAGGGAAAACAGCGCCTCTACCCTCCTCTGTGAATCTAGCTAATGCTCTCTGCAAGTTGGCAGTCATCACTGCCTCCTGTGGAATAAGAGTTCCACTTTGTGCTGCCTGCAGCAGCCTCGACTCTGGCTCTGGAAGCAGGGAGCTCCCCACCCTCCCTGACCCGCCAGCCAGCTGCAAGGAATCTGCCGCCCTTACCCAGGTGGACCCTGCCAATGATCTTCTGGGTCCCCACGCCTTTGGCAATGCCTGCCCACCTCCGGTCCACCAGCCGCATGATGTTGCACCTCTCTGCGCACGCTTGGCTCATGATGGTCATCTGTGCCCCTGCCAGAAATACAGCAGCCGGTGTTAAAAGGCACACCCAACCTCTTCCCAGGGAGCAAAAGGGGCAGCTGTCCCATACTCTCCCCATTATGGGGGCAATGATTGGGGAAACATTTGCCTCTGGGAGCAAGGCTCTCCCCCCCTTCTCTCACAAGCACAGCAGAAATTTAGAATTAAGTGCACAGGACCAAGGCAAGGGGTTGTAACCAACAGAGGTTTACTCAAGAGCAGACCCAGCACTGGAAGCAGCCCAATGTCTTGCTGGGTGACAAGAGCAAGTTTGGCATAGTGGTTAGCATGTGGGACTAGGATCCAGGAAGCCAAGGTTCAATCCTCGCTCAGTGGGTGACCTTGGGCCAGTGGCTATCTCTTGGCCTAACTCACCTGAGTCCACAAAGGCTTTCACAGGGTGGCCATTGACTTTGCAGTTGATGTAGAGCATCACCACTTGGCCAAAGCTCTCCGGGGCTTCCTCCATGGCGATCGTCATGTTCTCCTCGATGTTCTGCTGCCTGGATCCAACATCAAAACACGGGTGAAGGGCAAGCATTAACCGCCAGCACCATGGATTGGCCTTCCCAGACTGGGCTGCCTGCCACGTGCTCCATGCTAGAGGCAGAGCGACCCCCTGGGCCAGAGGGTGAAACTGACAACAGGGCTGACCCACAGCAGGCCTGGCCTCGTGCAGGGCCACCCCGAGATGCTTCACAGGTTAGCTCTCTGTGTGCATGCATGTGTAGAGATGCTGCCTGAGATTCTTTCCCACCTGCTCTGTACAGAGTCAGACCCTTGGGTCCATCTAGCTCACTACTGTCTGCACTGACAGGCAGCAGCTGTCCAGGGTTACAAGCAGGGAGTCTCTTCCCAAACCTGCCTGGAAATCCCATTAGGCGCTGAACCTGGGACCTTCGGTTTGCAAGGCAGACACTCTGCCATTGAGCTACAGCTCTTCCTCATAAACCCAACAGATGTGGTTTTGAGGATACCTGTTGTCCCCCACCCCCTTAGAGGTCAGGGAGGCGCGGGAGTTCAGAGAAGGCTCAGCCAGGAGGCGACAAATCTGCACTACGTTTGCTCCAGGTTTGAAACCAACAAGCCACTTGCACCCCCAGGGGTGGCTCCCAGACCTTTGCCTACCTAATGTCCTCTTCGATCTTGGCCTGAGCCTCAAGATCAAAAGGGTCAGCGGAGAACAGGCGGATCCTCTCCTGCTCCCGGCGGGCTCGATCTTGCTGCTGCTCCACAAGCACCCGGGTGAACTTCTCTAGAGTAAGGAAAGACATTTACAATAGTGACTAAATTATTTATTATTTATACCCCGCCCATCTGTCTGAATTTCCACAGCCACTCTGGGCGGCTCCCAATCAAATGTTAAAAACAGTACAGCATTAAATAGTAAAAGCTTCCCTAAACAGTGCTGCCTTCAGATGTTCACAATGAGGGAACCGCCAGAAGGCCCTTGGCGCTGGATGTCAGAAAAAAAGATGTTAATTGACTAAGTAAATTTTATGTGAAAATAGTTTTGGAATACTGCTACAGTGGTGCCTCGCAAGACGAAAATAATCCGTTCCGCGAGTCTCTTCGTCTAGCGGTTTTTTCGTCTTGCGAAGCAACTCTATTAGCGGGTTAGCGCTATTAGCGGTTTAGCGGCTATTAAAGGCTTAGCGGCTAAAAGGCTATTAGCGGCTTAGAAAAAGGGGGGGGGGAGCGAAAAAAATCGCAAGACTCGCAAGACTTTTTCGTTTTGCGAAGCAAGCCCATAGGGAAATTCGTCTTGCGAAGCGCATCGAAAAACGGAAAACCCTCTCGTCTAGCGGGTTTTTCGTCTTGTGAGGCATTCGTCTTGCGGGGCACCACTGTACAATGATTTATATGGAAACTCAGCCAGAGGGATTTGAGGAAGTCACTTAACAATGTTAACAAAAGTGGAATTATTATAGCCATGAATAATGTTTGTTTGTTTGTTCTTGATGGTTTTTTTTCTGTTTGTTTGTTATAAACTTGGAAAACTAAAACAAAAAAAATTGGGGGGGAAATACAATAGCAACTGGCAGCCACAGCTAGCGTTTCTGTGGCACGCCTCAACAACTCACGAAGCGCTACACGTGCACCACGCAGCTCCAGTTTCTTTCCAAACACTCCTCACTTCCCTCCTCTCCCCAAATCCTCGTCAGTCTGGGATAGTGCAAAAACCAGGAAGTCAAACCATGCACCCACCCACCCATCTGAGCACAGCCATGAGGCTAAAGCACCCCTTCTTCTGCCCGTCCTGCAGCCTTCCAGCAAGTTACCCCAAAGAATCCAGGGGGTTTCTTCTCCTCCGGCACAAACGCCCCACGCCGGGGGAGATACTCACCCAGGTCCCCGCTGAGCAGAGCCTCTGCTAGGGGTGGGTTGCGCTCCTTCAGCAGGGAAAGCTCGTGGGGATTGGCCAGCAACATGTCTCTCAACAGCGCCGGGTTGTCCAAGCCCTGCGGTGGGGAGGGGAACTCGGGAGGAGACGGGCCAGGCTGCGAGGAGGGCTGCTGAACTGGGGGTGCCAGTGAGGGCAGCTGGGTAGGTTGGCCTGAAGTCCCAGGAACTGTGATGCTGCTGAAGTCTATCCTGGGCAAACCTAGGCAGAGGGGAATTAACAGAACAGTTAATACTAGCCCTGGTGATTTTTACCGTATGGCGGGGGGGACCCCAAGGCCCAATCCCCTCTGATACACACATATACCATAGCTGTCAACTTTTCCCTTTTCTTGCAAGGAATCCTATTCGGAATAAGGGAAATTCCCTTTTTAAAAAAGGAAAACTTTGACACCTATGCACATATACGCACACACTCAGCCATGCCAAGTATCCAGCCTCCACAATGTTGTTCAGCAGGTTGACAAAATAATAGAATCACAGAATTGTAAAGCTAGAAGGGACCCCCAATGGTCATCTAGTCCAACCCCCGGAAATGCAGGAACCACAGTGACATAGTCCTGGACAGGATGGCCATCCAACCTGTGCCTAAAGTCCTGCTATGTAGGAGAGTCCACACCCTTCTGAGAGTGTTTGGTCCACTGTCAAACAGCTCTCTCTGCCAGAATATTTTCCTGATGTTTAGCCAGACTCTCCTTTCTCGTAACTTGAACCCATCAGTTCAGGTCCTGCCCTCTGGAACAGCAGAAAACAAGCTTGCTCCATCTTCCATGTGACAGCCCTTTAGATATATGAAGATCCAGTCAAGAGACACAGCAATGGTAGCTCCGGGATCACAGCAGCCTCTGCCACGAGGAATTCCCTGCTTTTTCCTCCTGGGCAAGCGATGGCCGGCTCCAGGGAAGAGGAAGCTCACAAGTGTCCTTACGGTCTCAGCATGTGCAGAGCATGACAAGGAAGCAATGCTCAAGAGTGGAGCAGTAGGAACAGCGGTGAGCAGAAGACAGTTTCCCAAAGCAGGACGAGAGGAAGAGGCTGGCTCAGCCCACAGTTTCATAGAGTTATAGAATGCAGGAATCCCACCCACAGCTGCCCCTGGGTGGGCTCGAACCACCAAACTTCTGGTTAACAGTAAGACACACTGGCTCAGAAACCTTTTAATGAAACCGTTATTTAAGACAGTGCAATAAAAAAATTAAGATCTTATATATATATATAATGAATGTTCATAAATGTACAAACCAAGCACAAACATAGATATGTGGACCACATGTCTGGAGCAGCACAGGAAGACCGCCCTGAAACCATTTTGACTCCCAAACTGACCAAATGTTTTCTCTGCAAGGAGGGAGGGCAGGAATTGGGTAATCACCATTTCAAAGGAATGGGCAGACTACCAGGAAAGGCAATCAGATAAGGCACCAGGAACTGGCAGACAGGAAAAACAACAACATTCAAATTTCTGTTGTAGACCACCTTTTCTGTGATGTAGGTATGATGTATGGAGGGGTGGTCTTGAGCTCTAGGGCAGGGGATTTAAAATGTCTATATAAGGGCAGGCACACCTTTGTTCTGGGTCCTCCTCCATCCTCCTGCAGGAACAGGAACACCCTGTTACAACAGCTTTAATAAAGATCAGGCTTACTAGCTGCTTTGCTTCTCAATATTCTCTGGTTGGCCTCTGTTATTTTCTCCTACCAATAGGGAACCCACGTAAGGACGCTATACGGGGCTCTTGGATACCCCATAAGGGGAAAGGGGCAGATTTTGTTTACAACAACAGCAAAATTAAATGGTTAGAGAATCAACAGACTCCTAGGCTCAATGTGACCTGAGTCCTGTGGACAGCCCAGACCACGGAGAAGTCTGACAGGGACAGGGTGGGGTGAAGAGGGAGCCTTCCTCACCGGGAAATGGGGCTGGGGGCCGCACCCCCGCATTCTCCACTTGCTGCAGGATCACCACGTCGCCGTCTTTCAAGCCGTAAGAAGCCAGTGACCGGTGGTTGTCAGTCAGGGGCTGCTCTGCATAAACAATCTGGGAGACAAGGGAAGGCTGGTTAATAAACAACTCACCACATCTGACTAGGAGAAAAGGACTGCCAAGAAAGCTCAGACACGAGAGAATAAATGTCCGCACTCCACTGCTGCCCGGACACACACAGGATGGAAGATCCCCAGAGGGATCTGTGAGGACCAGGCCTTAAGCAGGACAGACTCAGCTTGCCTCACTTTTGCTAGCCAACAGGGTGCCAGAAGAATGAGGACTGGGGGCTTGTGCTGTGCTTTGGACTGATTCAGGACATGTAACGCAATGTTTTCCCCTGTGGAATACCCTCCAATCAGATGTCAAGGAGATAAAGAACTACACAACTTTTAGAAGACATCTGAAGGCAGTCCTGTATCAGGAAGTTTTTAATGTTTGACGTTTTATTATGTTTTTATATGTGTTGGAAGCTGCAACCCAGCTGGATAGACGAGGTATAAATATTTTTTAAAATTAATTATTATAAGAAACCTGGCATTTGCGGGGGGAACTCCTTCCACATTTCCCTGCGCAACCACACTCAAAACCACAGATAATGCTATCGTTATCTTGCTTTGCTTCATGAAACCTGCACTGGAAGTCAATGGCCTGAGAGATAACACTGAAACACAGGACTGCTGGCTATCAGGTGAGCGCCTTATGACAGCTTTGCATCTAAACACTTTCAAGGCAGGCAAGAGGTGGCAAGAAAACGCCATGTCAGCGAAAGAGCAGGCTTGATGGAGGAGGGAGAGAGGGCTTTGCTGAATTCCCCACACAAAGCCTCAGGCAGGTAAGTATCACTTTCGCTTTCCAACTTATAGTTTTGACATCCCATGGCACAGCCCTAGACAAAGACAGCCCAGGAGCAAAAGAGCCACACTTGACTCAAACAGTTCACAAAAGCAGCCAAGTCAGGGGCTCTTCTCTGAACTGATCCAGGTTATGAAACACACACTCCTTACACCAGCCAGTCTGGCGCGGAGCAGGGAGCTCTTTGGCCTCCAGGAAGTCGCTTCTCCTCCCAGTCCCAAGACACCATTAGGAGTTGGCAAAAGTCGTGCACACCTCTACTGTGGGATGCATCATTCACAGTGCAAGATGGGAGTTCAAAAGCAGCTCCTCCAGAGCCGCCCACAATCCTGAGCAATCTTGCCCAACTGGCACAAAGGATTGTGGGTGAGCCAGTTCTATCAGAGGCAGGAGCCACCTCCGTCAAGGGAGGGGCGCCAGGAAACGCAGCAAAGGCAAGTGCAAGGGGTTCCAGTACCAGGAGACACCTGGCCAGCTCTCCGAGAGGTGGGCATGGACTGGGCTGGATCCCTCAATGTTTCACTGGGGGAACATCTCCCCCCCTCCCGCAACCCACCAGCCCTATTCCCCTCCAGCTTCCTTCTATCACCAGTCCATAATGTGCAATATGAGAAGGAGGCAGGGAGAGAGATTGAGGAGGCAGGACAGAAGGGGCGTAAAAGGAGGCCCAGTGAGTCAAGGGGGGCTCCCTACTCTGAGACAAGGATCCGGGGGCCCATCTGGGAGGTCCACGGTGTTTACTGCTCCATGATGTTTACTGCCTGCATGAAGGGAGCAGTTTAGCTATGGAGGCGGGAGAGAATTCACAGCTTCCCACAATCTTAAAATAGACGGTCATGATACTCTGGCGCAAGAGTCCGGGGAAGGACCTCACGTTGCCAACCCAAGATGAGCCGGACACTCACTCCTCTGTGCCAGGCGGTTGCCTCATCCTGCAAAGTCCTGTTGACTGCAAGAGACTTCCAAAGAGACTTCCAAGCTATGAGGTCCTCCTTTTGACTCCCTACCTTCCCATGGGACAAGGTTGATTCCAACTAAGCTCTACTCCAGATAAGACCCACTGGCATTGGTTGGTCTTCATTCTTTTCAGGTGTGTAGGGCCTGATGCACTCCTGAGAAACATGAACCACACCACGGAGACTCCTCTGGGTGGTTACAGGGGCCAGATCAGCATAACTATCTTCTAAGCTGAATTATTATTTATTTAAATTTACTACTTGCCTTTCACCCTAAGAACCCAGGGCAATTTGCAACTATTTAAAACACAACATTAAAAACTGTTTTAAACAACTTACAATCACAAGAACAGGGTCAAAGCCCAGGGTAAAGAGGTGCCAGGGTAAACACAGACAATCCTAAAAACCTAGCCTCTCTACCTTAGTGGCAAAGCCCCTTCTTGGCAATCAGCAGGTCCCATTGTTCACTTTCCACCAGGATCTCTAGGTAGGGCTGCGAAAGACCAAGGCATGAGAGCAGCTGCTAGTCTGTGTCAGGCACACTGGGGCAAACCGGTTGACTTGGCCCAAAGCAACTTAAGCTGCTTTCATTTTTACAGACCCACAGCCGGAGGAAGTGGGCCCCACCCCAATCCCTGATGCAAGATGCTCCTAGGAGAGCTTGGCAGGGGCTTTCCTCTCCCACTCTGCTTTTAACAAGCTGCACACTGTGGCACGAACAGAGCGCCGACACCGTCTCCTTTATCAGTCTCTCGTGAAAAGCCAGGCAGAGTTTTATCACATATCATGAGGAGCCACAAACAGAGCCAGCTGCAATACAAACTGCAGCACAGCACCCAACAGACACCCCACCCAAGGATGCCTCCTACACAACCAGAGCACAAGTTGTTGCTGGGTTACCACCCCATCACTGGCCACACTGGGAATTGGGAGTCTGACAATACCTGGAGAGCCACCAATGCCACTTGCTTTTACTGGCCCTAGCTACCTCCAATGCTATTTTTCCTTCTTTTAACGCAGGGACTGAGAAACCGCAGCCCCCCTGGATGCTGCTGGCCTTCAGCTCCCTGGTCATGCAGGATCACTGATGGGAGTCCAGCAATGTCTAGAGCAGTGGTGGCCAAACTTGGCCCTCCAGCTGTTTTTGGATTACAACTCCCATCCTCCCTAGCTAATAGGACCAGTGTCCAGGGATGATGGGAATTGTAGTCCCAAAACAGCTGGAGGGCCAAGTTTGGCCACCACTGCTCTAAAAAGTTCCAGGTTGGGAAAGGGTGCTTTGATCCACCTGGAAGACACCCATCCAATGTTAGCTAGGCATACTCGAGAATAGCCCACACTGAAGCCAATAATGGGCTTATGAAGCAACCCCACCCCATTAGATGCAAATGGGTCTACTCTTGAGTACAGGTGGCTAACACTGGACAGATACTGTCCATTTGGTTGTATAGCCAATGTGGGTCCTACTCAGCGGAGGCCCACTAGCAATAATTGGACTGAGTTAGTCTTTATTCATTTAAAGAAGTCTGAAAAGAGCTAGTGTTTTATTTGGACTGTGCTTGGCACTGAAATTTGTTGATTTCTTTGGCAATGCTAACCCTACACAGAGTGGACACAATTTTAATAAATGGGCATGGGTAACTTTGCTCCATTCCCTTCAATGGGTCTACTCTTGGTAGAACTTACATGGATATGACCCACGGGGTTGGGCACCCTGAAGCTTTTCGGAGGGGGACAACTATCCCCACCACTGCTTTACTAATCATACTATCTTTACCATATTCACATACCACTTTTTTGCCAAAGGTGCCCAAAGCAAATTGCAGTTTAAAAGGCAAATGGTGCAACATGTAAAGAGGCGATTTGCATGTGACTTACACACAGGATAATTATTTAAAAATAAATAAAACATGACTAAAACCTTAAGAAAGCAGATATATTGGGGGGGGGAGAGATAAATACACACACTGCTGGGTCAAGACCCCATTCACCCAGCTGGGGAAAGCCGGACCCATGCACCCAAAAGGTGAGCTCTACTCAAGAGGAGACCCTTCCATAGGCCTGCAGAGCTGGAAGGGGTCAGGGACGACTAGGGTCACCTAGTCGCACCCCCGCCCCGCCCTTGCAATGCAGGAACCACAGCTAAACCCGAAGTTGATTAAAAAGCAAGGAAGGCCGGATTAAGCCGCCCTCGTTTTAAAAGAGGGTCTACTCGGAGTAAGAGGGGGAGGCGCGAGAGAGCACACACAGAGAGACACACGTGCCCCTTTGGCCTCGCCTTATTTCCCCCCCTCCCCCCTCCGTTCTCTTCATGTCCCAGCCCAGGGCACGCGCACCCCTCCCCCTCCCGGGCGCGCGCTGACCTGGCTCTCGGCGGCGGGGATGCCGGACTCGAGCTCGCAGAGGGCGCGGAAGTTCTGGAGCTCGAAGTCGGCGTCGACCTGGAGCGAGAAGGTGAGCTCGGAGCGGTCGCGCCGCAGGCAGAAGACCGTCAGGAGCATCGCTCGGCCGAGGGGTTGCCGGGTGGGAAGCGAACGCGCGAAGGACGGCAGAGCGGATCCGGAGCCCGCCTGGCTGAGCCCCAGCTCGCCCGCCTGCCTCGCCTCAGAGACGCCGCAAAGCGACGCCGCCTTTACGGCAGCGCCTCTTGAACGCCCCGCCCCGCCCCTCCGTCGCAAAAGGACGGGCAGGTGGGCGGGGACAGCGCTGCGCCAGCGCGGCGTCGCCCCGCCCCCGGGGCGGAGTCCTTAGGGGTAGGGGCGGGAGGAGGCGGCCACGACGTCCGGCTCCGTCGCCGGGTGCGGGGCAGGACCAGAGGGGGGCGAAGGTGGTGTCGTTTGTAGAGTTGCAGCGTCTCTGCTGTCATTTTATTTTTCCAGGTCGCGATTACAATTTTAATGGAGGCTGTGGATTAAATTTAATGATTACTTAGTTAAATATGTTAAGTTAAATTAACTGAAAACAGCTTGCAGATACTTAATTGGCTCAGGATTTTATTTAAGTGTCGAATTAATGTGTTTAATTTCATAATGTGAAGTTCTAAGGATGTTGAAGTTAAAATTTATAAGAACTGTGATTTGGAAAACCGTTAAAAGGACATGCAACGAAATTCAACCAAGGGGAAGCGAGGAAGTCACTTAACAATGTAAACAAGTGTAATTTTCAATAAGGCTATGATTTATGTTTGTTTGTCTTATGTGTTTGTTTGTTTGTTTGTTTATAATGTTGTGAAAACCAATAAAAAAATTGGGGGGGATTTTTTTAATGGAGGCTGAGTGGCAGGAAGGTAAAAGATCGCTGGACGGTTAATAATAATAATAATTTATGGTGGATCAGAGGTGCTGATGGAAGTCCAAAAAGATTGCATAAGATGTGAAGTTCTGTGGAATGTATAATAATTGGTATGTTGAAATTAATAAAAATTATATATTATTATTATTAATAATTATTATTATAATTTATACCCTGCCCATCTGGCTGGATTTCCCCAGCCACTCTGGGTGGCTTCCAACCAAATATTAAAATACAGTAATGCACCAAACATTAAAAGCTTCCCTAAACAGGGCTGCCTTCAGATGTCTTCTAAAAGTCTGGTAGTCGATTTTCTCTTTGACATCTGGTGGGAGGGCGTTCCACAGGGTGCCACTACCGAGAAGGCCCTCTGCCTGGTTCCCTGTGACTTGGCTTCTCGCAGTGAGGGAACCGCCAGAAGGCCCTCGGTGCTGGACCTCAGTGACCGGGCAGAACGATGGGGGGTGGAGACGCTCCTTCAGGTATACTGGACCGAGGCTGTTTAGGGCTTTAAAGATCAGCACCAACACTTTGAATTGTGCTCAGAAATGTACTGGGAGCCAGGTTAAGTCCAGTCAAAGGCAGCTACGGGGTTGCGGCGCTCATCTCGCTTCAGGCTGAGGGAGCAGGCGTTTGTCCGCAGACAGCTTTCTGGGTCATGTGGCCAACAGGACTAAACCGCTTCTGGTGCAACACGGGACACCGTGACGGAAGCCAGAGCGCACAGAAACACCGTTTACCTTCCCACTGCTGCAGTACCTATTTATCTACTTGCACTGATGTGCTTTCGAACTGCTAGGCTGGCAGAAGCTGGGATAGAGCAACGGGAACTCACCCAATCACGCAGATTTAAACCGCTGACCTTGTGATCAGCAAGCCCAAGAGGCTTTGTGGTTTAGACTACAGCGCCACCTCTCCCAGTACTATCCAGGTGTCACTCAAGGCTTCTTCCTACTGCTGCCGCCACCCTCCTCCCTGGAGCCTTCAGTCTCTGCTGCAAACTGGGCTGCAGAGATCCAGTGCTGGTCAGCTTGTCCCAGGCTGGCTGACTGTTGGCGAGGGTGGCCTTTTCCTACTGTTGGGAAGCACAGTTGCTCCAAATGTAGTTAGATTCCATTTGTTCAAAACTCTGCTTTATATTTAAATCAAAATATTACATAAAACACCCAGACTGAAAACAAAAGTAAATTGCAGAGTCATGCATTTTCAGGATTCAGAAGCTACTTCTGGTTCTCCCCCCTTCAAAAAAAATGTGTGCCCTATCTCATCACTGAGCAAGTTTCTTTAGGTTATTCAGGCACTCCATGGCAAAGACATTCCAGAAGATGCAACTTGCCCCTCTTTGCTCATATGTGTCTTCACATTCTCTGTACACATCCCTCTCATTGCCTGTTGCAGCTAATTGTTCTTATTTATTTATTTATTTCCCACCTTTCCCCCCAAGTTGCGATTCAAGGCCGCTCCCAAATTATTTCCAAGAAAACAACTATCACTGGAAGGTGAGGCTGCTTTATTTCAGAAAACAAAATTCAAGTACAGCAATCTTTTGTTGGGAGACCAGAAACAAGTCACAGTGGCAGTAAGCATGTTTGAGAGACGCCCACAAAGGAACTGACACGTGGATTCTGTAAGAGTTCATTCAGGGGCTGCTCACTCTTCCTTCTCTTCCTCCAAGAGGCATCTGCTTCCCCTTGCCCACCCCCAAAATCCTGATCCCCACCCACCAGGCCCTGGTCCCTCGATCCTGAGGACTTCCAGTCTCCAAATGTTGTGTGTACTCAGCGCCTGCACTGCTTGGGGCCACCGCCTTGGAAGAGGTGGGCTCCCTACTCCTCCTGCTGGGAGACCCTCAGTCTGATTTCTCTTTCTCCTTCATGTGGAGGAACACGATGCTGAACAGGAAGAGGCCCACCATCATGGAGAAGGCACTGGCATAGTAGGGGTACGCAGAGGGGATGAATCGCTCGTACTGCGTGTGCTGGAGGGGACGCACCGATACCTGGCAAAGGTGGGAGATAGCAGAGCAAGGCGTGAGGCGGCTTCTCAGGAGCCACCCAGACTCACAGGCGAGGAGCAGTTCTGTCTCCCACCTTATGGGCAACAAGCAGGCTTCTTGCAAAGCACATACCCAGCAGAGAAAAACCACTATCGAGTCAAAGATTTATTCACTATAATTAATAAATATATCCACCTCCTCTATTAAAAGCAAACAGAGCGGACTGCAGCATAATCATTAAAGGCCTGTGGTGTTAGGAGGACTGGGGAGTGATTCTGCCCCTCTTAAAGGGCAATTGCAATGAAAAGCCAAAACTGCCCTGAATCATTCTCAGCTCACTGAGTTCCTCCAATGAGAGCCCTGTCTGGGAGCCCCTCATCTAATATTACTGAAGGGAAAGGGGTCAGGATAGCTTTTTGGTGGCCCAGGCACTGTGGGCCAGAGATGGGGAATCTGCAACCATTGGCCATGCCAGCTGGGGTTGCCTATTTAACATAAGAACCACCACCTGCTGGATCAGGCCAGTGCCCCATCTAGTCCAGCATTCTGTTCTTACAAGTGGCCGACCAGATGCCGGTGGGAAACCAGCAAGCACAATTTGAGCACAAGAATAACTCTCCCCTTCTGTGGTTTCCAGCCATTATCTTCTAATGGGCTTGTCTTTTTACTGTTAGCTAGCTTGAGAGATCGGGGACCCCAAAATTTACAGGAGACACCATCCATGGTATCTTTCTACCTGGCTCTTGGGCCAGCAGCCCCTTCCTTGCCCAAGCCAAGGCTCTTCTTACCTGGGTGGAGGAGTACAAGTGGGTGTAGCCCAGCCGGTTGTAATCCACTTTGAACTGGAAGACTCCATAGACGTCAGGCAGCTTGAACTGGACACTGTACTTGCCTCCTAGGAGCCAAACACATTTCAGGGGGGCTCAGGCCAACTTGTGGTCAACATGCAAAGAAAGTGAAGGAGTCCCCCTCCTTCCCCTGTGCATTTCAACAGCCTATCCTAACTCCTGTCATTCTGACCTGGAAGCGTAATAGTTTCTGCGGCTCTGGTGGCCACACTACCCTTAATCCAGTAGAATTTATGCGCATTATACAGTTGGGAACTGGAGGTCGCCTCCCAAGTAGGAAATTCAAGCCCTGCTCAGAGCACACCTGCTGAAACTCATGGACCTAAGTGGGTCACGCCTCGAGTAGGACTAGCATTGGCTGCAACTCTCAGCCCCAGTGAAAATTCTCTGCACATATCCCTCTCAGTGGCTGTTGCAGCTAGTCGCTGTTATTTTTATTCTATTTCTTTATATCCCACCTTTCTCCCAAGTTGGGATTCAAGGCAACTTACAATGTTATGAAATGCAAAGTAAGAAAAGCAAACTAGTTATAAGACAGTAATTCAAATACAGTCATACCTCGAGTTACAGACACTTCAGGTTGCGTTTTTTCGGGTTGTGGACCGCCGAAACCCAGAAGTACTGGAACAGGTTACTTCCAGGTTTTGGCGGCCGTGCATGCAAAGAAGCACTAAATTGTGCTTTGCGCATATGCGCCGAATCGCAACCTGCGCATGCGCAGATGCACCGCTGCGGGTTGCGAAAGTGCATCCCGCACGGATCACGTTCGTAACCCGAGCGTCCGCTGTATATCAAAACACATTTAGAACCAGCAATTAAGATCCAGTTCGCCCTGACAACAGCCCATTGATCAACACCATCTGCACTTTATCTTTCAAAGGCCTGTCTGAACAATAAGGTGTCAGCATGCTGACAGAAGAATAGGAGGGAGCCAGTCTAACCTCTCTTGGAGGGGGGTGGAATTCCACAATCAGGGAGCAGCCACTGAAAAGGCTTTCCCTCTTTTTCTTTCTCTCTCTTGTGTCACCACCAGGTGTGCCTCACATGTTTTTGGGACTGAGTTAAGGTGCTCAACCTGAGGATCCCCCAAGGTGGCTGTCACCGATGGAAGCGAAAGCTCTGAAAAGGCTCAATATGGAGGCCAAATGGCCGAAATATTGGGAAATTTTGGAACAAGATGGGGATAGACTGAAATTACAGAGTTTTGAGAAATTAAAAAGCAAAGTGCGAGACTGGCTTCATTATTACCAGATAATGGAGGCATATAATTTGGACAAGAAAATTGGTTTCCAGGTGGAAAAATCAAAATTAGAAACAGAACTGTTAGAACCCAAAACTAAGATTTTGTCAAAGATGTATAACTTGCTGTTGAAATGGAATACTCAGGATGAAACGGTGAAATCTGCTATGATCAAATGGGCACAAGATGTTGGACATAACATAATGATGGCTGACTGGGAACAGTTATGGACCACAGGTATGAAGTTTACGGCATGTAATGCCTTAAGAGAGAATATTATGAAAATGATATACAGGTGGTACATGACCCCAGTCAAGCTTGCAAAAATTTATCATTTGCCCGATAACAAATGTTGGAAATGTAAAGAAACTGAAGGTACATTCTTTCACCTTTGGTGGACGTGCCCAAGGATTAAGGCTTTCTGGGAGATGATATATAATGAATTGAAAAAGGTATTTAAATATACCTTCTTGAAGAAACCAGAGGCCTTTCTCCTGGGCATAGTCGGTCAATTGGTGCCAAAGAAGGACAGAACTTTTTTTATGTATGCCACAACAGCAGCAAGAATACTCATTGCAAAGTATTGGAAGACACAAGATCTACCCACTCTGGAAGAATGGCAGATGAAGGTGATGGACTATATGGAATTGGCGGAAATGACTGGCAGAATCCGAGACCAGGGAGAAGAGTCGGTGGAAGAAGACTGGAAGAAATTTAAGGACTATCTACAGAAATATTGTAAAATTAATGAATGTTAGAATGATGTTGGATAGAAATTAAGTGGTTTTCAGCTGTAATACTATAAGGGAATATGAAAAATGGATTATTAATAGGTAAAAATTTAACGTTACAATATTTTAAGATTAAAGATTAGGATAAACAAAGAGGGTAAGGATTTGCTGAACCAACAAACTGAACTGGAATACAAAAAAGGGAGGCGTGAGGAGGTCCGGGAAATAAGCTAATGAAAAATAAGTAATGGAAAGATTGAGTTGTTTTTAGCCATTTTTATTTTTGTACTTTTTTCTTCTTTTGTTTTTGTTTTGTAACATTTTGAAAATCTTAATAAATATCTTTTAAAAAAAAAAGGTGCTCAACCTGAGGATCTTAGCAGCTGGGTAGGTTCAGACAGTATAGGTGGCAGGTCTCTCAATGCGTATCGGAATTTCTCATCACCATCCAACATCACTATGACAATTTCTTTTTGTTAATGTGGAGGTGTTAGGATACTGCAAGCCTGGGTCATAACAGACTGCAAACCTGCATACAAACTACTCACCTCAGGCCAGAAATGAATCTTTTCTAGAAAGGAACAGAGGTGGTTTCACCTCTCCCCCACTCCTAGGTCACAGTGGAGGGGGCGTGAAGGAATACAGGCAAATGGGGACAGTAGAAATTCTGAAATTTTCAAGGGGCTGATAATGCACGACTGAGAAAACGGAACCAGCTTACCATTCCTCTTGAGGAAAGTTCTCACAAACGGGTCGATGCGGACAAATTCGAGCTGGATATCATCGCCATCAAAGGGGACCCACTTCCCATCAGAGAGCTTCTCAATTACGATACTGTATTCCTGAGGTAGAGAGGGGAGCGAGTGTCATTGGCCGGCTAAAAAGGCATGTGCAGACTGTGAAGGGAACTCTCAAGCTCTGGCTGCAAAGGATGGTTTAAAAATCTCACCACCAGGTCTGTGACGGTGTAGGCACTAGGGGGCGCGATCTCCCCCACCCGGTGGTGGGACACCTCTCCCACGCGAAGGACGCCTTCCTCCTTGAACACCCAGCGTGACAAAGCCATGGCCAGCTCGTAGTTCCCCGTCTGGGAGTACCTGAGAAGAGGAAGCCAAGGAATGAGAGTTAACATTTGCTCAAGGGATGTTGCATATCCACAGAAATTCAACTCCAGTACAGGAAGATTAATCAGCGTTATTTGCATGGCAGATCAAGCACGGTCTGCATCGACCTTCACCAACCTAGAGACTTCCAGGTGTTTTGGACTACAAACCTAGCTGGGGTGGTGGGTGTCAGTTGGCATTTCTTAGTACAGGACACAAAATATTGATCTGAGGTGTAGAGATCTTTCCTATTCTAATTAATTCAAGAGGGTTCTGGAAGCTTCCCTGTGTGAAAGAAGCAAGCAAGAGGTTACTGATGTTTGGGTTATTCCTTCCGGGAAGCCGAGTACAGCTGGTTTAAACTGGTTCTGTTATCTCTTTCTGTCAAGGTCATGCTGCCTAGATGAGTTTCACCCTCTCTTTTTTTGATCTGGTGTGGTGTTCCGTATATAGTGTTACGGTTTAGGTCTTATTATAAGCTGTTGTAAGGTTTAAGTTAAGTCTGCTGCAACTGGATTTCTTATGGACAGTGCCAATCCTGAATGTATTGGATTTGTGACCATTATGCTCATTTGCCTTCGGTAGCAGTAAAGCTCTGCTGGATGAAATGCCTCTGGTCTATTTTTCGGGAATCCTGCAATGTATTTAAGTTTTTACTCTGCTAACTATACATTGGAATCTACTCTGGATCAATACTGAGTAGAATTTCAACGACAAAAAAACTGCAGACCTAAACACCTGGGGGTCTCTAGGTTGGAGAAGGCTGATCTGAATCAGTTATGCAGTGGAGAAGCTTCCTGCATGAGCTATAGAGACTATGCTCTGTGTCCCAGTAATAGACCCATCTGCCTGGGGCACGGGAGAGACATTTTCAGCGGTAGCATGCAGATTACGTCACATCCCACCCCCACCCCCCGCACCTGTTGGCTTTTAGCCACCTCACAAAATACCTTTCTGATTCCAGCAGCTGTTTAATCTTCTGGTTGCTGGTGCTTTTATGCTTTCATGCTGTACGGACTTTATCCTCTACTCTGGATTAACTGGCAGGAAACTGTTAGCTATTTCCAATAGCGTTCCAATGGTTACTTGAGGGCTCGTTCTCATGTACCAATGTAAACAACCCTCAATGTCTCTTTTGAGGATGTAAATTTCCTAACACGGGAGACCAGGGTTCAAATCCCCCCACTTGACCACGAAGCTCACCAGGTGACCTGGGGCCAGACATTGCCTCTCAGCCTAACCTACCTCCCAGGGATGTTGTGAGGATTAAATGAGGAGGGGGAGAACTATGTATACCACTTTAAGCAACTTGGGGGAGGGGAGTGAAGTAATAAATAAAATAGAATTGTCTCTGTCAAAGGACATGGGCTCTGTCCCTGCTCATGCACACAGAAGGTGGGCATCGTTTGGAACACAAGAATGGAGTGGAAACCCGACTGTACCTTTGGGAGCCAGGGGTAGCTTTCTGCACAGCAGAGTTGAAGAAGGCATCGCTGAAGAAATCCAGGGAACCACTGAAGACAACACGGGCGTTATTCCGGGCCTGGAGACCCGCAATCAGGAGTGTGTTCTTCCCAACAGCATGAGGGTACTAAGGGAGCAAAATGACTGGTCAGTGCAGGTGAACCATTTTTCTGAGAGGATGCCAATTGCCACCAGTGGCAGACTTTGGGCTCTCAAATTTCAGGTGTCCTGTGCTCCGTCCTACAGCATTGTTTTGGCGCCCCCTGCAGTCCCCAACCAAAAGGAAAGCAATTGGAGCCTGGCACCAAGGTACTTTTTGTCAGCAGGTTTTTAAAAAAGGCAAGCCCCCCCTTCATGTCATACCTGTGTGATGGGTTTGTCAGGAAAGAAGGAGTAAGAGGTTGAGGAGCCAGTCAGGATATCTAGAACCAAAGGGTTGTCAGGATCAGCCACCATCCTGCAGGGGGGGAAAAAAACTAATTGTGAAGATTTCCGACAGCAGGGGAGAAGTTTCCTTCCAAGACGCAGTTCAAAATGCCCATGCGCCCCTCCAGGTGGGAGCCCCCAAATATTAATAATGTATTTATGGAAAGCACTTGGTGCAAGACCCAACGCTGTCTTGAAAGGAGGTTCTTCTCTTTATGCTTAGGATTAAAAATGAAGGAAAGATGAAGAGAAACCATGGGAGGTATTCACTGCTAGTCCTACTTAGAGTAACCCCATTGAAATTTATGGGCAACAGGACTAACTTGGGCCAATTCATTTAAGTGGGTCTACTGAGAATGACTTGACTGGAGAAAGCCCCATGAGCTGGGAGCGTAGCAAAGTAGTTACCAAATTTTCTTGTTGTCTAGGTGAAGACATAGTCTCTTCACTCTTTACTAAACTTCACTCTTTCCTAAACTGGCCAAGAGCACCAGCTCCTATAGCTGTGGCCAAACACAACCCTCGTGTTGCAGGAGACTCACCCAACTCCCCGAAAGAGGATGGGGTTCAGAGGCTTCTTCCCCACAATAGTCGGAGCCTTCAGGAGGTTCTCAGAATCTGCCACGATGAGGGTGTGCTGCAAAGAGACCGCAGTTAAAACCTTTTGGGGACTGCCAACTCTACAGGCAGGTTCAGCCAATGCTTCATCAAATGACAATGTGGCTAACACTTTGCCTTAGAAGATGCCACAACCCTTTGCCCACCAGCCCCACCTCCGCCTTCCTGCCCTCTCCAACTTTCTCTGCAACACACGGAAGGCTGTATTTGGATAGTTACAGCTCAGCACCATCAACCAAGATATGAACAAGCATTTGCATTACAAGGGCAGCCCCGTCTCGCACATCACAATTCAACCAAGTAGTCTCCATATACAGTGGTGCCTCGCAAGACGAAATTAATTCGTTCCGCAAGTTTTGTCGTCTTGAGATTTTTTTTGTCTTGCGAAGCACGGTGTTGGGAAAGTTTTGGAAAAGCTTCAAAAATCACCAAAATCTTTAAAAACCTCAAAAAAGGCTACCACACCACGTTCTATGAGTTGCTCCTCAAAGTCAAGTCGCAACTGTATTAACGGTGTTAAGAAAAAGGAAACAAACTTGCAAGACGTTTCCGTCTTGCGAAGCAAGCCCATAGGGAAAATCGTCTTGCGAAGCAGCTCAAAAAAGCTTTCGTCTAGCGAGTTTTTTGTCTTGCGAGGCATTCGTCTTGCGAGGTACCACTGTAGCTGTGGCTCCCCATTTCATCTGAGTCGGACATCTACAGTTACTAGCCAGAATATTTAACCATATTTTGGATACTGGCTTGTTCTGACGCTGGTAGCCGGAGTTTCCAGGTTCCCCATAAAACAGGAAAAAATGGTTAACCGCAGTTCTCCTCATTTCATTCACTTCGCTGCAAATGGCGGAAAGAGAAGAGGCCGCAAAAGTTGAGAACGTAGCGAGTGGCTGCTGGCATTCCATTTCCATGTTGGGGCCGAAAGTAGATTCGTCTGATCAATTAACTGGTAAATTGGCATATGTTCTTTGTTTTTCAAATATACATGTAGATGTTGTAGCAAGCACCATCTTGGAAGCAGCTTTCCCTCCTCTGTGGAAGTGAAGAGGCTGTTACCTTTTCTAAGATGCTGGCTGCCACCTGCAGCCTTTGTAAGAGCTTAATGGTTAACACAAGCAATTGTTTCAAAACAACTAAATATTTACTGCCTAGTAGAAAGCCGGTCTACCCAGCACTTTGCATCCTGCTGCTTACCTGACCCAGATCAGAGACATCGTAGTTGTGATGGTCAATGACAGCTGTCTTCTCCTCATCAAATTCTATGCCACATTCACTTCCCAGCTCTCGAAGGGGATCGCCTAAGAATTGTCAACATTGTACTTGTTTAGAAAAAGGGGAGCTGTTTATAATTAAAGCCACAAGTAGCCTGGCATCTACTTAGATGATACGCAGACAAATCACTCTCCAAGTACGAAAAAATGTTCTATGCATAGAAAGAGAGGGTGGAAGCGCTCAGAGCTCTATTTTATGATGCCACAAATGTTTACTTAACTCTGTTCAAGATACCAGCTTCCAAACAGATGCAAAGGAAGGGGGGGAAATCATATCACCTTCAAAGATGACAGCAGACAGAAACAGACCCTTTTGCTTTCCTTTGAGATAATGGCTATATAGAGAGAAAAGGTCTAATGGAAGAGCCGTAAAGAAGTTGAGGCGCCCTGGGTTTGTTGTTTCTTAAATCTATACTCATTCATCACTCAGGTAAAATTAGTAAGTCAGCTTCTGCCAACCTGGTGCCCTCCCTTTGCAACTCCCATCAGCTCCAGTCAGCACAGCTGCCAATACCAGTCCAAAACACCTAGAGGGTATTGGGTTGGAAAAGTCTGGCTTAGGAGGTCAATTATCCAGCTAAATAGCAAAAGGTTCAAGACATTTACAGTTAGCATTCACACTTTAAGGTGGTTAGAAAGAGTACTTTGTCCTGTATTTCCTATTTAATTTACAGTGGTACCCAGAATTCCAGGACTGCTATAGCCAAAGGAATTCTAGGCACGGGCGGCTCAACCAAACTACAAAACAAAATGGCTGATCAACGAGAAGTTCCCCATTCATGGTGGGGGTAGGAAGAAGCTCTCTTTCAAGTCAAAGGCTCTCCGTTGGATAAAGTTCATTTTACTGACCAATATCTGAACTGGCGGCCACAAGGACGCTCCCCCCTCCATCGATGAAAGCAGCAATGGTCTCCACATTGATGTTGCCTCCAAAATCTGAAACGAAGGGCCAATGATGTTTAAACATGTCAAAGCAAAAGCTAGATTTGCAAGGAGCAGTTTGAAGGAATAATATTTGCAGTACATACAGAGGTAGGTGAAGCAACTGGACTTTAGGGCTGCGCACCAGAAATGACTTGACTTCCAGCTGCCAACATCCACTCCCAAAACTCATTTTTAAAAACATAAATGTTTTTCTAGCAAAAAGCAGCATGCAGTTGTATTTATCCACGTATTCAACCAATAACAACTCTTCCTCACCTTCTTACAATATGCAAAGTGTCATGCCTATCGTAAGGGTGACAGAAAGAAATGCCTTCCAACTCCAACCAAAAAACCCTCAAATGAAGACCATTACCTACTCAACAGGTGAAATATAAGAAAAAAGCAAAACAGGTGCAGAAAGCAAAACAGAATAATGACACACAAGTATTATTTATACAATAAGCACTGAACAGTTCAAGGAAATAAAGCTCGAACAAACTTTGTGGTCTTCACTTCTGAATAAACACAGCATAGGGTTGCACTGCAAACTTCTCTACATTGCTTCATTTCTGTCTTACCTTCTACAGATGGAGAGAAGATAATCAGGTTGTCATACAGGAACTCTCCATATTTAATGAGAGACAACCCAGGGTCATCTGCAGTCCTGAAGGTGAGATCAAAGCCCCTATCTAGATTTAGAAGTGTGGGAGAAAATAAGGGACTTGTAATATTCCCAAGCACAAAGAGAAATTCAGGAACCAGTAAAGTTCTAGGTCCACTAGACATTGCTAAAAGACTGACGGGCAAATCAGGGAGTTCCAAATTCCCATTTTGCCTCTGCTGGGTAATATTAGCTGGCCTGAAACAACCCTCACGGTGCCTCTTCTAGTCCCCTTGTTTGCAAGCGGAATAAAAGCCCAATACCTGCCCCACAGAATTATTCACGCCAATTGTTCATTTATCCTAAAAGCATTTATAAACCATAAAACATAAAATCTCTTGAGCTGCCTAAAATGAGCTTAAGGGTTATGTTATTAAATAACCAAGTTATTACTTGGAAAAGCCTGGGAATAAGAACAAATCATGTTCTACTCACGCTTCAACCAACCAACACTGCCTTCCACTCCTAACCCTCTAAAGCAGGCTTAGGCAAACTCCAGCCCTCCAAATGTTTGGGACTACAATTGCCATCATCCCTAGCTAACAAGACCAGTGGTCAGGGATGATGGGAATTGTAGTCCCAAACACCTAGAGGGCTGGAGTTTGCCTATGCCTGCTCTAAAGCTGAGGTGAAGAGTCAGATGTAGCCCACCAGGCTTCCCTCAAGGCCACATCCCACATTAGCTCTGCACCCTCCTTTGAATGTTTTCTATTAATTTCTTTTTTGCTTTTATAACTCACCAAAGAGCTCAGACTGGGATAGGCGGCTCTACGTCTCATCCTTTCATCCCCTCAACTCCCCTGCAAGGTAGGTTCGGCTAAGAGTGACCAACTGACCCGACATCAGCCAGTGAGTTTCATGGCTGAGTGGCGGTGGGGATTTGAGTGCTAGTCCCGGTCTAACACTCTAACCACTGTGCCACACTGGAACGTGTGGTGGGACTCTGATAACAGCTCCCACTCCCCTGAATGGAGGATAGAGAGGTGCGTGTGTGAGAATCAGTGCATATACATACAGCCTAGTGGTGTAATGATTCAGAGTGCTGGACAAGCACCTTTGGAGAGGTGATGCTCTGAATCCCCAGCTCAGCCATTAAACTCCCTTGGGGGGGGGCCCAGTCACAGTCTCTCAGCCTGACCTACCTCACAGGGTTGTTGTGGGGATGAAATGAGGAATAAGAGAACCATGTGCGCCATCCTTGATAAATGTAATAAATATTTAATGTAAGTTACAGGGAACTGACACTAAGGACCTCCTGGCAGTTCCCTCGCTACAAGAAGTGAAGTTACAGGGAACTAGGCAGAGGGCCTTCTCGGTAGTGGCACCCGCCCTGTAGAACGCCCTCCCACCAGATGTCAAAAAGAAAAATAACTACCAAACTTTTAGAAGACATCTGAAGGCAGCCCTGTTTAGGGAAGCTTTTAATGTTTAATAGGTTATTGTATTTTAGTGTTTTGTTGGAGGCCGCACAGAGTGGCTGGGGAAACCCAGCCAGGTGGGCGGGGTATAAATAATAAATTATTATTATTATTAGTCACCGTCCAAAGCTAGGAATTCCACGTGTTGACACAGACACACACACCTCGCTGACATGTCCCTTCTGGGAGGTTGCCTTGAAGGGAATGCTGCCCTGGCGCTGGAAAAGGCTCTCACCCCCCCCTCCTCCTCCGCACCCCGTCTGCTCTAAAGCGCTCCACGCTCCCGGGCCAGACCTGCCAGGCTGCGCATGAAGAGCGAGTGCGTGTCCTTCAGGTTCATGTTCTCCAGCAGCACCAGCGTGCGGGTCCCGCCTCCCCCGGCCGCCGCCTCCCGCGCCAGGCATAGGAGCACCAGCGCCGCCGCTAGAGAAGCTGCCATCGACCTCCGCCGGTGCAGCCCGCGAGCTCCACGCACTGCAGCCGCCATCTTGTCTTCTCCCACTCTCCGAGCGACGCGGAAGCGAACTCCGCCGCAGCCGCCAATCAGCGGACGCCGCCCTCTCAGGGAAGGCGGGCGCCCAAGCGTCTCCCAGCCAACCAGCAGCAGGCGACGGGGCAACGTGATGCGCGCAGGAGCGAGTGCCCGCCCTACCTTCCGCCTTGAGCCAATCGGAGAGAGACAACTCTCGACACGGCCGAGCCTTCCTGCCGTTGCTCCCCGCGGCCGGATCTGCCAGTCTGAGCTCGGCCCTTGGCGGAAGCCAATCGCTGCTTCTCTTTTGCTGCTGGTATCCAATCAAGCATGAGCGCAGCCATGGCTAATACAGCGCGGAGCTGAGCGATTGTTGCTAGGCAACAGGGGCATCTAGGCCTTAATGGCCGCCATTGATTTCGAAAACTAACATTTTAAAGGTCTTCTCCTCCCAGTCACGTTTTATTGCCATTTCCCAACACACTCACACACACAAACGACAGCTAAAATTTAATCATTTTGGATTACAAATATATTTTTCATCACATTTATATATAAACATATTTAAAATATAGGTTATGTATTCATATATTGGCATGCTCACAAATATTTCCCCCCCAAAAAAAATATTTCTTTCAAAATATTCTGGCAGGAGCAGGTACATAAACCCCCATAAGGAAAACAAGGGATTGTAACCAACTAAATTCTACTGAGAGTAGACCCATTTAAATTATGTACATTAACTTTGAGTAGGACCAACATTGGACACAACCCAAGGAACATAAACAAGCAGCATTAAGTGGAAAAGAGGGTGTTGACTTAACTGACCTGCAAGAGCTGAAAACCACTTGCAGAATTTTGTTTAGATTAAACCTGGAGTTATCTCTGACCTCTCAAATGCTCAGTTAATTTGTTTTGTTTTTAAGATAAGTGGCAAGAATCTGGAAAACCAATGTTCTAATTGAAGGAGCATTTATTGTCTGAGCTGCAGCCCAAGATAGGAAAATAGGTGGTGAGGGAACACCTAGCTACTTTAAATGAATTCACAGTTGAGATTCCAGCATTGCATTGGGTTGGACTAGATGAGCCTTGGGGTGCCTTCCAACTCTACGATTCTGTGATGCAGTATTGAGACAAAAAGTGCAACTCTAGGGTACTTCTAGTCAGTAGTAACTCCAAGACCAATGGGGCTTTTGTGCTTGGAAAGTAGGCTTGCCACACATCAGGAAAATTCCTGCCATGTCCTGGTTTTTGGTGTAAAAATGTTGTCAGGGGGGAATTCTGCCAAACAGCCAAAATGTCTGGGAGAACATGGATGTATGGCAACGTGATAGAAAAAGCTCAAAAAGCTTAAAATAACTATTGGTTTTCCCAAAAAAGCTAAACAATTTGGGTTTGTTCCCAAATTGGTGGTGGTTTCCTTAGAAAAGCTCAACAACTTTGCAGGTGTCAGAAATTTTACTTTTTAAAAATATGGCAATTCTACTGGAAAGCATGTGCAGGATTTCAGCCGCTGATGAAAAATCTATCTCTGAATGACCAGGGGCGTCAGCGCCATGGGACCCTTTGGCTAGAAAAGTTAAGACTAGTTTGCCGTTCTACTAGGGGGCAAGAGGGAAGGATTGGATCAATGCCATCAAGCCTAATCCCTACCATATCAGTATGAGAAAGCTAGCCCAAGTGCAAAAGTGCCACATAGCTTGAACACCACAAAAAGAGTTAGCACAGTTAGCATGTGGATGGCAGGAAAGCTAAGCCCAGACTCCTCATCCCAGTTCCTGTGGGACAGCCAGAGATTTACTAGTGCCATGTAGCCAAGATGCCTGCCGGCGGCTTCTATCTTCCTTCCAGGGATCCTCCACTGCGCAGTCTTGCTCCTCGTAACAGTGGTTGATCCGGCCTGCAGCCAGAGAGCAGAAGAGGCCTCCTTGGATTCCAGAGTAGTGATCCAACAGAGCTTCCATACTGGGGAACTCCACATTCAAATGCTATGAGAACAAAGAGAAAAGGAAAGAAATGATAAGAGATCGAAAACTGGCTGTTGCCCACAAACCACCCCTCATTGGACAAGCTTCTGTGATGTCACATAATGTTCCCACACAATCTAATTTGCGAAGGTGTACAGTCCCTTGTGGAATTTCAACACAAATCAATGCAGGAGCTATTATTGAGAGGTAAGGGAAAGATTTATTTAAAGGGGAAAAAATGTACTGGATTGGGCTTAGAGGCGAGGCTTTGGGGACAGGAAGAGCTGTGTAATGTTTCTATTACTATTTTCATACTTTGTTTCTGGACTGCTTTTGGCCAGAAAGGCCCCCAAAGGAGCTCAGAAATGTTGGTGAGTGCTAATAGAATTTTTATTGTTTTCAATATTTCAGTTAATGTTTTAACATTTTAATCTTTTAACCAATTGATACAAATCCAACTAGTTACCATTCCTTCTGGCTCCTGGAAACTCGCTTATCTCGTGCACCAAAGTGGTCCAATATATTGGCAATGTTGTATGACAGGAGTTTTAAAAAAACCTGTCCAAATGTGCTTGCAACAACTGAATCAGACAGAATCAGGCAGAATCAGGCAGAGCTGGCATGTCATTTTCCTCAAGTTCTCACCTCCACAGAATACTTCCCAAGCTGGCTCCTGTAAATCTGGTAAGGGATGATTCCACATCTTGTCCTCACTGTAAGACACCACTGATCAGTGGCCCCTGGCTCAGCCCAGAGGAGGAAGGCTCCAATTACATCATTCCTGAGCAGCGCCATCCCGGCATCCCTGAAAACCAGAAGGGAGTGTGGAAGAAGGGACCTCTGAGCAGGAGGAAAGCAGCCCACGGAACCAGGTTTCTCTATCTGGAGCAGAAACCCTCTCCCTGCTCCAGCCCTTCCACGTCTGGGAATAAAGTCTACCATCCAATGCGCCCTTCCCTTGGAGTAAGCTGCACTGGAAACAGTGGGGCTTACTTCAGAGTAATCATGATTAAGTTCACACCTCAAGTGTGGGAAATGTTTGGCTACCTTTCTTGGGTTATTCAACAGCAAGCAGTGTCAGTGGCTACTAGCCATGATGGCAGTATGCCTTTTGCTGGGAATCACAAGTGGGGACAGCACTGCTGTTGTGCTCGGGTCCTGCTCATAGGCTTCCCACTGGGATTGCGCCGTATGAGAACAGGATGCTGGACCAGACAGGCCATTGGTCTCTTCTAGCTGCAGGGCTTCTATCACGTTCTTACCAATTTGCCACCAGCAACCATGAATTTATATGGGAAATCTTAGTTTCCTTCTTGTGGTCAACCACCTGTGCTGTGCAGTTTACTTCCATTCCCCAATTTGCAAGCATCCTTGGAGGCCTCCTGTCAGAGGGCACACAAGGGGAGACCTCCCCATACCTGTCGATGCCTGCAAAAGACCACACGTTCTCCATCAGACTGCTGTCATTATCCAGCAAGCAAGCCAGGCTCCCTCTGCTGCCTTTGCTGTCGCAGCTGGTGAGAACTGAAGCCAAGAAGGAAACAGAGGGAGAGGTTATACAAAAGAGACCATCTCAGCAGCATAGATGCTTGAGCAAAATCTCAAAAGAACAAGGAAGGAGGACTTCCGGGGAGAGGAATTGGTGGTTCAGCTGTCTCTCTAGAAGCATGCCGCAAACAGAATATAATTATGTGGTGATTGATAACAGACAGACAGATGGTCTGAATATTAATCACTCTGGAATATAAGGGTGATTATGGGAGCAACCTCAAATGCTTTGGATGAAGCCATTTTATGCTGTCTTCACTTGGCGGCTTGGACGGGAGTGAGAACAAGCTAGCAAGCTAGGGAGTTGACACTATGCCCAAATGCCACGTAAGTACCTTTCATAGGTAGAAAAGTCACAGCCCCACTTTCTTAAACACTTCAGGGACAAGGTAACTTAGAGATACCCTTCCATCTTCTGGTGAAAATTTACAATCTAAAAATTTGTAAGTACTGCATTCTGTCATTAAGAAGAACAGAAAGGAAAAGTGGACATTAAAGTGTCTAAGGAAGAGTGACATGTCTGATTTATGGTTGGCAATAAAGATTAAACGGATGAAGGAATACCATGTGTGAAGAATCATTAACACTTTTTCTTTTGCTTGCCACTAAAGAGCTGAAATAACTGAAAGTAAACCAGCAATTACTCCATTATTCCAGCCATAGAAAGAATTTATTGTGAGAAAGGATATGCTGGCTGTGATCTTAACGTGGAAATATTAAAGTAGACTGAGTTGCTAATAATATTCAAAACATCAAAAGCACCCAATATGGCAAATGTACCTTTGGATCTCCCAGTGGCCGTTGGTATTGTTCAACAGTTGATGGCTGAACAATTAAAAATGATCAGATCGGTGTATGATGAAAGGGGGAAAGAAAATGAATCTGAGAAATATGAAATGGAAATGAATAATACTTCAATGCTTCATACTGAATAGATGAAAAGCTGACAGGACTGGATGATGAAGTAGCTAAATTGAAAAAAGCAGGTGCTGAAATGGAAATGCCTTGCATACAAGGATTTGTAGGAGAAAATCACAAATGGAGAGATGGGAAATTAAATGGATATGGCATCAATGGAGCTGAGAGGATATAAAGCTTTGGGAAAACTTCAATCCTGGCCTTTCTTCAGTTCTAGCAGATAAAAAGTATTTTGCATACAATTTGGAGCAAATTCAGAGAATGATGCTACTAAATTTATGCTACTCTCTGGAAAAAGACTGGGGAAAAATGGAGATACTATCAAAAATACATCAGGAAATGGAAACAGAACAGGAAATAGGTGGGACTCTGGATGAGAGATAGGGGAATGTTGGTCTCCCAGGATGAAAGGCTGGGATGAGAAAATATCTCAGGTGAGAACTGGGATGAGCTACTATCTTCTGTGGTTGGTAAGGGCTAATAATTACTTTTAAGAGGACTCCACATTCTACTTATTCATTTGGTTTTTTTGTAGCAGCTATTTTACAGTATCATGAAAAACATTAATAAGAATTTCATTACAAGAAAAATGAAGAAATGAGGAATGAGAATGCAAAAGGAGATGCAGGAGGCAAACTATCCTCTGAAAAACAGGGATAAAAACACCCCAAAGACACACTTGGAAATAAAGAGAAGCTCTTTACATAGCTGGAATGCAACATGGATGAAAGAGCAGCACAGGATATTCTCTTCTGTCTCCCTGAACAGCAGAATCTTCTGCATTCCCCGAATACTCACACATCTCTCGGGCGCTCTGCTGCAACTGAGCCTCGAAGGTGCAGCCTCGATAGGCTCCGGAGCGAAGGGTTTTGCTGCGGATCGCCTTCTTCCGCACCAGGATTGGCGAGCAGTATGGATTCCCCGGGCGAGAGGTGCCCAGGCTGCTCCTTTCCTCCAAATCCAGCCTCTCTCTCTAGGGATAGGAGACAGAGACGGATGGACAATGAGCAGGAGAAGCAGAATTTGGAGCTGGCAATAAAGTTTAGCGGGAAGCTGGATGGCTCAAAGTTCCACCCCAGCACAGTAGGTCAGCTTGAATAAATTCAGGTGGTACCTTTCCTCCTGGCACTCTGGATCAGACTGAAAGCCTTCTTTTGGAAGGCGGTTTCTTCCTGATCCCGATCCGGACATAGGAAACTGCCTTATACTGAATCAGACCATTGGTCAATCCAGCTCAGCGTTGCCTACACTGACTGGCAGCAGTGGCTCTCCATGGTTTCAGGCAGGTAGTATTTTTCTAGCCCTACCTGGAGATGCCGTTGGCAGGGAGAGGTAAGAGGCCTTCCTTCCACTGCCAGGTGCAGCTGGGCTCACTTACCACACTGATGGAGGGGCCAAAGTCAGCAGGGCACGGAAGCCTCCGGAAGGACACCAACGCATTGACGTTTTGAGATACATCCTCCGGATCAAGGGACTCCCAGGCCACCCGGTTATCCAGAGAGGCTCCCAGCAGCCTCCCAGGCTCCTGCTGTGTGGAACCACTGGGGAGCCATTCTTGGTCCTCAGGATGCATCAGGAGATAGTAGAGCTGGAAGGAGCGGCAGAGCAAGAAGTGCAAAATCTGGACCTGTAGGGCAGAAAATGCAGGAGGCACATTAGCCACCACCAGCCCCCCAGCCCCCCGTTCCCCTTCCAGGCAATGGCTGAAAGCAGCTTCACTCCTGAGTGGCACATTTCTGTCAGGAGAGGAGCAGGCACTAAACCTCTCCCTTCATAGGGCAGCAGAATTAGTGCTCTCCAAGTTTTCATGGCGACCAATGGTGCTCGCTATTTCTGGGGGCAAGAGGCAGGGCCTTCTTGGTGGTGACTTCACCGGTTATAGAATGTTCATCCTCTAGTGGGTAAGGCAAATTCATGGATGAATGGATGATAAGTTCAGCAATGACTGCTGTTCAGGGTGGCTGTATTTCTCCTCCACTGTCGGAGATGCTATACCTCTGTCCCACCAGCTGGCCTACCTCACTGGGCTGGCTGCCCACAAACAAGTGGCAGAAGAGGCTGCTGCGAGGGCTGCGCGGGTTGCGGGCCACAAAGGCAAACTGGCACTCAGTGGGTATCCAGGTGCTATACAGGATGCGCTTGAGGGCATGTGCCATAAGCAGAGCCTGCAGGAGAAGAGGAGGAGGAAGGGGCAATGAGGTCAAGCAGTTGGCAACCCACGTCCTCACCAAACAACCACTGCCTCATCCAAGCAGAGAAGGCCTCTCCGGCTCCCCCGTCCTCAGGATATCCTCACCACACCCTAGCAAGGTGGGCCAGCCTGAAAACAAAACAGGACCCCCACCCAGCCTGGCACAAGCCCCAGTTAACTCCTCATAAGGCAAGATGGCTCCTAGTTCCGGCATGCTGTCGTGCATCAAGCCCTGGCCCCACTCCTACCTCCCCCTCTGCGTTGTACATCTTCAGACCCTGCAGGCAAAACTTGAGGACGACGGATCGCCGCCTGGGGCAGTCCTGTGTTCCGGGAGAGCAGGATGAGAGATGGAGAAAAGGAGAAACCGAGTCAGAGATGGCACACCAAGGAGACTCGCTTGGCTCTTTTGGACACACAAAGATTCCGAGCAGAGACAATTCCCTTTTGCTCCCTGCACCTCTAGAATTTTTGGGGCTTACTAGCATGCTCAGAGCCAGAGCTGGTTTCACAGTGCCAGAGTAATGATCCTGCCAAATAGGGGGAAGAAGCATTGAGGCTAGTGCCTCTAAGCACGTGCAGAGGGCTAATGTGGCCACAACCAGCTCTGACCGCTTACCTTCAGGCGCTGAAGCTGCTGCTGGATAGCCAGAGCCTTTTGCTGGAGCTCCGCGTCCTCGACGGTAAAGGAGCCCACATACTGTTGGCAAGGGAAGGAGGAAAGTGAGAGAAGAGAATACCCTGGGGAGCCCTTCTAAGGACCCACGCGGAACACCAGGGAGGACCTGGGAAGATGAAGCCTCTGGGGAGCAATTAAGGGAGATGCACCTCAAACCTCAACCCTTGCAAAAAAGGGAGGGTTCTGACAAACTCCTTAGACTAGCTGCTGAGCTAGGGGTGGCCCTCTCATTTCTTTGGGATTCTCCCTTCCTCTCCTTTGATCCTTTGCAAGGTTTTCAGATGGGACGAGGGTGGTGCTGTGGGTTAAACCACAGAGCCTAGGACTTGCCGATCAGAAGGTTGGTGGTTCGAATCCCCGCAACGGGGTGAGCTCCCGTTGCTCGGTCCCTGCTCCTGCCAGCCTAGCAGTTCGAAAGCACATCAAGTGCAAGTAGATAAATAGGTATCGCTCCGGCGGGAAGGTTAACGACGTTTCCGTGCGCTGCTCTGGTTTGCCAGAAGCGGCTTAATCATGCTGGCCACATGTCCCAGAAGCTGTATGCCGGCTCCCTCAGCCAATAAAGTGAGATGAGCACCGCAACCCCAGAGTCGGCCACAACTGGACCTAATGGTCAGGGGTCCCTTTACCTTAAGGTTTTCAGGGGAGTGGGCTGAGCAGCAAAGCAGGCTTCCACCCAGGCTGAGAGGGAGGTGGAGCCATGGGCTGCTTTCGTGGGCACAGGTGCCCCTGCAAAGCCAGGCAAGGCAACAGAGGAGGGAATAATGGCCCAACCCTGCTCACTTTCCAGATACCTGGCCATGGGATCAAGGCAGGCAGGATCTAGATCAGCCCCTCTACCCCACAACCTCTCCCCGCCCTGCCCTGCCCTCCCAAGTCCTCTCTTTCATAGACACCTAGACAGCTGCCATCCATGTAGCTCAGTACTGTCTACACTGACTGGCAGCGGTGGCTCTCCTGCATTCCAGACTAAGGTTTTACCTGGCTTGGAATTGAGCCTGAGACCTTCTGCATGCAGAGCAAATGCTGTACCCACTGCCCCCCCCCATAAAGCTGCCTTATACTGAGTCAGTGTTGCCTACACTGACTGTCAGCAGTGGTTCGCCATGATTTCAGGCAGGGATCCCTCCCAGCCCCACCTGGGGAGATGCTGCCAGCGGAGATTTAACCTGGGACCTTCTGCATGCCAAGCAGCTGCTCCACCCCTGAGCTATTACGATCCTCCCTCACCCCCCACAAGAGCGAAAGCCTAGCCCAGCCTCACCTCCGCCAGTTTAGCGATGACCCGCCCGCCCCTCTGCTGGTGGTGGTGCGGGGAAGCCAGGGGCTCTGGGCCTCCCCAGTACTCGGAGCGCTGCTTCTTCATGGCGCCGCCGGCTGGGACCGCTCCGGGGGTTGCTGCGGGGATGGAGACAGGGAGATGGAGGGAGGAGACGGCCTCTCCCCGAAGAGGCACCGCGGATGCCCAGCGGCAGGGGAGGAAGGGGCACCTCCGCCGCCCCAGCACTGGCCCCAAAAGAAAATGATGGGGAGGGGGCGCTGGGTTCCAGGAAAGAGATATGGGGGGGGGGCGGGCAGGAGGAGATGCCCCAGGAGCAGTTCCTGGGGTCCCCTCCACCCCACAGGAAGCACCAAAAGGAGAAGAGCTCCTCTTCCCACGACGGGAGATCAAGGACCCGGGGGGCGCTCTGCACGTGCCCAGAAGCCCCCTTCTCCCATCCTGCCACAGGAGAAGGATGGAGAAAAGCCGCCTCCCTCCCTCCCTCCCTCCGCGCAGCCCTCACCTGGCAGAGGAGGCGTGGGAAGCCGCCGCCGCGCATCTCCTCCGCGCCCAGGCGCTCCGCTCTCCGCAGCTGCATCTTCCCGGCCCCTGCTCAGCCTCTCCGGCCCGGCTCACCTGGACGCGCCGCCTCCGCAGCAGACGCCGAATCCCGGCCGACCAATCAGCGGCCAGGAATGCGAGTCCCCGCCCCCGGCTGCGGAGATGTAGCAGCGGGTGGGGGGCGGCGGCGTAGAGCGACCTGCAGCGCTTAGGCCTGGCGAGAGCCCCCCACTCGCCCTTGCCCGCTTCCCTTTAGAACAGCTCCCCATCCAGGGAAGTTCTGAGGTCCTGTTACAGGGCACCGCACAGAACAGCCCTCCCCGGCCAGCGAGGGGGCGCCCCCAGAATCATTTGCAACAGAAGCAGGGGTGCCAACTTGAATAAAATATTGGGGTGGGTGGGTGTCCAGGTAAACCCCGCTCTGCTGCATAATCGATCACATGACGTGGTGCATGCAACCATTTGAATGGCAAGTCGCATCAACTTGGGGGGTCCCCAAGCCCCTCAAATATTTTATTGTGGAGTGGGGGGGGGCAAAGAGATCTCAGCCTTTAGGAGTTGACTTCTATGGATACAAGCATTTCCTCAGAAGGAAAGGGGGTACACTTTTGGTGGTTGTGGACCCTTTTGAGAATCTGATGAAAGCTATGTAGACTGTGGGACGCGGGTGGCGCTGTGGTTTAAACCACAGAGCCTAGGGCTTGCCGAGAGCTCCCATTGCTGGGTTCCTGCTCCTGTCAACCTAGCAGTTCGAAAGCACGTCCAAGTGCAAGTAGATAAATAGGTACCACTCTGGCGGTAAGGTAAACGGCGTTTCCGTGTGCTGCCAGAAGTGGCTTAGTCATGCTGGCCACATGACCCAGAAGCTGTATGCCTGCTCCCTCAGCCAATAAAGCGAGATGAGCGCCGCAACCCCAGAGTCGGCCACGACTGGACCTAATGGTCACGGGTCCCTTTACGTGGATTGCCCCTCCCCCACAATACTTTGCATATTTTTATGGCATCAGGGAAATATTTGGGGGGGGGATGGGGCAGTTCATAGACCCTTCAGGGATCTGTGGATGAAAGGGGAACCCCTGGTCTGTATGGAAAACAGCCCATTCAAACAGCCCAGGGTGGCAGGGCAGAGTAGGACTGTTTGAGCACTTAGGTGGCACTTTAACCAAAGGGCACCTCAGTGGTTCCTGCCCCCTGCCCCAACATGTGCAGAAAAAGGGCTCATTCCTTGCATGCCTCCATCCCATCCTGAGGAAAGGCTGCACCTGTGGAACATCTTTCTCACAGCTCCTGAAGCCCCTTTCCCTGCAGAGCACGCAAAGTAAGTCACAAGAACATAGGATGATCCCTGCTAGATCTGGCTAATGGCCCATCTAGTCCAGCCTTCTGTTCTTTCAGTGGCGACCCAGATGCCCCAATGGGAATCCCAAAAGCAGGATTTGGGGAACCTGTATTCCCAAATACAGGCTTCCAGGAGCCCGTATTCAGAAGCATTGCTGTCTCCAACTGTGGAGTGGAACATACATTATAGCCCCATCCTCCCGGAATTATTTCCCTAATCTTTGGAAGCCATCCAAGTTGGTGGCCATCAATGCATCTTGTGGGAGCGAGTTCCAGAGTTTAACTATATGCTGTGTGAAGTAGAACATAAAAGAACAAAAAACTAGGATGGACAAAATAATCACAACCCCCCTCCCAGAAGTGACCTCGAGGCAGAATTTATTTTTGCAGACAAAAGAGGACAGTTTTGTCAAGGGGAGACTGGAAACAAGCCACTTTCCCGGGAAGAATTAAAGCACCAGATTTGAGCCGAGAACATTGCCAAGGCAGAAGGGACAGATGGTTACTGAACACAAAAAAGGAGGGCGGGGAGGCAGAAGAGGAGCAGGAAGTCGTTGGAAGTTAAGGAAGGAAGGAGCTGGGATAATGTGTGGAGGAACTCTTATTAGTGAAGGTCGCCAGGGTGACGAGATGTCTGGCTGTTGCAGGCTGCCCTGCAAAGATTCTGCAGGGAAAGGGAATCTAGGAAGGTACCTTAAAGGCAAGGATGCCTCTAAATACCAATTGCATTGAATTAAATTGAATCACAGGTGGGGAGAGCCCTGCTGTTGAGCTCAGGTCTTGCAAGATTCCCTTTAGGGCATCTGTGAGAACTAGATTGGACTGGATCAAGGTTTCCCAAACTCCAGCTGTTTCTGGACTACAACTCCCATCATCCCTAGCTAGCAGGAACAGCGGTCAGGGATGATGGGAATTGGTAGTCCAAAAACAGCTGGAAACCCAAGACCTCAGACTTAGGTTTGAAGCTGCAAAGCAAGGACTCTGGAGAAACCAAGATGCACCTGGGAAGATCTTTGCCAGCATATTCCGGATCTTATATAGCAAGGATGTGGGACCTCTGGCCCTCCAGGTGTTGAGGGAATAGAACTTCTATCAGCGCCAGGCAGCATGCCCAACGATGATGATGGGAGTTGTAGTCCAACTTGAGGAGCCCTGCCCCTGTTCCAGCAGCCTTTCCTTCTAGTGAGCCCTGGCAGTGCTGTTGCTGGACTCCTTCCTGTTGATGGTACTTTTATGACCCGACTTTGTCTGTGGGATGTGCTTAATCTGAAGTAGTGCCCGGAAAGGCTAGAAGTTCAGAATGACAAGGGGAAGACAAAAGATCTTGGGAGGCCCACCTGAAAAGTGTAACATTTGTCCTTGAGAGATGAGTGGGGTGGGATGAAGACACACTGTGCCTGTGACATCCAGCAAAGTGGCCATCTCCAACGGACAGGTCAGACTTGGTTTTGTCCCAAGCTTTTTTGCCAGTTTTCTTAAGCCAACACTGCCAACCCAAAGGAGGCAGCCAGCTTTGCACTGGGCTGTGAATGCCAAGGAGAGAAGGAAGTGCTCCAGGATGGGATCTAAATGGAGGATGGGGAGGTAACATTTTCCAACTGAAGACTTTGGGGGAAAGGCATTTGGATCACAGAACTGCCCTGTCGCTTCGGGCTGCTGTTCTGAGGGGGCATTCAGCCTTTGGCAGACCATGGATGGCTGCATGAGTGGTTTTGGTAAACCTCTTGTATCTGGACTCAAGCACTGCTGCTAAAACAATGCTGTGCCATTTAAAGTCTTTTCTCCCTGCCCTGTAGAAGCACATGGGTCTCCACAGCAGGGCGTGTGTCTCTACTGTGTGCTCCTGCACATCTGTGCACCATCCCAAAGTGTTAATGCCAAGCGAGAGCCCAGATGGCAGACACCTCCTGCATTTTCACCCTAGACCATGGATCACAGGATCCCCGCTGCCCAGGGTGCTGCCCGGCTCAGTTTTACGTGTTGTAGTCTGGGTACACAAAATGCATCTTATTTATAAAAGGAACCTTCTAAACCTCTGTGAATTAAGGAGTGAGGAGGAGGAGAGCGAGGGTGGAATGTAGCAGACAAAAGTGAGATCCTGACGTTTTCTTGAAATGAAGGCGGTCCTCTGCATAGAATCATAGAGTCGGAAGAGACCACAAGGGCCATCGAGTCCAACCGCCTGCAACCTCAACACTTCCAGCAGCTGCCTGCCTAATCCACCAACATGGCCATCTCTCCCGCCCCGGCCATCTCCCCCCAGAAAGAACTGGGCCAGATATGTGGGCATCTGATAAAAGACCTAGGTCAATGCAGAGCACGTGTTTTGCATGCAGAAGGTCCCAGGTATGGCTGGGCAGAGACGCCTGCCTGCAACCTTGGAGAGTCACTGCTGCCAGTCAGCAAAAACAACGCTAAGCTACATGGACCGATGGGTCTGACTCAGCACAAGGCAATTTCCTATGTTCCTAGGGTTTTGTGGAAATGAAGAATTTAATTAAATCCAACTGGGCATCATCAACAAGTTTGGGAAACAGCGGCCAAAAGATTCCCAAGCCCTCTGTTGAGGTGGTGCTTCAGGGCACTTCTGAGCTGCAAGCAGGACCCTCTTGGCCCATGAAAGAGCTGGGGCTATGCTGGGATGGCTCTGGGGAGCAGACTTCTCTCTCCCGCATCCCAACCCCCCAGGCCCCAGCCCCACACTTTGTGGGTGTCTGAAAAAGACCACACCCCAGACAGGTGTCAAGAGTCTACTTTTTATTTTAACAAACAGCATGTTCCTTTGCTTAATGGCTCTACTCATTTGCTCTACTTAGATTGTTCTCGGTCATTTTCTTTTCTCTTTTTTTTTCCTTTAAAAAAAAGGGGAGGGGGAACAAATGATGAAACCTGGTGTTCGTTTCCCGCCCCCCCGCTCTTTCTTTACAGAACAAGTTTCAAAAGCTGGATTCAAAAAGAACTTTATGTAAGCTTGGTTTTCAGGCGACATTGAAACACTGGGGGTGGGGAGCATCTAAGCTAGAAAAAAAAACACAAGAAAACACAACAAGGTAATGAAGAAGGCGTCTGTGGGGAAGCCCCCCGCCCCCCCCATCTGGCACCCAACTCTTCTTCTGAGAAAACTTGCTCACCCCAGGGGGTTCACTGGCCTGCAAGAACCAAGCAAGGCACCCAAAAGGCAGGAGGAGGAGGGAGGAGGAGGGAGAAGTGCCCTGTTCAGAAAGTCTCCCCGGGGATCCTTTCCACTTTCTAAAAATATAAAAATCTTCTTCTGCAACCTGTTTCAAAAGCCCAAAATTCAAAGGCAAGGTGACCCTGTACAGATTAACCTTCTCCTTATTTTTTATTTTCAAAAAGAACAGTTCTATGTTACTGATTAAAGGTTCTGGAGGGGAAGGGGTCAGGTAGATGGGAGAGGGGAAGAGGGTGGGTGGCGAGAAGGCAAAGAGGGCAGGACCTAGATCTAAGGGGAGACGCTTGGATTATTAAGTGCCACTTTGACTAGCTGGCTTTCACCGCTGCTGAAGGAAGTGGGGGGAGAAGAGAGAGATGTTTGAAAGCATCAGGAGGAAGAGACAAAGGTGGCCTTGCACTTCGCAAGCAAGCGTGTGAGATCCCCACCCCCTGGTGCCCTGCCACTCCGGAGGGAGAAGGGGTTACTTTTTGGCTCTCAGGGACTTGCGCATGGTGGTCTTGCTCTTCTTGGCCGAGGGCTTCAGGTCCTTCCTTGCGCTGGCGGCTGAGGAGGGCTTCTTGGGGGCAGAGAGAGTCTTGAGGGCCGGGCGGGGTGGGGCAGCTGGCTTGGCTTTCTTGGCCTTGGGGGCCTTGACCTTGGGAGGGGGTGCTTTGGCCTTCCCACGACGGGCCACGGGGGCTTTGCGGGGCTTGGGCTTGGCCTCCCGCCGCTTTGCCAGTGGGGGGGCCCTGTTCCGGGCCTTCGGTGGGGGCCGCTTCTGCATCCTGCCAAGGAAAGGAAAAGCTCTCAGGACAGGCCCTGCACCCCCAGCCCCTGACTCTTCACAGCAGGCTAGGTGGCCCAGGAGGGTTGCCATGACTGTTAAAACTACTTGGACCCAAAAGCGCCCCCCAACAGATACCTTTTCCTTGGAGGGGGCTCTTCCTCCTCTGACTCCTCCTCTGACTCCTCCTCTTCCTCTGACTCTTCCTCTTCATCCTCCTCTGACTCTTCCTCTTTCTGTTTCTCTGGAAACAGGACACCGGGGCTGTAGGGAGGAAAAGAAGGAACACCCCCAAGAGGAAATAATCAACTCACCAGGTGGGAAAGTGGAGCTCAATGGGAGCAAAAGGGGCCAGATCCTCCTCTCTCCCATACCTTTAACCACCCAAGGCTTTAGAACAGGGAGGGGGAACTTTGGCCCACTGGGGGGGGGGTGTCCAGTTTTGCCCGCAAAGTCACTTCCCCCAGGCCCACCTGTCAATCATCTGATGTCAGCTGGTAGCCAGGGAGAAGTGGGAATCAATCCTGCTAAAGGCTGCTTCACCAGGGGGCCGCCACCTATCAGTCACCTGACATCAGATGATTGGCGGTTGGGGGCCTGCGGGGTGGGAGATGAAACGATCTGGACTCGCCAATCAAAAAGGTTCCCACTCCTGCCGTTAGAGAGTCAGCTTGAGGACAGGTGTGTTTGTGAGAATAAGCTTGGCTCGAGTATTTAAAGCATTTCCTCAACTTTTCCCGCTCACCTTGCCCTGTCCCACATTGCACCTTGGAATCTCAGGTGCTTCCTCCTAAGGCAGAGGTTGCCCCCCCAACCCCGTTACCTGGGATAGTAGGGGAAACACAGCTGGAAGGTGCCACTGAAGCCCTTCCCGGAAATCTGCTCCATCCAGCCGTACTTCTCACACTTCTGCAGGGTCCTCTTCAGTAGGTGGACTGTGGGGAGGGAGGGGGATGGCACCATCAGGAGGGGCACCAGCCGCTTGAGCTTAGCACACCCCCAACAAATCCCTTCCCTGCCACGGAATGGCCTTTTTTGCAAGCCCCGTTACTTGGGATTCTGACAAAGCGGCCAATTTTGAGCCGCCTGTGTGCTCGGGTTGGGGAGGGGTTCGAGAGTTCAGGCCAAAGCTCCAAGGCAGGACCGCTGAGCATCCCAACCTTTGCTCTTCCCAAGAAGCCGATTCCTACTGCCCCCCCCCCCCCCGCGGCATGGCTGCCAGAGCAACTGGAAAGCTTGCCTTCATCTACCTAGCAACAGTTTATGCTAAATGCCTCCCCACTCCACCCCTGCTCCTCCCTCCTTTTTTTTTAAGGTGAACTTTGGCATGAACTTGCACCCAGCACCTTCTCCAAAGGGAGCAAAAATCCCAAAGGAACAAAAATCAGATTCCAAACTGCCTCTCTCTAAGCCCTTTCAAAACATAGGTCAAAATTGGGCCCCAAAGCCTTTGTCTGTCTGTCTCTCTGTCTGCTCCCCTATATTTGCAATGAGTATTCTGAGCCAAGTGGAGGGGCTTTTGCTTCAACCACTGCCCCCGTCCCCAAGATGCCTGAGGCAGGGCGGAAAAAGCACTCTGGCTTTGTGTTGAAGGAGGAAATAATCCAGGCACAGACTGTGAGATATGAGCAGCAGCCCACGGACTTCTCCTTGTGGCGGACAGAACAGGCTGCCTTGAAAGGGCAGCTAGAAGGGAGCCCATGTGGAGAACCGGGGGGTGGCGGCTTCCATTAAGCCCTGTGCCATTGCCAAGGCTCAGTGTCTTTTCAAGAGCAGGCGCTCTCCTGGAACAAAAATATGCACACGCGCGCGCGCACACACACAGCCTGCACACGCTTTCTCCCAGCAGGTCTCCTGCAAAGCTCAACACTGGGCTATTTTAAAACCCAAGATCTGAGAGGGGGAACCTGGGCTGTAAAGGCAATCAATGGAAGAAGGGAGTGAGGGAGGATCGTGCAGGCATTTCATTTGCCTAGGCTCTGCTCCTGCAACGTAAGCCCTGTCCTGGTTGCTCTTTGAAGCCCTCACCCTAAACCCACTTAACCTCCAAGGCTCTTCTCTGGAGATGTAAATCTCCAGAAACCAGGGGCCCTCAGTAATCCAAGCACCACCAACCTTCCCTACACCTGACAACAGGTGGCGATGGCTGGTTGCCACACTCATCTTTTCCTATTTCTATAGATCTGGGCACCCCAGAGAGATAAGAGGAAATACACTGGAGGGGGTTGGACTAGATAACCCTCAGGGTGCCTTCCAACTCTACGAGTCTGCGATCTACGCATTAGCCCCAAAGTTAGAGGCTTGTAGCCTGCGCACAAACCAATGAAATGTGTCAGTCTCCTTCCCACCCCTGCCATACCCCACGGCTGGGCCCTGCTGGTATTCACTTTGGCCAGTGCAGGGCCCTCCCAGATGACAGGGGGATTCTTTAGCTGCGATTCTTGCATTGCAGGGGGCTGGAGCAGGTTATCCTTGGGGGGTCCCTTCCAACTCTACAATGTTACACTTCTATGACTTTGCCTGCTTGCGTCTGTGGAACTAGCTCTCTCCCCCAGTGTGGTGTAGTGGTTAAGAGCGGTGGACTCGTAATCTGGTGAACCGGGTTCGCGTCCCTGCTCTTCCACCTGCAGCTGCTGGGTGAGCTTGGGCCAGTCACACTTCTCTGAAGTCTCTCAGCCCCACTCACCTCACAGAGTGTTTGTTGTGGGGGAGGAAGGGAAAGGAGACTGTTAGCCGCTTTGAGACTCCTTCGGGTAGTGATAAAGCGGGATATCAAATCCAAACTCTTCTTCTTCCCCCCCTCTGTGCCTCCTTACCTTGGAAGCTGGAGTTTGACCCGGGGTGATTCTCCAGAACATATTTCTTCAGAGCAGTGGTGGAGCAGGTCTTGGGCTCATTCATGGCCGCAATGGCGGAGAGGATGGCATCTTCCATCAGGCTCCCACCCAGAAGGGGCTTCTCCCCAGATTTCTTCAGCTGAAACAGACAGTCGTTATGGTAAACCCCAGCCCAAACCAGACGCAGCCCCCTAAGCTGCTTGCTCTTGGCAGGCCAATGGAGGAGGGGAGCCAGAGGGAGTCAAGTTAAAGGGAGCTGGGCTGCTCCCCCCCCCCACACACCTGGAAAGTTCCAGAAGCTCCTTTGCCTGTGATCTGCTCCAACTGGCCCTTCTCCACTGCTCTCTGCAGAGCATTCTTCAGCAACTGGGGTCTGTGGGAGGGAAGAAAAGGAGCTTTAAGGCCATGATTGGCAGAGAGAGCGGCAAAGACCACACAGTCCCTATCTCCCAGCAGCAGGGAGAGCCGGCTGAAAAGAGGGAGGATGGCTGAAACAGCCTCCCAGGAGGAAGAGTGATGCTTCTTTCCTGGGCCCGAGGCTGACACAAAGCCCTCCCGGGTGGCCCTTCCTTGAAGTGGAGGAGATTCTGCTTCCTCACGGGATGCAGAATGGCTTGTTCTGTCCACAGGCTGTGAACTGGAGCACAAAACCCTCGCACAGACTACCAGCCAAGTAGCTACCCCCCCCCCCCCCCCGTTTTAAAAATCCAAGTATACTTCAAAACATTTGGAATAAACCTAGAAGAGTTTAAGGATTCCTTTTTTTGCGGGGAGGAGGATCACAGGAGCAGTGGGGCGAAACTAATTTTGTTTGTTTTTTTAAATAATTTTTATTAACCGGCCAATCAAATCAAATTAAATCACATCACATAAGTTCCGAATTACAAAGCCAAATTTTAAATTTTGTTGGGGGGACCCATATTTCAAAATCCGAAGGGGGATTCTGATCATCTTCTTGCTACTACGTTAATGTCCAAATCAGTCCAAACCAAGTTCATAATTCTATCCAATCATATCTTGCTGTTTCCACATCACATCTTGTTTATATATTTTCTCTTTTTTCTTTATGATCTCTTCTGATAGTCTCCTTAAGCTGATAATGGCTGCGCTCGTTTCTCTCCGGTCGGGGACAGAGGGTGGCGCTTGGGGGGGAATTGTCATCCCGCCACTCCTTGGTGTGTGGAGTGCCTCAGGGTGCGATACTCTCCCCGATGCTTTTTAACATCTTTATGCGCCCTCGCCCAGCTTGTCCGGAGTTTTGGGCTGGGTTGCCATCAGTATGCCGATGACACCCAACTCTATCTGTTGATGGATGGCCATCCTGACTCGGCCCCAGACACACTGACCAGATGTTTGGAAGCTGTGGCTGGATGGTTACGCGGAAGCCGGTTGAAGTTAAATCCTTCGAAGACAGAGGTCCTCTGGCTGGGACGGGACGATATGGGATTGGGGGCAACTCCCATCTCTTGCGGGGTGCAATTAGTGCCAGCACCGTCCGTTAGAGTTTGGGTGTAATCTTCGATACCTCCCTCTCTATGGAGGCGCAGATTACAGCTATAACAAAGGCGGCATTTTTTCATCTCCGCTAAGCTAAGCAGTTGGCCCCTTATCTCTCTCGCCCTGACCTAGCCACTGTGATCCACGCGACGGTCACCTCCAGACTGGATTATTGTAACTCGCTCTACGTGGGGCTGCCCTTGAGACTGACCCAGAAACTCCAGCGGGTGCAGAATGCCGCGGCGAGACTCCTTATGGGGTCTTCGCTGCGAGATCACATTCATCCGGTACTATACCAGCTGCACTGGCTCCCGGTGGAGTACAGGATCAGGTTTAAGGTGCTGGTTTTAACCTTTAAAGCCCTATACGGCCTAGGACCCTCGTACCTACGGGACCGCCTCTCTGGTATGCCCCACAGAGGAACCTACGGTCTGCAAATAAAAACATCCTGAAGGTCCCAGGCCTCAGAGAGGTTAGGCTGGCCTCAACTAGAGCCAGGGCTTTCTGGCTGCGGCTCCAATCTGGTGGAACGCTCTGTCACAAGAGACTAGGGCCCTGCGGGACCTGACATCTTTCCGCAGGGCCTGCAAGACAGAGTTGTTCCACCAGGCCTTTGGTCAGGGCCCAGCCTGACTCCCACCTCCGGCAACCTGCACAGAACTTTGCTTAACGGTTGCCATTAATTTGATTTTAATTAATTTTATAATGAAATGTTTTAGAATGTTGGATTATTTGATTGTTTGATTATTTGTTTGTTGTTAGCCGCCCTGAGCCTGGCTTTGGCTGGGGAGGGCGGGATATAAATAAAATTTATTATTATTATTATTATTATAAACACCAATAATAATAATCCTGTGTGAATTTTCCGTTCTTCCATTCCTCAAATCGAGATGGTTTCCATATATCATCGCCTTCATAGATAACATTGCTCTTTCCATCATTAATCTCGCAAAACTCTCTCTCTTAAGTCCCTCTGAGGAGTTCCACCCACAATATATAAACAGCTCTATTTCTCTCTTTCTTCTCCCAGACTCAAGACCTCCGACAGAACTTCCCAATATGGCGACGGCATTTTTAACTGCGTCATTCCCAAGCTCTTATACATTCCTCGCTCTTCTTAAAACATGCTTTGGTTCGAAAGTTTATCTCCACACAGCCTTAAATCCACAGCTTAAATCCTTAAAACGACATTTCTGACTTGTAACTCGTGAGGGGAGGGGATTCTTGTTAATCACATAAGAAAAGAAAGGAAAGTTTTTTTTCCCCTCCCCCATCAGTCATTTGCCATACCGTGTCTTGGCGTATCTTCTCATGTTTTATTCTTGTCTTGTTTTATCAGAGATCTCTTCTATAGCAGTCTTTACTCCCCTCCTTCCTTGAAATATGTGCATTCCTTCATCCAAATTGTTTTCTTTTGAAATTCTTGCAGCTAGTGGCGCGAATCAGGGACGGCGTCCAGAAGTGCCGGAATCCCACAGGAGGGCTTTGTGCCTAGTGCCCCCATCCCCACAAATTCGGGGGTGGTATAGGGCACAGCAGGCAAGGGCAGTCCCCCCCCCCACCGTCCTGGGGGGGTTAGGGAGGCTAATTACTCCCATCATAGCCTCCAAATTACCTCGTGTCGGTCGGAGAGATGTTACTGTCAGCCATCTTCCGATGCGCCCCCTAGTGGTCCCCTCGGGGCGAAACTAATTTTGAGCAGGAGCGAAAGCTGCCTTCTACCAAGCCTGGCTGTTTGCCCACTGAGCTCAGAATTGAGCTTTCTTTACAGCTCAGGGGTGGAGCACCTGCCTTTCGTGCAGGGAGCCCCAGGTTCAGTCGCCACTGAGCTGTAAAGAAAGCCATTTCCTCTGCTCTGGCTACAATGGCGGGACACTCTGAACACCCCACAGGTACATGTCTCAGGTGAGAACATCAGTTCATACCCAAAGTTAGTCCTACTTGAGTAGATGCAACTGATGGACATGGCTCAGTTCCTCTCACTGAAATGGGTCCACTTCTGTGAACATGGTACCACCCGCGTTCCCAACAGGGAATAATCCTTTGCTGCCAATGCCAAGTCGGAAGTTGTTGAAGAGTTGTGCCCAGCCACCTGCTGTCACAGAGGGCAGAGCCTAAAGCAAGAAGTCCTGGCTGGTTGGCCAGCCAGTGCCTCCTTCCTGCCCTTCCCCTTCCAGCCCTACCTGATGTCCACCTTCAGCTTCGGGTAATACTGGGAGACATATTTCTTGATCAAGCTGTAGGATGCCTCCTTCGGCTCGCAGAGGCGTGTAAAGGCCAGCGGGAGGATGTCTTCCAGCTTCACCTGCTGCTCTGGGCCGGACGCCGAAGAAGAGCTCCGCTGTGGAGGAGAGAGGTCGGAAGCAAAGCAAGTATTCATTTCTTCTAATGCATCCCTAGCCCCGTTTTCTACATGTTGTTTACAAAGCAATTGTCTGTGCTAATCACCACGTCCACATCACATGCTTAAAGCACATCCCTCTCCCCAGCAAAGAATCCCAGCAACTGTAGTTTACCCCCACACAGCTACATTTCCCACAACCCTTAAACTACAGTTCCCATAATTCATTGGCGGAAAGTCATGTGCTTTAAATGTATGTGGCAAATGTGGCTTTTATCTCAAAGATTATGTATGTTTACTGCAATCCTTTGCCATCAACAGACATGGAAAAGGGTCTGCCACTAGTTCTTCAAGTGCTTCCACCACTGTGGAACGTGTGCCTTCTTCAGAGCTCTTGAAGGGATACAAGACCTGATTCAGACAAGACCCCTTGTTAATTCCTTCAGAGAATGGAGGATTTCAACTGTGCACACTAATTACGAGTTTTGCTACCTCAACTCCTAAACCTCCCCCAGGCCCCTCAGCATTACCTTCCGGTCCCTGGATTTGGGGGCCGTTTTCCCTGAGTTCGGGGCCACCACAAAGCTCCCAGAGGCTCCTTTTCCTTTCACCTGGCATAGAGAAAGAGGGGTCCAGTTCAGGCACCAGGCAAACTTTCCTTAGGAGGAAAGGCTGGGAAAGCTTCCCTATGCCATGCTGGCAGATGCTTTCCTCAGGCCTACTGTAAATTGGTTTTAGTGGTACATTTAACACCTTTGTTCCCTGCCCCTGAATTCTCCTTGGGACCGAGTGTTGGACAAAACAAATGCATTTCCTTCTCTTAGCTTCTAAGATGCTACTTTAAACCACATCAGGGCACTGTTTCTCTAGTAATCTATCCAACATTTTTGTAGTCTCTTTGCCTAAGTTAACTGTGCCCCTAAAAGCTCAGCCATTTTGTTTCTCTCTCCCAACTTGTTCTGACAAGGTGTCTCCCATTTCTCTCTCTTTAGCTCTGCTCATCCTGTAAATAAATAGTTTTTGCCAAGACAAAGCTGCTCCTGCATGAATAAAGCCTTTGAACTCTGGAAAATGTAAGTGATTGTTTCAGTCTTAACACACCCAATCTGCAAGCTCTCCTAATGCTGGGCAGGCTAGAGAGAAATAAGCAAGCAAAAGAACCCTTGACCCACACCCAACTCACCTGCCGAATGACCCCTCGCTCTAGCTCCCTCTTGAGGGCCTGCTTGAGGAGGTAGCCCCTCCTCTCCAGCTCCAGTGAAGGGTACTTATGGATGATGTACTTCCGGATGGCCACAACTGATGCCCCGCCTTTCTGATAGCATGCCTGGAAGGAGAAGAGGCACCTGTGACTAGGCTTACCCTATGCCAGTTGCTGGGGAAAATCACACCGAGGTGTCTGCTGGGTATAGTGAGAACAGGAAGATGGCCTGATCTGGCTGTATCTTTCTTGCACAGTTTCAAGACGGGGCGCTTCATAACCTTACCTGGAGCGACTAGGGGGTCAATACCATCTAGCTCAGGGTTACCAGATGGACTAGCAGGGGCTTTTCACTCGCAGGATTCTCCCAGGACAACTAGCAAAGCCCAGGCTGCTCATGACTTGAGCCATTCTCCCTTTCTCACTCAAATCAGGGTGCTCTCATAGCCATACGCTGCCTTCCTAAAGTGTGTGCATGTGTGCATTCCCCCCACCTCCACATGAAATGTGATGGTGGCAGATTTCTGACAGCATCCCAAACAAAGCCCTCTATAAAGATATTTTAAGCCTGGAGGACTTCCTATAGGAAACTGGGAGGTCCAACTGGCAGGTGTCAAGGGCGTCTCCTGGCCCAAAGGTTGAACACTGACCACAGCAGAGCTGTGCCCTTTGAGCTGGGAGGCAGGGGCGTTTGCACTGGTGCTGACGGTGAGAGCAATTATTATCAATGATTTATTAATCGCCTTCTAAACAATCCGTTTCGAGGCGACCTATGCAGTAAAAACACAGAAACAGCAAATATGTTTAAACCAGCGGTGCAACTGGCACTCTATTCCTGGGGAGTGAAAGGTGACAAAAAACACCACATACCTGGGGGCGGGGAAGAGGCACAAAGAGAAAGGAAGAGCAGCAAACCCACAAGAAGCCCACCCTTTGTGCTCACCTTGATTGCCTCAATCAAAATGGCATCCATCTTGGGGCGAGAAGAAGCTGCCATATGCGTCTGCTTCTGTGCTCTGGCTAGCTGGCTGGCAGAGAGGGTGGCCCAGGCAGGGATGGTCTTCTTGACTTTCTTCTTCTCCTCTTTGACTTGATCCTTCTCCCTTTACACACACAAAGGGAGAGACTCAAAACTTATGCAGGAATCCCAGAAGCCCAAATACATTTTCTGCAGCTCAGGGGAGCTCTGAGTTCACAGAAAAGCAGAGTGCTGGAATCAGAAGAACTGGGCAACTGAATGTTGGACATGGCCTTATACAAAGCCACTTCCACTTAGCCCCTTATACAAAGCCACTTCCACTTAGCCCAGGACTGCATCCCCCAAATTGTCAGGGAAGGATGGCAGCTCAGAGGTTGAGCACCTGCTTGGCATGCAGAAGGCCCCAGGTCAATCCCTGGCTGCATCTCCAGGTAGGCTTGGCAGAGACATTGGCATAGCCTTTGCCCCCGGGTATGGACTGCCCCCACCCCTTACTCCTTTTTGGCTTCCTCGGCAGGCTTTGCCTCTCCTTCCTTTTCCTCCACTTCGGGCTCCTTGGGTGGCTCTGCCTCATTGGGTGCGGCTGGTGGAGTTTCATTCTCTTGCTCCTCTACAGTCGAAGCAGATTCCTCTGAGCTGACATCAGGATCTGAGAGGGAAGAGGAAGAAGAGGGCCATGTGCAAGTTACATGTGAAGGACAAAACGCACCCACACCCACTGCAGTTGGGCCAACAGGCCCTGCCTGAGGAATGCCACAATGGGACAGATCGACCTTGGCCCCTTCTATGTCTCCTGACTGAAGTAACTGCTCACAAGCAGGCAGGATGGCAAAAGCAATCAGCTGGTAGCCAGAGGCAGACGGGGGGGGGGGGTTGCCCACTGGTGGGCTATTGGGAACCATAGGTAGTGACGGAGTTGCCTTTTTGGTACCTTTCAACCTCCTTCACTTATAAGCTGATGAGTTGGAGGGCAGCCACTGGCTCAATCGGCAACTGGGGCTCAGTTTCCATCCCCAATACTCTGCAGGGTGGGTGTGGTGGTGAGGGCAGGCTATAGTTCAGGGGCTGAGCCCGTGCTTTGCCTGTACAAGGTGGTCTTCTTGGTGGTACGACCACGGGGGAATACCCAGTTGGCAGTGAGCCCAGTTGCTGGGGACGGTTCTCACCCCTTGTGGAACGCTCTTCCTGGTGACGTATGCCCGTTTGTGCCATTACTGATTTCCAGGAGGAAATCTAAAAACACCCCTTGGCCTTGGACGGCTGAAAGGTAATGTTTCAGGCAACTCTGAACTCACTGGTTGGGGGAACACTTTTCAAAACTGTTTTTATTGAAATTGAAATACTTTATTGTCACTTGTACAACTTGTATACAGTGATATTACATGAGCACCCCCCACTCAGCTCTCTTAGTATCTCTATTTTTCTGTTTTAGAACACTTCTCCAAACAAAAACCAAAAAAAGGAAAGGGAAAAAAGAACCACTTTAATTTAATAAAATTCATACACCTATTGATTGTAAAAACAAGGAACCCAAACCAGTTTACAAAAAATATTGTTCCTATTTTTCTTATTAGGAAGGGTGGGATGCAAACTGAAATAATAAATGCTATTAAAAATAACATAATGCATCAAACTTTCCAAACTCCCACCTGATTCTCTGTGTGTCTCATACATACACATACAATTTCAGTAGATCCCCAAGGATCAACTTATAAAACAGTGATGGTTCTCTGGCTGAAAGGACAAGGCTGCATGTGAATCAGCCCTACCACCACCACTTGACCACAGACCAAGGAGGACAACAGGTGGGAGTGGGAGTCTTTACCTGGCTTGGCCTCCTCCCCTTCAGCAGGTTTGCTTTTGGGAGGAGTTTCCCGAGCAGAAGAATTCACGGCCCGGCGGATGGGCATGGTGGCGTCTTCAGCCGTCTGGAAGGGAAACAGTGGCAAGAGCGTCACGAGGAGAGTCCAGGAGGTGCGGAGTGGGCTAGGGCAGGGGGAAGGCTCCAGAGGGAACTAGGGACACCCAGAAGGAAGCCACCATCACCCCACCATGTATTCCACCTAAGACGGAGGCAACTGCGCACAGGCTCCTTAGGAGGCAGCTGGCTCCAACTTCCTGTTTCCATCAGAACTTGTGAGCATCACAGGATGTATATACATTTTAATACGTATACAGTATATTGCTTCTGTTCAGAACGAGAAGAGCAAAGGGACCCAGCAAGGGAGGTCTCAGGGGAAGCAGGGGAAGGGATCATTGCTTTGGGATGGGGTGGGGAGGGGAGGGCAGGGGAAAGGGAAGGGGGGTGTTGGAGGCAGCCCCAACCAAGATTCCTAGAAGCAGCAGGGGAAGGAAGAGTAGAGCAGCCCTCGCAGGGGCCAGTCCAAGGGCGAGCGTGGGGAAGGGTCGGCCCCTACCTCACTCAACTTGTCCGGGGGGGCTCCCGTTAACAGTGGAAGCGCCTTACGGTGTGCGGGATCAGCTTCGGACAGATCAGTCGCCATTTTAAATTAATGTATAACCCCAACGTGAGGGTAACACTTTGGAGCCCCAGGTTTTAACCTCAAGGGGAGAGGACTTCCTAACACAGACAACCTGAAGTGCAGAAAAGATTTGGTGTGAAGGTTAACAACGAAACAAAAACAAAGGCAACTTCATCTACATCCCTATCGCGCTACTGAGCAGTCAAAGCAAAAGAAAACAACAAATTAAGCAGTTGCAGAGGAGGAGGCCAGGAAGCCCACTTTGATGGTGGTCCAACGGAGAAGCTGGAAGCTCCCGTCAGAAAACCCTGCAGGTGGGAAATGGGTTTTCCTTGCACAGATTGAGGGAGGGGTGAGGGAATGTCCTCCTCCTCTGAGGCTCCTTGCCCAACACCCAACAGACCAAGGATGGAAGTGGAGGCCCCAGGGTAGGCAACCCAAGCAGAATGCAACCAGCTGGCATGTTGTGGGTGGAAACGTCCCCCTCCAGCCCCAAAATCTTATTCTACATGTGGAACGTTTAAAGACAACCCCACAGCTTTCGTCAGCAGAGACCTGAAGAGCCCAGCCAACCAGCTTCCACCCATTTTTACCGCAAAGCAGCTCATTGCCCTCACCTTCACCAGCTTATTTTTAAATGTCACAAACCTCCAGGCAGCACAGGGCTACCTTTAAAAACAACACCACCAGCCACCCCCCTCTAACCAACAAGGAGTTGCAGCAACAGACCCATACAGCTCCATGGTGGGGACAGCAGGGGGGGAATGAATTTGGAGTTTCAGCCCCCAATCCTGTTTCTTGAAGCAGATGAAATGTGGCACTCAGGGGAAAACAACTTCTCAGCCCCACTGCACTGTAATAGAGCTGAAAGTGGGTGGGTGGAATCCTCATTTTTCAGAATTACAACTTTTTGGGGGGATGAGAGGAAATAATTACCGTATTTTTCGCTCTATAACACGCACCCGACCATAACACTCACGTGGTTTTTAGAGGAGGAAAACAAGAAAAAAAATATTCTAAATGAAACAGTGGATGTATGATTTTTGTGGTTCATGCTGTGGCCACAGACATGTGATCTGACGGTGAGTTTGGAGTAGCCCAATGCAAAAATCCTGAGGATCCATGTGGATCCATGCTTTGTAACCACGTTTTTGCACCACTGCGGCCCCAGGCAACAGTCAGTGCGTGCTATGTGATCTGATGGTGAGTTTGGGGTGACCCAGTGCAAAAATCCTGAGGATCCATGTGGATTCGTGCTTTGTAACCACGTTTTAAGTGGGGAGGGAAGGAAAAGCACTCAAGGGACAAGGAGCACGCGTGGGGTGTGTGGAGAAGGATGCTGCTAATAATGCAGAAGAGGGGTATAAGGGGAGATGGTTCCTCTCCTCTCCCACTTTGCTTCTTTAAAGCAAGCAGGCTCTGCTTTTCTCCCTCCTCCCCGCCCATCCCCGGCTTAGCGAGCTGAAAAACTTTGCTGCTATGTAGCGAGCTGAGTGGGGAGGAGAGAAGGACAGAGAGCCTGCTTGCTTTAAAGGAGCCAACTGCTTTGCTCTCCTCTCCCGCTTTGCCCCTTTGCAGGCTCTCTGTCCCTCTCTCCTCCCCACTCAGCGGCTCTTCTCCCGCTTTGCTGTTTCAAAGCGAGCCACGGAGGAGGGAAGGAAGGGGAACCATGGATCCTCTGCTCACGACTGCAGCAGACCCCCCCGCCACCCGTAGGCATTCCCTCCATAACACGCACAGACATTTCCCCTTACTTTCTAGGAGGAAAAAGTGAGTGTTATGGTGCAAAAAATACGGTAAACTGCCTGGAGCACAAATCAGTCTTATCCCCTCCCCCCCTAACCTATTTGAGGTGTGGGAAGGATGTGGGTCGGACGAGGGCAAGACATGCAACTTTAATAAAAAAAACCCCACCAGGTTAAAATGCAGGAAATGAAAAACAGCATGGGGAGGTTCTAGGCCCACCACAGGGCAAATTCCCTACATTCCTTCTGGCCTCAGGCCCCACCAACAAGAAAGGTTTTACGTCCTCTCTAGAGGGGGGGGAAGGAGCCTTGATGGAGCGACTGGGAATAGAGGAGCAGAGGGGGGAAAGGCAAATGCAGGAAGACCATCCTAGATTTATCTCCCAAAGGGAACAATGCCCTGCAATCTTTCTGAATGTTTACTTCCGCCAGAAGAGACTGGAGAGAGAGACTGAGAGATCTGGGAGACACTGGGACATCTCTGCCTCTTTGAGCTCAGGCATGGTAGGGCACAGGGCCCCTTGGCTGGCACAGTCCTGTGTATGGATTTGCAAAGCGTACCTTCTTCCCCTCCTCCAAAAGACCTAGAAAAAAACTTATTTTTTATTTTAAAAAACAACCCAGATAGCCTCAGACAGCCAACATGTGTGCGTTGTTCCTGGTATCAAGTGTAGTAACCCCTCTACCCAGGCTAGCAACTGCCACCCCCTCCTTCTTTGCCTACAAAACACTCTTCTTCAGGCTGAGATTCCGAAGCATGTAACCTGTAAATTTCAAACCTTTGCTTAATCAAATGCAAGTCCCCCCCCCCACCCATTTTACTTTTCTAAAGAATACCGAAAGTGAGCATGATGTTCAGGAGAAGGTTTCATACATTTCTGTGGGACCAAAGGAACTCCTTAGGCTTTGATTTTGCTGGTGCTTTAATGCACTTTTTTAAAAAAGAGAGCTGCCCCTCCAGAGAGCCGTCGTGTTTGAATCTTGAAAAACTTTGTCTGTCTCTGCACAAGGCTGGTTTCAAAGCGTGGAAGCTACTAACAGGGTTTCCCCCTGGGAGATTAAAAGTGCTGTTGCACCAGACCCCCTAAGCACAGCATGAAAGGATTTTCTTCTACATTTTTTAATCTTGTCAAGCTGTAGTAGATGCTAACAACAGTGTGGTATGGTGGTCAGAGTGTTGGTTTAGGGTCAGGGAGGTCCAGGTGCAAATCTCCCCTCAGCCACAAAGCTCCCTGGGCAAACAAGGGACAGTTGCCTAACTCTCTCTTAGCCTCACCTACCTCACAGGTAGCAAGACCCTCAGGCCATGGAAAGGATCGGTTTGTCCCCGTATGTGCTAGAGGTCTCACAGAGCTCTGGGTGCGACCGAGCACCTTCTCTGTGTGGAAGGTCTCACTGCAGGTGCGTTTCAAACCACATGCATTTTTCTAGGCAAAAGCGAGAATCATACAAAAGACTCCAAAGGCCCAGATTTAACTAGAAGCTTTTGCATCACAAGTCATATAGGGGATTTATGACGCCAACATTTCAAACTAAAACTAGGTGGCAAAGCCACAATTGTTCCGGGAGACTTTCAGCACCTACCCAATACTCTGATCGTGTATCCCAGTCCTCCAGATGTATTGGTCTACAACTCCCATCATCCCCAGCATCATACAGCTGTGCTGGCGGGGGGGGGGGGCGATGGAAGCTGCAGATCAAAACACCTGAAGGGCACCAGAGGTTGGGGAAAGCTGATGGAATCATTATTTTGCACTTATAAATCACCTGCCGTACAAGGCAATTTGCTGTTGCAGCCCTTATAGCTGTGCCCCCCCCCGTTGTAGATTAGGGGGTGCAATAAGGCTGAGAGACTTGCCTTAAGGCCACCTAACCAGCTCATAGCAGAGGCAGGATTTGCACTGGGGCATCCAAGTTGGCAGTTCAACCACTGAGATGCTACACTCTGCCACTTCTCAAAAGAGGTTAAAAGCGTTTCCAGGAACAATGTCAGTGCCTAAATCAACACGACTCTATACTTTCCTGATGAAACACACCTACAGGAACACATCTTCCTGTGGCCCAAGCTAACTTCAGTTGGAAATTCTGTGCTGGATTAAAATAGTCCACATGGACAGCATTCCTCCTCTTCCTCCTTGTGACAGGCCTCCTGGTATCTCTGACACTGCTTGCAGGGTGGGGGAGGGATGCCTCTGTGTGCGTCTTTCCTGCTGAATCCAAAATGAAGCGGCTGGTCGAGATGAAAGAATTGTGCACTGGAACCTTAAGGAATCATCGATTGTGGATTCTGCTATAGGCAAGACAGAGATCAGAGACCACAATGGAATTGCCACAATAATTATATATTGAGCCAGGCCTCTGGGTAGATCTAGCTCAGTGTTGTCTACACAGACTGGCAGCAATGGCTCTCCGGGTTCAGGCAGCGTCACTAAAGATGCTGTCAGGGACTGAACGTGGATATTCTGCTTTCAAAACAGATGCTCTTCTACTGTGCACAGCAGTCTAGATTTTAGCTTTTCTACCAGAAACTTGGCAGGGGGTATGTGTGTTAGAAGCAGCTCTTGCCTGCTTCAGCCATATAGCCCCAAAAGCAGGAGGTGGTAGGCTGGAGGAGGAAGGAGCTACAGAACCACACCTAGAATGTGATTCTGGAGCTGCTACCTCCACCTGATAAAAGTTTTCAAGATTCTTCTGTGTCTTGCCCATCATCCTTGTAGTTTCCTCTTCACCACCCTCAGATCTACTGCTCCTTTATGTAACTCCCATCATTCCTCCATTGTTGCCCCTTATGCCCAGAGCACCTTACCAAACACCTGCACACCATCTGATGGGAAGTTCTGCTTCTGTGCCTCATCCACCCTAGATTGTTCAGTTCACATTGAGTTCATAATACATCGTACCCTGACCTGTTCTTAACGCATGGTTGACCACATCTACGGAATGCGATTGTTATGTTCTTTTAAGTCATGCAATATCAATCACTAGTACCAGTTTATTAAGTCATGCAATATCAATAACTAGTAATAGTTTAATAAGGAGGTTTTCATACCTGTCTAACCATGTGTTCCCTTTCCCAACCTTTAATCGATTGATGATTAATGCCCTTGCATTGTATTTGTGTTAACCAATCAGCAACAAGCACATATGTGGCAATGCTGTAATATTCAATAAAAGGGACTCTCCGAGACATGCTCGAGAGATGCCTCCCATATGACACTTGTCACTCGTCTGTCATTTATTTCAACCCAACACCATCACCTCTGCTCTATTTCATCCTGCAAAGCCTTCCTCAACACCCACCTCCTGGCATGACCCTTAGCTCTCACCGCTCCCTGAAAGCACACCAGGGCAATGGGCTGTGTGGAGGCCCTTCAGATGTTGTTGGACTCCAACACCTATCAGCAATGATCAGGGATCCTGGGCCCACCAACCTCTGAAACCCCTGACTTGGACCACATTATTGGACCAAACAGAGCACAGCTGCCCTTCCTCTATTTATTGCTGCCTCCCCTTTTCCTTGTGTCTCTCCTGTTCAGCATTATGCCTTCCTCAGATGCCCAGCAGCCCCAGCAGCGTACAAATATCCTGGCTGGGGCTGATGGAAGTTGTAGTCAAAAAGCTTTGGAGAACACCAGGTTCCCCCTGGATTTAATAATAGATTACATTCATACAGAAGTTGCCAATGTGGTGCCCTCCAGATCTCACTGGGGTCCCCAATTCCCATGAGATAGCATGGCCAATGGTCAGGGTCAATGCTGGGAGTTGTAGTCCAGGGCACCACATTGGCTGCCAGTGGAGGCTAGTCCACTAGAGGAAAAGGAGCACCGTCCTCTGCCAGTCCCCACCTTCCCCCTTACTTACATCCAGCTCCGTGGAATGGCTGTGCCTATCAGTTTTCCCTCCTTCTCATCGTCTCAGTGTTGCCCTTGTGGAACTCAACAGGGGGGATGAATGGGTACAAAACTAGAATTTAGTTACCTCTGTCATTGGCTCTGGCACCGCCTACTGCTGGGGCTCCCCCTCCTTTCCTCCCAGCAGCCTGAAAAGGCACTGCTGTTGGCTCCCTTGGAATGACAAGCATTTCAAACTAGGGGGACCCAGCTCGTTTTTGTAAAGTGCGATCGATATAAGCACTGGCGAGGCTGCGTACGCAGCGCGCACATCGAAAAGCTCACCCTGCTCAAAGGCTCCTGGGAGCTGCCGTTTGCTAAGGATGCTGGGGATTACTGTAGCTCCGTGTGGGCAAGCAAACTTTGGGCGTGGGGAACGTGCATCAGCTGCCACCTAAGGCAGGTAAGCAAGGAGGAGAGGCTGGACGAGTCCGTCTTCTGCGCCAGCCGGCCAGCCTGTCAGTTAGCCAGCCATGGAAACGGACCTCTGCGGGTCGGTGCGTGTTGCTTTCTGCCTCTCGTTTCTCTCTGCGCAGCAGCAGCGAAGAGGAGGAGGAGGCGCAGGGGCTGCTTCGTAGGTCCAGTCCGGGGGCCGCTGCCAAGGTGTGCCATGAGCCCCGAGCTCCTCCCCTCCGGGCCAGAGGGGCTGGCACAGCAGCCGCGGCCACCGCCATCCAGGCCCCACGGAAGGAGCCTTCCAGGGAACCGGGGCCGCCCCGCCCCCCTGCCCGGCGCGCGGCACCGAGACCAGCGCAGGCCTCCCGAGGCCCAAAGCGTCACACGGATACACAAAAAAGCGTTATGCAAATAGGAGCGCGGGCCCAACGCGTGACCTTTGACCCCGCCCCCCCTCCCGCCCGCCACTCACCGGCTTCAGGGCCTCCTCCTCTCCCCTCACACCCCTCTCTCTTTCGGCGAGCGAGGCACAAAGCGGCGGCGGCGGCGGCGGCCCCTTCAGCGACGGTAGCAAGAAGCGGCGGCGGCGACGACAGCGGCGGAACCGGAGGGGACGCTGGGGGTTCGGCGGTGGGCAGGAAGAGGCGGGGCTTACCGGGTCGGAGCAACCAATAGCCGGCGGCGAGCGCCTTTCGAACGCGCGGCGGCGGCCAACCGCCTCCTCCGAGACGCGCGTGCGCTGCGCCGCCACTCCCGTTTGTGTTTTCTTTCCCCCTCCCTTTCCTTTCCGAATAAACAAAAACGCAGCCCGGCTTTGAACAAGGGGGAAGGGCGCATGCGCGCTTTTGAGGCTGGGAGGAGGGTGGAAGGGGCGGAAGCGAGCTTCCTTTGGCGGGAAAGTGTGATTCCCCCCCCCCCCAAAATCAGGCGACTGCGCTCTGTCTCGCGGCCAGCCACGCCCACTCCTGAGAAAGCCTCGTTCACATGCGAATTTTGTACATGCTCAGGAGACGGTGACTCTCACTTACCTCCAGCGCTCGCTGTTCCAAGGGGAACGAATCCCCGGCAACCAGGGATTCCTTCGTGAGGGGCAGCAATCTTGACATGCTCAGAATCTCACCTGGTTTAAAAAAGCGGGTGGGAAGGAGTATAAGGAATACTGTACATTTTTTAATCCTCAAGAACAATGAGATGGTTTATGCATAGAAGGACTCGCGCCAGAGAAGAAGGCAAAGGCAAGTGGAATCTGGTTGCTCTCTGCACATGCCCAGGAGATAACCAGGAGCCCATCGAAAGCAGGCGCTCTCATTTATATGGACATGGCTTCTGTAAAGACTGAGAGCTAATGAGGGGGACAGGCTCATCTTTGCTTAACACTTAAAAAGAGATAAGACCTGTTGTAGCGAAGCAGGGAGAAAGAAATGGTTCTGTGGCTGAAGACAAGCTCCTTATAGAAGTTCCAGAGAGACACCTGCCACATGGAATGGAAAAAAAATCCAAGGGTTTTATAGAACAGGCTTAACGGTAGTTCCCAGTGCTTGTGGTTCCTTAGTTGTAAGTAAAAAGCAAGCCCATTCATTACCAACTCATATTCACCCCCCTGTAACAACAGCCTTGCAAGGTAGGCCACTGTCTTCACCGTTGTAGCCAGACAGATAATTTGGTCTCTGCTCCCCCCTCTGCTCAGGAATGGCATGGAGGAGAACAAGCAGGACTCCGGGTCTTGGGTCCTGCGACACGTTATGCAAAGGAATGCCCCTCCTCACAAATACGCGTGTGACCATATGCAGAGTTTTTAATGGAAAATGAGACTCCTCTTGTTCCTTCCTGCAACCCAGTTAAGTCACAGCCAGGCTCCTATGGTGGAGTAAGCAAACAGTGCATGAAAGGCTACATTTTGACATCCTCAAATGACAGCAGGCACTAAATACAGTGGTACCTCTGGTTACATACTTAATTCGTTCTGGAGGTCCGTTCTTAACCTGAAACTGTTCTTAACCTGAAGCACCACTAACTAATGGGGCCTCCCGCTGCCGCCGTGCGATTTCTGTTCTCATCCTGAAGCAAAGTTCTTAACCCGAGGTACTATTTCTGGGTTAAGGGAGTCTGTAACCTGAAGCATATGTAACCAGAGGTACTACTGTATATAAAACTGCAACCTTTTCTTTTTGGATGAATTCAAAGCCCTGCCAAAGTCTCCGCATCCTATTTCCTGGCCGCTGGACCAACCAAATGTAGAGACCCCATGAACAAGGCAGAAAGGCAGCTATCCTCCCTTTTTGAGCGAGGCCATCTAGGTGCCTCCAACACCCCACATGAACAGGGCAGGAGTATACTCAAGCCAAGCTGGAACTAAGGTACACTGCACCTGAAAGTGGAGGTTCCATCTCTTGCTCACAGCTGCTGGTGGAACCATCTCAGTACCACAGGTACTTCCTTGCTGGGATAGACAAGCATCTTGTTTCTATTATCGGACAGCTGGTTGTAATGCAGGAAACCTTGAATTGGGACGTTTTGGAAGGCTGGGATAGGGAGATGAGGTACCCTCTCCAAACGCCTACCAGCACCTTGCAAGCTATTCTCCGACATTTAATATATAATTCGTTTTAACATTTCTAACCTCCTGCACTGAAAAATGCAATATGGGGTTTCATCAATCTGAAAAAGAGCCACTACCACACATATATTATTTGGCAGAATTAAGGAGTAAAACCACCCCATGGGCAGCAGAATTTCATCTTAATCTGCTGACTAAGCCATGGCCATTAAAAGCAAACCCTCCCATATGCAAAGGAGGCAATTTTTAGTGATGTTCTCTCCTTTAGCTGCTATAAGTGTTTCCCAGGTTTTATTGTAGATTTCTATGATTGTTAACAGAGAGGAAGGGCAAAATATATGTTTTGATAAATCTATTCCACCATCCTGTTCTATTAGGGGCCAACCAGAGGCCCCAAAAGAGAAGCCCCCATGCAGGACCTGGGTGCAAAAGCCAGCACTCTCCTCACCTCACCCTCCTCACCTGTGCTCGCTCGTGACTTGGATTCAAAGCCATACAGTGACCACTGACTTAATTAAAATAATCCTCTGCTAAAGCCATCCAAGTTGGTGGCCATCACTACATCTTGTGGCAGTGAGTTCCATAGTTTAATTATTTCTTTTCGTCTGTCGTGAATCTTCCAACAGTCAGCTCCACTGGATGGCTCTTTTTTGGTTCTACTATTATGAGGGAGGAAAAACTCCTCTCTCCACCCCATGCATACTTTTATACCCCTCTGTAATTCCCCCCTTACAATTTTTCTACACTTAAAAAAGCCCGAAATGTTGCAGCTTTCCCTCACACAGGAATTGCACCAGCCCCATGATCTTCCTGCACCTTCTCCAACACTACAATGGCCTTGGGTTCTTCCTAGTCCTACTCAAGAGTTGACCATTGAAGTTTATGGGCTTGGCCAATTTAGGGTCATTCATTTCAGTGGGTTTGCTCTGAGCCGGACTTAAGCTGGATCCAACCTCTTTTATAAACAAATAAATCGGCATTAACAAGGGTTCCCCCATCAAACACCACCACTTTCCAGCTTCTGCTCAAGATGGCGCATGCCATTTTCACCATTCAAGTGGGTCAGTTGTTCACTCTCAGCCTAACCCATCTCACAGGACTGCTGTGAGGATAAAATAGAGAGAACTATGTACACCACATGGAGGAAAGGTGAGATAAAAATGAAATAAATCACTCTCTGGCCAAAGGCAGCAAATGATAAGCCCAGAAATTTGGCAAAAGCTTAGTGCAGTTTGGGGCAGACCCATTGTAAAGAGGGGGCTGTATCCAATGCTATTCCCTCTCTTGAGCAGGCCCATTTATTCCATCCAGTCTGCTCTAATCTACTTGGAAACCATCTACGACTTTTGTTAGCTGAACAGGATTTGCCAATTTCCCCTCTACTTCCAGAGTGCTTTAATTTTGCTGAAACTGGGAAAATTTGGAACCAACGCGATCAGAGATTCACCAAGGACTGGAATAAATTTACAGAGTATATCAAAAATGTATGCGAGGACCAATTAACGCTTGTTGGCTTTCAAGAAGCTCTGTGAAAATGATTGATAGAAATGTTGCTTAAAAGAGATGATAAGACTAAGATTGTTAAAGCGCAATATAAATTTAAGAAATGCGAGTAATTGTGATAATATGGAAATTGTCAGATAGGCTGGGGGAAGTCTAAAAGAGGTAGTTAGAAATGGACGTAAAAAATGGACGGAATGTATATTGGAAACTGAATAAAAATTAATTATAAATTTTTTTTTTGCTGAAACTGCAAAAGCTGTGGGGAATCTTCCTCAACCCACCATACTTTCATGCAGAAATGCCACCTGCCTGCTTCATTAGAAAGGTTGGAGGAACTGGAAGATGAACTTAAAGTGCAGTATTGTGGGGACTGCACCACCTCCATCATCCCTGACCTGTGAGCCTGCTGGGAGCTTGGAGTCTAGCAACATCACCTGTAGGGCTATTGGTTCCCCATCCCTGTTCAAATTCAAGGAGGATCAATTCTGCCTGCTCCCAGCAAGATTTGTAAAGAAGAAGAGGAGTTTGGATTTGATACCCCACCCTTCACTCCCCTTCAGGAGTCTCAAAGCGGCTAACATTCTCCTTTCCCTTCCTCCCCAACAAACACTCTGTGAGGCGAGTGGGGCTGAGAGACTTCAGAGAAGCGTGACTGGCCCAAGGTCACCCAGCAGCTGCATGTGGAGGAGCAGAGACGCGAACCCGGTTCACCAGATTACGTGACTACCGCTCTTAACCACTACACCACGCTGGCTCTCAAGGAAGCAGCTTTTACCTTCACGGTAACAGAAAGCTGGAGTTAGTGAAGAATGTTAGGCAGGGTGAGATTCTTTTGGTGTGTGCGCACATGCATAGAAGCCCATTGTTTATGACGGCTCTGTTGACATCAGTACTTTTCATAGAACCATTTTAAAAAGGACTCGAACCTTCCTGACCCAAAGCTGCTCTCTTTCTCTTTCAATACACACAGAATTCATGGTTGCTAAGCTAAACCAAAACCCAGAAATGCTGGCTTTAAAGCCAGTTGGTATTAATAACTTTGGGGCTGCAATTTTGCATGTTCTGCTCACTTCTCTGTCAATACTCCCATTTCTTCAGACCTGCTTCCTTCAGCTGTAAAATTCTAAAAACCAAACCGTAGAGCCACAGGAGGGTGTGCCATTTTAACTGAAGCAAACTGTGCCACTTCTAAAACACCTGAACTGTTCAATAGCTCTAAGTGTTTGAATGTGGCTGTGGCTTAATTAAAATCCTTTCACAGCCACCGCCGCCACCAGCAAACTTCTATATTTTTTAGCTTCTTGCAATAAGGTGGCTGCCAGCCCCCAGGAGTTGAAAGGAGAAAATGATACAGAATGCGCGCACACACACACACACACACACACACTGGACTTCGGTTGCCTGAAGGCAACAGTGTGAGAATCCCCAAGGAAGCGCTGTAGAAGACCTGTAGGTGCCAGCATAGTAAAATTAGCAAATGTCTGTGACACTCTTTGCAAGGCAGCTGCCTGGGTCAGCTTGTAGGCCCTGCTGAAAGCCTGTGCACCTGTACCCCCGCTTTAAATTCCCTGACGCCACCCCAGGGCTTTGCAAGTCTTGGCCTGGAAATCTAACTTCTTTGGGCTTACTGCTTATGAGGAAGCAGAACCCCCTCCTCAAAATACACACAGTGGTTCCAAGTAAAAGCGTATTCATTTCTGACTGTAGGTCTTGTGCTTCTGTGGAATGGGTTAAGAACTAGGGCACACTGCTTCAGGTGTATGGTCAGAGACTGCTGGCAAAATGGGATGTTTGCCCATGATATCCAACCAGTGTTCATTATTTTCCAGATCCACAGATAGGAAATGAACACCATACAGCATGCAGAAATAAAAAAAGCAAGGGTAACATATTCAGAGTAATGTTGGGCTCGAGTGCACCATCTCTTCCAAAAAGAAAAGAAAGAAGGAATATGTATCTTGGTTCTACTTGCGTACAAAGGAAAAGTTCACACCCTGCAACTAACAACATGGCATAATTCTGTAGTCTCAAAATGTAGTGCAAAATGACATCTACCCTTCCAACATGGCACAAACAGTGTAGATAGTAGTCTGCTACACCTGTTCCCATTACCTCTGTGGTAGAAAAGTAAAAATAAAACCCACACATACCAAAAAAAAACCCGCCCTCCAATCATGACTACTAACACTTTTGAGATTATATGATGGTTGCAAAGTTCTAAGCCTAGGACTCTCCAGCTAATTTACTTTTAGTCAGACTTTGAACTTAAACCTTTTGTTGCGGTTGCAAGCTTTCAACTGGCTGTTATTGCGACTGCTGATAGAGCTTCATAAAGGGACATTTCAACCCAAGTAATCTGAGTGAGGAAGTGACCAAGTTCCACGCAGCTTGCTTTACGATAGTGAACGGAGAGAAAGAACCTTATTCCAGGCGTTTTTGTAACTGGAGTCACCTCTGGACTACGACAACTAGGCACTCCTTTGAATACTTAACAGGTTGAACAATTCCTATAATGGTATGGGGTTGCTCGTGCGTAAGTTGCCGCCTCTCCTGGCTATGTTGCCTTGTTAAACCTTTCTGTCTGGACAGCCCTTCAATTCGTGGCTGCCTCAGTCGCTAGCAGAATCCGTCAGTGGGCGTTTCTTAAACCTTTTCCAACATAAAAGTTGTTTGACACCCAGTCTCCTCCTACTTTCTCTGCGCGGAAGTCTTCTGCGCAGGGAGGGCGTGGGTAGCGGAGGACCAGTGCTCTCCCCGCTGGTGTCCGGTGAAGAGTCTGGGAGCCCTCTCTCCGATTCACCCATCTGCCCCTCCTTATTCCCGGTGTTGCACTGAATTGCTTCCCCATCTGCTGAGCTGCCTCTCTCCCTGCTGGGCCCTTCTCCAGCATCATTAGAGAGCCTCCCCTCCACCTCTAGCTCCGATGTCAGTTCCCTGACAATTCCCTTTCAAAGGAAGCGAGTGTGGACCCACTTACTTATCTCCACTGACTTTGCCATAAGAACACTGACCAATGCCAGGAAGAACAAGGTTGTCAGCCTTACTGGAATAAATAACATGCTAGCAGGACTGGCACCTGCTTGCTCAGAGAAAACCAGGCCTTCATTTCTAACAATGCCGTGAAGAGTAACAGGGACCCTGCAAAGCTCCCAGTGAAAAAGACAAAAACTCTCAACTCCTTTTCTGTTACTACTAGTTTCAGCAGCAAACAATTTGAATCACACCCATTTTCCATACAGAAGATGTAACAATGCTTCTTTATGCCACTGCTGCAGTAGAATTTTCATCTTATGGAAAGGTGAGCGGCCTTGCCCCAGTCACTCCTTGGCTGAAGAAGGCAGGCTCAGGAGCAGAGCTCAGTGTTCCTGCACCGTTTAAAAATAAAAAAATTAAGAGGGGGAAAATACTGTACAGTGAGAAGAAGGCTTTTGAAACGCACCCCCTCGGCCTGACTTGCCTTGAAGCACGATCAGATTAAAGCCTGCTCCTGCAGAAGCCTCCCCAGCAATACTTAAAACAGTTTTCAGTTTCCGGTGATCACATGTAAACACAGCAACCCAGTAACAAATGAAGTAAAACAAGGGTTATTTTGCATTTTCTTTTGGAATGACAAGGCGAGGCCATCCTAGACTTCCACAGATTGCAAAAAGCAGCCTGAGGGGGGGCTCATTTAAGAGCAGATGAGCCATCACAGGGAGAGCCAGCAGCTGGTTATCTCAGGCGGCCAACAGAGATCAAACTTATTCAGATGGAGAAGGTGCTTTACAGAGAACAATCTACAAATGGAAAAAGCTTCGTGGAGGTGTATTGGGATGTGCGGACACAGCACACACACACCCCAACCGGATAAAATTGGCCAAGCAGAAATTCTGACACCGCGAACCATTAACCACATTACGTACACTCCTTTCACCTCAAAGGAAGGGAAAGCAACACGCTCCCTTAAGGGCAGGCGGGAGGTGTAAGAGATTTAATAAGCACCTTATTGGAGGATAATGCTCACAAGCTGCAGCCGTACTGACCCTTCTGCGCACTGTAAATCGCCTGCAGCAGAGTGCAAAGGTTGGGGAACACACTCTGGCATGCCGCACAGAAAATCCATCCGTAACAAAACGTTTCCCAAAGAGTGACCCACCTCTTCTTTATTTACTCCTTTAACTTCCTCCCTCCCTGCTTGCCCAATAGATTTGGGCAAACAGGTCACGGGGGCAGGTCAGGTCAGAAATGTTAATGCCCCCCCTCCGAGGGAGGCAGCATGCCATGGCTTGAGGGGGCCCGGCACCTTCAAAGCTGCCATCAAAAGAAGCCACTTTCTTGTGCTTTTAAACTTGCAAGGTTTGTCTTTATTTTGTTCTTTATATTTTGAAAGTGAAAAGAAATAGTATCGAGTCAATTTCTTTCTTTTTTTAAATATTTGTTCTATGTATTTACAAGCCTTAAAGTTGCTCTAAAGGTTCTGAAAGTATCACTAGTACTTTTTGCTGCTTCTTTTTTCTTCTTTCTCCAGGATAGCACTGTTTTGCTTTGAGCAAGTTATTTTTCCAAGCAGTCTGGTCCACAGCCGTTTTCTCAAACGCGGTTTTCCTTCAGCTCCAAGGTTATGCTTTGTTGCTTTTGATTTTTTTAAATTGTGGAAAGCAAGCTGAGAGGCAGGCGGAAAAAAATGATGATTTTTTTTCTTTTTTAAAAAAAGTTCATCTCCCTCATCCTAGTTCATTCCCAAACCCCTTTAGAATTTAATGCACAGATACCGTGCTTTGAAACAAAACTGAGGTGGCTCTGAAAAGGGAGGGAAATTTATTTATCTGGTTTTTTTTTGTCTATTATACAATTTGCTACAGAAACTGCAAATTTAAAAATTACACTGACATTTGCAGTTCTTAAAATAATAAATTAAAGTTCTCACTTTTTGTCTAAAGAGATTTGTTTCTGTTTAAAGTAGGAGTCCTTGTTTAAAAAGGAAAAATAAAAGATTAAAACAGAAAATATTTTTCTATAAATAGATGTATTTTGGTTTAGTGCTCCTGCCCTCAGGTTTGAAGTGGACTTGAATTTTCAAGTACTTTTTGTCCTCCATGATCGCCTTTGCGTTTATATCGGTTTTTTTTGTCTCCTCTCCCACTCGTGCACATGTGGGGGAAGGGGGGGGCTCTGCGCGAGAATTGGCCTTGCTGCACTGTGATTGGCGAAGACGTGAAACTTTTTTTAAAAAAATACTTAAATTGTTTTTTTGTGGTTTTTTTGAGTTTTTTTTTTTTTTTGTAATTCAGTTTCAATTATCCTCCGACTCCTCTTCGGCTTCTCGTAGCCACGTGAAGAATGCCGTGACCGATTTTAATGCTACGCCTTTCCCGTTCTGTTCCGCAGGGTCTTTGCTGCTTTCCCACTTGTAGAAGGCATCCTCTGATATCACCTCCTCATCATACAGGCAATCAAAAAACATCCGTAACAAATCTGTGGGGGAAGGAAAGGAAGAGGTGAACACTCCCCCCTGGACAGCAACCAAAGCAGACACGACTGGCTAGCAAGCTCAGTTCAAAATGTGAATTGCAGTGTGCTGAGCCTTCAACCCAACCCTCCACTTATATTTTATAAATTTACTCCGTCTGACCCCTTTTAGTCCTTCCTCAATCAGGGAGCCAATGAAACACAAATATCATTGCTCTTCAGAGCTCAGAGGGCTCTCCCAGGTGAGAGGCCTTCCTAGGGCTCCACAGTGGGTAGGTTTTTGTTCAGATGGTGTGGCTAAGCTGAAGGAACATCCTGCATCAGGGCAGGTTTAGAATCCAGGCTCCCAACACTGCAAAAAACTTTCAGATAGATAGATAAATAAATAATATGTGGATGATATAAAACTGAGGAGAAATTGCTATATACCGCATTTTTCGCTCTATTGGACGCAGTTTTTCCTCTCCAAAAATTGAGGGGAAATGTGTGTGCATCCTATAGAGCGAATGCAGGCTTGTGCCATAGCCGCATGCAACCCCTCCGGCAAGGAGAGGCTGCACGGGGCTAAAGGGAAAGCCAAAACAGCGAGCGGGATCCATCCCGCTCGCTGCCTTGCCTTCTTCCATAGCTGCGCGCAACCCCTCAGCAAGGAGAGGCTGCACGGGGCTATAGCTTCTTTAGCCCCACGCAGCCTCTCCCGGCAAGGAGAGGCTGCACGGGGCTAAAGGGGAAGCCAAAACAGCGAGCGGGATCCATCCCGCTTGCTGCCTTGCCTTCTTCCATAGCTGCTCACAACCCCTCTGGCAGGGAGAGGTTGTGTGCAGCCTGTACACTGCTCTTTGGGGCTGGGGGGGGGAAAATATTTTTTTCCTTGATTTCCCCCCCTAAAAACTGGGTGCGCCCTATGGTCCGGTGCGCCCTATGGTGCGAAAAATACGGTACTTGACATTTCCTCCATTTCTCTGGAATGACAAGGGTAATAGGACTGGAAACAGAGAAACTGGAAACAGAGGGCTGCCTTTTTTGGTTGCTGACTGGGAGCCACATTCAAACTCAGGAGGATTTTCTGTGGCCCTTATTAATCCTGAACAAAAGCAAAATGATGCACCCCAAGAAAATCTAGTATAAATTGGCTTTGGGGTACCAGCAAACGGCCCTACAGCCAGTGACAGCACATCATGTTCCGTCCTATTTTACACAAGCCCAATTCAACGGACCAAGGCCCAAAGACCACCCTGACCCTGAGTACACTTACTCGGAGGTTGATCAAGTTTTACTATTGATGCTTGTAGTGCGTAAAGTGCTTGTAGTTCCTTCTCTGTGTCCGCGTCTAGGTACTTAAGTAAGATCGGCACTCTCTGCTTGATAACAGCAGTGTCCACTCGCAAGCTAGAACTGTCCACTAGAAAAGAGAAGAGATTCAACGTCAGCATTTGGTTAAAAGCTGGCCAGGAAGGAGGAAGGCAGGCAGGCAACTCTTATCCTCTGTCTTCACAGACAAATCTCAATTCAAGGCAAAAGGGATAGCAGCAGCAGAAATTAAACATTCTTCAACGTCTGGACTGCTTATGCAATTGGAAAGGTTTATTTCACCAGCTCATCTTCCAAAAATTAGAAGCTTTGAAAGAAAGAGGCTGTGTCACTTCATCCTACCTCCTGCAATTTTAGGTACCAAAAATATAAAAGATGGAATACATCACTACCTGTATCTGGGATCTAAAAATATTTAGGCTTGACTCTCACTGGGCGGTACCCCTTCACACTACAGGAATGGGGTTCACATTGTGGAATGCTCTTCCATATCCCTCCCCCCAATATCTCTGCACACAGAAAGCTAGCATGTCAGGACAGAAACCTGACACACTTGTTTTCTATATGCAGGGACTCATTAGCTGGTGTGTTAATGTTCTCCTCTCCCCTCACAGTTTTACTGAACTTCTGAAGTGGCCACAAGTATGGACTTTAGCCAACTAAATCCCCATTCAGCTACACTACAAAAGCACAAAAAGGTTTAATGCACAGAAACTGGAAGGCAAAAAGGCAACACTCTCACTGGCACCCCTGCCCCAAATCCATGGGGGCCACTGCTGGCTAGAATTCAAAGATCTCCTTACACACACCCTCAAAATGAAGAACTGCCATTGGAACAGTTATCACTTGATGTTTTCTAATGGAACAACTCAGGATATAAAACAACTGGTGGAAACGGTAATAAGGTAGGTAATTTCTCTTCTTCCAACCATAGTATGCTTCCAAATGATATGGATTGGATTCACAGAAAAAACGGATCTGGAGAATCCCAGAAATCCCTGGGATGGAAGACACATTAACATGACCTGTTCTGGTCGCTCATTATCTGTGTCTCATCAGTGGGACATTTCATGCAGAGCGCAGGCTTAAAAAGAGATTGTGGCGAAGAATTCAAATTCCATGCAAAACAGAGGAAAGATATTGATGGCTTCATGTCTAAAACTTCTGGATGAACATTACTCACCTATAATAGCGGCTTTACAAACTGCTGTCATTAAAGCTCTAAGGAATGTAGGTGAACTCATCTGGCTCTCGTCTAGATTAGCCTGAAATCAAGAGTATTTGCAGAAGTCAAAAAAGCCCACGAGTTGCATCACAGCACCTCGTCTGAAGAACTCGCTGATGAAGGAATCTTATAAGCTCACTCATTAAAGTGCTTCCTACTAGATCAGCTCACCCCAAAGTGCTCCTGGGAGCAGGAAAATGGCTTATATTCTCTCCCCCAATTCTGCCTTCTACGGTGTTATTTATTCAGCAGGAAAAACAGTCTGTTGCTGGAGAGTCACATAAAAAAGGCATTCTAGGATGGAACTCAGTGCTACAGATCAAAACCCTCTGGCATCTGTAAAAGCAATAATTTCTCTCTAGCCCTACAATGCAGCCCTCTAGGCGAGCAAAATTGTGTTCTGGTGACAAGCAGCAATCCCCAGGGGCGAAACCAGACTCTGCTGAAAGTGAGGGTCAGGAAAGCAGCGTGGAGACAGGTGAGGGCTGTGGTGAAATGCTCCCAACCCCGTGATTCTGTAAGAACCAAGAGCGCACTCCTGAGAGCTGCTCTTTCCAAGAGCCCAGGCTCCAGGAACTGTAACAGATGGGTTCAAATAACTCTTAACTTATTAGTGTACGGGCATAGATGGACTTGGGCTTTGTACCTCTACCCAATCAAAGATCTGCTCATCATTCGCCTTGTCCTCGATAATGAGTTTCTCCAGCTGTTTGTTCAACTCTTCAGCAGAGAGCTCCTTCTTTGAAAGTGCTTCTGAGGAACTGGAACTATCAGTCTCTGTGAAGTCCAACTTCTGCAGTGTTACAAGAGAAAAGAGAATGGCTTTAGTTTGGCATGACATGCAGGGTTCCCCGCCCACACCAGTGAACACCCTGAAGTGGGGTTTAACCATCTATTCTTCCAAAGGGTTAAAGACCTTTTGCAGTGGAGGCTGGTCCCATCTCAAGGGTCAGAAGGGACAACATAGCATCTAGTCAAACCTCCTCCCCCTATCAGAAGTGAACAGAGTGACCAAAAGGTCAGAGTGACCCTGCTCTGGCTCCCAACTCACCTGCTCCATGAGAAAGGTGTGGACATCTTCCTCTTCAGGTAAGAAGTCTTTCCAACTGAGGCCAGCCTCCCTCCATAAGGCTGCCACTTTCTTATGGCTCTAGAACACAGAAGGAATTTGAAAAATCAAGAAAGGAGAGCAGCGAGGCCCAAAACAGCCACGGTGTTCAACGCAACCTCCAACCCCACCATGACAGTTCTTTTTCGGGGGTGAGGGGGAAACCTGGGTGAGTGCAAAGTATCACATTCAATATCCCAACTTTAGGATGTTCTTTTCCAACAGGAGGGTTCAATCCAATGCTGCTGTGGGGTCAACGGGATTCAGCAATCAGTGGGGCCAAGAAAGTGCCACCCTTTCTAGGGTAGGGGCCTGCTCAGGTTGGGACAGCAACCGGGAACATCTCTGAATTCGAAGCATCTTCAGAATGAGGCTGTCCTTTGTGATTCCTGCTCCTGATCAACTAAAGGCAGCTTCAAAGCCTTTTCAGGCAAAAGGTGAATGCAACTCACTGACTTGGGAGTCTTGGGCAGGCTTCTTGACATTTTTCAATACACTACAGATTCCCTTTGCACACACACATCCAGATCTGCAAGTGACCTAGAACACTTACCATTTGTTTGCATAGAAGGTGCAATATTTCGGAAAGCAAGATGCCGGCTCTTCCCACAGGGAGCAAGGGTTTGCTAAATTCTCTGCAATAGGAGAGAGCAAGAGAGCAGTGTAAGCTTTGCCACCTGACAGGCAACTAGCACATGGTGAAAGGCCACCATGAAGGGGGGTGAGGGCTCTGGCCTTCACTAAGTTCTACTTCAATCTTCGACCACAGAAGCAACTCTATTCTGGAGCTGGAGGGAGACCACAGCAGACAAGGTTTGACAGGCAGGATATTTGGGGAGTTGCCACCCTCTGCTGGTTCAGCCCTTAAGGCAGGGGTGGCAAGCCTCTGGCCTGCTGGGAAACCTTATTTAGCCTGCCAGACTGTTTCTGGTAAACTGCACCCACCTGCCATCATATGAGACATCAGGTGTGGGACCAGGGCTAGTGTGGCTTAAAATGAGCTCTTAAGCGTTCCTTTGCTGGAGGTAAGGCATGTTCCCACTGTCCAACAGCTGAAGCACACCTTGCTCCAGACTCATGATGGGTTTACACTGAAATCTCTGTGAAAGCCCCTGTTTTAGCTGAGGTCTGTGCAAATCCCTTCGTGATCTGGGAGTGTGCCTTCAAAAAGAAACATTGCCTGACGTCATTTTAACTGGTGGGCCCTGTACACGTGACAAATTAGGCCCATGAGGGGTTTAAATCTGGCTTAACCGGGGTGTGGAAATTCACTGCCCCAAGGCAATAACAATACAGTTTGTAGCAAGCAACAGGTCTCGCATAGGTCACTGTGGTTGACTGTGGCTAGCTTGACCTTATCTATGCAAGGAGTTCCAAGGGCAGCCGGTGCAAGCATCACCCCAAGGCTAACGGAGAAAGAGTGCAGCTTACGTCAGAAGTTCTCTCATAGAGATTCCTCCTTCTTTCAACATAGGCGTCACCAACTCAGCCAGGTATAACCATATGTGGGGTATATCGATGGCCATGTCGTCTGCCGTCTCTAAGGTGTCTGCAAACCTAAGGAGGGAAGCAGAGTTGCTCAAGGCACAATCCATCTGGGAGGCAGCTGGTCACTCTCTGCATCCAGCCCAAATGTAACTGTTTGTAGTGAGCACCCATGAAAGAAAGAAAAAATACCCAGAGATCTTGCTTCCTTCCCTGGCAGACTACCAACCCCTTGAAAAAGTCCTGCTTGCTGAGCTTCTCCGACTGCACCAGCTGATACAGCAACTGGCCCATGTGGTCTCTGGTGATCTGACTCCGCTCCAGGGTTGACTCCACGCCCACCTGCACAAACATAGGCAGCACTCCCGGTATGCTCAGCTCCTCCACGCACTGCATCGCTTCCTGTCCAGACAATACAAAAGGAGGTTTCTCTGTAGTCCGTGGGCTAAGAGACTTTCCTTGTGCAAAGCTCCTCAGCTGACCTTAATAAAGGTCCTTCTTGCTCTCTGCACTGATATTGTAAGATCAGCGGCCACAAAGCCAGACCTCGGAAAGGGTGGCTTTTAAACGCTTAAGCCCTCCGCCCCAAGATAAAACTTCAATGCACGCCACGATGGGCCACTGCTCTCCTTACCTTATAATCGTTTATGTGCAGGAACTCGTCAATGATCGATTTGCACTTTCTCTCTATTTCCTCTTCTGACAATGCAGGTTTTTCTTGGGCTGGGGATGTGGAAATTTCAGGCTTGGCTGTTAAGGCAGTTGAATGGGTAAGGGGAGAGGGAGAGAAAGAGGCAGGAAATGTAGAAGGCTTACTTCAATGCAATGCCAGAGAGGCATTTTTCCCATGCACAATGCCATTGTCATTACAGACAAGTCCTTAGGTTGTGTCCTGCCATTCTTCGTAAGTCCTACATGCAGCTACACACTCTAGGATTTGTGGTGTAATTCATCCCAGAGAGAGATCTGCACAGAATACCTCGCTTTAGATCACCACCATTTTGACTCAGAAGGGGCAACAAATGAACGTGGATGAAATAATGCTATGAGCTCAAGAGGGAATGGACATAAATTAAAGGTAAAGGTAAAGGTACCCCTGCCCGTACGGGCCAGTCTTGACAGACTCTAGGGTTGTGTGCTCATCTCACTCTAGAGGCCGGGAGCCAGCGCTGTCCGCAGACACTTCCGGGTCATGTGGCCAGTGTGACGAAGCTGCTCTGGCGAGCCAGAGCCGCACACGGAAACGCCGTTTACCTTCCCGCTAGTAAGCGGTCCCTATTTATCTACTTGCACCCGGGGGTGCTTTCGAACTGCTAGGTTGGCAGGCGCTGGGACCGAGCAACGGGAGCGCACCCCGCCGCGGGGATTCGAACCGCCGACCATGCGATCGGCAAGTCCTAGGCGCTGAGGTTTTACCCACAGCGCCACCCGCGTCCCTGCAGGACATAAATTAGCACCAACCAAATCAGTCACAAAATGTTTCTGCTCATCCAGCAGGAAGTACAGCCCAGAGTTCAGAAGCCCCAACTTGGAGGAGGAAGAGGAAAAGCTCACCAGTTTCCTTGGCCTTGCTCCTCTCTGCCTCTGTGCTGTTCCAGTCGCTCTCCAGCCCCCCTGTCAGCTGCTTCACAGTCTCCAGCATCTCCCGCCGCTGTTCTTCCTGAGCCTGGTTGTCCAAGAGCTGCTCCTTGCTGCTGCTGACCCGCAAGAAGGTGTTGGGTCGTGAGGCTGGAGAGGGGAGCAGCTTGTCGTTCTTCTCCCTGCCTGTGCTCCCCCGACTGTGGGAGCAAAGACATTTCTCAGGAAAATTCCTTACTCACTCACTGCTTGAAAAGAAATTAACCCCCAACTCGGCTATGTGCCAATTAGCTTTCAAGTGATAGTAAACACAGACATCAAGCGCTAAAAGCAGAAGAGTTTTATCGGAGAGGCAATTAAATCTCTGCTTTCCCCCCACATTTCATTACGTGGACAGAAGTCAGCTTAATCACATAGAACACTTCATTCAAGGCAATTACTACTACTACTACTACTACTACTACTACTACTAAATGAAGTGGGAGAGAAGCACCCGTGGGTGGCCTGAGACTTACCTAGTTAAGGCCCTGCGAGAGTCCAACTCTGCGGATGTGGCTGAGGCAGACACAGATGATGCGGGAGGCTGCAGTGCAGAGAATCGGTTCAAACTAGTGGCACTTGGTCGTAAGGAATCTGCAAGAGGATGTTGGGGAGAGTAACAGCTGCCTCAAGGGCTCCAGGAAACCCATCAGCCAGAGGCCGAGAAGCTCTTAAACCTAGCGCAAGTTTAACTGTGTCAAGTGGATGCCTTGATGATCTCTCTCAACCTTCAGGGCAGAGGGTTTTTGCAGAGAGATGGGTCACCTACAGATACAAGAAACCCTTTAAAGCCTTAACTGGCTTGGGTGTCTCCTAAGGACCAAATCCTTCCCTAGAAACCAAGCCTTATGAGGAACAGTTGAGTATGTTTAGCCTGGAAGAGATTGAGAGGAGATAGCTATCTTTAAATATCTGAAGGGCAGTCAAATGGAAGTTGGATTCAGCTTGTTTTCTGCTGGATCCGAAGGACAGGACCCAAACCAATGGATTCCAAATGACAAGAAAGGAGATTCTGACTAAACACCAGGAAAAACCTCTGACAGTTAGAGCTGTTCGACAGTGGAACAGACTCCCTTGGGAGGTTCTGGACTCTCCTTCAGTGGAGGTTTTTAAGCAAAGGTTGGAAGGCCATCTGTCATGGATGCTATGATAATTTGCTCTGATTTCTTGTTCCAGGCATTGATACTGAGTGAAACTCAGCAATCATCCAATCAGGGCAGAGTCTTTGCAGTAGAGACGTCAGCACTGTGGTGGACTCCCCAAAGATATTTGCCAAGCTCCCACACTGAGCTCTTTCCGGAGCCAAGCAAAAACCGGCTCTTTCAGGAGACTCTCTAGCTAACTTAATCATGCTATTCTTAGCTCTTCATCGGTTTCCGACTGTAGTACTATAGTGTGTTGTCTACAGACTGCTGCAGCACTACAGTCGGAAACGGATCAAGCGCTGGTTTGATCTACCAATTCAATTACTTTGGTGAAATATTTGAATGTTTAAGAAAAAGAAGTAGTAGAACATGGGAGTTATATCAGGCTAAGTCCTTCCCAAAGTAAATCCACTGAATTTAATGAACCTAAGATAGTTGTAACCATTTAACTTTAGTGGGTGTACCAAGAGGAGGGCTAGCACTGAATATGGAGTTTGCACAGCCCATTCATAACAGGAAGTAGGCCAAGACTGGGAATTCCAAAAAAGGAGAAATGACAAGGAGATGTATTTGACGAGGAACAGCAACAGCCAGCACTTTTCAGGGTGCACAGAGCAAAATGCAGGGTGGGGGGGCCTCCACACTCACCAATCTCACTGGCCTTGGCTCCCCCACTGCTGCCTTTTCCCCAGCTGCCCAACTGGGCTTTAGGCACAAGCTGGATCTTCTCATCTATTGTGGGCTGAAAGACACACAGACAGGAGCACAAATCAGGGAGAGCCTGCTGGGGATTGGAACCGCCCCACCCAATCCTGTTTCACAGAAGGAAATCCTCCCACCCTCCGGCTCACTGCCACCCTCTCTCCCACTTCCCAGTTCAAAATGCCTAGATGCACAGATAGACAAACAGCTTCCTTGGAGGGCAGGGCAGCAAAAAAACCAAGATTCCCCAACCAGGCACACTCCAGGCATTTTGAACTACAGTTCCCACTGGCACCAGCTACTGTAGGTGTATGAAGCTGGAGCCTGTGGGAACTGCAATCCAAAACATCTGGGAGGGCTGATGTTGAGGACTGGGAATGTGGAAGATGACCAACCAAAGGGGAGTTGGTCTCTCAGGATTCCTCTCAGAAAGAGATTCTTCCTCCATACAAACCTTGGTGATTTTAAGGAACTTGGTGGGGTCCAGCACACGGGTATTTTTCGCCCCCTGCACCGTGTTCCAGCCACCCTCCTCTACCCTCTGAACACCTGCAAACAAAACAAACAAACAGGTTACTTTTTATAATCCCTGATATGGTAGCTAAAGTGGTCTGGGATGAGTTGTATGTGTAAAGCGAAGCTTGAGAGCCTATGGGAATAAGGCTGCTATGTTTCCTCTGTCGCATCTAGCTGAAGAGTGCATTTCAATTTGCATTTCTGCCTAAGCAATTGTGTGGCAGGTTTTTTAAAAAATTATCTGTGCAGTTTCACCATTTGCCTATTCTGTGCAATGGTCCATGCACACGCTAGTAGAACAAATGGCTGGAGGTTGCTCCCCAATATGCTTAACAATATATATTGAGGCATATGGGCAGAAAGAGATATTCAACCTGGACAGGGCGCTCTATAATCTAGACACCGGAGGCAATTCTCATGACATGGACCCTTGTTCCTCTCTCCTCCTGGTCAAGCATCAGATGGGAACTCTGGGAACTTACCAGGCCTCCTCTTCTCTTTGGTCATTAGTTGCTGGACTTTCCGCTGCTCCTCCTGTTCTTCAATTTTTGCTTCTTTATGGATCTGCTCTATCGTCTTGGGGCCTTGATCTGCCCTCCGTGAGACCCAGTTACACTGTGGAAGACAGGAAAGAAAGGACGGATGAGGCCTTCTTTCTCCCCTGCACACTGTGGGGTAGTTGTGGTTGATGCAGACAGAGGAAGCGGGATATTCTACTGAGGGGAAAACTGCTCGCAAGCTCCTTCCACAAGCGTGACACAAGTCGATTGTAAAACCACAGCTACCCCATGACAGAAGCCCATGATGCAGGAGACAGCAGCTCCACTGCCCATCATCAAAAGATGGTCTCTGGCAGCCCTTTAAAAAACCAAGAACTACCCTCTCAAGGTAAGACTAAGAGCCAGGTGAGGGCAGTACCCCTTTTCTCTTGTGGACAATTACTCATCTGCTTCCCTTGCTGGACACGTACCTGCCTGAGGTCTATGACATCTTGAAGCATGAATCGTATTCTGGAAGAGGTTTTCCTCTCTTTGACTATCTTTTCCATTTGATTGAAATACTGGTCCATTCGAGGCTAGAGGAAACACAGATGCTCTCACCATATTTCATAGGAACATGAAAAACTGCCTTACAGCGGGGGATGGGGAAGGGGATCCTTTCCAGCCTCTCCTGGGAAACCATTCAGGGCCTGGAGAAATGAGGGTGACTCTTACCTTTGGACAGGGGCTAATCCCAGCCAGGCAAAAGTAAAGAGGTTTCTACGTAGAAATACATAAAAGTCACCCACCCGCCCCTTTCACATTCCATCCACTCCTGGCGGGTATGAAGAAGGGCCAGTAAGGGGTATGGATCTAGCTTTTCTGAACACTTAAGTTCTTTTCAGAACCAAAGAAGATGGATTTGGGTGTTCACTCTTCCCTGATGACACAAGGGGCAAAGCAACCCTACTGCCCCATCTTCTAGGGGAAAGCACGAGCGCCACTAAGCAGCCCACAGAAAAGGCTACAGCCACCAAGGGTCTTCGTGTGGGTGCCAGGTTCTTCTAACCTTGGCTTTCTCAAAGTCCAAGTCTTTGCCAATGGTAGTCAAGAGGCGGCAGAGGCACTCAAGGGACTCCTCGTCGTGGTTCTTCAGCAGCTTCACCACACAGTCGTGCATGATGGCCTCTGTCAGCATCTTCAGCTTGAAGAGCTCCCCAATGAACTTTATGTTGCCAATGGAGCGCCGCCGGGCCTTGTCCTTGGCTTCTTCCAGTTCATCGTGGAGCCGCGTCCTCTCCTCTGGCTGAGGGGCAGAGAAGGAAGGGGTGGTGAGAAAGGGCTGCCTGCCACACCACAAGCCCATGGCCTCGCTTCCCAGGCCAGCAACACCACAGGACTCCCATGTCTTGGGCCCCCTGCTCCTGGGAGCGCACAGAGGGTGCTCTGCAGACACTCACCGTTGTGGAAGCTTCCAGCTCCTTCTGCTTCTTCTCAAAGACATCGTCATCAGCTTTGTCCTTTTCAAATTCCTTCTGGCAACGATTCAGGAGTAGCTTCCGGAAGTTGACAAAGCTCCCGGGCTTATCCGCCATGGGCACCTTCAGCTGTGTGCAGCACGTGTCAAAAGGGCCAAGGAGGAGGACGGTGAGCACAACACATGCAAAACAGGGCACTCTCATCACTTGCTGCATTCCTAACCAGCATTTTATCATTTTATTTATAAAAATATTTACGGGCCATTATTCATAAAAACATATTAGAGCAAACAGACTGGCTCACAGCATTCATATTGAAAACAACACAGTAATATATACATATACATAATATATATAAACTTTTAATATCAAAGGTGAACTATTATGGAAAGGTACTATTATTATTTGCCTGCATGAGCCTGGTTCAGATAAGCATCTTCAGGACAACCTCCCCATAAACCCCTTTTCATTCTGGTGTCTAAAAGGCAGCAGATAACAGACCAGAGCAAACTCTTTGTCAATTCAGCCCAGTATTGTCTACCCTGAATGGCAGAGTACCGTATTTTTCCCTCTATAACACGCAGATTTTTTCTCCTAAAAAGTAAGGGGAAATGTCTGCGCGTGTTATTGAGCGAATGTGTGGTCCCTGGAGCCGACAGGCGCGAGTGAAGGCAAAAATCAGACAAATATCAATCGTCCGGAGAAGGAAGCCTTGAAAAGAGGAAGCTGCTGCTTTCCTGCATTCTGCCTCAGGGTCTTACTGCCCACCCGCTTCTGTTTGTTACTGTGTTTGCTCAAACGGAACAAAGAGCAGAGAAAACCCCCTCCCCTCCAGGCAAGCAGAGGGGAAAGCAGACAGTCCTTCCTTCTAATTCCTCTCCGTGCTCCGGTGCTGCAACATGCGGGGGGGGGGGGGGGAGAGAGAGAGAGCTGGCTGGCTTGGGTGGGTGTGTGGGGGGAACTTTTGCCTTCCTTTCCTCCCTCCGGTAAAACACCTCTCCTGCATTCTTAGCCAGCTGCTTCTCCGCACACCCCTCTCGGTGCTCCTTGTCCCTTCTATGTTTTTCCTTCCCTCCCCACTTAAAACGTGGTTACAAAGCACGGATCCACATGGATCCTCAGGATCTTTGCATTGGGGCACCCCAAATTCACCATCAGATCACATAGCAATGATCTGATGCAAAAACAGGGCTGCAGTGGTGCAAAAACGTGGTTACAAAGCACGGATCCACATGGATCCTCAGGATCTTTGCATTGGGTCACCCCAAATTCACCATCAGATCACATAGCAATGATCTGATGCAAAAACAGGGCTGCAATGGTGCAAAAATGTGGTTACAAAGCACGGATCCACATGGATCCTCAGGATCTTTGCATAGGGTCACCCCAAATTCACCATCAGATCACATAGCATGTCCATGGCTACAGCCTGCACCAAAAAAATCACGCACCCACTGTTGCCTGGGGCTGCAATGGTGCAAAAACGTGGTAACAAAGCACAGATCCACATGGATTCTCAGGATCTTTGCATTGGGCTACCCCAAACTCACCGTCAAATCACATGTCTGTGGCCACAGCATGAAGCACAAAAATGATACATCCACTGTTTCATTCAGAATTTTTTTTTCTTGTTTTCCTCCTCTAAAAACTATGTGCGTGTTATGGTCAGGTGCGTGTTATCGAGCGAAAAATACGGTATCTCCTGAGACTCAGGCCAATAAGGTCCTTTTCAAATCATCCTTTTAACAGCAGATGGCAGGGATCAAATCTGGGCTTTCCTGCATGTTAAGAAGGAGCTCTGCCATTCCCCCGCTCCCACTAGGTATTTTCCTCTTCCAATTTCCCACACCACACTTACCGTGACGAGACACCTGCACATGTTTGCATAGGCCACAGAGAAGCTGGGTTCATCAATGGCTTTTTCGAACACAAGGTCGATGACGCCTTTCAACCTCTCTTCCGTGTCCACAGTTAGATCAGTCACTTGCTTCATCAGTTGATTGAACATCTGTGGTGTCAACTTATTCAAGATGCTTCGGACCTTGCGGAATAGCTCCTGAAGGGAAAATGCAGGTGTTAAGGTGCAAAACTCAAATGAGGCCAAAGGCCTAGGAGAGCAACGGCCCAAGACAGCTGCTTTCAGTACCCAGGCATGGACGCTTCATTGCGCCGTATGCCCAAACCATCCCATGTCAGCTTGAACAGCTCCACCCATGTTCATAGCAACTCCAGGAGGAAAGGGGAAGACAGGCAGACAGGGAAGTTCAGACACAGCCAGGTTGAAACAACCAGACTCCAGAGCAGCAAAAGCTTTGTACAGTGGCAGATCAGAATGCAAATATATTCCACACAGGAAGTCTGTCCTCTGTGGGATCCCCCTTCTTTCCTCCCCCAAGGAAAGGCAGAAACAGTCAAGTAGATAACACAGAGAAAATACACCTGCCAGAGAGGTAGTAGGTTGTCTGGTATCCTCACTTGTCCTTTTAAGCCAGGGAGGTCCAACTTTTCATATCAAGTGGGCCGCAATCGTATTTCAACAAGGAACCCGTGTGTTTGGGGGGGGGAGGAGCGAGGCCAAAATTTGTGCTGCCTTCCCATAGCCGGGTAAGTGAGTCCCTCCCACCCCCTTCCAAAGCAGGAAAGCACTAACCAGGCTTTGGGAAGAAGGTGACAGAACTCTAGGACCCTGTTAGAGCACCTCCCTCCCCCAGCCCAGCACATCACTTGCTCAGCTTGGGAAGGCAGCACAAGGGGTGGGGAGGTGGGGGTGTCAAATGTTTCCATATTCCTTTGGGCTGCACGTTGGACCACCCTGTTCTTAGCCATGCAAATCACGCTACAGCTAAGGGTGGGTGTTAAAGTGGGGAGTAGGGCCAGCCCCTCCGCAGCCCAGCCAGGAGGCTCATGTTCTTGCCTCACCTGGGTTTTGATGCTCTCAGAGTCTTCCGCTTGCGTCTCACGCTTCAGACTCGGCTTCCAGGCATTCTCAGCTTTCTTCAGGTGTACATCCTCTTTGACACAAACCGTGATGATCTTCCTGGGCTCCCGCCTCTGGCCTGGCTGAGATCTCCGCTGTCCAACGTTTAACAGCTAAGAGAAAAACCAGTCCCTTGAATGTTAAGTCCCTTTTAACACAAAGAGGCTCAAACAGCACATACAGGACATCCAGCAACAAAGCAACCCTGCTCTGCCAACACTACAATCTACTTGGGAATTTATGCAGGTGAATATAGGAATGTAGCAAACTGCCTTATACAAAGTCCATCTTCAGGGTTTCAGACAGGGAAACTCTCTCAGCTCTACCTGGAGATGCCACTGAGGACTGAAGCATGGAGTTACAGACCTTTCCCACAGAGAGAATATGAACCAAGACGGAATGCTGCTGGCAAGCAGTCCCTGCCACACAAAAAGCAGCCCCTCCTTTGCTACCTGAGGCTGAGCCTTCCTGACCATGTTTCACTGTGGCTGTGATAAACAACCCCAAGTTTTCAGGATACTGCACCTTCTGAGGTACAAGAGAACCAAACGTATAAGAAGGGCAAGGTAGGAGGAGGAAGAAAGAGAAAGAGTGGGGGGTTTTTTTGGGTTTTTTAAAAGGTGCTGGAGAACACACTTCCCCCTGCTGTCTGGCAAGTGAGCACAACAGCCCCAATCCTGCAACATGAGGTCCATATCCAAGCAAATAATCAGGACTTTGCCTGAGAGGCACACCAGAGTACACAGGCCAGTGTGATCCAGACGCAGCTCCAACCGGCCCATGGTGCTGCTGAGGAGACAGTGCCAACAAGAAGCCTGACTGGTGGGACAGAGCAGCAAACCACCAGCTCGCTCCTCCTGAGGTTTCACCATTCACACATGTTCTGCACTAATTAAGGCTTGCATGCAGGCACCAGCACCACATCAACTCCTTTGAGAATCCAGCCCTTGACATCCAAAATGCAGCAAGGAGCTGCTCTATGTGCTTAAATTCTACACCAGCAGCTTGAGCTGTAGCACCTGCTACTGTAGGTCCCTTTCTACAAATCTTGGGGGAAGCAGTGATCATTATGGGATACCCTAACAGGCAGCAGGATACCTTTATTTTGGCACTTCAAAAAGTATTTCACGGACATCCCCCAGCAGGAGTCTCTGCTCAACACAAAGCAGAGCAAAATCATTTCCCAGTCCGGGCAGGAATAAGCAGCAAAGGAGCTGTTACAAACTTGTGAAGTTCACGATGCCGGCCACATCAGGTCTGATGCAGACACAAGATCTTCGCTTCTGTCCCCCTGCCCCCTCCCCATACCTCTCACTCCCAACCACTGCTCCCAACCACACATTCCCAAACACCACCCAAGAATGTTTAATATTTTGCAGTCAGACGTAAGGGCTGCCATTTCATGGTAGCCCTCAGCCAGCATTCACCTATCAGCACCACAATCAACAATAATTCAATCCTCTATCTCCGGCACCTTCTGTAACATAATGTCCCTTGCATTCTTTTCTAGCGTTAGAAAACTGAGCCACTGAGTTAGATTAAGGCCTTCTTCCTGGTGCATCTGGGGTGGCTTTTACAGCACAGCAGCTGGCTATTTTTCTTAAGCTATTTGTACCTATTTCTACTTCACCTCACCCAAGTCCTTTTTGAAAATAAGATGCATTTTTTTAAACTTGTTACCCGATTAACTGTGCCACCAGGTACCAAGGTTAGTGAAAAGCTGTTACTTTCCAAAATGCAGAAGGGGGGGAAAGCTGCCATTCAGCAAGGCTGAGATGGAGCATCCACGAGCTGCTAAATGCTCCAAGCCAAAAGAAAAACGAAGACAGGCCAAGCAGGACTTACCTGGTCTCCCCCTCTACACAGGACTGCGAAGAGCAGCCCTAGGGCAGATCCAGCTCAGGCCAAAGTCCCAGTATGCCCTCTGCTGGTGCTGTCCCACCCACCACTGAAGAGACGGCAGCCTAGAGAAGAGTACAAGGCAAGGCTGGTGCCATTTCCATTACAGGCTTGTGCTCTGTGGGGTTGTTTGCTAGCTCCTCTGAAGACAGGAGGGCAGAGGAGAAGGCTTTGCAAAAAGACGCTCACAGTGAGGGAGGAAACTGGGGGTGGGGGCAGGATGGCTTACCCCTATGGTCAGGTTCCTCAGCTGTGGGTGAGATGAGACCAACAAAGGGCATGCTGGGGGCCCACACCGAGCAAGGGGCTGGAGTCCAGGTGGGGGCTGCACTTTGCAGGCCTGTAAAAAGAAAGAAAGGGGTGGGGGGGAGGAAGGTATTATCCACAGGCTGACACAGAAAGACCTGACATGCCCAAGTAGGTGTCTGTTACAGCAGATGGGCATCACAACTTCAGAAGGTAGGTCTTTAGCTTAAATTTAACTCCAACCCCCCCCCCCCATTTTTTGTCATTTCCCATTAAAAACCCATTAACTGGATGGCTATTCTGCAAGCCAAGAAGCAGGTGCCACTTGCAAAGAACTTCTTTCACCTGACTCCCCATGATTATTTTAAGAAGATTTCTCCTCTTCTTTTTCTTCTTCTCCCCCCCCCCCCCAGCCCCATATCGTCCCTGCTTGGCCTCCCCCTCCCCATTTCCAGGCCCCCACTATACAGAAACCAAAGGAGCTCAAGAAGCAGAACCTCAGCAGAATACTAAGCTGGTGGCCATGTTCCTGCCCACCTGTGTCAACAGAACCAATTGACTCCTTCAGAGGGGAAAACACTATTTTCCAGTCAAATAGAGTAAAGGAAGCACGGGAGGAGCCTTACAGGTGATAGAAAGATGCGAGAACAAAGTAAGGGATGGGAAGGAAGACAGAATGAGGAAAGGCACAGACCAGCGGAGGGAGGAGGAAAAGGGAAGAGGAGGAAGGAAAGAGAGAAAACTGAGAAAACGTGACTGCAGAAGAGCTCCCAAACTGGGAGCTGCTCCAGATTCTGGAGGCAAAAGGCAAAAGGTCATTTCTAACTGTGGACGTAACTCTGACACTTACAGGTGTGCCCCGCCCTCCAGGGATTTGTCTTCCGAAATCAGCAAATGCTGGTGTGAAATCTGGACCCCGTGCCAATATCCGAGGATCCAAAGTTCGAAGAGGCAGTTTTGGCTGATTGATCTGTATTAGTAGAAAAATGTAAAGTTACGGGTAGCCATGCAGCAACCGTCTGCACAGACAGCAGCATTTGGTAGATACTCCCAAGTAGCCTCAAGAGCTACAGCTGAAAACAAAACGCACAGCCAATGACTCATCCTGCCCATCAAGCTCCATTTCTCTTCTTACTTAACCTCTGAGGGGGGTGCCTGCTAAAGCTGAGCAAACTGAGGCCTGGCAGTTCAAGGCCATCTAACTACCCCACCACCAGAAAGCAAAGCTTCTTCATGTCTGTTGACAGAGAGGCAGCTCAGGGGAAGGGAACTGGGGGTTTTCTGCTTCCTGGGGCTAGAAGAATGTTTTGGGGAAGCTGCATACATATCATCTAGTTTTAAACCCAGTCCAGTGGCAGCATCTCCTCTTGTGCCTTATTAATTCGGACCAGGTCTTCAAAATGTTGCAAAATCCAAGTTCTCAGTTTAAAACACTAGGCATGCCTTTCTCTCGACCTTCAGCCGCCACCACAAACTCACTTCCTCTGCCTACATACTAGCCCCATACCTTGTCAAGGACCACATCGCTGATGGGCGGCAGCCCCTCTGGCTTCTGGATGCAGGCAGGCATGAACTGGAAGTCTAAGAGGAACTCCCGGTCGTACTGCTTCTTCCCTTCGGAGTCCTGGGGCTTCCACTGCTCTGTAATGACACCACCAGCCTCAGGATGGGGCAATTCATTGCGCCATGTTTTCCCACCAAGGCCCCCTTGCTCCAATTAGAATTGTGGTCATGGGGGTCTTTCTCCTTTGCCTCACCCTGTCCCCATTTTGTGGGGAAGTCACGAAATGGTCGAGGGAATGAGTGCATGGCTCCGTGGAAAAAGAATGTTGCACTCTGATTGTGGAGGTCTGGCTTTGCATCCATTTGGTCACATGGAGCCTTGCTTGAGCCCTTTCTTGACTGAGGGACACCCCCCCACCCCGCATCTCTTTGCACAGAAGGAAAAAAAGAAGGGTTTGATGCTGAAGGGGAAGAAGCAGGAGCAGGACAGCACCGGGACAGCCGTCCACAGGTTTTGTAGCTTTGTTCTAAAGAACCCTTGGGAAGCACAGTACAAGCAGCAGCAGAGCATGCAGCAGAGGGACAGTTGTGCACTCTGCTCTGTGCAGATGCACCTGGAGGCTCAGGGAGCATAGGTTGCCCAAAGAGCTACAGGTGGTCACTTTTATCACACAGAGGGGCAACGCAGCAGAGATTTGTAGAGAAGACGGTAGTCTAGGCCCAGCAGATATTCTATAAAGAATTTATATGTTTCAGTCTTTCAAAGGGTCATTTTCAGGAATTAACCACCAATGAAGTGCTCTTTAAAGGGAGGCAAACATCTGGAGCCACAAGTTTGACATCCTGGAAACGAGAGCTCTGGCACCACATGAAAAATTAAAAGGCCTGGAAGGGAGTCGGGAGGCGTAAGTGCAGTGACGGCTGCCAGCTAGGGCCCTGGAGGTGCCAGCGTGGGCTCCACCACGTGCCCTGCTGAATCCACACAGATTCAGAGTCAGAATCTCAGGGAACCAAGCAGCAAAGGCAGGTTTCCAGGCAGGAAAAGCATTGACATGGCGTGATGCCTTCTTCTCCAGAAGCCACCTCACAAGGGGCTCACTCCACCTGCAGCCAGCTACTTCTTTCAAAATACTGGCAAGTCATAGCCAACTGTCCATTTCCGGCTCATGTGTACAATGCCTGCCAACTGCATGAAGCAGCCCTTAAACTCCGGAGGTGGCCTGGAGATTTGAATCAAAGAATCACCCTCTTAGTCCAGAAGCTGCATCTTACACCACACCAAGCCCTCTCCTAGGAAGGCTCCCTCCCTCTCTCTCTCTCTCCCCCTCTCTCTCTCTGTCAGCTTGCTCAACATTTTCCTGGTTACACAGGAACAAAGCAAGCTGCCTTACTCTGTTGATCTAGCTCAGTATCATCTACACTGACTGTCAGCAGTTCTTCTTGCCCTGGAGATGCTGCCGAGGGCTGAAGCTGGGGCCTTCTGCATGCAAAGCAGGTAACTAGGGCCCCTTTCCCATTGCTTTCTCTTACCCCTTTGCTAAGAGAAATGCTGTTTCCCCCAAAGAGGCAGAGGAGTAACAGCCCATGCCACGGAAAGGCAACACTGCTGAGGATGCCACAACTTCTAGGGTAAGATGAGCAGATGGTGACTGGGACTTACCTGGCTTATACTGGCAGGCCGGGGTTTCACTGGGACTCTCTGCGCAGCCTGAATTCCCCTCACCTCCTTCCCCCTCGGAGATGTTCTCAGCACCGTTGCGAATGGGCTCCCCTTCCTGCTCACCATTCTCCTCCGCAGCTTTCGCTACCTTAAGGTCAGAGTGGGAGTCCCTCCTAGGGCAAGTCTTCTGGCTCATTGCCTCTTGTTCAGATTCAAGTATCCTGTCACCTCCAGGTTCCACTTCTGCTTTAGGCTGAAACAACAAGCAAGCCCCAAATCAGCGCCCTACTCTCCGCCAAGCACTCAACAGACAAAGCTCCACTGCCTCTAATCTAAGGACTGGAAGTCGCATGTGGCCCTCCAGACTCCTCTCACTGGTCCTTGGGACTCTTCCAAGGAAATGCCCCTTTCCTTAGCTCTGCTGCTGCACACCTGGTTGGAGCTGTGAGAATACTTCTCACTTGCCTAGATAGAGTGGCATGTAGAACCCTGCATGACTGTACAAAGGGTGGGAGTTGCATCTACTGCCCTGCCTTCTTTTTTATGCCCCTGGCCCTGCCCTCCACTGGCCCTTGGAAGGCTGCCCATGAGGGAGAAAGGCTCTCAGTCTGAAAAAGGGAAATACTGGCCAAACAGAGATTATGGATTTTTTTTTGAAAAAACACACCAGGCATTCTCCAGTTTCTATCATTTTGGAATAGTTTCCAAAGTACTGACACTGCTCTGTTGCTGTAAAGCGTCCAGAACAGCCCAAATGATTTTTTTAAAATGATTTTGTTTTTCAATTGACACCCCCCCCCCACCAAATCAACACTTCCCCATCAGAACTGATTAAAAGCTCCACTAGCAAACAATACTGCAGCCTCTGCCAACCTGGTGCCTTCTGGATTTCCTGGACTGCCAGTCCTAGCTGGCTAATGGGAGTCTGGAGAGGAGTCTGATGAAGGTTGTCGCACTCTTAACATTTTCCTCAACTTATCCCTCTCTACAAGGGCAGTCACTCAAAATCAGAAACTAGGCAAACTTCTGGGGCCCCTGGCTTAGTAGGTTCACCTCTAGGGCCAGAGAATCCCTTGAAACTTGGCAGCACGATGGCTCCTGAGCACCCCACCTCTCCGCCCTCCTGCCCGCCTTACCTCGGGTTCGGCCTCCACCCCCTCCTCGGCGGCCTGGCTCCGCTCTTTTGGTTTGTTCCACATCTTTGGTGCAGTTGCAGCTGTTTGGGCTACAAGATAAAGTTGGACAGGTTATTTGTCAAATCCGGAGCCTGCTTGGAACAGAACAGCCTTGAGCACGGGCTCCCTTTTTCCAGTAAACTTAAAACTATGGGGAGGGGAGAAACTTGCCTCAGCCTCACAGAAACAACCTGAAGACAAGGGGAAAGGGGTCACATTGACAGCTGACATTAGGAAAACAATTCAAGAGATTCTAGAGGTGCAAATTAACCAAGAGGTGACACTTCTGCCCCTCACTGAAGTTCCTCTGACTTCCTGACAATTTACGGAAGCGTGGCCCTGGCCCTGGCCCTGTTGCCTCTTCCTTGGTCCAAGGCAAGACACAGCAATAGGCAGCTGTGGGGTGCAGTGGGGACACAAAGCGGCCTATGTAAGTCCTCTTGTATGACTCTTGGCTGAGACTTTGTAAATGAAACACTGAGAGCAACTGATTTTTGCAGTGTAATGTTAAATGCCCCTTGAAAAGATGATTCATTGTGCTTCCAACCTGCAAGATCAGATTCCCCCATCCCAATTATCTCTTTCTCTCATGCACACCCACACCAAGTCAAAACACAGCCACAGTGCAGTTCTACACCTCCAACACCAGAGGGCAAACACCAACAGGGCCTATATAGAGAGGTGGCTTTGGAGAACCATGAGTGCAGATTCTTCTTTGCTTAATATTGTTTCTGTTGCCAACAAGAGCAGAAATAGGTCTAAGCACCTTAAAATGTGCCAAAGGGTTAGCAGCTTGTTAACAGCATCAGCTTGGAAGAGACGGTGGACCCAGAGAGCTGTGACAAAGCACGAGGGGACAAAGAGCCTGGCCAGCTTTGACCCAAGGAAAAGAACTTAACCCTCAGTCCTGCTGTTCTTCCCCAGCGATTGCTATTTAGTGAGGATGGGGATTCTCAGAAGCCAGGTCTACCGACTGAAATGCATGGGGGTTCCTGGTCTACTCGCAGAAAACCACAGAGATTTTTGGTGGCCTGTTCTACCCACTGGTATTCAGAAGCAAGAGGCCTCTGATCTGGAAGGAAGCACATAGCCACTGTGTCCTATTGGTGGTCTTATCCTTCCAGGAATGAGTGCAGCATTTCAGCTGGTGAAATCAGTCAGGCCCATCTCAGTAGAAAAAAAAAAACTATCTACAAAGAGCTCACCACCTACTACCTCTGGAGGCTGGTGCGAAATGTGCTCCCCACACCCTGCCCTGCTGCAGCCACAATGGGCTCAAACTCACTTCCCCCAGTTCAGAAAATGGTCAGGGCTTTCCACAGAAACTAGTTACTGGTGGACACACAAATGACCTGCATAACTGTGCAACAGGCAACTTTTCACCTACTCCTCAAAACAAGCCACAAAGCAAAAGTTACCCCCCGTCTGTGCATTAAATTGTAATAGGCTTAATTACCCTAAACCTCCCTCCTTCCTTCTAATTGCAATATTTAAGCATGATAGAAACAGAGGATAGTGGAGAGGAGCCTCCTTGTGCGGCGGCTTCTTTGAACGCCCGTAAATAAAGGCAATGAGGACTAATAAAGCAACACAGGATGCGATGCTTCTCAGCTGCACCTGACAGACCAACCCAAGATATTCTGGACTTTAGCAATTCAGAGCCAGCCTAAGTAGAAGTCATTAGAACTGCAGAACAGCCATTCATACGCCTGGAGTCACGGTTATTAAAACATTCCCAGATGCTTCTCTTTTTAACAATTGATGGCCATAATGCCCTCTTAAGTGATTTCTCTCTCCCCACTCCCCCCAGAGTCCCCTTCAAGTTAACTGCAGAGTTCAGTAATGAACCCAGTGCTTCCTCCCACCTAGGGAGATGCCCAGAAGACAAACGCCACTGCTTAGAAATGCTAGTGGTGAACTGTCTTAAGCACATACCTGGGATTCTCCCACCAGGACAGGAACTGCAAATTCTGTGGCTACCCCACAAAGCAGCCCACGGCCTCCCTTTCCACTAGCACTGGCCACCAATGACCAAGGACGAAAGGATCGCAGGGAGGTCCGAGGGATGAAACTTAAGGCTTGACCGGAGCATAGCCCTGTTGCCATGTCATAATGCGATGGCAGAAGACTATGACATACTGCCCTGTCAGGCAAGGCTCAGGAGGAACCCTGGGAGGGGTGTGTGCAAGTCCAGGCCATGCCCACATGAGGCACCCCATGGCACTGGGTGAGAGGGGGGAGGAGCTACCATCTACTTCCGTCTGTGGTGGCAGCAGCCCCCATGTTTGCAGAGGAGGAAGGAATGGCATCAGCATTCAGACAATGGCAGTTGGGTGCGAAGAGCCATTTCAGAGACCCCCAAGTCATGTCCTGGTGCTGTCAGCATCTCTGCTGGCAAGGAGGCTCCACTGCCAAACCAAGTCCTTTGCAGCACTACAGAAGCTGGCTTCCCTACTTTCCACCACTTCAGCGCATGCCCACACAGGGAGCTGCAACACAGATGAGAGGGAAAGCTTTGCAATCTTCCCCAGATCAAGAGAGTGATTAAGAGACGTGCTTGTGAAGGGCCCAAGTCTGAAAGGACAACAATCCAAGCACACCTTCTAAGGCACCCCAGCACCCTGGAGAGGCAGCTTCCAACTCACACAAAATATTGGTGAGAAGCAGGAAGAAGCAGGTGCTACACTGACACAAGAAAAAAAGAGGGGCTTTTCCTAGTTCCCATCTAAACTCCACACCCCATATGCTGCTGCTGCTGCTGGCTGACTTTCCTCAAATCCTCACAAGCCACCAACATCCCATAATTGGCTTCTATGGGGCGGAAGAAGGAAGGAAAAGAGAAATTATTTTGGCAAAGCTGTGCAACTAGAGAAAATTAAAAGAAAACTACCTCAAACTTGGGCGATGATCTCTTTGATAAGAAATGCAATTCAAATACCATACATATTTCTCAGAGACACAGTGAAACTTTTAACATTAAAGAGGTGTTGGCAAGTAATCTCACAAATCATTTGGGAGCAACTTGGGGGACTGCTTGGGTTTCTTTTTATGTAAAAGGAAAGGGAACAGTGCAAAGGTAAAAAGCCCAATCCTAAAGATGTAGGATAAAAATAACTTAAAAATGAGTAATATGGGAAGTGATTCTGAGCCAGAAAAGAAGGTGGGTTTTGTGAATTATTTTTTTACGAGAGAGAGAGAGAAGCAGCAAAATGCCAAGCATTTGAACCATCCCAAGTCTGCCACCCACCCACCAATGCAGCTCTCCCTAAATGGTTGTTCTGCCTGCTTTCTGCTAGATAAAGCAGGAAGCATAAAAACAAACCACTTTCACAGGCTGTTTCTCGCTTTTGCTCATCATACCATAGAAGCCCTGTTCATTGTGGGGAAGGAAACAAGCCTACCCTGTCCCCATCAGTCCCTGTCTCCCCTTCAGGATTTGAAAAAAATCTAAGGAACTGGGCAAATTTCCCACCCACCCGGCCTCCTCTGGGCCTACTTAGCTGCCCTCTGAAATACACATCTCTAGATCCTTTTCCAAGTTGCAACCAAACAGGAGAAAGCACACACTCACACATGGAGTTGAGGCAACTGATCCTATTTCCCCTGTGCAGCCAACCTCCCTCCCCCCCCCCCCCGCAACCCCGCAAAGCTGTCCAGGCTCTGAATAAACTGTACCACAGACTTTTAAGGAGTTGGGAGAGACCATTGTGACCCCCTGTGAGGATACTCACCTGCTCCGGGGCCCTTCTTTGAATTCAAGCCCTGAGAGTCTGCATTGTCCTCCGGTTGTCCGTCTACCTCCACCTCTTCTTTCTCCAGATTTTCCTGGGTGTCTTCGCCAAGGGTAGTTCTTGTGGCCTCCTCTCCTTCTAAATCCCCCTGAAGGGCAGGGAGGGCACCAGGTAGTGGGAGAGGAGAAGCAGATGGTGGCGGAGGAAGAGGGCTCGTCGCTCTAACAGTAGCAGCGGCAGAAACGGGAGGAGGGCTGGGAGGAGGAGATGGAGGCAGAGACGGAACAGCAGGAAGAGCGACGGAAGCTGGAAGTGGCACACTTTCTGCCTCGTCCAGAGGTGCCTCTGGGCTCTCCAGATCCACAGCCAAGGGTCCAGCTGCCTCTGGTTGATCTGGTTCCAAGATGCCATCAGTCACTGTGACCCTTTCACTAACTCCGTTCAGTTCAGTAATTAGATTAGTACTAGCAGTCACTTGGAGGTCGTTGGGGACTATTCTAGGGGGCTCCCTGCCTATATCCGCGCTGGCGTCATCTGTTGGGGGGCAGACGGGCACTTCCATGCAGGGCGCAGCACTGTGAAGAGGTGCGGCTTCCTGTTTTGAGGAAGCAAGTTCACATCCATCCTCTGAGTCTGGTGCAAACGTTGATTTAGGAGGCAGAGGAGTGGTGGCGGCAGCAATGACCACCGCAGGGGAGGGCAAAGCCGTGAGAGGAAGCTCTGTTGAGGTCTCGGAGGAGGAGGTGGTCGGGGTCTCTGCTGTCAGGCCCATTTGATCTTTCCTCTCTCCACTAGGCTCTGGTCTGAGGGCAGGGGAAGGAGATTTTAATACTGGATCTGCTTTAGGCTTCTCTTCTGGGGGGAAAAAATGGAAGAGTTAGAAAGGGCCATTTAACTCGTCAGATCAGAATGAATTTGCATCAATTATCTACGCACTCCCACTTTCCAAGAGGAACTGCAGAAACCCCCCCACACCTCCCTGCCCAGAGTCCTCAATTCTCAGCCCAGAGGTTACTGAAGGAAGAAATGGGGATTAAGCAAGCAATGTGCTGCTCTTTTCTGTCAAGTTTGCTTGCCACCCATTCGGCAATACAAAAGGAGTCTGAGCCCCCAAACCCTAGCTGTTCTCTTTGGTGGTTCCTAATAGGGCAGTTTGGCTTCAAGGGCCACTTGCCTTGGCACTAAGAACCACCTCCTCACAGAGGAGGGGACTTTTTGGAGCCACAAAGGGCTCCCATGCGCAAGCAGTGTAGCTGTGAAAAAAGTGAACTACGGGCCCTTTTGTGGATTTCTTTGCCAAGGTTGCTTCGAAGACGCTGATTAACAACATGGATGTGCATTTACAGGATAAATCAAAAGACAATGTCTCAAGTCCTGAGAACTATGTTGGAGCTCCCTCCGCCCCACAGCATTCGTTTTTTACCCTAAAGAGTCTTGTTATGTGCATGAGGGGTGGAGATGCAAGATGTACAATGGGAATCTTGGGATGCAAGCCCAATTCAGCAGCCAATGCAACGAGTGGAGCGCATGCATCGCCCCCAACCCCCACAAGCTAGGCTGAGCCTGGTGTCTCCTGTCACTACTGTCAAGGGACCAACTGAACTTCCCCCTTTGGACTCTTGGTGCCTTTCTAAACTCACAGTCAAGAGGGCCAGTCGCTATTTACAAAAAAGGTTTTGCCACTAATATCTGAAACCCAACTGTCTTGCACAAGTCAGTAAATAAGGGACTGAACACTGGAAGGCCACCTCTGCTATAGGGTCACCAAAGACAATGGCAGCAACTGAGGGGATTGGTTCAAGGGCACTGAAGCACCACTAGGAAAGAAGAGGACTAGTTTTGTGGGAGTCGCAAGGCTGAGAAATCTTCTGGCTGCCATTTTCTCAAAGCTTTTGCAGCCAGCCTCTGACTTTCAGATCAGCTATCATGAACTGACTGAATGCAACATCTTCATTTTTTTATTTTTTGCCTTTGGCCAGACATAAAGCAGAATGTGGCTCACTCCCAGTAACTACAGTCTCTCACATGAGGTCTGGACGTCAAGATTTTCCAGAGGGGCTCTTCTTTTTGTCCTGTGAACACCCAAAGGACATTTGGTGGGCTCCTAATTGGGGAGCCCCTTCAGCGTCTGCTCCCAATGTCTAGAGCTCCCATATCAAGGGGAGTCTATATAATCCCTTCTGCCAGCAAGAAAATACAGGTAGATCGCACCTTAGGCTGATTTCACTTTCTTGATCATACCTTACATGGATCACTGAATTTTTTTAAAAATAAAAAGGGCCAGAAGAGCAAGAAAAAACCCCTGGAAGCCTTGTCCAAGATCTCATGAGCACCCTTGCGAGACCTTTATACAGCTTAGTGAGAATGATGAGGTGTCTTACATGGAGGGGCAGGGGCAAGGCCTGCTCAGCACTGCCTTTGGACAGGTAGGGATGGTCTTGCAGGACCATTCCAGAGGCTGTTCTAGTTTTACATGCTTTTGCCTTTGCACGTGACAGCCAGGATCATAACCCCGACGTAATGTGAGATGCACCTGTGCATTTTTATCCTGACAGGTGTTTGACCCCAGTACCTATAAATTGTTTAAATTTATTCTAGTGCCAGTGGTATTTAATTAATTCTATAGAAGTGATTTTACCTGCCTTGTTTATTGCCATTATTATTATTATTATCCAATTTTAACTGCCTGGGGCACCAGATGGGTTATGTATTTAAGAAATAAAGACTAAAAATTGCCCAGTCACCGTTACCTGCTCCACCCCCTGCCCAGAGTCTTACCCCAAGGTGACCCTGCATATGCCAGAAGGAGTTACAACCCAAAGCCCCATTGTACAGCTGGGGGGACTCAAGAAATGTGCAAGGTGTTCAAAGACCAGGTTTAATTTCTAATCTTGACATCTACAAGCACAGACTGTTTCATGGATACATCAAGTCTCAACAAGGCTCTTAGATATATTCTAAGTTATATTGCAAAAACAGAAGTAAAGACGTGTATTTTAAGAGCATTTACTGTTGCAATGTTTTTATAACAACCAGAAAGAGAACAAGCGACAGCCCACCCATGCATAATTATAAACAGCGAAACGAATATTAAATTAACACCATCATTATTAAATTAAGAGCAACAACCATGAATGCCTGTCAGCCCAGGCAGTCCTACAAACATCCCCCCCCCCAAACCAGACTCCTTCCTACTTGGCCAAGAGAGTCATAGCAGCTGCAGTGACTCAGAACCCTGCCAACAATGCCCCTAAAATGTATCATTCCCCCAATGTCTTCTCCATCAGCCACCCCACAGAATACCAACAACCTCAGCTACACCTGCCTCCCTCCCCAATGGAGAACCCTAAGGAGTGCAGCTGGGTCCCTCTAAGCACTCAGCAGAGCAGCAACTGGGCAGCCCCTCCAAGCTGGCAGTTGCTGCCCTCCTTCCAGGTTCAGAGTGGCTGTGCTGGGTCACAACAGAACTGGCCAGAACTGTGACCACAACCGCTCGCTGCTGCAGCCACCTATGTCAACCACCCCTGCGGAGGTGTTGGCAGCAAAGAAGCACTTGGTTCTATTGAGCATTCAGTGGGGAGCAAGTGTGAAAGGAGCTGCCCAACGGGCCAGCAGTCAAGCTGCGGGGGGTAACTGATGGCTCTAGGGTGCCAAAGAAGGGGCTTCCTTGTCACAAAGAATTTACAGCTCATTTAAGCACTAGCTTGAGACTGCCTTTGCCAACCTGGTGCCTTCCAGATGTTGTGCTCCTATCGGTGATTGACACCGATGACACATTTCCCCCCTAGTCTGCCTTGGCCAAAATTCAGAAAACTTGTTAACTTCATGTGTTTTTGCCCAACAGGCTGCTTGTGAAAGCGCTACAGAAACCAGCAAGGTGGGTCAATGTTATCATCACCACCAACTTGCAGATGGGAAGCTGAAACGCGGTGCTTTCCACAAGGTCAGAAATGATTCAGTGTTCAGGCTCACAGATTCACCAGCTCTCGAGGCTCCTCACAGAGAGAGGGAGAGCACTTCTCAAAACTGGGACAAAGAGATCCGTCCACCCACCTTGCTTCAGGTCGCTTGTCACAGCGATGGGGGTGCTGGCAGCGAGGTGAGAGCTCTCCATGGCCCCGAACGCCACAGGGCTGTGCTCGGGGACCTGGCTGGGCAGCTGCTGGGATTTGAAGTACAAAAAAGGGTGATAATGAGCATGCGAACATAAAAACTAGCAACATGGAACACAAGCGAGCAAGAGGGGCAGAAAACCCAGTTGGGTTGGAAAGGAAAAAAAATCAAGAAAAGGAAGAAATAAGATATACGGTCATAAAAAAAAAAAAAGCGCATGGGGAGGGAGGGAGAAAAGCAGCAGGAGGAGAAAGACAAATTACTATTCACAGCAGCGAGAAGGGAGAAGGCACAACCAGTTATCTGGACACCCCCCATGCCATGGAATTGGGGGGGAAAGCATGCCTCTCCCCTACCCAACTATTTAAAGGTTGCCACAATTCAACTGAAAGCCTTTCAAAGCACTTTGTTAAAAAAAAATCAAGTGTTGAATAACAATAAACCGAGAGGAGCTACAATTGGGGCATGTTCCACAACCCAAGTCCTGGAGACCCTCCCGCCTGAAGCAGCCAAGGTCCTTCTCCAACTTTCCTTGCCCTCAGAAGCTGGCTCATCTCTGGCAAGAAGTTTTCCAAGGACGACTGGCTTTGCCTTGCAGCTGATGAGAAGGAGAGGGTGAGGGCAAGAAGCGCCACCGGGATACAGACGCTGCGCAAGGAGGCTACGGCAGAGAATGAGTGCCAGCCTCCTACCACCATGTGTCCGTCCCCACGCAGTTACCTGGGGTGGGGTGGGCGTGGACGAGGGCCTGACCGTGGGAGGTGTGGGGTTGCGGCTTCCTCCACCAGACATGATCTCTTCCGTTATGTCTTTGCCCCCTTGGTTGGGATCTCGGATGCGGATCTGGAAAGGATGGAACGAAGCACCCGCTCAAATCACCTCCCCCAAAAAGTGGCTTGGCTGGGGGTCCAGCCTCATGCTGTGAGGGGAGCATGACACTCGCAACTCACAGTTCAGAGGGCCGCACCAAGGGCCACAGCAGCACATGGTGGAAGGAAACCCCACCCCAAGAGGTGCCCCTTTTATAATGTTACACCCCCACCCCCAAAGGTACCCCCATTATAACGCCCACTAAGGTGTTGCCAAGAGGTATTTTTGTTCTGAAAAGCTTTCTAAGTGGCTGAGGTCTCCACAATGGGTGTTTCTTTTTAGGGTTTTCCCATTCGTTTGCTGCTATTTTAAACTGTTTTGATTATATTGCATATATCACCTTAAAACACATAGGAGGAAGGTGAGTAAATAACAACAAAGGCTTTAAACAGAACACCTGTGAGAGAGACTCCTCCCATGGTGAGGGGAGTGTCAACCTCCCCAGTTTCCAGCGTCTCCCTTCAACCCACAGGGCTCAGCGTTCAGCTGCAGAGCTCTCTTACCGTTTTCTTCTCCCGCTTGGCTGGTGGGATTGGCTGCTGCTGCTGCTGCGTAGGCACTATGATGGGTGTGGACTGATACACCGGGGGAGTTGGGTAGAAAGGTGCCCCTGCGGTGGGTAAAGGGGGACAAGGAAAATCTTAGGCGCACTCCTTTGGCTGCCTGCCTGTGGCAAAGCGCTCAAAGCCACGTCCCTTCACCCAGGACGAGCTACCTCAAAGTGTGACTCCTAGTTTTCCTCTTTCAAGGTCAGGGAAATGAGGGGCCACTTGCTCCCTCTGCTTGGGAATGCGCGCCCCCCCCCCCAGGCTTGCATATGTGTGTGTATATCACAGCAGCTTACTACAATGAAAAGCCATACAGTAAAACCATAAAAAAAATAAAAACAAGCATTATTAGACCACTGTGGAAGGATGTACTATTAACTGCCTGCACAGGCTTAGTGGAACAGAAGAGTTTTCAGTAGGCATTTAAAAGTTGGCACAGAAGGCGCCCGCTGAATCTCCAGTGGCAAAGAGTTCCATAGGAATGGGCCAATGACATGACAGGCTCAGTTTCTTTCCTGGAGGAACAAAGCCACCTCCTCAACCTCTGCATGCATGCACACACACGCGCGCGCGCCCACACACACACAAAATTGCCGCCAGAGCCAATAAAGCAAAGTGCACCCTCTACTCCTAAGAAAGTAAAGACCTCAGAGTCTCCTATTTGCCAAAGGTTCTAAGCAAAGTGGTGAACATGCCCCAATTTCACAAGAAAGCTGGGCAGACTCCAGCTTCCAGAGATTTTCAGCCCCCAATCCACTCCCATACCTCTTTTTTTAAAACACCATTTTACGCCTTCTGATGGCAAGGCTGGCTCTGACCTCAGGTGCCAAAGGAATATCTCCAAGCAAGCTCTCCAGCAGTTAAGTGCTTTGGTTGTCCTTGCCTAACTCTCTTCCTGCCCCCTCTGCCCCAGGATGACCAGAGCGCACCAATAAGGCAATGCAGCCAAAGTGACAGAATTCATTCATCAAAATTAAAGAGGAAAATCTACTCAAGTCACAATTTAGACCTGCAACTTACATGTGATTTATTTGCACAACTGCAGCTTTGTGCAGATGGCAGGAAAATAAACGAACTGGAGGGGGCAGGCAGCCATAAGGGCTCATACAAGATCTCATGCAACCTTCCCAGATCTTGATAAGCAAGGTGAAGGCTCTGGGAAGGCTGCGCAACACCTCTGGAAGACTGTGTGAGACTCCAGCAAGATCTCACAGAAGCTCCCCCGCCTCTTCCAGAGGCCTCGCATGACCTTCCCAGAGTCCAGTAAGACAGGGACAGTTAAACGGGGGTGATTCTGGGGTTTTTCCTGGCTTTGCATGATTTTGCATTTGCATGTGAACCCCTGGAATGTAACCTGCAGGCCTACTGTATATTCATTTTAACACAGAGAAGCCAAAATGGGAATGCTACAGTGCTGAAGGTGTGGAATACGAACACAGGAAGCCTGGTTTGCATAAAGGTCAGTCTACAGGGTGAAAGGACCATATCAAATGGCCCTTGCTCTGCTACCCATCCCCCTTCAAAGGAAACCTCTTCTTACCATAGGCGTTGGGGAACTCTCCGGGTCCCGGTCCTGGATAAAATGGTCCAGGCCCTGGCGGCTGAACGGGATATTGTTGTGGGGGGCCCACATACGGAGGGCCGCTATGACGATACTGAAACAGAAATGGCACAAGAGGCTCAGAAAATGGCGCACGGCGCTTTATGAGCAGGAAAAGCTATCCTGCTAACTTATTAATGATGCCATTAATGCAGTTCCCCACTCGGCCCTGCAAATGCCAACTCTTGGCCTCATGGCAAGTGCTGGGCAGTTTGTCGCCCACTTCCTGACCTGCTGGTCCCTTGGCAGCAGGGACTAAGTCCACAATCAATACAATTCCAGACTACTTACTGGCCTCTCTTCCCACACCAGGCAGAGCAAAGAGGGAAAAGATGCAGCAGTGGAGGGCAATACAAAGGGCGCAGCCACCTACCTCACAGGGTTGTTGTGAAGACTTAAAAAGGGGGAGACTGAACATCATGGGTTGTATCCAACAGTAGGCCTGCTCAGAGGAGATCCATTGGAATCAACAGACTTGGTTAACCTAGGTGTGTTCATTTTGATGGGTCTACTCTGAGTAAAACTTAGCTGGATACAGTCCCATGCGATGCTGCTCTGAACACCTTTGAGGAATGCTGGGAGCTAAAAAAGCAATAAATAAACAAATATATTGAAGATTCCAAAATTCCAGGGGAAGGGTCTCAGCAAAGTGGCAGAGCCCCTGCTTGGCATGCAGAAGGCCCCCAGGTTTGATCCCTGGCAGCATCTTCACATAGGGCTGGGAAAAGACCCCTTCTCCTGAAACCTTAGGGGCCATTGCTGCCAGTCAGTGTAGACAATACTGAGCTAGGTGGGCCAATGGCCTGGGTAAGGCAGGTGCCTGCATACCAAGTGCCAGAGATTCCTCCCAGACCTGCCCCGATTCCCCTTTTCCACCCAAGGACTGAAAACTCAGGGGAAGGAGGGAAACGGAAGCACACCTGTGCTGTGGATTTAACTTGCACCCAGCTGAGTCACAGGAGGGCTGACATTGAACACAACCTGCAGGCAGCTGCAGATACATCGTCACCACCAGCCGAATTAAAGAACAGGAGCACTTACATGCCTCCCTCCCTGACTTGCCCTACCTGCCATTAATGGCAAAACTTTACAGTCAACTCGCAACTTGCGCCGCGGTTCCTTTCTGGGGATGTCACATAAAACCAAAATTGCTTATAGTCAAAACAACCCTGGAAACACCCTGGCATGAGCATCGCTACCTTGCTGAAATGCCAGTGCATTGTGTGGGTCTTGCCCTCCCCATGCAAGGCAGAGAGCTTTTAAGCTCTCTCACTTGCTTACCAGGGACTGGGAAGCTCTCACACAGGCTTAATGAGTTCTTCACCTTGCGCAGGTTTAATTTGTGCCCTGTTAACTGGCTGGGTGCCAAGCCTGTGAAGCTGTGATTGTGCAGGTTAACATGCAAGTCAACTGTATCATTTTAAGGGTGCTGTGACCTTACCTGTGGTATACAGTACTGGGGGCCCTGAGGCATTGGATACGGCATAGGAAGGTGGTTCACCATCATGATGTGCTGATTGGTCTGATAGACAGCGGTTGGCGTCTGTGCACCAGGACGGATGGAAGGGCTGCTATTCTGGATCGTTGCTCTGGGAGGCTGGATTTGAGGCCTCTGGAAAAACTGGAGGAGGGAAGCAAGGAGCCCCATATTTTAGCCGGCCATCTCCTGGAAGAGCAGTGCGCCGCACTCATGGTGCTTTCGCCATGCACCTGATCAACAACTAGCTGGCCCTCTCTGGCCAAGGGTCTTCTGCCTCGGAAGCCCACTTGCCCCACGTGCAACGCAGGTGGGCCGAGAAAAGTGATGAGTCTGACCAGGATAGTCTTTGCATCTAACGAGTCCTGCCCTGGAAGTGAGGGGGCAGGGCAGGAATGGTGATGGGTGTCATTTGGAGATGGACTGTATAAGGCCACTTCTCTAAAGGGGATGCCAAGAGGAACCTGACACCTGACCTGGCGTTCAGTCCTAGGCCAACCACACACTTACCTTCCTTGACCTGCCTGAAACTGGGGAAGCTTCTTCATCACTCCGGGCATGATCTAAGTAGACGGCAACCCCTTCCTGGATCTAAATTTAACTTCTCTGACCATACAAATGTCAACCAGAGGACTAGGGACGTGTGACGACGACATCTCCCAACGCTCAACATTCAATGTGCGAAATGATGCGTCAGGCACTAAGACACCTGGCCGCTAATGGCGCATGTGATCGAGAGGCAGTGAGGCCATGCAGAACCAGTAGTGAAAGTTACCTGGATGGGTCTGAATCCTCCCTTCAACAACGAAGCAAGAAAGCAGCAGGAAATAGAAAGAAAGCCAATGGAACAGCTGACAGGTCAACAACAGGAGGGGTGGGTGGGGTTCCAGCATGCAACCTAAGGCCCTCCTTCTGCCTAGCCCCTCCAGTAGGCATCGAGGACTCCTTCATGGCCCGAGTCACCATCATGCAACAGTCTAGGGCTTTCTAAAATTAGTATTTGTTTCACTGACATTAGCTTTCCTCAAAACACAACAAGGGACTAAAGCTTCAGTGGAAAGAAAATGGTTGGGAAAAGTTGCCCTATCGACAACTACCCTTTCCTGGGGGTCCCTTCTCCTCTCCAACAGAAACAGCCCAATGATCATCAGAACCCTGCTAAAATCCTCTTGATGGTCTCAAAAAAAGATGAGAGAAACCAGCCCCAAGTTTAGTGGTCAAGCAGGAAGGGAAGGGTAGGGAAGGCTCCCTGCCTCACAGCCACAGGTTGTCTGCAGAGGACAGAATGAGCCACCTGTCTGAAGAGATCCACCTCCAGGGTGGATAGGGAGGAGGAGAGATGCAGAAGACAACCCCTGGGATGCGGCTACAGGCAGGGACGGACAGCTATGCTGGCTATCAAGAGCAGCCTTGCTGGCTGGCAACTCCAGGTTTAGATGGCCATGAGGCCTCCTCTTTCAATCTTCTGCACAGAAACCAGGACACACAGCAGGCCACTGACAAATTTTGTCCTGCTCTAAGCAGTGCAAGGGGGTTGAGCTCAGGGTCAAGTCAAACCACAGCCACCAGGGATGTACCGGCTGGCCTCGGACAAGCCTGCCTCAGTTCTCTCTCCTTGGAAAGCAGCCTTGCTTACAGAGAAATCTCAAGGCTGCACAATACATCAGCTGGAAAGCTCTCCAGGCATGTAAAACTGGCACAGATGGGATCGTAAGGAATTCGGAGATTGTCTGGGCCACCCCTCAAAAGAACCACTTTCGACCTGCTGAGACAGCCTGTGGGGCGGAGAGAAGGAAAAGTGATGCTTTGGAGCTTTGCATTTTGTTTCCTGTTTAGAGAGCAGACCAGGTCCAGCAGCCGCTCAGGGACTCAACTAGCCAAAGTCTCTTTGATGATCAAGCAAACACAACGAAGTACCTGACCAGCTTCAAGAGCTGGAAAGAAATCCCAAAATGCTGCTCTGAAAACAGCACCAGAAAAGGGTCTGGAAGGGGAACATGCAAGACTCCTGCAGCTGCTACTCCCCTCCCAGATCCCAACTCCTGCAACTTGCAATACTAACAGACTAGTGAAGAAATTCAGGGTTCCAGACAAGATGATGGAGGCCATGGCTGCAGCAGAGAGTCAGAGATGAATTGGTGTTCTTTTCTCTGTTTTATAATCGTTCTGCCAAACAGTTCAAAATACCTGCCCCTGTTCCAAATCCCACTGGAGGAGCACTTTGTGCTAAATCAGGACACAAAGAGTCAAGGCCAACCCTATGCAGCAGGCCCACTGGCTTGTCCCTGGCCCTCACGGCTGGTGCTGTTAAGATGCAGGCTTTGTGATGGTGGTCATCAGTGGGATGCCCAGACACACCAAACTTCCCAAGCCCAACAGTTTCAGCTGCCTGACAGAGCAGCCTCTGAATGAGAGGATGAGCAAAACTGCTTCCATTAGGGAAGAGATAGAGGGCCTCAGACCCAGGGCCTGAACACAGCTCTCCAGGCTTCTCGATCTGGTGGCCCTCAGGACTCTAGGCAGCACCAATCACTAGCCCTTGCTTTGAACCCCAAATGTTTTAGCCTTTCTGGAATGTGTCCTTGACCACTAGTCACACTTCTTGTTTGCCTGAATGGAGGGCAGAGTGAGTGTGTGAACAAATAGCTCATTTTCTTCCAGGATCAGAGGAGGGGTGGATCTGGCTCAAGGCACCTAGCTGCAGTTTGAGCACAACATCTTGGCTGGGTGGTGGGAAGGTTACTCCCCTGCTACTGCTTTACTCTCTAACATGGTATCTTGGGACCCTCAGATACTATCTAAGGAAGGGGGGTGGGAGAGAGAAAGAGAGGAAAAAAGAAAGTAAGTGGAAATGGGAGCTTGAAGAGCTCAGAAGAAACCCTGCCCTTTGGAAGGTGACAGAGCCAATCGGGGAGGGCAGGGATTGTTCCACCTGTGTACCACACCAGAAGTGTGTAGAAGGGACCGAGCCTGCTGGAGAAACAAGACTGGCACAAGAATCCTTGCTCAGCAGTCCCGAAACTAAGAGGCCTGACAGAATTCACAGCATCTGCCCAGCGGGAACTAAAATAGAAATTTTCTTAAATAGAAAATGTGATTCCCTAATGAGGCAGGAGTCAAAGGCTGCCAAGGAGAAACCCCTCCCACTCTAAGGCAAACCTCAGTTCCTGGTAAGCAGAGTGTTTTCACACCCTCCCTCCTTTCCTTGACAAGGTTTGCTGCTCCTCCCCACAGGGGAGTTCACAGTTGCTTCCAACAGCTTTGTGTTGCACATCTTTGTGCAAACACTTTGCGCTAATTGAATGAGCGCAGAAGCAAGAAGGGCCCCAGGAATAGCGCTCCTCCTGGAGGAAGACGTGCCCACAGCCCCCTCGGTCTTCAAATAGCAGTTGGCAAGTTCAATGAGCCTCACCAAGTGTCACAGCAGCTGGGCCGGAGGAGCTGCCAGTTAATGGCGCGAGCACATGAGTCACACTGACCTGAACATCTTATGACACAATAACTGCAGGAAATGATGCCTCTGAGAGTGCTCTGCATTAGACTATCAGAGTTCCTGTCATTTTCAGTGGCAGCAGGAGAGAGGGAAGGAACCTCAAGTTGCACCTGATAACCAAGAAGCTCTCCACAACTCTCCATCAATCCAGTTGCCTCCTCATCACCCATTTGGTAACATGTGAAGTTAAGCTGAACTCTGGTTCCAAGCTAACCCTTGATTATTTTGAGTTGGGTTTCTAATCAATGGGACACCATAAAGGTTTACGGCAAGTTACAACACTTTTCAAAGCCGTCTCTAAAGCTAAGCTAACCTAACTGTAACCGCGTCCAGCACTGAAGATGGTAAAAGGATATTTGAAAATCTACAGCACCAGCCAGGAAGCCCAGTACTCCCCTGCCCCCCACTGATATGGACCCTTTTAACAGCCACAGAAAATATGGGATCTGGCATCTCCAGCATGTAGAACTGAAGAAACCACAACATTTTAACCAGAAACAGCACCTCTAAAAGCCACACCCCTCCACACAGCAAGTAGCAGCCACAAGAGTAACTCAGGCTGTCTGTTTGGGGGGGGGCGGGGAGAGAGAAGATGAGCACATCATAATTAACTTATTCCCTGATGATTTAAGGCTACATGGGGAGGAACACCCCTCCTATGATGTGACTCGTGTGATGGGCTACACAGACCTACACTTTCACCACTCCACTATGCTTCGGCTCAGATGAAACAACAGTGCAACCCCCTTCTCATGAGTTGTTTCTGACCAAGGATGGGTTGTAGAAATGTGGCGGACTCATAGGTCCATCCATAGCAGTCAACCTCAGATGCTGAACACCTCCCCTAGATGCTGCCTTGAAGGGGGCATGGAAGGTGGGCTGGGCCAGCCCCACAAGACCAGAGAAAAACCCCTGAACCCAGAATCCGATTTCACTATTCAAGATTTTTCTCGTGTTTCCAACTTAGCATGGCTCTATTTGGTAAAGAAAATCAAGCAGTCTCCTGACTGCGGTAGACGTTCATAGTGTTTTTATTTCAGGTGGAATGTTGCCATCCTCAGAATGGAAAGTACTTGGGAGTATTGTAATGTGGCAATTGCTCCGGGCAAGTCTTTTGGATTCTGACCCCATTTCCCCTGGTGCCCAAGAGAACTAGATAACCAAACTAAGCACACACACACACGCACGCACACCCCTGACCAAGCAAACATCAAAGATCCCAGACCAACAGCCATCAGAAAGCTTTGTGGCAGCAGCAAAAGCCAGGGAGCACAGTTAGTGGGGTTGTTAATTGATGCAACAGAATTAGTAACCGTTAGAAGCTGAAGCTTGACTGTGCCATGGGGTTAGGGGGCTCTTTAGAAAGGGGGGGGGTTCTAAGAAAGCAAGGTGCAGGACATGGCCTGCGGAATTAGTGGAGGGCCAGCCAAGTAACACCCCCCCCCCGCACATTTTCCTCCCAACCAGTTGGCAGCAAAGGGGAGGCGTAGTGAAGAGGGGCAAGGAGGGTACTGTACCTGATGATGATGGGCAGGTCGAGGCCCCGCTGCAAACTGAGGAGAAGCAGGAGAAACAAAAACACAAAAAGGAAAGGCACAGAGAGTCAGAAACACCACAACAAAAGGCAAAAACTGTCACACTGTATGCAAAAGAAACCCACAAGGGGAAATCAAACAAAAAACCCAACACACATACACACACACACACTCTCAGGGTCAAAGCTGTGCTGCAGGACAGTGACAGACAGGTACCAAAAACCCAGAAGGTAAAACTCTGCTGCCAGGTGAATGCACTGCTCAAAATGTGGGTGGTGGAGGTGCCTGCCAAAGTTGTTAGATAGCCAAAAGACACCCTAACACTAACATAGTTGAAGGAGGGCAGGGGGAGAAGGGTTTGCTGAAAAACCAAACACTAAGTTATTATTTTAAAAAAGCAAGGCAGGCCAGCCCTTGCTGATGCGCATCAAAGCTGAGTGCAGGATGGAGAGCCCTGTTTGTGGCACAGCCACAACTTGAAAGACAAGTCAGCCTCACCTAGGGATGCTGATATCTTGGCATATATGAAGCTTTCTAAGTGCAGCTGTAGAAACCTCTAAAAACTTCACTGGGCTCTCCTTCCTTTTTTAACGGAAAGCAAGCAAAATCCTGCGGCATATTCAGTGCAGCTGAGCGTGTGGGGACGGGTAGACCTGCAATGCTGTGGAATCAACTCAATATTTCTCCCCTATCCTCTCCCACATGAGAAAAGCCACACTCACTATTCCCCCCCCCCGAACATTAACAGAAAATCTGCTATGAACAATAAAGCAAAAAAGGAGACTGCAAATGAGTTCACAACAACAACCAACAAGCAGAGAGAGTGTCATCAGAAATCAAGGAAACTACCAGAGCCTTCAGATCAACTGCCACTACCTTGCGGAAACATCTGGAGAGTTCAAGCTCTTTCTCAGCAGAAACCAGCTTTCTTAAGTGCCAAAGTTTACTGTGATACACTTAAATAACCTACTTTCTACACCAAATATAATATTCAGAAACATAAACGGCAGACAGTCTCTCACTAGCATACAAACCTACAGAACAGGCTGCAGCGTCTATTTCAGGCAGAAAGAGATCACTTGTTTTCCATCAAAACGCCTAACAGATAAGTGTCATTTTTTTCTCAAAACCTCAATGTGCTCCTTGAAACTTCCTAAACACTTTAACACAGCTGAACGGACAGTTTCTGGCCCGTTTGCTCAACTCTGCCATTCTACTGATCCTCTAGCTGTTGAGAAACACACAAATTCAGAGCAAGAATTGGCTGCTAGTTCTTATATTAAATTTGGCACAGAAATATGGTTCAAAATTTGCTCTGCCTCTAGTGTGAAAAGTGGGGGCACAAGCAAAGTAGGATGGTAAATATCTGACCAGAGAAGCATAAAGCATTAAGCATGTCTACTTCTGGTTAAATAGGTTGAGGGATAGAAAGTCTATATTCCCAGAAAATCAGCAAATGCACACCAGTAACAGACCAAAAAAACTGGTGTTCATCTGTCCAAAAGCAAAAGTACCTGTCTTATCACTGTTCCACAGGAAGTATCACTTCTAAACAGCTCAGAAATCAGAGCCAGATAGTTGCAACTTAATAAAATTATGTGAAAACCAACGGCCCAGTAAATATGTTATATGAAAAATAAATAAAACTTCAACGTTAGTGGGAGGAAAAAAGAAAGACCCTAGTCTATTTTGCACTTGTCACCATTGGCTATTGGCTGCATAATTCCTGCGGACAGAATTCTTTCTCTCTGCCTCTCTCTCTGCCCCTCTCTCTATTAAATAACTGTAAGCAACAGAACAAACTGTAGTCACTGCTGGCTCAGATTAAAAATAGGTTTCCTTTTTCCCTTTGCCTGGAGTTACAATTTTTGCCTGCCAGATGCTGGTCTTGCTTCCAATTCCTTCTGTGCATATTTGGCAGGGGGCCCCCTCTCCCGCCATGGGTTAAAGCTGCGTTGTGGGCACACTGGCTGTGGCCATTTGAAAACAAAGCCTCCCACTATAGCTCTTCTCTTCCCCACTTCAGCATTTTCGCTACGATGGCCAAATTGCTTTAAAAAGAAACAAAAACCTGTTGCAATTTAGAAATTCACTGAAAAGTTTTTAAAGTCTTCCCAACTGGAATTAGCATGCAGATTGTGAGGCACTGGCCCTGCCGTAACAGAAAACTTGCCTGGGAATGACACCAAGCTACCTGAATGGCAAAGGTAGCTGTGTCCAGGCAGAGGCTATGCAATTGCCAATGGCCCTTGAATGCAGAAATAGATTGGAGTAAGCTGAAGGGCAGCTATGGGAAGAAGAACTAGGATCCCTTCATTTGCCAGCACAAAAACAACTCCAGGGCCCACCAGCTCCCTCAGCTGGGGCTCTGGTGCCGTAGTGGGTGGGGGGCTGTCTCTCTTTCTCTCTCTCTCGCTCTCCCTCGCTCACCCTCCCCCAAGCCTCCCTTCAGGGCCACAAAGGGGGGACGGGGAGAATAAACCAATGGAAACCAAGCCCAGAACGAAATGCAAGAGCTGCTCAGCCTAGCCCATTTTGCATTTGTTTTGGACTTGCGAGGGGAGGAGGAGAGGTGAGTGGGGGAAATGAAATGTTATGTGAGCAATTTTTAGTCATGGGGTGGTAATGATCACAAAACGTGACGATGGCAGAAGACTGCACGCAGGGTAATATTTTAGAGGGGGGATTGTTCATGACCACAGAAAAATGGCTGACGTTATAGGTAGCTTCTTCTGTCTTAAGGTTTCTGCCAAAATTGGGGAAAGTTCCTGTTTTGAGGAGTTCTTGCCAATTTCCCTCGAGTGACTAATCCAATCAAATGCAAATCCATCACAAGGGCTAGAAAAGTAAATCTCAGGTACCTGATCACTCAGACCACCTGAAAAATTTGTAATAGGGTTATTGGGTTGTGGCTGTTGTGGGTTTTTTTTAAGGAGGGGGCACCCTGCCTCAATTTCTTCCTGCCACCACCTTCGACAGCCTTGGCCCCTTCCAAACTGCCGCTGAATGCGGCAGCCCGCAAGACACAGCGGCTTAAAGCAGAGATCGGATCAGTGCTTTTCTGTAGATCAGTCAACAATGTGGTCAAAAAATGAAACCAAAAAAAGCAACAGAACTGAAAGGGGTGCCGCGGGGGCACGACTGCCTGCAAGAAGGGAGTACAGTTTGTTATATTGCTTACAATGCAGTATTTTATCCAGCCTCTTCCCGCCAAGGACCTGTAAACCGGACTCTGTTCCAAAACCTTCCTCCGCTTCCAGTTGTCTGGGCAATGTACTGGCACTGCTCTGCTGGGCTGTCAAGAAAACTGGTTTAGAGACACGGCTCTCGAGTCAGACTCTCCCCTCTCGTTTCAGCCATCAATGTTTCAGCTCTTGCTTTTTGCGCATCGTAACAGGGAGGAACATGCCCTACTACAGTAAGGGTGGCTGGGGATGGAAGGGTGTCCCTTCTGCTGCTCAATACCAGTTTGTTATAGAGCAGGATTGTGGCCAACTACTGGGGCTGAGTGAGGAGGGAATGAGCTGGAGGGTCCTTTTCTAGACAAAAAAACAAGAGTGTGCAGCTGGAACCAGCAGGGCTGTGAGCACAGGAGCCCAGAATTGCATTGGCCGCAGGAAACAAGTTTCTCCTTCCCCACTCGCTACAAGCCCTTTAAAGAAGGGGGCAGTAAAAGGTAAAGACACAAAGGGAGGGGTGTCCATGCATCTACCACACAACAGCCACCACCAGAAGACACAGCCTTGAAAGGCACAGGTTGTATCACTCAAACTTATGATGCAAGGTGGTATGGATCAACACAAGAGATTGAAGCCGGGCTCAGGGCCCCCTCTGGCAGCAGGGCACCAGTACCATAGGCAATGACAGAAGTGCCCAGGAGTAGGCATTTACAGGCTTCTGGAGAGCAGGCAGGCAACTCAAAAAAGGATCTGACTCTTCAAGACTGAGGGAGGCAACAGAAGTGAAAGGAATTAGAGTAGGAAAGAAGGAATTCAAAATTAAAGCCTTTGCCGACGATATTGTTTTGACTTTGGAAGATCCACAAGATAGTGTAAAAGAAGCATTACAAAAATTGAGGAATTTGGAGAGGTGGCAGGTTTTAAGGTAAACAAGAATAAAACTAAAATGCTGGTTAAAAATCTAACTAAGGAAGAACCGAAAGATCTAGAACAAAAAGTGGAACTCCTGGTGGTGAAAAAGTGAAATATTTGGGAGTGTGGATTACGGCAAAAACATAAACCTATATAAAGATAATTATGAAGTTACATGGAAAAAAATAAAGAAAGATCTGGAAATATGGGGGGGATGAAATTTTCCTTTTTAGGGAAGATAGCAGTGGTTAAAATGAACGTTTTGCCGAGGATGTTGTTTTTATTTCAAACTCTTCCAGTTATTAAAGGTCTAAAACAATGTAAAGAATGGCAGAGAACCCTGATGAAATTCATCTGGCAGGGGAAAAGACCAAGGATTAAAATGAAAATACTAATTGATAAAAAGGAAAGAGGAGGTTTTGCCCTCCCAGATTTGAGCCTATATTATGAAGCAGCGTGCCTACTTTGGTTAAAAGATTGGATAAAATTGGAGAACAGAGACCTACTGGATTTAGAAGGTTTCAATAACCGGTATGGGTGGCACGCATATCTCTGGTACGAGAAGGTGAAAGTCCACAGGGCTTTCTTAAACCATATTTTCAGGGGACCAATATATCAGGTCTGGGAAAGAAATAAGAACCTTCTCGAAAGAAAAACACCATGGTGGATTTCACCAGTAGAGGTCTTAACAATAAAAAAACCAACATGGAAGGGAAGACAGCCACCTACGAAGATTTGCTAAGAAAATCAGAACAAGGGCTTAAACTTAAACCGTATGAGGAAATAAAGGATCAATTCACCGGCTGGTTACAATATCATCAGGTGAATGATATGTTAAAACAAGATAAAAGAAAAATGGGCTTTGAGGACAAGAAATCAAAATTCAATATAGAAATAATAGAAGGCAAAAACAAAACATTGTCTAAATTATATGACATATTACTGGAATGGCATACAAAAGACGAGGAAGTCAAAGAGGCAATGATTAAATGGGCAATTGACTTCGGTTATAACATCGAGTTTGAAAAGTGGTTGAAATTGTGGAATAGAGACATTAAATTTACGGCCTGTACGAGTTTGAGAGAAAATGTTTGGAAAATGCTCTATAGATGGTATCTTACGCCGGCAAAATTGGCTAAAATCTATAGATCAGAAAATAAGACATGCTGGAAATGTGGTGAAGGGGAGGGAGACCTCTACCATATGTGGTGGCAATGCAGCAAGGTGAAGGTTTTTGGGAAGTAATCTATAATGAACTTAAAAAGTTTTTAAATACACTTTTCCCAAGAGACCTGAGGCCTTTTTGCTGGGAATAATGGGTAAGGAAATAAAAAATGAAGATAAAAAATATTTCTCTATGCCACCACAGCCGCAAGAATTATGCTGGCACAAAACTGGAAAATAGAAACTATTCCTAACATAAGTGACTGGCAGGTCAAAATGATCAACTATGCCGAGCTAGATAGATTAACAGGCAGAATACGAGACCAAGACGACCAGAAATTTCAAAAAAATTGGAGTAAGTTTTGGAAATATATTGGAACGGATATATAGGAGGAACTGGCGGTATTAGAAAAACTTTATCAGCTAATAACTATAAACTTTAATAAACTAATTACGCAACCCGGGACTTATTTGATACTTACCAAAAGGGTGAAGGGAAGTCAAAGGCTAAGGAGAGCCTAATGGTTATATTATTATTTTTTGTATGAACATATGGTTTTTTTTTGTATAGTATGAAAATAGGATGAATAATTTATGTTAAAATGTTTATTTTTGTATTTGTTAGTTCTTTTTTCTTTTCTTTATACAAATTCTGAATAAAAATTTACTTGCAGAAAAAAAAGGATCTGACTCTTCATCTCTGAGAGCCCCAGAGGGCTTCAACACTACGTCACTTGTGCCACCTGGAAGCAGAGGGGAAGTCCTTCGGGTGCCTTTTTCTCAGGGAAGCTACTCGCAAAAAGGTTAGGAAGTGCAACGCAATGGCTTTGCTGGACGGCTGGATAGATGCAGCACAACACGCAGGTGAAATAAGGGCTCCCTTACCGGCGAGCGCGTCTGAGGCTGGGTGCTCATCGTCTGAGGGGCCTGCGGGTACACCAGCGTAGTCGGTGCGGCGTTCTGTCCAGAGGGGTAAGGGGCCTGCCATTGGAGAGAGAAGAAAGATGGTTAAAGACATGACAAGCAACGGCAACCGGGATGGAAACTGCCTTCCCACTGCTGCCTCAACTCTCAACTAGACTCACACTTTGTACCTTCAGACATGCCATTGATGCAAAAGCCCGGATACAAGGAACTAACCTTAACTTCAGGTTTTCAACAGGGGGTGTCTACTATCTCACTTAAAAGCAATGGTTATCTTGAAGGCACTTAACTGCAACATTTGCCATGTTGGGTCAAGAGCAAGAATCTGTCCAGCCCAATGTTTCATCTCCTGAATGATGCTGGGGGGGGGGGGGCTGAACCATGGCAGAGATAGCTGTCCTCTGTGTCTGCCAGCAGTGCCTGTAGGCCAAACCATTTGCTTCTGAGACTCTATACACCAGGTACTCCCACCCTGCTGGCTTGCTCACCTCACTGACACAGAATCTCACACACCTCATCCTCCTCCCTGCTGGATGGCTCAGTGGCACACTTAGTGCCAGAAATGTTTTGCTAATTCTTGCCAAGAAGCAGCAGAATATTCAGCCCATTACAATATTCATCAGGAGACTATTTGGCTCGAGAAAAACATTTCCGGATTTATGTCACAGTGATGCGACTGAGGCTTAGTGCCTCTTTATAAGACAGGACAATGGCAGCTTGCACATCTGACACCCACACAGTTTTAGAAGACTTTAAAAAAGCAGCTCTACTGTTGCCCTTTGACTCTATGTGGCCAGGAGTTAAATGCACCTTCCTTCTTGCTCCCATTAACAGTCCAAGCCTCCTTGTAAGACTACAGCAAACAGCCCCGTTCCCAGGCCCCTTGGTTGCTCCAGGGCCCTGTAGAGGAGGAAATAAGGGCCTTTGCAAAAGGCAGCAACACAGATAAAGCAGGGAAACCTCTTGCAGCCAGTTAAGTCTAAGCAATGACACCTCAACTGTCATTTCACAAGAAAAGCAGTGCCTTCTCCTAACAGGCCCCTGCGTAAGGCCAGCTTGTTGGTAGGAGGGGAAGCCTGCCCAGCAACAGAGCTCATAACACAGGCTGGAGGACCCATTCACATAAGCAAGCAAACTCCCCATCACCCCATTTCAACAGAGGCAGCCCACTCAACAGAACACCACACCCTGAGCCCCGGAGCAGTCCTACAGCTTAAAGCAAATTGCAGTGCGAGAGCAGCATACCCTTCCTCCATAGCCAGTTTTGACACACAGGCTATGAAAGGAAAAGTTCTTCCACCAAGCAGACTGGCAGAGGAGGCTCAGTTATCTATCCTGGTTGTGGAGGATGAAACCTTCCTTCCACTGCAGCTAACACAAGACTCAAACAGACTGATGGTGGTAGAGAAATGGAGTGATCTATCCCTCCTCCGTTAGTCCATTCACATGCCTGAACAGAATTCCCGGTCACTTATGGCTACCAGGCTAGTGCTTAACTGCAAGGCTGGTACAAAGGGTAAGCCAACTGACAACTGTATGCAGGTTGCCTGTGCGCGCCAGGCTCAATCCATAATTGGTCTCTGGGTGTTCAAACAACTGCCAGGTTTAGAGCAATTCCTGTTGCCCTTCCATCAGGGCTCACCAACCCATATGCCCCCTAAAAGATGCTATAGACACCTCCACAAGCCATTGCTCAATTCTGCCCATCCTTCAAGGCTCTCACTGAAACATGTGACACTTGCCTTTATTCCATCCCAGCTGAATGGGATAATTATCTTGCCTACTGATCTCTGCTTGGCACAGAAAGATGAATGCACATGAGAATTTTAATCGGCTTATTTGTCTGAAAAGTGGTGGATCATTAAAGTTTATTCTGTTCAGCATTTTATGATTTGCCTGCCAGATGCAATGAGAGAACCAGGGAGTGGATCATTCTAAAATTCAGGGAGATAAAATACTGCTGTGCATATGTGTGTGCGTATGCGAGGTGTGTGTTTTTTGTGCACAGAGGTACTTTTTTTTTTTTTTTTTAAAGAGTCTCTTATCATCAGGTACATGTGACTACAAACACTCAAAGCAGGGCATAAGGCAGTCATTTGGCTCATATTGAATGCAGAATTCCAAGATGGACCAGGCTAGGTTTCAAAGTCAGCAGCTCAAAACTGTGAGATCTTGGACCTCAAGAGTACACAGCTGAACAAAGGGATCAGTGGCAGAAATGCGGTAAAACACAATTAGTAACACCCTCTTAGGTCCCTAGTCGGAACCCATTGCAAGGTTGCAACCTAGCCTAAAACAAGTTGCAACAGCAACAGTGCTACCACCATACAAATAAATGGCAAAAAAAGAAGTGGGTACCCTAATGCCATTCTGGGCTAAGGATAGGTGCTGAATCTGAAAAGGTTGAATGAAAACTCCTCCTAAAAGGGGTGTGTGACAATAAATCATACTGTCCTTCCCTTATTACAGTCAATAGATTAAAGTCAAGTGCAGCTTTCTGAGACCGGGTGGATTTTGGTCCCACCTTAGCACTGGACAAGCCCAATACTCTGGAAGGGACTCTGGAAGTCATCTAGTTTAAGCTGCTGTTCAAACAGCACCCTATTTAAGAAAAGTTACTACAGGGTATGCACAGATACTCAGAAGCAGTTTGCCAATTAAAACATGCCAGAAAAACAATCACTACTGTAGTGATTTGCCTTTGACAGAGGCAAAATCCAAAGCAGGCACCTAACCACCTTCCAGGCTGGTGGAAGGGAGGGGCAACAGAGGGCAGCCAGGGCAGCCTGAAGCAGCAAAATAGCATTTTTCAGGAGCTGTTCAGTTGCATGGCTCTGGGGATGACCAGATGTTTGAAGCCTGCAACTGTCTTGTTAGGTGGAGTGAAATGGCAAATCAGACAAAGATGCAGCAAGGTCACTTAGGAAGCAAATTTTGGCTCCAGCCAGGAAACATTCTGCCCATGAAGCACCCCTAACTTTTGCCAGCCTCGCTGCATCAAGCCCACTGCAATGACTCAACAACCCAATCTCTTCTCCAATTCACTGTCTTTGTCTTGGAGTACATCAGCAAGCGGCAATTAGCAGCCACATTTCTGAGTCCAATTTCAGAGCCCAATTAGCTGGCCCGGAAGGGCGAGATGAAAGTTCCAATGTAATCCTGGGGAGCCAATCAGGGTCTGGCCTGGGGTGGGAAGAAGTGCTTCCTGCCATGCACCAAGAGCATTCCCTGCCACAACAATCTGTATCCAGGTTAACTCCAATTCTAGCCTGTCCAACCTCAACATCTGAGCGTTGGGACATGTATTTTTTTTGTTTAAAAAAGCAGTGATTATTTCTAAACTTTACAAATGCTGTAGCACCGTGAGACAGAGCAATGAGTGATGACTACAATTTGCAGAGCACTTCCCACATTCACACCATACATTCAAAGCAGGATTCTTTGGGGGAGGCCATATGCGTCAAATGCATGGTGCAGATAAGCCCATGAACATGTGGACTTAAGGAGGAGGAAGTTATTTGTGCAAATAAAAGCAATTACTAGACAAAGTGTCTAGCGCTCCTCAACCTTTTCACGGGAGGCAATATTAACTGAACAGCTTAAACCTTTAAGAAGTTCTCTTCTCCTAGCAGCCAGGCTCATTAACAGCACCATACTGGGGGATTTTCTGACAAACTGGAACAACAAAGTGTGGCAAACTGTATTTGTGGAAAAATTAAATAAAACTGACACAAGGCCTGAAGCACAAAGACTCATTTGGAATCAAATGGAACAGTTTTGTTGATGCATATGGCTAAAAATGAAAACAGAGGACTTTCCTCACGTTACAAAACTTTGGTTAACTTAAACGGTTTATCACCTTCTATACAAACAGTAGTCTGGGATAAGAAGCTTACATTATTTGGTAGTTATTTTGTAAGTACTGCTTAAACACCAGCATTCAGATATATGTATGTAGATGTTATATGTTTGAATGAATTTAATGAAGAAAGAAAAGAAGCAGCAGCTGCCTCTTCCCGAGTCAGCCAGCTGGTTCATTTAACCCAGGACTGTCTCCTCTTACTGGGGAGGACTCTGCAGGGTCTCAGGCAGAGAAGGGTGACCCCCAGCCCTGCAAAGAGACTGGTGAATATGGGGCTTGATGCAGGCAATGGGTGTTCTTTGCCACCAAGCAATGGCACTTCCTCCTTCCTACCTTATCTCGGAGTAAGAGGTATGCTAAAGGAATTCTTATGTGTTTCAAGTTGTCAAAGAATCCTCTCACCATGGACCTTCCCCCTCATTCAACCCCCACCCTCTGTTCCTGCCAGCTGAAATAAGCAAACAACAACAAGGGGAGGATTATTTTTATCTGCATTTCGAAAGGAGTTAGACCTGCTGTGCAACAAGATCCCCCCCCCCCCGCCCTTGCACGAAATGTGCCAGGAATAAACAGGCGAAAGCCGGGCTCACGTCAGGGGGAGGCTGAGAAAATGCTGAGTCACGCACAGCTCTTGCGCTTCCTGCTCTGAGCAGCGGAGTGGAAATTTCTGCCTCGGCGCTGTGAATTCTTTCAGCACCCTGAGAACTTTCCGTGCCCACAGGAAGTCACTTGCCAGGTTAAATGCTGGGTGCATCCGAGGGACCACCAAGGAAAGACATGACAAAACCAGCAACACCTCACACCCTTACACAATCCCAGCTCTGAAATGTCCCATGGATGAGGACAGGCTTGCAGTCCCTGGGAAGGGTTAGGCCAGGGATCACTCTCACAGCATCTCATGAGCAGGCCGGACCCGGAAAAGGTATGGTTCCACTCTCACCACCTTAATGCATTTGGCAATTTAATCCTACTTCTAGATACAAGCAACAAGGCCCCTGGGTATTTCATGCCTTCCTTCGAAAGCCAGCCGTGACCTAATGACATTTAAAATAGCTGCCTTAGATTTCAGAAGGTCTTTATGAAATTGTTGCCAAAACAGCTCACTGGAAAAGCATCCATAGTCCATAAGATGGCTCAGTGGCTTCAAAGCTCCTTAAAGCCACACCTTCTCCATCCGTCTACACAAAGTTCCATGGAGAGCTATTTATATAAAATATAGATATTCTCTGCCTATCAATTCTGCATGCAGAATGTAAGCCAGCACTAGCAAATGCTTCATTTAAGGTTCTCAAAAGAGGGATTCTTTTTTCTTTTCTTTTTTAGGGAATGGAGTGAACCACATATCAAAATATCAGTCCAGCTGCAAGAGTTTTGCTTTTTAAAAGAAGCAAAAAGAGGAAGGCTGCATCCTCTGACTGCAGAGCTAAACTTCTCTGAGATTATTCCTCAGCCTAGCAAAGGACACTGCTGGTGATCCAGGGCAAAAAGGAAGAAGACTAGCATGTCCTTACATGAAATGGCCCAAGAGACCTTGGTGGCACTGCTGCACGTTGCCATCTGTAGAGCTTCCTTCTAAACACAACATGCTTTTGAGTCACATTATGAATTAAAGCAAACCCCCATCTCCTCCCACTCCATTGATGAATTGCCGCAGCAGGCACAAAACAAAACGCTTTTGGGCACTGGGGACAAAAGGACAACAGTCAACATGACTTTTCCTCAAAAGCCCACACTGAAAATGACATCCCACATGCTGTTTTCTATGGCAGCACACCGATGACAGCGTATTACATCATGCCATATTTACATGTGATATGGGATCCAAGACACGCTGCTTTATTAAAGCAGAGTCTACCATCAGGAAGTGCTGTGGAAGGCTGAGCAAAGAGTTGGAAGAGACCCTGAGGATCATCTAGTTCAACATCCTGCAACGCAAGAATATGCAGCTGTACCTTACAGGGATTGCCCCTGCAATCTTGGCGTTATCAGCACCATGCTCTAACCACGCTGTTACAGCCAAGAGGGAACCAAGCTGTAGAGAACTCTGGAAATGCCTTGCAGGAAAACATGACTCACTTAAGGCACCACACAGGAGAACGCTACTCACCAAAGCCTATGGCACAATTCCTAATGCCGTTTCCACTACTACTATACTTTACCCAGCCAAATGGGACAGGAAGGGGACAATCCTAGAGTAAGGCACATAGGAAAAGGCAGCCAAGGTCACAAAACTCCAGAGTCGTGAGTGGGTGTGGAATTTCTGAAATTCAGAATCTCTTCATTTTGGAAGGCAAATCGCTGGTTCTGGGCTACCTGAATATTAAACAAAGTCTAACTACATTCTTGGGAGTTAAATAATAAACCTCCTATTCATGAAAGCTTAGAAAACTGCAAAAACCCTTTCAAGTAGGACAATAAAAATATTTTTCCAGAAAAGCATCATGTAGATACGGGACGTTTTATTCTCTGCCACTCAGAGCATCATTAGTTGGGCCAAGAAAACTCTAAATCAAGGGGTAAAACACTCAGATACTCAAGTGGGACACCTTTGCAAGAACTCAACAGGGCTGCATGACTATGTTAACCACAGAACAGCTTTGTTACAAAAGTTAAATGTCTTCTATGGCCCATTCTCTGTTAACCCACTTCCCTCCCTGTCCATGCCTTACAGCACCACTTCTCTATTCTCCCTTTGTGAGCCTCTCTTTTCCCCTTTATGTGCCACACCATGTGCTTCTGGATCCAGGAAGACAAAAGGAGCAACACAGAAGTCATGATGCAAGCTGCATTTTCCTGTCCCCACCCCTTTGGACCGCTTTCAGTGGACCTTGGATAGCTCTCCGCGGCTCCTACACACCAACACATCATAAAGGTTTGGAACCGAAACTTTCCTATTTTAATTAAACACCTTCCTAAAGGAAACATTTTGAACCTGAGCAATGAGTGAGGGCCAAACCAAGTATAAGCGACTTTCAATGCAAGACCAGCCCTCCCTCGGCTCTGCCAAACTGAGGTTAGTGCGAAAAGCTTCACTTTCTGACCTCCTCACATGCAAAATCCCTTATAAGCAATCCTGAATAAAGGTTGTGGAGGGAAAATGGAATCCCTGCTGTTTGAGGGACAGCCCAAGTAGTCAAGAGGGTGGCACCCAATGCTCATCCTACTCAGAGTAGACCCACTGAAGTTAATGGGTATGACTAATGATAATTAATTTCAATGGGTGTACTGTGTGTAAAACAAATGTTGGACACAACCCAGAGTGTATGGGGGAGGCAGATGTGGGCCGACAGGTACAGCGACTGCCAATGGCTGGGAACACAAGTGGGCCTTTAAAATGCTAAGCCACCATCCTCAGACTGGACACGAAGCTAAGACTCTCACCCTGCACGTCTACGCCTACTCCAAATTTGAAACTTTGCCATAGAATTTAACACTTTCCAAGACAGAGCAACAGCTTTGAAGCAAAAAGTCCAGATGGCATGGTAAGATGCCTCAAGGGCAAAATACTGAACGGAGCTCCTCCATACATCTCAAGTTCTCAACGTGTTTTTAAGGCTCCCCATGAACATTCCTTCTGCCCTGAGTCTTCCACGCCTTTGCAGGAGGGGCCTCCCCTGTAAGCCACAATGGCCCCACCCTAAATGAGATCTCCACCCATTAGAAAAACAAGAGCCAGGCTTTTCCAGCGGGGCATCACTTAACCTTTTTTTTCCTCTTGTCACTCACCATCCCACATCCCAGAATCCTTTGCACCAGTTCCCTTGGATCTTCAAAAAGACTGCTGGCTCTTGGGTGGGGTGGAAAGCTTCTGTCCCTCCTCCCTCCTGGCTGCTGGAGCGAGAGTGAAAGAGAGCGACAGAGTAAGAGAGAAAGAAAAAGAGTGACAGAGAAAGAGACAGAGAGAGGGGGAGAGGGGGGTGGGGAGGACGAGAATGATGGCGGGTGGGTGGGGGATGGACAGGGGTTGGCACATCTCCACGTCAATGCTCCGTTCTCTCTCCCCTTCTACCAGGCTGATGGGAGCAGATGCATCCCCTCCAACTTCTCAAAATACTTTCTACACACCTGGATGGGGACGACCTCCCTTTCTACCTGCCTTTTTACAATGGGCTAAATGAACAAAAGCATCCCAGGGACATTTCTACCCATTCTTCCCCTACTCTAGGACTAGGGAATTGTTGTCAGCAGAGTTTGGTACTCTAGATAAAAGGGTACCCATTAGTAGTGACCTGTCCTGTCATTATGCTCTCAGTGGCTTCAAGTGCAGGACTCTGCTAATCTCAAAACAGCAATGTGAAAGGTCTGTGGACCAGTTGCCATCAATTCTCAACGCCCCCTGCAGGAGACCAGCTCCTTTGTTTGACACCCCCCTCTCCAAGTCTCCTGTGAGGTTGCAGGGATCTGAATGGGGAAACCAAATGGATCTATGCAGGCAACCCTTTTTACAGAACAAGATACTATGTGCTTCAGTAAGACTGCCTCTCCAGGGGGAAAAACGAAAAAGTGGAGAAATACGATCAGTTATCAGAGACAGGTGACCAATACATTTTCCTATGATCAGCACGCTACACTCATGACAACATCCCAAAGATGAATGTACAAGACTTTATATATTCTTATGCCATGTATCAAAAATGTGAATTACTTTTGGTAAATTTAGGCCTGTGCCCTGGAAAGAAGCAAGAGTGCATATCCTGTTAACAACTGAGAATACGGGCAAAATATTGGTTAACAATTGCCTTAAGCCCTGAGTGGGTGAGCAATGGATCCCCCCTTTTTGTAAGTGGAGGAAGCGGTGGCATTCAAAATTATCTGGACCCATCAGAGAAAGATCTATAACAAATGAACAAGAAGTGCCTCTTGTTGGCAGACAAAGAATTGCAAGACCTTCTGAGGCGAGGAGGACACCCCTTGCTTTTTTTTAGAATCAAACTAAGAAGACTAGCCGACTCTGTGCAGGGCTGACCTGCCAGACTTGGCCGTGACTTAAGTTCAGGTAAGAAATCTGGAGAAGGCGTTACACAATCAGAGGTGCAACATTCTGGAGTGACTTTCTGTGGAAGAACCTCACTGTACTCAGGACTCAACTGATAAATTCGTAAGGAATATTTGCAGTTTTTTCTGATGCCTGGAGGTGGGAAAAGGTTGTGGCTTTCATCTCTCTTCTGGAACATTGGGGATTGACACAGGAGTTGGAGGTCGTGGAGATGCAGCTAGGCAGGGTAGCTGTTTCTGGTGCCCACAACAGATACTACAGTAGCCACTCCACAACTTTCAGAGCACTTTTTGTCTTCTTTGGTTAGGCTCTTAACACACAAGACTACACAAAATCCTTTTCTATCAATAAACTTGGCAGCAAGTTTTGAGCTGAACCGGTGGGGTGTCATGCCTACTGTCACATGATGCACATGTCAAGTCCACTGGAAAAGGTGCAACAACTTGAGTGACTCATGCACTGTCTGGCTGGAGGAAACAGATGCAGAGGGTTCTCTCATGCCTGTATAAAAAAAGCTCAACCTCGCCTCACCCCCAATTCCTCCTTTACTAAGGAACCAAAATGGGGCCCTGCATCACGCTTGAGGGTCTGGAAGTTATCATGGGAATCAAAGCAGCTGATTATGTTCCAAGTAGGATTTCAAGCACCAGCTCATCTGTCCGAGAACCAAGACTTCTAGTCTCATGCAGGAATCTACAGAAACAAAGAAGGGGCCGATGCTCCCTCCACTTGTATGCTTCTGAAAGCTCCCACACACTCTGCCTTGAGGCATCATTGCCAAGGAGGCCTTGGTGCTCAGCAGCTCACTGCCTGAAGCTGCCACAGGTCACATTGCCTAGGCATGAGGCCCACCCTTGGACAGCGCATCTGCCCTACCTTTGCTAACTACAAATACATTCCTCCTCTGCTTTGCCACGTCATCCCTCGTCTCTTGGAAACGTTTTGAGGAATTAAGTGATTAAAAACAAGTTATGGTTTTCAATTATCTAAATTCCTTGTCCACATGTATTATTTTTACTGTGTCCATTTTCTCTTTCAGCACATGCAATGAGTGCTGGTCAGAAAAGAAAAATGTACCTGCCTAAAGGCATGTTATTAAAATCACCGCCACTTAGCAAAAAAAAAGCGCTTAGTCTGAAACGAGAGGCGTCCCTGCCAATTTCCAATTGAGGGGGTTGGGGTGGGGAGCGCCCTAAAGGGAACCCCTCTCCTCTTCCCCAATCCTTGGCCAGCAAGAGGAAGAGCAGCTCAAGTGAAAGTAGCATGCAGACCAGGGTTAGCACTGCGCAAAGCCAAGATCTCACCCACACCCCATAAACTTATAGAAAGGCAACTCAGACCTGAGAAGCAGGCGCCAAACCTTACCTGGGTGAGGCTTGGGGAGGAGGCATGTCCTGGTGGCGTTGCAGCAAGGGATGGGTGCCCCTTGCTTATTTCATGTGCAGAGTAAGGGGAGGGGGCAGGAGGGCCTGGCTGTCTCGCAACCTGCGTGACCTGTGAGGAGATAAACTGTTAGTAAAACCAGAGATTAGTAAAGCTCCCTCCATGGGGGTTCATTTACATGCTGAGGCTACAGACCTGGGGAGGAAAAGGAAGCGATCCATCCTTTGGCTCACAATTAGCTACCACTGGATACACTCACCGTCTCTCTGGCCACCCGTAAAAAAGGACAGGGAGAGCAAGAGGCTGCAGGAGCAGAGCTTGTTCACACGCCTTATCTTGCATCTCAGAACTTGAACACAGATGAAGGGTACATCTCCAATGGCAAAAGGGTGAGCCTTTCACCTGGTCAACATTGCCTTGCTTTGAGAAATCTTTAGAGCTTCAGTAACGAGAAGGCGCTTATCTTTCCTTGTAAAACTTCCCATTATTTCCCAATGCATCCCCGTCCTTGGCACATGCTTGGTCCGCATCAAGCATCCAATGGAAACAGGTGGCTGGCAATTATTTTGGAATTCTTGAATTCCTATTTGGCCCTGAGACACACTCAAAGAGGCTTCCCCCAAAAAAGATAAATCCTACAGTTTGTAGCCAATGCTAGTCCTACTCAAGAGTAAAGCTAATGAAGTTAATGGACACAACTGATTTAGGTATATACACTGAGTGAAACTTAGCTGGATGCAACCCCATAAAATTGTACTGAAGGAGCACTAAACACAACCCTCATTGCAAGTCAAACAGCAGCACTCTGAAGCTGAAAGTGGGCACAGAAGTCACTCAATGCCTGGCAGAGAAGAAAGACTGAAAGCAGGCCTGAAGGTGGTCTCCTTAGAAGGAAGTCCTAGGACACCTGATGATGCAGGTGAAGAAGCTCATCTTCCAAGAGGCGACAGAGCTGGTAACAGCAGCTCTCCCCATTTGATCTTTCACTCGCGGACTGGAGGAGCAACTTGGGAAAGGTGCTCCTGGAGAGATCCAGAGCCCAGGCTGTGCAGGGCCTGATTGGTCCAAACAATTGGAACAATTCAATATGAAGACATCAAGTTTTAATATTTTAAATCCCCAAGGAAAGAGATACTAATTTGAAATCACTCAGTTCAACTAACTTTCCCAAATTTTACTTTATTGTTATTATTTACTAGATTCTGAGTAACTTACAGTATATTTAAAAACACAGGGTTGTCTCCAACAAAGTCCTACCCAGAGTAGACCCACTGAAACTAATGGCCCTAAGTTAGCCGTGCTTATCAATTTCAATAGGTTTACTTTGAGTAGGACTAATATGGGATACAACCCATAAGCATTAAGCAAAACATATTGTACTATCAGCACATTCACACAGAAACATATGCAATTCATTAAAAAATAATCATAATATACGAACCCACCCTTCCACAGCAGAAACAGAAAACTTTGGCAGCACGCTAACAGATTTTGCAAATCATGCAATTGCAATCAGTGGCTGTGAACTATCCTTTACCAATCAGATATTTAGGACTACAAATCCCATTTTCCACAGAGAGCTCCAGCATGACACAAGAGCTTCAGTCCAAAATTTCTAGAGGGCACAAGGATGGTGACGGTCACTATAAACAAATTAATGCATGTTGGTTTGCAACTAAATGAAACTTTTAGACTACCTACCTAGTAGCATACATAAAGGAAAACCTTTTGTATCTGCTCAGAGGCAATAAAGGCGGGGAGCAATTGCAAAAACACTGTGATTTCTGTGTGGTTCTATATACACAAGCGAAGATACTAAGGGAGAACACTGAAAGGCCACAAACCAGTGGAATGAGATGCCCTGGATTGTGGGCCAGAGTCCCAGAACTGCACAGTAGCAAGGCAGGTAATTACTGAACAAAAGCTGCTTTTCTCCACAACATTTGGCTGCTAGAGAGTCATAAACACACATGAATTTACTGTAACGACACATTACTTATTGAATCATGCTTATAATGCTTGGCCTGAGAAGTCAAAACACCCCACCATGGAGTTTCCTTTTGCACAGAAAAATGGGCTTTAATTTAGTGTATATGAGAGAGGGTCATGGGCTCCAGTTTTAAGAGGGTAGGGCACAATTTAATCCCACAGCATGCAAAACAGGGCAAAAGCCTGAGCCCTAAAATTTCCGGTTTGAAACAGTTGTGAATATTAACCTAAAGCTGAAGCTGACAGAAAATGCACATCGCCATAGATGTCACCTGATTCAGGAGTGCCCTTAACCCATGGGTAGGCAGCCTAAGGCCGGATGCGGCCCAATTGCCTTCTCAATCCGGCCAGCGGACAGTCCGGGAATCAACATGTTTTTACATGAGTAGAATGTTTGCTTTTATTTAAAATGCCTCTCCGGGTTATTTGTGGGGCCTGCCTGCTGTTTTTACATGAGTAGAATGTTTGCTTTTATTTAAAATGCATCTCTGGGTTATTTGTGGGGCCTGCCTGCTGTTTTTTACATGAGTAGAATGTTTGCTTTTATTTAAAATGCATCTCTGGGTTATTTGTGGGGCACAGGAATTCGTTCATTTCCCCCCCAAAAATATAGTCCAGCCCACCACATGGTCTGAGGGACAGTGGACTGGCCCACAGCTGAAAAAGGTTGCTGACCCCTGCCTTAACCCATGAAAATTATTGTCAGAGGAAGTGTAACATAATCATAATGCTTTATTTTATATTTTTGTAGACTGCTCAGAGGTTTTCTTACAATCAGGTAGTATATAAATTCTCTTAAATAAATAAATATCTCCAACACAAACAAGAATACGTAAGTCTATTCTCCATATCCAGACAAGATGTATCATCTTGTCTGGATTCAGTTGCTGCTTTGAACACTGAAAACCTGTTCAAAACACTGCTGTAAATTTTTGTTATATTTTTCATAGCAGAATGCAAGTATAGTAAATAAGTTGTTCTCTTATTGTAAGATTATTCAGTTAAATTAAGTGGCTAATTAAGAAACCTGTGCTTGTGTTTTCTGTAATACAGAACCTTACCTTGAGCTCCCTGCCCCCCGTTGGAAATGTACTTGAAATTAATTCCACAATAAATACAATATCGGATACATTAAAGTGCCAGGAAGAAGGCATTATCCTGAATGCCACCCTTCATTACTTAACGGATCTCTCTCTTTCAGCATTTTCTCTTGGGGAAAAACTCCACCCACCTGTACCAACACCAGCTTCTACCCAAAAGGAGAAGCAGAATTGATACAAATCCAAAAAGGACAGAAAAACACTGCTGAGGGTTTTGCAAATGCCACTTTTATGAGTTAACTCCGCACCGTTTGCCAGTAAAAACAGGCTTTTCTCCACTGGGGGAAGGCTGCAAATCTGTAAATGGGATCTTAACTTTGCAGCTTTGCAGGGACAAAGCAAGACTGGGCTGCCTTTCCTGCCAGCCGGCCCTTTGTGATCTGACAAAATGGCTGTCTGTGTAGGAAGTCAATGCAGACTGGGCCAGAGGAATAGTGCAGCGTGTCTGTCACTCTTGATTCCATCACAAAGTGTGAGAGATTCTTCACCTTAGGGATGCTTCTGCATTCTACCCTGAAAACCTATTTCAACAGCCCTTTAAACACCCAAACCACCTAAGATTAGAAAAACAACAGTTGAGAGGAGGAAGGCAGTAAGGAAGCCCCACAAGAGAGAGGCCCTCCAGTCTCAAGAGCCCAGCAGGAAGCAAGAATTACCAATAGTTCTATTTCCCCCAAAGCTGAGGCATCACAGGAGCAACGGCTGGAAATGGTCCCAGGAGCTTCTGTCTGTGTGTGTTTCTATGCTGACAATACCTAGGAGAGCAAGAAAAAGGACACAAATCCCAAGACCCTCATGGAGCTCAAACTAAGGAGCTAAAGGAGGCCCTAAAAAGATACCCAGCCTTTGGGCTGCATCGCCCAATCTCCTGAGGTAGTCCTGGCTGTTCCCTTCAGAGTCATAGAACTGCATAGAACTGACTGGCTACCAATTCATAAAAACCAAAAGTGCTTTTTGTTGGGAAAGGAAAGCTGCTGCTCATCTAAGGGGCTCACTGGCCACTAGCCGAAGCACTGGCAAAGGTGCTCTTTGGGGAGAAATCATAATGGGGAGAGGTTCCCTCTCTTTCGCTTATTTCAACTGTGTCAAGGTGGCTGATCAGAAACAAGGAGACCCAAGACAGGAGGCAGAAACTCTTCAAGAGACACTTCAAACAATGCCAATTAACATATCTGCTTCAGAGGCTGCACTGCCGGATTCCTTTTGAAGAGAGGTGCTACGCTAAATGTTAGCACCTAACTTATGTGCCTCTTTGATCAGAAATTATGCACATTTTGCAGGTATAAAGAAAAACCTAGAATCCAGCCAGCATACAAACTGGCCCTTGCTTTTAGAGCACAGCACTGCAGTTCAGTAGCAGCAGCAGGAAAGGTCTCCTCTGTTCTGCTTATGAAGCGGCAAGAGCTGCTTAGATCACAAGAGACCAAAGTTTTCGAGAGGATGCTGGAGATTATTGCTGTGCCTTTGTTTAAATGACACCCATCTCTTAACAAGGGGCTGTAAATCCTTTGGCTCAGATCTTCAGAGCTCTACAAGTCAGCCAGCTTTACCAGCAGGTGTAGGGAAATTCTCTGCATCTGCTCAGGGAATAAGTAGGCTGGGCTGAGAGAGGGCAATGGGCATTCAAAGTGGGCAGGGCTAAAGCAGCATTGTTACAACACAGTTGCTATTCTCATCACATTTTTATTTATTGTATACATTATTTATATAACTGACTTTTCTTTTTTGTTGTATTTGTATTTTGACTAACCTGTACTTTTATTGACAAATAAATAAATAAATATGGAAGGAAAACTGAAATCTAAATACAACAAACACTGTAGTATTCTGGTGAGGGAGAACCCACCATTCTATATCTGTCTTTATGGTTTGCAAAAGCTATCCAGACTTCTCAGGCCAATAATTATAAATGATACAAAGTCATTGGTTGCCTTGATCATTGGCCTCAGCCCTGTATACCTGAAGGAGCATCTTCACCCCCACTGTTCAGCTCAGACAGAGGTCCAGCTCCAAGCACCTTCTGGCAGTTCCCTCATTGAGAGAAGTGGAGCTACATGGAAGCAGGCAGAGGGCCTTCTTGGTAGTGGCGCCCTACCATCAGATGTCAAGGAGATGAGTAACTATATAACCTTTAGAAGACATCTGAAGGCAGTCATGTATAGGGAAGTGTTTTAATGTGTAATGTTTTATTATGTTTTTATATATGATGGAAGCCGCCCAGAGTGGATGGGGCAGCCCAGTCACGTGGGTGGGGTACAAATAATAATAATAATAACAACAACAACAATAATAATAAATAATAATAAATAATAATAATAATAGTTATAATTACAATACAGTCATAATTACAATTAATAATAATAATAATTATTATTATTACTACTACTATTTGCTTGTCATGGGACACACAGACTGACAAGCTGTCAAAGACACCAGAAGCCAAGTGATGTATTTTGCCAGGATTGTTCAAGGTGCCTGTATAGGTGACTGTGTACTGTATTCCTAAATTGCACCCTCCAGTTACCAGAGCTCTGTCATGTGTTCAGCTCTCAAATTATGACTATTTATCATTCTACCAACCAAAAAGGAGGGAATTTACTTTCTATCTCACAGTGGAAAAAACAATGGCCCCCAGTAACTAACACCCCACACTCTGGGTATTTGTAACACATGCATGTTTTCTCAGAAGTTACGCAGTCCTTGAGAAATATGCCTACCAAAGACTTTGGAAGATCTACTTAAGTTATTTCTGTATTTTTTCTAAAATGCAATTTAGGCAATGCACAAGGATACAACATAGGTCACATTCACACCATCCATTTAAAGCACATGCCCCCCCCAATAAACATGGGAACTGTAGTTTACCCCTCCCAGAGCTACAATTCCCAGCACTCTTAAACTATAATTCCCAGGATTCCTCAGGAGAAGCCATGTGCTTTAAATGCATGGTGTGAATGTGACCTCTGTAATGAAAAAATAAACAGTGTTGGTGGCCATCTGGGCTAGTTCATTAGCAGTGGGTCTCACTGCCTTGATGCTCATATCGTGCCTTTAAAAAATGCAGCATTTTTTCTCACAGCTCAGCAACAGTCACACAGCCAAATAGCCCGGCCTCCTGACCCACATCTTTGGCATAAACCTGGAGTGGCTAGATCAGCTAATCCTTCCTAATCTCTTTTCTGGAAGAGTCACTTCAATGTGGGCTACCTGTTCAGAAGCCAGGCACAGAAGACACCTCTTGGGCATCCACCCATTATGGGCAAAAAAAGGCAAGCACACACACACAGAACCCACAAGACACCATTTGAGGAGCAGCCTTTAACTGAGCTCCAGTACTAGAACGATTTAGCACCACAGTCAATATGTGGCAGACTCTTTCATTCTTGCCTTCCATAAGAACTCATTCATTTTTTAGTGTAACTCCAGCAACTATTTTAAGAGCACCCAAAAGACTTTAAGAACTTTTGCAGCTTATATTGAGGAGTTGTGATTGCACTGCAGACATGTTATCTGAATCAGGTCTCACCTGCCAAAGATACTGGGCAGAAGAGGCCTGAATGAGGGCATCTTCCTAAACCAGCAGTTTCTGTTGAGAAAGTTCAACTCTGAATTATTCATTTGCTTATTTTGAATTAAACAAGTGGTTTTAAAACAGAGCTGCTTTTCTAAATGAAGATTACACACTTGAGTCCCAGGATTGTTCTGTGGCTGGAGGCAGCTAAACTTTCCACACAGCCCCACAAAGCTCTAAGAGCTCATATCCAGTTGATTAGCTGCAGGAGGAAAAGCAGTGTTACTTAAGCAAACCACAACTACACAGGAACCAAAGAACTCGGCAAAACTGCTGGGGAATACTTACAGTGCTGTACACAGCTGAGACGGTTGGAGTGAAGATTCGATCCTCCAGGGGCTGCTGCACAGGTCCCCGGGGGATTCTATAAAGCAGCAAATCAAGGAAAACACAAAAGTCTAGAGGAAAGTGTGTTTGGCAGGAAAGAAACATGTGAAATCCTTTGCCCATACTAGCATAAAAACAAAAGTTTTTACCAAATGCCAGAAACCACAATGAAAAGGGGCTCACATTCAACACTGCAGCTGGAATAATTTCTACGGCCGAAAACTAGCTTCCCAGAAGATGTGACCAGATACAGTAAAACAAAATCAATAGACCTGAGTAAATGAGAGATCTAAGCTGAGAGTTGTAACAGACGATCCAATTTTTATTTTCAATATAAAATGGCCACCCTCTTTCAGTCACCCAGGAAAACAGCTCGTCAGCTGCAGATCCGTCTGATGGAGGCCAGGCCTGAGTCTCCAACAATGCAGGAAGAAAGAGAGAGGGAGTGCATTTATGTCGCTGGCATTTCACTCTATTAATCCTTTTCCCTACTTAAAAGCAGTTCTGGGAACTAGAATTCACTTCTTAACAGGCTGAGAATTTTGTAGCTTAAAGGAAAGCTGCCTTTGATTGGCTGCCCTAAACTTGCAATTAAAAAAGCTGCAATAATCCAGAATATCCACACTGTAAATAAAGGTGTAGCAAAAAAGGTTTTTTTTCTAATGCCACAGAAGGATAACAATAAAAGGTTTGGTAAAATAAAATATATGTGATTCAGCAATTAGAATCCTCTGCAACAGAATTAAGCTCTCTCATAAACTACTAGTTTCCTTCTTAAAGCAGTGTGGTCACTTGCTAAGAGATTCAGAGGATGAATTTCCGCCAGCTTATAAAGAACTTCCTATCAACACAAGGAGGCTCCCACACTCATTATGAAGAGAAGAATGGTCAGGCAAGAGAGGAAGGAAAAAGCGTGTTGTCCCTAAAATTGCTTCAACTTAAACTGAGCTCCAATTAAAAACCAAAAAAACAGGCAGTGTTTATCTCTAGAACAGCATGCTTTCATCAGAGTGTGGTTCAAGTCCTGGAGATCCAGGACAGTAAACACCAAATTGCAGATTATCACTCTTTCGAAAAGCAGCAAAAGATAATATTACTACTCAAATGCAAGCAGCTAGACCACTCTCCCATAAGGTGCCTGTCCTGTCCTGTTGCTTCTGTGTCTATTCTCCCTTAAATTTTATCAAACCACAAAACCAGAACCTATACAAGGCATTTGAAAATCCCTGACAACAGCAGCAGCTGACTTCACACAACCGGAACTGGGACCTTTGCACTCAGCTGAGAGACAATGCTGGTTTCTACACACCATCCCCAGGAAAAAGAACCTGACAGGGAGGAACTCTGTGGCCTGGAGCTTACTGAGGTGGTGGTAGCTGTACGAACAGTCTGCTACAGTGGAGAGAAACCACACTTACAAACCTTCTAGAAATAGTTAACAAGCGAGGAGTCAAGTTTACCGGAGTGTAAAGAACACATCCTGAAGGATGAAAGCATGGGAGACAATTGCTCACCCTGGTTGCCCACGAACATTTCTGCCACGGCAAACAAACAAACCTTCATGTTGGGATACCACAGCACTTGCTGACTTATGTGGCAATGGACTGAGCAAACCTTGTGGGGCTCCCCTCCCACCTCCTGGCATGAGATAAAGTCAGGCCCTCATCATTCCAGAACTATGAACACGCAACATTTCCACAAAAGCTCCACTGCAATTTGAACCTCACCTGGCAAGGGGCCAGAACTTCCCTTCTGCCCCCACCCCTCCTGCATGCTGGCTTGGACTAACAAAATACACCCCTGAGATCTTGACGGCAAGCCAAAATCTGCTCTGGCTTGTTTACACAGCTGCATGCCCCGTCCAGCACCACAGGGCAACAGACAAGAGTGAGGCAGAAGCGTCACCTAGCCATGGCTACTTTGCAGGAGCCCAGCCAACAGAACCCTTCTAAACTCTGCTTGGACATGAGCCTCTACCTGTTTGTGGACAGGAGTCACAAGAAGCTTTAGGCAGCAACGTCTGTTACCAAGGGGGAACACTGAGATGCCACCCACACGGAAGGAGGGCAATGTGGCTATTTTTCAGCACAAAACACCTCCCAGCTCTGTTGGGATAGCAACAGCAGTGCCACTCCTTTGTCTCTCCAATTTAGATATCTGAAGTCGCCAAAGAATGTGGAGCCTTAACCCTACACAGTCCAAAATTTAAAGACAAAGCAGGATATAATGATCAAAGAGAAGCAGAGTGAGCGGCAGCCTTTCTGAACCAGGCGCCTTTCAGCTGTTTTAATAAGACCATGCCCATCAGCCCCAGACAGCAAAGATTCAAGCCAACTCACCTCATACACATTGCACTGGCGACCTTCAGGCTGTGAGTTTGGAAGAAATCCGAGAATAGAATCCCAGGCTCACTTCATGAGGTTCTCAAATACAATCCCACACAATGGTGAGTTGGATTAGAAAGTTCCATGCCGGTCCCTAGTAAGGAAGTCCATTTCTGACAGAGCGACCGGTTCACCGGCTGCCTTCTGATCATCAAGAAACAGTAACTGGAGCCGACAAACAAGGCACATGCCTTAAAAATAAGGAGCCCACCATGTGACGTATCACATCACAAAAAGCAGGGCAGTGACAGAGCAGAACACGTGCCCTCTGTATTTTGAAATCCAGGCTACATGATCCTTGCTTAATGTACACTATTTATTAGGAAGTCAAGAAATGGGCTGAACAAAACAGCCTCTTTCCCCTGCGGCCAAACACTGCTCCTGTTTCGTATTCCCCTTGCATGAACTTGCATTACACCCACATACAAAGCAGCCTCGGCACTGACCAGCTTCCTTCTTTCTCTGCTCCTTGGAGCAATTTCCAAGCTACAAACACTGGCAAGGTTAATAATCAAAGTCGTTCCAACTATGAAGACAAATAACTCACAGTTTAAGCTTTGCTTTTTTTTTTAAGGCAGGGAGCGCCTTCACTGAGAAATTCAGAATACATTTAGCAAACTGTCAAAGAAAGTGGAGCTCAGATACATGTTACAATGCAGCAGCAGCTGGAGCTGTTTTTCCAGAGGTTCAGGACCCAGGAGGCCTACAACCAAAGGGAGGTGGGGGGAGGCGGTAGGCTAGCTACACAGACCCGTTGTCAGGTGACCATCCCTGATCTGACCAGGCAGCAGACTCAAGCAGCTACAATCACCTACTTGGCTGCAGGTCTTTATAAACATTTCAGCAGTGCCTTGAGACGTAGCAGCGGCACCAGAAAAAGGGGGTGGCAAAGCACTGTCTGGGGGTGTGGGAAGCATGTGAAAAGAGTCTTTCTAGCAACAAGGAGGGGGCAAGCTACCTATCTTCTTCCCCACTGGTGCCACATATGATAGGATGAACCCACAGAAAAGTGGCTCTCAAAGAGCTATTACAATGTGTGAAGGACACCTCAGGATACTGCAAAAGCAATATGCCCTTTTTTAGGGATTTTAATGCATTTTCACAAAAGCAGCTTCTAAAACTGGGGTTCATAGCCCATGGTAACTTCCTGGTGTAAGCTGAGAAACGCAATTGCTGGAGCATACCAGACAGAGGGGTGGGTAAACACTTGAGTCAGTGCAGGAAGGAGGACTTCCTGCTTCCCACTAGCAACCGTTCACCTCGCACTAGAAAATATTGGGGTTTACCTACATTAAATAACAGAATTTTAAAAACCTGAGAATATAAACAAATAAACACCAGAGAAGGAACAGATGATGCAAACCCTCTTAAATTAAAATGGTTTTAAGCAGGCACCAGAAACTCAGCAGGGACAGTGGCTGCCTTGACCTCTATTGGGAGGGAGTTACACCGACCTCAGCCCACAATACTGAAGAGGTGGCTTCTTGCTGTCATGAGTCATGCTTCTGGTCCATGGGGGACCACTAACAGCATTCTTCCAGAAGATCTCAGTGACCAACCTGGGGTGTATAGGGGAAGGCAGTCCTTAAGGTATTGTGGGCCTAAGTTGCCCAGGGCTTTATATACTAAAACCAGAACCTTGAACCTGGCCCAGCTACACTTTCAAACAGCACCTCCCCTGCACTGATCCTATGTTACTTCAGATGACGCCTGGGAGAAACATATTTTGTCAAAGGATAGGAGAGTTCTTGCTTAAAACAGGCACACACCTGCTTAACAAGGCTTGCTATGCCAGGAATACCACGCTAAATTCACTTCCTGGATTGTGCACAAGAGATTTCATTTCTATACCAGGGAATTCAAAAAGAGATGGCACCTTGCAGAAAGTGAACTGTTTTTCACATAGCAATCATTTCTAGTCATTAAATACCTGCCAGCCATAAAAGATTAAACTACATTCTAGTACTGTTTATTAATTAGATGCAAAGAAAATTAATTATTAAACTGATGGAGGGTGTCATCATTCATGCCCCTGCATTCTTCCACAGGAATATAACAACCTAGTAGATCGGGCCAGCGAACGATCAAGCATCCTATCCCCTACCAGACACCGCAATGGGAAGCCTGCAAGCAAGACCTGAACACAACAGCAACACTCTCCCCACTTGAGATTCCCAGCAAATGGTACTCAGAGACATGCTGCCTGCAAGAGTGGAGGTAAAGCATATCCATTAGGGCTAGTTGCTGACTCACCAGCAATCTGTTACTTGAGGACAAAGAGGAAAGGGACAGTAGCAAAAAATGGCAAAATGCACACATGGGAACTCAACACACACACACACACACAAAATTGTTTTGCTATTTAGCAATTCAAACTAATATAATCAGAGTGCCAGGCCACCTTGGCTACACCACCCTAGTACTGCAAAAGCCTACAAGGAGCAGACCTATCAGAATGACTTAGAAGATCCTAGCACTGCTTGTGGAGATATCTGCCATTCAAGTCTGCCAGACTTAAGGCTTGTGATACAAAGGCTCAAAGGAGTGTCACTCCTCAGCTACCATGAAGCCCTGGGATGGGGTGGGTTTTATACCCACAAAAATTAAAATGACAGCGTTTCAAGCCCATCATCCATTGTGAAAGGGCAGAAGCACATTGTCCAGTGGAAGTCACTTAAACCAGCAAGCACCTTGCCTCCGTGGGGAGGATTACTACTGATCAGGGCATAGACCTGGTTATGGCGAGATCAGCCAAATATCTGTTCAGGAGCACCGCTTCCTCTCCAGAAGGATGCAGAAATATGAATGGAATATACCCCTGACTCTTGCTACAACTGTGCAACATTCATTAACAATCAGAGGAGGGAGCAGGGAAGGGAAACTTGGGAGCATTAACAAAAGCTCAGGGCCTGAAAGAACTCTTTGTCTCCCTGGTCAATGCCAGTCTTTTGAATGGCAGAGCACAGAGCAGAAAAAGAATGAGGGAGAAAGGGAGGGGAGGCAGGGAGGGAGACCCACTGGGCCAGCTCTTCAGGGGACATCTCCTCAGCTGCCAGGCAGAAAAGGACTCTTGCATGAGCATCACACGGCCTCCCAAGCAGCCAGAAACGCAGGCATTGTCCACTCACAAGCACAGCTTGATAGAACCAACACATTTTGCTCTTGTTCCGCTAGGGAGCTCACATTCCAGGGACAGAACGCCCTATCCTGCATCAAGCCACAAAGTGAAAAGTGAGGAAAGCAAGTGACAGGAAATGTACAATCCTGACCTTTTCTTCATAACCTGGGAACGTTTTCTTCATCTCCTTCTGGAGAGATTTGTGAAAATACATAATGCAAGACTCCAAGAGTTAAGCGCCATTTAGAAGCAAATTGTCGTGTTAACAGAGACTGAGTCTGACCAGAATACTTTAAACAACAAAACACTGAGATCGCTGAGTGTCACCACATAAACCCAGTCCTTCTAGCTCAAAGAAATAGCTTCAAAATAATGTCAAAAGGCAACGTGTAAGTCTAGTTTCTTCTGATTAGCATTCACGCCCAAGGGTACCATTTAAAAAACCAGGTCCCTGCAATTATTTGACTGCATTCCAGAGGCTCTGTTCACAGCCAAGAGAGGCTTAACCCCAGGCCATCCTAAGAAGAGCTTAAGGTTATGAATTCACCCCACAATTTCTCTTCATGACCTCACCACTAACACCTTCAGTTAAGAATGATAATGAAACCTAAAATAATAAGTTCCCCACTGTCCTGGGTCTTAAAATAAAGGAGCATGCTAGGCAAAGGCAGTTACGAATGTGACTGCAGTTCATTTCAAGGCACAGCCTTGTGGCTTCAGCAGCAGTTGTAAACATCTATTGGCCACATCTGGACTTCATGCCAAGCTATAGTTTAGTGACCTCCAGGTTCACATGCTCCACTGCTGCTCTTTGTCCAACATGGTTTTTCCCTTCCACTTTTGCTTATGAACTGATGTTGCTCTAGACAGACAAACAAACTCGACTTCATGTTAACTATGGTTTGTTTCAAGCATGCCTCCTCTTGGCCACATGGGGGTGGGAAGAGGAATGGGGAGCATGTGAGCCTCTGGCTCATTCACATGCTCTTGCAACCAGTGTTAGAAACTGAGATATGAAAGGTGGAGCTAAATGGCGCCTTAAACCTAGGTTATGGGCACAACGACGGAATTTTTTTAAAGAAAAAATAATAATACAAAGCTGAAAATGAATGAACTGAAGCTAAAATATTATGTTCATTTTTCACATGGTGTAGTCCTTCCCCTGCCCACCCTCCTAATATTCTTAAGAGGGTCTTTCTCCAGTCTTCAGAGAATAGCTGGAAGTAGGGAGGCAGAAAAAAGGTCCTCCCTTCCTTCCACTCTGCAGTTTTAATCTGAAATCTTAGGTGCAGTCTTAGGTGTAGTCAGAAACTGCTCATGCTAATGAAATTCCTTGTCGCAAAATACACCTAGGACAATGTGAGTTTCGAACACTGCTTCCAACTTGTAGCTGTCCAGGTGTTCTTGAAATTCAGCTTCCATCATCCCTTATTATTGGCATGCTGACCAGTACAATAACTGGAGGGTGGTGGACTTAGTATAACTCTCAAACATGACCACTGTGCCAGGTTCTAATGGTAACTTTTTGAAGTTCTTCACTCCAGTATTTTTAGCATTATTTATTAGAGTTGTTACCCTCTAATGAGGTTTCAAGGCAAGTCCCAACCTATTTAAAAATACAGCATTAAAAGAAGTTTAGAACAAATTAGTCACAGGAATAGGTTCTTGAAAATCTCTCTCTGGTGTCAAAGACCAGATAAAGAGGTGTATCTTCACACATGACAAAAACTACATAATGAAGGAACCAGGCACACCTTGATGGAGAGGGAATTCCATATCTTAGAGGATGCCACAGAGAATGTGTTCTCTTGGGTTGCTACACCCAAAATGGATGTGGATGGGGGAACTACAAAGAAAGTCCCCTCTGCTGATCTTAACACTTGGGAGAGTGAATGCAGAGAATGCATCAGAGCTAAGGCATGAAGTGGTAACTGTGAGATCTGTTGGTTGAAGTTGTAAGACATGCTCTTGGTTGATCAATGCCTCACACTAAAGGCTTGCATCAAGGTGGACTGTATGTTATTTGGGTAAACACAGCCTTCCAATCAATGCTTTCCAAATAACTCATTTTCTAATTTTGCAAACTGTACCCAAGTCCTGTATCGTGCTGCTTCTGTACTCCTCCTCAGAGCAGAAAACGAAATTCTAAAAAACTCCCATTTTCTACCAAAAAAATAAAAATAAAAAGTAAAGCTGAGCACAAGGGAATGATGTTCTTTTTAGGTGCAAGTCCAGTCTCCTACCCTTCACACTGCCAATACTACCCTGACCCTAAGATTCAGATTACAGTTTAAATCCCACTTCGCCCTCACCTTATTAGAAATTCACCAGGCACTAGGCTGTTTTGCAACTGTTGTGGGTCCAATTGCGACCACATGGAGATCTCTGGACCCCAGGTTGGCGACTGACATCTCCATCTGGCTTACCCCTCCAGCTTTCTTAAGCAGGTAAGGAGAAGAGCTTATTCACTGAAATTTATATCCCATCCTTTTCTCCAGTAAGCACATGGTTCACCTCTCCCCCCCCCCCATTAATCCCTACAATGACCCTGTGAGGTAGGTTAAGAGGCTGTGACTGGCCCAAGGTCATCCAGTGAGCTTCTTGACTGAGTGGGGATTTGAACCCTGATCTCCCAGGTCCTAGTCTGACACTCTAACTGCTACACCACACTGGTTTCCTAGAGTACTTCTGCTACTGGGTAAACTAGGTAGGTAAACAAATATGGGGAAAGCAAAATGTCACTCAGAGAAGGATCTGAACTATTTTCCTTGAAGCTTGAATTGGAAAATAAGCTTCAAGGAAAATATTTTTGAATATATTTTCCTTGAAGCTTGAATTTTATTCCAGATTGGTTTATACTGTATCCTGCTTTAATGTGTTGTAAACTGCTTTGAGGTTTTTTCTTTAAAATATAAAGCGGTACAGAAATGAAATGAATAACAACAAATATAAAAATAAGCACCACTAGGGGGGAAATGGCACCTAGACATTCCGTTTTGGCAACTGCAACCTAGAGTTAAGGTGCCATTTGCCAATTAGCTTATATATCTGAGTTTCTAACACTGGTCCAAGAAATTACTTTACATTCAACCAAATGTTTGAGTACGAACTGAAACCGAACAGGCACTGAGCACCTTGATATTTAGGGAGCTACTATAGACATCTTTGCTTAAGAAGGCTTTCCCTGAAGTGTGGCACAGCCATTTTATAGAACAGTAATTGTCCAACTGTAGAAACAGCTTTACTGTTTTTAGTTTGCATCGGTCTCTTTTGTATTTCATCTTGTTTTATCTTACTGTACACTGCTTTGGTAGCATATGGCTGTGAAGTTTTTTTTATAAATCTAAATAGCAATAGTAGTAATAATAATGAGAAAAAATGTCTCAAGATGATAAGATTATGCTCAAAATGCACCTCAGATATTTAGTGCTACAGCAAAAGAGGCCTTCTCCAACCCTGCTTTTCTTTCCAAATAAGTCATTAATACAGATCCATGCAGATCCATGGGAAGAACATGTAAGCGCAAATGGATCATGCCCAGAAGGAAATGATTTAGCAATGCAGCCGCTGTTTACAGGATCAGTTTCTCAAAGCTGCAGTCTGAGCCTAAGCTTCATGCTAACAGAGCAGTTGCTTATTTGGGAATGCAAAACCTGGGCTCTCCCAAACATACAAAAACCACCTCAAATTGAAGAATTTAATTCTCATTTCAGGACTCAGAAAGAATACTCCCTCTCTAGCCATGAGATCTTCCCAATAAGTGAGCAGGGAGAGAAAGGTACAACTCTTATTCTCAAAGGCATATATCTGCAATATGGCTGAAGTTCCAGGAGTGCTCCAGCCTGCTGGCAAATGCAGAAGCACTACAAAAGAAAAGAAAAAATGACATCAAAAATCCTCAACCACTAAATCAGGAGACCAAGCAAATGGTCTCTGGAACTCTGTGACAATGTATCTTTGATTTCTGCCCAAGCCAGATGGCCACAGAATTACTGATGCTTTCCAGATCAGAGTCTATCCCCACAATCAGACCAAAGCCAATACAAGGCATGAGAGCAAGTCCATCAAAAATCCCCAAAGCAACTAGAATGTTTGTGATGGTGCTGAAGGCAACCATGCTGCAACTGACATGTTGAGCATGGGGATGGGATGTTGAGGGGATATGAGCAAGTGGCGATAACTTCCATCTCGCAGTGTTCTTGCCATTTTTCTTCAGGTGAAGTTTTCTTCAGAGTTGCTCTGCTGCTCACTTTCAGCATAAGAACATTAAGGACAGCCATGCAGCTGGGTCAAGCCAAACAGGGCCCTCCTGGTCCAGTCTCCTGTTCTCAAGAGTGGCTAACCAGGTGCCCCAAAGGGAAGCCCACAAGCAGGGCCTGAGCACAACAGCAGCAACCTCCCCACTTGCGATTCCTAGCAACTGGAATTCAGGGGCCTACTGCTTCCGACAGTGGAAGGAGAACATAGACATTGTGGCTAGTAGCCACTGCTAGCATCTAGCAGAGAGAAAGCATGGGGAAACCACATTCAGCACCATCAGTTAAGAATATGAAAAACAGGAATCCCCAAACTACAGCTGAAGGTGTGTGAACAGATGACGAAAAAAATACAGGTGGACTGCCACTCTCCTAGTAAATAATTCTTGGGGGCCACAATAGGTGATAGGGAAATAGGAAGTGACTTCGACAGGTGGACCCATAACTAGTGTCCACTTACAGCTGAGGAATCAGTGATATACTACTACATTCTTTCTCCAATTCTCATTCGCTCTTGCACAGACATTAAGCTATAACGGAAGACTGAAAGGTAACACAACTCCTGCAGATCTGTACTTTTTTATTACAACTAGATGTTTCCTGACCAACCAAGCTAGAACTATCCCTTGAAGAGTTAAACTAACACACCATTTTGCTTTGGAATGAAGGCATTCACATCAGACAAGACTATGTTTGCGTAGCAGTGAGGAAGAACTTCACAACACAACCACAAGGAACTGCAGGACAAAAAACAACAACCCTGTGTGGTTTCACTGCTCCAATTATGGGTATTTAAGGTCCCTTATGAGTCTGACAAACTAATGTATCAGGGTGTTTTTTCCAAAGGAACTCACAGGAACTCAGTTCCAGCACCTCTCAGGTGGGAGCCATTGCTATTCTAAAAGAACAAGGGAGGTGTTCATGCTGAATTCCAGCACCTCTTTTTCTAGAAAAATAGCACTGTATGAAGGAGATCAGGGCCAAGAGGAAGTCAGGCGACAAAATGTGCAAGAAGAAAAGAACTTCCAGAGGGTTTGCTTCATAAGCTTTGCAGGGCAGAAGTTCCTTTCATTAACGCTACCAAGGCAGTTATAGCAAGACGTAGGGCGGCACACCCACCCACTAGTAGCAAAGCAGAAAGTGCGTATGTTACATGCTTAGAACCTAAACCATCCTTTGGGTTTGAAACTATCACAAAACGTAACTTGGAGCTATGCCTCAACTGAGTCTCTGTACCTGTTAACTAACTGTTGCTGCCTAAGGTCCATCAGGTATCATTTTGCATGCACTCAGCAGGCTCTAAACACTAAGATTTAAATGGAATCCAAAAGCTCAAAGGGGGTAACCTTTGAATTGCCTGGAAGGAACAGGAGGAGATAACATTAGGAGCAGATTCTTTTACTGATACACAAGTTCAATGCACATCAAAAGACTCTTAAAGGTCACATCTCATGTAAGTTTTCAAAGCTCACCTGTCCTGCAGGACATTTATTTTCCCAATATCCAACCACCCCAATGCAGGGCTGGGCAACTGTTTTTGCACTGGGGATTAAAGATGAGGCTTGTGCCAGGGGCCACTAGCTTCTTTCTTTTTCCAGGTCCTTCATTTTTATATATGGATTATCTGCTTCTAAAGCAGAGAAGCATTCCAAATGTCATTGGATTCTAACTCCAAGCAGCTCCAGCGACCAGCATTTTAACCATCAGGGATGATGGGAGTTGTAGTCTATCAACATCTAGAGGGCACAATGTTGGTCCTGAGCTGTTTAAGGCTTTATAAGTGAAAACCAGCACTTTGAATTGGGCCCGGAAACTAACTGGCAGCCAATGCAGTCGGATCAGGATTTGTGTTACATGCTCAAACTGTCTTGCCCTGATAAGGTACCTGGCCACTGAATTCTGCACAAGCTGACTTTTTTTGAACTGTCTTCAGTGATAGCCCCATGTATAACTTGTTGCAGTAATCTAACCTAGAGGTTAACAGTGCACTCACAACAGAGCAAAGACTCTAATATTTGTTTTTTTGTTCACAAGTCAAATCACATCAACTCAAATCAGCCTCTTTCAACGTTAAGGCAGAAACCTCAGAAGCTCTGAAGTGATACATAACCTTATTACCAAATGGCACTTTAACTCTAGGTTGCAGTTGCCACAACGGAATGCCTAAGCGCCATTCCCCACCCTCAGTGGTGCTTATTATTATATTTTTTATTGTTATGATAGTAATTATTATTCATTGCATTTCTACACCACTTTATATTTTAAAGGAAAAAAATCTCAATGCACTTTACAACACATTAAAACATCAAATAAAAAAATCCAAAATAAAAGAAAATATTCAAGGAAAATAGTTCAGATCCCTCTCTAAGTGACATTTTGCTTTCCCCATATTTATTTACCTACTTAATTTATACACCTGCCCATAGCAGAAGTACTCTAGGAAGCCAGTGCGGTGTAGCAATTAAGAGTGACGGACTAGGACCTGGGAGATCAGAGTTCAAATCCCCATTCAGTCATGAAGCTCACTGGGTGACCTTGGGCCAGCCACAGCCTCTTAGCCTACCTCACTGGGTCGTTGCAGGGATTAACTGAGTCATGTACTCCTTAGAAGAAAAGATGGTTTAAAAATGTTGTAAATAAGCTCTTCTGCTTACCTGCTTAGGAAAGGTGGGGGCAGGGCAGTCCGATGGAGATTGTCAGTCACCAACCTGGCATCCAGAGATCTTGAACAAGGTTGCATTGGTCGCAAAATGCACCTGGCACCCAGCGAATTTCTAGCACTTGACTCTAGGGTTTCAGGCAGGGAATCTTTTTCAATCCTACCTGGAGATGCCACTGGGGATTGAACCAGGGGCCTTCTGCATGCAAAGCAGATGCTCTACCACTGAGCTGAGGCCCGTCCCCAAACTGAGCTACTTTATATATACACATGTATATGTAATATTTTAGCAGCTCCCTCTTACAATATATATCCTGTTCTTAAAGGTTCAACTATACTTTGCCACACAAACCACTACTGCATTTCCAAAAGGTTTCTTTACACAAACCTGCCACCTCTTTAAATGACCAGAAAAGCACCCGGTCTCCTTTTCTTTCAATGACAGTATGCATGGATGGAGGGCACAGCTGAGCTAAGGGTTAAAAATTACTACAAGTGAAAGCATTTTCCAGCAAAGAATAGGGCCAGCTTCCCCAGTCACACTAAGCTGACATTCACAGACGTTGGAAAATTAAAATGCACTTTTAATACTTTACTCACTACAAGAAAATAGTGGTTTTGGAAAGTTTTGTGTGTTCATGCTTCATCCCTAGAGCCAGGAAAGCAGAAGCTAACTACCATAGCTATTGGGCATAAAGGTGTTGCATTCCAGCCACAAAGTGCGCTCAGAGAATCCAGTAGAAATTGGACAAAAACAAATCCAGCATACACTTCAATTGCTTGAGGCAGGCCAAAACTCCCACTGTAATCCTTGGCAAGGCACTCAAAACTAAGAAACTTGCCCTGATTTAACTCAAAGCAGCAACACTTAAGGCAAGTGCTACTCTATGTGGTCTTTTAAAGAAGTTTCCACATACTGTATTACAATTTGTCCAATAATACAAGAGAACTGGTAAAACTATATATGTACCACACAAGAATCTGAAGAACTCCGTGAATTAAAATTAAATTGACAATACTCAGCACCATACTCAGTAAAAATCCAGTTAAGCAAGCCAACAGAATTACAGGTTTTAATAAGGTCTGACGTGCCTACCTCAACCAGCAGTAGATAAGCCAGAAAGGGAAGTAAGTTCTAGGTAAATATCTCACAGCTGTTACAGTCTGTCCCTACAATAAAGAGAAAATCTGCTTTTGTTATGAACCATCAGCTGACCTTGCTGACAAAGCAAAACCAGCACTTCTGGACACCATCCACAGGCATTAATCCAGAGGATGAGGTTTTCTCCAATTCATCAAATATTTTGATATTCCCAGAGATCTAATTTCACTGGTCTACAAAAAACCCCTCCCCTTTAACACATGCATACAAATCCTTCTATGCAGAGGCTAATATGCTGTTTCTATTGCACACCCATTTCTCATTTATATACCTTCCTTTCTAATACACACACTTTTCAACTAATTCCTGCAATATTTACCTCTTAAGACTCCTGTCCTAGCAGCAAATATTAAACACATTTTGTTAAAAATGCTCTTTCCTAAGGGTCGCCATTTCAATGGACACATTTTATATAAACTTATCAACTCCACCAACCCACCAAAACTAGATTTTACAGAGAACAATGCCTAAAAAAAATTCTATCCTAGCTTCACATTCATAATCGAAGAACAAAACTGAAAAATCTGCTCATAGTTTACATCAAACAAATTCTTATTTAAAAACCAACAAGCAGACTTTTAACCCAATCCCATGCATGCCTACACTCAGAAGTACGTACCACGAAATTCCAAAGGACTGTGGTCTTAATCTCAGCATAAGCACACTTGGGGAACAACATTTACAGTTGCACTTTTTTGGCAAGTGCAAAGAATAACAAACTCTCTTCTTCAGCATTAAAAAGGAGTATTACAGCACAAACACAGAGGCACCAGGCCCAACTCCTGGCAGGTGGGATTCCCTTTCCACCCATCCACCATCCACCACCTCCCCTTCCTGTTGTAAAACGCACAGACATGTACACTGGTCTCCCTCAAAAACAAAGCAAGGATACTTTCCCCTCCAAGCCAACCCTCTTGGATCCTCTTCTGGAGGAAGAGCCATGCCCAAAACTCGCCTCCTCTCTAGGCAAGAGAGCCCTTCCTTTTCTTACAAAGTGAAAGAGAAACTGTAGTATAGCTGCCTTAGTCCTGTATGACATCGACATTTGTTTTTCCTGTTTTGTTTGAACATAAAAAATGCTGGCCCTTTCACTGAGAGGCTCAGCCAGGCAAGAGTGTGTGGGAGAGGACCCTCCTTTCTAACAGAGAAATAAAGAGGGTGGGTATGTGTAATATCATCCCCCACCACCCATATTTCATATGCTGAGGGGCCTCCGGTAGAGAAGAGGTTTGTCCTCTTGCCTACACAAGTTTGGGTCCTGCTCCTTCCCCCAGTTCACCTCTGAGGTACACACAACACATTCATCCTGAAACTGTCTGATGGACAGCTCCATCCTCCCCACCTACCCCTGAAACACACACACAAACCACTCCATGCTGCCTCCATCCTTAAGGGAGGAGATCTGACCTCCCCACACCTTATTCTAATCTCCTTCCCCCTACATTCTCTCTAGGGCCCCCTTTTCTTTCCCCTGCACGCTCATCCATCTTTAGAAGCAGCTCCTTGACGTCCCCTTAGAGGAGATGCTCCTGTTCCTTTTTTCCTTCCATCTACACGAAATAAGTTCAAGCTCTCCATATATGAAACATACACACACACCCAGGCTACACCCGTTCCTCGCTTCCAAGTCCCTAAATCCACACATTCCCCCACAGACGGCAAAGTCCTCCTGGCTACACACGGGTTCCTCAAAAGATGACACACCTACCCCTTTTTGTCCCCTCATAAATCCACACATTCCCAGAGAGAGGACACCATACATTCAGACGATCCTCCAGAAAGTGGACCCGTTTTTACATGGCTGCCACACAGATATTCCCCCCCTCCTAAGTCCACACGTTCCTCCTGGCTACACGCGTGCCCCTCATTGGGGGTGGGGAAGGGAGGATGGACGGGTGGATGGAGAAGCGATGCATGCCCCTCCATGGGTGCCAAAGGATACTGCTGGGGCGGCTGTGTCTGGAGAGCCCTGATGCTGGCGGGGTGAGGAGGCGCCGTCGCCGCTCCTACAGCCGGTGCAGCGGCAGCGGCGGCAGCAGCCGCAGCAGGGGACGGCGGCGGCGGCGGCGGCCCGGTTGCTGCCGCTGCTGCTGGAGGCGGCGGCGGGGCAGGAGCAGCAGCGGGAGGCGGCGGCCCTCCGGGCCCTACCCCTCCACCAGAGGGGGTCCCCGTGGTCGTGGCCGCTCCCGCCGCCGCCGCCACCGCCGCCGCGCCGGGCTTGAGGGCCGCCTTCTGCGGTAAGCTCATGGCCAAGCGGAGCCACCACCAGGCCGGCGGCGGCGGGGCGGCCGCCGCCGCTGCCTGAGGGGCGGGGAGCGGCGGGGCGGCGGCGGCGGCGGGGGCAGCCCGGCGGGCCAGCACCCCGGCCGGTCTCCGTGACAACGCGGCCGGCCTGCTCCCTCCGCCGCCGCCTCCCTCAAGTGCTGCCGCGCGCTGCCGCCGCCGCCTCCCGCCGCCGCTGCTCTTCTTCGCCCGGCCGGCTCCTGCGGCTGCTTGCCTGCCTGCTCGGCTGGCGAAGGGTCGGGCGGGGGCCGCTCAGGCCGCGCCGCCGCTCATAGGGCCGCCGCCCTCGGCGGGTTTCGGTGCCCCTGGCCCCGGCGGAGCGGCTCCCGGGCGTCGGGCGGGTGTCGGGCGGGCGATGCCGGCGGATTCTCCTCACGGACGGAGCGGAGCATCCAACATGGCGCTGGCGGCCGCCTCCAGCAGTCCGGCAGGACGACGACGGGCGACGAAGGAGGGCGCTCGGCTGCTCGGCAAGCTCCGGAAGCGCTCGGCTCCTCCGGCTGCCACAGCAGCGTCGCGGGTCGCGGGTCGCGCTGGGGTGGGGGGGGGAGGGGGAGGCGCCCGCGCGCTGTAGGCTTCCGAGCTCGGGTATCTTCGGGGAAGCCGACTCCGGCCGCTCTGTTCGTACCTCGCTCGCCCGCTCGTGCCGAGCCACTTCGGCTGTTCGGGAAGGTTCGGAAAGCCGGCGCTCCTCGCCAGCCTCTCTGCTTCGGAGGCGTCCATCCCCCGGTGGTACCCTAAAGGCAGCAGTTTAGGGCAGGTCCAGACTCCCGCCCATGCAGCAGAGCTGCATTTCATTTCATTTTATTTCATTTTATTTTTTGCTGCTGCTGCTGCTGCTATTATTACAGACCCTCCAAGTGACCCTAATTTCCATTGGCAGTAGTTGATTTACAGAAGCCATCCCAGTTTCTGATTTAATTCTGGAATGTCCCGCTTTGCCTTAGGTCAGGCATCCCTATTTTCACCAGATAAATGAGTTATACGACCCCCGAGCCAAGGAGATAAGTAACTATACATCCTAGAAGACGTCTGAATGGAAGCCCTTTATACATAGAACTGTAGAGCTGGAAGGGACTGCGAGGGTCATTTGGTCCAATCCCCTGCAATGCAGGAATATTTCACTCAATGTGGAGCTTGAACCCACAGCCCTGAAATCAACAGTCAGATTTTTTTTTTTAATGTTTAATGTTTTATTCTGTTTTTATATATGTTGGAAGCTGCCTGAAGTGGCTGGGGAAACCCAGTCGGATAGGTGGGCTATAAATAATAAAATGATGATAATGGAATATTTTGATCAGATAAATATTGGAGGTTATGTTATTACTGCCAGTTTCTTATCCAGCCTTCACCCTAAGGTCCCAGAGCAGGTGACAACAATTAAAACAACACTACGCGGCATTTAAAAACCATTTCAAACAATTTAAAAACTACAAAAATAAAGTGGATCCAATTAAGACAGAGCAGTAGTCCATCTAGCTCACTAACGTTGATGCTGACTGGCAGTAGCTCCAGATGGTTTCAGGGTGGAGGTGGTTGCTCAGCCCTACCTAGGGATGCTCCCTGGGATTGAAAGTGGGACCCTCTGCATGCAAGAGCAAATGCTTGACCAGGGAGCTTCCCAAATGATGGTTTCATGTGCTACCTCCAAGATCAGATGCAGCGCACTGCTAGACAAGATGCTTCCACTTTGGCCTGATCCAAAGAAATACACGTCACCCTCTAAGAGGGAGCCCCCACCATGCCCACTAAGACCATTAAGTCTAGAATTTAAAATTACCTTTAGCACCTCTCTGTCCATTGAATCTGGGAATCTGCTGAACAGGCAAGGGGTTCATGTAGATTTTGCGCTCCCATATCGGACTCTACAGCCACAGCAGGCACTGCAACCTTCCAACGGCTTGACTTCACCCCCAAAGGGACATTGCATCCCGAGACAGAAAGATGCCAACCAGATAACATCTGAAAGGGAGCCATTATATGTCAGAACTTCTACTGGAGCTAGGGTTAAAGCCCCAGGAGCAGTTCAGAAAGCCCAGCTGTTCCTCCTTTAAATATGTGATACTGTAATGGATAAATATATAACCTGTGAACATGGGCAGAGTGCATTTCCTTAGTGTCCCAGTAACCACAGCAACCCTCCCCTGGGATGAGAAGGGAGAATTAAGTGACTGGAGTTGGGGTCTGGCCCCAAAGGCAAGACCAGGGTCAAATCTTTGATCTGTTTTTGACTGTATGACTCATTCAGTCCTGGAAGCTGGAATAGGAAATAATGCCTCTCCACAGAAGGAGCGCGACTTTCTCTGGCACCAGACACTCCACATGCATCAGGTAATTGCAATAGTTGGTGAAGGCGTGTGAGACACCACAGGAGCCGTCACTGAGCAGGTCTCCTCCAGATGTTTTGTACTACAGCTCCCATCAGCCCCAGCCAGCACATGATGGGAGTTGTAGTCCAAAACATCTGCTCCCTGAAGGTTGCAGTAGGTCAAGAAACCAGAGGACAAAACAGGAGGGGGGGGGGAGCTAGACCTGGAAAAACTTGACCCTCCCCCATTCCCAAGTAACTGCTGACTGTGGGTGATCAGAGACAGCCTTAAGTTCGCAATACACCTCAGGGTTTAATTAATACCTTCTCTATAACTCTCTTTCCACAACAACACAATTCCACCCTGAATTAACTTGGTCCAGTTGTCATTTTATCCTCCCCAACTGCAGCCTGCCCAAACCTCGTGCACTGCAGATGTTATGGACTGTAATTCCCACACACCCCCAGAGCATGAGGGTGTCATCCAAGACCTCTGGAGGACACTATGTTGAGAAAGATTTCCCACTCTATTGAAGGTAAACGTCCATTACTAAACATCCCACATTCCTTCCCTGTTGTACCTTCAACCGCCGTCTTCCTTCTCTCTGCATCTGATTTCAGGGCAGAGGCCTCCCTTGTCATTCCCTTGTACACCCTCGACGTCAAATAAAACAGAGGCCGTTGAATTATTTTCTTAGCTGGATGGTCTAAATTCTAAAGAACAGCAAATGTGGAAAACCAAAACCAGCTTTGGGCATCCATCAGAGTCATGCCTGCTTTGAAGTCTTTGGCATCACTGCAGCATGGATTTATTATTTATTTCATTTAATACAAGTTTATATAGCTTGGTGGCTGTTGGCGTTTTTTTCTTTTGTTTAAAACCCACGGCATGGTTTACACAAAAGAATAAAACGATGAAATCATCAGTAAATAAAGCTGAAGACCAACTGTTTCGAACCTTCAAAGCAGAATGACAATCTACAATAAACTAAAAACCAAATTAAAACGCATGTAAACGTTCCACATGTCTGCTTAGGCATGCTTAAACAAAGTGCTAAAAAATAGTGCCGTGACAATAGGGAGGGAATTCCAAAGAGTGGGTGCTTCCACACTATAATTTTGATTTCTTACAAATGTGCAATGAGTGTCATGTGCCAGTTCTGCAGATTGAAGTCGTCAAATGGGCATTGCATGGGGAAAGGCAATTTGCAGCCCTTCAGACCCAAGAAGACCAGAAACACCATTGAGATCTCTGTTTGTTGCCCTCCAGGTTAAGGAGACCAATGGAAGGTATCTCCTCTGCCTGGGCTGCACAAATCCCGACTTCCTGGCACATGACCATTCGGGGTGGTTAAAGAGATGGGTGCTCCCTTCTCATTTAAAGTCTCTGTGAGCAGTGCCAAGGTTTTCTGCATCAGGGCAACTGACAGACAGGAGAAGCTTGCATTTGGAGGCATTCCTTGCCTGCCCTGCCCTCTAGTGTTTGCTGCTCAATATACAAGACAAAGATGAAACCAGAACATCCTGGCATCTCTTAGGGCTGCTCTGGACACGCATGCATTTTTACGCGTGTACAGTGGTACCTCGGGTTACAGACGCTTCAGGTTACAGACTCCGCTAACCCAGAAATAGCACCTCAGGTCAGTGGCGTAGCGTGGGTTGTCAGCACCCGGGGCAAGGCAAGTAATTTGCGCCCCCTAACCCGTGGATTTTAGCAGGGGGCAGAGAGCTGCGAGTGAGAGCGCGCCCCACCCCAGATGTTGCGCCCGGTGCGGCCGGGCCCCCCCTGCACCCCCCACGCTATGCCACTGCCTCAGGTTAAGGACTTTGCTTAAGGATGTGAACAGAAATCGCATGGTGGCGGCGCAGCGGCAGCAGGAGGTCCCATTAGCTAAAGTGGTACCTCAGGTTAAGAACTTTCAGGTTAAAAACGGACCTCCGGAACGAATTAAGTTCTTAACCCAAGGTACCACTGTATTGCATTGGTGCAATAATAGTGCATTTGTTGGCATCCATCTGTCTCCAGGGACAACGGAGTGCATCTCTGGGGGTGAAGCCCAACTCTTGCATGAGCAGCACCAAAGTGACCTCCCTGGGGCGGAAGCCAGGGCAGCGTGTATAGGTGATGCCCGGTTGCCCTCAGGATTGGGGGGGCCCCTTTGCGCATGTGTGTGACATTGCAAGGGGTTGGACTAGATGACCACTGTGGTCCCTCCCAACTCTATGATTCCATGATATCCCTACACTGTACAGGCCAGGGCAGCCCTGAAACCATCATGAGCACAAAGCAGGCTATGGTTGTACAATAAGGGACACATCCTCTGCATTCAAATGTATGAGTCAACGTAGTCAAGATCTGAGGCCTCACTCCAAATCCACTCCAGATTGTATACACTTCCAGAGTTAATGCTAAATACATTACTTCTGGTAAATGAGCCACCATAGCTGCTAAAGGGCCATGAAAATGCGTGTCCTGGGCTTTTTAGACGCTTCTACCCATGTACTGCAAGAAGATCAAACCTCTCCATTCTTAAGGAAATCAGCCCCGAGTGCTCACTGCAAGGACAGATCCTGAAGCTGAGGCTCCAATACTTTGGCCACCTCATGAGAAGAGAAGACTCCCTGGAAAAGACCCTGATGTTGGGAAAGATGGAGGGCACAAGGAGAAGGGGACGGCAGAGAATTTTGTTTCTTTACTTAAAATATTCATATCTCACTTCCCAATTAAAAAAAAAAGGAACTTGAAGGTGGCTTACAAACATTGGCACACAGGGTAGAACCAACATAATAGGAAACAAAACAAAAGCAGCTTAATGAAATCTGAAAAAGCAGAGACCAAAAGAAGTCAGGAAAAGACCAATAACTTTAACCTGGTGCTTAAGTATGGCACTATTGAGAGGGTATTCTGTAAGGAGGGGCACCACGGTTGAAAAAGGTATACCTGGGCATAGCCAAGGGGGGAAGGCAGGGAAGGGCAGCTGCCCCCACCCATTCAATAAAAATCAACAAAAATACATAACAAACTGAGGTTCTGTACCCCTAACAAAAGACCTGCCCCCATGGTGCTGGAGGAGACTCTTGAGAGTCCCATGGACTGCAAGAAAATCAAACCTATCCATTCTGAAGGAAATCAGCCCTGAGTGCTCACTGGAAGGACAAATCCGGAAGCTGAAGCTCCAATACTTTGGCCACCTCATGAGAAGAGAAGACTCCCTGGAAAAGACCCTGATGTTGGGAAAGATGGAGGGCACAAGGAGAAGGGGACGACAGAAGACGAGATGGTTGGACAGTGTTCTTGAAGCTACTAACATGAGTCTGACCAAACTGCGGGAGGCAGTGGAAGACAGGAGTGCCTGGCGTGCTCTGGTCCAGGGGGTCACGAAGAGTCAGACACGACTAAATGACTAAACAACAACCCATGTACTATCTGAAACCAAATACATGATTTGTTTTTTTCAGCTCTCCAACCCCACTATTAAGAAAGGCTGGGTTGACTAGTCCAGGGCCCAACCTTTAGGTAAAGCCAGCTGCAACATTCAGAGTCACTTTGGGACACAAGGCCTGTAGACCACTACCAGCGCTGGCTGGCAGTAGTGTTGTTACCATGGCAGCACTGCCCCAGTAGGCCTTCGCTGGGTTCTACAGAGGCCTCTACTCTTTCTTGCCCGAGCCTCCTCCATGCTTGACGAAAGAGACTCCATCTTGGAAGTGCTTCAATTGTGACATTTGTGTGCAAGCCACACCTCAAAACTGTATTTCCTGTAGAGATGCTAAAAAACATACCCCCGGCCCCAAGATGAAGTGTGAAATTGGCTGCTGGTGTTTTAACCAGGGTGACAACTGGGTTCACACTAGTGGCTTTTCCATTTTGATATTTATAAGTCCCCTTTCTTTCCTGTTGGATAATGGACAGGTTCCTTCTTCCTTTTACTTTTACTACTACTATTATTATTATTACTTTTCAGGTTTACACATTTCACTAATTTTACAATTTTTTTTTTTAAAAAGATTGATTTCCTGAAAAGTAAGTGTCAACTCAGAGAAAATGGTACCACCCCATGGAAGTCAGTAGATGTTTTGGAAAAGCATTCCATAATAACCAAAGCAGATTCCACACTCCTTCTATTTAAACCATTTCTCTTCTTTGAGTTAATTGATGGCTTGTAGAGTTTCCAGTCTTGCAGCTCTTACCCCTCGGAGTCTTTTGATGGTTTGTAAGACTTCCACTACAACTGAACCTCTATCTACTTCCCTAGCACTTATATGATGTTTCTCCCCTGTATGAGTTTGTTGATGTTTTGTAAGAAGTCCACTCCGATTGAAGCCATTTCCACACTCATTGCATTCAAATGGTTTCTCACCTGTGTGAAACCATTGAATTTTACAATCATTTTGACATTTCAAAACTTGACTTCCTTCCCCCTTTCTGCAGTTCCTTAAATTTATTTTTAATATCTTCTGCATATCCAAATTAACTTAATTTGCTCATTTATTAATCTTCTTTAAATATATACTCTTATGAAACTGCAGGTTCCTTTTGCTTTCAGGCAGCTGGCAAGAGTTGAGGTGGCATCAAGATAAGGTGCATTTGTTTTGTGCCCTGCAGTTTCTTGCAACTGTTCGCATTAAGAGTGCACTTCTAGCAAGACTTATTTTACATACCTGCTTCATCTCTTCCTCTTTGCTTAGTTAACTTTCAGGCATCTGCTGGTTACCTTCCTCTTTCAACAAACCTTTTAAATGGAGATCCTCTTCCCAGTCTGTGTAAGTATTGGAATAACTCTTGTTTTTATAGGTGGAATAGGTTTTCTAATGTTTGCATTGTTTTTACATACAAGATTTTCCTTGTTTTATTACACTATATGGAACTGCTTTTAATTGCTTTTACACTTTTCTTGCTTTCTTTGTTCTCTGTGTATTTTACAGTCGTGACCTGTCCTGGGGCCTTGCTGTGAAGGACGGATAAGAAATTGAACAAAATACACAAGTATAAAAAGACCCCCTAAGGTGACGTATGAAAAGATAATGAAACAAGATAAACAAGCAGTCTGGGAAAGATTACTAATGATACACATTAGTACCTGCTACTGTTTGTGGATCTGAACCAGCCTTTGTGGACGAAGAGTTGTACCCAATACTAGTCCATGTAATGTAATGTAATGGCCATAACTAGCTGAGGTTCATTAGTTTCAGTGGGTCTGCCCTGACTCTAACCAAGCTGGAAACGGCCCAAGGCAATTCTGAAAGGAGAGTATTCGTTTAGTTAAGCAGATCTGGGTTCAAGTCACTGTTCAGTTGTGACATACCAGCCTCTGCCTGGACTGAGAGCAAGGATGAAGAAACCAGAATGGTGAAAAATTCACCTCCTAGAATTCTATTGCTTGTTTCCCAGGTAAGCAGAGACCATTATAAATGGCCAATAGGCAAGAATTTATTATACTGCAGGTTTTAGAGCTTGCATTTTTTTATTGTGGTAAACTGCTCAAAACTGTTCAATAAGTGTAGATATTTTAATGAACAAATAACAAATAGTGTGAGGGGAAAATAGGAACCTTGGTGGGAGATAGGGGATAGTCAAAAGCAGAGTTAGGGACACACACACACAAACTCCCAAAATTAATAAAACCCAAGAAAAGCTTTTATTTCAAAATTACAATAATCTCCAAAGATGCAGGGAAGGTGACAACAAAGAACAAATCAGCCAGACCTTATATTCTCCCCCATCCTGTCCATACATAAATACCACAATATTCCTCCCAGACCTTCCCCTAGTCTGAAATAAGTTTGGCCTTGTCTGGTGCGAAGAAAATAATTTCCTAATATTTCCCTTTTTCAGTGGCTACAAGCCTTCCCAGATGCTGAGCAAGCCCCCTTAGGGTATCACAAGCCCTACATTTTTGGTGGTGGTGGTCTTCCTTCTTTCCATTTGGAGGGGAGAAGTTCTACTAGGTCTCCCTGCCCCCAGCCCTCTTAAAACATCTGCTGCACCATCTTGAAGCGATCAGCTCGCGTTCTTCTTGGGTCCAATTACTAAAAGCAGATTACACAAATGGAACCATTTTTGCTCTGCACAGGAGGGATCCAAGAGGAAAACCAGAAGAGGAAGAGAGCAGCCCAAAATGGGAAGGATGGCGGCTGCAGCAGCAGCGGCAGCACTGGGTTCAAGAGCAGCTCTGTGCTCTCACCACACAAAGCGGGGTCTGTTAAGGGGTACAAAACCCTGGGGTGGTTTTCCTTCTTCGCTCTCCCCTGCACAGGTGATGGAAAGGCACCCTCTCCTTACCTTCAGTGGTGGGAGAAGGCAGCTGAACAAAATGGCATCAAGGGATCAGTGCTCGTCCCAAGCAGCAAAAAAGAGACCACTTTTGGTCACCAGGAAGAGAGAAAAGGGGGGGGGGAGAGAAGGGAGACAGACAGATAAGACAGGAGCTTGGGGGAAATCAGGAAGAGTGTCCAAGGCACCCTTTCCACAAGTCCAAGATGGCAAGATGTCAGAGGTGGCATGATCAGTACAATACCTGCTGGATCTTTGTTTACTGTGTGCTTGCAGGGCTCATTGTTTGGTGCAGGGCAGGATTTGGCCCAGGAAGTGCATGATGTTGCTGGTGGGAGGATTGCGCCAACATTGTTAAGGCACTAGAAGCGCATTCTCAGCCATGTTGAGAGTAAGGCATTTCCCCACCGCAAAGATAAAGCTCACACTCACTCATTTTCTCAACTCCGGCCCATGTGTCGCAGCAGGGCAGAGTTCAAGCAACCATGTTCCCCACCTGCACATCTGCAAGGCCACCCACCACAAGACAGACTGAGGACAGGAAGTGGGGACACTGCTGCTGTACCCAGAGCCCCAGAAACTCAGTGGCTATCCCTTTGCACCCCCAGGTCCTCCTGGAGTTGTGGTACCAAATGATGGACAGCCACTTCCACAGGAAATGAAGAGTGGGGACTCCACAAGCCTACAAAGTTTGGGAGGCTGCGAACCAACTGATCCGTTTCGCCCGTCCTCAGGGCAGGAGGCTCACCAGACAAAGTAAAGACAGACAGACACACAAGCCAAAAATACACGCAAGATGGACTTCTTCAAGAGCAAAAGATGAAGAGAAACCACTAATCACTACGCAAGCATAGTCTTGCTGACTCTTTGGAATGAAGGCATCTCAACTTGTAGTGGAGTTGGGGAGGCCTGGGTTGAACTTGCAATACCAGAGCTCTCCCCTCCTCTGTTTAATTCAAGGCATAAGAAAGCTTGCCTAGGAAAGGAGGTACAGCACATCTTCTCTCCCTGCCTGAAGTTCAGCATACGAGTTGGGATTGCAATGGCTCCTGGCCCCAGTGTGTTGCAGGGAGGCTGGAAGGAGAGACGGGCAGCTCACAAGTCCAAGGAAGCTCTGTTTCTTCAAGGAAGTTTGTCTGCAAGCGCAGGAGCATCACTGCCCAAGTCCCACCAGTCAAGGGGTCTCCGAAACCGACCGCTGTATTTCAGTACAATAAAAAATGGCTTTGTCATGAGGCAGACAGTCTTCTCTGCAGTCCTGACACCTGTCCACAGCTGAAAGCTCCAGGTTTTGTGCCTTTGTCGAGCTGCTGAGCACCCGAGAGTTCACAGTGGTGGAGGGCACTGGTAAAGCAAAAGCAGTTAGATGCATGCAAGAGTTTGGCTGTGGTGTAGAGTTTGCTGACACCACACAAACAGCCAGGATTTGGGGCCTTTTCAAATTCAGTAACCCTTAATTAAGTTATTAAGGCCACAAGGGGGTGGGGGGAGGAAGGGAGAACATGTCAGCTGCAGGTCCGTGGGCCTAACAAGCCTTTAAAATTTCTTTTACTTGGGGTTATGCGTACAAATGTCCGGATGATTCAGCTCCAGACTCAATACAGGCATATTCTTTGGCTGAGCAAAGACAGACAGTACTTCAGCAAGACTTTCAGGGGCTACTTCTTCAGCGGCACTGAAACTGCCCACGTCAGCTGGGGTCTTGACACACAAGGTACATCATTCGAGGTGCATCTTCGAGTTTGTGATGGGGGCATTTCTCTGCAAGGCAGCTCATCTTCCTGGTGCAAAGGCTGCCAACGATGGCTGGTAGGTTGTGACATGCTTGTCCTGCTGGGAAATCTCTCAGATTTAGCTTGGAGATTGAAGCCCCAAGCCCCAAAGGCAGCATTTTTAGAAAATGTGGCCTGCTCTGCGCCTGGGGCTAGGGCAGAGGTCCGGGATTTTAATTGGGAAAGTCAACAGTGTTGCCAGGAAGGAAAGGGTTTTGGAGAAGCCAGGCCCCAGAATATTTCCCAAGCAAAAAGAGAGTCTGCGTGGAAATGAGCCGTTCCTCCTAAGAAGACACGGGGGGTGAGGAGAGATGAGCCATGGGGGAGGTTTGTATCCTGCCTCTCAGCTTTAAGCAGAATGCCCTTAACCTAGAATTGCACACACACGCAATAAATATACCAGTCCATTCAACTCAATACATTTTCCCTGAACTTTCCAGTGTTCTGCAAGATTAAAAAAAAAAAAAAAAATTCCGCAGAAATATCTTACAAGTTTTACCATGTGTATGTGAGCGCACAAAACTTATACATATGTATGGACGTGTATGTCTGTCTACAGAGAGGGTTGGCGCTTGTTAGATGTGACCAAAATGGGTTCTCTTTTAAAATTTGGGTGGTTCCCCCTTTTGGGGGGAAAAATGACGCAAGAACTTCCAAGCCTATGGTGGCGAATAGCCAGTCCCGCCCCCCGCTGCATATTGGGGGGGGGGGGGAGACGGCACGACCTTATCCCCACCCCAAAGTCAGTGCATCTGAAACACAGACATGCGTGCAGACTTCTGCACTTTTAGCAAAGTGAGAGGCAAAGGGGGACACCGATGCAATTGGTTCCGGAGTAGAGGACATCTTCACAGTGGGTCAAATGGGGTGGTGCTTTGGGGTGAGGGCTGGGGACCCCTCCCAGCCATCGCAGAGCGCTGAGCTAGTCCCAAGGTCACGGGGCGCCTCTTAGGTGTGGAGGAAGGCTGAGGGCACCCCCTCCTGCTGTGTTTCCCCCGGGCTGCCCTCCAGTTCATCCCATTCCTTTTCTCTCTCCTCGGCTTTGGGGAACTTCACCAGACCTCGCACTTCCGCTGCGGGTTCATGGGGGAGCCCCGTGGGCACCGGAAGTGCTCCGAGAACTCTGGGGAATTGGAGATGGTCCCGATGACTCGGAAGCGGGAGGGGCTGTGAGAGTCGGTGACCAGTCCTTCGTGAGAGCTCTCCGGGGTGCGGACGGAGCACCAGACCTGGAAGGAGAAAGGAATCGCAAGAGGAATTGCACATCCAGCTAAGTCTTATGCCCCCAGCTCAATTGCAGAGATCACCCACAGAAGTGTTGTTGGTTGTTCCCCAAGTTGGTGAAGCTCGCTTGACAATGATGAGAAACTGAGCCTTTAAGTTTTGTTGGCACAGCCCAGTGGAACTCTCAACCTCTGGAATTTTAGCAGGCGCCTTCAGTGCCAATTTTTTTAATGCCTGCTGAAAACCTTTCTATTCTGCCAGGCCTTTGCAGGCAATTAGGAAGACGTCCTTCCACAATGGTTAATTTATGGCCTGCTTTTTTAAACTTTTAAAATATGGTTTTGGTTATATGTTTTTATTATTGTCAACCATACAGCAGTAGACCTAGTGAAATTAATGGGACTGAGTTTGCCATGAGCATTCATTTAAGTGGTTCTACTCTCGAGTAACATCAGCTACCACCCAAGGCATTGTAAGGAGAGAGAACAGCATCCTGGAAATCCTCGTGAATCCCATTATTATCATGGAGAGATGAGCTATTGAAAGGAGGGCAAATTTATGGGAAAGTGTTTATTTGTAAATCACTGGGATGTGAAGTATCACCATAATATTCAACAGGATGTATTATTTCATGTAAATCAGAGTTACTTTTCTGCTCCTGTAAATCTTGAGTTTTAATCCATGCTAAGGGTTGTATCCAACTACAGTGGTACCTCGGGTTAAGAACTTAATTCGTTCCGGAGGTCCGTTCTTAACCTGAAACTGTTCTTAACCTGAAGCACCACTTTAGCTAATGGGGCCTCCCGCTGCCACTGCACCACCGCCGCACGATTTCTGTTCTCATCCTGAAGCAAAGTTCTTAACCTGAGGTACTATTTCTGGGTTAGTGGAGTCTGTAACCTGAAGCGTCTGCAACCCGAGGTACCACTGTATTAATTCAAAGCAGACCCACTGCAAAAAATGATCCTGGGTTATATCCAACGCTAGTCCTACTCAGACAAGACCCAGTGAGATTAATAGGCCTAAATTGGTCATGCTCCCCAACTTCAATGGGCCTATTCTGAGTAGGAAAAGCATTGGATACAACCAAGGTCATGAAGCAGGGTACAACAGGTTTGCTAACTAGGTAATGATTTATTTGCATTTTTCTTCTAATGACCAAGAATGATCTTGAGGTCTTGGAGGGCACAGAAGACCGCCTCCAACTAATTCCAGGCTTGGGTTACAACAATATAAAATACAGCATGAATAAACTGTTCAACATGCACAAAAATAGGATGGGTCCTAAAAATACACATGTTCTTTTTTCTTGGAAAACAATAAAAAATAAATATATCTCTCTAGATCCATACATCTCAGGTGTCAAAAGGCCTGCATATAGTTAGTCACAGCCTTCTCTGTCTGTAGCATCGAACCCAGAGACAAAACATAGCCCAGGCATGCCATCATCCACCCACCGCCAAAATGGGACACTCAGACCCACCTGGGCAAACCCCACAAAGAAGAGCTGGTAGTTGGTGAGGCCCAGCGTGGGCAAAGTCTCCTCTTCTCCATTTTTCCTCAACCAGTTCTGATAAGCCTGGAAGATGAGGAGGGAAAAGCGAATCAAAACAGGATGCCATAGAGCTGGAGAAGGCTCAGTAAAATTAATGAATGTTAGAAAAATGTTGGAATGAAGTTATATGGCTTTAGTAGAAATGTTATAAGGAATTAAGTACAGATAGATTAATAGAGCATTAAAGGAAAAAATAAGGTTAGAATGAGTTAAGATAATTATAGGATAGAAAACAGAGGAAGATGGAAAGGAATTGCTGAAATAATTAACAGAAGTGGAATACAAAAAGGGAGGTGTGAGGAGGTCGTGGAAATAAGTGAATGAAAGATGGGATAATGAAATCGTTTGATTTATTTTATTGTTTTTGTTTTGTTTTGTTAATTTAATGTATTGCATTGTATTGTCTTTTTAGTGTTTAAGTCTTTGGAAAAATAATAAATATTATTTTTAAAAAAAAAGAGCTGGAGAAGGCTCAGGTAAGCACAGCCAAAACGATCAAGGGGTTGGAGCAAGTTCCCTGGGAGGAAAGGGATAACACCTGCTTTATGGGGGGGGGCGTAGAAAAAAGGGAGCACAACAGGGGGCATGATACAATTACTCATAGAGGAGAAAGTGGATCTCATAGCGCTAGGACTCAGGGCCACCCAAGGAAACAGAATACCTGAAGGTTCAGGAAGAAACGACTTTTTCGCAAGTTTGAAACTATGGAACTCACTGCTGCAGGAGGCAGGGATGGCCACTGACTTGGAGGTTAGATGATTACAGTGGTGCCCCGCAAGACGAATGCCTCGCAAGACGAAAAACTCGCTAGACGAAAGGGTTTTGCGTTTTTTGAGCTGCTTCGCAAGACGAATTTCCCTATGGGCTTGCTTCGCAAGACGGAAAACGAAAACGTCTTGCAAGTGTGTTTCCTTTTCTTAACACCATTAATACAGTTGCGACTTGACTTCGAGGAGCAACTCATAGAACGCGGTGTGGTAGCCTTTTTTGAGGTTTTTGAAGGCTTTGGTGATTTTTGAAGCTTTTCCAAAACTTCTTTTGCACCCATTTGGTAAGTTAAACTTTTAAAACTTTTTTGGGGGGTTTTGGATTTTGGGTTGGGGTGTTTGGAATTCAAGGACTTGGTGTTGGGGAGGGGTTTGCAAGAATCTGGAAGCTTGTGTTTTTTTCCCCTGCATTTTTATGATTTTCTGTGACCATTGGGCCACTCTGCTGTTTTTTAAAAAAAATTCTGGATTTGAATTTCTGTGTGGTGGGTGGCTGGGGAACAGTTGAGGAGGGGTTCTTCAGCAAGAAGCAAAGAGTGGAAGAGGAACCTTCTTCGAGTTGTCCCCCAGAGTCTTAGAAAATGTACTGTACACTTTGTTGATTTTTAAATGTTTTTCTGTCATGTTTAGAAACTTAATTTATTGTTCCTTCAGTTTTTGAAATGCTCTTTACAGTATGTGTGACTTTAAAGAGCACTTAATAAACTCTTGTTGTACCAAATTTGGCTTTGTTTGGACTTTTTTTGACCATAGGAACGCATTAATTGAATTTCAATGCATTCCTATGGGATTTCATGCTTCGCAAGACGAAAAATTCGCTAGACGAAAAAACTCGCGGAACGAATTAATTTCGTCTTGCGAGTCACCACTGTAGATAAATTCATGGAACAGAGGGCTATCAAAGGTTACTAGCCAGAATGCCTACGTTCTGCCTCCATGGTCTGAGGCAGCAATGATTCTGGAAACTGCAGGAGGGGAGAGTTGCTCATGTGAGCCGGCCCTGTTTGTCGGCTTCCCAGAATGGGTATCTGGCTGGCCACTGTGAGAACAAGAATCAGGACTGGATGGGCCCCCCTTTGGCCCGACCCAGCAGGACTTATCATACACCCTTCCGACTCTTACAGCTAGATTACAGGAATAGTCACAGCAATTAACGCCTAGTCCACATTTAGCTCTTATACATATTTTCCCCATAGACCCATGGCTCCCAATGTGGGGCACATGCCCCACAGGGGGGCAATTTGATTTTTAAGGGGGGCAATTTGAGAATACGTGATTAACAGTCAATGGCCTTTTAGGCTTCCTCCATGTGAATAGCTCACTTTTTGAATAGTAAGAATTATATGTTAATGGCGTGGGGCGGGATCAGGATATTAGAGATGCTTAGGTGGGGCATAGGCACGCGGGTGGTGCTGTGGGTTAAACCACAGAGCCTAGGACTTGCTGATCAGAAGGTCGGCGGTTCAAATCCCCGCGACGGGGTGAGCTCCCGTTGCTCGGTCCCTGCTCCTGCCAACCTAGCAGTTCAAAAGCACGTCAAAGTGCAAGTAGATAAATAGGTACCACTCCAGCGGGAAGGTAAACGGTGTTTTCATACGCTGCTCTGGTTCGCCAGAAGCGGCTTAGTCATGCTGGCCACATGACCCGGAAGCTGTACGCCAGCTCCCTCGGCCAGTAAAGCGAGATGAGCACCGCAACCCCAGAGTCGGTCACGACTGGACCTAATGGTCAGGGGTCCCTTTACCTTTACCTTTTAGGTGGGGCATGGCCAAAAAAAGGTTGGGAACCACTGCTATAGACTGGATTTACAGAACAAAGACCTGATAAACTTGCTTGTGCAAGCAGCGAGAATTATTATAGCTAGACCCTGAAAGAACCTGGAAGGAGTAAATGTTACAAATTAGTATTATGTACAAATTAGTATTATGGCAGATTGCAGTGTTAGAAAAACTGATGACTAAACAGAGATTTGCACAAGGACAATTTTACTGCACCTTGGGCTGGCTTTGCAGATTTTATGAAAATAGCCAAACATGGCAATCTTCTGGCACCAACTCTTTGTAATATGTGGCTCACAACTTTCCTAACCTCTCCCACCCTTCTTTGATGATCTAGGCTCCCCTGTGGGGGGGAAAATGACACCTCTAATACCACTAGGTGGTGCTATAGTTATTCTGAATTAAGGTTTGATTATTTTTATTCACTCCATCTCAAAGCATTATTTATTTTAAGATTTTGCACTGCATTTGGGGTTTTTTTTTTCATTCTTTACGTGCACTGTGATTTACATATTATTTGTGGTTTGATTAGTTTGCCATTTTTTAATGATTCTGTATTTAAGCCAATATAACACCAAATCAGTTATTGTGCATGGAAATTCCAATTTCGGCGTTTTACAGCTTGTATTTCGCAAATACGATGTTGTTCTTGTAGTTAAAAAATGAATAACAACCATTATTTTTTATGAATAGGAAGAGACACAAAGCTGTGGTGTTCAATTTAGAGACTATTTGTGAGAAATTGGGATGAGTGCTCTAAGCAAGTGGCCTTGGCCTTTTCTCTCTATGGGTTGAGACTCACATATCAATTTTGGGGTTTTTTTGCGGGGGGACGGGGACGGTAAATAACAGCTTTACTTGGCAACCTCATCCCCGCTCCTCTTTTGCCAGGCAGCTTCTGCAGCTGCAGCAAAGAAGACCCCACAGCTCCCAAAGTCTGATTGAAAGGCCTGAGGGAGTCTCACCCGGTAGGCGGCTTTGAGCCCCCCGTTGTCGGCGATGTTCTCCCCCAGGGTGTGCTTGCCATTGATGGCCTCCCCGTGGACTGTGTAGTTGCCGTACTGTTCCACCATGCACTCGGTCTGTTGCTTAAAGGCCTCCACTGACGAATTCTTCCACCAGGGGCGGAGGTTGCCGTCCTTGTCGTACTCCCGGCCTGCAAGGACCAAGGACGTTAGCAAAAAGAATCACAGAATCACAGAATTGTGGAGTTGGAAGGGACCCCCCCCCCAAGGGCCATCTAGTCAAACACCCTGCAATGCGGAAATCGCAGCTAAACGCACAAAATGATATTGTGCCACCCCCGCCCCATCTCAATACTCTGCAGTGTGGAATGAACAAAATAATTTGAGAACATTTAAATATCCTTTTATGTACTAATTGTATGTGTGTGGTGGGGTGTACTTGGATGTTACGACAATCAAATGTTTGTATGCTTATATACAACTGTAAACTTTTACTTATAGATCCTTATTGTTACTTTTTAAAGCAACGCCCAGGAAAAGTGCTGCTCTGCCCCACAAGTTTACTTTGCAAGAAAAATCTAACCGTTTGCAAGAAGTTTGCTAAGGGTTTAAAAATGAAACAGCCCGAAGTGGCAAACACCGCAGCAAAAAAAGTGTGTGGGGTGGGGTGGAGAGGAGGAAGATAAATTCTAGAAGATGAATTAAAGAGATGGAGGAAAGGCGGTCCTGACCTTGGTCGTCAAAAGCATGAGTCAGTTCATGGCCCACGACCACACCAATCCCACCGAAATTCAGTGCCCTACAGGGAGAAAGAAAATGTCAGTACACTCATGCCTCATGTTGCGTCCGCTTCAGGTTGCGTTCTTTTGGGTTGTGGACTGCCGAAACACGGAAGTACCGGAACGGGTTACTTCCAGGTTTCGGCAGCTGCGCATGCGCAGAAGCGCTAAATCGCATTTTGCACATAAGCGCCGAATCGCAACCCGCGGGTTGCGAACACTGCGGGTTGCGAACGTGCATCCCACACAGATCACGTTCGCAAGCCAAGCATCCACTGTAAGTCAGAAATACATTTGTTGGCTCCACGGAGGAGCCAGCCCCAATCTGCTGGCTCCAGGGGAACTGCTGCAAACAATAAAGACAGAAGAAGAGCCTTCTGGGTCACACTAACAGCTCACCTAGTCCAGCATCCTGTTCTCAAAGGGCCAACCAGATGTCTGTGGGAAACCTGCAAGCAGAATTCTAGCCCAAGAGCAACTGTTCCTTCCTGCGGTTTCTGGCAACAGGCATAGCTGCCTCTGACCGTGGAGTCACAGCGCAGCCATTGCTGCTAGTAGCCTTCTCCTCCTCCAGGATTTTGTCTAATCCTCTTTCCAAGCCACCCGGGTTGGTGGCCCTTACTGCCTCCTGTGGGAGGGAGTTCCACAGATTAACTCTGCGCTGCGTGAAGGAGGAGGTCTTCCTTTTACCCATACCGAACATTCAGCTTCACTGGATTCCCAACCAGCTCTAGCGGTTTCGAGGGAGAACTTTTCTCTCCCTCTTCACTTTTTTCACACCATGAATAACTTTGTAAACTTCTATCATGTCACCTTCCCTCTAAGCCAGTCTTTCTCAACCTGTGGGTCCCCAGATGTTGTTGAACTACAACTCCCATCACCCTTAGCTAGCAAGGCCAGAGCTCAGGGATGATGGGAACTGTAGTCCAACAACATCTGGGGACCCACAGGTTGAGAACCCCTGCAAGGAGTCCCAAATACTGCAACTTTTCTTCATAGGCGAGTCGCTCCACCCCGCTGAGCTTTTTGGGTTGCCCTTTTCTCAACAATGCTGATTCTCAGCAGGGCTGGGTTTAGGTTTGATGAGGCCCTAAGCTACTAAAGGTAATGGGGCCCTTTATATGTCCAGCTATCCTTTGTCAGCAACAAATTGTCGCAGTAGCGCTGTGGGTAAAACCACAGAGCCTAGGACTTGCCGATCAGAAGGTCGGCGGTTCAAATCCCTGTGACGGGGTGAGCTCCCGTTGCTCGGTCCCTGCTCCTGCCAACCTAGCAGTTCGAAACCACGTCATAGTGCAAGTAGATAAATAGGTACCGCTCCGGCGGGAAGGTAAACGGCGTTTCCGTGCGCTGCTCTGGTTTGCAGAAGCGGCTTAGTCATGCTGTCCACATGACCCGGAAGCTGTACTCCGGCTCCCTTGGCCAATAAAGCAAGATGAGCGCTGCAACCCCAGAGTCATCCGCGACTAGACCTAATGGTCAGGGGTCCCTTTACCTTTACCTTATATACTATATGGTCATTTATGGACCTAATAGGTATCTAAAGCCATTTGCACATAACAAAATCTGTATTTTATCAAAGTAATTGTTGAACTTAACTTATATTTTGGAAATGTACATCCAGTTTTTCCCCCTTAAATTTTTTTGGGGGCCCCCAAGAAAGCGGGGCCCTATACGTAAATCTGGCACTGATTCTCAGCCACCTTCTCTAGCGGTTGGCAACACTTTATCTCCCTGGACCACACGCACACATACCCAGCGAGGTGCAAGGTACGGTTTGTACAACGAAAGCTTAAAAATTGACTGCAGTTGCCCCATTGCTCGAGCCCATGGGCAGAGATGCTCTGATGTGATGGCACATTCACCAACATTCTACCTCTTGAGTTGGGGAGGCAGAGCTGTGGAATTTGACTGGACCAGTGGAGGTGGCTGTGAGGGAACTGGTTTGGCAGGAAGACAGCCAACCAGAAAGGGCTGAGGAACAAGGACCAGGCACATGTGGCGCACAGATGGGCCTACCGAAAATATGCTAGTGAAGGCTTTCCCCTGACATGTGACCCCAGTCATTTATGGAAGACTGATTTCATATCTGACGGGAAATGTTCTGGTGTTTTTGGAGTCCGCCAGGATATTTTATTGCTTTTGGAGTTCGTAGCATTGTTTTTGTAATTTTTATCTTGCACTAATTTTGCTCTGACGGCATTATGCTGGGAAGCAGGGCGTATGAATCTGAGTAACAATAATGGGAGCTGGTAGGCTGATTCGCACAGAGGCCGGGCAGGAAGACACCTTAGAACCATGAAACTGTGCAGTTGGAAAGGGACCCCCAGGGTCATCTAGTCCAACCCCCTGCAATGCAGGAATTGCAACTATAGCATCCCTGACAGATGGCCACCCAACCTCTGCTTAAAAACCTCCCGTGAAGGAGAGTCTTTCACCTTCTGAGGGACTCCATTCTCCTGCTGAATAGCTCTTAAAAACATTAAAATTCTTCCTAACGTCAGAATTTCATCCCTTAGTCGTATGAATCCATTGGTTTGGGTCCTTCCCTCTGGAGCAGCAGAAAACAAGCTTGCTCCATCTTCCATGTGACAGCCCTTTAGCTGTTTGAAGATGTCTATCCTATCACCTCTCCTTTTTCTCTTCTCCAGGCTGAACGTACTCAACTCCCTCAACCGTTCCTCATCAGGCTTGGTTTCCAGACCCCTTTTTCATCTTGGTTACAGCTTGTCAATATCCTCCTTACAACTGTGGTGCCCAGTTTAAGCTTTGTAGATGCAAGAGGCCTCTAAAGGTATTTTGGTCTCCATCCATCATCTCTGAGACCATAGTGCTTTACTTCCAGCCCTACAGCCGCACTTAAAAAAAAACAACCAATCCCTGCTGGAGTTCTTCCTGAACCTCACGGCAGTGAGGCTGAATTGGGAGGGGTGTTAATGCCCTCCCCCTGCCTTGCCAAACACTGAATATCTGATTGGGGGAGGGGTGACAGAGAGAAAGAGAGTGAAACATTCGTACTTTGGGGAGCTTCGGGTGTAGAACGGAGGCTGCAGGATCCCAGCAGGAAAGACGATTTCATTCTTGGTCGGGGAGTAATAAGCATTCACTGTTGGGGGAGTCATGCTCCATCTCCAGAAGAAGAAGGAGGAGGGAGAGAAGAGGGGGAGAGTATGGTCAATGGCAAGACCACTCGAGGTGTCCTAAAAACTCAATGCTCCATCAGCCCAATTTGGGTTTTGGGCATTTCCCATTCCTCAACCTCAAAGTCTTCATGGGTAACCCTAAAACATGTCTGGAAATTGCACCCTTGGCCCTGGGGGCCTTTTACTGCTCACTGCAGATCTGTTAGTCAGGGCAGGGGGTAGAGTACTCTGCACATGCCTGCAAAGCTTGTACTTCGGCACTAAGCTGAGCTCTCTCCCTTGAATGCCAGCCTCCAGCTGGAATTATGCAAGACTGCACAAGCAAATGCAAAAATGCAGTGGGAGCAGGAAATAGGCAGGAATGATTGAGGACATAAAAGTTTGTCCTTTTCTTGGAATGCAGGATGCACGACTTGGATGACCTGCAACACGGCCCTCTCAGTTTATTTCTTCAATATATAGAAACTGGATTGCAGAACCTGTAAGAACAGGGGGGCATTATCTTCTGCCTTGAGTTCCAACTTGGATAAAAGATTCCTTCTCTGTCTCTCTCTCTCACACACACACTAACAGCAACCTCCTCCTCAAAGTTTGAGTAGCGAGGTTACAGGGAACCAGGCAGAGGGCCTTCTCGGTAGTGGTGCCCGCCCTGTGGAACGCCCTCCCACCAGATGTCAAGAAAATAAACAACTATCTGACTTTTAGAAGACATCTGAAGGCATCCCTGTATAGGGACATTTTTAATGCTTGATGTCTCACTGTGTTTTAATTCGCCGGAAACCGCCCAGAGTGGCTGGGGCAACCCAATCAGATGGGTGGCATATAAATTTATTGTTATTGTCCAACGAAGTTGGTTGCCATCATTGCCTCCTGCTGCAGCGAGTTCCACAGTTTAACTATGCAGGGCATAAGGAAGTGCTTTCTTCTACCCGTCCTGAACCTTCCGACACTCAGCTTCAGCCAAAGTTTGGTGTGCCCGAAAAAGTGCACGGTCCGAGTGGGCCAGCCCCCCTCCCCGGGGTTTGAGCCTCCCCCCCCCCCGGCATCCCGAGGCCGACTCACTGGTCGCGGTTTGGAGGCTTCCGGAGCTGCTCAGCGGCCACTCGGGCGGAGAAGTTGAGGAACTGCATGACGTTCTCGTAGTATAGATCCGGGACGGCATCGTACTGCCAGGAAGCAAGAGGAGAAGAAGGAGGAGAAGAAGAAGAAGAGGAGTTTGGATTTGAAATCCCGCTTTATCACCACCCGAAGGAGTCTCAAAGAGGCTAACATTCTCCTTTCCCTTCCTCCCCCACAACAAACACTCTGTGAGGTGAGTGGGGCTGAGAGACTTCAGAGAAGTGTGACTAGCCCAAGGTCACCCAGTAGCTGCATGTGGAGGAGCGGGGAAGCGAACCCGGTTCACCAGATTACGAGTCCACCGCTCTTAGCCACTACACCACACTGGCCCATCAGAATAGGGAAGCAAGGAGAGGCCAGGGCAGCTGGCCGCAGTCACCGCCAACCCCCCATTCCAAATCCCGCTGCTTGGCCTTAGTGGGCTTGCCCCACCTCCAACTCACATCCTTGAACACTTTGTCCAGCTCTTTGGGGTCCATGATGAACTTAGGGTAACCGATCATGTCGTAGATGGCGTCGGCTTTCTCCTTGGCGGACCGCCTCGTCTCCTCATCCATCCACGGGAGAGTTGCCAAGCTCTCTTCGAAGGCCATCTTGATCTCCTTAATCATTTCCTCAGCCTGGTGGAGACAAAGCACGAGGTTACGAGGTGGGGCCGCTTCTTTTAACAGGAATTGGGGGGGGCGGGGGAGGTCCTGGCAAATGGTCGGTGTGTGTGAGGTTCAGGGAATCCCATCCCCCTCCCTCACAGCTGGCAGCCAGAAATGGAAAACAAGAGGTTCTTACAAAGGTAATTTATTCAATATTCACAGAGAGAGATGATAATATTTATTTATTTATTTATACATACATACATACATACATACATACCCCACCCATCTGGCTGGGTTTCCCCAGCCTCTCTGGGCAGCTTCCAACAAAACACTAAAACACAATAACTTATTAAACATTCAAAGCTTTCCTAAACAGGGCTGCCTTCAGATGTCTTCTAAAAGTTTGGTAGTTACAGTGGTGCCCCGCAAGACGAATGCCTCGCAAGACGAAAAACTCGCTAGACAAAAGAGTTTTCCGTTTTTTGAGTCGTTCCGCAAGACGAATTTCCCTATGGGCTTGCTTCGCAAGACGAAACGTCTTGCGAGTTCTTGCAAGTTTGTTTCCTTTTTCTTAAAGCCGCGAAGCCGTTAATAGCCGCTAAGCCGTTAATAGCCGCTAAGCCGCTAATAGCCACTAAGCCACTAATAGCCGTACTTCGCAAGATGAAAAAACCGCAAGACGAAGAGACTCGCGGAACGGATTAATTTCGTCTTGCGAGGCACCACTGTATTTTGGTTGCCCTTCTCCCTCCTCGGGGAAAAGCCCCCAAGAGCAGCACACACGCTCCGCGTGGCTTTTGGGGCTTTTCTGGGAGGTGGGGGAAGGGACAGAGCGTGACTAAGCCAGAAGCTAGAACAGCGAGAGGGAGTGCAGCGATCCCTCTTGCTGTTCTGGCTTCTGGGATAGCTGCGCAGCCTCTTCAGGGCAGCGGGCTGAAGGCTCCCCGCTGCCCTGAAGAGGCTGCACCTGGCTAAGCCAGAAGCTAGAACAGTGAGAGGGAGCGCTGCGCAGCGATCTCTCTTGCTGTTCTGGCTTCTGGGATAGCTGCACAGCCTGCATTCGCTCCATAAGACGCACACACATTTCCCCTTACTTTTTAGGAGGAAAAAAGTGTGTCTTATAGAGCAAAAAATACTGTATATGCATTGTATATGTGATATAATTTTGTGCCACCAGACGGCGATCTGGAGCTGCCTTTTTCTCTACCTGTTTTCCCTGTTTAAATTTACAACACTTTAAACTGAAACACTTCTTTGATGTGTCTAGATCCAGCCTAAATTGGGACTTTCTGCTAAACACAAGTAAGCTAAATATGTTAGATTAGATTAGCAGAACGGACCTCTGGGAGAAACTTTGGAGGAAAGATTTAAAATTTACTCACTGAAAGAAAATTATATGAAAATGACACATAGATGGTATTTAACTCTGAGCAGATTAGCTAAAATGTAGAAATCTGAATCTGATGTATGTTGGAAATGCAAGTAAGTAGAAGGAGCGTATGTGGTGGGTATGCAGAATAGCCAAAGAATACTGGGAAATGATATATAATGATATGAAAAAAAGTTTTTTTAAAAACATTTCCCCCCAAAAACAGGCATTCCTTTTAGGAATGGTGCAGACAGAGGTACCCTGGAGTCAGAAAAAGTTATTTATGTATGCAACTACAGCTGTTTGGATTTTGTTAGCCCAAAAATTGAGGGTGAGAGAGGTCCCTAAGAAGGAGAGGTGCCAACTTAAAATGATAGGATATGTAGCGTTAACAGAATAAGAGAATGAGAATATCAAGTATCTAAAGAGGAGCGGAAAATCTTTGTGGAATATTTGGAAAATAACTGTAAACAAGTGAAAACGCTAGTGGGATTAATGTAAATTCAACTGTATAATGTATAATAGAGAACTATGACTGGGGGGGGGAATGAAATTAAACGTTGTTCTCCCTCCCCACCCAAGAATATGCAGAAATTATGGGAAAATTAAAAGAACCATGGAAGAGGAAGAAGGGAAGTCGATGAAGGTACTATTGCAATACAGTCATACCTCGGGTTATAGACGCTTCAGATTGCGGTTTTTTTGGGTTACGGACACGCCAAAACCCGGAAGTACCGGAACAGGTTACTTCTGGGTTTCGGAGGTCGCACATGTGCAGAAGTGCTAAATTGCGCTTTGCGCATGCGCAGAATCACCAAATCGCAACCCGCGCGTACGCAGACACGGTGCTGTGGGTTGCGAATGTGCCTCCTGCACGGATCACATTTGCTACTCAAGCATCCACTGTGGTGGATATTTAATGGTGGAAATGTATACTGGAAAACTCTAATAAAATAAGATTAGCGGAACTGGCCCCGTAACAGTCACCGCCTTACCACTGCCTTGCTGTCTTCCGCGAAGGAGGCCTTGACGAACATGGCGCCCAGCGCAAAGCCCAGGTTGATGTCTGTGTCGCTGATGCAGTACTTCCATCGGGGCAGGCAGGTCTGTGGGGCAGAAGGAGACCCTTGGTGTCAGCGGCACCGGCGGAGGAAGGGGGTGCGGTCCACCCTGGGTGTCATCCCTGGGGGGGTGACATCACCCCCCTGGGACGCTTGCCACGGGCGGCTAGCCCCACCTCTGGGTGCACAGCATGTACAGTGGTGCCCCGCAAGACGAACGCCTCGCAAGACGAAAAACTCGCTAGACGAAAGAGTTTTCCGTTTTTTGAGTCGTTCCGCAAGACGAATTTCCCTATGGGCTTGCGTCGCAAGACGAAACGTCTTGCGAGTTCGTGCGAGTTTGTTTCCTTTTTCTTACAGCCGCTAAGCCGTTAATAGCCGCTAAGCCGCTAATAGCCTCTAAGCCACTAATAGCCGTGCTCCGCAAGACGAAAAAACCGCAAGACGAAGAGACTCGCGGAACGGATTAATTTCGTCTTGTGAGGCACCACTGTACGCCGCTCCAGGTGCCAGAGCAGCTAGCTCCGCCTCTCATCAGCGGAGGAACTTGGGGCAACTCAGGGCCAGAGATGAACGCCACCAGCAAACCCCTTCTTTCTCCCCACCCAGGAAGCAGGAGGGTGATGGTCCCTGGAGAGCAACTCCTGGTGAGAAGCACCCAGAATGGACATGGGTGGACCACCAGGTCTCCCAGTGTTTGAATTGCAGACAGCCGCCCAGCTCTTTGTCTTAGGATGAGATTTCTGCTTTTCTTTTGTAGAGCTTTATCTATTTATTTATTTTTTTAAAAATGCATATACAGTGGTAACTCAGGTTACAGGCGCTTCAGGTTACAGACTCCGCTAACCCAGAAATAGTACCTCGGGTTAAGAACTTTGCTTCAGGATGAGAACAGAAATTGCGTGGCTGCGGCAGCTGGAGGCTCCATCAGTGGTGCCTCAGGTTAAGAACAGTTTCAGGTTAAGAACAGACCTCCAGAATGACTTAAGTTATTAACCCAAGGTACCACTGTATTTATTTACAATAGAACGTAACAAAATAAAGCAATGAGTGCCGCCCAAGTTTCCTACTTGCCTTCTTTGAGCCGTACATGACCTCCATGAACTTCTCCTCTGCATCCTGGAAGCGCTGGTCCAGAAAGCCGGCTCCTTTCCTCACCAGGTGCCAGATCATGTAGTTGTGCAAGATACTGGAATGGAAAAAGGGGTGGGGTGGGAGGGAAAGATGAGGACCTCTCCATCATCTCTTGGAACTGGCTGCAAAAAGTGCCCTCCCCCCCAATATCAGTTGCACACTGCAGGCGTTGCAAGGGAGCCCCCTACTAGCCCTACCTGGTGTGCCTTTGGGGACTGCACCCGGGACCTCCTTCATGCAAAGCAGATGCCCCACCTCTGAGCTATGGTCCTTAAAAATAAAGCAAGCTCCTAGTCCTCACTGTTCTGAAAAAAGGGCTAGTTTAAAGGAAGCTGATTTTTACCGAGTCCATCTAGCTCTGTATTGCCTACACTGACTGGCAGCAAGGGCTCTGCAGGGTTTCAGACAGGAAGCCTTTCCCCGGCCACACCTGGAAG